GTGTGTGTGTGTGTGTGTGTGTGTGTGTGTGTGTGTGTGTGTGTGTGTGTGTGTGTGTCGCTCGCATCTTGCAACGCGGGATCTGAATTCGGGCCCTGGGTGCCGGTAAAAAGGCCTGAAACCACGAAACCCCCCCCGGTTCCGGGCATACCCGTCGCCGACACGGGCAACCATGTGCTGACGCCCCATCCTTCTCCTCACTTATAGGCTACAATCCCGACCTCATCACCGACGAGATGCTCGACTACTGGACAGACTGCATCACGCAACCGGGCGGCCTCACCGGCTGCTTCGACACGTACCGCTCCGTCTTCAAGAACGCCGAGATCAACAAGGAGACGGCCAAGCAGAAACTCACGTGTCCCGTAATGACGATCGGCGCCCCGGAATTCTTTGGCCCACAGGTCGAGGAGAATATGCGGCTGGTGGCGGAGAATGTCGCGCAGAGCGAGATCTTTGATGAGTGTGGCCATAGTTTGGCGTTGGAGAAGCCGGAGAGGCTGGCGGGGAGTTTGAGGGGGTTCATGTTGGGGACGTGAAGAAACATGGAAATGGGCAATGGTGGAGGGTGAAGGTGGTGAAGGGAAGGGGTAGTAAAGATGTGGAGGGCATTTTTTGCTAATTGATTGTTGGGGGGAAACATGGTGTCTAGCAGTGTTAAAAGCAGAAGAGAACCACGCTTACAGAAAAGTCTTACTCATCTTAGGCGACCTGGAGCTTCTCCAGCGCATCCGTCAAAGCATCTGTGCCACCCATGGCCAGTCGTTCTTCTTCGACCAGTTTACGGTTGTTGTCAACGAACGCAGCACTCCAAGCCTCCTCTGTACTGATGTCCCCCCAGGATGACAGGCTCCAGCCATTGGCATCTTCCACCGCAAAAGCACGGAGGGCACGCATCGTGTCATACCCACACCGATTCAGATGTCTGATCGCGTGGATGATGAGGACGGCGTCCGCGTCGAATCCGCCCGTGCACAGAAAGTTCCACGCCGCCGCGAAGACCAACTTGAACGCGGTTGCCATATCCTCGCGAGCCGAGGTGGCCAGTGGCAGCAGAATCTCCGACCACGGCGTCTGAAGCACCGCCAGGTCGTTGACGGCCAGCTCGATGGGTTCTCGCGGAATATCTGCATTGTCAGCGTCAGCCCAGACGTAGATGTCGAGCCAGCGATTGTCACTGACCTGGTCGTGTCCACGGCGCTTGGCTCGCCTCCACGCTTCGACTACGCACTGACAGTCAGCTTTGACGCGTTCGAGGGCGATGGCGGAGATGACGTCGAGACTGTTGTGGTAGCCTTCGCTGTGGAGCTTCTCGAAGGACAGGCGGATGATAGTGGTGACGATGTGGTCGTGAATCGTCCTGTTGGCGTCTGGCTGGCGCATAGCATTCATGTGCGCATGGCGGAGTTGGTGGATAATTTGAATGAGTTCAGATGGTTGGCATGGGATGTCTCTTGTTGTGAAGAGGTAAGGGATGATTTCCGTGATTGAGAGTTCGGGCTCTTGCGCTGAAGGTGTGTCGAGCTCCATGATTGTGATGCAGGAACTTGCAGGGGAAACGCTTCAGTGTTCGCCTTTATCTACCAAGCGTATCGACTGGTCGATCCACTGCGTGGCACACAAAGCCCACCATCTGGTGTGATAGCGTCTACTTTGTTCCCACCGGATTCTCTATGTTCGATACCAACTTCCATTGTTGGTCCCTTGCAGGTTTCGAATGAACACGCGGATAGTGTCTAATCCTCACCAACAGGCAGACCCTCAGGGGGCTGGATGCGGGCTTGGTTCCGGTGGCAATAATGAACAAGACGTTTAGCTATGAAGATTTTGATAGCCCTCTGGAAAGACGTGATAGATGTTCCCAACCTCAACCTACACGTCGACCATCTTTGGAGTTCGACGACAACCCTCAATTTCTTCTATTGAGGTTCGCCGGCGTTTCTCTTCGCCAGCCTCAATGCGGAACTCGAGATCACGCATTCTTTTGCTAAACTCCTTCTCTTCATCCCATGTGAATGGACTCTTACTTGCGAAGAGAAAATCGATCTGCTCCAATGAACGTCCAGCTGTCTCTGGAACAAAAATATATGTCAGCGGGATGTAGCTGATCATCGCCGCGCCGAACACATAGAAGGTTTTTTCTCCGATGCCAGCCAGCATCACGGGAACCAGAAGCCCACCTCCACCGTAGCCGATTGCCCATCCTGCTACACCAAACGCATTTCCCTTGGCGCGAAGCCAGGTTGGGAAGACCTCTGTTGGGTAGATGAATGGCACCATCAGCCATGATGCACTGAAGACCAGAACGTAGACGAAGACAAGGCATGCACTGCCGATATTCAACCTTTGTGCCGAGCCTGGATCGTTGAAAGCCGCTCGCTGCAGTCCGCCGATGAGGAAGAGTATGACACACAGTGTCGCTGAACCCCAAAAGATAGTCTTGCGCCTACCGATACGGTCGACGAGCAAAGCGTTGATACCGGTACCCAGAATCCCAACAGTGAGGCTGAGTGGTGAAAGCCAACCAGATTTCACCTCGCCGAAGCCAGCATTGCGGAATAATGTGCCCGAGTAGACGACAAGGGCTGCAATTCCCGTGCCGAACTGCATCAAAACCTGTAGCCAGAAGACAAGTTGAATTCGCCTGCCCAAGTGGACATCACCGGACCCAACACCAAAGAACATCTTCACGTAATTTGTGGAGGAGGACTCTTGCTCCATACCTACCACCGCCAGAATCTCTTGATATTCCCTTACGGCGTCGGGATGATCGCTGTCATCGTTACCTCGCAGCTTGACGATAATGTCGAACGCTTCTTGGTGTCTACCAGCTTTGACCAGCCATCGAGGAGATTCGGGAATGATCATGGTGCCCAGAAGAAGTAGCACTATTGGAATAACCTGTGTGGCGAACAGGAAGCGCCAGCGAAATTGGCCTCCGCCAATACTGTTGGCGAACGATAAGGCAAACCCGAGCCATGATTCGAGAGCGATGCATGAGAAATTTGCAAGGCTGAAACGCATCAGTCGGACAAGCACAGGGAAGAATGAAACCCATTTCGGCGGACAGGGTGACTCACAACGTCAGACAGATGACTCGGCCACGGTGAGCGGCAGGCGACAGCTCGGCGGTCCAACTTGGAGCGATGACAATGATGAACGCGACCCCAATACCAGCAACGACACGGGCACAGAGAATGGCAGCTAGATCGGTCGCAGCTGCTTGTAAGATAACTCCTAGCAGACACCAGAATGACGCCATCCAGAGTCCCTTGATACCTGTGACGGCGTTAGAAAGATACATGTGTTTTGCTGGAGAGTGAGATAGGGGGAGACAGCGAGGACGTACGACCGTAACGATCGGCGAATTGACCAGCCCAGAAGGCACCGACTAAGGAACCTGCATAGTAGATGCTGACTATGCCACCCTGCTTCGTCGGATTGGTGACGCGACCTTGCTCATCCCCGTAACCCATGCGTTGCACGAACTCCGGGGCGACATTGACGGCGCCGATGACTCCTTGACTCATGCCTTCATAGCCGATGGCACACGCCGACACAGCAGTGATGAGCTGCATAAGTCGTGGCCCAGGAATGCGACGCCACAGATTCTTTGGTCGGGACGGCATGATGGGTGCTTTCAAATTTCTGATAGATCGGCAATGATACCAAACAGGTGTTGCTCGACAGGATGATAGGCATGGTCAGTTCGAGGGAGGTTTGGCGGCATATAAATCATCCTCGTGGCTCGACATACGGGAGGGACCCACGGTCACGCTTCGCGGAGGGGATTCTGGGGTAATGGGGGAGTGTACGGGGATCTGCATCGTCTCGAAGTTCCGTTGACGGTAAAGTCTATGGGAAGAGCTAACAACCCCAGTCAGAAGGTGACCGAGCAGCCGAGTTCATGCACACGAAAGGCAAATCTGGGAACGACTTTCTCCAAGACTACCAGGTAAACAGTAGTAATGGCTGGATATGGCACATCGTAACGAGGACCCGAACAGTCTTCCCGGCGGTCGCAACTCGCTAGAAGTCTGTGCCGTTTAACCGATGGTGGAAGCTTGTGAAAGTTCGTGTGACGACATGTTTTAGATAGGTTGAAACTCCCACTTCGTCTCGAAGCAACCACTTCAGGGTAGGCCGACCTTGTAACATGGGCTCTCTGCGATCATCCCGAGGATGGTAAGTCTAGACGTTGGTTGAACCAGTTTCGACCTGTCGACTAGGCTAACGACAGCTCGCAGTTTGACTTGCAGAAAACGCCACGTGAAATGTACGAAATCCACTTCACATGCCGCGAGCATACAAGCTGATCTAGGATCGACTAGGTGATGAATCCCGACCACGATGTCGGCAATGTACCCGACGAGAAGAAGCATGCCAGTACGAGAGCCCGATCCGTTTCAAGCAGCAAGTTACGGCATATGGCCAGCACCGCCGTAAAACCGCCTCGCAGCGGGCTGCTGCGAATCACACAATCCGATCGAGCTCTTCTGAAGTCGAGACAAGTCCCACCATTAGTTCCTTGTCGCCTGTCGACAACACTGTCGCAGGCCCCCGGGTGAGCTTGGAGAGTGGTGTCACGCCGTTCCTGGTACAACGAACTGCCATTTCAAACAGACTGCAACCCGAATCTCCCGGTGTATACGCGGAAAGCCCACAAACTTGGTCATCATTGGTTTTGATGGACTACGAATCCTCGTACCTGGATGCGATTTACCTCCACCATTTTGCCACCGAGCTCGGCCGTTGGCTTGATTGCACTGATCCCACGAGGCAGTTCACGTTAAAGATACCTCGACTGGTCCGTGAAGAGCGGATCCTTTTGCTCGCAGTTACTTGCTTTGCTGCACGACACATGAAACATCCAACAAAAGCGGCATTAGCTCACGAAGAATCTGTGAAGCTCCTCATTTCTCGACTGGACACAGCCAACGTGGCGGCTGACGATGCACTGCTCTGTGCCATCGTCATTTTGCGTGTCTATGAGCAGCTAGATGGTGGGTTGGATCACACGCAGATGTTCAGAGGCTAATGAAGTTATTGTAGTGTCTGACGCCGGAAGTGACCACGAGCGACATCTAGCCGGCTGTTCTGCCTTGCTGCGGTCGTCCCAAGGACTTCAAGTAGACCCGGCAGTGCCAACACTCCGCCATGCAGCTTTCTGGGTCTACGTTCGGCAAGCCATGTATAATGCCTGCGTCTATCAGCAACCTCCTGATGTAGATCCAGAGACTGATGTAGCATCCCTGAGAATCTCGCACGTGCCCACCAGCTTTGCTCAGGAGTTGGAACAGGAAGCAGCATGGACGAATTCTCTGGTCTGGCTGACAACCAAAGTCATGCATTTTTGTTTCCGCCTTGGTAGCCACGATATTCATGAGCGGCTGTCACAATGGAATAGTCTCAATGTCGCTTTGGATCAGTGGCAATCTGAACGACCGTCATCTTTCGACCCGATCTGGGTTGGTCAGGCGGAATCGAAGACAGATAATACCTTTCCCGTTGTACTTTTGACAGCAGACTGGCATGGTAAGCATTCCTCACCTCAGAGCTCTTGCACTTGTTGAGTAACACGGAACAGTGATGGCCTTTACTTTCTATCATCTCTCACGTATGCTGTTGATAGCATATCAGCCAAAACCCAGATTCGCAGTGAGACGACAGGGCGCACCAGACGACAGGGAGGCGGAAAGTATCTTGCAGCACGCTTTACTCATGTGTGGGGCATGTCAGAGCATGTCAGCAGTAGTACCGTCATTGATCACGCTGTGCCACACGTGCTTCATATGTATGCTCTACCCTCCTTCCAGCTATATGTGAACTGACCGATCTCCTGCAAAGGGGGGCCTCTGATGGTCGATCGACCACAACAGGATGCTCTTCTGCGTCTGCTAAACAAAATGGAAGCAGAACATGCCTGGCCGACCCTTTGGATAGTCGATGCACTCAAGCGCGAATGGCAGCACAACAGCTAGCCTCAGTCGTTCTTTCTGAACGAGGCGACTGCATATTTCCCGTTCCGGACCCACGTACCATTTGGACAGGCTGATTCAAGCTCCTCAAGCTGTTGCTCGGATTCTAGGCCCACGCAGACATCGGCTTTGTTGGTCCTCAAGGAAAGGACTCTCAGACCTGTCTCATTCCCCAAAGGACCCAGCGCCTCCTGGAAGCTTGTCAAGTAAGGCCATAAGGCATCATTGGTCAACTTTCGGTAGTGAAGATCGCCCTTGAAGATTACTAGGTCTCGTGTTTTGAGATCAGCCAGTAGAGCCGGTGCTCTCTCATGCATTTCATGATACGAGCTGCCAGTTGTCCAGAACCAGTTCGATATGATGTCGATCTTGCCACTTCCGAAAAGTCCAACTAGGCAAGAATGAAGGCTATCGATACCTGCACGAGTGGGAAAGTACTCGGTTGACTTCAGAGCATCCAGCAGCCACTCGACGTCACTTCTGGTCGCATCGCTCACAAACCATGGGAAATCCTTGACATGAAGGCGAATTTCTTTTGCAATTTTTTGTTCCAGCAGGTATGCCGCAAAGACCAGATCAGTGAATAGCTCGAAACCAGAGTTGTCGAGTACGATGTCCACTTGTCGACCACTCTGAAGGTACTCCGCGGAATTTAAATATGACCAGGCTTCTTGCAAATCGTTATCCACGATGTTATGTTGCGATTTTCGAATTGATTCTCTCCCTTGCAGCGACTGGAGCTCTTCGAGCGAAAGGTGAGTCAGCAGCGACAGGTCTGTGGCGTTGCCCCAGAGAGCCACCTGTGTCATCTCTGAAAAGAGTAAGAACTGCTGTTCTGGATCTAGATCACAGTCTTCCAGATTCGCTCCTGTGCTAGCATATCGAAGAGCAAGTTCCAGGACCGCCACTTGAGATTTGATGAAGGTTGACTTCTTCTGCCGCTCGAAGACATCGTAGTTCTTCCAGTAATTGGTTTCGAGAAATATGGAGTGGACTCGACGGTACAGGTAACACTCGGCGAAGAGCCAAGGTGCGTCCAGCCAGCTGATTTTATCAGAACTCCTGATGTAGTTATTGAACCATTGCACATCTGGATTTAATGTGCCGGATAGTTCTGTCAAAGGCATATCGCTGACAATGTCGTCCTTCAGAGCCTCTAGTCCTCGAACAACTCCAGCACCCTCTTCTGCCATGGACGAAAGAACATCCTCTTCCCATATAGTCCGCTTAACATCGTCCACCATGTCGCTTGCGATTCGTGGCCATCTAATTCGAGCGGTCTCTTCTGCCATGGTACCATGGTCAGAAGTTCTCACTGGCCGAACGTGTGCATTGAGAATCATTATGGGCAGAGGCAGATCGTCAGACTGCTTTAGTGTATAGGGAACCTAGGAACAAGACACAGCCGCCCAGTTGCCCGTCTGTGTCATTTATACTGGAACGCTTTGGTCGGAAGCAGCCCCGCGAAGTCATGAGAGTTGGTTGCATTCCGAAAATGGTAATTCGTCTCGGTTTCCCAAAGCGGTAGATAGCGCCGAGGTTCTCTATACTCTTTGATCGTGGACATATAACAAGGCCCCGGGCTCCGGGGGATGAAGGGGGCCACAGTGCACATTTCGGTGGCAGAAAAGCACATCACATTGAAGATGACACGAACGAGCGCAAGAATCAACGGCAGCCACGCCGTGAATGGCTTCCACACCGACAACGATACAATACACCGGCATCAGGATGCCAAAGCTGGGGATCCTCTTGACCTTACCGTTCTCGGCATGAACAGCGGGACTTGTATGGATGGCATTGACTGTGCACTCGTCAGGTACAGACAGGAGTCTCCGGATGCTGCACTGCACATGGAGCTATTGCATGTTCGTTGCCTGCTATAACCTGCGAGACCAGCTACTAACACCGAGCCTAGTACGACGAGATACCCGTGCCTGATTGGATCAAAGGACCTGTACTGAAGATGCTTCGTGAGACCAATACAACGCCATCCCAGATGTCACAGATCAACGTGCAGCTAGGCGTCATGTTCGCCGAAGCTGTGAACAGTTTCTGTGACAAGTTTGGCGTGAATAAAGACGACATTGACCTAATCGGCTCGCACGGTCAAACAATTTGGCTCCTGTCCATGCCTAGAGCTAAGGAGACAAGATCTGCACTGTGCTTGGGCGAAGGCGCAGTCATATCTTCAGCCACTGGAATCACAACCGTGACCGACTTTAGAATGGCAGAGCAGGCTGTAGGCCGTCAGGGAGCACCACTGGTGGCCCTGATCGACGGTCTGCTGCTTCATCACCCCACCAAGTGGCGCATCTGCCAAAACATCGGAGGAATTGCCAACCTTTGCATTATTCCCCCTGACTCCGAAGGAGGAGTCGACGCGATGGTTGACTGGGACTGTGGACCTGGCAACATGTTCATCGACAACGCTATGCGCTTCTTCACCAACGGCAAGTTAGAGTACGACCGGGATGGAGAATGGGGTGCACAGGGAAATGTCGATGAGTCAGTCGTAGACTGTTTCCTCAACAACAACTGGTATGTCAACCACGCACCGCCCAAGACGACCGGCCGCGAGACCTTCGGCGACAACGAAGGCCAGATGCTGGTGGCGCAGTGCATGAACAAGGGGCTGTCGAAGTACGACACCATCGCCACACTGACGCGGATCACCGCCAAGAACATCGTCAGGCAGTATAAGACCTTCTTCCGCGACTGGGAGAAGATTGATGAGATCTTCATGTGTGGAGGCGGAGCTCGGAATCCTAACATCGTACGCTATCTGCAAGACCAGCTGCCTCGGGTCAAGATCCGGGCGCTCGATGAGACAGGAGTGCCCAGCGATGCAAAGGAGGCCATCAGTTTCGCTCAGCAGGCGATGGAGGCCGTCCTCGGAAGAGCAGCGTTGGTACCCATCAACAGCGACAGCCTGACCCCAAACACAATCAGTGGCAAGATCGCACCAGGACAACAATGGCGCAAGCTTATGAAGATGTGCTGCGAGTTTGGTGGGGGACGACCTCTGCCTACCGTCAAAGATATGGTGGTGGATAACTCATATACCAAGTGGATGGCAATGCCAAATGTGTACACAACAAAGAGCTGATCGAACCGTCGTCAGCCTATGAGGAATAGGAAGGGGGGGGAGAACCAGCCAGCCATCAAAGCTCCGGTCAACAACCGGTCATGGAGTCTGCGGGCGCCAGCAAATTGCGATTTTGATCAGGTGCCTTACTGACACCTGGGTTTTGGTTACATTGACGGTACCGATCGTGCGATATCTATACCTAGCTACTATAGTTGCCAAGTTTCATCCCTGACATGCAAAGCAGCGGCGGATTTTCATTCCATTTGCGTGTTCTCACCCATTCGTATTTTCGTTATATTTTGATCAAATGCAGAGGTCTATCTATACACTGATAATTGAACCCTCAATTTCGCGATGAACAGTCTGGGGAAAGTCGTGGAACTTTGCAAAGGACCGAACGGTGAAAAGAGTGCTTCTGAGCTGCAGAACACCCTGTTTCTACTACTGGATAGCAGGATTTGACCCATCGTGGAGGCCGAGACTCCGCCAAATGGACCTCGAGGAGAATTGACACCGCTGGAATTGTTGAAATGCTAGTTCTCAAAAGAAACTAATTTATTCTTCGATCGCCAGAGCCACTTTTCACAGCACCCTTGGATCACCACTATACAACAAACTCAGGCCGCTTTAGGAGCCGCAGCGATTTCTTCGTCGGATGCCAATCCGTTCTTTTCGTGCCCACCGTCCTCAAGTTCCTCCAGCAGTCTCCGTTCCGCAGCAGTCACATCTCCACCCGCATCTGCCACTCTGCGTCTGTACTCCTCCTCGTTCGCGCCGACATACGGACTTTGAGCCGCAAACAGTAAGTTGATCTCCTCGAGCGACCTGCCCAGCGTCTCTGGGAAGAAGAAAAACACGAGCGGTAGGCTGGCAAAGTTGAAGCAGCCGAACACGATCAGGGTTTTCCAGCCCAGCGCGCCGAACATGCTCGGGATCACCAGGGTCGTCGTTCCACACCCGACCGCCCAGCCGAAGACGCCGTAGCTGTTTCCTCGCGCCCGTATTTCCTGTGGCCATATTTCGGTTGGGTACAGGAAGGCGATCATCAAGACCGTCTGCGCGAAGAAGAAGGTGTAGATGAAGACCATCGCGGCTGCGGCGGCGCCGTAGGCGGCTGCGTGATTCGCGTGCTGCTCGCCGAGGCGCGACAAGCCGCCCGAAAGCATCAGGACGGCGCCTTGGATGAAGAAGCCGAAGTAGAGCGACTTGCGGCGCCCGAAACGATCGATGGTGAAGACGCTCGCCATAGTGCCGACGATGCCAAAGGTGTTGCAGAGGCCGCTGAGCCAGGCAGACTTGTCCGCGCTGAAACCGGCTTGCTGGAAGAGTGTGTTGGCGTACACGGTTATGGCCAGGATACCCGTCCACTCCATCATCATCATGATGCCAATAGCGAGGCATACGCGCCGGCCCAGGTGCAGAACGCCCGAGTGCCGACCAAATGAGACGTTGATCAGCTTGTAGCGGGCGTGCTTGGCGTTGACGGTGATGACATCGAGCTGCAAGATTTCGGCGGCGAGAGCTGGGTCCGAGAGGTCGCGATCACCACGGATCTTGGCGAGGATCTCGACGGCTTCGTCGCGGCGTCCGTTTGCGATCAACCAACGTGGTGATTCCGGGAGGAAGGCCACGGTCAGCAGCAGGATGATGGTGGGCACGGTCTGGAAGGCCAGTGGGAATCGCCACTGGAAGTCGGTGGTGTGGTTGCGCAGTCCGTAACCAAGCCAGTAGGCAATGACAATGCCGACATAGTTGGCACAGAAGACGAGAGCGAAGGCAGAACCTCGATTGTGTGCTTTTGCAAGTTCGGACACCCATGCTGGGATGATCTAAGAGGTGTGAAGTTAGAATGCGAGATATATCGCTTTAAACCACAGACAGGTCGACGACTTACGGAGTTGATGAAACCGATGCCGACGCCACAAATGACTCTGGCACATATCGTCATGTTGCTGTTCTGCGAGCCTGCTTGCAATGCACCACCGACCAGTGTAAACATGCTCCCGAGGACGACCGCCTTCTTGCGGCCATAGCTGTCCCCAAACCACCCGCCGAAGAAGCATCCAAACATGGCTCCAAAGTAGTACACTGCGACAAGGCCGCCTTGTTTCGTTGTGTTGGTAACGACTCCACTGGATCCGATGCCTACGGTCTCAATATACCCGGCGGAGCCATTGACAAACCCCATGACGCCTTGATTGTAGCCCTCGAAGATAAGCGCGACAGCCGAGAAGAGGTTCAGTGACCACAGCAAGACTCTGCCAGGGATGTGGCGCCATGGCTTGAATACCATCATGGACGATTGACGCGGGCTGTAGTAGCAGGCAAAAGAGTGGTGCGAATATGTCATAGAACAGGGACCCAGCCTGAGAAGAAGCTCAACACAAGAAGACAGGATCGGGAGCTCTCATATATGTGATTTTGACATGCTCTGTGGTCCCAAGCTGTCGCGTCGTGGTGGCACATGTCTCCCTCGCTTGTGTCTACGCTCCCCGCTGCCCCGGATTTGAAGGGGCGGCTACCGTCTCCGTGGAGAACTTTACATCCTGTCTGGACATGGTCAAAGCCAAAAGCCTCGTGGACCGAAGCATGACTAGTAGCCTCGAGAACGCCGAAATGTGTTTCTGAGCTGTGAATTCCAAAGAAGGTTTGGAGGATGATGTTGGACCACGAAAGAGTGTGGCATCGTTTTGGCTCTATGATAGTCCCAATCAGCCGCTGCCCGTTTAGCCGCTGGCCGTTCAGCCGCTTCGTGATCTCATTGTCAACCGTCCAGACCTCCTCTCAGTCTTGACAATGGTTTCATACTGTCGTTGCGATGACTTGCTCCCACGGCCAGCACTTCTCCACAGAGAACTGCGACTTCGTTGTCAGAGGCTGGCAACCATCCTCCGTGTAAAGCAGACGTGATTGTCACACGCGCCAGTCGCTTGCTCGTCGCCCTCCTTATATCGTCCGGGAAGCCCCAATTTTCCTGAATCGTCTCATCCGTTATACCTAGCTAGGTCCTCCTCGTCTGACTCAAGTCCACTGTTATAGTTGTGGGTTCCACTCTCTGTACTCATTGATCTACTGCACTTCATCGAAATCTTGTCTCTCCTTTACCCCCATCATTCAGCATGGGCCTCACCATCCTCGACCACGAGCAAAAGCCGGTCCTACATGGCCGGTTACGGCTCTCCACGGGCGTTCGTCTGCATTACTACACCGCAGGAAGCGGTCCAGCCGTATTGCTCCAGCACGGCATTCCCAAGACGTCCTACTACTGGCGTAAAGTGCTTCCCTACCTGAGCGCCCACTACACCTGCATCGTACCAGATATGCGCGGGATCGGCGACTCGACTCACCCGGACAACGACTACTCCATGGCGACCGTGGCTGATGATTTGGCCGAACTCATGACGAAACTGGGCCATGACAAGTTCCATGTCATCGGCGAAGACTGGGGTGCAGCAGCAGCATATCAGCTCGCGGCGCGATATCGGGACCGGGTGCTTTCTCTGGTGTTCCAAGAGATGCTGCTTCCCGGCTTCGGTCTCGAAGAATGGGTACAGACTCTTTCCTGCGTGATGACCCCTTAGCTGAGCGTACTTACGGACTGATTCCACGCCCTGCTGGAGCGCCGATTTGAACGGCGCACAACTGACCATCCGAGTTTGTAGGCCACCTTCAACCCCACCCGCCCCGAAACCCACCTCTGGCACGTCTCCTTCTACAGCGTGCGCGACGTGCCGGAGCTCCTGATCACGGGCCACGAGCGCGAGTACTTCACGTGGTTCATCAAGAACGAGGCGCACGACCCGACGAGCATCCCCGACGACGCCATCGACGAGTACGTCGCCAAAGCCAGCCAGCCGGGGGGCCTGCGGTCGCTGTGCAACATCTACCGCGAGACGGAGGCGAACGTGCGCGACAACAGGGACAGCGCCCTGACGAAGCTGACCCTACCCGTGCTGGCCGTCGGGAGTAAGGACTTCATTGGCGCCGAGGTGAAGGCACAGATGGAAGCGGTCTGCGAAAGGGAACAGGTCACGTACAAGGAGCTGCACTTTGGGCATCAATTGGCCGAGGAGTGTCCGGGCCAACTGGCGAGTTTGTATCTCGACTTTCTTGGCCAATTGACTTGAGCCGGGGAAGGGGGCGAGGGGGTTTTGAGCTCTATCTATTTCAGACCTGATGGACGAATCTTCCCCAGAGTTTCAACAAATAGATGACGTGTATTTTTTAGTGTGGCAGCATAGTGAGAAGAGTGTCATTCATGCATCGAGGCTGCGTTGGTGTTCGGCGCAGCAAAGTACTTGTAGCAGGGTCGTCAGCGAGCCCCAGATCGCTTTGCCGTTCCGAGTTCACCTGCTTGCGCATAGTTTGCGAAGGCCCAGCCGTCAACGCATCATAAGCTGGGGAATTCACTCGAAAGTGAGTGGTGCATTCGCCCTCCACGTGGCAGCAGCAGGCCGCAGCAGCAGGCCGGAGCTCCGATCCGAGATCCGGGGTATGGCCAGACAGTGAATGGTTATTGGCTGGTGCCCATTGCTCTGGCTTTCGTCACGGTGAAGTATAGACTTTACGGGTTGCGTCCTCACGGCAGAAACAGCCGCGATATACACCGTGACGGGGATTCGTGGTGCCTGGCAAGTTCGAGCTGACCTGTAAGCTAGCTGGTGCATCATAATCTACTCAAGCCACCGCGAGATGCAGCTCCTACATCCACTCCATCCCGAATGCTACAGCCGATGCGCTCTGCGAATATCACTGTGGTCCACATGGTATTGCTCGCCGGCACTGTTGGAATGACACTGGCATCGGCCACTCTGAGTCCCCGCACCCCGTACACCCTACCACTTTGATCCACGACTCCGCCTCTATCACGCGCCGCCATTCTGCATGAACCACAGAAGTGGTATGTGGATGAGAGCTGTGAGAGGATCCAACCATCCAAAGCGTCATCATCGTCGACTGTGCGTCGTGTCAGGGTCAATGGCTCCTCCAGGACCCTCTGCATAGCCGGGGTTGTCATGACGCGGTACGCGCGTCTCACGACCTCCCTTGCAGCCTTACGATCGTGGTCCGTCTGCAAATAGTTAGGTGTAACGGCAGGATATTCGGTCGCGTTCCTCGATCGAATGGCCACCAATCCAGTGGAAGTAGGCTTGTTGACGTTGCATCCAATGCCGGCAACATGGCCGGTCGCAGTGCCTGCTAGACTTCGTGTCCCGTGAGCCGCCAAAGGAGGCACGAACAGATAGCTGAAGCACACCATCTGCAGATCGATCGCTCCGGGACGTTGAGAGGAGGACCAGCGTGTCTGCATCTGCAACGAATAATCGCCGTCTTGATACGTTCCAGCTCTCGGCCTGGCCACAACAGGTATGCACGGATGGTCGGACAGGTTCGTGCCGACAGGTAGGTCGCTGATGACCCCTAATTGAACAGCTTCTAACAAACGTGACGGACCAATGCCAGAACGTTGCAGTATGGCTGGCGAAAAGATTGCTCCAGCACAGATGATCACCTCCTGTGAGGCATGGAAGGCTTGGCCGCTTGCCAGAAGCACGCCGGAAGCCCTACGTCCTGAAAAGAAGACCTTGTCGACCTGTGAGTTTGGCAGGATTGTGAAGTTGGTCCAGTTGCGGATTGGATCGATGAACGTATTCGCCGCGCTGATACGACGGTAGCCTCGCCGGCACACTGGCGACGGGCCTGCTCCTTCTGCTCCCGTGGCGTTCAAATCTTGTATCAAGGGCATACCTGCTGCTACAGCTCCGTCCAGGAAGGCGCGCTGAATCTTGCCAGCCTCGGTCATAGACGCGCGCACAATAGGATGTGGGCCGTGGGTGCCTCGGAGTTGATCGTCCTCCAGGCTTTCGTACACCTGATACACGCTGTCGAAGTCCCACCTGTCGTTGCCCAGCTCGATCCATTCTTCCGAATCGGCTACTGTGCTCCGCAAAGCAGTCCCTCCATTGATGCTGCTACCTCCGCCAACTACCTTGGCTTGAGGTATTTGCATGGACTCGCCATGCGGCAAAGCGACATCAATGTTCCAGTCCAGGGCAGGGTCGAAGACTTCGGATTGTCCTCTCATAGGAACGCGCCGTGAATCTCGTACGCCCACAAGTGGCTCGCTTGCCTCAGGATCGCAATCCAGACCAGCCTCGAGGAGTAGCACATCGAAGCCTCTATTCTCTGCGATGCGGGCTGCAACGACGCAACCTGCGGATCCGGCACCAACAACGATGTGCGTATAGGTCTTGCTGTGCATGTTACCTGTAGACTTCGTGTTTGCTGCACAATGGATTGCTGCTCGGCTGACGACCTTGACGAAACTGGACCTCTTGGTAGACTGGTTAGAGGGAATTGGAATGAATGCGGTCCTCAGCGTACCTGTGCCATTGTGAAACTTGTACGATTGCAGACCTTCGTTCCGTCGGCTAAACGGCTGAGCGGCAAAGGCTAATTTGATTGTGTCGGGGTTCAGATCAGCCCCCGCAGAGTTCAGATCACGTGCAAAAGCCGGGGTTTTGGGGTGAACCCTCGCGGTAGAAAGGTAGAAGGGTAGAAACGTGCCACTGGTGGCGCTTTCGGTGTTGTAGCTGTGTACCATCTGGTATCCACGACTCCACAGACTTGATGATGGGTCCGAGTTATGATTCGATGCCAAGATTGACCCAAGAACGTCACAGATCCAGTTGGCCTTCCGTAGAGCTCCAGCTTTCTGCAAGTTGCATAAAATCCAAATTCCACGGCCACTCATCCATGATTTCGTTGGCCAACTTGGTGGGGAGGTTGCTTGATTGATCCCTCTGGCTGTTCATGTAGTCGTCAATTTGCGCCACTAGATCTCGGAGACGTTGTGCGCTTTTCGTTGCATGTATGCCATGTTCGAGGTTCTCCAGCAGCTGCGCCAAGGCAAGCAATACGACCCTGACTTGCTCGTAGGCATGCTCACTCATGGGTTCCTCAAACACACTTCCGAGGATGGAACCGATGCCAGCAAGGTGATGAAGCAAGGGCGAGCTTATGGCCCGAAGGTATGCAACTGGAATTTGCGTGAATGCGTCAATAACTTCGCTCGCAATCTTGCAACGATCCTCGATACTGCCGCCTCCTGAAGCAAACAACATCATACGCAGGAGCTGAACAGTAGCTGTAATGTTGGCGGCCTGGAAACCGAAGCGATCGCTGGTTGAGGCGTTAGCGCTGCCCTTAATGAGACTGCATCCCTACCTTGCCGGGTCACAAGTGAGTTGCGAAACCACTTTGAAGCAATATGGAAGATTGGTATACTGCTGCATGACAACATCTCGGACCGACGATATCGAAGTCGCAGATCTGTTGACGAACAACTCCATGGGAAACGATCCCTGATGCCTTTTGCGATTGCCAAAGCTGGCGATGACATGCTCCAAAACGCGGTACAGGTCCGTAGTAAAGTTCCATCCGCATAGCCAACTTGTGCTGGCAACTTGGCCTGGTCTGCTAGTTGGACTCTGTCGCAGGTCGACAAGTGGCCGCAATGTGCTACTGTAGCCTCGATCGCTGAAAAGCTCGTCATCGATCTCCGTGGTGTACGCAACATTGACCTGTTGTTCTCTAACTCGGGTCACGCTGTTCCATACGATCGATACATAGATCTCAAAGGTGTACATGGACCAGAACTTGATCTTTGTAAGCTTCCCAATGGAAGAACAGGAGGCATGCTTACCAGCCGTCTTCTCTCTTCAGTCTCGACTATTCCTATCCCAGTAGGCCAATTGGACTCGTCTTGCAGGCGGTCCATTGCAACGAGCGTGTGGTACCTTCCCAGAAACCTTTGCATGTCACGAATCTTGCCGCACTGCACAGCGGTGAGAGAAAGCAATGCACACGTTCGTAATAGGTCAAGGCTTTGGATGCTAGTCTCGGTAGTGACATCGACGCTAGCTTGTACAGCTGCTTCGTAGAATGTTTCACAGGGAACTTTGGTGAGCTCCTCCATGTCGTACGAGGTGTTGAACAGCGCCTGGTCTTGGACTCGAGCTGAGACTAGCGCGCAGAGAGCCATTGTGGTTGAGAACAAGTGTCGATCCGAGGTATACTCAGCACGGGCGATCCTGCGAAGGTACGTTGGCTGATGGAAGAATGGGAATATTGGATAGACCACCTCGAAATAGACCTCGGCCAGGCTCAGCACAACCGCCTGACTAGCAATGAGAGGCGCTGTCCATTGCAGACGTGACTGTGAATCGGTCTTGGCTCGCGAATTCCCTAACACGTTCGCTGGTGCGGAAGGTGAAATGGCCTGGGAGCCAGGCTTCACACCGCGCCTTTTGGCGGGCCGGGCGTAAGTGCATGGTTGGCTGAATTGTAAGCACTTGAGACATTGTGAGGCATTGCCATCGCGCAGGCACCGAATCGCGCGCCGATGACAGTAGTCGCATGCTCGCGTGATGCGTCTCGTTTTAGCTCCTGGTGCTGGTTGAGTCGATGACATTCCACTGCGAAAGATTGGTGACGCGCATTGAGCGTTGTGAAGTGCGCCTGACTATGCCAGCAGCTGTCGTACAGTCACTTGTCACTGACCTTACCTCAAAGAGCGATCGACGGTTTGAGCAACGTCTCAAGATCATTGGTGTGGCGTACATGCAACATAGACTCTGGTGGAGGTCAATTCGATCAGAGCTGTCACGTGATCTTTTTAGCCGAGGTGGCATACGTCCCTGACATCTACAGACTATGGTCACTACTGCGTGTACCTCTCGCGTCGGAGGGGCATGGCTTGCAGAACGCAGTCCTATTGCAGAGGCTGGACACCATCAGAATCGAAAAGCCGCCATTTAATGCATCATGAATGCTTCTCCTGTGGCTGAAACTATCTATCGTATCTGCCTCACCAATTGTTATCAAAGACCTCTCCGTTGACAAAATTTACCAATTCTGTCACGGGTTCTAGGTGATCGTGCCCTGCGCCAAACTGCATACCGTGCCTCATAACTTTCCGGTAGTTGTCTCCTGCGCTGACTTTGCCCAAGACGAATTGCTTATCACTCTCCACACGACTCGGTATCGGTATGCTCCTTCCCACAACAGCCTCCATCCCCTGCCAGGCGAATGTGATCGCCTCCTTCGCATCGGCTGGTATTCCCGCTTCATCCAGCATCACTATCCGCGTCTGTGGAAAGCATGATTGCATATATTTGGTGATATTGGGGTTCTTGGCCCCTCCGCCACACATGAAGATCTCTGCAAGGGGACCGTATTGTGTGGGCATATACCGGCGATAATGCTCAACAATGGCTTGTGCAGTGATCCGAGTTATTGTTGCTACGATGTCGTTTGCTGACAGCCCCTTCGCCTCGCCTCGGGCAATAAGATCGAGAGCTAATGTGTCCCTGAAAACCTCACGGCCTGTCGTTTTGGGAGGATCGAGCCTGAAGTACGCATGTGAAAGGAATTCGTCCACCAGGTCTTGATCGACGGCACCAGCTGCCCCCATCTCTCCATTCCTGTCGTACTCCCGAGTTCCATTGGTAAAGTAGCGTACCGCAGCATCGATGAACACATTGCCGGGTCCCGTATCGAAATCGAAGAATTCGCGGTTGAGATTGCCGTTCTGGTCGTCTGGAGGAATAAAGCAGACGTTCGCTATCCCGCCGATGTTTTGACACGCCCTCAGCTTGGTTGGATGATGGAGGACAAGAGCATCGAAGAAAGCTATTGAATGTGGTCAGTAAGCCTGCACAGGACGAACCGCTTTGAGGGGAGACTTACCAATCAAGGGCGCACCCTGTCGACCTGCAGCCTGATCCGAGACTCGGAAGTCGGTCACAGTAGTGATACCAGTTTCTGACGCGAGAAACGCACCCTCGGCCATCGTCAAGGCAGACTTTGTCTGTCCAGGTTCGGGCATACTAAGCAACCATATTGTTTGACCGTGTGAACCTATCGCATCAATCTCGTCCTTCGATATACCATGCTTTTGCATGAACTTGGTAGTTGCCGCGGCAAAGGTCTTGCCCAGCAGCACGTTAACTTCTGACAGCTCTTCTGGTGTGGTTTTGTTGTGCATGATCATATTCATGACCCTCTTTTTGATCTTTGGCTCCAGAGGAACTTCATCGTATGCCAAAAGGTCAAAGTGCATGGGTGCCGACGGAGATTCTTGCCTGAATCTGCAATACGCGCAATCGATTCCATCCATACTCGTACCGCTGTTTAGGCCAAGCACAGTGAGGTCTAGTCCACCTTTAGGCTGGCCGTTGCTGAGGCCGTTGGTAAGGCCGTTGGCGGTACCCTTGCCATTGCCATTGAGAGCGCCGTGGTTAGTGCCGTTGATACTGCCATTGACCGAACCATTGGTGTCTGTCTGTGTCATCTTGATGGCTGACCGTAACGAGCGCTTGAGAATCGGAGTGCAACACAGATGCGATGAACAGAATGTGGGCGAGTGGCTGTGAGACCAGGGACTGAGAAGTCTCTTACATGCTCAAATATAGGGCTTATGCCATTGTACGATCAGCAGAGGGCATTTGTTCCGCACTGTACGGCATTTGCAACCTGTGTACATCCCGAGTCTGAGAGTACGGGGCACTAGACATCCAGACCCCTTTGATGGAGGGCTGTTCTTCAGCCGTTTAGCCGTGCCGACAATTCAGCCGTGGTGAATTCAACCGTTATGTTCTCCACCCCCGCAAACTCTAGCACCACGGGGCGCAAATTACTGATGACCGGGTAGCTCCTTGACCAGCCGAGTGGACGGGCCAACAACAGCCTAGATCGGAATTGTGAGCAAAATGTGGGAAGGCAGTCTAGCGAAGTGTCGTCTATATATCCTCCCCTATCTCTGACAGGTCTCTTGTGAACTCTTCACGGCTCTCCACCTTTCTCACTTGGCTCAGCCCGGACATCTCTTGAGTTGGCCCTCAGCAACATCTCCCGGAACGAACAGTAACTATGGTATTCGAACCGTGGCGTGCCTTGCCTGGCAAAGGCGTTCTACTGCTCCTCAATGTCTTCAGCGCTGTTGCGCTCATCTACGAAGGCTACAACCAAGGTGTCTACGGCGCAGTATCAGGAACGCCCGGTTTCATTGCCATGTCCAACATCGGCTACGACAGCACAGTCACAGACTCCACTAAGCAGGGCGGTCTCGCAGCAGCATATTACTTTGGAGCCATGTTTGGTGCTTTCATCGGCGGCTGGTTCGGCGACAAGTATGGGCGAAAAAAGGGAGCCTTTCTTGGTGCCTTGTCGTCTCTCGTTGGATCTGCTCTGCAATGTGGTTCGGTCAATTCCAACATGTTCATCTGTGCCCGCGTCATCTCCGGTATTGGGATCGGCTTCGTCAATGTCCTTATTCCATCGTGGGTCTCAGAGCTATCTGAAGCCCATGACCGTGGCTCGACGTTCTCTCTTGTCTTTGTTTCCAACTTCTTGGGCATCTTCCTTGCCAATTGGATCAACTTCGGAATCCGGAACAGCAACATCAGCTTCCGCTGGCGCTTCCCGCTCGGCTTCATGTGCATTCCGATGCTCATTGTCTTGATCGCGATCTTCTTTGTCCCTGGTATGATACATTACTCCGTCCCGTGCAAACCGCAGCTAACATGCCCCAAGAATCCCCACGCTGGCTCATGGCCAATCACCGAAGAGCGGATGCCGTTGATATCTTGTGCAAGATCAGAGGCGACAAAGACGCCAGCGACCCCGCTGTCCGCAAGGAACTTGAACAGCTCGAGGCTATTGTAGAAGCATCCCACCACAAGCGCAACAATTATGTCAACATCACACTAGGTGGTCGATACTCAGGCAGTCTCCACCTTGGTCGACGTGCCGTGCTGGGTTTCGCACTTCAGCAAATTCAGCAGTGGACTGGCATTTTGGTTATGGTATCATGGGCAGCCAAGCTCTTCGAACTTGCCGGCTTTAGCCCGTACAAGGCATCCTGGATGTCTGGTCTACTGAACACCTTCGGTGTCATCGGCACGGCCGCAGCTTCACTGGTCATCGATCGACTCGGGCGCAGGATGTCACTTCAGATTTCGTTCGTGATCCAGGGCATATCGTTGTTCCTGGTAGCCGCACTCATCAAAACATCACAGGACCGCATCACATCCGATCCTGGCCAGTCACAAACTCTCGGTACCGCCGCTTCTGCGTTCACCTTCACCTTTGTCTTCTTCTTTTGCATGTTTAACATCGTACCCTGCTGGATTTACGGAACCGAGATCTGGCCTCAGGAGGTACGCGCCAAGGGATATTCATACACGATCCTAGGATGGGCTATCGGCTGTGGTACGACGACGTTTGTCATTCCAATCATGCTTGCTAATATTGGTTGGTGGTCGTTCATCTTCTTTGGCTGCATGAACTTTGTGGTGATGCCAATCATCCACTTCTTCTTCCCAGAAACTGCTCGAAGAAGTCTCGAAGAGGTTGATCTTCTCTTCGCGGACGACAGCCTTTTGGTCAGCAAGAACATGGCCGAGCATGACCGGCGTGTGGCCGAAGCTGGCGGCAATGTGGCTGTGGCCGCTAGAAGATTGCTTGATGAGGTCAACGGGGAGACTCATCTTGATCCGAGGAGAGTTTCAATTGGCGGTGGAGATGTTGAAGCCAAAGTAGCCTCTGATGTGGAACACTCGGAGGTTTCATCGAAAGATGAAAAGCCTGTTTATGTGAGAGAATGAACCCAATACCGGGGCGTGTCGGGCCTGAAGGCACTGGTGGATATTTACATGTATCATCATCCAATCCTGGGTCGTAGGTTACAATGGTAAATACGTCGTGATAAATCCTGTATTGAGTCTTCAAGATCGATACTAGAAAATCCCAATGAAAACGCTCTTTGCTCACAACAGATGTTATGGAGCAACTCCGTAAGACCTCATGATTTGCACCAACACATATGGATCCTAGGAGGAAGCAGTATATTAAGTCAGCACCGCTGGATGCTTCCACGAAGTTGCACCACCATCGACAAGCAAGTCCTGCCCCGTATACCATCCACTAGCACGGTCGGAACACAACCACAAGATCGCTCCCTGAAGCTCCTCGGGAAGACCGATCCGACCGAACAATGTCTCTTTCTCGAACTGGTTTACGAGGGTAGGCTGCGCCCGTTGCAACCCTCGCATCATGTCCGTCATCATATAGCCTGGGCTGAGGCTATTGACGCGAATGCCATATCTGGACAGCTCCATGGCCACAGGCTTCACCATTCCCCTGATTGCCGCCTTCGATGCAGTGTAGCACGAGATCTGCTGTGCGGAGCTGGCCATATATGTGGCGATGCTGGCGATGAAAACGATGCTGCCTGTTGTCGCCTGTGTTGCGGGTGCATCACCGTGCTCGACTTTGTAGCGGTCGACCATCGCGTTGCCACATGCTTGAGCGACGAAGAAAGACCCGTTGACGTTCACCGCGAAGGTCTTCTGGACGGTTTGTGTCGACGTCGTCAGAAAGGGTTCGTCGACCGCCACACCAGCCGCATTTATGTTGATGTCAATTCTGTGGAAGTCTCGAACGATGTGCGATACCGTCTTCGTGACGTCCTCCAGAGATGTCACGTCCGTCTTGTAGTATCTGGACACAATGCTATGCTTGGCCTGCAAATCGATCACTGCTAAAGGTGCCTCGGAATGGATGTCTAGTACCGCAATGTCGCAGCCTGCCGACGCCAAAGCCTCCGCGAAGGCGAACCCCAGGCCCTGAGCAGCTCCTGTTATTACTGCTACTTTCCCTCGCAGGTCGTACTATGTTTGTGTTAGATCACCTCCAATTGCGAGTCGGCCGCCGTACCAAATGCATCTTGTGTTCGATTCGGTTGGACACTGATTGTAGTAAACAAGATTGATCTGAGCTGCGTGAAAATGCCTGAATCCTCTCTGAAGACCCAGAGATCACGCAAGAACGAGAAGGAGTAGACTATTGAAGGCCTCGCCCAGCTGGCGACCCCTTCTTCATGCTAAGCGGGTTTCGTGCCCGCCCATGAGGCCAAGTCTCCTGCGGCATAATTTTGACTGTTGCTGCACTAATCGCAGCCATGACAAGCACACTGAGAAGCCGTAGAGATCGCACAAGTCGCACGAATAGAGAGTTTGGTGTTCGCAACACACAATGCCAAAACTCCACGTCGTCACGGGCCTCCTGAGTCACGCCGTGATTGGAGCGGATCACTGACATTCGGCTTAATGTTCTCGGGACCGTTCAGCCGTTCAGCGATTCTGCCGTCGCCGAAGGGACCGAGATATCGATTGGGCGCACAACAATGGGTGATGGTATCGTTCTTGACATGGGCGGTCATGTTACTTCTCCTTGGGGCTGGTTATTCGCAGTAGCTAGGTAATATGAGCAGCATTAGGTCCTTCTTGACCGACTCCCGACTCCCGGCTCAGACTACTGTGTCAAGACAGCACTCTCGCATTGTTCGTTATTCATTGCCCTCATCTACCACAAGTACAAATACAGCATCCTCACCAAACTATCAGGTACACAACTTTAGGCTCTGATCCTATCTCATGAGCAGACTGTGCGCCAGTACAAGATAGCTTGATCCAGTTTTCCGACCTTTGCTCCGGACTGGAAATCATCATGTCTACCAGATTGAACGGCAAACCTGTCTGTCGTTGGGCAGGTCTTTCACTATCCAGCATTGCTTCCACGTTCTTCCAAGATCTCCTTGGGCGCGAAAGTGCCCAGTACGAGCACAAGCTTGTGGCAATCAGCACAACAGGCTCCAAAGAGCGCGCGCAGAAATGGCTCGCGGAAAACAAAGTCCCTGATGCCGAATCTGTAGTTATTTATCACTCTTGGGAGACAATGCTGCAGCAAGGAGATTTTGACATCGTCTACATCTCCACGCCACATCCCCTGCACTATGAAGAAACACTGGCAGCTCTCACACACAAACGAAATGTGCTCGTCGAGAAACCTGCAACAATGACGGCTGCACAATACCGCAAGTGCATAGCACTAGCGGCACAGCAGCAAGTCGTTCTCATGGAAGCCATGTGGACACGGTACCTTCCTGCGACGCGGTACCTGCAGGAAGAGTTGTTGCCCCGGATCGGGAGCGTCAGACGGGTGTTCTCCGACTTTTCATTCCCCATCGTCGGTCCAGATCTCGCAGATGAGTCTAGATTCTTGGATAAGGCTGCTGGTGCCGGTTCGTTGCTTGACCAAGGGGTCTATGCCTTGACGTGGGCAGATATTGCACTCAATACGCTAAACGTGTCTGACACCAACGTCTTGCACGCACATACACACAACGTGCCACAGAGACCCGGAGAGGTTGACGATATCACCACCGTGGTCCTTGCCAGTACGGATGCAACTGCGATTGTGTCAACTAGCATGACGCTTCCAGGCTCGAGCAAGCCACCATTCTATGTACGACTCCAAGCGAGGAAGGCCGGGCCCGCAGTCAGGATCGAAGGCACGGAGGCGTCTGTTGCGATCCCGTTTCCGTCCATCCGCCCCGAGGAGTTCCATGTGCAGTGGTACGGGAACCAAGACGTGAACGAGGATGGGACCGAAAAGGATGAGATCATCCGAAAACCGGTGGATGGTTGGGGTATCTGGTATCAAGCCGATGTTATTGCCAACGCAGTATTTACCAGGAGACCACAAACTATCGGCGCCGAGGAGAGCTTGCGAGTACTTGAGTGGATGGACAAGTCGCGAGAACTAGCTGGAATAAAGTATGATGCCAAGCTGGAGCAGCTATGAAAGATGAGTGCATGGCTCGATAGCCGACGCTGTTGCTAGCGTTCTGGACGCAATTATACTACACAGCCTAAGTCGCCAAACAACGCACGAGCCTGTGCAAGTCCCAAATACTCTTTTCTAGCTTCTAATGCAGAGCCGGATACCCAGCTGATGTGAGGCCGTTAAGTCCGGGAGCACGTAACGCGGGTGGCCTACGGCCCCCACAAGAGGCAAAGTACAAAACCCCTGGGGTCTTATGGCCCCTCGAAGAACACTTTTTCAACTTCTCAATAATTTCACATACGTCGCCTGGATTATGGCGCCGTCCATTCGACGAGTCGCCGTTGCCGGAATTAATGGAACGCTCGGTCCCGCAGTGGTTCGGCATCTGATCGACGGCGGCTTTGAGCTCACAATTCTAACCCGAGACCGTACCAAGACTCTCGACAGCTGGGCATACAAAGCCGAGCCGAGCGTCGTCGAGGTCGACTATTCGTCGGTTGAGAAACTCGCGAGCGCTTTCCAAGGCCACGACGCCGTCGTCAGTCTGATCTCTCGGCTGGACGCTGACAGCTCCAACGCCATTGCGGATGCTGCCGCCAATGCTGGCGTGTATCGCCTTGTGCCGTCCTGCTTTGGTGTCAACCACCGCCTTCTGGATATTCAGGAGTTCCCAGTGCTCGCGCCGAAGGTCATCGTGGAACAGCACGTCGAGAAACTCGCCGCGGAGGGCAAAATCACCTTCACGGGGATCCAGACCGGAATCCTCTTCGATTGGGCTCTGAAGAAAGGCATTTCCGTCAATGCCGCGGGGACGACAACGGTCTTCAACGGTGGCGACTTCCCGCTTTCTGCAACGCTGCTCGATGATGCCGGCAAGGCTGTCGCAGCGGTTCTCAAGAATCCTGCTGAGTCGGAGAACAAATATTTCTTCATCCAAAGTGCGAGCATCACCCAGAACAAGTTGCTCCACATATTCAAGGAAGTAAGGCCAGACCTGGAACTTAAGCGCACAGAGGTCGATACCAAAGCATTGTATGACAAGTCGATGGAGGCGTACAAACAAGGCGCGCGGAGCCCAGACGCCTTGAGAGGCATGCTCGTTCACGCTTCCTCCGGACCGGGGATGGGACAGTTCAAGAATACCGACAATGCAGCAGTGGGAATCGTGGAGCTGACGGAGGAGCAGCTGAGAGAGGTGGCGAGGGAAGCTATCGATGAGGTGACAAAAAAGCAGGATTTCAAGCCTCTCCCAGTTTGATGCGGTGGCATCTACGAATCTACGTCTGCTGGTGCTGACTCAGCGCGAAGGAGGCCATGATCTACACAGCAATGCCAGATAGATGCTGGCTACCAATGAAATGTTCTCCGTCACTATCATTCGGTAGAGAGACACTCTGCTTCGACTTATCCAGTGAAGGAATCTGCTTTAAAGCTGCCTTGGGTCTCTCTTTCTCGCGCGGCCCCCACCATTGCATTTCACTCTTCACCGTAACCCTGCTACTAGACTCTACAGCCAACCCCATTCACGCGCCAGTCTCCACCCCTCCTCCTCCATGAGCCTCTGCTCCCTCCGCTGCAGCGACCGATCCTGCATATACCGCAAGCGATCCACCCTGGGGTTGATGTGCCACGGCACCCAGACTTCCAGACAAGAACCACATTCCCTTTCCCCTCCCAGACGCATCGGGAGCATCGCCGGCGGCAGTCCGTCTTCGTGGCACGCCAGACCCACCAAGCCGGGTCTCGAGATTCCATGGTGGCAGCCTGTGGTACCCCGCGGGATAGGGATGCCTCGAGAGGAAGAAAATGTTGAATGCCGCGTCTCGGGCGGGGAGTTGGATCGCCGTCGCCTCGCTAGGTCCCTGGCTTCGAGGATGGCGTCGGCGTCGAGAAAATCATCCTCGAGGAGGAGGGCATCGGAGTCTGCTGCTTGGTCTGATGGATTTCGTCCGTCGCTATGGTTTCGGTTTCTGTCGTTGGCTATCATCCGCCGCTCTTCTCTGGACTTTCGGCGGCAGAACCAGTCCCAGAACGTGCGAGGCCGGGCTTGATTCGTCTGAGGCGCTGCTGGCTGCTGTTGGGGTTCCGGCGGCTCACATTCTGGCGAGGTCACGGGCGTTGGTGACTGCGGTGCAGAGTCAGATCTTATGGTTGAGCAAGAGCTATCGCTTTCCATAGGCTCTGGGGCCTCGAAAATGGTCACTTCCTCGGTGGTTGAAGCTGGGAGTCCTCGGTGCTCGCCTACGACTTGGTCCGCAGCCCTTTCTTCCGTGTCGTCGTACCGATCGCCTGGTCGACTGCCGTCTGCAAAGTGCACTTGGCGAGGCATCTTGAGGATTCTCCTTGGTGGTAAACTAGTAGAGTGTGGGACCTTTTTACAAAGTAAATGCTTCGTTGTATCGATGCAATCTGTAGAGGAAGCGCATGGGCGGCAATCCTGGCGACCCGGATAGCTGGGACATTTTTATAGACTGGCTGATTAGGTTGTGTTGATATGATGAGGTACTCAGAGGTACTCAGTACCGCGGCCGCAAAACGTTGACGGCGAGTACCTCGCTGGCGACCCATGGTACTGGGCCAGGCTGATACTTCGGCTGATGCCAAGAGGCAGTGAAATTTGGTTCAGAGTGGAGCCGTGTGGCAAGGCAACACAACACGGTACCGGACAGCAGACTCACAGCCGCCCAGCGATTTCACATCTGTAGGGCCGGCATCAAAACGTGTGACCTACGCGTTGATTAGCACTGGTTTCTGACAAGGTCTCGCCCGCGGAGGTGTCTCATCAAACAGCACGGATTTGCCTCACGCCGTTTACGCCGCGCCGTCCCATTTTGGACATTGCGAGACGTCTGAAACCTAGAAGACGAATCGATCAGCAACACCACACAAAGCACCGCAAAGTAAGTACACTGCCAACGGCCTGCTGACTATACGAAGGAAGCATCAAAGTACTACACGGCAACAAATATATCGCCAGGAGATACTTGACAAAATTGGTCGTGTATCGAGCGGCTATCGGACTTCTCCCCCCGCACGAGGCTGGCTGCACGGATATCGGCAATAAACTAATAAACTAAGGCGATGAGCAAGCGCGCATTCTTGGAGTCTTCTATATCTCCCTTCCTCCAGGCTAGAAAATGGCCAGGTCTCCGTATATCAAGCGGGCAACCATTCCATGAGCTCAGCGACAGTATCTGCGCGAACTAGTCGGAGTAGAGGTTGTATCTACTGTTGGGACCAAAACACCCTCCCATCCATTTTAGTTGGAGAAACCAAAGCTTCAAGCGTCGCCAGTGGCTCCGACGACCGCCTCTCCGGGCGAAATGGTCACAGAGCTCCATGCCGCCACCATAGCGCCAGTGAGCTCTTCCATGCCCACAGACCACGATGCACAGGATGGTGTTGAAAAGGAAGAGCCCCCCAGCCTTGATGACTCCTCCACAGAAGCAGCTGGTTGCCCTCCCGCAGAAGACAAAGCCATCCCACCTCCAGACGTTGGCTTTCGGGCATACCTGCAGATCCTCGGTGGCTTCTTTCTCATGTTCAACACCTGGGGCATTGTCCTAACTTACGGAACATTCCAGTCCTACGTAAGCGCCAGATTGCCCCCTTTTTGCACACAACGCCTCCGGCTGTCCGCTCCGCTGACCACCATCCCACCTTAGTACGAGTCCTCACCCGCCTCCCCCTTGCACGCCTCCCCCTCGACCACCGCCTGGATCGGCAGTCTGCAAGCTTTCCTGCTGCTGTTCGGCGGCGGCCTGTGCGGCCGTCTCTTCGACGCCGGCTACCTGCGCTCCCTCATCTGCTGTGGCACCTCCCTCATGGTCTTCGGCCTCATGATGGCCAGCCTCGCGCGCACCTACTGGCACGCCCTGCTCAGCCAGGGCCTCTGCGTCGGCCTGGGCATGGGCTGTCTGCTCGTACCCAGCGTGGGCACGGCGAGTACGTGGTTCGTGCGCCGGCGCGGCCTGGCGGTCGGGATCGTCACGAGCGGGAGCGCGGTGGGCGGTGTGGTGCTGCCCATCATGTGCCAGCGGCTGTTGCTGCGGGTGGGATTTGGCTGGACATTGCGGGTGCTGGGGTTCGTGGCGCTGGGGACATTGAGTGTGAGTGCGATAGTGATGAAACAGCGCTTGCCGCCCCGAAGGCGCGGCGAGGTGTTTGCGTTTCGGGCGCTGGGCGAGGCGCCATTCGCCCTGTACTGTGCGGGCATGTTGGTGTCGATGCTGGGATTTTATGTGTTTTTGCAATTTGTGCAGAGTGTAAGTTCTCAATTTGCTGGCGGGTGTGGTTGTGCCGATGACGGTGATGGAAGGTATATGCTGACCAGGCCGAAGTGGGCGGAGACCACTCAGGTGTCCTCATTCTCCCCGATCTATTACCTTCCCATCGTCAACGCCGCGTCTGTGTTTGGCCGAACGCTGCCGAACCTACTGTCCGACCACGTCGGTCCCCTGAATGTGCAGATACCATGTGGACTGGTCTCGGCAGTCCTCATATATGGATGGCTGGGCGTCCACTCACTCGGCTCTCTACTCACCATCGCCGTACTCTATGGCTTCTTCTCGGGTGGCCTTCTGGCCTTACCACCGGCCTCGGTAGCAAGCCTAACGCCGGACCTTAGTCATTTCGGTGCGCGAATGGGTAAGGACTACATTCGAGTTGAAACATAGGAACACCTCGCTGACCACAACTATAGTAAGCATATTGCAGCAACAATACCTATCTCACCTTATTCCAGCAGGATCTCTAGCCATCCGTTTTGAGCTCAAACTGACAGATTTCCTTCCTATTCTAGGGGCTCTGTTTTGTCAGTATGGCGATCGGGAGCTTGATCGGCACCCCCGTAACAGGCGCTATTGTCGGGGCGCGGGGCTCTGGAGCCAACTGGACAGGCGGCATGATCTGGAGCGCCACTACCATCTTTGTAGGATTTTTGCTGATGGCCGGGACCAGAGTGGCGGTCACTAGAAGAGAGGGTAGGTGGTGGATGAAGATCTAGTTGCAACAGAGGGGCACAGTGCCATCCAGGATATACTGTATAGTCTGATGTTGCCATCTCGACTGTCGATGGTGTGATCAGGCAGTTCAAAGATGCAGCCTCATGGCGTCTCCAACAAGGCTTGAATTTCACGCCTAACCGGACCGCCCATGCTAGCCGGATAGGGGTGATAGGGGTCGGAGAGCTCTCACTGCAGCAGTGGGGAAGTGCCGAGGCAACAACCCGACTTTCTATGCCTCTGTTCGAGGTAACGTAGAACTTTTACAAATCAGGCTCCTGGGACTTTTCCCTTCCTGCATATTCAAGATCATACCCGGTTGATAAGAGACTGATAGTCAGCTTATTGGGTTACACCCTCTATAGACCATTGTCCCATTCCAGTATCTCAGCCGCGCTGCAAAGAGCGTTCGAATTTATAAGCCATCGTTTCTGGGCGTTCGAGCACGTTGGGGAAACTGCTTTATCTAAGCCCAACGAGCCCGCTTACGCCAGCGGCCGAAGCCTGCCGACCATACAACGCACTATCCACAAGAACCACATCGTATTAATCGAGTGCCTACGCCGTCAAACCACTCCAGAGCTCGTTCAACCATGGCACCGCCCATCTGCCCCCTCAATGCCCCCAGCCCCGAAGCCCCCTACTTCACGCCCGCCCACCTCACCTCACCCGGCACGCCCACAACCCTCACATCCCAGACGCCCACGCTCTTCACCCCGCTGACCATCCGCGCGACCACGCTGCGCAACCGCATCCTCGTGGCGCCCATGTGCCAGTACAGCACCGCGCCAACAGGCCCGCTCGCCGGCGCGCTCACCGACTACCACGTCGCGACGCTCGGCCACTACGCGCTCAAAGGCGCCTCGCTGACCTTCATCGAAGCCACGGGCGTGCAGGCTCGCGGGCGCATCAGCCCGAACTGCCCGGGCCTGTGGACGGACGCGCAGATCCCCGGCGTGAAGCGCGTGGCGGACTTTGTGCGCAGCCAGGGCGGCGTCGTGGGCGTGCAGCTGGCGCATGCGGGGCGCAAGGCCAGTGTGGTGGCGCCGTGGGTGGCGGCGGAGTATCGGAAGCGGAAGGGGTGGGGGCCGGGGAGCGTCAGGGCGTCGGAGGAGGTGGGTGGGTGGCCTGCGGATGTGGTGGGGCCGATGGGTGGGGAGGCCGAGGCGTGGGATGGCTTGGGCGGGAGTGAGGAGGGGGGGTATTGTGTGCCGAGAGCATTGACTGAAGGGGAGATTGCGGAATTGGTCCTGGACTGGGGACGGGCGGCGAAGAGGGCGGTGGAGGCTGGCATCCAAGTCGTGGAGATTCACGCCGCGCATGGGTACCTGCTGCATCAGTTTCTGAGCCCTGTCACGAATCGCAGGACGGACGGGTACGGGGGTTCTTTCGAGGGGAGGATAAGGCTGCTCAAGGAGGTGGTGCTGGAGGTCAGGAGAAATATTCCGGTGGACATGCCGCTGTTTCTGAGGGTGAGCAGTACGGAATGGTTAGAGGGCACGGAGGTGGAGCGGACGGTTGGGAGTGGGAAGAGCTGGAATGTGGAAGACACGTTGCGGCTGGCGGCGATGCTGCCAGACTGGGGAGTCGATCTGTTGGACGTGAGTTCCGGAGGGAACCACAAGGAGCAGTTGGTGGACATGTTCAAGAGCAAGGACTATCAGGTCAAGATTGCAGACCGGATCAGAAAGGAGATGAAGCGACAGGGCAAGAGCCTCTTGATTGGAGCTGTGGGACTGATCACCGAGGCCGAGCAGGCGAAAGGCATTGTTGAGCTGAATGCCGATACCAATGGCGCGAGCTCCGGGGATGCAAGCATTGGCGACGAAGCAAAGGCTGCGGTCAGCATGACGGAGAAGGGCTCGGGTGGGAAGGAGCCGATGGCGGACGTGATTCTGGTTGCTCGGCAGTTCATGCGCGAGCCAGAGTGGGTGCTGAGAGTGGCCTGGCAACTTGGTGTCGACATCGCGTGGCCTAACCAGTTTCTGAGAGTCCGATTCCCGAAACTGTAACTGCATGTTGAGCTAGGAGCACTTCATGACATAGAATAGACAAAGAGTAGAATAGAAGGTTCAAATGATTTCTTATTGCCATTATCCTGCATGGCGGTCAGGGCGTGGTGTCCAGGCGCCAGCAGTCGAAGACCTTCAATGGACGTCTTTGCGAAAGCCAGTAATATCATCATTCCGATTTCGGGGATGTCGTCGCCGCGACAGCAATTTGTTTATACCAATAGCCAAAGAGAGCCTCGTAGATTGGGCGTAGAAGGATGCCGAACTCCGGACAGGGCAGACGATCATATGAAAGGACGTGCGCGGAACCAGAAGGGCTCAGTCAGTTGCCTAGCTTGAGGAATTGGGATTTGGCCTCCACATCCACCACGGAGTCGTCAACAGAACCGCGAGGAGTAGCAGAAGATTCGTTGGTGGTGGTAGAGCTGGACCGTCGGTTTTTCTCAGTGACAGGAATTTCAATGGGCTGAGCAGCACCTTCGACGACTACTGCCTTCACACCAGCGTGGTGAGTCGGGGCGAGCGAGAGATACTGAGCAACGGGGGCCATTGTGATGGATTTGAGCTGAATGTGGGTTGCTTGAGGAGGTTGAGGAAATGTTAGCGGTGATGAGATGTGTTGAGAGTAAAGCCAGTCTTATATAGCCCACAAGGTAGATGGGTTGGACAGGCGACAAGCTTGGACCAAGACGCGGATCTGCAAAGGCCGAAATGCGACGGGGTTTCGAACAGGCTGAGGATTAGCGTTGAGTTGACGTGGGTGTGTGGCGCGAGTGTCGACGTGTGATTGAGGGATTAGTGACCACGTGCTGAAGTAAGCGCGGCTGGAATGGATAAGAGCTGTGCGGTGAGCGTGGGATGATGGAGTTGGACAAGAGAATGAACAAAATAATTGGAACTTTCTGAATCGCATGTGAAGCAGCGTATGTTGCGATGTATATATGCCACAGCTTACCTTGGGGGAATGAGAGTCTCGGCTTGGAGATCATCGAAACAAAGTCGGGTGCTTAGTTGAACGACAGAATCGTCACACTACTGGACGATTCCTCGTTGTTGACGGGTGCGGCCGGGCCCAATGTGCGATAGCGCAAAGGTTCGAGAAGTGCAATCGAGCAACTATGTCTGCCATGGTTGGCTCTGTAGCCTTGGGGGAAGGGAAGAATTCTGGCGTCGGGGGGGGCACCTCGGCAAGCCACGATGGTCTGAACCGCTTCCAGCCGCATCAGGTCTGCTGACCCCACCATTGTGCCTCGGACGGTGCGCTGTCAAGATACGTCGCCGTGTGGACTGACACGCAGATAGTGTCTCTCGATGGAGACAGGCATCCCACGGGCAGCTATCTCTGGCGGGTTGCCCGCGATACGAAACATTCCAGGTTGTCGGAAAATCCATGCTAGCAAAGGCCTGCTCCCCAGGGAACGTTGCCCTGTGACCGGACTGGAAACCATGAAGAGGAGGCACGGAGAACATGTTGTTGGCTGGAACTGGGCGATGACGACAGACACAGGCGTCTGAGCTCTGGACGTCAGGCCCGGACAGATTTCCTGATGGCAGCAATTTGAAACGCGTTGTGATCCTCGGTCCAGCGGCTTCGGCCGGAAAGCTCGTGACGCAGCTCAGCGAAACGAAAAGGAGGCCCGACAAGATGTCGCCATCTCCAGCAGGGTGCATGCCATGATGCGAAACGTTGCTCAGTTCTCCAACGCACGGATAGGGGACAGCAGTGATAAGGATGGAGCGATGCAACAGAGATTTGATGGATCTGGTGGATTTTATGAGCCTGCTGCTGCTCTGACCGCACTAGTCTTCTTTAGTCCTGCTCTTGGCGCCGGTGTCGGCGCGCTGCTCCGCTGAGTGTTGCTAGCAGCGCTCAATTGAGGTTGTTCCATGCTGCAAAGGGCGCACTTCTAGGCAGTCAGTCACATCAGCGGCCCTTGTTCGATCCCGGGGCATGGGAAAGCGGTGCTGACATACCAGTCCAGGTGCGTTCCGGCGCTCGCTGATGGGATTTGTTAGGTTGGTCTTCAGAGCTTGTGATTGGTCAGATTCCTGGTGGGCCTCAAGGACGTAGAGAGGCGGTTCTCATCCATCACCCTGCTCGCAACTCGTAGAATTACTCCGGTGCACTTGTTGACAATTCAACCTCTTTGTCTTTCACTGACGCCGGAGATGTCGGTAGATATCTCGTGGGACACCATCACTCAAGGTCCTGACGGCGAAGCTCGCGCAGAGAAAATACGAGAGTTTATCCACGACAGGTTCCAGCAAGTCCCGTTGCCTCGTTTCATCAAGTCTGTTCAGGTGCACTCGTTTAGCTTTGGTTCAGCTTGCCCAGAGGTCGAGATCAAAGACATAAGTGATCCGCTGCCTGATTTCTACGAAGATGACGACGAGAATGACGATGAGAGTGACGATGGTGTCACCGACAGCACCAGAGATCAGCAGTCAACAGCGGCCTGGTCGAATGCGCGTCCACCACCCACAGACCCATTATCCTCCAATGCTGCTCGAGGAGAGCCACATCATTCTCGTTTCATCAATGAAGCTGGATTTTCAGGTATCCCACGCAGTGGTACCCCGGGCATCCCTGGAGGTACTTCCAACTTCAATTACTTCCACATGCCGATTGGAGGCTTGTCTGGAGCACAGACACCATTGGCAGCTGTTGCTAGCGGTACTCCCTTTTCACCTGTGGGCTGGCATATGGACCGCCCTCATACTCCCCTGCATGGCCATGGCCACGGCATAGAAACCAACGAACCATCTACGAGACCATCTACCGCTACGACGCTGCTGACATCGCCCGACCTTGCAAGCATCAACGCGGGACCCGCCGACCACCTACATCATCAGGGATACTCACAGGCACAGAAAGTCTCAGATGATCCCTCCCTCGATTTTGACACCCCTGTGCGGCCTCCCCAGCTCCCCGCACCCCAGCCTTCCGACATGCAGGTCGTTGCACGCGTCAACTACTCTGGAGATGTCCGCATGATGCTCACTGCAGAGATCTTGTTAGACTACCCTATGCCGAGCTTTGTGGGCATTCCTCTGAAGCTGTCCATTACCGGCATGACCTTCGATGGGGTTGCAATACTAGCATATATCAGAAAGCGCATGCACTTCTGCTTCTTGGACCCCGAGGATGCAGATACTTTGGTCGGTGACCATTTCACACAGGACGCCCCATCACACGACACCTCAGACCGCAACCGGGCCAAATCTAAAACTACAGTGCCTAACATTGGGCTGCTCAAGGAGATCCACATCGAGAGTGAAATTGGGCGCCAAGAGAGCGGGAAACAGGTCCTTAAAAACGTTGGCAAAGTGGAAAAATTCGTACTGGAACAGATCCGCCGCATCTTCGAAGAGGAATTCGTCTTTCCTAGCTTCTGGACTTTCCTTGTATGAGGGACGTCTCACATTTCCGCGCCTTAACGTCGAGTCATTGTCCCGGCCTTATTCGTCCATGAGACCGCGCAAGAATGCAACCTCTGTGAAATAACATCATCTGTGCGGCTCAGGTGGCCGTGTGGTTGACGTTTGATCAAGGTCCTGGCCCCAGTCACCAGATCTGCCCGGATCGTCTTCAAGGTCAGCCGGTTTCTATCCCTGTCAGGCACACAGCCAATCAGGACTCGCACTGCCATCCGGCAGCTTGGTCTGGCATCTTCGGGTGCCACGTTGCACACCAGCAGCCATACGCGGGCTCTGGCAGTAATTCCTCGTGTATGAAGTTCCTTGCTCCAGCTTGCTTCGGCACAGACCGTTGTTCTGATGCATCATTGGTCTGCCCGAGGCCGGTTACCATGTTTCATCAACTCTTTGACGTACATGCTGGATTTGACCGCCAGGTGACGTCGCCCGCTCGTCGATCATTCGCCAGCTTGGAAGTCAAGTGCGAATCCACATGGGCCCATCAACCCGAGACCACATGCTGAGAAGAGGTGCTGCTCGGATCATAAGTAGGCCGATTTTCTTCCATTATTGGGTTTGGAGCTCCTGTGCTACCACATTGCGGCCAACTGCATTCTCTCATCATGCGCAGATTCCGGAGTATCTTTGAGAAGAAGCGGCCGGATGGCCAACAGCCGCTTCAGCAGCATCAGCAGCCACCTGCCTCGGACGGGTCGCAATCACCCGCTGCTCCACCTCCTACAGGAGACGACAATTTTGCTGTCCAAGCAGTCTCGGGCACCCTCAGCATCGCGCTGGTCAATCAGTTTGCCGCCGGCACTACCGTTTACGCCACCGTCAGCGGTCGGGCGATCGACAACAACAATGCGTTGTTCTTGCTCGGTGCGGATGGCAGGACGCCATACTATCCGCCTAGCCCAGGGTCAACGATGTCGCCAGTCTCTCAAAATACAGCCATCCGCCTCGGCGGCACCGGCAGTACGACGAATCTAACAGTGCCGCACATCGCTGGAGGACGAATCTATTTCTCGCTCGGTCAGCCGCTCAAGTTCTTTATCAATCCTGGCCCGGCTCTGGTTGAGCCCTCCGTGTCTAATCCGTCCGACCCCAACGTCAACCTGGATTGGGGCTTTTGTGAGTTCACCTTTAACTCCGACCAACTCTACGCCAACATCTCCTATGTCGACTTTGTCTCCGACATTCCCGTCGCCCTCACCCTCACCACCATCAACTCCGGCACCCGAACCGTCCGAGGCCTCAAACCCAACGGACTCAACAACATCGCTTCCGCGCTCCGTGCCCAGCACGCCGCGGACGGTAAGCCGTGGGACCAACTCATCGTGACCCATCAGAACCGCAACCTGCGCGTCCTATCGCCCAATCTCGGGCGCGTGGGCAACAACTCCCTCTTCAACGGCTACTTCGAGCCCTACGTCGACCAAGTCTGGTCCCGCTTCGCCACCCAGCCCATGCACATCGACACACAAGCGCAATGGGGCGTCGTCTCAGCCACCACGACCCACAACGGCACCGCCCTCTCCTTCACCACGCAGCGCAGCCCCTCCGATGGCGGCCAGCAGAAGCCCATCACCTCGCCCTCAGTTTTCACCAAGCCCTCCACCGCCGACATCTTCAGCTGCAGCACGGGGCCCTTCGCCACGGGCGCCAACGCGCTCACCAACGCCATCATCCCCCGTCTGTCCGCGGCGTTCAATCGCTCGACCTTGCTCAAGACCGACGCGTTCCCCGCCAGCCAGAGCTTGTTCTACCAGGAGGCCGTGACGAACCACTACAGTCGCGTGGTGCACGAGAATAACTACGACGGCAAAGGCTATGCTTTTCCGTACGACGACGTGCAGCCGTCGGGTGGGGCGGATCAGAGTGGTGAGGTCCATGCTGGGGATCCGAAGGTGTGGACTGTCACGGTTGGCGGGGGCTAGTTAGATAAAGCTTGGGATGGGAGGTCCCCCCCGTGCTCGAGGCTGGCCGGCCGAGCGAGGATGCTTGCTTGACGACGATAATGACCATGATGATGTATACGGACTTGGGCGGTGGTTAATATATAAATGGTTCCACATGCATGATTGCTTTTTCTACCGGACAGAGAATGTACTAACCCATCCAACCCCCCTCAGTACTCTCTCCTGCAGTATATGGATATAGCGCCAACCTGTGCCACGTGTCCTTCTCATTTTCAAGCACCCGTCTACTGTAGCCCGAGTCGTCGACGGCCAACATGTAGCCTGGCCGACCACCAAATTTCATCCTCTCTGTGAGAGCAGAGCAGATGAAGAAAGAACCCTATCACGATGCAGGCACCTGGTAACAGCAGCAATGTCAATGTCGAGGTTCGATCTTAAACATTCGATACTCGACATCATCATCACCCTATCCCACCATCGTTACGGTACGTAATATATACAACAAAAGTGCGTGCGCTCGCTCTCTACTGGCATGGCAGAGCAGAGCGCTTTCAAGTCCCGTTCGAGGTAGATATCCTGCGGCAGTCAAACCTCCCCCTCCCCCTGGCCGCCCATCGCCTTAATGCATCGGAGGTGCTAAGAGACTCCTGCTCAGATGTCGTAGCTCGAAACCTCCATCCATCGTCATGAGCTGTGTAATAAGGTCGTCTCTCTCTCTCTCTTCTTGACCAAGCGGGCATCCGACCTTTTGAGACAATTCTGTGCCTCATATTTTCATCTCGATGACGAGCCACTGGACGCGTCGTTCCTCTGCTCGGAACCGAAGAAACCTGCTCTTTCCAACGCACAAAAGTACCGTTCATCAACTTGTTTCCATCCCAGGCGGGCCAGGCGGGGGTACCTCTTTATCGTTCTCAACAGGGGGCTAAATCCCAATCATATATCCAACCCACAGATTCATATCTCATCATGTTTCTTTCCCTCGTCGACAGGCAGGCCAAGAATAACAATAAAACCCGCAACCTCCCAAATCTCGCCGTGTCTGCCCTACTCCCGCCCTCTACTCCTCCCTCTTTCACTCATTGCCTCCCCCTCCACCGGCCCCTCCGCCGCCTTCAACGCTTCCTCGACATAAAACCCCCACACAAAGCGATACAGATCCTTGAGCCAGCCGAACCCATACACCCCCTCCGTCATAGCTTTAACCGCCAGCGCCGTCTCCAGCGCTCCGGCCTTGCCACTACCCTCTTTGGCCAACACGGCTCTGACTCCCGGCGCCAGGCTCCGGAATCCGGCCGCGTCCTCCGCCACGGCTTTGCGGTAGTTGTCTAGCAGGTTGACCTGCCAGACCTGTGTGCCGAAGGCCGTGTCGGGCAGGCTGCGCACAAAGAGTGGGAGCGATGAGAGCGCGGGGTCTCCGGACGTGACGGGATCGCCGGTGAAGCCCCGGTCGGTGAAGAGTGCGGCGCGGTAGAAGAGTGCTTTGAGGAGAAGGAGGGTGGGATCTTCGCCGTGATGGTGAGCATTGGCGTGGCCATGGTGTGCGGGCTTGGTGATGGACGAGCGCACGACACGATGGCCTTGATTTGGTCCGTTGTGGCTCCCGTTGCCGTTGCCATTCCCTGCACCAGCAGGGACGCTGTGTACACTCGCGGCTGTGTTGGCAGCTTGTTGCTGGTGTTGCTGGTGTTGCTGCTGCTGATGCGTGCCTCGCGTGACAGTGCTTGCGCTGCCGGTAGCCGCTGACGTTGGACCACGACCCTCGCTCATGGCTGAGATGGAAGATGCGCTACCCCAGAACCGACGCTGCGTACCTGGGTGCGCACTCATTGGCATAGGCGTCACCCCTGCGTGAGTGGCATTTACACCCGGAGGCATATGTACGATCTGCGCGATTGGCTGCCCGGGCACATGCCGGATGGCCATTTGCTCAGCAACGTTCGGTGCAGGCGTACTATTGGTGCTGCGCAGTGCCATCTCACTTGGTGCATCGGCGCCGAGCACCAGGATGTTGGGTTGGGGCGGAGGGTCGTCTGGCGAGATGACATTGACGGTGCCAGTGTCTTCAAAAATAGTGGTCGGCGTCTCTGGCAAACCCAGTAGTGCAGTATTAGCGAGTGGGTTCCCGTTCTCATCAACACCCATGCCGAAGCCCGCGCGCTTGGCCTGTTGATATGCCTGTGTGAAGGTCGTTTGGCTGGGCCGCGGCGTGCCGCGCTCCGGTCGGATTTGTGTCCAGCCCTCACGAAACAGATCACATAGCTCCCAACAAGCCTGGACCGCAGAGCCTAATAGCTCCTCATCGGGTCGTCGGCCCTCTCTTGCATTCTGCCGCAAGGAGAAGAGCATTTCTGCCAGAGACCAACAGGCGCGAAGCAAGGAGTCGGTCTCCTCCTGCATGCGGGCTTTCTGCTTCATCAGACGGTGGCAAAGAGTAATGTAGAAGTCGAGGGTGCGCTCACGGAAAGCTTCGGGAAGAGATCGGTCGTGTGTATTGAACAGATGATTGTTCAGTTCAAAGGAAACACGGAGCACCGAGTCTGCGGTCTCGTTGTCGCGGGCACGAGCATCGAAGAGGCAGGCACAGAAGTCGCGGCAAAGATCGAGAGTGGGTCGGCTGGGGGCGGTGTATGCGTGTGGAGAGGGCGAGGTAGTTGGGTAAACGGAGTCATAGAGGTTCTGGCACAGCTTCCAGCACGACTTCCAGGCTTGTTGTTGGTGATGGTGCATCGAATTGTTATTGTTGGATCCCGTACTGGGTGTGGGAAAGGCAAAGATTCGCTCACGGTGGATGTAGCTGAGTGAGGCAAGCGTATTGCACAGTGTCCAGCACTCAGAAAGAGCGGTTCGCAGGGCGGCAATTTCATCTTCGGTGCTGCGAAAGAAGGCCCCAGCCCGGCGCGAGACGGAAGACTCGTCGTTGGAGGATTCGTTGGGATAGTCGGTGGCAACATCATCGCCTTCGAGGATAGAGGCTAGGGAGGAGGGCGGTCTAGACAGTGCTCCAAGGTCGGAGCGGGTCTGTGCTCGAGGTGTAGAAGACCAGTCTTGGGTGATTGGAAGAGTGGTTTGCAGAGGGGTTGGAGGAAGAGGCAAGTCATCCCGCCGAGTCGGAAAGTTGCTCTGCGCCATGGTGACGGTGCTGTCGGAGCGCACAGAGTGACCCGAGTCCGCTCTTGAGCGCTCGAGGTCGGGTCGTTGCACCTGTCCAGCCATACTGGATTCCCGAGACTGGGTCTCGGTTTCTGGCTCGGACTCTTCGTCGTGTTTAGGATTCGGCTGGAAGTTGTTAAGAGTGACCAAGGAGGAAGGGAAAGCGACATACGAACTGGCCGAAGCCGGAGGGGATGTGGATGACCGATTGAGGCTCCGCTTCTTCACTCGCCGTGGCATTGAATGATAATACGGGACTGGTGTTGACCTCAGGCAAGGTTAGTACGTCAGGCCGAGCCAGGTGGAGCAGGATGAATACCTTCAGATTCGGACTTCGCATACGACTCAGCGGGGACTGGTGAGATCTAAGGTCTTCGATCTCGCGGGCTGCACTCTCGGCCTTGATTGGGGCTGCATCCGGCTCCCTTTCGTCGACCGCCTCCTCTGTGTCTGCGAATTCAGTCCCCACGTCGGATGAGATGGGTGATGGGGCAACACTGGGGGTCGAGGGAGACTTGACGTCCTTGGGGTCCGGCGCGGGCGCCTTGAGTGTGCTGTTTGCGACCGACCTGTGGTTGGTTGTCAGTCAATGGGAAGGCCGCGTAAGGTTGAATTGGTGTTGACCGAGTTGACCTACATCATGGTTGGGGCGGCTGTCGCGCTTGAGGGCTTCGGGGAGCCAAATCGCTCGGAGAAAGGTGAGAATGCGGAGACCAGCGAGGTGGATGCACTCAATGGCGCGCGGACAGCGGCCATAGTGGTGCGTGGCGACCGGCTCTGCGATCAGGCAGTGAGTCGGCAGTGCAAGACAGAGCAGTGCCACATGCAGTCTTGGTAGAGTGCCGCTCGAAAGATTGGAGGTCTGTACTGTTTATCTCTGCAAGGCAGATTGCGCGCGACTGGGAGAGGACGCTAGAGGTTGGTTGTGCTTGCGGTCAAGAGTGGTCACTGCAGCGGTCGTGATTCTGGCCTGGTGGGGGAAAAGATGGCGGCACTTCCAGGTCAACTCGAAGAGCCCGCGCAACGGGAAGGAGTCCAGCACCTGAGATTAAGAGTATGGAGGTGAAGAAAGACACAATACAGATACAGTAGAGAGCGGGCAGAGAGGGAAGAGGAGCTGTTGTCGTGAATAGACAATCCAGAAAGTAGACAGACAGATAGGCTGGTGTGTTGTGCTGGCGGCCTTGCAGTTTTCTGCCGCGTGCGGTACATGCAATAGCTAGTACCGAGCTCCAGGGACTGAGACGGTGTCTAGGGCCATCCCGCATCGCGGCGTGAAGCTAGTCGGCCGTCTCTGCATGCTAAGACGTTTCATGATGCGGCGTCCAGCCAAAGGCGACAGAGTAGAGGGGCGTCAAGCTACCGGCCACAGAACCAACACAGTGGATGTCCAGCCCCACGACCAAACGGAGACTTTGCTAAAGGATAGCTGGTGATGAGGCGCACCTGGTGTGCAGAAGATCAACGAAGCAGCCGGCTTGATTGGACGGTACTTAAGCGCCCACGGAGCGGGAGCACGCCGAGTTGGGCCTGGTAGGCGCACCCAGGGAGCGATTTTGGCCCCCTACATTCACTAAACCCCTCGGGAACTCTAGTCGAAAGCTCCTGCATAGCGCTTGTTGAGGTCCTGATTCGCTATCTCAAGCACGCCTGCCAGCACGCGGGGCAACCCTTCCAAGGCAAGAGCCGCAGACTAAGGTCATCTTGGGACGAAAAGACAAAGTGGTACAGACGCTGTTCCTTATGGACCTACTCTACATACAGAGAGCGTACACGGTACAGTGGATTAGCTAAGGGAATTCATAATCGCCATCAGACATGTCATGAGAAGCCGTCGTGAGGTTGGTTGTTCATCGGATGGTCATCTGTTTGGCCATATTCCCACCCTTGCCCACGCCGCCTTCCCGAGACGCCGAGGCGCTCACACCAGCCTTGCGCTCAAAGACCTTCCAGAACTTCAGTGATTCATCCGCCGCTGGTCAAACCGTTAGCTGTACTCTAGGCATAATGGTGCTAGAAAGTGACTTACCGGCAGTGGCTAGCATCTGTCCATCGGGGCTCAAGCAGCTGTGCAGCACGCGCGACTCGTGAGCCGGAATCTCCACGTTGCGCACCAAGGTTGGATAGCTCCAGATGCTAAGCGAGTTGTCGGGGAAGCCGCCCGAGCTCACCAATTCACGATAGTGGTTGCTGAACTTGAGGGACGTGACTTGGGAGCCCGTGTCGATGCTGTTGACCCGTGCACCCGTCGTGGTGTTCCAGAAGTGGATGTGTCGGTCATTGGCTCCTCCTCCAGTAGCGAGAAGATTTAGCTGCCAGGGGCACCAGCTAAGCGCCTTGACCGCCGCACGGTGATTCTTCTTGGCGAACTTGGGCGCCGCAAGGGATCTAGCATCCCAGATTGAGACCAGGTTGTCGTTCCCGCCAGTAGCCAGTTGAGCTCCATCAGAGCGCCACTCGAGGCCGCATACTTCGGAAGTGTGCGACACGAGCTCCGCAACCTTGTGCTGGGCCACTCGTACATCGTGGTTAAACACAAGCCCGCTGCGGGCACCTGTGGAGAGGGTGTGCTTGTTCCAACCCATAACGCCAACACGCGTGTCATGTCCAAACATGCTGCGCAGCTTGCTGCCCTCCTCCACGTCCCAGATCTGCACCTCGCCTGAGCCAAGACCAACGCCAACATAGGCGCCATCCCCGGACCATTTGACGCTGCTGACATAAGTGTCGGCGGGGGCCTCGAGGAGGCAGCTGACCGAGCCACTCTCGGCAGACCAGACGTAGACGCTGCGCTCCAGGCCGATTGCGACTTGGTTGCCAGAGCTCCAGTCAAGAAGATTGAGATAGTAGTCGTCGGCAAGGCCAGGAGCGTCGAGCACACGCTCGGGAGCAGACTGGATGCGACGACGGAATTGAGCTGACTGGGTATTGGCCTGCTTCAGAGGGCGATTGTATTGCGAACGCAGGTCAATGGGCTTCGAGGACTCGGGGGGCGCAGGCTTGAAGGCCAGGATACGCTGAGAGGTAGAGATGCCGCAAGCAGACGCAAGCTCGGACTCGTAAGCGGTAGCATCCGGGTTTGGCTTGCTGTATGAAGGGACGTCGTCCTCAAGACCTAGGCCTTCAAGTGCAGAAGTGATGTCGGCATCAGCACCGCGGGCCGAGATGTCGAAGGCGCTAGCGGCATTGGCAAGGACTGTCGAGCCCTCACTGGTCTTTGGTCTGTTCTCGTCACCCTTGGCTGAGCCAGCAGTCTTCAGGCCCTCGCTAGCATTGCGGTTCGGAATGAACCGATCTGCGGCGTTGTGTGGAAGTCTGATGGTGGTCTTGCCAGCTCTTGAGCGCAGCGCATTGTCCTTCCTTGACTTCTCTCTTGAAGGTGTGGCATTGGTAGCAGGCCCAGTACCCGTCAAAGTCCAGTCAGACACACCAAGCTCGAGCTGCTTCGGTGACAGCCTGCTGCGGGCGATATTGGACTTGGGGGAGTTGGCATACGCGAACTTTGACACCGAGCGGGAAGCGGAACGAGCGAAGAAGGCCGATGGGTCTCTAGACTTGTGGATTGAGTCCCCTCGCGGAGGTGTCGAGGGAGAGCAGTTATTGGAGGTCATGCTCGTGGTCCGAGTGTGGGGGGATGGTGTGAGAGGCATGCGACCGCCCGCGGTCCTTGTGTTGAAGATGCCATGATGGCTCTTGAGGGGCGTTGATACCTGAGCAGTAGCCATATCTGTGTGTGTGTGATATGATGATCGAATTGACAAGTCAATGTTTCGATCCTTGTCCTATTGATGTCGAGAAACAGTCAAGATCTCGAACGGTTAGTAATGGTGTCGATTTAGCAATCAGAACTTGTCGAAGAAAGTCTGTGCGTGGGGTCCAGCGATTCAGATAAGATCCCAAGATGATCAACTGAATGAGTCCCGGTGATGTTGCTGTGCGTGATTGTCGTTAGTATTTCGTTGTTGAAGCAATCGCTGGATTGATTGAAAACCGAGCAGGTGTGTGCAGTAAGCGTGCAATCGGAGGGTCGATCGATACTGAGAAAGATCTAATGGATTGTATGCTATACTCGTACACGGATGTAGCAGAGAGTAGATGTGATTGTGAGGAGCGCGGTATGAGGTGGAGGGAAGAGGAAGAAGACCGTGATAATCTATATTGAAGCTTGAAGTACCTGAGCTGCAGGTAGCACGGCAACTGCAACTTCGCGCCTTGGCGGCGTTGACCGGACAACTGCAGCCCCACGGATCCACTTGTGCCGCCTTAGAAATCCAACCTTGCGCGGCATCGGCGGCACGTATGTCCGTGCCAAGGAATGTGAAACAGAAGACAGGGCGAGGCCTGCAGAAGATCGGAAGCGTCGACGAAGTGAAGCGATCGAACCACCACTCTGAACCTTTGATCTTCAACTCCTGATCCATCAACTTCCTTCTCATCACTTTCTGCCGTTTGTACCGCTACACTCTCTTGTCTCCTTGTCTCAACATCGCTCTTCTTTTCATCCAATTTTTTGCACCTCTTCCATCCACTGCTCCACCCCGTAATCGGCCTTTCGAGGCACCTCAGCCCATCGTCACCATGGCAGGTCCCATCACACCAGCGCTCGGCAACAATTCAGCATTCTACGCACAGAACAGCCGCCAACTGGGTTCCGCATCGTCGACGACATCTGGCACAGCCACTCCTACGCCCAGCTCCTACTTGATGCCCACCAGCCCTGCCAAGAACAGGCGTGCTCCGGATGGCCAGAAGCCCCGAATCTCCAAAACCACCGGCCAAAAACCTGCCTGCCTGGTCAACGCTTCCGTAACGTTCTGTGGCGATGACAAGATCTATGCCTTCGGTGGCTTCGATCAGTTTACTGATGAAGTCTATAACCATGTACTACGCCTCGACCTCAAAAGCCTTAACTGGCAACTAGTTGACAATTATGGCGACATACCTGGAGTGCGAATGGGCCATTCAGCTTCACTCTACCAAGGTGACAAGTTGCTAGTCTATGGCGGTGAGAACGAACACCGAGAATATCTCTCTGACGTGGTCATCCTCGATCTAAAGACCCACACCTGGGCCCAGCCTGATGTTCAAGGTCCCATTCCCAAAGGCCGTGCCCGACATGCCGCAGTTGTCTACGAAGACAAGTTGTTCATCATTGGTGGACTGACTGGGGAGACAAATTACATCCTCGATGATATTTGCTATCTGGACCTGAAGACCATGACCTGGTCCAGAACTTGGAGCTTCGTACAGCGTTTTGACCACTCCGCATGGATATGGGGAGGTCGCTTGTGGGTCCTTGGAGGACTTGGCCATGAGATGGAGCGGTCCACCGAGATCTGGTGGCTTGACCTGAAAGGTTCCGCAACGCTGTCCAGTTCTACCCGCCGGTACCCGTCAATGGGCCGTGTGCCTAGCTCAAGACACGATACGTTTCCAGCTCGCCACGACCGACACGATACTTACACAGCCAACTCCACAAGCCTCCACATCCGGTCCTCTAGAAGAGAGAAACCGAACGCACCAGGCGCCATCTCCTCACTGAAATTCCTATCAGGCCCCAATGTTCCGTTGCAATCGACCGGCACTCACTTTCACGTTTGCTCTTCCGGCGCCTTGCTCGACTTCGTCACGCCTACGACAACAATCAGACCTAACGAATGCAATCTGTCCTCGCTCGAGTTAGACTCCTTGCGCTGGCAGCGCATCGTCGAAGGCCCAGAAATATTCAGTCCCGGATATAAGTGGCACTATTGCTGCATCAACGAGGACGGAACAAAGGTGTGGCTACTAGGATCCCCAACCGAGGATGCTGCAAATCCGAATCAAGAGCTTCAACTGAGTGAAGTTCTTTCGATCGATTTGAAGCGATACGGTCTCCTTGGCAATGATCTGATCAGCCCCAACTCAGAGCAAACTCGTATCCTGGCAACCGAACAACAAAGCACCATCCCCAATACTGTTGGTCTTGGTGCGGATATGGCGTCAATGTTTGATCTGTCGCCGGAATCGAACGGCATGACTGATTTCACCATCACCGCGAGTACTGACGGTTATGAAGATGACGATATGTCTGCCGATGGTGATATTGCGCAAGCCTCCGCTCGCTTCTCTGCAAACACAACAGGCAGCCAGATGTTTGTTTCCGAGGGCTCCAACACGTCGACTCCTATCTATGTCCACAAAATCATCTTGCATGCCCGGTGGCCTCATTTCAGACGCTTGTACGCCTCCAAGATGGTTGAATATCAGACCTCGCGTCTCCATATCCCTGAGCCGTATTCAGTCGTCCGCGCATTTCTTTACTACCTCTACACCGATTCAATCGCCCCATCCGAGTACTGTAGAGATCTGACCGACGTTGCCGGCATGCTCGTTATGGCCAATCTCTACGACATGCCCAAGCTTCGGCTGCTTTGTGTCAACCGCCTCTCGCGCGAAATTGACATTGATCACGCTGCTGTCATCTGGGAACGTGCAGGTCGCACAGATGAAGAATGGCTCAAGGCCCGAGCGGCAAGATTCTGTATGATGAACTGGGGCAGGCTTGTAAGGACTGAGGGCTTCCGCAGTCTAAGCCGGACAAGCCTAATGGAACTATGTGAGGTCGTTGATATGGAAGGGCGAGTGGTTGGTGGAGATGAGCTCGATGACACCACCTTCGCTGCTAGCAGATCTGCGGCACGGAGGAGAAGTGAGCTGGAGAGTGAAGGTGATGACCTCGATGATGATGGTGAGGGCATGGATATCGCCTAAGGCTCCAACCTCGGCATGGAGGTCACGACGAGCACCGCATAATTGAAACGCAGAACGACAGGCAAAAGTGGGTTTATGGGGCTATGATTTATGTTTTGTTACTCAGCGACGGTGCTGGGTGTCTGACTATTAGGCTTCGCAAATGAGTTGCGCTGGGTGCATCTTCAGAGACATAGTTAAATCACACGGTGTACTTCCTCCGGCATGCGTAGCTGGCTACAAATGTATGATAAGACTACACAGCTCATAAGTGTTCACAAGCTCTGGTCACGGCAGTCATTGACATGATCTGCCTCCTGATAGATCGAAAGTTGTGGGTATGACATGGTTTTTGGGGTATCTATTTAACTTGAGTAGCTAACACTACGTCCCTCGCGAGCGAATGGTCGCCATGGAAGTCATCGAGCAAAGGCTGTCCGTGCTGCTTCCAGCAGTTGGTAACCGTAGCATAACTAGTTGTGCCTGATCTTTTGGTGGTTCATCCTTCATCCTTGGCCTTCCATCTTTGGTTTTTGGGGGTTTGTTCCGAAATAAAGGCACACCATGTCGCAGCTTCACAATCAGTCCGAGGGGCGCGTGTCAAGCCGGACTTTCTTGATTTCTTTCTGTAGGCAACCAGTCTGCTGACGTGGTGGAGTCGGTGGTTATCACGAGAACCGGGCGGAATGACATAGTTGGTATCCACGAAAAGGCGGCTCGAGGATGACATAGTGCTGCGTGGTTCAAATGGACCCTCGAAACTCCATCGACGCTGCGCAAAGCTCTCAGATGCTTACTCTCGTGCGCCTCCATCGCAAGGCCTCCCATGACCCGCTAAACACTCAATACCGGTTGCATAGCGGCCAATTTGTTCCTTCCCTTGCTCGAATCCACCCCCATGAAGGGCAGCTGGCAGCTATGCGCAGAGCCGTATTGCTATCTAGTGCGATTTGCTTTCGACTGGTGACATGTTTATGTGATCCCTAACGCTTTCCTGTCTTCGGCCGGGGTTTTACTTCCTCCGGAATGACGCCGTGTAGCATAACCTTATGTGCTTGCTGCTGTGTGTTCTTCTGGAAACCCTGGCTCCAATCATAGCTCACCGCGTACGCAAACACAGTACCCTGGCGATTGAAATCTGTTGCGGTGATCGGACCGCCAATATTGGGGTAGCCCTTGAGGCGATGCTTTGCCTGACCATCCCAGAAGTGAAATGTACCATCGCTGCCTGCCGTAGAGAAAGTGCCGTGTTCAGGGTGGAAAGAAATGGCATTGACCGCGTAGACATTGCTTTGGTCCTTGTTGTTCGGCGGAGTCTCGCGGTGGCACTTGAATGAGAAGTTGTTGGAGGAATCGCGTTCCTCAACGTACTGGATTGCGCAGCGACCCTCGATGCTACCGACGGCGAAACCGTTGTTGTTGGGGGTGAAGCAACTAACAACACGGGTCTGGAATTTGAGTGGGGATTGAATGGTCTTGTAGAATTGATCGGGTTTGTTGAGATCAACCACGTTGATATAGCGGTCGGCTGTCCCGACGACAAGGAGCTTGCCCTTCGTGTCCATTGTGTAAACTCGCTCTTGACAATTTACTGTAGCGGCGGGTTTGTCGCTGCGAAGATCCCAGTATTTGACCGTCTTATCCCAGGAGCCTGTGACAAGAACAGGAGTGTTGTTGACATTCGTGAAAGCGCAGCAGCGAATTGGCTGCTCATGCGCGGTGAGCGTCTGAGGTGTCATGTTTCCAGAGGCGATATCGAGTAGACGGAAGGTCTTGTCGGCGCCGACACCTACGACCTTGGTGCCGTCTTCGGACCAAGCACAGCTGAGAGCGGGAGCTTCGAAGTCAATTGCAGCCTGTGGATAGTTAGCACAAAGCAACGCTGAAGGGCTAATGAAGTGCCTACTTTTCCTTCGGATTGTCCTTGTTCTGAGACTTGATAGATCCTCACTTTCTTGTCCCATGATGCAACGGCTAAGAAGTCCCCAGCAGGAGAAAATGAGAGATCTGAGATCGAGTCTTCAGGGGGAGATGTGAGCGCGATATCTTTAGAGGGATCTCCAGGTGCGTTTGTGGAGGCAGCAGAGGTTGTGTTGCCAAAGAGACCTGCCATTGTGCCGGTGGCCGGTACGCGTGTGGGAGGCCAATAAGGTCGGTATTACAAGTGCTGCGTCGAGTGTCTCGAGGAATGAAAGGAACTACGGGCAGGTTGCGAAAGACGTGAATTGCGAAGAGGTAGGCAGCGGGTGTGGCTTTAGGCACCTACGCGTTGGACGCGGGGAACGTCCAGCGTAAAGCGAAATACTTGGCGTATCTCTTGGCACCATAGTTGTGATCCTAAGTCATTCTTCCAGATGAGGTACAACGGTAATGTAAGATCCAGGCTATTACTAGTCGGTATTGCATCTCAAGTCATCGACGGATGTTCTGTCAATGTCTTCTGCTTCATCGCGAACACGACATCTAGTTCTACAGATTCACGTTTTGATTTCGTCCCCAATTCCATAGGCCCAGTCATGAACTCGTTCGCAGTCATCGAGAGCACATCTGCTTGCGGTGCCGATCACGAGGTGGGAATGGAGACCTGAGCGACACCGTCAACCACCTTATCCACCGCATCTCCCGCTTCGCCGTTCGCCTGCGCCATGCCTTCGCCGCCCTTGGCGCTCTTCTCGACGCCTGCTCCTGCAGCTTTCTTCTTTGCTTCTTTCTTGGCCTTGGCCTTTTCCTTATCAGCCGCCTTCTTCGCGGCCTTCTTAGCTTCCTCTTCTTCTTTCTTGGCTCGCTCTTCTTGGTTGCCGCCGAAGTGCTCTCTCCACTCGTCTGCCTTCTTCTCGTCGATTTTGGTGAAGAGATACTCCGCCTTGCCGATCTTGTGTCCGGGCTTAATGTAGGTTGGTTTCCAGCCACCGCTTATATCCTCTTCCGAGGGAATTAGAAGAAAGTCGGCATTCAGCTGTCTCCGTATTGACGCACAGGTAGCCGGCAGATATGGCTCGAAGACGGCCGAGCACAGATAAATCAAGTTTAGGACTGTCCCGACCACCGCTGCGGCTAGCGCTGGCTCGCTGGCGATCAAGGAGTTGTCTAATCGGAAGGCTTGCACGAGACCGTTTCCTGCTTCAGCAATTTTCATGGCAGTAAGAAGGCCTTGGCGGAGCTTCACTGCTTCCATCTCTGATAAATACTGCTGCAAGAGCTCGGTGATCTCTTTCAAGTGTTCACCAAAGGGAGCAGGGAGGTTATCGGGTTCAAAGTCGGGAATGACGCCTGTGTACGCTTTTGGCGAATTGGCAAGTTTGATGACTCGGTTGACCAGATTGCCAAGCTTAGCCAGTAGCTCCGTATTGTTGCCATCGATGAAAGAGCGCCACTCGAACTGTGTGTCGCTTGACTCGGGTCTGTTCTTGAGAAGATAGTATCGCCAGACATCAGCAGGTACGCCCGTTTCGCGCGCATTGTTGCCGAAGACGCCGATGCCTCTGCTCTTACTAAACTTTCCATTCTCATAGTTTAGATACTCGGTCGCAGAGAGGTGGTGGAGTCTTGTCCAGTTGTCCTTAGTTCCGATCTGGCATGCGGGGAAAACAACGCTGTGGAAGGGAACGTTGTCTTTACCCATGAACTGATAGAGCTGGACTTGCTCGGGATTATGCCACCACTTTTTCCACTCCTCAGTGTAGTTAGCCGTAATTGAAGGGTAGCCTATGCAAGCTTCGAACCAGACGTAGAAGACCTTGTTTTCGTAGCCCGGTAGGGGCACCGGGACACCCCACTGCAGATCTCGTGTGATCCCGCGCTCCTTCAATCCTTGTTTTAGCCACGACTCTGTGATGACTTTGGCGTTCTTGGACCAGCCACCGTGCTCGATCGACTTAGTGACCCACTCCTCCACCTTGGGCTGCAGCTCGTCGAGGCGTAGGTAGGTGTGCTTGGTTTCTTTAACGATGGGGGTCGCTCCATCAACTTTGCAGCGGGGATTAATAAGTTCCAGAGGGTCGATCAGCTGGCCGCATTTATCACACTGGTCGCCTCTGGCATCGTCATACCCGCACTTTGGACATGTCCCTTCGATAAAGCGATCGGCAAGAAATTTTCCATGCTTCTCACAGAAAGGTTGAGTGTTTGTGTGCTCTGCTAGCAGCCCCTCTTTGTGGAGCTGTAAGAAGATACCTTGTGAGATCTCAGTGTGCTGTCTCGTGGGCGTACGACCGAAAATATCGAAGCCAATCTCAAACCACTCGTAGATCTCGGCGTGGATCTTGTTGTACTTCGCGCAGAGCTGTTCGGGGCTCACGCCCTCCTTCAGCGCTTGTGTCTCTGTTGCTGTTCCGTACTCATCAGTTCCGCAGACGTAGAGCGTTGGTCGCCCTCGTGCCTTGTTGTAGCGAGAGAAGATGTCGGCAGACAAAACGCTGCCGACGATATTGCCGAGATGGGGAACATTATTGACGTATGGAAGCGCGGAAGTGATCAAGATGTTTCGCTGGCCCTCCTTAGGGAGGATTTTCTGATCTTGTGATCCCATTGCACGCGGCGGTGTAAGTAAGGTCTCCTGCCCCTCGCTGGGTCACTGAGTGTCTGAAGGGCAGTGCAACTCCAGCGGTCTTTCGAGGGCAACAAAGAGGCAAGTCGGAGGATGTCTGCCAGAGTAGCAAGTATTGAAGCTGCGTAAGCACGACTACCAGCTCGCGTGACTGGCGAGCAGAGAAGTCCAAGTCGTCGACGGGGAGTCATGGGCGCAGCCTCGCCCCAAACTTTGCGATTACCGGACAGAGTTTCTCCGGTAGCCGAAAGATTTGCCCCGCGCGTTCCTGAAAATCTTCCCCTACTAGTACTCATTCTGGCGCTCCTCTCCTCTGTGGTACCAGCCACCTTGTCCTCCCTCGCAATGGCTGATGACCTTCTGGGCGATCTTCTGAGTCTGGAGGATGGTTTCTACGATGAAGGATTCCAAGCCGGCGTCGCAGACAGCGCACGGGCAGGGCATCTCGAAGGCAAGGTCTTCGGCATTGAGAAAGGCTATGACAAAGCTCTCGAGCTCGGCAAATTGAACGGTCGAGCATATGTCTGGAAATACCGTCAGCAAGATGCCAAACGCGTTGCTACGGATGAGCCGCTCAGGGCTGGAAGCGACGATGTGACACGGTCGTCGTCACCCATCGGAGAAGCATTCAATGCCATGACTAGCTTGCCGAAGAACTCACGGCTTGATAAGCATGTTGATGGCATTCTGGCTCTCACCGATCCCGACAAGGTATCCACCGATAACTCAGACGAATCGGTGAGTCAGTTCGAGGACTCTGTTGCGAAGGCCAAAGCCAAGGCCAAAATGGTGGCCATCGCTGCCAGTGAGCCACTGGAAGCTGGTTCTGGTCCAGCAGCGAGTATTGAGGATAGTGCCGGCCTTTCTGCGCGGCATTGAACCGCTTCCGTCGCATCATAGACCGGCGTGGGTGCCGCATCAATATTGCATCGGTACCGACCGGTCTAGAAGACCGTGCCGGAAGCGATATACAGCTTGAAGTGCCATGTTTGTCGCGAGACTGAGCTTGATTGGTAGATCCCCCACAGTCTGTCTGCAGCACAGACCGGGAAACCGTTATTTGCCGGGCTCGAGCACTTGCTGAGGGGTCGATTTCCCCACATTCGACTATGCTAAGTCCATGCAAGGCGGAGAAAAAGGTACCTCAACGAGTCAATCTTCACCTTGACACGAGCTTGCTCCAAAGCTTTTCCTTTCTTGACGAGCTTGAAAATGACATCGTCCATAAGGTCGTTCGATGCCTTCGGGTTACAGGGTCTGTGACTGTCCTCCCCGCACTGCTTCGTCTTCATATATACGAGCTGCTCGCAACATTTTGGCTCTGATGCTCGGACATCTCCCAGCAGTGTCACGAAATGAAGATCTGCACAGCTGTCCTCCCGGCTCTTGTGGCCATCGGTCTCGCTCAAACGCCTCCGGGCGTTCAGCTGCCCATTGCAGAGGTTTGTGGTGGCAACGACAGTGTCGTCTGTGTCAACAAATACGTAAGGCAATATGGACTCTCTTATTTTTCGAAGCTAACCGAGCAGGCGGCCGTGCTTCCTTACCACTTCTCCCGCAACGTGAGTTCCAATGACCATGAATACGATTTTCGCAACACTTCTGTTCCGTCCAATGGGACAGATTTTGACCTGCTACTCGACGCGGACTTTGTTGTCTACGACCGGGAACTCGCTATGGAATATTTAGGCGCCAATCCAACCTACGAGTTTGTCTTTGCCGTGTCTAAGGCGGTGCATGAAGCACCAGTCTATGCTCCAGAGCAAAATCTGCTCTTCATCTCGCAGCTTGCCCCGCCAACGGGCTATCTCCCCCAACTTGTCATCGATTTGAATGTTGATCCACCAACGCTGTCCGAATATCTCCCTGATCCACCTATATACGCTCCCAATGGCGGCACGTTCCGTGATGGATTGATCATTTTCGGTGCCTCTGGGGGTAACGATAGCATTGGTGGTGGTGAGCAAAGAGTATCGATCCGTACGGTCGATCCAGCCACGAACGAATCGACAGTCATTCTTAATAACTACTTCGGGTAAGTGATCGTCAAATACCTGAATCCCTTCTGAGTTACTATCTCGACCATAGCTCTCAACATCCATCGAATCTGTCCCACCAAGCGGCATATGATGCTGATTGACTGACGCCGCCTAGCTATTACTTCAACAATATCGACGACTTGGCCATCCACCCGACCAGTCGCGAGATCTTCTTCACCGATCCATTATATAGCTACTATAACGGCCTAACGGATACCGCACCTCAGCTTCCGGTGGCCAGCTACCGTTTCAACCCTGATACCGGTGCCTGTATCATCATTGAAGATACGCTTCAGCAACCGAATGGCATCGCCTTCACACCTGACGGAGAGACAATGTATATCTCGGATACGGGCGCTGTGGCTGGCATCGAAGCTCCTGGCTACGGTGGAGAGGGCACACAATTCAACACAACCGGCCCTCGCACCATCTATGCGTTCGATTGCTTGAATAACGGGACAAAGATCATCAACAAACGCGCCTTCTACTTATCGCAGGACTGGGTACCGGATGGCCTCAAGGTCGCTCAGAACGGCGCAGTGCTGACTGGTGCTGGGAAGGGCGTTGATGTAATTGCGCCAACAGGAGAGCTGGTCATGAGGATACAAACCAATTACACGGTGCAGAACATGGCGTGGACTGGTGACGACCTCAAAACCCTTTGGATCATGGGCAACTATGGTGTAAGCAAGGTCCAATGGGACCTTGTTGGGCAGAAGCTGACATGATGAGGAGCACGCCGAGACATGTACGAAGTCCCTGATGAACCCACGTAGTATTGTAATCTCCCTGAAATGTCGATGGATCCGCTACTTCTAGAGGAGCTACAGATCTCGTCTCCTAGTCTCGGATAATGCCTCATCTCTAGTTCGTGTCGAGACAGATGGAGTGCCCCTTGTTTGCACAAAGATATGTACACCTGCTACTGAGCCCCTCAGACAATTTCGCCTAGCTAGAAATCGAAGCCCGTGCTGATACATGCTCTACATATACGTAGCAGTTGCCAGGAGAATAAAGACAAAGTACGCTGGTGAGTGATCGACAAGTAGGCTCGTCGTACTTCAAATAACTAAGGAAAGGTTCCCTATAGATCTGATTCCCAATTTCGCTGACTTCCCTTCTACCACCAACGGGGGCGCTACCAAACAGCTGCCTTCGGATCCGCGCCGGCTCACTTCTTCCCCGGTCAATCAAAGGACACACAAAGCCTACCGTTGTATCCGCGGCCGAATCTTTGCTTACAACTGCGACCGGCTTTGTGCTCACAGACACAAGACACAATGAGCCTTGAAGCACAAAGCTTCTGAACCATGAGCCTTAGGAGATGAGTCGGCATTGTTTCGTCGTCGACGGCGTAGATCCGTTAGAGTATTAGAAGAAGCCTGTACCGGGGCCTGCAGCCTCAATCTGCCCTCCATAGCATCACGCTTATTCTCATCAGGCAAATCTTCACGCATCGATAATCAACATCAGACGACAAACAAAGCACAACATATCTTTACCTACACCAAACTTAGACTTCATAAAGATGGGCTCATTTTTACCTCAAACCCAGCCTAAGCTCTCGTCGCCGGTCTTCGAGAGTGATGCTGACGAGAACAGCAAGCATGATCTCGACACACTCGAAGGCAGGCAAGCTTTCATCAACGAGATGATGATGCGTATCCGGGAGGACTTCCCTTTTTACCTTGGGCCGGCTTTCGCTCATCTCGACACAATCATGGCCGGCACTGAGTCCCTGGATAGCGAAACGACTGATGACGACTCGACCGACGAGGACTCGACCGACGAAGTTGACGGCCAGTCAGTTCCGGATGTTGATTATCAAATCAATGGTGCTGACCTCTTCGAACCCGAATGCCCCGAAAGAGGACCTGGATGCCTCGCCTGCCAACTATATTCGGAGGATGCCGACGGAAGCTGCTCTCAGTCAGGCCCGGAGCTTGATGAAAAACTCTGTGATGGTGACTTCGAGCCTGAATGCCCCGAGATTGGCCCCGGACGCCTGGCCCGCCAACGTTATCCGCATGATATCAACGACCTTGCTTGGGAAGTCCAAACTGAGTCGGACACACAACGCAGCACTAGCGACACTATCGAAGAAGTGCCGTGTAGTGTTCAAGAGCATCGGGACCCGTGAACACCGCCACGGAATTTGGCCCTGTGCTCCAAGTTTGCAAGGGCTGTTAGCCGGTCATCCTCAATCTAGGATCAAGTATCGCCCCCCCTCTTGTGATAGGCATGACCCGTCGCAGCCACTTTGCATCCCTGATACCACTTAACATGTGTCGAGGTAGGTCTGACCGGTCGGTAGCGTCTTTGACCAGCCGACGATACTAATGATACACATGACAATCAACTTAATGGTAGTCCAGCCAATCTTATAACCTATGACCTGACCCGACAGGTGAGTTAGCGATAAGCAATGAGTACGAACTTGAACGTTATCATATTTCAAAGGAAAGAACAATTACCTCGTATAACATGATCATCTCTTGTGATTTTTGTCTGACAGTCCCAAGTCAACTTCAGGGGTAGTGACGTGTCACGACGACATAGGACAGCCCTTACTGGGGTGTCGAGTAGTTATATTCAACGGTACTGTAATTAGTGCTCATTCGTTGGGTACGGTAACCCATTGGCAGACGAGAGCTGACGACTAGACGCTGCGGTTGAGTCGGCCGCGGTAGTCACTAATCAAGATGTTGGCTGGCCACATCCAAAGGCATAACGGGGAAGCTCTATCTATTAGCCTGCCATGGCTTCAACAAGCCCTACCTCCGCATAGAATTCAGACAGATCTAGATGGTGCTTGAAAGCAACGAGGATGCGACTCACTGTCTATTCGTGCGTTGGCGTGGCTTCGCAAATTCCGGATCAGTCCACTCCTTGGTATGGGTAAGTGTTGCTCAAGAACGAGGATCGATGTCGGTTGGGCAGAAGCAAATAGATCAGCGCTCGATCTTTGCCGCATCCGGAATGAACACTCCTCCGGGCACCACAAGTCATGGGTCCACTTCGTAACGGCTGTGCGACCTCAGTCTTTGACCTTACAGGTGTCAAATGAATCTTGGGTTGCGATCGTAATGAGGGGTCAGCTTCAAGTAAGCCGTTGAGGGTCTACCAGAGCTTGAGCAATTCTTCTTGCACCTATACAGCTTGTGCTTACCACCTTATCAGTGCCTCGTCCCTGCCTCAGAAGCTGTGGACATCATTGATAAACTGTTAGTTGCGCACAGGAACCACTGCGGAGCTCCCGGAAAGTGCAGTGTCGCGCGAGGTTGACCAGAACACAACACAAGGCAGCTTATGAGTTCGTCGGACGCGCGAAGATCCATAAAGATGTGGCCCCGACTGGACCTTGGTACACTCACCACGGCCTCAACACCTATGGTGATCCTCATCATACTCCTCGCCACTCTCACAGCCGTCCCACTACTTACACTCCTGCTCACCACCGCCCTACACCGCCTCGCCATCGCGCGCCTTCCCACCACCCCCGACGACTCGGCACCTACTCGTCCCCCAATCGTCCCCTATTCGCTCCCCTACCTCGGCAACGCCCTTGCCTTCCTCTCCACCAAGCGAGGCCACTTCTGGGAATCCATTCTCCCCATCTTGGCCGCCCACCCGTCCCTCAGCATCCTCACGCTGCGGCTGGCGCACCAGACCAGCCATGTCCTGTACTCCCCGCCCGCGGTGACTGCGCTGTTCAAAGCCAATCACCACAAGGCTGACCGCCTGAGGTTCAACCGGGAGGTGCTGGTGAAGGCCTTGTGCATGAGACCGGAGGATGCGAGGAAGATGTACTGGGACGCTAGAGACGAGAAGAAGATGGGTGGTGCGAGCAAGGAGCGGGCCCGGGAAGTTGAGCGGGTGTCGTCGGAGATCATGAAGCGGTTCCTGTTGAGTCAAGACGCGGTGTCCGTGCTGACGAGGAAGTTTATGGAGGTATTGACGGAGGAGCTGCGGGCGGATGAGAGCGGGGAGTGGAAGGAGGTGCGGCTGGTGAGGTGGGTGCGTGGGAAGATGTTGACAGCGAGCGCGACGGCACTGATGGGGTCGAGACTGCTGAAATCGGTGCCGGACTTTGAGGACAAGTATTGGGACTTTGACGAGGGCTTCTTGAGCAGGCTGTTCGCCGTGCCGCGGTGGCTGGAACCGAGCTCGTACCAGAGTTTGGAGGTCTTATTGCCGGCCGTGGAAGAATGGGTCAAGGCTGGTGAGGCGCACTACGAGGGGAGTCCGCCGCTTGACGTCGAATGGGAGGAGTACTTGGGCGCTAAGGTGACACGAGCGAGGCGCAAGATGTACAAGGATTTTAACCTGAGCACGAACGGGATGGCGTGCTTGGATTTGGGATTCATGTTCGGGTATGTTTCTTCCAACAGGACTATTGGCCCCTTGTGATTTACTCACCCTACGTCCTCCTTTGGATTGCGGCGTTGTTGCTCCTCCCGCACTCACCCGCTTGCGGATGACTTTACTTACATGTTCGGGGTCTAGACTCTCGTCCAATGCAATTCCGGCAACGCTATGGCTGCTGTGCCACCTTATCTCTCCGTCCCAGAGACCGCTTCTCAACAAGATCCTCGCCGAGCTTGAAACCGCGAAGCGACCCGGCGGCCACATTGACGTTAATACACTGCTCACTGCCCCGTACCTCAATTCTTCTCTCACGGAAACCTTGCGCGTCTACGTCGATACGCTGGTTACTCGCGAGCTGCAGTCCGACATGGTGATCTGTGGGCACGATCTGCGAAAGGGCGAACTCGTTATGGCACCCTCTTACCTAGGTCATCACGACGGCGCCGAGTGGAGTGGTGAGGGCGATGACGCTCCGTCAGAGGCTGAGTGGTGGGGAGAGCGGTTCTTGAAGACGGATGAGAAGACTGGAGAGGTGAGAATGAGCACGAAGGATTTCGCTGGAAAGTATTTCCCCTTCGGCGGGGGAATGCATATGTGTGGTAAGGCTCTCTGCAAGATGATAATGACTGCAGCCACGACCCTTTCTTTCCTCTTTCGTGGGTTTTGTATATGCTGACTTTCATCGATAGTGAGTAACCCGCAGAGACCATTTGGCGTTCTTCTCAGACTAAGCCCCCTTCTCATTGCCTAGCAGAGCTGACTGACCGCTTCTTACAACAGCCTGGCAGAGTGTTTGCTCGGCAAGAGATCCTCGGTGCAGTAGCAGTGGTGCTTTTGGGCCATGAGATCGAGTTCGATGAATGGGTCGATACAGACCGAATGGGAACAGTGAGTAAAAGGAAAGGCAGTGGTGAAGCTGGCTTCCCGCACGCTCGCAAGCAGTACACGGGCAATGGTGAGTTATCTCACCGCATCGAGTTGTTTGGGAGAGTATATGCATTGCTAATGTCTCATAGGAGTTATAAGTATGGACGGAGATGCGACGGTGCGGATCCGAAGGCGGGAGAAATGGTAAGATAGCGCGGGCAAATGGGCTGGTCTAGCCGTTGAATGACAGGCGGAGATTGAGGCTGAAGCCGCCGGATGCGATAGCCGTGGTGATCGAGGATCCACGGCTACGGAGTAGGTCTGTGCTGCTCAATCCGAGTATAGAACATGAAGCAACCAGCCATCATGCTCGCCAAGTGAACTTTGGGGTATTGCAACCTCCGACTGTGGCGCGCTGCGCACAGTCAAAGGATGGTCTGGACGGCTCACGGCTCACCCCCTGATCCTGATCAGAAGCATCTCTTGCAGGCCTGTCCACACGCAGTAAATGCTGGACGGTGTTGGTTTCCGTGATTGAAGGAAGAGGGTTCTCGGGGATGTGACATCAAGGCTCGTGTCGCTGGCTCTGTGCCCTGCTTGCATCCCTGCCATATGTGGCGTTTGCAGCACACGGTGGGGTTTTTTCGAGCAAGGGTCAAGAAGTCAAGGCCGGGGGCCACGCAACGCAATGCGGGTAGTACACGTTTTCGTTGGTCGCGATCGAACGATCAGCCGTGTGGCATGTAACTCTGCTCGTTAGTGACCCATCTTTGCATCGAAAATAATGATGCGTGATCGCTTGCAATTGAGGAGGTGAAGACACACCAGCCACAAGTCGCGCCTCCCAGTGGCTCGAGACTCGCTTGGTGGTGCAAAGCGAACCCCCCCGCAGTCCACGCTTTCCTGGTCTGAGTTTGGTGCCGACTGCTGCCGACTGGGCATGGAAATTTTCGGCTCTTCTTCCACCCATTCCTGCGCCACTCTCTGTCCCTCAGAAACCCATGTTCCCCTGCTTCTCAAGGCACCCCTGCAACACCTACCATTGTTGCTACCAATGACGTCGATTCTCATGTCTGCATCCGCGGTATCTGTCTTCTGCCGACACATCCACAACGCAACCAAATGGCCCAGCATGGCTTCGTGGTGCAGCAGAAGCACCGAACGAAATCCAGGACTCCTGGCCCGGAATGACGGCTTCTCTCGACAGTCAAAAGTCCACCGGCGTTTCACAGGTCTGATGATATTGAGTACAGCAAGTATCCTGGCCTGACAGCCTTGCTGCTCTGCGGTACCCCCCGGTCGTTCTCCACACTCTGACAATCGTCATCCTGCGATTTCCATTCCTTCCTCGATCTCAGGCCGTTCCGCTGCCTGTTTCTGAGGCTCGTCCCCCAGAGCATTCGCTGGTCCCCGCTGGTCGCCAATGATCAATTGGCTCATGCTCCAACTCCATCTTCCTGTGCCACATGCGGCGCTTTGACCTCACAACTGACGCAATGATGGCCTGTCGAAACAAGGTCAGAACCAGCCACAGGCTATCAAGACTGTTCGCGAGCTCCTTTGCGGCGCGAGCTACCCCTGTACGAGCTCTCAGTGACGTACTGAGAGTACAGCTCAAACTACATGTATTCTGTCACGTCCGCCCGTGATTTTCTAACGCGTCTCTATCCAATAAATTTCAAACCATCCGAGATACCCCTTTGATCACTGGGTGGACGCATCAAAAGCTACCTTTTTCTCCAAGCGTAGCGCAATTGATTTGTAACAACAGTAATAACTTGATGCCAGCAAGCAGCACCACTAGCTCGAACGGACGCCAGCCTTCATACTCTTACTACTCATTTCCCCCAACTCCGAACCGCACTTCCCCCCAACAAAGCTCGAAAGCCTCCTCTCCGGAGACTGTCAGAAGCTACCACTCTCGACCATCAACAAGCAGGAAGATGGCTCCCACTCCGTCGGCTGGCCGCACCTCGGCCGACCCTGAAACTCCCACCAAAACGGGTAGGAAACCCGAGTCATCGTCGACTCAGAAACTCACGGAAACAGCCTCCGGTCGCAAACCACCCAAGCTGGGAGCATCCAAAACTCCCAAGAAGTCAGACTCGCCTTCCCTACCGCAACGCCCTAAGGAGGACGTTGAGGAAAAGGGCAAGCAGATCGACCTCAAGGACAATGACGCTGCTGAGGAGGCCGGCGGCAAAGTCAGCCAGCCTGGCAACGAGTCAAGTGTCGCCGACACCAGCGAGCTGTCCGAGGCGGATCCCCAGCCAGTACCAGATTCTGACGAAGACGAAACTGTTTCTGGAGCGAAGGATACCGTTGACAAGGCCGCAAAAGATGAGGGTGAGTCGTGTTCTGTCTTATTTCTTCCATTTCCCAATCAGTCCTGCCTGCAGTCTCTTACCCTATAATCCCTTGGGGCGAGTTGCTCGCACGGCGTGCAGAATCTTTCCCAGCCACTGTGGGCGTAATAATCCGTCATGGATCTATTCGCGTCCGCAATCCAAATGCTGTTGCCCCCCTCCGTCCCCACGAAACCAGGTGTTCGTGCAGGGGTTATCCTGATCAGTTCCTGAGCATGTGTATGCTGGCAGCTTCCCCTCCCAGCCAATCATGTCCACATAACGATCCTAGCTAGAACTGACCTTCTCACCTAGGCACCGACGACGAAGACCAAGGGCTGACCCCTGGTGACACCGAACGGGAAACCGAAGACGCCGCCGAGGAAGCTGGAGACGAGGCTTCCAACAAGGGCAGCGGCGCCCTAGGTGGTCTGAAGAGCGCTGCAGGTGGTGTCGGCAAGGGTGTTTCCGGCCTAGCTGGTAAAGGCAAGGACACCGTCACCGGCGCTGCAGGTAAAGCTAGTCAAGGCGACGTCTCCGGCGCTGCTGAGGACACCACCGAGGGCGCCAAGGACGCCGCAGGCGACGCCCAAGAGACAGCAGAAGACACTACGGGCCAGTCTGGAGAGGGCGAAGGTGGTGACAAATACGACGTACCCCAAGTCAGCGACAGACTCTTTGGTGATGCCAAGGACCAGGCTGGCGACGCCGTTGAGGGCGCGAAAGATCAGGCTGGTGATGCTGCCGAAGGCGTCCAGGACCAGGCTGGCGATGCTGTGGAGGGCGCCAAAGACACTGCCGAAGGTGCTGCCGACGAACTTCCTACCGATCTTTCCGCGCTCAAGGGTTTGAAGGTCGATGAGAGCGGCGATATCCTGGACAAGTCAGGTAACCCCATTGGGCGCCTTAATGAGGGCGATCCCGCCGATCTGGAAGGTATGAACCTCAAGCCCTGCACTAATTCAAAATCTTAAGCTAACCCGCTAGTAGGATATGAAATTGGCGACGACGGAGAAATCCTCGATGAAGACGGCGACGTTGTCGGACGTGCAACTCTCATTCAAGAGAAGGCAGAGGGCGCAGCCGAGGAAGCTGGCGAAGCTGCTGAGGGTGTAAAGGAAACCGCTGAGGGCGCAGCCGAAGACGCCAAAGACCAAGTCGATGATGCCGTTGAAACATACCTACCCGACATCAAAGTACTAAAGGGTCTCGAGGTGGCGGAGTCTGGAGACATCGCTGACAAGGATGGCAACGTCATCGGACGCATCACCGAGGGCGATCCTGCTGACCTCGTCGGCATGGCATTGAACGAAGACGGTGAGATTCTGGGTAAGTTGTTCGATCGAAGCACCCCTACACTGTTACTAAGCGAGTTCTAGATGAGGACGGCGATGTTGTTGGCCGCGCAGAAACCCTTCCACAAGAAGTCAAGCAGGAGGCCGAAGGCCAGCTTCCCGGTCTTGACGTTCTCGAAGGCCTCAAGGTCGGCGAGGACGGTGACATCCTGGACGACCAAGGCAACAAGCTTGGTAAGATCACTGAGGGTGATCCGGCGGATCTTGCGGGCTTACCTCTCAACGCTGAGGGCGAGGTGCTGGACGAAGACGGAGATGTCATCGGACGTGCTGAGATTGTCCCAGAAGCCGCCCAAGCCGTCGGCGACCAGGCTGCCGACGGTGGCGTCACCGAGGCGGTTCAAGAGGCGCAGGACAAGCTTGAGGACATCCAGGACCAGCTCAAGCCCAACCTCACTATTGTCGAGGGCCGCAAACTCAACAAGAAGGGCAACATTCTCGACGACGAGGGTGAAGTCCTTGCTAAGCTCATTGAGGGTGACGCCAAGGCGTGTGCCGGCAAGATACCCAATGAAAATGGCGAGATCCTCGATGATGATGGAAACGTCATTGGTAAGGTTGAGGTTGTTGAGGGCGAGGCCGCCGACGAGGCCATGAAGGAGCTCAACCCCGAGCTTGTCGAACAGCTCCAGGACGCTCAAGAAGCCGTCGAGGAAGCCGAGAAGGAGGCCGAGAACGCTGCCGACGAAGCAGGCGAGGCAGCTGATGAGGCCAAAGATGCCGCTGAGGAAGCTAAGGATGCTGCCAAGCCCGACTTTGCTCAACTTGACGGCCTGAAGGTCAACAAGAAGGGTCAGGTCGTCAACGAAGACGGTGACCCGATCGCCAAGTTGTCAGATGGTTACGACCTCGAAGCCGTCCGCGGCAAGAAGATAAACGAAAATGGTGAGATCTTGGACTCGGAGGGCAACGTCATCGGCAAAGTCGAGTTCTTGCCCGAGGCCATTGAAGAGGGTCTTGTTGAAGTCGAAGAAGCGGGTGACAAGCTCGATATGTCTGTCCTTGAGGGCCTAAAGGTCAATAAGAAGGGCATAGTTCTCGATGAGGAGGGCGAGCCCATCGCACAGCTCATCGAGGGCGAGCTCACAGAGGTTGCCGGTAAGAAAATCAACGACAAGGGTGAGATTCTCGACAAAGACGGCAACGTCATTGGCAAGGTTGAGATGATTCAGAAAGACGAAGAAGAGGGTGAGCAAGACAGTGGGCTCCCTCCTCTCTCCATCCTCGAGGGCTTGACCGTCAACAAGACTGGCAAGATCGTCGATCGCGACGGCAAGGTCGTCGGCGAACTCGTTGAGGGCGATGCCAAGAAGCTCTGGAAATCTGGCCTCGAGTGTGACGCCGAGGGTCAGTTCTGGGACAACCGTGGCAACGTCATTGGCCGCGCCCAGACCATTGCGCAAGAAGACAAAGAAGATGAAGCCCAGTTCGCCGGTCTCGAAGGTCTCGTTGTGGTCGCCGATGGCTGGGTCGAGGACGAGAATGGCAACCGTGTGGGGCGTGTCGTCGAGGGTGACGCCAAGAAACTCGTGGGACGTTCCGTCGATGAAGACGGTGACATTCTCGACAAGCGCGGTAACGCCGTCGGCCATGCCGAGCGCTACGTGGAGCCCGAAGCTGAGCCCGAGCCCGAGCCAGAGGCTATTGACCTTTCCGAGATGAAGGGCTTGCGCCTCAACAAGAATGGCAATGTCATCGGTCCTGACGGCGTTCCCATCGGCCGTCTCGTGGAAGGCAATGCCAAGGAGCTTGCTGGCCGCAAGATCGACGGTGAGGGACAGATCTGGGACGATGCCGGCAAGGTTGTCGGCCGTGTCGAACTCATTCCTCCTGAGGAGCGCGAGACCAAGGCAGAAGGGCCTTTCGCCGGTCTTGAGGGCCTCGTTGTCGTCAAGGACGGATGGGTCGAGGACGAGGGTAAGTTTTTCTTTTGCAGCCATTGTCGAACATTACTGACAACTTCCAGATGGCAATGTCGTCGGACAGATCGTCGAAGGTGATGCCAAGAGGCTCGTCGGGCGTGCTGTCGACGAAGACGGCGACATTATCGACAAATACGGAAACGTCAAGGTATGTTATCATTACGATCATTTGTTGTCAGAATCAAGATTGGCTGACATTTGCATAGGGCCACGCCGAGCCGTACGAAGCTCCGGAAGAGGAGGCTGCCGATCTCTCATCCCTTGCTGGCAAGACTGTCAACAAGTCTGGCAAGGTGGTGGATGAGCATGGCACCATTTTCGGTGAAGTCATTGAGGGTGAAGTCAAGAACCTCGTCGGCTGCAAGGTTGACGGCGAGGGTCAGATCTGGTCGAATGACGGCAAGGTCATCGGCAAGGCTGGTCTGATTTCGGGCGGCGGTCGTCCCGAAGATGGACCCTTCTCCAACTTCGAGTCGACCAGCGTGCAAAAGGACGGAACAGTCCTCGACAGCGCTGGAAACATCATTGGTCGTGTCACCGAGGGCGATCTTGCCAAACTTGCGGGACGCAAGGTTGACGACGATGGCGTAAGTTGACCCCATACTTATCCAAAGACGAATCGGATTGCTAACATGATTGCAGGACATCACTGACAAGAACGGCAACGTCATTGGCCATGCCGAACGGTGGGAACCAGAAGAAAAGGAACGTGAGGTCAGCCCCATGTCTGGTCTCCGTGTCAACAAGGAAGGAGAGGTCCGCGATAATAACGGCGATGTCATCGGTAGACTTACGGAAGGCAACTTGCTGTCTTGCGTGGGTAAGACCATCGATGACAATGGCCATGTCGTCGACCAGGACGGCAACAAGCTCGGTGAAGTGACCCTGCTTGAGAACATCCCCGATGAGGATGAAGGTCCCACCGACGACCAACTCAAGGAAGAGGAAGAACGCGAGATCGCAAAGAAGATTGGCAACATCATCAACCAGACTCTGGAGAAGATGGAACCCATCTGCAAGCAGATCACAGACGTATGTCGCCCCCCCTGCACCCTTCCATCATTGCAAACGCATATGCTAACCAACGCTATTCAGCTCGTCGAGAAGGCCGACCGCACACCCAAGGAGGAACTCGACGAGGAGAAACTCGTCAACGACGTCAAGCCTCTGATTGAAGAGGGCAGCCGCATTTTGGGCGAGTGCAACGGCGCGATCCGCGGCCTCGACCCAGACGGCCACATCGCGGCACAGGCCAAGGCCAGAGCCGCCTCCGGCGAGGCCTCCCCCGAAGAGCACCGCGTGGCCGAGGGTCTCAAGGAGCTCACGTCGGTGGTGGTCAAGACGATCGACAACGCGAAGAAGCGCATCGCCGACATGCCGCACGCCAAGAAGAAGCTCAACCCTCTGTGGGGCTTGCTCACGGAGCCGCTGTTCCAGATCATCGCGGCCGTGGGTCTGCTGTTGTCTGGCGTGCTGGGCCTGGTGGGGAAGCTCCTCAATGGCTTGGGTCTGGGTGGCTTGGTCAACGGTATCCTCGGTGGTCTTGGCGTCGACAAGCTGCTTGGTGGCCTGGGCCTGGGCAGCATCGGCGAGGCGCTGGGTCTCGGCGGCGGGAAGAAGAAGTAAAGTCGAATATGCGGCGGCGACAACAACAAGGAATGTTACGTGAAGAAGATGAACGTGATGATGACGGACAAAGCTCTTCTTCCTCCAACAGGATATCACGATCTCCAACACCACCACGATCCCTCGATGTTACGACTTCTTCTCTATTTTACGGTGGTTCGAAAAACGGCAATGGCGTTTTGAGCGGGGCTTTGGTATTGGGTTCTGCAGTTGTTCTAATGTACGCCGCGGCGGGTGGACTGGTCGTGTGGCAGAGTGGCAGAGACTTGGGGGGGACATAACCCGTAACAACTGAACAGTGTATACTAGCTTATTTGATTGTTGATGGAGAAAAAATTGTTCTTGTCTCTGTGTGCTGTGATTGCTTCTGCTCAACTTTGCGCGTTACTTGTTATACATCTCTGTAGCCTGTAGGAAAGCTTCGTAGTCGAATGGTATGAAATGGTTCTGAAAATATACTTGCTCTGCCAGACAGCGAACATGCAGTGTTTGTGACATTAGGAAAGGTAGACGTTATTTACAGCGAAGAAGCGGCAAGCCGTGGGCTGTTGTGAAGGCCGTGGAGATATCATGGCGGCTGGTAATGATATGCTCTGTCGCAGGCGAAACCAGAATCTTGTCTGCCGAGGTCTTCAATGCTGAAACCTATATTGTACACCTATGCATCCACCCATGCGCTCTGCATGCTCTATGGGAGACACAGTACTAGTTGTCGAGCCAGACTCACGACTCGTCGCCGCAGCAGGTCACGTGGTCTCCGAGCCTTGAGAATTCAAAAACCAGTAAGCTCGCACCACCGCCGGACCTCTGCGCCGCGCCAGCCTCGTACTACTAATTGCCGCGTTGTCCAATTGATGCTGATATACTCCTTCCTCCGGCCTTTGGCGTCCACAAAACCATCCGCCAGGCCCAGCGCGTCTCGAAGGTGTTGTTGCAACGCTTCCAGGTCGCCAGACAGTTTCCGAAGAACTGTAATGTGCTTTGTTCCGCCTCCCTTAGCGTGCTCGTACACGGGCAGCTGCGCACCTGGCGACGTGCGCGTTATCAGGTATGGGAGCTGGTTGGGGCTGGTGGTCTGTCCTGCCTCAGCAGCTGCTGCGTTCCCCGTGCTTGCGGAAGTGATGTCGATAGGCACTGGAGGTCGGAGCTCCATGGCGTTGGCGCGAGCCTGGGAGTCGAGCCCTAGGTGGTGCGTTAGTCATGTGAAGAAGGACCTAGGAGAGAGAGGGGAGCAGGAGACCTACGTTCTTGTATTTTGGCGTCTCGTTGCCGGCGGTGCAGCTTGTCCAGGCCATTGATCGTTCTGTACTTTTTCGGAGGCATCCAATTTGAATGCGCTCGCACTTGATGCCGTAGACAATTCGATGATATTGAAACAGGGGTGGAGGTCGACGAGAGGAAGGTGCGCAGGAGCGCTGCAGATGGGATGCGTGGTGTCATTATGCGGCGTAGTGTGGTGGAAGAAGGTCGCAGGTGACAGAAGATGAGGCAATAGAATTCCAAGAGTCCGAGCAGAATGGCAGACTTTAACGCGGTGGAATCGAAGACGGCCTCGAATTGAACCTGCTGGTCGTGAAAGGCGCTGTTGGGCGAGTCGTGAAAGCAAAGGTCGAGTTGCAGAACCGGAGCTCGATAAGTCGCCCCTGCGGTCGGTCAGAAAGCTAGATGAACGGACTCCAGCAGTTTTGCAGCTTGTGAGGCACAGTGTCTTTTGATCTGGTCACCAGGAGGGCATCGGTGCATATCATGGACTGAACAAAAAGAATGAGGTCTTTCACTGACAAGGCTGAGCATGAAGTTGGTAAGGCTGTCGGCGACCGCTTAAACTTGTCACCGGGAGCCAACCAACTTTCTCACACGTATCCACCCACAAAGCTTGCTTCTCGGTAAACTTACTGCATCCGCTCACACTGTGAAAATGCCTGGCCAAGGCCAGCAGAAGCTCGTAGACGTCCCCGCCGACGACCGTGACCTGATCTTTCCGATCGACGACATCCCCGGCCGCAAGTGGGCTACCAAAGAAGAGAAACGTCTTCTCCTCGAGTACGCCTGGTCATTCCGACCTCACCCCAAAATCGACAAGAATGGCTACGTCCGCACCTGAAGACCCAACGGGCGAATATGCCTTCCTCCAGAAACTCATCGCTCCTATGGACCGACACCTAATCTTTCCTCTACTCGAACACTATTCCCTCGCCGAAGTCGAAAAGTCCCCCGAACGCCACAATGACCTTCAACTCGCCATCTACCGTCTCCTAGAACCCACCAATATGGTGGACTATCTCGCAGGTCTCTATCCTACATTGAGTGGCGCGAAAGGCGCTGCACCCAACTTTGAGGCGAAGCGCGAAACAGTATTAGGAAAGCTCGAGCAGTACGAAAAGGATACCGAATATCTCTCCAATCTTCTTTCCGATGAAAATGTTACATCGCAACTTCGCTCCGACAAGGTCGCCAATCTGAAGTTCCTCGAAGATTCACACCAAGTCACCCCGCAGATGATCGACGACCTCTACACGTTCGGCCGCTTCAAATACGACATGGGTGCCTATGGTGACGCCGCAGACCTGCTGTACCGCTTTCGAGTTCTCTCCACAGACAATGACAAAGTTGTCAAGGCCACCTGGGGCAAGCTTGTTTGCGAAATCTTGGGCGAGGAGTGGGAAAATGCTCTTGAAGAAGTCGACAAGGTGAAGGAACACATCGAGACCCGCCTGTTCAACAACCCTCGCGCTCAATTGACAGCCCGCGAGTCTCTGGTTCACTACGCTCTCTTTCCCTTCTTCAATTTTGAGCCTGCCCGCGACAAGCTGATCGAATTGTACTTTTCTCCGCCATACATCTCCTCTATCCAGACAGTCTGTCCATGGATCCTGCGATATCTCGCTGCAGCTGTCATCTCCAATCGCGCTCGCCTCAACAACTCGCACAACTACCAGAAGCAGCTCAAGGACCTCGTGCGGGTGGTCAAGCAGGAAGTCTACGAATATCAGGACCCCGTCACCGAGTTTGTTAAGGCGCTACATGTCGACTTTGACTTTGAAGAGGCGCAGAAGAAGCTCTCCGAGGCTGAGGCTGTCCTGCGAGGCGATTTCTTCCTTGGCTCGTCAACGGATGCATTCGTCGACTCAGCCCGCCATCTCATCTCAGAGCTATACTGCAAGATTCACCAGAGAATCGACATTAAGTAAGTCATGAATGCAAAATTGCACGTGTCCTATGCTAATCCGTCAACAGGGACCTTTCTAACAGACTCGGTATGTCTGATTCAGAAGGCGAGAAATGGATCGTAGACCTCATTCGCGACACTCGCCTGGACGCCAAGATCGACTACAAGGCTGGCACAGTCGTGATGAATCACCCTCCGCAAAGCGTGTATCAGCAGGTGATAGAGAAGACCAAAGGTGCCTTCTTTAGGACGCAAGTGCTCAGTGCAGCGGTAGCGAAGTGAAAGTCGACAACTTGGATACCGTTGGTCACGAACAGTCCGCAAAAAAGCAAACAATCAACAATCCTGGAGAGCACCTCGAGGTAAGCCGAGGTCGGCACTTCAGGGTGAATCGCGCCTGGGGATGCAGAACGCGAAGAAGTCAGGGGGCGTCATGAATTGATGCAGAGATATGATTGACGCTAACCACTGAGTATGCATGAATGTCTTCCAGGGGCACATGCCGGCCACAGATAGATGCATAGCGACGGTGCTGAACGGCCATGATGAAACCACGGCTGAGGCGGCAAACGAAATGCTAAAAGCACGCGATGGCCACACCTTCGATCTTTTTTGAGTCTTGTTCGAGCTGTGTTCTCTTCTCAGCCCATCTCTTCCGTAAAGCCATGCTCCTGACGGAGACATACCATACGAGCCGCATGGCCACTCAAGGCGGTAGCGTCTCAGACAATCGTCTACTTCTTTGTCATCCATCCAGCCTAGGGACTTCCAGGATGCGATGAAGCAGCACGCGATATCGCAGAGACGTGACCGTCGAATGATAGCTGGCGGCGCCTCCAGGCCCCCCACCGTGTCATTTCGTCCGCTCCGCGACGGCCAAAACATACTTCAGCATTCGGAGGGTTTCGCAATCGACCGCCGTCTTAGTATACATACACGCTAGTCCAGTTCCGGCAATAGATTCATGACCATGCCGCTTTGGGTACGTCGTGGTCGTATTGTTTTTGGTGTGTGAATAATTTCAATCATGATTAAAGCATGAGACATGGTCGGAGACTGACCGGGGTATGCAAATATAAGAGGTCAGGCATCGCTGAACCGGGGCTGAGTGCTCGGTCTTCAAACAGTCGTCTTGGGTAGAAGAAACTGAGCACCCCTTCCACAGCGAACACTTCACAGCTCGCCAGTCTGAAGCATTCTTTGAGCAGTCCAGTCGCTTCAATCAAGTCCCTTCTACACCATCTCGGTATGTCGGATCAACCTTTAATCCTTATCACCGCTGCCACAGGCACGCAGTCATCATCCCTCCTCCGCACCCTCTCAGCCTGGTCCTCGTCGACGTCCACGTCCATCACTATTAATGCCACGACTCGCACGCCTCACTCCCCAGCCGCCCAATCTCTCCTGACCCACGCCCACACCAACTGCAACATTAAACTCTTCGAGACCGACTTCGAGGACCCCACCACCCTGACCGGCCCCACCAAATCAGTAACCCACGTCTTCCTCAATGCCACCCCCGTTCTCAACGACGTAACGGCCGAATCCCGCCAACTACACAACGTGCTGACGGCCCTACGCGCGAACGCAGCCACCACACTCCGCCGTCTCGTCTACACGACCGCCTCCTCGGTCCGCGACCCCTCGGACCCAAACTCCTTCGCCCCGTCCTCACTCGACCAACACCCCTGGATGAAAGCCTACTACACGTCCAAATACGGCGTCGAGCGCGCCGTCGCCCAGCTCGCCACCGACCTCCACTGCAACTACACTCTGCTACGTCCCGCCGGCTTCCTCACCAACCTCTTCACCCCCTGGATGTACCCCTTACTCGCCACCGAGCGCCGCATCGTCACCGCCCTGCACGCCGACTACGCCAACTCGTGGCTGGACCCCACGGACATCGGCCAATTCGCCGCCGAGGCCCTGCTGACGCTGCCGGACACCGATCCCAAATACCAGGACAAGTACCGCAGCCAGATCGTGCCGATCGCGCAAACGACGCGGACGCTCGGCCAGATCGTGGACGCGCTGAACGCGCAGCTGCGCGCCGACTCCAAAGTGCCGGCGGGCGTGCAGGTCGAATTGCAACACTTGAGCGACGAGGAGGCGGCGGCGCAGGGGAAGACGAACCCGTATCTGGCGAGTCAGGGGTTTCAGAACGCCAACAAGGGGATCTATGCGTTGGATTTGAAGGCGATTGAGGCGTATGGGCTGGAGATGTGTACGGTGGAAGATTTCTTTGCCAGGAACGCCGATCGCGTGCGTCGGGCGGTGGGGCTTGAGTGAGGGTTCTTGGAGGGGAGCGGCATTTGATAGTCGAATTCGGGCTGGGAAAAGGGCAGTGCCGCTGTCAATGCGTGAAAGGATCTGTTCTGCAGCTCGTAACGTGTTGGCAAGATGCGTTCCCATCTTGGAAACGAAGACAGATTGTACGACAGGATGTCGAACTCGGTTGATGGATGTTCTGTCATCGCCATTGCTCTTGTCATTGCTACTGCCATATGATTTGATATAGATGCTCTCTCCAAGAAGTCACAGGCTCAGTTGCTGCTCGAATTCTTGATGCACTTCTCAATGCACCCTATGAGTCCAACATGACCAGACCATCTGCGTCAAATGCGGTACGAGTATACGGCAAGCACCTGTTGAGTACAGCCGACTCCAAGAATCCTCTGGCACCATCTTCACCCCAAGAGAGTCCTCTTATCACATCGCCCACCGCTCCTGCAAATCGGTGACCTCCTCCATGTGCTCTCGTTCATCCTCAAGATCGCTACCGCCAGCTAGCATCTCCTCCAGCTCACGCTCATCCTCGTCGTCACTGTCGAGCTCTTCTGCTTGTACTTGTCGGTCTTCGGACTCTGCCGCCGCTTGCTCACGCTCGATCTGCTCATCATCACGCTGCTGTCGAGCTGCCGCCGCCGCCTCCTCAGAGAGTTCGGCTTTGGAGATATTGCTGGGTTGCGTATACTTTGTTGATGCTGAGACTGGAGGTGAAAGCGAGTTTGATGAAGTAGAAGTTTGCAGAGGCGAAGTCGCTTTCTCACTTGCCAGACTCTGGATTTCCTTAAGTCTTGAGCCGGTAGCTGGCCGCTTCTTTGTAACGTCCAATACGTTGCCATCGGTGTCACTGCTCGTGCCGTCGGTGCCGTCTTCCATTTCTCCTCGTCGACGCTTCTTTGCTCGTACGCTGAGTTCGGAGCGCACGCTCTCATTGTCGCTCTCCGAGTCCATATCGCTTCCCATGAACTCGCGCAGCTCCTCCTGGATTTTGTCGTACTCCTCCTGGTTGAAAGTTGGCGGAGAGTACTCTTCTTCATCATCGTCCAGCCCGTCGAGAGCGGTGTCCAACTTGAGTCGCTTCCGTGTTGGGCTGGAGCCTGCACCGTCTTCGTCTGTGGAAAGGTCGGTGTCATCGGAATCGCTGAGCATAAGGTCAGAACTAATCGCGCCGAATCCCTCAGTCTCCGGAGCTCGAGTCGGACTTGATGCTGGGGCATCTTCTAATTTCCCCGCGCCTTCAAGCAGGTAGGGCCGCTCATCGAGTTTGCGCCACCGAACCATGCTTTCGAACAGCCACGCAGTGCTCACGATTTTTATGCCTCGCTTCACAGCGCGCTTGACCTTCGCTGTACCAGCTCGTGCGGCGATGACATGTGTAACATCCCTACCTACTTCCTCGCGGACGGTGGCTCCAAAGGTCTTGGCCCAGGTAGAAATATCAGCTGACTGAATGTCTGTACCGAGAGGGAGGACGCCCGAGAAGACCAATACGACGCCTGAAAGGACGCGCATCTTCATCGCTGGCATGACACGCTTGACGTCTGGCACAAGGGCGAGATTCGCTGGGCCATCGTCGTCGGCCGACGAGTCAGGTAGCGGGGCCTTTTTCTGCCCGGCCAGGGCAGCTACGCGGCCACCCTTACCAGAGATACGTCTACGATCCCACTCCTTGAAGAACGCCGCATGCACAGCGGTCAGACCTGCTTCGAGGTGGATGAGCTCCTCGTCGTCGTCTTTGAGAATGGAATGTCGAGCAACGGCTTTCTTAGGTGTACCGCTCTGAGACTCCGTAGAGGAATCGGAATCGGAGTCTGTGGTGTGGGTTGTGGCTTGTGCAAGTGTGGCAGTGTTAGACTCGCCGTTTGTGTGTTGTTCATCGTCACCAGTGACGGGAGCTGCAGCTTCTGCAGCGGCATCTTTCTCGTCCTGCTCACGTTGCATGCGCTCTAGCGGCTTTTCCTCGAGGATTTTGTTGATCATTTTCTCCTGTGACTCGGTCTGCTCTTGACGCGCCGCAGGATCATTACTGCCACTCATTGCAAGGATGTTCTCGAGCGCTGATGTGCCATTCTGTAATGTTGAAGTCCCATCTGCCGCAACACCGTTGGAATTCTCGCCGCCCTCGTCATCAATGACCGTTTCTGGCACTTTCGGCGCCGGGTCGCTTGTAGTGGCCTGAATCTCCTCCTTCTTGGGCAGAAAGCTCGAGTTGATATCTCCAACGCCAACCCAAAAGTCGAAGGGCGTCACACGTACAAGGTTGGCGCTCCATTTCCAGACATCACCACGATCATCGATAATAACAACCATTTTCGTATCGATGGGGAACAATCTCTCCAAGTTCTTGACAGACATGCTGCCGCTCTCATCGCGGCTCAATATCCTGTCGCCGAAAAACTTGTGCTCAGGATCGACAATTTCGACAATTTGTCTGGCGTACTGACGCGTTCCCATGGTGTAGATGTGCAGCTCATATAGCTGGGAGATATGCTCCAGGAACTCGGTCAAGCCGGGGCGCAGTTTGATGTAGTACCAACAGCCACGCATACCAGCCGGATCGTCTAGTAGCTGGAAGGCAGGGACGTCTTTGACTGCGCTGTGATTGGGATTTTCTGGATCTCTCTGCCATTCGCCGATAGTTGGGTCAATGCCGGCGTGAATGATTGTCTGGTCCAGATCGACCACCAAGGACAATTTGCGCGCCGCCAGCAACCTCTGTTTAGACTCTTCGTCAATTTTTGCGGCCTCATCTTGACTGATTGTTAAATGAGGGGTGTCGTGTGCCATACGGATGGGTGCTCGTTCGATGGAGGGTGCCACTCCAGGCATCTCCCTGGTAAGGTCCTTGCCGCAGTTCGTACACAATCCATTGAACTGGACCTCATGCGGACATTCCTCAGTGATTTCGCAGACGTCACAGGGGCCTGGTATAACATCACCATCCCAAACGCGCCACTGTGCAATGGTGCCTTCTAGTGTGCTCGCAAAGTGTGTCGTAAGCTCGCGCTCAACCCATACATCCTCTTCATCATAGCGACCTCTGGCTTCTTGTCGCTTTGTTTTGTAGGAATAAAGGAAGAGCTGATCGTCTATCTGAATGAACTCGCCGACGCGTTTCTCGATCTTTGTGATGGTAATTGGGTAATGGAGGGAGTTGGGGAGTCGGAGCAGCATGCCGGCCGCAAGTGCTTCATGGAGAGCGGTCAGGCGCGGGAATGCTGTGGAAGGACAAGACGGATGCGAAGCGCAGGCGGATATTGTCCGGGAGAGTTTGGATGGAGGAATGCGGCGAAACTGCGATGGGAGGTTTGGAGGCAGTCGGAGAAGTGGAAATCACCAACAGCGACAACGACGATTTGGATGAAGAAAGACCACAATGGTCGTAGTAGCTTGAGAGATGAAACTTGTATCGGTTTGCGGTACTTTGTGGTGGTATCGATGGATTTGCGCAGATGCGGGAGCGAGGTCACTGTACGGAGTACTGAGGTATAGCTCTTTATATATGCGCGCGTGCATCTCCACCGGGGGACCTGCACTTCCACTTGCGGCGGGCGATGGAATGTCCTTGCAGCTGCAGCCAGTGACGCATGCTCCCCCTGGCTCTTTGTTCACCGACCCAAACTCGCCAGATTCCTCGACCAACCCGCTAGTAGCTCATCATGCCGTTGTAACTATCCGATACTCTTCGTACAGTCTCAAAGCATTCTACCAAGCTTGTAAGCCCGCCCTGGTACATCAAAAATCCAACGGCTGGTGTTGCCTGACGCCGCTCCGTTCGCCTCCTCACGTGATGAGAGCATTACGCCTGTAGATATGGCACGAGCCAACGAGTGAACCGCCGCTCACTTACGACCCTGGTCATGTGGTTCGGAAACATAGGCCAGCCGGCGGTGGTGGCCGAGTTCACCCTCTAGTAGGGCAACCAAGAAGTCAAGTGATTTGCACAATCCAAAGCTCAATGCAATGGGTGTGGGGTTGGCCATGATTCAGGGAAACATCCGTGAAAGGCTTATCTTGAATAGCATGGCTGGGCTATAATCACAATAGATGTGTGTCCAGTTCGACGTGCACCAGATCTGGCAACAGGAACGCAACGTCCGCATTACAACCCAGTTGTTTGCTCCAGCAGAATAGCCTGACTCAGTCAACGTGAGTCTAGCTCTGCCAGGCCGTTGCTATCTGTACATGACATTCTAGTCCTACTACTGATCAGGTCGCATTGCAGACCATCGTTCTCAACAGTAGCAGATCCACTTGCTCGAAAGTGCCCAAGCTCAAAGCCGCCTGCAACCCTGTGTACTGTCGAAAAGCACTTCTCGCTCACCTGCCTGTTTAATTCGAAGCAGCAAGACCAACGGCATCATTGCCGAGGTCATAGACGCTATACCACTTGCGGAGGAAGCTGTCGCCGAGGATGGCGAGGGGACCTGTGATGTTTGTTAGAATGAGTGATCCCGCGGGATGGTGTGGGTCATTGCTTACCGACTGGCTCAGGGAAATCCATGCCCATGAAGGCGCTGATACAGCTGCCCTGGATCTCCTGGATGTAGTCTTTGGCGGTAATAGAGAAGTTATAACCTGAAAGAGTAAAGGTCATGTCGGGCTCAGTATCGCGCTTAGAGCAGTCAACGGTGTATTGGCCGTTAAAGCCCTTCTTGGCACCGATCTTAGCATTGAGCAGATCAGCCAGAGTGGACGGAAGAGCGATCAGAGAGGTGCCGGTATCAAGGATGGCGCCAGTGTTGTCGAGATCGGCGGTGTCCTTGCCGAAGGTGATAGAATCAAGGTTAACTTCCCAGTAAGCCTTGCGGCGGAGGGGAATCTTGGTCATCTTGCCCGTATAATGGTCTTTATCAATGCCTCCGAAGGTGGCCTCACTGTCCTGCCCCTCATTGGTGTCGCCCAGGTAGAAGGCAAAGACGGGCTCATCCAGCAGACCCTGGTCGATCATGTTGTAGAATGGCGGTGGAATGTGGTTGACAGAAATACTGTCGTAACCGAGACCGAAGATGCCGTCGAAGCGGCCGAAGGCGAAAGCCAGGCCCGGCTCGTTGGTAGCTTCACCAAACAGTTGGTTCTTCACCTTCAGGTCACCAATCTGGAGGGTATCCTTGGAGATGATGCCAGCCACCTCGCCAGAACCGTAGCGGATCTCGAACTCAGAGCCATTCTTGTGGTAGGTAGATGATGCAGAGCTATCATACTTCTGGTGAAGATAGCAGGCGATGGAACCGCAAGAGGAGCTGGGAACCCAGAGGTTGGAGCTTCCGGTGTCGAGCACAACCTTGAACTCTTGCGGTGGTGAGCCAAGAGCGATGGTCGAGAAGTCTATGAATGGTCAGCTGAGCTTCCGATAAGCTGCGCCAGCGCTTACATTGAGCATTGAGGAAGTTCTCGACGGGGACATTGTGGGGATCCTTGTCCAGATCGATCGCGGTGTGCTTGAAGATGTCCTCAGATGGACCGCCCATGAACTTCTGGGTGTATTTATGACGAAGCGCCTTGACCTGGTCGGTGATGCTCGCGGCTTGGAGCTGCTGGTCAAGCGGGACCTTCTCAAGCTTCATCTTGTGGACGCCGGCAGCGGCCGTGCCCAGCAGGGCCGCAAACGCAGCGGCGGTCTTCATAATTGATGATGGAAAAGAGATGCAAGGATGTGAGATTGGGGATGAAGGATGATAAGGTCGCAGGAGAGAGCGAGACCTCGAGAGGCGAGGAAGGCGCCAGCGTTTTGAGGCGGACGAGGACCTGCGTCACAACGGCTTGGCGAGGCCCCACCTTCTCCAGGTGCTGCAACTCGCCCCAAAGTTGGCGCGGGCGAGGCCACAGAACGCCCGCGCGTAGCTGTGGCAACCCGCCTATGCCTTGGCAGGTAGCTCCCCGGAGTACTCAGAATGCAGCTGTCATAGATACATATCTATACAAATCGGGTGTTATCTTCTACGCGGCGAAAAATAAGGGAGTGGCATGCCTCGTTAAATGTCGTCTCCAAGTCTATCCGGAGTCGTCATTGTGCCCAATCTCAAAATCTACATCCAAGTATCTAATCTACACAGCTTTTGTTACAGGGCGACCTGGCAGGTTTGACAGCATCTGATGAATGCTAGTCAAAGAAACCGCCGACTTGTCTGAAGCAACAGCTTCTTCATTGGATATTCCCGGTTTCGCCTTCTTCTTGTCCGCCTCAGCCTGCCGCTTCGCTAAATCCGACAGCTTTCGCGAATCTTCCTCAGTCCATGCAAGCCATCGTTCATCCAGCACAGTCTTCTCTGCTTCCGCATCAGCATCCAGGATCTCGATCAAACCTTTGGTAAATGCGTCTCGTAACTCGTGCTTCTCGGTAAACATTGTGTTGTATTGCGAGACCTTTCCGGCTGTCGGTTTGCCATCAATACGAAGGTCCGAGAAGGCAACATGCAGGAATCGCTCAATCATCTTGCGCATTTCCATCGTCATGACAGCTGCCTTTGAAGTTGGCAAATTGACTTCGTGACCTTGCACGTTGATCTTGACCTTGATGGCTTTATCGAGTGTCGCCGTATTGCTGTCGCCAAGTGCGACTTCCCGGCCAAATAGCATCGCCATCAATGGCGTGATTGTCTGTGTGTCAACCATGCCAATACGATTCCCATCTGGCACAAATTTACCGAAAGCGTAGCTCATCAAGTCGCCTCTGTCAGACACGCGGGTGCTTACACCTGACCTCAGTAATCCTGCGGACAGGAAACTGTTGACCGCTCGCCACTCCGGCATCAGCAGCCCTTGTTTGCTGAAGAAGGTATGCGCTGACCACCTCGCAGCAAGTTCCGGTTGTAGCGAGAGCATGAGCAGCACCTTGACCAACGGCGTGCATGTAGCGTTGGTGTTGAGCTCCGGTGGTATATTTGGAAAATATCCCGCGCCCAGGTCAGGTATGGAAGCAATGCCTTGGGCGTGAAGTCGTTCACAGATCTGGCGTGCGGTTCGGGCCTGGTAGTGGTACAAGTCTCGACGCAACCCGTGCGTGGAGCACAATCGCGCCTGCAGATTCGTATCGCCACTGGTAATAGCATCATCGAGCTCTTTGAAGGCATTGATGCTTGCAATGATGTTGCTGTCAGTCCCCCTAGCGTAGTGGTATCGGGTCTTGACAAGCTCAACCCCAGTCCTGTCTGCCTTCGCGATCATCCCTTCGCCACCATCATCCATCGATGCTGCTATTAGCATGGGCTCCAGGCATCGGAACAGGACGCCCAATATGACCGCTTTAGCCAAATTTGGGTGCGTTCCGAAGGAAGACAGCATCCTGCCCAAGGGTGTGACTTCTTCGGCTTCTGTGAGGGCGCCGATTTGCTTGAGGCCGTGGATAGCTTTTGCGATATCTTCTTCCTTTGGACTGTCTAGTGCAGAGGTCAAACCTGTGGCAATATCTAAAGATTGTACCATGGTTTTCAAGCCAAGTGCGGTTCCCATCAAATCTTCCCGCAAAAGCTCCGGCGTCAGGTAAGTCTCGAATTCTCGGGCCCGGGAGTAGAGAGCATAGTAATTGCCAGGTTTCACCCGCCCAGCCCGGCCGCGGCGTTGTTGAAGGCTTTGTCTGCTTGCCCATTGGCAAAGCAGGCCCCGGCTGGCGGTTTCACTATCGCGTGTCATGAGCTTGGACGTTCCTGTATCAATCACATGCTCTACCTCTGGTAGCGTTATCGATGTTTCGGCGATATTGCTGGCAAGGACGATCCTTCTCCAGCCTAGGGCAACGGGCTCAAAGACTTCATCGTTTGTGTCATTGAGCTGTGAATGTAGTCTGAAGATCTTGACACCTCCGCCCTCCGGTGTGTTCTGGTTCCAGAAGGCTTCCTGGGCCTCGAGGAGGTCCGCAGTCTTGTTGATATCGTTCAATCCAGGAAAGAAGACCAATATATCACCCTTCCTCGTAGTCTGAAAGACGTGCATAACCGTCGCTGCCGCCAGTTCGAACGGCACAATGTAATCTTGGCCCGCTTCAATGAGCGAAGGCGTCTCAATTGTCGGGCTTACGGCATCGGAGTCCGACTGCAGGGTTGCATTGATGCCTGAAGAGTTGCTTTCGAGTTCTGCATTGATATACATAGCGGCCGGTCCTTGCGACAGGGTGCCGATCGCGCCCTCGCTCGATTGCGAAAGTTGGGCGCTGATGTCCTCCAGATAATGGTCGGTGATGGGAAACAGCCGTCCAGGAATTTCAAACTTGGAGGTAGTCAAGCCGTGCTTTCCGTCTAATGGCTGCCGGAAATACTCTATAAATTCGTTGCTTTCGATTGTGGCTGACATAAGGACTACTTTTGGGTAGCGTTTGCCCTGAGCCTTCCGATTGAGGATAAGTTTGCGCAGGATTAGCATAAGAATATCTATCTCAGTACTGCGCTCGTGCACTTCGTCGAGCACAATGTGTGAAGCCGTATCCAGCACATGGTCGGGTTGGTGGTGCATATAATTCCAAAGGATTCCATTAGTACAGTAGAGAATGTGTCCGTGCTTATGTGGAAGCTGTGGCGAGAAGCGGATATGGTGGCCAACAGTCTGTCCGAGGTCTTCTGTACGCTCCCAGGCTACGCGCCTAGCAATAGATACGGCAGAGATACGACGGGGTTGCGAGCAGATGACGTTGGTATGTGCACCCTTCCCATCATGGATAGCGTAATCTAGAATAATCTGGGGAACTTGAGTTGACTTGCCGGAACCGGTACTCCCCGGCACGACGAGGACATCGCAACTATCGAGGGCCTTTATCAATCGTGCGTGGCGACTGTCCGTCATGACAGGGAGCTTCTCTCGTTGGAAAAGGCGTTCCCTCCATTCCGGATTCATTTTCTTGACACGAAGGTCACGCAGCATCTGATTTGATCTCGTGTCCAGATATGACTTGGACGGTTTCGCAGAACTCCGAGGAGCTCGGTACGAGTCTTCCGCGACGTAGCCAAGGGTATTGTCCGGCAGACCCAGCTTTCTTGCCAATCGCATGGTTCGAAGCATGGGCGGGAAGGCATTGCCATAGAGTGTCACGTCGAAGACATGTGCGGCAATCTTCTCGCGTTTCTCTATGGCCTGCTCACTCTTGCCTATCTCCGGGATGGGTCCCGGCAGCGGTTTCGCTTTTTTATTAGGAGAAAACGTTTCTTTCTCTTCGCCGTTGACGGGTGAGTTGTGAAGGATTGGTCGCTGCAGTGCATCCCCTTGAAGAGTCAGGTCTGCCTCATACTCCTGTGTAGTGTGCTGCACAGCGTCTGCACCGACCGATTCCTTCAATACCGTCGTGGTCGCTAACGTACGTACATGGCCACGGAGTGAAGCATGTCGACCGAGCGGACCATGTCTGCTAGGGCGAAGGCGAAGGACTGAGCGCGGAGTGAGACATATCGGTAACGTGGTCATCTGCCGTCCTCTCCTCTTGATGGATACTGATTGTGGTGTCCGGTCACCGAGACGCAATATGAGGTGGGTGCGCTGTACCACTGATCAGTCAAGTTCGTCACCAGTTTCAAGTACGTACCCATGGCAAATTCGATCGCATGGCTGGGATTCGTCCGCATTAGCACCATTGCTAGGCAGCGATCGACTCAAGTGTCAATAGAGTCGCGCCAGGTCCGACGTGCCGGGATGAATGCAAAGCTGGGCTCTCCGAGAAAAAAGTTGTGAACCTCGTGCAAGGTCGTTCATTGCAGCGTTCCGCAGTCGATCCACATACAGGGAAAAATACGACCAATTGGAGTTGGCGCTCGCGGAAGCCAATCCCTGCTGCCGCCGCGACCAACGCCTTCAAGTATACGTCTAGACCAACGCATTCGTGTATGGTAATGCTTACTGTTATCCAATGTACTAGTTCTATAACGCAGCTGCCGTCGATCGGCACTTCAGCAGACTGACATGTGACAGGCATCTTTCTTTAAGTCAATGCACCGATCGCAATGGCTCACGCAGCTAGCTGCAATCTTATGCGCCACGCTCCCAACGCCTTTGTGAGCGAGCAGTCAAGTCGACTCAACTTGACTAGCAGTGTTTGCCCCAGTTGTCACCAATCCATCCGGCCATCATCTCGGTGAAACTCCGATCCCCACCCCACGGCTTGCTGTCAGCGTCGTCCTTCACCTCTCCGATGAATCGGAGAGCCAATAATAGGTAGGGCTGGATGAACTCGTTGAAGACAACATCCACCGGTGTGTCGTCGGGAATGAGTCCTCCGGCAGGATTGACGGTTGACTGTACCACGTTCGGTACACGGTAGAAAGAGATCGGGCTATGCACGGTATCATCGCCGTCTGTGCCGCCGTCATCGGTCGTGGTATAGCCTGGTTGGAGGGCTTGTCTTTCATGATCACTTTCAAGGGGCTTTTGAGCTGGGATTCCACTTTGCGGTTTGGCTGGAAGATCACTGGTATCATAAGGGCCTGCGAGGACATTGTTGTTGCGACCGCGTTGCATAGGTGGCCCCAGGTCTGCAGGGTTCACCTCACCATCAGTGGCTTGTAGAAAGATTTGGCCCGCAGAGTTTAGTATCGCCACCAGCTGCTTCGCCTTGCTATAGGGAATGGCGGGAATGTGGCGCATGGTGCTTGTGAAGGGCGAAACGATAAAAGTCGAGTCCCGCGTGAAAGCACCGGCAAAAATATCGAAACGGATAGCCCCTGTGTTGAGAAGGATGAGGCGGGGTTTAGACAAGTATGTCTGCTCAGAAGGCTCGAGGGCTGGGAGCACGGTTTCATTAAGCCACGTGTAGATACTTTGGTTCGATGGGAAGGGGCTGCGGGCCATCCAAAGGTTTGTAGGCGCGCAGCCGTAGATGTGATCAAGGTCGAGGGCGGAGCGGGAGTGTTGTATCAGCGAAGATACGTTTTTTCCACGAGGGGAGTGAAAATTGCTCGCGTTGGTTGATGAATGGTGGTAGAAAGAGAAGAGGTTGTTGTCGATGTAGCGACGGAAGAAGCTGGGCGTTGCGAGAGTTTCAGCGCTTTTACTCTTGGCCGAGACGCCGTCAATGGATGCAAAGCCGATTGTTTCCATGAAGCGTCCACTAGCCAGGCCATAGGCTTTGGAGTCGTAGCGTCTATAGTCGCGAATATGAAAGTGCCCACCAAAGAAGTGAATAGGAATGTCCCATTTCACGGAGCGGATAGCTTTGTAGATGGCATCGAACTCCTCCGATCGAACGGCTGAATGGCCAATAACGACAAAGAGGTCTACGTCCTTGTCGCGGATGGCTTCCTGAAACCAGGGCTCCTGGATGGTGTCTTTGACTGGTCGAACACGAGTGTTGTTGCCGTTTCGCTGAAAGTTGTAGATAAAGCCGAATGACATTATGCGGACCCCTTGCTTCTTGGTGGTGAACTTCTTAAATTTTGCCGCTAATGGGACGAATTTGCTTTTGACAGGGTCGAAGATGTCAAGATTCGATGCCAGGTAGCTGTCCTTGTAGGCCGGTACCGTGATATTGTACTCGTCACTGGCAGATGTGACTTTGTATAGTTCGTGGTTCCCGGAGCAGATCAGATCAATGTTCTGCTCCTTAAAGATGTCGAACGTGTATTTGCCTCTTGGCTTTGAAGCATCGTAGAGACCGTTGCCTTCTATTCGGTCGCCTGTGTCGACCAGGAGAAGGTCCCTCCCATCAGCCTCAAGTTTTTCTCTCATCCGCCCAGCGAAATCGATATAGTCTCCCCAATCAGCAGCATACGAAGGCTCAAGCAGATGACCCGCATGCCATCCATGAGTGTCTGTTGTGTGTAGAAAGTTCACTGAGCCTAGTCGTAGATCCCGTAAAGGGGCTGCATAAGGCTTTGGTGCGTCGGGTTGACTAGCGAGCCCGGTCTGGAGCAGCGCCGCTACGACCGCAAGGACCGGGACATGCAACATGTTGGCTGTGGTGTATGAGAGGTAAACACCACGGATCAGAGCTTGTGTTCATGGGAGCGCACCAGCCAAACCACCACCACAGGCTGTTGATATGAGCAGCTCCACGGTCTACGAGGATGTCAGGATGTTATACGAGGTTTCACATAGATTTTGGTGTCGCTGATGTGAGTCAAGGAGGCCATACATGATTCCGGGAGACCTTAAGGTAGAGTCCGTGCTAGTCCGTATCAGGCCTAGTAGGTCGGAACGGCAAGCTCAACGCGAAGCTATGTCCTGTTCCCAACGTTAGAATAATTAGTTATATTGCCTCCATTCGTTTCTGTGAGCTTGTTCATCATCTTGCACTAAGCCCTCAACTTCGCCTGCTGCATAACAGAGTGTCCGCTGCACGTCTGTCACAGCCGACCTTTGCATCTCTGTCCCTCCAGCGGCTTCCTTAGTTTCCGTCCTAATATGTCTAAACTACTCCGTCCTGCCTCGCGGCTTCTTTCTCAGCCCACGATTCCTCGCTCGGTGTCGCGTTCAGTTCGCAAAGTAGCCCCCTCGGCGATCCCTTCGATACGAGGCTATGCCAGCCAAGGCCAGACTCTGACTGTACGCGACGCCCTTAACGAAGCCCTCGCCGAGGAGCTCGAGCAAAATGACAAGGTCTTCATATTAGGAGAGGAAGTCGCGCAATACAACGGTGCATACAAGGTCACAAAGGGTCTGCTCGACCGCTTCGGTCCCAAGCGGGTCATTGATACACCTATTACCGAGTCTGGATTCTGCGGTCTGGCTGTCGGCGCTGCCCTGGCTGGGCTTCACCCTGTGTGCGAGTATGACATTCCCTCGCAAGATTTGTAGAGCAATACTGACAAATCGCAGGTTCATGACCTTCAACTTTGCCATGCAAGCTATTGACCAGATCATCAACTCGGCTGCAAAGACGCATTACATGTCTGGTGGCATTCAGCCATGCAACATCGTCTTCCGCGGACCCAATGGTTTCGCTGCCGGTGTGGCGGCACAGCACTCGCAAGATTATTCAGCTTGGTATGGCAGCATCCCTGGTCTCAAGGTTGTGGCACCTTGGAGCGCCGAGGACGCAAAGGGTCTACTCAAAGCCGCCATCCGCGACCCTAACCCAGTCGTTGTTCTGGAGAACGAGTAAGTACGGTCCCGGCTCGAGTTTCCGCTGGCTAACGAAATAGGTTGCTCTACGGTCAAGCTTTCCCCATGAGTGACGAAGCCATGAAGAGTGACTTTGTGCTTCCTTTCGGCAAGGCTAAGATTGAGCGGTCTGGCAAAGATCTCACCATTGTCACCCTCTCAAGATGTGTCGGCCAGTCGCTTGATGCCGCCGAACAGTTGAAGCAAAAATACGGTGTGGAAGCTGAAGTTATCAATCTGCGTTCTGTCAAACCTCTGGATGTGGAAGCTATCGTCAACTCAGTCAAGAAGACGGGTCACTTGATGGCGGTCGAGTCCGGCTTCCCTGCATTTGGTGTCAGCTCCGAGATCCTGGCGCTCACCATGGAATATGCTTTCGATTACCTGGAGGCTCCTGCAGTCCGTGTCACCGGAGCTGAAGTCCCAACTCCATATGCCGCCAAGCTGGAAGAAATGAGTTTCCCTCAGGTGGATACCATCACAAACTACGCCGCTAAGCTATTGCGAGTGTGATGTAGAGCGATAGGTTGATCAAAAGCAAGGTTTTGTATGTATTATTGCAACAGATCTGGGGACCGATGTGCAGCCCCTGGTCCTTTAGCTTACAGTGGCGTGGGAGCAGAATATTATTGGAGACTTTCATGATAACGATCCTTGTACAAACGCACCTGTAGCTGCGTATTCTGAACCGACCCGCTGTACATATATTTCACCAGGAACGATGTACTGTGGTACGCTTTGATCGGGCCCAGAGCCGCCGCTGGAGCGCTTGGCATTGCTTGCAGAAAACTCAGCTCCGACGTTCACTGCTCGGTCTCCTCTTTTACACCTCCATCATTAGATCTCTTCCCTCGCCACTATTCTTCTGCAGCCTCTTCGCTTAAAGATGGGCTCCGAGCTCCTCCGAGAAATCGCGGAGGTGGCCCTATGGCTTCGAGTTCATGCACGTTTCTGCCGACCCTAGCACGTGGCAGATAATTGATCGCAGGGGATGCCGCTACTGCATCCGGATCTCGGCACCCAGAGAGATCTAGCTTGAAGTCGGTCGATACTGACACGGCATTCAGCAAGCCACATCTGTCGCTCTTGGCCGTCAAAAGCTCGCTTGCGGCTTCCCACGTGCTCACAAGGTTCTAGCCTCGAGGTCTCGATCTGAACGCTGTGTAACTTATGCCACCCAGCTGTCCGAAAGTCAACTTTGAGTGCGATGGCAGGAGAACAACATTTGTCATTCGCACGGACCGACGACTGCTTCAAATCGCACATGAAGAATTTCGAGCTTTCTGGTTCCAATGCTCACACTTGGACGGTCGCTGCAACTTACGAGGTCTAGACGGTCTAGGCGCCGAGAGTCGGCTGCCGCAGCTCATCTAGATCGATAGCTACTTTGGGACACATGCATGATCATCCCAGATCCCCAGATCGCACATGGCTCAAGCCTCCACGCTTGCTGCCATGTTGTTGACATGCTGCGCCTAGCCAGTCAAGCCTTGATGCTGCATGACGTTGTTGCTGCAAGCCTGAGTCGCTTTGTTTGCATCGACTGGTCTATGCCATCTTACTGCTACATTGTGAACGTTCTCCGACAAAGAGTCCACCGCAGCATCTAGCGCTAGCAATCCCCGTCCATGTCTGATCTGCTTCCTGATCCGGAAAGGTGCAAGCCCCGGTTGTAGTCATGAAGACGCCACCTACTTAGCCAGTCACTCAGCCGCTTGGGGTCTCAGCCCTCCTGGTCGCGGAGGGGCCCCAATACTCCCGTGTCAAGGAAGCGACAAGGCTTTCCAACCCGTGCTTGGGTTTATTCCACAGTTCTGAAGCTTCGGCTGGCCAATTTGAGCTATGTACTGTAACCATAGCTAACGATCGATAGCGAAAACGTCATCCACATCTGGTCGACACCCCCAGCACAAGCACTGCTCGGCTTCTTCGCAATCGCCCTGTCACTATGCAAGTGGACCGATTGTTACTTCTCTTCAGCGATGCAGGGTTCTCTCCCGATCCGGTTTCTTATGTTCATGCCTTGTTCAAGGCGCAAGGAGCTTGGGCCGCCAATCGACTTGTAGCATCGTGATCAAAATGTGCGATCTTCTTCGACGTCTTGACGCTCTCTCGGTTACTGTCTTCGCAGCACCCTGGATGGCAAGGTTGGTCTCGTCAGCAGTGCATATAACTTTACCAGCAGATCCATACACCGATTGATGAATGCTGCACTTCGCCGTATGACGAGTCATTCACTCAACCTACAACACACGTTCGAGAGCCATGCCACTTCCGACACAGCCCCCCGGCGCTGATGGTTCGATTACAATGTTCGCCTCTATCTGGAATGATAGTCAGGCCAGCGCCACTTTGCACAGTGTCCACCATATTTTACGTTTACCCGCGGAACTACGGTGGCAAATCCATCAAAGCATGCTTCTAATGTCCCGGAGAGATCATCTGAGCCTCTTATGCACTTGCAAACAGATCTGGCAAGAAGGCCATGGCATCTTTCTCTCCAGACCACTGCTCTGCAGCTCACAAGAACAACTTATTGGATTCAGCCAGAGCCGCAGCAAAGCCGCGTTAAGCAGGATAGCTTCTGTCGCTGTTTGCCTTGAGGATCTCGATCGAGAACAAATGCGACCCTACTTGGCGCAAGTCGTGATGGGCTTGACCAAGTTCATCGCACAACCATATGCAGTTGAGCGCGAACGTATCACTTCGGCTCTCGCGTGTTTCCCGAACCTAACATCCATCTCGATTCTGCGGCAGACTGATCCGGCTCGCAATCACGCCCCAACTTGGATGGTCAGGGAGATCCTTATCTGGATTGCGAGGCATTTGTCCAGGCTCCAGTACATGCGCATAGACTACGATGGGTATCCACTCGATCATTTTGCGCATCTTCCGTCTCTACGCACGCTACAGCTCTCGGGATTTTCAGATACCGCCCCGAAGCACGCCCAACAAAGTCTGCGATCCCTAATGAACCTCCAGGAATTACATATTATTCCCGCTGGCTACATCATGCGTCGACCGTATTTCAAATGCCAGCAACCGAAGCAGTCAGTAACGGCAGCGCTGATTCAAAACCTTAAGCCCCTGAGAGTCCTGACGCTCTGCGAGCCACCTGAACGTCAAGCTAACAGCGAAGCGTTCCTCACACCGTTGATGATGAAAGCAGTTGGCTCAGCGCACGGTCAGAGCCTCGTCGAGCTGCGCATCTGTTCACTGCATGCATTGTCAGGCGCTACACTGAGCATGCTCTCTGCCCTGCTAACAACGGCCACTAGGCTCCGGGCTCTTGGTCTAACATTCCCAGACATGCTGGTGGACCTCCTGGATGCCCTTCCCGAGACCGTCATATTGCTCGAGCTCCTGGTCCGAGATGCGGTAGAGGCCCTCATTATGCTAGACAGGCTGAATGCGTTACCCAGCACGTCCTTACAGCGAAGACGAGTCAAGTTCCTCACTGCCAGCTCTGCTATTAATGCCACGGGGTTGGCATCTACGAAATTGCCGATCTGCCAAGTTGAAGAAATGTGTCACGTCTCACGCAGAGCGCATTCGGATTGGACGGTCAGCTGGGGAGTGTGGCGGCCTTTCTCTGATGCTTGAGCGGGTCAAGCATCTACAGGTGATCAGCATACAGGCTGTGGCGAGGGAAGTGGACAGTGGGACAGACTTTGCGTGTACCAGGCCCAGATTTATGCTGTTTGGTCGAATCTTCCTCCCATGCTGCCCTTGTACTGGGCAAGACTCTTGAGAAGATACCATCGCAGGTCTGTGTTTGAATGAAGAGATAAGAGATTCACAAAGGTCGGGGGCGGACCTACCACCTAAAAAGTTCTGTATTTGGAGAAGATAGGAGTAAGCAGGATTTATTGAGACGACGTGGGCAGGCGTGAATCATAATCTACGTTCCCCAATGACTTTTGCTCCGTACTTTTCATCACAGCCTGCGCATAGCTCGCAACAGCGTCGAAAACCGACGTACATTCTTGAAACTGCTTGTTTGGTGGCGGCGGGACAACAAAGTGCGTAAGCATAGCCTCTCAGCACCACCTTTTGAGGGTCCTTCTTCTGTCACAAGCGACATCCGGGTCCCATATCTCGTTCTCCGCCGATAGACGTCCTCACAGGGTTGTGACATCGTCCTCCCTACTTCGCCTTCGTTCAACGCCTCGCGGCACTAGCGTTTTAGCATTCCGACTTGATGACGGCGTGCCTTGCGTCCCCTTTACGCGTAATATGCCTGCACCTCGCTAAAGCAGTCGTGCGTCTAATAGGCTCTCGCGAGGTTTCTCAGGTACCAGTCGACCAGCCTCCGTCCCTGTTTCGCCTCCGAGATGTGGATCAAGTCGCCCTCGATCGCGTAGTCCAACTCGCTGCCGTTAACAACCTCGCCGTCCAGAAGCCCGCCTTCGGTCCACCGGACCTGCCTACTACGCTGCTTGTTGACCAGCAGCCAACTGCGGAGCTTCTCAGGCTCGACGTCTAGAAAGCTGCTCAGTTTCTTCAGGTCCATAGTGGAGTAGAGCTTCAGATATGACTTGACGGTCGGGTTGAAGAGTGTGTTCTTGACCTCGTCCATGAAGATCTCGGTGTGATGATCCACAGGATCGATGTTGAGGCTTGGGTTATCGAAATCTGGGGGAGTGGGCGAGATGAATTTCGGGCACGCAGACTGGAACAGCTCCCTGTAGACAGGGAGAGACTCGGGCCCACCACGCTGCAGACGGTTGAACTTGTCGCCGTATTTCTCGCGCAAGACGGTGTGGATCGTGTCGTCGAGACGAGTAGGCGCAAAGCTCACGCAGATGGCGATTAGCGCGTACATCTGCTCGGTCTTCTTGGCGATGGCATCAAAGCCGGCCTGGTTGCCGCCCTTCTGGAAGTTCTTGGTACGGCTGACGTACACCAAGATGTGGCTGAACATGCGCACAGCGTCCGCATAACGGCGGAGCATCATGTAGCTGAAGCCCACGTAATAGTAGGTGTTGAGATGGGCGGCCATAACACGCGCGAACATGGCTTTCTTGTTCATTTCAATATCGTCAAGGGTCTTGAGCGCGAGAGAGAAGTCGCCGAGTAGGCAGTGCACACGGAGCAAGCCGATGATAGAGAAGTAGCCGAGCATGCGATAAATTGGGCGGGAGCCGTAGTCTCCAGCAACCGCTGTGGGGTCTTCGTTACGCTTCTGGGCCGCAAGCTGCTCGTTGATCTGACTGCGCTGAATGAGGGAGTAGAGAACATTGAGAACGGAATAGCAACCCCAAGTGTTCGGGTTCTCCTTGAGTACCTGGGCTTCTTCGTCGCCTGGGTTTGTACGTGCGACTCGGTTGCGGTAGCGGCAGAAGGATTCGAATTGGTAGATAAATTCATCGATCACGTCCCACGCCCAGTAATACGAGGGCTGCTCGATGTCGACGGGGCCGTCGGAGTTGAGGATATAGTGGAAGAGCGAGCAATAGTTGTCGTAGCTGGCGAACTTTGTCTCGAGCGAAGCCTGATATTCGAGCGGTGCGGCGGCTGCTTCAAGCTGGGCTCTTAGATCTGCGGGACCACCTAGGCTGTCTCCACGCTCCAATTCGGAGCCTCCTTCATAATTAATCTGCTCTTGGTAATCATTGACCAAGGTCTCCTCCTGAAGATCCTCGTCGTCGAGGATCTGGGGGTTGCCGTTGTAGGCCATTTTCTGTGTGGGCTTGAACGATCGACTGGTTCCGCAGTGGGCGCGTAAGTTGTCGGTCGGCTGTAATGCAAGGGCTGCAGGAAGGCACAGGGCTTTTTCTCTGTATCTCTGTGTCGTCGCGTCGTTAGCCAGGCAATATCCTCCTCTTGCGTGTTGAATTGCGGTGCTTCTACTTTCCAGCGGGCGGTGGGATTCAAAAATGACAAACTCCGCTATCTCCTCCGCCAAGCCAAGGTGGGGGCTTTCACGCTTGTACCATCATGGTGGCCAACGCCGATGGTGACCATCAACTCGCCAGAGACAGGTGCAAAGGTAGGTCAGCTGCATTGGAATGCGATATCCGCGATCATCATGGCTACATCATACGAAGATTTCAGCCCCAAGTTCAAGGTGGGCCTGGTTCAGATTCACCCCAAGGTAGGAATGTCGCAGGCACTTTGCTATCAACCACTGATATCAGCAGCCGCTGGATGCAGAGGCCAATTTTAGCACTGCTGTATCGGGTATACGAGAAGCTGCAAGTCAGGGTGCTTCTCTCATTGTGTTGCCAGAATATCATTTGACATCGTGGGTTCCTGACGACCCCCAATTTGCGACCATAGCCCGAACCGCCTATTCGTATGTGTCGAAGTATCAGCAGCTCGCCAAAGAACTCAAAGTCAATATAGTTCCGGGAACTATTGTCACGAGTGACCCCAGTCAGAGATCCAATGGCGTTGCAGTTGAAGCTTCAGCGTCTGAAAATGCGGCTCTTCTCAACATCTCACCCTTCATCTCCTACCAAGGTGAACTGCTAGGAAGCTACACAAAGGCGAATTTGTGGCACCCCGAGCGCCCACATCTGACCTCGGGGCCCGCATCACAGTCGTCGATGGAAGCTGGTCATGCGCGCCCTCAGCCTCATTCAGTCATCGAGACCCCGCTGGGTCCCGTTGGACTATTAATATGCTGGGATCTGGGATTTCCCGAAGCATTTCGATCCCTGGTAATGCAGGGTGCAAAGATCATCATCATACCGACCTTCTGGACCGCATTCGACATGTCGGCAGAAGGTTTAGCTTACAACAAGGATGCGGAGACATTATTTTTGAAGTCGACTCTGGTGGCACGTGCTTTCGAAAACACGGCCTGCGTTGTGTTCTGCAATGCCGGCGGACCCAAAAAAGACGGCTATGTTGGCCTGAGCTCGGTGACCATGCCTATCACCGGCACATTGCCAGGCAGCTTTGACGACGGACGGCCGGGAGTTGCAGTCGTGGAAGTCGATATGAAACTGCTCGACATTGCCGAGAACAACTACAAGATTCGCGAGGATCTGGCACGCGATGATTGGCACTACGGCTACTCTCACTCAACAGAAGAATCGAACAGAGGACGTCAATAATCCGCAGAAGTCTGCATAAGCTTTGAAAAAGCCATGAAGATGAGTCAATGCTAATGTATAAGAATAAGTTTGGTCTTCCGACCCCCAATGCCTGCCACATCTGCGCACAGCGCAACTGAACGCCGTCCACCATCGCTATGCTAACGAAGTTCTTGTGACTGTTTTATCTCTACTCCCATTGGTATTCCAGGCCCCGCCTCTGGCCAGCGCGGAAAGCCTGTGCCGCGTTGTCGTTGGGCTGACCACTGCCGAAGCCACAGCCACCATCGCGCTAAAGACACAAGGTCAGTCATTGCAAACAAAGTCTGAGTAGGTAGAAGCTTACCTCCTGAGCAACAACCGGCCCGGCGCACTTGCCCGAGTTGAAGCCGCAGCAGCCCGAAGCACAGTCCGCGTCTCCGGAACATGGACCAGTGATGAATTGCGAGCCGGCGCCATTGCTACCGGCGGCAGCAGCAGCACCGCCAGCACCCGCACCAGCACCAGCACCACTATTGCTAGCCGCAGCGCCATTGTTCGCGGCACCGCTGTTGGCAGCGCCGTTGTTGGCACCATTGCCGTTACCCATCCCAGCCGGAGGGTTGGAGTTCTGAGCAGCGCCCGCTGAAGCGGCGCCGGTGCTGCCCGCGTTTGCATTGCCGCTGCCATTAGCCTGCGCATTACCGTTGCCGCTCCCACTGCTTGGGGTGAAGGCTCCTGTGAAGCCTAGTTGCCTCGCAGCGTTATCGTTAGACTGGGCGTCCCCGAAGCCACAGCCTCCATCGCGCTAGTGTTCAGTCAGTATACAACTGCTGCAATGCGGTCAGGTAACACCTACTTCCAGTGCCACAACGGCACCAGCGCACTTGCCGGACTGGAAACCACAACATCCAGATGCGCAGTCCGCGTCAGAGGTGCAGGCACCAGTGATGAACTGGGTGCCTGTGCCTTGAGCGGAAATAAGAGTGGCGAGGCCAAGGGTGATGAGAGACACAGCGATGCGGACCATGTTTGCGGTTGTTGATTGGCGTTGAGTTGGGTATTAAAGGTGGGGTGTGGCCGTTCGGTAATCCGTAAAGAGTGATGTCGAAAAGAAAAAATGTGTCCAGCACAGAATGAATGACCTTTGGGGTGATGAAGGTGGTTGCACTTGTTTGATGGTTGCATTTCAACGACCAGCAGATCTCACCTACTTATAAAATTCCATGAACGTGCAGGCGTCAACTCCTGAAAAATATGCGCATTGACCGAATCCAGAGGATTTTCGTGGATCGCAGGCGCGCTGATGCTGAAACTGCTCCATTGAGTAGCATTGGGCATTGAATGGCCAAAGGAATACGACCTTCGATTGTGACATTTGGGCAGGTCATCCTTGCCAGAGCGCGACTCATTGCCTTCATTCGCAGGGACTAGCAAGAAATGCACAAGACCATCGCCAACCTGCGCCACTGAACTCGATAATCTGGAACGCTACATGAGACGCGAAGAGTCAAAGGCCGTGATATTGGATGCAAGGCTGCATAACCCTTCACGAGGCTGCAGGGGCGTACAGTCTCCACTTGACACGTTCTAGCCAATGAATATGGAAGTTTAGTCTCGGCGAAAACCGTTTCGAAACGTCCAACGTTCGACGCGTTCAAAGGGGTCTGAAATGTCCTCGTCCTCGTTCCCTTTCGGCTAATTTCAAGGCGTTTCCCCAGAACAGATCACTCGCATTCTGAAGCTTTGTGAGTATGAGGTGTGTCCTTCTGGAAAGCAAGGCCGTTGCCGCGGTTGCAGATTGGGGCTGCAAATCCAATGGACTGGTTGACAACGGTCCTCCTGGGTGTGGCGAGGCTATAGGTTCGAAGTGGCGTAACGGCATTCTTGTGGCGTGTTGCTGATCCGCGGGCTGTAGGAGCCTTCGACATAGGCGACCAGCAGTGGCAACACTAATTACTAGCCTAAGCTTAAGACAATCACGTCTTGCTCAACGACGCGTGTCTCAACATGGCGCACATCTTCAGCTGCTGTGCAGCGGCGAAGCATGCCAGGTTGCTCGATGCTGTGGAGCTCCGAACAGCCTTCATGCACCCCAGAGATCGCCTGCTGCCGGATATGCGCTAGTCAAACGCCCAGCAACAGAGTTCAGCTCAACAAGCTGCAATGGTTCCAGAGCGCGTTTTTTAAAATAGCATCCGCAGCTGGTCCGACATGCCAATGTACTTTGGGGCCCTTCGCCGTCGGCATCAGCCTGGCGGGCCAAATGTCCTTGTTAACAACACCCCCACATCATCAGCTGTAGACATGCGACGGTGGTATTACTCTGGTTACCTCCTCTGTCAATTTCCGTTGGCTCCTGAAGGGGCATGATTCACATCTGTCCAAGAGTCGTCTCATACAGAGCACGCAGTCCATCGAGTCGGTACTGACTTTGCATTACGTATGGAAGGCCGTAGCAACACATTGCGGGTGACATCTGTCACGGAAGCAGCAAAACCGATGATCGCAGTGCAACCATAACCTCATTGCAAACGAGCCGGCCTTAGTACCTCGACATGTTCCTATTCTACGCCTGAATATCTGAGTCCTAGTGCCAACCTCCGAGTTATTAGTACTTTCAGGTTAGCACGCAACGGCAACAAACACAGGTAACGCCATACTGGCTTGGCCAGTACGCATGAGTCAGCGTTCCGATCCTCTTGAACGTTCTCAACTTCATGGTCGCCGCCTCATGTCGCCTGACACACTTGGTGTACTACGTCCATCTTCCACACTGACCTCAATAGTCCGCATGATACCTTCGGCCCTCAGGTGTTCCTCGCTCGAGGTCTTTGTCAACCCAGGACGAGACCGACTTCGTTCGGAGTATATCCTGGCAATGTTGCCAATTCGGGGCACATTGTGTCCATATGGCATGTGTGCAACTGCTGCATTGTCTTTGGGACGTTGCTCTGACCTGGAGCTCATGCTTTTGTGACCCGAGAGGCTAGCAACTTTCGTTGTCGTCGACACGGTCGTTCCACCAAGCGTCAGCTCAAGCTGTTCGCTGACCTTAACTCCCATCTGACCTGTGTACAGCTCACTGATCACACGGCGGATGGAAGGAACACAAGCCGTCATGAGACTCAGATTGAGCATAACTTGATGTACGATGGTCGCATCAACAGCTTCCCACGTCTGGTCCTCGTCAATGACTTCGAGCCAATGGTTGAAGTACACAAGGTATGCTGCTTCTGCTGCGACAGAACTTTGCTCGATTAGTTTGCCTCCTTTAGTTGGTGGCTCCAAGACTCACAATATGCGTGTTGCAAATAGCGCAATTACCAGAGACTTTTTGTCCCTTTCAAGTTGCAGAGGGTACACTATGGGTGCGGGCAATACGACCAGGACCACGTCTGTGAGGATATTCATTGCTCCGACATAACGGTGTAACACGACCTATACCAACATCAGCGACTCGCCGAGCTTGGGTGAGGATTGTACTTACCAGGTCTATGCAGCGATCATTGCTCAGCAGCCACGGCTGCGGCAACTGACACTGGAAGCCAACGGTAAATATTGACGATATGAGCCACATCAGCATAACGATTTCGAGGACGAAGCAGATGCGTCGGTAGGTGCGCTGCGGTCTGATTGCTACGATGAGCCGCGAGACAGCAAGTTTCGCACAGAAGAGCCCACAGAGCGTCAAAAGTTGACTGAGGTAGGCAAACTAAACGATCAGCATCTACATCATGTTCCGTATTTGTTTCTCACCAGACTGTATTGTCTGAAGTCATCCTCAGAAAGACTCAGACGGTGTCGCCCTATTCCACGGTTTCTCGCGAGTTGTACGAGAACTGTCTGCGCTACTACAAATGCCTACACCTCATTAGATGCGACTACAGTACTGGCAATCAGACCGAACGTACCAGTGCAAGATGTATGGCGAAATCATCAGTTGCGTTGAGCTTCGTAATATTCCACCGAACGATGGCTCTCGACAGCACCACAATCCCCGAGAACACGATGAGGATACAATTAATGACCGCGAGCGGCGCTCCACGATCATCGGCCCTTACTGTTTCGAACGCCGGCGATGTTGGTATCGACATGCGTGCTAGTTACCAGCAGTTCGCTTTGCTGAAAAGAAACAGAAACGCTCGGGGCATTCTTGTGGCTGCTGCTGTGCACTATTGGCAAGCCTGGACAGACCTTAGGGCGAAGTGTTCATGATAGACGCGAGTTGTCAGGGGAGGTCGGAGGAGTTCAGGTCCTGGACAGGCATTGTCCTCACCCTTCAAACGCGGGCGCGCACGATGCAGGACCTCTGTCAGTGTGAGCTTTTCGGATCGATCATCTCCCGCAACGACACGCCATGCGACTGTTCTGCGCAGTCGAGTGGCACGGGTCCGAGGATGACCAAAGCTAACAAGGTATGTGACGGATCGCTATTCTGCAAAACAGCGCAATAATTGGTCTACAGCGTACCACGGGTGAGCAGCATGCTGGGAAGGCTCGTCCGGGCATGGCTTCCCAAAAGCGCATCTCAACTGCGAGCAAAACACCCTTGTAGCTTGACGCAGGGAACAAGCCACCACATCTCGAGACTAGTGTCCGAACAGCGTCCGCCTGACCGCGCTTCCCCGCCTGGGCTATTTTGCGGAAGTTCAAACCAGTCTTCCGAACGCTCTGCAAGCGAAGCCAGCGGCAGTTCGTCCAAGGAGATCATGTCCAGAACGAGGCAATTAGAGTTGTCGATCATTGAAGACCCCTGCAAGCCATGTGAACTACTCAAGAGGAAGCCCCCACGGCTCTCGCCTGTGCTCCTACTACCAGGACCTACTCTATCGGGACGTCACTGAGCTCTTCGTTATCGCCGCGGCAAGTTCTCGTGTTTAGGCGTGGCACTCGACAGATGTTCATGGACGGCAATCGCGAATATAAAATGGCTGGTAATAAGCTCGAACTCAAGAATCGCACAGTCGATACGCAAGAGGACAAGCTCGATGCACCATCGTCCCAGCGGGCCTTGAGCAGAAGCCAACAGACTCTTGACCGCTATATTAACTTCATACCGACCGTCGCATTTCCCGTCACACTTCAGACCTCATGGGAAGCCCTTTCTGTAAGCTTCGGAGCCGGTCTGCTCAATGGAGGTCCCACGGCATTGGTCTGGGGTCTCCTGCTGTGTCTCGTCGGCACGCTGACGATAGCCTTGTCACTGGCTGAGATGGCATCAATAACGCCCGTAGTTGGCGCCCAAGTTAGTTCTATTCCATCGTCAACATCATTCCTGCTCACTGGATTCCACTAGTATCGATGGACAGCTCTGTACTCCCCGCGAGGGTTTGGACCACCAGCATTCTGGAGTTTGCTACAAGGATGGATTACTTGCTTTGCCTGGATTGCGGTCTGCACCCAAGTCTGCTTCCTAGAAGGAACAATCGTGCAAGGTCTTATCATTCTCAACAACAGCACCTACATTCCTCAAGGCTGGCACGGCACGCTTCTTGCGTACGCCATACTCGCTGTACCACTTTTCTGCAACATTTTCGCGCGACGAGTACTTGCACCCTTGGAAGTCCTGGGTGGTATTGTCCACATTGCGCTCTTCGTCGTCTTCGTTGTTGTCCTCGTCGCAATGTCACCTCGCAGCTCCGCTGGTTTTGTCTTCGCCACCTCGATTACTGATCAGAGCGGCTATTCGCAGCCAGGGGTGTCATGGTGCCTAGGCCTCCTTGCGACTGCCTTTCCCCTTGGCGGCTTCGATGGTGTCATACATATGGGTAGGTCTGAGGAATAGCTATAAACTCACTGCTAACCGTGTTAGCCGCCGAGGTCAAGAACGCTCCCCTGCGTATCCCCCAAGCCATGGTCCTCACTGTTCTCATCAACGGCGCAATGGCCTGGGGTATTATCGTTACAATCCTCTTCTGCATTGGCGATCCCAGCGAAGTGTCACAGACACCTTATATGTATCCAATTATCCAGATATTGCTCAACTCGACTGGATCCAAGGGCGCGACCACGGCTATAATGGCCTTCATTCTTTTCATCGGTGTTGTGGCTGTGTTCAGTACGCTGGCATCGGTATCGAGACTCACATGGGCTTTCGCACGTGATGGGGGCCTGCCGTTTTCGCCTTTCTTTGCCAAAGTACGCTACTCTTGAGAGCACAAACCGTTTGACCTGCACTAACAGGAATGCAAGGTACATCCGACCCTTCGCGTCCCACTCAATTCTCTGCTCTTGATAACTGCCATTGTTATGTTACTCAACCTCATCAATATCGGGTCGACTACAGCGTTCTTCGCTATCCTCTCCCTCAATACTCTCTCGCTATACCTGAGCTACATTATACCGATCGTTCTCTTTACGATACACAAAATACGCGGCTTTTATGTCCCGTACGGGCCTTTCAAACTGCCTCGTGGACTTGGACTACCTATCAATATCTTCGCCATCTGCTATGCAGTCTTCATAGCCGTCTTTCTGCCCTGGCCAAGCGCCGTTCCGGTCAGCGCGGAGACCATGAACTATGCCGGGCCAGTGTTGGGGTTTGTCATTATGCTCTCGATATTGGATTGGATGATAAGTGGGAGGAAGAGATTCAGAGTCCCGGTGGATGTGAGACAAGGTGACGTGGATGGAAGTGGCGATGAGACACAGTCCTAGTGCCTAGTTCCCATGCTAGCAGGTATCCTGGCAGGTGTTTGAACTTTATGATCCGTCAACATGGAGCTTCATGTTGCTTCTCGCCTTTCGAACTGCATTGCTCATGCCCGTCTCCCAGCCAGCACACGATCATACGAATGTGCACAGTTCTCTCCGATCAAGTAATTGATGAGTTCCAACACTCTTTCTTCGGCGTCGTTCGTACCGACGAAGTCACAATGAGCCGAACCTTTGTAGTCGCAAAAGGTAATGTAGCTCTTGGAGGCCTCCTTATCTGGCACGCCGGCCGGCTCTTCTTCTTCTTTCAGCACCAGATGCACCTCCCAGCCGCACTGGTAACCGTCTAGCCGCTGTTCCACCGGCGGCGGCCCAAACGTTACCACCAACCGATAGAGCAGGAGCTGGCTGGAAATGAGCTCATGCAGACGCCTTGGCCGCTGTTCCTCTCCATTCTCGTCCTTCCACCGGGCCCTCTGCTCGTCGTAAGGCACAAAGTTTACGGCTTCTCCGTCACCCATGCTGACGAGGTCCATGGGGTCTCGGCCTCGGCTTTCTTTGTGGCTCGGTCGGTTGTTGAATGCACGTTGTCGTTCTTCGCTCTGGAACCGTTCAATGTCGCCGGCGGTGGCGTAGCGCCAGACATCGCCGAGTGCTGTCGCCATGTCGAAGGGCTCATACAACTCACCACTGAGCCCGAGGCGGCCTGGTGGACCGAAGAAGACGTGGCAATCAGCATCCGGTACTCTAGAGACTTTCTCCTTCAATATGTTGAGATCGCCTTCACAGATTTTGTGTCGTTGAAGCAGATGGCTGAACAGACGAGCTTGTTGCAGAGGGGGAACACTGTTGAAGACTGTGGTTGCCGCCGAGGATGATTGTTTCAGCAATTCATGTAGAGTCGCTTCTGTGCTAAGTTCCTGCAAAGATGCTGAGCCTGGTTCTTGATCCATTTTGAGATCTTTCTTAACCCGGGGGAAGATTCGAATTTTGCTTTGAGGTGGATTGGACCCAGGCCACCGAAGAGAGATCAATGTGGACTGGCCAGCGGTGCCTGCTGTGGCCTGAGAGGAAGACTTGCATGTGGCTAGTGCGGGGCACCGATATGCATCCTTTTGGCTGTCAGAACTGCAAACTTCCGCGAACATGTACTTTATCTGACACAAATACTGCAAGACGCAAGACATTTTCCTGTGGGTCTCCCTTTATTCTATCATGGTGGATTCATGGTCTCCTCAAAGCAGGCGCACACTTGGTCCGCTAACTCAATGCGGAATGGTTCAGGCGGTATGATAGTCGGCGCTGACTATCAGTCAGTGTGAGCGAAATCGACCATATCCTCGTTCCTGTTCACAGCAAAACGTCCGTGCTGCACCGGATGATGCTGTTGCACAGCGTCCGGAATATGGTTCTCAACGGCGTGAATGCCTCCTACTTCGCTGCCTGACTTGATAGGGAACAGGCACAGACAATGGCATCGACGATAGCGGACACATGTTCGACTAGTAACCTCCTGCTTGCAGTTTGCAGTCTTTTACTTGGCTGTGTAAGTGAATTCTATACTACGCAACCGATTCGACTAATGCAGGCTAGGCAATGAGCGTTGTGATATACCGACTAACACTCCATCCATTAGCAAAATATCCAGGTCCTTTTCTGGCCAAAATCACAGATTGGTCGATCGTAGTGAAAGCCAGGCGGGGTGATCGACATCTAGATTCCTGGGCTGAACACGAAGCATATGGTAGGCAATCCTCGCATCGCTCGAGACATATGTCCTGATGGTCACTGCAGGACCTGTCGTTCGCATTGGCCCCAACACGCTCTCATTCAACACCAGCAGCGCCCTCGCGTCCATCAACTCCAGCCGAAGCGCAAACGTTCAGAAGGGCCCGTGGTACAGGACTATCGACGCAGGGTCCAAGGCTTTCTCGGTGCACTCCGAGATTGACCGCGTCCGACACGCCTTCAGGCGGCGCATTCTTGATCAGGCCTTCTCCGACTCCGCGCTCAACCAAGCCGAAGAGATTATCCTTTCCAACGTCCGTTCTTGGACCACTGAGCTGTGCTCTACCACCGAAAGTAAGGGTTGGAGTCCGCCTCGCAACCTGAAGAACTGGTCAGACTGGCTTGCCTTTGACATGATGGGTGATCTCACCTTCAGCAAGTCTTTCGGTGCCGTCTCAGAAGGCCGCAACCGCTTTGTACCCGCGGTGGTCCTCGAGTCCACGAAATTTGTATACGAGGCGGGTTTCTGGCCCTTCATCTCGTTGATCCGTCCATTCTTCGGAACAAGATTCATGTCCTGGGTCATGTCCTTCTTCCTCGCCACTCGTGCCGCCGACAACGAATCCTACATCAAGTACGCGAACGCACAGATGATGGAGCGTATGGCAGCCGAGGCTAGTGCCACCACTGATAAGCCACAGCGGCGAGACCTAGTCCACTACCTGTTGCACGCCCGCGACCCTAGTACAGGCGCGGGCCTCACACACGATGAGCTTAATGCCGATGCGGCCCTGCTCATACACGCAGGCAGTGACACCGTGGCATGCACCATTGCCTCCACCCTATTCTACCTCCTGCACCATCCCAGAGTTCTCGGTGAATTGCAAAGGGAGCTTCGTGGCAGCTTCCCCACACTCGCATCAATCCATACCAGCGCGAAGCTGAACGCCGGCTTTCCGCTCCTCAGAGCATGTATTGATGAATCGCTGCGTATGGCGCCACCTGTGCCATCTCACTTACCGCGGCAGGTGCTCCCAGGCGGGATAATGATAGATGGTCATTTCATTCCCGCAGGAACGATTGTAGGAGTAGGCGCTTTTGCCATCCATCATGATGAGACGTACTTCCCTGAGCCGTTTGAATGGCGGCCTGAGAGGTGGATCGTGGAGACAGTGGAAGACAAGGATAAAGAAGAGCAAGTAAAGGTGGCGAGGGGCGCGTTCTATGCTTTCGGCGTGGGACCTCGGATGTGTGCAGGACGGAAACTAGCGTATCTGGAGATAAGTTTAGCGTTGGCGGTTTTGCTGTGGAGTTGCGAGATACGACTCGCCCAAGAGGTCGGAACGAAGGGACTCAAGGTAGAGCAGGGCCGTGATGGTCGGCGCAAACAAATCAGAAGCAGGGAGGATGTCTATCAGATTTGGGATCACTTCGTGGCAGATCGGAATGGGCCGGTCGTGCAGTTCAAGTTGAGAGACGAGGCGGCAATTTGAAGGTGTAACTGCGCAAGATACCTCGCGAAGGATGCGACAGCGTAAGAATTTCCTCAGCAGTCCGTGTTAGCCTGCTCTGTATGGGAGGGTCTTTTCGCAATAGGAAGCTCGTTCGGATCCTTGCTTTTGTCGTCCCAAGCATTCCTCCGCGGTCCGTGGTTGCAGCCGTTTGGAGCATTCAAAGTATACTTATATGAAGCTAGATTATGTGAGACCTAGACCTGGTTGAGATGCTGAATACAGACCCAGCCCACTCAACATGAACGAAGTCATCGTGAACTCTACAGATTATAGTATATAAGGTAAGGTTCAGGTGGAGACGACGGCGAGACGATATGCAGGTGGGAGCCTGATCACGTGAGTAGCTGGATTTAACCCGTCAGTGCGAGGCTGAATGGTCGATCATTCGTTTGACATCTTTCACATTCACCAACTTATTCCACTCTGGCCGCTCTTAGAAGTGAGACATCCTTCTTTCCTCTCTCCAACACAGTCCTGAACAATGGCGACCAAAGCCGCCCACAAGCGCCTTACACGCGAGTACGCAGCGATCCAAGCAAACCCACCACCATACATCGTTGCGCACCCAACAGAAGCCAATATCCTCGAATGGCGTACGTTTCTCACAACCCAACCCATACCATTGGTGGTGCTCCAGTAGACTAACTCTGTACTCTCCAGACTACCTCCTCACCGGCGCTCCTGACACCCCCTACGCCGGCGGGCAATACTGGGGCACCCTGATCTTCCCTCCCGACTACCCTTTCGCCCCGCCCGCGATCCGCATGCACACCCCCTCAGGCCGCTTCCAGCCCTCGACGCGCCTCTGCCTCTCCATCTCGGACTTCCACCCCAAATCCTTCAACCCGGCCTGGTCGGTGTCCACCATCCTGATCGGCCTGCTCTCCTTCATGAACTCCGAGGAAATGACCGCAGGCTCCCTGTCGGCCACGCGCCACGAGCGCCGCTGGCACGCCGCCCGCTCGCGCTGGTGGAACAGCACGGGGGGCGGCAGCGCCACCGAGCCGCCCCGCAAGGGCAACAATGTGAGCACCAAGACTGGGCCGCGCAGCGCGAACATCAAGGCTGGTGATGGGGGGAAGCGGTTCCGCGAGGAGTGGCCCGAGGAGGACGAGGCGAATTGGAGCTGGATGGAGGAGGTGGGCGTCGAGCCGGCGACCGGGAAGGTGCCGCCGGCGCGGGAGGGCGAGGAGGAGAAAGAGTGTGGGCCCGATGTGGCGAGGTGGAGGCAGATCCTGGGCGGCGGGGGGAGTGCCGGTGGTAGCCTGGGCCAGCGCGCGAAGGACGCCGGCGACAATTGGGTGGGAAGATGGAAGTGGTGGCTGCTAGGCGCGGTGGTCACATACCTGGTCATCAGCAGGGTTCTATTCGCGGAAGACTGATTCGTACGATTGGAGTGGGCCAGTGGGAAATGACAGTGTAACGCTTGACTTCACGACCAGCGACGGCGTTCAGGTCGACATAAACGGGATCTGCAAGGAGATGGCATTGACTCATCTTATGGCGCAAGTCCACCTATCCTCCTTTCAATCTTCAAAGCAGAAAAGGGACCTCAGGTACTACGGAAAAATGCATGGAGTTCTCGGTCTTCTACTATACCAGCTTGCTCTGATAAACAATGGTCTGACATTGTCTTCATGGTGGGGCTATGGGCATTCGTCGCAGCGACCAAGAACACGGGAGCACACGCCAACGAGAGGCACTCGTGAAGATCTCCCAGCTCGCAGCAATGTCGGAAGAACCTCCCTCAAGGTGCATTCTCCATAGTCCTCTAGGTTCCGTGACCCGGGATATATCATGCAATGCCTTGACCCATCACCTGAAGGCAGCAGAAGCGGGTATCCCCCTTCACAATTCCCAGGGACGAATTACACGTCTCATCTGAGGTCCGTTTGCAGCAGCAGGAGGTGCAACGTCCGGTTTGGCTTTGATGGGTTCGGGACATTTCATAGCACCAGCTAGCGTCGTTGTTGACTTGGGCGTCACAGGCGTCGCAGGTGTTGTGGGCGTGATAGACGCAGCAAGTTGGGACGGCTTCTAGTCGTCGTCCATTGCATCGTCGTCATCCCTGGCTGGGCGCTGTCCACCACTCCGGTCGAGTGCTACTTCCGCCTCTTCACCATTAAGCACCTCGTCCATACTCACATCGGCCTGTCCCTTTTCGAGCGTCCCCTGCTCCTGCACGATATCTTCGGCTTGTTGTGCTTCCTCTTGCGCAAGGGCTGCAGCCCTCAATTCCTCGTACTCATTTTCGAATGCATAATCGTATCTTCCACGCATTTGTAGCCGATCGTACGCTTCCCTTGAGTCGAGCTGACGAGGCATGTACATGAATAAATCGGCCAACGGCGTGTCGCTGTCTGTCTGAAAGGAAGGATTCGCAATCTTGCTGCGATCAGGTCTTAGACGAATCATCTCGGCGACAGGATAATAATAGGCCGCCTTGCCTTGTTTGCGTTTGATGTCCGAAGGAGGCACAAGGTTTCCGGAAGAGTTCGGATCATAGAGACCTAATGCAAGGAAGCGCCGCTGGTCAACGGCCTCCTGTTTATTAGATGCGTACACGCGTTTCCGCTCAAAAGGTACACGCATCTCCCCAGAGAGCGACTCAGCTAGCATCGGGTTGGAGACGGCTGGATCGTCCTTATCAGGGTGACCATCGTAGAGGAACTTGCGGACCAATGGCACGTGACTGGGGTCCGATGGCGTAGCCATAACAAATGTATGAGGCTCTGGTCCAGGATGATCATAGGCATTGGGGTCCCGTTCATATGCCTCCAGCTTTGCCTGCCACTCTGCGGCAAGGGCGGGGTTGGGGAGAGTCTGAAAGGTTGCCACGTCTATACGATCATCTCGCTTTCCGTGGTGCGCAGGAAGTGGTGCTTTGTCGAACTTGATTCGTTGAAAGGTGCCTCCCTCGTCCGTTGTGGCCTCAAAATCGGGAAGAACTGGGTAGTAATCAACAGGGCGTATGCTTTGATCACCACTTGGATGTATTGGGTGCTCCCACGCCTCGCGCTCTTGCTTTGTTCTCTGAATTTGCGTCACCTCGGAAACATTGTATGGTATGCTGTCCGGATACGCTAGGTCGAAACCCTTCTGTACGTGTCTTTTGACGTTCTCTTTGTCGTCTCTATCGACCGGCGGTGCTGTCTTCATACTCACAGGCTGCCGTGATCGCGCATTCTTGGTGAACGGATCTGTGCTTCGTATGCTGGAGGTGGAGAGGTATTGTGTCTTGCGTAGAAACGAGACGTTGTTTCCAGCGCCCTGCTTCTTGATTTGATCGACTGACAGCATAAGTTCCTGGTCTGCTGGATCGAGTATAGGCGGTCGTTCAGGGGCCATGATCGCACTCTCATCTCCGGCTAGGTAGCCTGGTATACCTATCATGTCGATAGGCATTCCGCCTTCAGCATCGACATCGATATTGGGCTCTTCTCGTCGCGCAAGTGATGATGCGAAGCTAGTCGTGAGGTACTGGTCAATGCCACCAGTGTCAATTTCCAGAAACTTGGGCGCAAACGGCGGCGGAGGAAGGCGATTCTGATATCGACTGGACACAATGAGGTCCTGTCGAAAGGCACCCTTGTCAGCCATTCTGCAAGTCCCCTCTGGGGAACAAGGGCCGAATCTCTTGTCCTGCTACTGAATTCTTGGATCGTGCTGTTAAAGGCCGAATTCGAATATTTTGCACAGAAAGCAGAAGCTTGAAGGATGAAGATGGGCGGCGATCTGGGGTTGGATCTGCAGGTCGGCTGTGGAGTTGGTACGGTATGTTGTCGAGAGAGTCGAGGCACAATAATTTGAACGCGGGTCGCGCAACCAAAGACGTGCAGTGTCGGCTAACTTGCCCTAAGTAGAAAAGGCCTCGGATGGAGATTCCAGACTTGAGGCAAGCACGATGATCATATCAACGAACCTTCCTGTTGACTGGTCTGCCTACGTCCTTCGTGCGGCGCTTCCACCTCGCAATCAATTTCAGTATCACGACAATAGCAAAAATATTCATCCGAGGCAACCATGGGCTGGTTCTGGAGCGATGTCCCCTCCCACGCTCCCAATCTGACACCTGCCCCAGTGGCGAGCGCAAAGCCTCCGCCATCATGCCCAATGCACAAGTCGGACTCCAAATCTTCACCCTTCAATAAATCCTCAGACCCTTCGAAACCCTCTGCATGTCCCGTGAAGGATGTAAACCATCCCTTGCGTGCTCCATCCCGACAACCGCTGCCAGCACCCTCGGAGCCGCAGAAAGCGCAACAGTCTACACTTTCAAAACTCAACCCTTTAAACCTCATACCAGCTGGGCTGTCTAATACGCGGGCTGAAACTCAGACACAAAGCCTTCCGCTAGAGCGCGAGCCTTCGTCTATCCCTCGCTCTGATACCGACTCTAATTGGGAATATCCTTCGCCTCAGCAGATGTACAATGCTATGCTACGGAAAGGATATACCGACACGCCCATTGATGCAGTTGAGTCTATGGTGGCAGTGCACAATTTTTTGAACGAAGGGGCCTGGACCGAGATTGTGGAGTGGGAGCGCATGTTTGCTCCCGGCTTGTCCCATGGATGGGAATCCTGCAGCAGAGGGGAGGGGTTCATCGCTTTTCAGCGTGCGAAGCGTGAGCACCAGGAGGAGCGACGGAAAGCACTAGGACTTGCACCAAAGCTTCCAGCCGAAGAAGAGAGTGAGCCTAAGTTGGTGCGGTTCCAGGGCAGACCCAAAGAGCCAACACCGAAAGCTCGTGTTCTCTCACTACTCGGCACAGTGTTCCCCAATTCGTTTGGTTCCGAGCCGCCTTTCGATCGCCACGACTGGTACGTTTCGCGCAAGAGCCCCGACGGTGCAACCAGAGAAGTCCGCTATGTGATCGACTATTATGGTGGTGGCGTGCAGGAGACTGGCGAACCTGTCTTCTACCTCGACATCCGTCCTGCCCTTGACAGTCCTACCGCAGTCGCCGAAAGGGCCATTCGGTGGGGTGGCGACGTCTGGTGGAGGGCGAGTGGTGGAGTTGCACGCGAATTAGCCAAAGCACAGAAAGAGAGGGAACGCCTCGCTGTTCAGCAGAAGTGAGTTTGGCTCCAGCCACACCCGCTGACCACGTCCTTTCCTCCGCCAGCGCCTTCTGCCTGAATGGAGTTGCTGTTCCTGGAGTTCCGGCAAGTCTGATTGTAGTACCACGAGCGACGCCCTGACGACAGCAAGGAGTCAATGACTTTCTCGTTCCTCCCCACTCTTACCTGCTAAGTTTCGCCCTGCAGTTCTGCTTTCCGATATGTATAGATAGAGCGTTACGCTGCATTTAATGATACTCATCCTTTTTCACACCACCAGTCTTCAGAAACTTGCCAACACGTTGAATAACAATTTGACATTTAAATTCATGGCTTGGCCCAGCTATCGTTCTTGGTCTGTCATATGTACCCTATCCAGCATCGCTATCATTTCCATCCACCCCTCCATCCATCACTCATATTCAAATCATGCCAGCCCTCCCCGCCCTCGCGGCATCGACGCTATCCACCGACCGATCCATCGGCACCGGCAGCGGCTTTTCTCTCTGCACGTTACTCACGCTCCCCTGTCGACTGACGGTCGTGCGCGACGTCCCCACACTATTCCCCAGCCCCAGGATACTGTTTGTCGATCGCGACACCGGATTGCTCACGCCGCTGAGGCTGCCACTGGGGCTGCGGCTGGAACCGCGGCTACTGGTGCTGCTGGTGCGCACGGGGAAGCGGCTCTGCGCGGACACCTGCGCCGAAGGCATCGGCGTGAGTACATCAGAGAGGGGGAGACCCTCGCTGATGAAGCGGCGCGGCGTTGCGGGATCCGCGGTCGTGGCGCTGAAGTGGCTTATGCCCTTGAAGGGCAGCGTTGGCAGAGGGGGCACGCTCATCTCTGTCTGGCTGGTAGCTGTGGTGGCGACACTGCTGCGCATGTAGCTGGGCCGCGGGCTGGCGCGGGGACGGATGGGCGTCTGTGTGAGGCCCAGACCGTGTCCTGGGGCGTTGACGAAGGTCGTCGTAGTTGTGCCTGCGTACGATGGTACGGGTGGGGTAGGCGCGAGTTCGACTTGGGAGATTTCGACTTGCGACTGGAGTGGTGATTTCGCAATGCTGGTCCGCCTGCCGCCAATGTTGGTGGTGCCTGGGCCGTACATGTCGAAGATCTGTCCCTCGCTGTAGGTGGTTCGCCCATTGTTGCCGGCCTCACTCTCGCTCCAACGACTGCCGCCGCCGAAGAACCAGCGTGCAGTGCCGGAGCGTCGCGGCCAGTTCGAGAGCCGTTGGCTTATGTGTGTCAGTGGCGCGCGCCAGCCATTGGCAACCCAGCTGCCGCCGCTCGCCGTAGTGTACGACTTGTATCCGGGAGGCTGTGCGTAGCCGGTGAAACCAGGCCCAAAGCCATCGGCGGGGGCAAGGTCGAGGCCACGAGTGCTACGGTCGCCGGCGCTTTGAGACTCGAGGTCGCGTTGGAAGGCCGGGTGTGCGGTCATCGCAGTCGTTCCCGTGTATCTCTGCTGTTGCTGCCTACGTGGCGGAGCAGGCCGGTCTGAGCCGAAGATGAATTGAAGAGGCCATTTAGACGGTGAGGGACCTGTGCCGAGGCGAGCAGCTTTTTCGTCGTGGTATTTGCGACGGCGAGTGGAATACCATGTGCGTATGGGCACGCAGAAGCGGAAAAGCAAGTATATCAATGCGATCAGGAATGCTACACCGAGAACGGTGCTGCTGGCGATGATAGCAGTCTGCGATTCCGGCGCTGGCCCACCAGAACGTTCTAGTGCTGAAGGATCCGAAGGGAAGTTGGAAGCAGAACCAGTAGGATCGGCGGCGGCGATGAAGGTGGATTGATCCAGCGTGGGAACAGCTGTGCCATCAACGGTGGGAGGAGCAGTGGTCGTTGGTGCTAGACGGAGCAGAGTGTCAGCTATGAGTGTAGAGACTAGAGCATGTGGCGGTAAAGGCGGAGGGAAAAGGTAGACAAGAAGGGGGGATCTTACAGGTTGTAGGAGTGGTTTCATCCTCCGAATCACTGCTGAAGCCGTCTGACTCACTGTCGCTGTCGCTATCGCTTTCGGATGATTCTTCCTCCGCTACTTCCGCTTCTTGGCGAGAGGCCAGAGACCGACGGGAACGGCGCTTGATCTTGTCTAGACGCATAGTACGCCGAGTGTTACGGGGTGGCATTGGTAGAGGGCCAAGGTCGGGGATAGTGGGAAGCTCGAAGTCGGAGTAGGGAGAGGAGTCTGCAAGTCGTTGCTGGGCAGGACTAAGGGATGGCAGAGGATCTTCCTCCTCAGCACCAGACTCATCACCAGACTCGTCCCCAGATTCGTCGGAGCTGGAGCTGGAGCTGGAGGAGCTCTCGCCTTCCTCGCCGCTAGAGTCCTCATCGTCTGTTCCTTCACTGTTGCTCTCGCTCTCTTCCGCTTCCGCTCCCTCATCCTCCTCAGCCTCTTGACGGCGAAATGTCAAGAAGCCTCTTCTTTGCTTGTAGCTGTGATGAGTAGGGTCGGCAAAGGGTGTCCGCTTCTTCACAACTGCTGCGGCCGTGGGCGTTGCGATAGGCGCATCCACGCCATCCAGAATGGCTCTAATGTTCGGCATCTTGCGTGGCGTGATTTCAACAAGCAACTTGGCAATGAGTGACCAAGAACAAAGTCAAGACCGCCCAGATGAACAGAAGGCTGAAGGGTATAGATACAAAAGTACAGGGCAGGGAAAACGAACGGAACAACAGAGCACCGGGCGAAGTCGACCAGCAACCTACCGAAAGAAACATGAGGCACGACATGGCTCGTGGGAGTTTTATGCTGATTCGTCTCCAGCGGACGCACTTTGCCGATGCGTATCGAAGTCGCAGGCTCGCTAAAATTCTCCCACAGGGGGGGACAGTCGTGGGACTCTTCCTACATCTGGCCAGCGGAGAAGGCTCTCTCGGGCAAGAGGGGTGGACATCGCCAGTGTTCTGATGCAGGAGGAGTTTCGAATTGCCGCCTCGGTGGGCAGAGGAAGGGATGATAAGCTGTCCGCCCAGGAGTCGCGTCACCGTTGAAACGCGCCAAGTACGATGCCAAGTCATGGCCGCGACTGGCTCAATGCAGGAAGCGACGGTCTTGACGGTGCTTGCCCTTCTCTTCCCACCTCCGCTGTGACTCGGCGGAAACACTGACTGGCTCCTGAGCTCTCTTTCCCCATCAGCCAACACTATGGTGAGGGAAGCCATCCCTACTTGTGCCATTATGCGGAGCCAGCAACACCGTTGGTCGAGCCATCGCTTCGTGCTTAGCCGGTGAGCTTAACATCAGGGTCGCAGCTTGACACAGGTGTGTCAGGGTCAGGACCAGTCTCTTTGCAAAAATACCTGCCGATACATCGTTGGCCGTCTGGTCCAAAGTTGCAAAGGGAAATCTGTCGTGTGCCCACAAACGCTACACGGAAGTGATCGGCCATGGGGGTCTCTGCCGATCTCAGGAAACGATTGCCGCGTGCCGAATGCTTCTGATACATTTGCACAATATGCCGTACATCCGACGATGCCTGCAAAGCAATGTTGTCGTGAGCATACTGCGCGTACCAGCACGCAAGGTGAAGACTGTCCTCAAGGATTCTCCCCAGTTGCTTCAGAGTGCCCAATGAAACTTCGTGTATACGACGAGAGATATTTGCTATCAAGAGCGATCCTTCAAGGGGGGAGAGTATCCTGTCCGTAGGGCGCTTTGAGATGTCTGCACCCGTTCCATCGGCAGTGGCGTTGTGCTCCGCTGATCGGCCCATGAGAGTCTTCTCCAGATCTGACAGCATACCAGACGGCTACTCAGTCCGGCCTCTCACACTGGCATCACCTCGCCCTAGCCGATTCGACACGAAGTCTTCCAGGGTCAACCCCAATGTCCAAAAGTTCTAGATGTTTCCGACTGAAACCAATTCCTATCAGAGGCAACTGGTGCGGCGCTCCGCTGCTGACGACTACTAATCCTCAACAGCAACACAACGATGAACAACGCCACAGAACCCGAGGATCAGTAGCAAATACTGGCAATCAATGCCTCGTTGTGACCCAAAGCTATAGACAGCCGCCGCCATCTGCAATCTCAGAGGCAGGGCTACACATACTAGTATTCATGACAATCATCAGATCGGCATCGACGTCGACATCGACTTCAATCGTCCCCACAGCATTCTCATTTGTACAATATCCTCCTCTTCAAGAAGCCACAACTACTTCGCACCCCCAGGCAACCACGGCTCCGCCCTGTCCGGCCCCGTCGGCGTCTCCAGCCCCGCCGCCATCGGACTGGCCTGCACACCGCCTCCCGTGCCAATCGTCGGCAGAGGCTTCCTTCGAATCTTCTCCTGCTCCGCTCCCGCCACCTCGCTGAAGCTGAACGCTCTCTGTGGCCCCGCACTCGTCATGGGAGTCACAGGAGTCCCCGCGGTCGCCGGCCGCATCCCCCTGTAGCCGCCGTTCGGGGGCACCTGGTCTCCCGCACTGACAGTTGCGACGCCCGCGGGAGCCAGCCCCAAGCCAGCAGTCGTGGGGCTGGCGCCACCCGGACCGCCAAAGTCAAAGCCGCCCATGCCGTCCGACTTGTCGTCGAGCGCGGGCCGGTAAGTGCGCTCCATCATCTTCTCGTACGCGCGGTTCTCGCGCCATTTGGCCAGCGGACCCCACTTCAGCAGCACGAAGATGATCAGGCCTAGCAGGAGGGCACCCCCAACGGCGCCGATGACGATGCCGGCGAGCGGCACGGAAGAGCTGGAGCCCGAGGATGAGGCCGCGGGTGTTTCGCTTGCGCGCGCGGTTTCGGCGGGGATAGAGGTGGTGGTGCTGCTGGTGGTGGAGGAGTCGGTGGTTTCGCTGGTGCTGCTGGGCGTTGTGGACGATTCACTCGTGGATGACTCGGTGGTGCTGGATTCCTCGGTCGAGGTGGTACGACGTGTGGAGGCGGAGGTGGTGCGCGAGGCGCTGCTGCTGGCGGTGGTTCGGGTGGCGGTTGCGCGGGAAGTGGTCGTCTCGTCGTCGTCATCGTCATCGTCATCATCATCACTTGAAGACGCGGTGGCGATGCTGCCAGTACCCAGTGTAGCAGTCGTAGCACCTGAGTTCGGATTGAACGCGCTCGAGATTTCGTCGCCGATGGAGGCAAGGCTGTCGAGGAGGCCTTGCGGCTCGCGCTTCTCGATCACGGAGACATGGCGGGCCTCGACGTGCAAAATATGTTCGAGGTGGAAGGGGAAGGCCCGCACGGCGGTGGCGAGGAGGAGCGAGTGTGTTAGAAGGAGGGCTTGCCTCATGTTTGAACGAATTGAATGTGTTGGTTTGGTACTATGTAAACGAAATAGTAAATAGACACTTAAATGACGTGTGAAAGGTGGAGTTGTAAAGGGCAAAAGAGTGTGAGCTACGCCTCAGGCATAGGTTGCACGAAAACAGCGAACTAGATCGCAGTATCAAAGGGAATCGAACAGAAGAAGAGGCAGCTGGCAGAAAGTTCGTGTGTCTGCCAGTTTTTGCAGGCGTGAGAAAGCAGGAAACGGGCCCTCTCGGAATAAACCTGGCAGGTTTGTGGGGGGGATATCAGCTGGCCTATATGAGCCTCTTGCAACACGAGGCAATGGGCACACGCAACAAGGGGTATCCACTTGATAGTCCAGTATTACATAGCCACTCACCGTGGAAGCACCGGTACGCCTCGGCCTACCCACTACGACAGCATGACCGCATGGACATCAACTGCGGCGACCAGTATATGCCTGCCAGAGAGGGTCAGCGGGTGCAAGGGCAAGGACCGGCGGGATGCGCCCCTGCCCAGAGAACAGGCTTCATGCCCCGAAGCGCAGCAGACGCTGCTCATCACGACAGATCCGGGTCAAGTTCGAGAATCGAGTAACACTCCGTCCCACGGTCCCAAACGGCGGCTCCAGATTTGCGGCGCTGATGAGATTGCAATTGACGTCTGCCAACGAAAAGAGCCGAGAGTTGTTTTGGCGGCGGACGGGCGGCGGCGGCGCTTTGCCAGGCGTGGAAGGTATTGGTGATTGGGTGGCGTGAACGAGGGATCGACGCAGTGGTGAAACGCGGGTTTGTCGCGGATGAGGGCCTTGGCTGTTGAGACCTTGGATGGCCCGGATGGCGAGTCAGGCGATGGTATGACGGCATAGGCGTATCGCTTAAGGGGCGGGCGTGCGAAGGATGTTATGATGGGCGTAGCATAGATTGGGTGGACGGTACGGAGTAGTACAGCGTATTGTGTAGAGCTCAGCCTTGGACGCCCGGACAAGTCAGGGGTAATTCTGCATTAGCGGGTGATCATCTTGGCTTGGAGGGACGCCGAGGCAAGCTGGCAACTCTGCCTTAAAAGGGGTCGAGTCGGCTGCAGCGGCAAGGCGTCTCGTTCTGCCTGATCTCGAATTCTTCAGGCTTCAAGAGAGCCAACTGGAGACGCTGGGACCGCCAATGCATAACTATATGCAAGGCAACCATTGAGTCGCGCATAATGAGCGTACTCTTGCAAGTCATCGATCGTCCATTTCGAACGTGTATATTTTCGATGCCTGCACGTCACCATAGTGCAGTGATGCTGCCCTTCGTTTTGCGTCACGGCCATGATCTCAGGCACAACAGCATATCCATGTCCGGTCTGCATACAACTTGGCCTGATGGTGTCCGTAAAGACAGACTTCGAATACGTCATCGATGATGCTTGGCTTGAAGCTGCAAGCTGCAAGCTCCTCGTATTATGCCTTGCCGTTTCCTCATCTGGCTGCTGTTTCTCTTGCTTGATATCGCTGTTGTTGCCTCATTCGTCATTACTGCTCCAACAGCAGCTGTATTCTCAAAGAGCCCGCCGACGAAGACAATTGATCAACAAGGTGCCCAAGCTAATTCCACGACCACCTCAGCTTGGCCCAGGTACACGCTGCGTAACAGGATCCAGCTTTCTATACTAGAAATCAGGCACGTGCCTCGACCTAAGTCCGACAACCATGGACGGGTCAAACGGCCTGTTGGAGGGCCGAGTCAGTACGAAGAAGACTCGCCTCACCCGCTGGCGGCAGCACCTAGCTCAAGATGTCGACGAGTCCTGGGCTGACCTGATTCTCATCATTCTCTGCCTCATTTCCGGCATTGTCGATAGCGCCGTTTTTAACGTCTGGAGCTGTTTCGTAAGCATGCAGACAGGTATGTTTACCTTGTTCTGTTGATCTGGCCCCAGCTGATTCTCTTCCAGGAAACACGGTATACGTTGGGCTTGGCGCCTCTGGCCAGCCCCTCAGCCAACCCTACCGCTGGGCCAAGTCCGGCACCGCGATCCTGAGCTTTTGTCTAGGCAACTACGTCTTCAGCCGGTTATGTCGCCTCGCCGGCCCCCTCAGGCGGGGCACCATGTGCGTTTCGTTCCTCGTGCAGGCTCTGTTCTGCCTCGCTGCCGGCCTGCTGGTCGTGACCGATGTTGTTCCAAAGGGCGCCGGTAACCTGCTGCCTCACAACTGTATCGTTTTGCTGCCATTGGGCATGCTGTCGTTTCAATCGGCGGGACAGATCACCATGAGCCGCGTACTGGCGTACAACGAGCTACCCACGGTTGTGCTGACTAGCACATACTGCGATCTCTTTATCGATCCCTACCTGCTGACATCGCCACTGAAGGAGAACTCGAAGCGAAATCGTCGCGCACTGTCGGCCGTGGCGTTGCTACTGGGTGCGGTTGTTGGGGGCATTTTAACCAGGGAGGGGAGCATAGCGGATGCGTTGTGGATCACCACCATTGTCAAACTTCTGCTTGCGGGAGCGTGGCTGTTCTGGAAAGGCAAGGGTTCTATCCAGCTAGACTGAGACTGTATATCTGAATTCGCCAAACAGGCTGAGGATAGGATAGACAGTCACACGTTAATGCCTTCCCTGTCGACCTCTACATGCGAGTAGAGGGTTCGCGCTGGCGTTAGCTCGAACCGCCCGGAAGGATTGAACTAACCTCAAGCAGCTAGCTCTGCTACCCTACCACAAGCCCTCGAATCGTGAATCTATATCTGTGATCATGACCCCCTGCACACATGAATTCCTACGAATAGCCTAAACACAAGCTTCCCCGGGGTCAGCTCACTGTCGTTCGATTCGCATCACGAGCTATTGATGCTGAAGCCAAGTCTTCGATGCTGCATGGATGAAACGCTCTCAAACGTCCTGCTCGTCAGGTTCATCTTGGCGAAGGGTGCTCCGCGTCTACGTCTTCCACGGCCTACATCCTCCTTCCAAATGAAATTTGCACCATGGCCACGACTTGCATAGTCGTGACAATCGTTTCCGCTTACCGAGAGTCAGGCAGCTTGCCGCCGGCTCTGGCGACTTGGCAACAAGCTTGCGTTTTGGCGGTCGCAGAAAACCACTACCTCACCATGGTCGCTTGCCATTCTCTGCCCAACGGCTAGCATTCCCGTTGCGCCCGGGGCCTGAGCAGCGTATCACTTTACGTAACCATTCGCGGGTGATCAGCCTAATGGATTATTCCAGATCGACAGCAATGGCTCCACCTCAACCCTCCCTCATTGCCAAGGTGACTTTGACCCGTATAAGCTCTGGTACTGACAACCTCCATATTAGATTGAGACCTGCCCAAGGCACTGCTGTTTGTCTTCACGTAATACGCTGAGCTGGACTCGAGTATTGCAAAGTGCTGGTCACTATTTCCTTTGACTTTTCTAGGGCGTTCTTTCCGGTCCCGGTATTTCGTCCAGAGTTTGAAGTCAGAGATGGCATTATCCGAACGGTCGTGTCCGATAAGCGGGCGCTCGGGAACAGCCTGCCCCGGTGCTGCAGCTGCAGCTGGTCAGTCATCAGGCCCTCGAGGCTGTGCCTTTATTGGATATCAGATGACAAGAAATACCCAGTATACCCCTCAGGGAGTGAGTCTAAGCACAGCAGCTTGGTGTCACAGCTAATATCAGCAGACTCGACTCGACCAACGGTCGGTTGACGACTTGATCAACCAAGAGAGGAAGACAGTCACCGAGATTCTCCTACCGGAAGCTCCATCTCGATCCGTCACCAACGGCCTAGTCAACGCTGATGGCCTCAATCCTGCCGATACTGACGTACTTGCAACAGCCCTCGGAGCGCCTGCCCGCCAGGTGTTGAGGCGAGCAGAAGAGCTCGGCCCCAGAACAGGATGGAGAGACGGCTACCTGTCAAGTACTCATGGCTTCTGTCCACCCGATCCGTCCGCCGCGCCGGTGGCGCTTGCCATGTCGGCTGGCAGAGTATGGTCTGACCTCTGCGAGAGAATGCCTGCTGTCGTCGCCCGCGGAAAAATGAGAGAAAGCATCTTGGCCATACCCCTGGTTTACGGCACAGAAGACGTCATCCCCGATACTGCGCTCTGGGCTGCTACAGTCTGTCTCGGTATACTAGCCAGCGTTTGGAGGTACGAAGAAGTCAACGACGGCCACGAGGGCATCAGCGTCACGGCCCCGCCTGGCACATTCCGGAACATCTCAGGTGAAGCAGATGACGAGGAGCAGGAGACTAAAGGAATTCCACGCAATATTGCCATACCGCTTCGACAAATATGCACCCGAATGGGACGAGTGCTTCCTCACTTGACACAATACGACGTCTCCGTGTACAACTATAAATTACGAGATCCGACCAGCATTCACCCCTACGTCGCCCGTTGCGAGAATATGGACCTTCGGTGGCCAGTCTTCAATGACCGTGGTGAAGCTATGTTTCTTCTATGCATGGCGGAGACTCATGGCTGCTTCGTTGATGGCGTCGAGGTCATTGCCAGGTGCCAGGAGCAAGTCATGCTCAGGAAAAAGGATGGCCTCCTTCGCGAGCTAATCAATATGAAGAGGATAGTGGACCAGTTCGTCCACGTTTTCCAGAAGATCTCTGTCAACAACAATGCCGGAGAAAATTTTGCGAACCCTGTGGAATGGGGCCAGCGGTACGCCAAGTTCAGCGCTCCCCTGTCACCACGAGTTCCTGCGCTCTCTGGACTTGCCCTGCCGGTCTTCCTCCTGATGGATGCTTTTATGGGAAGAACGAAATATGATACCTTCCTTGGGAAGGAAGCTCTCCATCTACGAGCCTGGTTGCCAATGAATATCAGGGCGTTTATCGCTGCTGTTGAATACCACTATCAGGTTGCCACTTTCGTCAAGGAGTCCAATGACCCACGGCTTATGGGTGTTTGGGAAGGCTTGGTAGAGTCGTATCTCGGCGAGCGTGGCTGGATGGGTACGCATCGATATAAGGTGTATGGCTTTCTGGAAGTCGTTGCAAAGACTGGTCGAAGCGAGACCAACGGCAATGCTGGCTCATCGGACAACGCTGGACGGCCTTGGGAAGAAGTCCACAAAACTCTCTCGGAATCGATGCGAGAGCGTATGGAGCCATTCAGGGGCAAAGTGACGCTGCAGCCTCATCAACTCAGAGGCTCGTTTGATGAGTGCAGATTCAAAGCCAGAATCTTGTCGCGTTCCTACGTTGATTCTGATCCCTCTCGTTCGACCGGGATGGTCACATTCGGCCTCGAAGACAGTGGAATCACATGCCAACCCGGCGATCGACTTGCCTTTATGCCGCTGAACAGTTGGTCGGAAGTCAACAAGATTAGTGCAGCTCTCGGCCTGGATGACCTTATGCAAACGCCTGTTCCACTTTCACAATCTCCAGAGTGGTCAAGGTTTGCCCGACACATTAAAGCCATTTCCAGGTCTGCCGCTGAGCCTTTCTTGACAGTCCAGGACATACTTCGACGTGGCAAGATTGCCCCACTCAGCAAAGATATTGTCATGATGTTCCATATGACTTTGCGAGCGTCCTCCTCGACAGTACTCAGAGTCCTGGGATCTGAGATGTGGCCCGTACAGGGTACCCTGGGCGACTTGCTTCAATTGGCTGTCGCAGAAGCAAGTCCCACCATTTGGGATCAGGCTTTTGATCTCTCAGACCTATCTTGGTTACCTAGACTCATTCCAGTGGAGACACCGCGAACGTACAGCATCTCCAACTTCTCGAATGAGATGCTGCCTGGCACAATCGATCTCACTGTCGCTCGCAACGAGTACAAACTGGCCTCAGTGTTGGATGCCGGCCAGGATTCCACCGTCCGCTACGGCGTCAGTAGTGGTTGTCTCAATCCAGATCCTTGTGTGGCCGATGACATGAGCGATGAGGAGCAGTATCTGATAGGGATATCGCGTCCGCTCAACTTCCAACTTCCTGTCACAATGACTGGACCTGTCGCTATGTTCGCTGGTGGATCCGGGATCGCGCCATTCCGATCCTTCTGGCAAGCTCGGGTTCAGTCTAGCGTAGGGAGGAATCTTCTGTTTCTGGGTGTCCAGTCACGCCAGAAATTCTCGTATGAGAACGAACTCAGAGGCTATGTTCAAAATGGCGCTCTTGAACTGCACACTGCGTTCTCGAGAGACACAAATGGCTTGGTGTTTGACCCCGCAAGTCGTGATCTTCTGGAAAAGCCAATGAACCCAAGATACCTTGATGCACTTATCATCGAGCAAGGGAAGACTGTATGTGACATGGTCATTTCGAAGAGTCAAGGTGGACTTGGTGGCCATCTGTACATTTGCGGCTCCTTGGCCATGTACGACACCATTATGGATGGTATCCGCCAGGCGATCTATCACAACTGGACCTCGACGAAGGAATCTGCTGACACACTTCTGGCAAAGGCTTTCGCGGAAAGACGTTTTATGCTGGATATATTCATGTCACCCAAGCCTGTCAGCTACTCGATGCCACAAATCCCGCTTTCGAAGCTATCTTTGAACACCGGTCACCGACCTGGCTCCCGGATGTGGATCGGTGTACATGGGTCCGTCTACGACATCACGGATTTCTTACCGATGCACCCTGGAGGTACACTGATTGCGCAAGCCAGCGCCGGGCTAGACGCCTCGAAAACGTTCGATGATCTAGCGCACACCAGCAACCCAGAAGTGATGAGTCTACTCTCCAAGTACTTTGTCGGGCACCTCGCACCGAAGCCTGCCTTCCGATCAAGTGAGATAGGCACTCTGTACGATCTATGGCACAAGTATCTGCGCAACTGTGTGGAGAGCCTGACGACCCTCTTCTTTGAGGTCAACAACATCATGAGCAGTGCCGAGACATGGTTTCAAGGTGGGCTTCTCAATATGGCTGGAGTCAGGAAGCTTTACCAATTCCAGTCGCGCTTGATGCAGAATGGGTTCTCGACACTGTTTGGAACTAAGCTGCAAGAGCTACACCTTAAACTCACATTTGCCCTCGTCAACTCTGGAGCGCCCGACACACGAGTTCCCGACGTCATTGGCATGATCACGAGAGCGCAGGCTTCATCTTTGTCGGCTACTGCATCGAACGAGATTGCTCAGATTGGCGAATTCGTATGCAACAGTAATAATGCCCGTTTTCACGAGGCTGGTGTACTTCGATACGCGCAAGCGGTTACCGAACTAGACGTGCAGTTTCTGGAAGAAATTCGAGAAGATCTGTGCCAAGGCATGGACAGTTTCGACGTTGTAGAGTCGATGGACTCACCCAATGACAAGCATCGACTGGTGGCTTTGAGCGGATATCTCCTCTCGGTCTTGGAGAGAGTTGCGCAGCGTCTGGAGACTTTCTACTCCCGGCTGTCTAGAGAATCCATATACCAACCGGGAATTGAGAAGAATCCAGCAAGAACCCGATGGAACATGCTTAAGAGAAAGATACGCGATGGTTCACTCTTCATTCTTGCTCGGAACACGGAGTTCAGCAGATCTACCACGGCATCGAAACCCTTCCGAGCCGCAAGACATACAGACCAGGACATTATGTTTTCACAGGTGGTTTCGCAAGCGCAGCAAGCAGTCGACACAACGAAGCCTTCGGCCAGCCCCCAGCCGATTGCAAATGCCGCGCCGCAGCGGTTAGCTGACGCGCATACTGCACGGGCTATTCAAAGCACAAAAGCGCCATCGTCTTTTGAAGTCCACGAGTCCATCAATGCGCTCAAGTCGATGTCGACTTTTATGCAGTCCAATGTGCAAGCCATTAAGCGCCTGAGCCAACTTCCCTCAGATCTGAGCTTCGAACACATCATGGCTGCGTACGGTCGAGGTGAGACATCCGCCCCAGCACAGGCACCACATTCTAGGCGCCAGGCTTCGATGTCTCCAGCTTTTTCATCGCGCTCGAGCTCTCGAACCAGGGATCCCTCGATCGGGCAGCGGTCCCAGCTGATACGGCGTCGACCTACGAATGGTTCCATGACAAGTGCGACGGGGTTGCCATCAAATCCTAGAGACAGCATCCATAGCAACGGACATTTGGCAATGCAATCACGCGTTCCTCCACAAGCGTCCGTTGCGTCTCACGGCATGCCGCTGCCACTGGAGCTGGCTAGCAGGACCGAGACCGCCTCCCGTTCCCGTTCCCAGTCGGCTTCCAGGCTCAACCAGCGCCAGACGCAGGGACCTGGTCCGTCCATGGTCTCAAGCCCATCTAGGGCCACATCTCCACCTTTGCTCATGCGAAGGAAGACATCAACACCGTCCACCCCACCCCATGGATTGACTACCAGATCGATTCCTAGGAGCGGGACCGTCTCATCACAACCGACACAGCTGATGGCGGACCGCGAGAGCTTGCTATTGGCTCAGATGCAGCGACACAATGAGCTGATAATGCAGGCTCACGGTGAGCCGAGGATGTCGGCCCCGATGTCGGCAGCGGCAGCATCGAACGGTCTAAGAGAACTGAAGATGTTGCCGATGCCTGCGTTCGGTGCCGCTTGACGGCGCGAAGACATCAGAATATGGCACAAAAGGTAGCGAGTCCCATTGCGATGGGCCCGGCGTCCATCGAGTCAGCTTGCGAATGTGACATGCGAGCTGCGAGACGCGTAAAGTAAGAGTTATCGTATGCAGATTGTATTTTGTCGATTGGAGCAAAGGGCTGTGGCGTTCAGATGATAACGGCTGGTTCATTCGCAGAGGATGGAAGACTTGCCGAGTCATCCTGGGTCGGCTTGATTACACAGTAGATATTTAATTAGGTGCCTCAGCAACGCAGAATATGATAAAGAAGTGGTGGTACAACAATACTTGCAATACTATGCGATACTAGTACCTCGAAGATGGGGTTAGCGTTGAGAGCCGACGCGTCGATCGGCTCAGCACAGCTTCGTACCTGCACCTCATGTCGCTCTTCTCTCTTCATCCCTAGGACTGTAGAAAGCTGTAGTCTTCTATGCTCGGATCGCGTAGCCATCTATCTGTACAAGCCGGACTCTCGTTTGGGCGTCCACATATATTGCGGCTCGACGTGAAAGGCAAGCCTGGTGCCGTCGGGCACACATCGGAATTAGGCCCCCATTCCCCCTTCTACTTGGCAGTATAAGAACTCGTGCATTGCTTCGATGTTTTTCAAAGGGCTGCGCAGCTGACGCAATCATTCGACTTCTCGCATCTGGGCTAAGGTCATACCACGAAGGCGCATCTCGCTGTTTGCGAACGTTGGGGAGTATGTGGTAACCAACGTTCGCCAAGCCTGACCTTTATCCTGCTTATATTGCCCTACCGCTCGCGCCCCTTGGATCGTCATTTTCGATCTTGGGGGAAGTTGGGCGCACCTGTTGCCATTGATACAAGCTCTTCTATCAATTCGAGCGGCCGGGAGTGGCGTACATGATGGCTACGGTCAAGCACCCGCAGCACGCGCCCACAGACGGGTCGTATTACGACCTCGGCGAATACGAACGCGCCGCAACTACCAACAGCTCAGAAGCAAAGACATGGTTCGACCGCGGCTTCCGTTGGCTTTTCGGCTTCAATCACGAAGCTGCAGCTGAATGCTTCGAGACAGCGATTGCCCACGACCCCGGTTTCGCACTGGCCCACTGGGGCGTCGCTTATGCCCTCGGCCCCAACTACAACAAGCCGTGGTCGTTCTTTGGAACCGAAGAGCTTCAGCAGACGGTCGAGAAGACGCGGTCCGAAGTCCTTCGGGCGATTAAGACCGGTGCCAATGCTACACCAGTTGAGAGAGCCATCATCGATGCCATTCAGTATCGTTATCAGGCGGATAAACCGCCGAGCGATTGCGCAATCTGGACTGCCGACTACGCTGATGCGATGGGCAAGTGCTACGCGGCCCACAGCGAAGACCTAGATGTCGCATTCCTCTACGCCGACGCGCTCATGAATCTGACTCCGTGGGCTCTCTGGGACATCCGGACTGGCGAGGTGCCGGAAGGCGCTCGGACGCTCGAGGCCAAGAAAGTCCTGGATAAGGCCCTCACTCTACCTGGTGGGCACCAGCATGGCGGCCTGCTACATCTGTACATCCACTTGATGGAAATGTCTTTGAAACCCGAGGAGGCGTTGCCGTTGGGTAATCGACTGCGCGGCCTCTTGCCTGATGCTGGACACCTCCAACATATGACCACGCATTTGGATCTCCTGTGCGGAGACTACGCGAGCGCCGTCACATGGAACGCCAAGGCGCTTGAGGCGGACGACAAGTACATCCAGTACGCGGGGACCAACAACTTCTACTCGCTCTATCGATCGCACGACTACCACTTCTTGATTTATGCCTCCATGTTCAGCGGAAAGTACACAGCGGCAATCACGGCGTGCGAGAACATGGAACAGTCCCTCCCCGAAGAGCTCCTGCGCATTGAAACACCTCCAATGGCAGACTGGGTCGAAGTAGCCATGAGCTTCCGCTACCACGTCTACATCCGTTTCGGCAAATGGCAAGAGATCCTCGACCACCCGCTCCCTCACGACCAAGGACTCTACGCCGCCACAACAGTCATAGCACACTACGCCCGAGGCGTCGCGTACTCAGCCCTCGGCCGCATCGAGGAAGCCGAGGCTGCGCGCGCCGCGTTCCAGGCCGCGTCCGAGCGCATGCCCGAGTCGCGCATGCTCTTCAACAACTCGTGCGCCGACATCAACCAGATCGCCGCGCGCATGCTCGACGGCGAGCTGGAGTACCGCAAGGGCAACATCGCCGCCGCCTACCAGCACCTCCGCGACGCCATCCACATCGACGACACCTTGCCCTACGACGAGCCCTGGGGCTGGATGCAGCCGACCCGACACGCATACGGCGCCCTGCTCCTCGAACAGGGCCACGTTGAGGACGCGGCTGAGGTCTACAAGGCCGACCTGGGCTACGATGACACGCTGCCGCGCGCCCTGCAGCATCCCGACAACTTGTGGTCGCTGCACGGGTACCACGAGTGTCTTGACACGTTGGGGAGGGCGGAGGAGGCGGAGGTGATCGCGGGGAAATTGCGCGAGAAGCAGGCGGTGGCGGATGAGCCGATTAAGGCGTCTTGCTTCTGTAGGTTGGAGACTGCCGAGGGGGAATAGCATCGGTGCTGCCGCTCTGGGGGAAAATACAGAGTTAGAGTCGATGGGGAGCTGGGTATGGTCGATAGAATGTCGGCATCCTCGCAGTTCTCTCCATCATTCGTCCTAAAGGGTGCGTGCGTGGCCTGCCAAACCACCATTCTTTTCGTTTTCCTTCCAGTTGTGTAGAGCAAGCACGTTTAGCTTTTTCTTCATCCCAGCTTGAACATGCGTGGATCAGTTGCTGCTGCTGCGATCGAGGCTGCTGCCATGCATTTGATCGAGTCTTGTTCAGGCAGGACCCCAGGGGGGTTTATAATAGCCAAACCAAGTCTCAATGCTGGGGTACCGTGGAGATAAAGATCAGAATCGTGTGTTTCGCTGTACGTTCTTGTAGCGAGCGATGCTACGAGCTGGTGGCGAGTCTACTCCGGGGGCTGGAAAAGGGGGGTCATGTGGCGTTCGTGCCTGGTAAAGGGTTGAGGTTGGATGAAGCTAGAGAAAGGTGGATCATGTTGGTGCGTGTAGCAGTGCTGATGGTGAAACTCATGGTACCAAGGGATAGGCAATAGATAGGCAAATACATGCAATGATGATATTTTTTTTTCGAGATCTAGCCACGTAAGGAGTCTCGACCTTGTACTTTTTTTTTGTAAAGAGGTCGTCGTGAACGATATCTGTTGAGGTTTCCGTTGGATTGGGACGCAGCACATGTCGTGTCCAGTGCAGCCGCTTGCAAAAATGATCTTGTTGAACCAGGGTCGAGGGTGCGATGTTTTCAATCGAGGCCGAATAAATGAGAACAGCTTTTCAATTGCTTCTGCTGGCTCTTACTCTCATCCTTACATCAATCAGGCACACGGCCTGCACACCGCCCTGAGACACTTTGTGTTGCCTCTCCGGGACAAGTGCAAATGTTTACAATAGATAGTGAGTACATCTCAGCACAAGTAACTAGTACTTGTGCAGGGAACCCTTCCGTTGGGACAATAGGAAATGGTCGGAGCTGAATCAGCAATGGAAGATTCACGTGGCGAGGAGATTGAAGTTCATCTACGCATGGTATCAAGCTATGACACTCAGCAGACCTTCGTTGAGCGTCGATCGAGAAACACTACAATGGGCAGCGCAAGTGGCAAGATGTCGTGTGTTATCATTGCTAATCTACATGATTCAAGCTGCGTTGTATCGTTTCCTTGAGCATTTCGGCCGAAATCGTAGTCTCTGGTCGAAAAAGCTGTGTGCTTATACATGGTTACCCTCGACGAGGATATGGTCACAGCGAGGGCCGAAGCGTAGACTTATCATGAGCCTTTGCGGCCCGAGCCACCTACACCCGGTTGTTGCCCCTGTACTCCACGGTGACCGTCTTAGTCTGCCAGATACCCTTCTCGCTGTGGTCGTCGTCAGCACCCGCATCACTGGCATTGCCTCTGACCTCGTTGGTATTTGCATGGTAACCGTCTTTCTTTGCTCCGCGCAGGACGCCCTCCAATTCGACATCGTCCATATCCCTGCTCGAGTCCATGCGGCCATAGTGGTTGCGGCTTCCCAACTTCGACCCGTTGCCCGAGGGGTAGCTGCCACCCTTATAGCCGTGGTTCTTGTTGGGTGCATAGTTGCTCTCCTCGAAGAAGGAAGGGAAAAAGTGCCGCAAGAAACTGCGCAGGGAGGGAAGTGAGGTGGTGATGACGACGAGATTGGCTTCGACGTTGCTATGCAGTTATGTCAGTAAGGTGTTGCGGGCCACAATAGTAACGAATAGAAACATACATCCAGACGCAGGGGATCGACACCACGTGTGTTTGATCAAAGTTCTTCACCATAGGCACCTGAAGATGTTAGTGAACGAGCGGAAGTCGGGCAGCCTTCTGAGGCAGCTTGCATGGATACGTAATACTCACCATGTACACAAGGCGGACAATAGAGGTTACAAAGGTGGCCGAACCAACTGCGAACATGCAGAGCACGGCAATCTTTTGTGTTCTGCGCATCTGGAGGCCAAGCACAACCGGGATGGGTATCGTGAGGATGATAAAGTCCGTTATGCAATTGACGGCAGCCGTGGCCAGATAGATTGCAGCCTTGTCAATGCATTTGAAGTCGGTGATGCTGAGATCCCAATTGGCAGAGATGGGTTGGCAGGGGAAGATCAGAGCGAATATAATGCCCAAGCTGTAGCTCGCGACGATGCCCATGACGATGTAGACGCAGACTTTGAACCACGGCAGCTTGGAAAGACGGTGATATAAGAGCAGGATCGAGATCTTAGCAAATCCAAGACAGGGCACGTATAGTATACTGGCCACCATGATGAGCTGTTGGAACAGTCAGACGGCTTCGCATCGAGCATTGGTATTTTGATACGTACGATGTTGAAAAATTGATACTTTTCGAACGGCATTTCAAAAGCATGTACTCCAGAGATCTTGGACACCCATAAATCTATAACAGGTCAGCTGTGGCTCACTGCTTCTTCCCGGTGGCAACGTACGCAAGAGAATGGTCTGGGTACCCAAGCCGAATAGCTGGATAGGTCAGCCAATGGAAAATTACCTCGGGGGTGATAGCATACAAATGATAGGACGACTGCCACTGATTGGAAAGTTAGCATGATACGTGATAAAGGGAGGATTTCTGATACCATCTTCAAGGCCGATGTTTCTTGTGATTCTTGCACGGGTATAGAGCCGCAGAGCAAGGAAGGTTGCTGCCAGGGCTATACCGAAGCCCGTAACAAAATAGCCAGCGATGGCGCCCACCTGGGGCGGGTTCTCAAAGTTCACCTCATACCCCTCGGGGGCTGGCAGAACAGTAAGGACACCATCGGTCATAGACATTTTTGCAAAGTAATATCAAAATGGTGCCAGACCGTGAATATAGGGGAGGAGAACTGGAAATGTGAGGGCCGGAGGCTAGCTATGGTATAAGTACACACAAGAGTAGTTGCAGGTCATAGTCCCTTGATAATGAAAGAAACTTGTTCTTGTGTAGTCTTTGGTACCTGACATACCGGCAGCTCCCTAGACTCGTTCGAGGCTCCGTCTCCTCTGCTGTAACGGCCGCATCCATGATCGTCGGAGATCGACAGGCACTTGCGCCGTTCAAAGTGATCCGGTGGGCTGGGGACAGTTCGAAGAGACCTGTCAAGTCACGGGAAATAATGGGGCGAGCCTGTAGCGGCGAAGACAATGCTCCGTGAAGGGTTCAGGCGAGACAGGCCAACGGTCGCAGCACCGCAGAGATCGACACACGTCAAAGAGCTTGAGTCTTCCTTCGAGGGCGTGATTTTCCGATTGTGGATAGCACGCTCGTGCGAGGATTGCGCCGACGGCCAGGAAGCAGCCTCAGCGGAAGAATGGCTCCGTCGTGCGCCCCCCAGTGGATGCAGTTTGAGGCGGCAACCAATGTTGCAGCTCGCAAAGCATCGATCGATATCTAATCGACTCGTCAACATACGCGAACCAGCCACACCAAGGCAATCTCTGCAGGCAGTTCTGCCAACTCGCCTGATACTCCATTCTCACGCCACAGACGAGAATAGCAGTAGTACACAGCGTATTCAGTTTTCATCGTTTACTCTCCCTCAACTGTGGTGCTGAAGAATGCACATTTTTCCGAAGCATATCCGAGTCAGGCCTTCCGTTGATGTGTTCGGAAGCTCTCACTAGCAAGGGAGACCCTGTTTGAGACCGGATTGCATGTCCACCAGGATGGCCTTGCTCTCATCGTCTTCCGGAGGAACGAAAACGGCATCGAGGCTGCTTGGCCAGGTGCGTGGGCATGCCCAGTGACTCTGCGGATACCAAGTAGCTCGTGGGAGATGGGCTGACACACGGAATGGGTACAGGACATTGAGTTTGAGTTGGAACACAGCGTGGGCTTGTCACAACCCCGGTCAAGTTCCCTGTCACGTTCCTGTGAAGTCCCAACTCCCCTGGCCAAGGTGGATCGGACCGTTCGCCGCCAAGGCAAATCCTCACCCATCGCTGCAGATCTTCCCCTTCCTCTGCAAGTCTGCTTCTTGTCCGCAGCACCGGATCCTGGTCTCTGCATCAAGCTATTTTCTCCGCTGTTTCGCTTCACTTGGTCTCAAAATGCGCGTGGTTCACCTCCCTCGGATGAAGGTGCTCCTCCCAGATTTCGAGTCGCGTCTCGCGGCTCACGATTCGCTTGGCGATGGACCTTGATCTCGGGACTGTTCTCGTCGACGACGAAATTTTCCTTCTGGTCCACAACCTCTGCTCAAGCTCCTGTCTTACTGTGCACGCTAGGAAGTGAGATGCTTGGAGGCGCAGGCGGAGGTGAAGTCTATCTCCGTCAACTTTGACGGTCTTCGAGAGCATAATCCATCCCGGGTCCGCTCGTGCACCGGCTGTCGTGTATCGCGAGCTAGCGACCTTCCCCGCGGCGCCTTTCGCCAGGGTATCGAGTGCCACAGTGATGGGTCTGCCAATGAGACCAGTCTTGGGTGGATCCCTGGGATCCGGCATTGTTATCTCGCTTTGGAAGGTCGAGAACTTAGTACGGAGTGCTGGTGGCAACCTCTTGCATCTTGCCCAATTCGAGTCAGTGCCTTCAGGGATACCACAAGCACACAGTGCTAGGGCGAATAGCCCTCACAATGTTGGCACGCTACGAACCTGTGCCCCTGCCACGGAAAGGAAAGGTTCCTGGCGATCATTATTGGCAACAAACCTGTCTTCAAGTGCAGCTCTTCGGACCTATCTTTTCTACCTGTCGTGCACACTCAACTTGAAACATACGGACTTGCCCTACTTCGAGCCAGCATGAAGACCCCATCGAAACTGGCGCTGTCAGCGCTCGTTGCCTTTAGTGCGAGTGCGACTGCATCCTGGCAGGACGCTGGAGAAGGATCTCAGCACTGTGTAAGACCCAACTGCCGACCCTTGGTGACCCGCGCACAGACTGATCTCTCCAGTGTCAAGCCTTGGCCGATGCAGGCCTTGGAGACCGATTGATCCTACCTGACACTGCCGACTACGAAGACAGGGTTGATGTCCACTGGTCCTTAGCTGCGCGACTCACGCCCTACTGCTTCGTTCGACCAGAGACGGCTGGTGAAGTTGCCAAGGTCGTGAACACGCTGGTCGAGGCCAACAAGACCTCGCCATGCCAGTTTGCCATCAGATCAGGGGGCCATACCACCTGGGCTGGCTCAGCCAACATCGAGGATGGCGTGACGGTCGACCTGGGCTATATGAATAGCACCACCTACGTAAGTTTTGTGCCTCTGCAGTGACGGGTCCTGGCCTGCATCCTTGGACACGCGGGGGAAGAGCCAAGCTCTGGTGTTCACTTCGGACCAACGCTTGCAGACTCGTTGCCCCGGACATCCCAGCACCAGTACAGGGTCAGCGTTACTAACAGCTGTAGAACGCCGAGAACAAGACTGCATCCGTACAACCTGGTGCCCGGTGGAAGGGTGTCTACTCCACGCTCGATGCCCTTGGGATAGCTGCTGCCGGAGGTCGCGCATCTACTGTCGGCGTTGCAGGTCTAGCTACCGGTGGAGGCAACTCGTTTTATGGCGCTCGCGAAGGTTTTGTCTGTGACAACGTGGTTCGTTTCGAGGTATATTCCCCACCACTGTCCTCGTAGACACTTGCTGATGCATCCTAGGTAGTGCTGGCCTCTGGTGAGATTGTCGAGGCAGACAGGGACAACAATGTCGACCTGTGGCAGTCTCTGAAAGGCGGTTCTAACAACTTCGGCATTGTAACACGCCTGGATCTTGCCACACTCGAGGGTATCGATCTGTGGGGAGGTGTCGTGACTTACTCCAATGACACCACCAAGCAGCAGATCCAAGCCATGTACAATTTTGGCGAAGAAGCCACAAATGACCGCTACGCTAGCGCCATCACGATTTGGCAGTATTCCACGACTACCGACACCAACATGGTCATCAATGCCTACGATTACACCAAGCCAGTGGCACGAGCTCCCATCTTCGACGAGTTCCTGGCTATCCCTGGCAACACATCCGACAGCTTGCGGTTCACTAACATGACGGATCTGACCATCGAGCTCGAACAAGCTGAAGGCTTTCGGTAAGTAATCACTACATAGATTCCTTCAAAAGTAGCTGATCATCCGCAGCGATTCTTTCTTCACCCTGACCTTCAAGAACGACATTCGTGTCATGGAGAAGGCCATTGAGCTCCACCACCAGTACTTGGAAAGACTCAAGGCTGCAGACATCAAGGGCAACTGGACGCTACAAGACATGTTCCAGCCAGTCCCCACATTCTTCGCCGAACATGGTGAGGAGAAGGGCGGCAACGTTCTGGGCCTTGGACGCTTCACCGACAACCTGCAATGTGAGTATTTCTCCACATGTCCCCCGAGACCTTCGGCTAACCATTTGGCAGTATGGCAGACCTACCTCGCGTGGGAAGACGCGGCGCAAGACGACATGTTCCACTCGTGGGGCATGGAATACATCGCCGAGCTGGACGAGTTCGCCAAGTCCGTCGGCGCAGATAACTCATGGATCTATCTCGACTACGCCTACAAAACACAGGACCCCCTCGCCAGCTATGGAGAGGAAAACCTGCAGAAGCTGCGTGATGTCTCCAAGAAATACGACCCGGAGGGCGTGTTCCAGACCATGGTCCCTGGCGGCTTCAAAGTGTCCAAAGCTGGCAAGCCTGAGCAGACGCGAGGCTCTAAGAAGATGCGGAAGCGAGAGTTGTAAGCGAATATGGTCGCTTGGAATGCATATACAGCATGACTTTGTCGGTCTCATGACTTTGACAAGGGTCGCGGGCTCTACCAGCAAGCTGCTTGTATTATCCAAGCAGTAATACGAGGAATTTTCTCCAAAATTTGGGTACCTGTTCAGCCCCTTTCGGATCCTGCCTCGGATAAGTGAAGCCTTGTTCCTTCTATTCAACCATTCATCTCGCGTCTCTCGGTCAAGCTAACAAACCGGAGCCGAGAGACAGACGCCCCTCTTCCCCAGGCGAATCCCCATGCCAAGCCATTGATGGGTGGAGAGTGCCTCCACCTCCTCCACGCCAAGGGGCCGGCAGATGGCTCATATCCTGCCGAACACGAGCACTGACCATCAATGGACTCCGATCCTGATTTCCTGTTAGCGAAGGATGGGACTTGTTTGTTGGAGAAGCTGTCTGGGGCAGGCCTGGGCAAGAACGCCGCCGAATATATAACAGGCCACGCAGACCGCTCGCGTTTGCCCTCCCCGGCGGCTGGCCAGCAGGAAGCTCACCGACCCCGGACACAGGACGCATTCGGAACTCTTGAGCACTCCACTGGAGCTCTTTTGATCTCAGACCCTTTCCCTTTTTGCTTCCGACGAGAAACCGTCGACATGGCCTCCGCCGCCGCGGAAGAGAACCTCAACGCAGCCGGCAAGCTGGACGCCGAGATCGTGCACGCCGAACGCATCGTCGCCGAAGACGAGATAACCAAGACTGAAGACCATGGCATGTCGCCAGCGGAGATCCGCAAGTTCACGCTCAAGCAAGACTGGCGCGTCCTTCCTATGCTCGGAGTCATCTACGCCGTGTCCATCATCGACAGGATCAACGTACGTATATGTAGTTACCTTTCCCCTCCATGCCTTATCATTCCAGCCACACCCCCATCTCGCTCTCCCAATCCAAAATCACACACACACACAAACTAACACCCGCTTCCCTTCCTTCTCAAACAGATCGGCTCCGCCAAAGTCCTCGGCATGACCGAAGACCTCTCCCTGGGCAGCGGCCCCCGCTACAGCATCATCCTGATGCTCTTCTTCCCAGCCTACGCCCTCAGCGACGTCCCCTCCAACTGGCTGCTCACCTACATCTCCCCCCGCTGGTGGCTCCCCTTCCTCATGTTCAGCTGGGGCGCCACCCTCTGCGGCATGGCGTTCCTGCACAACTGGCAGGTCATGGCGTTCTTGCGCTTCATGCTCGGCGCCTTCGAAGGCGGCGTCTTGCCCGGCGTGACCTTCACCATCGCGTGCTGGTACACCAAGGCCGAGCTGCATAAGCGGATCGCCTTTGCGTACGGCTTGGGCATCGTGGCCAGCGCGTTTGCGGGGATCTTGAGCTATGGGCTGGGGCAGATGGACGGTGTTAGGGGCATGAGGGGGTGGCGGTGGGTGTTTTCGGTATGTGCTTCTTTTCTTTAGTCTCTCTCCCTTTCTCAGCAGTGCCCCGTTCCGCGCGTCCCCTACGCCCCCCCCCCCCTCCCTTAATAAAAATGGCGTTCACTGACACAAGCCGAATAGATCGAAGGCGGCGCCACCATGTTCCTCGCCATCATCGCCCCCCTACTCCTCCCCTCCTTTCCCGAGAAAGCCAAGTGGCTCAAGCCGCGCCAGAAAATCTACCTGTTTCAAAAGCTGCAGCGCGACCACGGGCAGTACGAGACGGAAAAAGTCGGCCCCCGCACCGTGTTGCATGTCAGCAAGGACGGGTTGCTGTGGTTGCAAGGAAGCATCTACATGTTTTGCGTGGGCACGGCGAACGCGACGGCTTTCTTTGCGCCTACGATCATTACGGTGAGTTTCGGAGCTTCTTCTCTTTATTTATTTTTTGTGCTCGTGATGGGCGGCGGTGGGGGAGGAGGAGGTGATGTTCAGCGGTGTGTGAGAGTGAGCGGCGAGTCACCACCAATTGGGGAGCAGAAGAGGAGGGATTGGTTTGAGAAGGAGATGATTCATTCCACTTTCTCTACCTGGTGATGAGGAATGAGACAACTCGAGAGACGCTCGCTAGAAAACCGACGACACAAAAGTCCTACAAGTACACTGACTGACACCTTCTTTCACAGGGCCTCGGCTACTCCGGCCTCGACGCCTCGCTGCGCAGCGGCTACCCCTTTTTCCCCGCGCTCGGCGGCCTCATGATCACCTCGTACATCTCGGATCGCTACCAGGCGCGTGCGACCGTCTGTCTGGTGAACACGTTGATCATGATGATTGGCTTTATCCTCATCCGAGCCGACGCCGGTTTCAGCAATGAGGTGCGCTACCTCGGCCTCTTTTTCGCCACCATGGGCGTGCACTGGTAAGTCGCCCATTGATTTCTTCGTTTTGTTTTCTCTTCTTGTTCTTCCATCCTTGCAGATGCCGAAAAAGTTTTCTCCAGCTGACGATGCGCTGTGATAGCAATGTACCCGCTCTTCTAGCATTCAACCAGAGCAACACGCTTGGCACCGCCAACCGCGCCGTAAGTAGCGGCATCCTCATTGCGTGCGGCGCCGTGGGCGGCATCATTGGGAGTCTGATTTTCCGCGGCGAGGATGCCCCTACGTACGGGCCGGGTATCTACACCACCATCGGCATGTGTGTGTATATCTGGTGCGTGTTGGTGATCCTGATCGTCGTTTTCAAGCGGAAGAACAAGCTCCTCGCGCAAGGAGGCCATGTTCCTGGTGCGCCGGAAGGCTTCCGGTTCAGCCTGTAGAGGTTTTGCCGCAGAGCTGATAGAGGAGGGAGAGAGTGCCCTAGGACCAACTTTTCGTCACAAGTCAACGGCAGCGCAAATTTTACACTCGAAGAGCTTAGACGCCACGGCTCTCCCTCCGCATAGCAGCGTTGTCATCGTAGCTGCTGAGGTACATCAGATGATCCGGATCCTGGCTCGGTGGCGTGTTCATAGCCTTAACCTTGTCCACATTGACCAGCACCAGCGGATCATCCGCGGCGGTGCCGGGATGCACCTCAAACACGTACTTCTCACTGAGCTTCTTGCCCTGCCTAGCCGCGCCAATGAGTTTCGAAAGGTCGATTTCTCCCTTGGCGCTTTGCCGCTGTAGACTTGTGCGTGATGCCGTGCGGTGTAGCTTGAGCTCCTCCGCAGTGGGCGGGATGGTGTCCTCGTTCGTGGGGATAATGGGTGCAGGCGGCTTAGTTTCGCGCTTGATGACGCTCATGGCTCGGCTGAGGAAGCCTGGCTGCGGTGGTGATTTTGCCTTCTTCTCCCTCTTGACGGCGCGGCGGCGCATTCGTAGGTGGAACAGCTTGCGCACGGGCGTCATCGCGAGCAGGAACCATCGGTCTGGGAAAGTTCGCACCAGGGCGCCGAGTGGGAGGGTCAGCACGCCGAGGATGATCGACGCCGCCCATTGAGTGCCAGTGGGGCGTGCAGTCTGGAATGCGTTTCCGCCGAACATAACGATGAGCGTTTGTCCGGTAACGGTGACGACTTGGACAAAGAAAAACCATGGATTGCGGTGCATGCCTTCGAAAATGTTGAAGCGCGAGTCGGCCATTCTTGAATTCCACTGGTTGAACAGCTGGAGCCAGATGTATGTGTTGAAAGCTGTGGTCTGGAGTTGTCGTTGTTCGTGCTCGGTGCCGGAGGCCCAGAAGTGGCGTCCTGCGTAGTGAAGGACGAAGATAACCCCCATTTGATACAAAGTCTGCGCAATGATCATCTTCCACATGGCCACTGTGATGATGGCTTGCCCTCGTGGTTCGGGTTTGCGCTGAAGCACACCTCGGGTTGGGTAGTCAGTAGCAAGAGATAGGGCTGCGAAGGTATCCATGATGATATTGACCCAAAGGAGCTGTACGACAGTAAACACAGCTTCGTCCACCTCACCAACGAGAGCTGTGACGGCAGTGAGGAGACCTGCTGAAAAGTTGATTGTCAGCTGGAACTGGAGGAATTTCTTCACTGCGTCGTTGACTGTACGCCCCCACTGCACTGCACGGACGATCGATGTGAAGTTGTCGTCCATAAGAATGATGGATGAGGCTTCCTTTGCGACTTCGGTCCCCGCGATACCCATAGCAAAGCCAACGTCGGCTGCCTTCAAAGCCAAGGCATCATTGGTGCCGTCACCAGTGACGGCCACAATTTCCTTTTGAGCACGAAGCCTATACACCAATACCCGCTTGTCCTCGGGCGATGAGCGAGCGAGCACTTGCAGTCGTGGCACAATCATGTCGAGTTGAGCTGGGGTCAGCTTTCGAAACGTAGGACCATCCATCGCGATTCCTCCCGGCGTGTAAATGCCACAATCTTTAGCAATTGATATCGCGGTTGAAGGGTTATCTCCAGTGACCATACGGACAAATACGCCAGCCTTCTGACATTGGCGGACTGAGTCGATGACATCCGGGCGTAGGGGATCCCGAAGACCGACGATGCTGGCCAAGGTCATATCCTGAAAGATGTGGTCCAGTCTTAGGTGGTCGGTGGTTCCCGGCGTTGACGTCTCGTGCGGTGGCGGCCATGAATCAAAGTCGCGATAGGAAAGCGCTAGGACTCGGAGAGATCGATGAGCTAGCCGGCTGATGTGCTCATGCAGAAGTTCGACGCTGCTCTGATCCAAAGCTGTCACGGAAAGCCCGGAGGCCGACTGCTCTAAGGTATTCGTACAACGGGACAGGACAATTTCTGCAGCTCCTTTGGCAAACATACGGAACTTGCCATTGGGGAGCTCGACGATGGCCGCCATGGATTTCTGGGTGGACTGAAACGGGAACAAATGGACAGTCTCCATAGAATTCCGAGCTGCCGTCAGTTCTTGAAGGCCAAATCGATCCGCGGCGAATTGAACAAGAGCTTTCTCGGTGCTCGAACCCTGGAGTTCCATTTTGTCCGTACCCTTGTCGGTCGCCGTCGTATTCATGTAGATGGATGCATTTAACAGCTCCCGTACCGCGTCTCCGAGAGAAGAGATTAAGGCCATTGGCTGAACGGCAGTTCTATCGTAGACTGGAGCCGTCGGATCGTTGCCATCTGCGGGGCCTAGCTGTTCGAGATCTTCATAGTCTTGATTGAGTCCGACCCTGCATGAAACAACCGTCATCTTGTTCTGTGTAAGCGTGCCGGTTTTATCGGAGCAGATGGTAGTTGCGTTGCCCATGATTTCGCATGAGCGGAGAAGCCGGACGAGATTGTTATCCTTCAACATTCTGGTTGTTGCGAAGGCGAGAGCGAGAGTCACTGCCAGCGCGAGGCCCTCAGGGACACCAATAACAACCATAGTGACGGACAACATGAACAGCTCTAGAAACTCTTCGCCTTTCGCTCTTGGCCCGCCCTCAATGGAGTCCAGTCTTACGAGGAAGCGAACAAGTAAGATAAAAAAGAAGAGGACACCAAACAGGGCACCAAAGAGGAGAATGTACTTGGCAAGCGATCCAAGTTTCTGCTGCAGAGGGGTGACTTGAGGCTCGTCGCGCAGAGACATCAGTACACGGCCATAGCTCGAATTGACGCCTACCGAGGTAGCAACGAAGCTACCGACACCGTTGGCAACCTTGCTGCCGCTCAGGATGAACGGATCGATGTTGGTAGGTCGTAGCGCTGCCTCGGACGGGTGAGGATCCGTGAAAGGGGTCTTTTCGATGAGGTCGCTTTCTCCAGTAGTTGACGACTCGTCGGTCTCAATATCGAATCCTTCGGTGAGGATTCCATCAACAGGCACAATGTCTCCGGTCTCGAAACGGACGACGTCTCCGACAAGGATGTCATTACTGGAAATGTGGTTGATTTTGCCGGATCGCACAACATTGACAAATTTCTCGTCTTTCTTTCTGTTGAGTTTTTCGAATTTGCGATTTTTCTGCCAGTCGTTGGTAGCAGTTGCCATGAGAATGATGAGGATGGCAATAACAATGGTGACGCCTTCCACCCACTCCACGTTGGAGCCCGGCTCCGATGGGTCCACGGATTGGTAAATGCCCAGTGAGAGTGAAATGACGGCGGAAAAGGTGAGTAGGAACATAAGCTTGTCGTTAAAGGCGTCAAAGACCAGTCGAAGGAACGACTTTGATTTTCGAGGTGGGAGCGTATTATCGGAGTAGGCATTCCGGCGGGTAGAGAATCCTTTGTGCTCGCCTTCGCCGAGGTGGATGTGAACAATTGATTGCCTACGTTTTATAGGTTGTGCGGGCGATCCGGAAAGTGGCTGAAGGGAATCCTCGTCGGCGTTGAGGCCGTTCGTCAGGTCTGTCCGGAGGGCGCTTTCGAGTCCAGACAAGCCACCAATCGATCTCAGCTTTTCGATCTGCTTTGAAGACACGAGTTCGTGTAAAAAGTCTGGCGACAGCGCGAAAGTGGACGAAAAGTTCTCGTTGGCGCCATTACCGGTCTCCTCATCTTTGAAGGTCACATGTGACTTCAGGCCTCGTTCGCCTTGTAGTGTACTCGAGTCAGAAGAGGGAGGCCCATTGCTTGTATGCTGGATTTCACTGTCCTTGGACATCGTTGTCAAAGAGGCATGGGGCTTATTAGTCAGGGAGATATCAGAAATCAAGAGCAAGAGGCCTTATGCAAAAGAATCTACGACCCCAGGTGTACGTGTTCGCCCTGCTTGGCAAGCTTCGGTTGAACGGCCTGCATCCTGGGGCGGGACGAGTGTTCTCGTGTGGAGCGCTGGGGGACTTTTGGTAGAGGGCGAGCTTCCTAGGTCTTAGCTGTGTCCACATGGTAACCTGGAGCGGAGCGGAGCTCATCAGCTGGTCAAACTTCGCCATCATGGAACAGGGTTTCGCTGTTTTAGCAGTACTTTTGGCAGCAGTGCCACAACAATAAGAGCTTGGACGGTCGAATTAAGGAGTTGAGACCTCTGCCGTGAAGCCGAACGGAAGACTTGGCAAGCCATTCAAGCATCACAGCGCGGGTCGCCAAGCCATGGTGCTCGTCGTGATTGGCTCGCATCGCCATAGGGCAATGAGGCTGAGCGAGGCTGCGGCCTAGTCGTCGTGGTCTCGTTTTGGCTCTTCGTCGCGACAACGTGCTTGTAATTCGAGCCGATCTAGCGGTTGCTCGTGCAGTTCTCGCTACGAGGCTGTGTCAGTATTGTGCAATTTGTGACAACCGAGTCGTCCAGATGTCTCACGATCCGTCTCGAAGACTTGGTCGGAACGACAGGAAGAGCAGATGTGGATTGGGTGCTTGCGCCTGACCATTGCCCAGGTTGCAGGAGTTTTTGCGCCTCATGATAGTATGTCAGCGGACCCAAGCAACTACGCTGCAGCAACTCATGTCTACTCCAAATGTACATGTTCGTTGAAGGCACTCGAAGGTCAAATGGCAATGATAGTTATATCCTTGGAGGCGGGCTGAATTCAAAAGACCGGGCACGATGTCATTAGAAACCACGCCGCGGTTCCACGCATTGTTCACGCACTATCCAACTTGCCCTTCTTACGCGTGCAATCATGAAATCTCCAGTTCAACAACAGATTCGCCATCGGCTGTAACCTACCTTTCCATCCACACGGTCTCGCATTGCACCGGGCGTGGGCCGAACGCATCGAGTGACCTGCATCCCACCGGTATTCAACGATATCGCGTGCCAAACATGCCCCGCCCACCCACTCTGCCGCCCGCTGCCACAGCATCTGCCCGTGCAGCTCGCGCCGCCTTCTTTTGTGACCTCTGCCAGAAGGGCTACTCACGCATGAACGAGTATGAAGCCCATGAGTCGTCCTACGATCACCAGCACAAGAAGCGGCTAAAGGAAATGAAGGAGATGCAACGCCAGGTTAAGGACAGCGTGCCGCGGAAGGAAGAGAAAGGTCCGCTGATGACTATCAAATTAGGTGGAAACAAGGAAAAGGAGGCTGGAGCCCAAGGGGCCGGTGGTTTCAAAAAGGGCGGATTCAAGAAGATGAACGCGTTTGTGGCGATCGAGGGTGAGGACGATGAGAGCGTCAAGAAGGAAGATGCTCAAGCTCAGGTCATAGCAGAGGCACCATTAGCGGAGGCGGACAGCGACTTTACGGATGAAGATGATTACTACGATCCAAGGCGACCAACGGGTTGTCCGCCTGGGTGCTCAGGTCTTACTGCTGGATAAAGAGGCTTTCCCCGATGTCTCCGGAAGGCTACATACTCGCACCGCGGCCTCACTACCATTCGACGAACTCGACGGGAGGGCTCCTCAAAGCCACAGCAGCAACGGACCCGATGCAAGACTTCAGCATCACGACTCAATGTTCTGCGTCGATGCATTGAAGTCTGGGCTCAATCCTGAGATCAGAGCAAAGCGGCTCCCAGGCCTAGACCAATGATTACCATGGCGGGCTTCACGATTGCGCCTCCGCCCTCTGACGACGTCGCCGCGGCCGTTTCTTCGGAGGTGGCTGATGCAGACTACACTCTGTCAGCCTTGTCTGGAGATCCAAGGGGGACACATATTCAACGTACCTGCTCACTGGCTGAGTCGGTGCCTTCTGCAGCGGCAGAACTTGTCGCCTCTTCGGTGGCCGAGCTTGACGCATCTTCGGTGATGGTGCTTGTCGCGGATGTTGTGGCCGTGCCGCTCTCGGTCATTGTGGTGGTGTCTGTGTCACTCGCTGTGCCGTTCGCTGCCACTGGTGTGGCTTCAAGCCCACATGACTCGGCCGCGGCGGAGACGCTCTCGCCATAGTACCGCCAGATATCGTACTCTTCGGCGCACTCCAGGCACGCTTCGAGGGAGGACGTGAAATTGGAAGACTCGCAGTACTCTGGGGTACGGGCGATGGTAATGACTCCACCTAGGCCGTGTCAGCACCAGTTCATAAGGGCACCAATGCTTTACCTACCGCAATCTGCGTGGCACTCATACTGTGGCGTACCAGGAGCTTGCCTCTTCTCCAGTGGCACAACGTCAGGATAAACGAAAGCTGCCACAAAAGGGCTAAGTGCCGACAGCACCAATAACGAGTGGAACATTCTTACTGATGTAGGCTGTCACAATTCAAAGCTGGTCAAGGCAACGAACGAGTGTTGAGAAGACAGAAAGCCAGACCGACGGGACTGCACAGGTTTAATATCCCAAGTCGAGCTTCGAAGGAGCCCTTCCCTGCACCAAGCCGGCCCTCCATTCTCTTGTTTTCGGCGCGTTCGGCACAACACCAACCCGCCATCCATTTGTGCTAGTACCTTGGCCTCGTGGCTGGAATCTCTCGCGTGCAAATGCCACACCACCTTCTCACTGCCGAGGTAGGAGCTAACGTCAGCCACCAGACCAGTGCATTGCTATCAATGGATGGCGGCTCCGGATCAGGGCGAGCGTTGCTGCGCGCAAGCGAGGCCAAGACGAACAAGGCGGCCCTAGCGCATCTGATTAGATACTGAGAAAATTTCATCTGATTAGATCAGGATCTCTGCCCAATCATCAACACCCAGTGGTCGGAATGTGGGTACACGCTGCTCAAGTAAGACCACCTCTCGAAGAGGGGTCACCAGCACCATGCCCTGAATAGCCTGGCTTGCGCTGTCTGTGGTCGGTTGCGATTGGCAGGTCTACTACCTGTGCTCGTGTTCGGCACGCGTTGTATCGCGAGCAGCCAATGTGAGTCGTGCCCGATGTCGGGGTCGACCCGGCCTCCCCAACCAGGTGCGCTTCAAGCATTGGCAACGGCCGTTTTAACAAGTCACACGTTGCTAACCGTTGCTAATGCGTCCATTCCCGGAACCTCTCCAAGAGTCTGCTGCATTATCTGCGCCTGCCGGTACCGTTGAAGCGCTTGGCTTGACATGAGAAGTTATTCCTTAGTCCATGTCGCCTGGCCTACAAATCCCGCTCCCGTTTCCTGCTCGTGCATTCACAAAGTCATCTGCTGTTCAATCTTTCTTCAATCACGCTGCGTAGAAGAAACTCCATGATGATGTTCCAATCTCTTCCTTCCCTCAAGCACCTTCTGATCTTTTCCTTCCTGGCCACTTCTGCACTCTCACAAGATCATGGCGAAGAGGCTGCTAAAGAGATGGGCCCTGTCGCCTTTATGTGGCCGGCAGACCGCGAGTGGGGTGCCGCACAGGACAATACTGCTCCCTGCGGTTCTTCACAGGGTATTGCGAACAGAACCGAGTTTCCCCTTGGTGTGTGGTCCGACGCTACAAACCGAGACTCGTGAGACCGCTGATACATTAGCAGTAAATGGGCAGGTCGCACTGGTGATGCAAGAAGAGGCATGGCATGTCATGGTGTCTATTGCTCACACGCCCAGTGAGTCGACCTCGACTGCTCACCTCCAATTGCTCACACTTCTTAGATCCGACCTCAAACGACGACTTCGAGCTGCTGATAGACCGCTACCATATTCCAGACGTCGACCCGGGCCATGAGTGCTATCCTCTTCCGCAGAATTTCTCGGACGGAATCCGCGCCGGAGCCAACGCCACTCTGCAGCTAGTTTACTTGGCCGATTTCGACGACCGGGGCGAGAGCAACGGGAACAACGAGACGTTCTATGCCTGCGCCGGTAAGTCGCCAGCAATATATGGGCACCGAACCGGCTGACCTTGCTGCAGATATCACCTTTGTCGAAGTCAGCGACTTCACCTACCAAGTGCCATGCTTCGTAAGTTGCCCGGTTCCACATAGACACAGTGTCAATATCTTGGTGTGCCTTCAAGGGGCCACGTTGAGAGCATCAGGGAACCCACCGTCAATCATGAGGGTGTCTTCCTGCAGCGTATCATCGTACTGGTGGACGGTCCAATGCACGGCCTGCTTGTGCCAGCCCCTGTCCTAACCCCGTCTGCATTTCATTTCTGACCACAGTCGCTAATTCATGCACTCCGACATCTACAGAACGCGACGGTGCCTGAATTCACCCTCCCCTCCGAAGGTGACGACGAAGACAACCAAGACAGCTCTGCTTCCGGCTCAGACTCGGCGTCTGCTTCTCCATCTCCAGCCAGCGGCTCCAGCAGCGGCAGCGGTGGCCTCTCCGGCGGCGCCATAGCCGGCATCGTGATCGGCGTTGTTGCCGGCGTTGGGTTACTGGCTGCCGCAGGTTTCTTCATTTGGCGGCTCCGCAACCAGCGGGAACGGCTTCGCGCGCAGGAGGCCAGTGTTCGCGCGGTGAAGTGGGATCAGGCGGAGCGGCCGAGCACGACGCCCAGCGAGCAGGAAGGCGATGTTGCGCTCCGGGACATTCAGGCCAGAGCTTGAGGTGGCGGGTCGCGATGAGAGGGCGCACGGAGATGAATAATGACGATTGACTTGGGTCTTTCTATATCGTGGATAACGCTGTTGACGTATATAAATGACGCTCATCAAGGCCAGTGAGCCGCACTACCAGTGGTCGACGGAATTGATAGGGAAGGCTCTCGAAACTCACAAGTAGGCCCCCACTCCAAAACCTCTGGTGAGTCGAGGAGGGCGCCAGTCAATTTTATCGATTCGGAGAGGCGATCTACTGTAACTCCGAAGAGCCCGCTCACCAGTCCCATCGATCCTCTATTGTGACCTTTCTCTGGAACCCAGCAGCCTCTCCGTCAAGTTCGTCGAGCCTTGGTGCGTAGCAGCTTTCTCCTTGACGCGCACCAATCCCAGCCTCCCCCTCTCCGTCTAATCCACCACCCCCTCCGGCAGCACCGAGATATAGTCCACCGGGGCCGGCTCCTGCCCATCCGGCACACCCACAATCTTCAACACATCCCCCTTGGTGACCTCCACACCCCTAAACGTGATCCTCGTGGCCGTTTGCCCATCGATGTAGAACACGGGCGCCTTCCCAATCCGATACTCCAAGTCCCCCTTCCACTCCCCCACCATCTCCTCCCCAATCCACAGCTCCCACGTCGAATTCCCGATCGCCAGATCATAATAATTGACCGCCACATCATACCGCCCGCTCTCCCACCTTTCCAGGGCCACACTCGCCGCCCCCCTCGTGCTATTATCGCTCGTGACGATACAATACCCGCCCGACGCCGCCTCCACGGGACTGACCGCGTACGGCACATACCCGTCCAACGCCATATCCTCGGCCTCGACACGATACGCATGATTCCCGACCCTCCCCTGCTGGTCTGCAATGCCGCTCTTGTTGTGGTAAAAGTTATTAATGCTGTCGCGCCACACCAGCGCGTGGCCCGCCTGGTACTCGAGGCGGAAGCGCTGGGCCTCGAAGCGCTCGGCGTCGATTTTGCCCTGCAGGCGGGACCACTGCGTCGGGAAGGTCTGCGCCGTCGCACTGCCGGCGTAGTGCGCGTCGTAGAAGTGTTGGATTACGGTTTGGCCCGAGCGTAGGCGGTAAGTGTAGGGGACGTGGTGGAACCAGAGGAGGAGGTTGTCGGGCGTGGTGGTGGGGGATTCGTACTGGGCGGCGATTTCGGAAGGGTATTGACCGGAGAAGCCGGTGCCGTTCCAGACCTAGGGGGTGAGATGTTAGATGGAGGGAAGCAGGGGGGGCTTTGGGTAATGTGAGGAGGGGGGAGGGGTGAAATGTACCGTTCTGTCCATGCCGATTGTTGTGGCGTCAGCGCGGGTCCATTGGCCCCAGGGGTTGCCATCTTGTGAGGCCGGGTTGGGCCCATAGTGGGCGTTCAGAATGTCGGTGAGCGTCTGGATGCCCAGGTTGCCGGTGTAGTTCTCGTACGCGGGCCAGGAGGCCATGGACATGTCAGCGATGGTGTCGATGACCTCTTGGTCGTGGCTGAAGGTCAATTTGGTCCAGGTGTTGAGCAGTGCTTCGGGGGACGAGGTCGGATCCCACGCCATCTTGCCGTAGGCATAGAGATTGGACATGGAGAGGTGGCTACCGAGCCAAGTCTCGTTCAGGCCGACGTTGACGACGCCGGCGTAGCCGCCGAGTTTGCGGTTGAATCGCTGGCCGTTCAGGATCGAGGATAGGGGCGAAGGCTGGGAGTCGACCCGCAGGTCGAAATCGAGGAGCTCTTTCCACATTGGTGGCCTAATCATCGAAAAGATGATGTTAGTAAGGGTTCGCGATGTTGAGAGTATGGTTGCCATGAGCTGTCTTCCTGAGCTGCTGGAGGGCTCCTGCTAAACCCAGCTGGGACCTGGTTGATCTGAGATGGGTCAAAACTTACAGATAGACAAGGTGACATTGCTGTCCGAGGTACTCTTGTGTGATCTGCAGCTCCACCGTCACGGGAGTTTTGACGAGATGCGTGAACAGCGGACTGACGGGTTCGCGGACTTGAAAGTCGATCGGACCTGGGAGGCGTTAGTGAGCCGGAATCGGGAAGTGAGACGTCGAAAGGTATCGAGGCTTCTCCTGGATCACCAGGGTGTCCTTGAGACACCATCGTAGAAGGGCCAACATTGCAGCCGGGGTTGCCTCCGATTCAGGTCTGGGGGGACTACTAACCATACTTGATTTGAACGACCACGTTATCTTCAAATTGGTCATCAAGGCCATCGAAGAACTCGACGGCCGCATTAGCACGATCGGCTTTCCAGTTGAGTGTTTGGTTGAGACTCTCGTGGTCGTACACAAAGGCCCTGAACATGATGATACCGCCATGGGGCTTGAGGGCTCGAGCAAACAGGTTGGCGCCATCTGCAAGCGTGCGATTGTACGTGATTGGTCCCGGCTGGCCTTCCGAGTTCGCTTTGACGAGGTAGCCGGCGAAGTCTGGGATCTTTTCGTAGATCTGGTTTGTCTTGTCGTTCCACCACTCCACTACCGTGTCGTTGAGAGGGTCGAATGTGTCCAGACCGCCTAGAGCCTCAGGAGATGCGAAATAGAGGCTCAAGCCGAGTTGTACGCCATATGGGCGGAAGGCATCAGCGATTCTGGCAACGCCATCGAGGTTCGTTTCGTTGAGTATTGTCTCGTTTGCGTTTCTAGTCCTTGTTAGAGAGCGTCCGGAGGAGTGGAGGCTGAACGACGTTGGTGGCAAAATTGAAGCATTAGGGTGGACATTCAGGGATAACATCGGCTCTGTGAGGTGCTGAGAGTACTGAGACATATCCCAGACTGATCACCAAGTATTTCCAGAACGTATGAACAAGAATCTCGAGGACTTACACGTTGTTGACGATGACCGCATTAATGCCAATGGAGGCCAGGAGTCGGGCGTACTGAGAAGCCCTCGTGAGGTCGTCTCGCACCACCCCATCCCAGAAGAAGATTGAGTGTCCACCATAGCCACGCTCGATGCTGCCGTGCGTGCCGCCATCGCGCAAATTATCTGACCCCGGATCAGTATACAAGGACAAATTGATTGCGACCGGTCTAGCCGAGCTGGGACTCACCCCATTGATTGACCCAACGAATCGGCGCGTCAGGATTGGAGGCGAAGGCAAGTTCGGTTACGTTGCCTTGGGCCAGCAGTTCCAGATAATGGAAGGCTCCATACAGGGCACCACGCTCGTTTTGGCCAAGAATAAGCGCCTCGCCTCCCACAGTAGACATATAGAACCCATCATCGACGAGCTCGGGAAGCTCATCAATGCTGCCGCCGGTCTCAGCGTAGCCAGCAACCGTGCCAACAGTCACCGAAGGTCCGTCACCACCTTCGTACTGGACCGTGCAGTCCTTGCCGAAGATACCATTGATTCCCTGCTGCAACTCCTGACCGGCCGTGTAGACTGGACTGATTTGCGAGTCGTTCAGAGCTACGACTATAGAGGGGATAGAGCCATGGTAGCTCTCGGCGTCCGGTATAGGTGCATAGCGAAGCCAGGCATCGATTCCAGTCTCCGCGGCAGCAAGTCCGAGAGGCAGGAACAGAAGGATGGCCAACATCGTTAGGGCAAGGGACGCTTCTGGTCGATGAGCTCTACGGACATGCTCTCGCGAACATGCCTCTCGAATATATCTTACATTTTTCTGTCAAGAGCTTTGACTTGAATTTTGCCGGCATGGCGTGGAGCTCATAGCTTCTCTGGGATGGTCGCAGTGCTTCTGCGGCGCTACATGGGCGCAGTGACCGGTGGCGGGTCGTTCCATTGTGTGAGGGATGAGGTCAGTCTTGCATTTAGACTGGTCCGGGTATATTCAGGCTATATGACAAGGATCGGCGTGCGGGGGCATATTGCCTTGGCCGTATGGGGTATCAAGCTTGCTGTGGGGTACCAGGGCAGAGTCAACGATGGATAATACCAGCAACTGGCTTGCCCCCGTTGGAGGTCTCGGAGGTCTCTGTGCACGCCCGCAATCAGCTAGTCGCCTCTACGGGCACGGAAGGGCACCTGGTAGGTTCGGAGTCCTTTGCAGGTGACGGCAAGCCGCTGCCCTTTTGAGAGAGTCCCGCGGGGGTTTTGCGTGATGACTGATCCACGGGAAAACGCTTGTCCGTTGAAAAACATGCTGTGAAAGACAATGCTGCTGGTCGACATCATCTCTCTTTCGAAAGTTCTTCGACCAGCTTGTCGATCTTCCTTTTCCTCGTTGCCTCAGTATGTGTTGTCACAATCGGTAACAGCGCCGAGTATCTCTCCATGTTCTTCATGCCGTCCAGTCGCTTCTTAGCTACTGGCTTGCCCCTTAATGCTGCCACCACTTCGTCAGGTATAGTCATGTTGCTTGGTCCTGCGTAGGCCCGCTCCCATCGTCCGTCTTCCTTGGCCCTTGTCACCTCCCTCTCGCCGCGCTCTCTCATCCGTCCTTCCTCACGCAGCCTAGCGACGTGCCCGACGTTGATAGCCGACCACAGACTCTTCGCGCGTCGTGGCGTGTAGCGCTGTATAGATGTAAATGCGTCGAGAGATTTGCCTTGGCTGTCGATCCAGCCACTACACAAGGCTTCATCGAGAGCCTGGGTCCGCGTCAGGCTTGTTGGAGACGTGGTGCCCTTCTTGGCTAGTACAAGCCAGACACCATCTGAGGTATTTTCGTTGTCGTCAAGCCAAGCGCGGAAAGCAGATGCGTCTGTCAACAGCAGCTGTTCTTGAGTTACGGGACTTATGGTGGCGGCGCCTTTCGGAGCTTTCTGCGCGAGTTTCTTGGTGGCTGGGCGCGTGATAGCGCTTGCTTTCGCGGTCTTCGGTGCACGACTACTCGTAATGGAGGCTTTCTTGATGCCAGTAGGGACAGGTGTGGACGTCTGCTGGAGCAGTCGCGTGGACTGTCGACGTACCGTATCAGCCATTGCCCTAATCGGTAGAATCTCCAGGATGACGCAGAAAGCACTCGATACGATGTCCGATCCAGCAGATGGCACTGCTGAACTGAAGCAGTCGTAGTTCTTAAAGGCAGCATAAGGTCAAAGACGCGTCCAGCGATGTGGAGTCCGCCCCAACGGCAAGGTCTTGGCGTCAAGTGTCCTACGGTCAGGTTTGAAAGACACCATTGCCAGAGATGTCATTCAGCACTCTCCACATCATAGCTGGGATGCTTTCAAATATCGGAAAGACATTCGCGAGAGGATATACAGGTGCTTGCCCCAAGTAGGTACTGCAGGTTCTCTGATCTTACCTCATGAGCCCACGACCCCGCAGAGCATAGGGGATATTGGAAAATATCGCATTGACAGCGAGATATCAGCAGCGTCAGCGGTGCAGTGAAAAGACACCAGACGTCGCTGGCCATGTCCGGGAGGCCTCCTCATGTGTTATAGAGCAATCAAGAGTAGGGTCCACAACCTGAGTCCACCATTTCTTGGCAAAAGGCGTCAGGCAAACACAAATGGCGAAACATTCCGATGGACTTTGTAGCATTGATTCCTTACTGTATTGAGAGAAACCCTTAATTCAGCCTGCCAGGACTGCGCGTACTATTGGATAGCAGGCACACACGTTAAGAAAATCCCTACTCCACCATCCCTGGGTCCACCATCCCCATACCAGCGGGTGGGTTCTCGGACTAAGATTTGGTCTCGCCCTCCAGATCCAGCTTTTCCGCCGCCGCCTCTGAGTCGGTAAAGCTGTCTCCCCTGTCCCTTGCCTCCTGTCGTTCTTGCCTCTTCTGGCCCCACAAACATCCCGCCGTGACGATGCCCAAGAAAACACCCATACAGATCATGGCAATACTGCCCTCGTACCAGTCTGGCGCCTGGGTCGCGTTGTAGAAAATGATGCTCCACCACATGTAGACAGCGACCGAGAACATGTTCATGGAGGCGAGCACAACGGACCGCTTTGCGTCGTCATGGCGTGTCAGGTCATTCGCCCACGCGAACATAACCGTCTGACCCGCAAATTGCGCGCCGTTCAGAATCAGCGCCACGAATCTGGCGGCGTCGGACGGTGGATTGAGCATGAGCGCACCGCTGATGATGGCTGTAATGGTGAGGATAACTCCAACGTGCCACCGGTTCCTGGTATTGAAGTCGCTATACCAGCCGAGGAGCAGGGTGCAGACGATACCAAATCCACTCTGGGACGTGGGAATGTAGTTGACTTGTTCCACAGAGTACTTTCCAGTGGTCCCGAGCCAAATCTGGAATATACCATTGGTCGACCACATCTCTGTACTGCTGTTGGCGATCCAGAGGGTCACAAACCCCCACCATTGCCAGCTAAGGAGCACGCGCTTGATGAGCGACCATCCCAGCACGCCGCGCTCCTTGCTGACCTCGGGAAGGCGCTCCGAAGCCAGGACTCGTTCCTCGGTGTTGAGATACTTGGCCTTTGTGGAGGCTGGTGTATCCGGGAAGAAGAGCCAGCCGTATACGGCCACAGGCAAAGTGATGAGAAAATCAATCACGAACAGCCAGCGCCATCCGGCAAAACCCGACTTGCCGTCCAAGTTGCGGTAGATCGCGCCCTGCAGAATTCCGCTGAACATGGTTCCTGCTAAACCAGAGCTGGTGAAGATGGCAGTGCGCTTGCCGATCTCCTCGGGCTTGTACCAGCTACCCAAAATCCAGTGAACGCCAACGAAACAGCTAGCTTCGAAGATGCCTTGGAAGAAACGTATCACCATGATTTCCCAGGGGTGGTCCACAAAGGCGGTACCAAGAGTGAACATGCCCCAGGCGAAGCAAGTCATCGGGAGCCAAAGACGCGGGCTGATCTTCTGCATGATCAGATTGTTGGGGATCTGGCCCAGTAGATAGCCGCCGTAGAAGCAGGTATTGATCTGGTTAAGCTGAGTGCCTTGGAAGTTGAGATCCTCGCGCATGCCGGAGACATAAGCGTTGTTGAGGTTGGCGCGGTCGAGGTAGTTCACCCAGTACTGTTGCATAAGTTAGAACATGATAATAGAGATGGGATACTCGCAGCTCCCGATCAAAAGCGGTAGTCGGAAACCCTGGGGCGAACATACCATCAGACACACATAGGACATGATGAAAGTGTCAATCTTGACAATGAGGCGACGCTCTGTCTTCGTCGCCGCCGGCGCGCCCCATACCACAGTGCGGAGTTGAGTAAGGAACCCCATGACGTCGGCGTGCTGCTATCAACAGCAGAGAAGCGCTCTGCTTGGAAATTCTGCAAGATAAAGAATTCAAGGGAGACAAAAAGGTCGCTTCAGCGCTTTTGCGTACCACACGCGACTATATACGCAACCAGGCCAAAGTGCAGATGGTTATCAACCCCATGAACCGCGCCGTTGAACTCGAAGCTGGCACGGAGGTTCTAATCCTCTTCTGGCAGGGAATCAAAGATCAAGCCATTGGCTGATAGGCACCTCCCGCCCTAAGTCAACGCCTCCAAAGCTTTAGCAGAGCCGATCCATTCCCGAAAGAGCACAGCGACGGCCACGGAGGCTTTCCGAAGCCACGAGTTCGATGACCCTTATCCGTTGCACTGGGGTAGCATGCCCGAGATATATAGTTTGAGAAATTGGTACTCCGTACATGAGTGAGAGTGCCCCACGATATTTATCAGTGGATACCGAGTACTCACCCTATGCCTAATTGAAGCGGTCCAGAAATATTGTGAAGCGTGGCGGGTGCTCGTGCCGATGTCGGCTACTGCAACGGTGACTCCACCTGATTCTTCGATGGCCAAGGCAAGGCTGAGAGCTCAGTCTTGGGAAGACATGGTCTTGTACCAAAGCAATTCGAACTGAAAGTAGCTCGGACGCTGTCCTGGTGATACGTACGCTGCTTTCGGATCCTTCAGCAGATCCTGTCAACAGTCCACAAGTCGTTCCGGGTGGCCGCCTCGTCGCCTTGCCTTTTTATAAATCCGTAGCCTTGGCGCGCGGAATGACGAAATCTGCAGCCTCGCAGTCGTCTGATCAGCTCGACATTTTCTCGGACGCCCGCGGTTTACTCATCAACCAGCCTGACTCTTCTACCTTTTCATAGCCAGTGATCTTCATTTCTATTGCAAGCAAGCGCTCCTACCCACAAAACTAGCCCAACATGCCCGTCCTCACCGAAGTGACATCCGATACCCAATTCTCCTCGCTCATCCAATATGCCAACCCCACCACGCTCCTCATCCTCTATTTCCACACCCCCTGGGCGGCGCCCTGCGCACAGATGAAGACCATCTTATCCACATTGGCCTCCACATACCCGTCCGAATCCCCCTTGACCTTCCTATCCATCAACGCCGAAGACCTACCGGACATCAGCGAGTCGTACGACGTGACCGCGGTCCCCTTCCTGGTCCTACAGCGCGACGGCAAGACTCTTGAGACCGTGAGCGGCAGTGACGCCACCAAGGTGCGCGCTGCGGTGGAGAGGCACGCCGGCCCGGCTACGGGCGCAGGCGTCGGGGCTGTCGGTGGTGCCAAAGCGGCGATCCCGCCGGCGCTGGCTGCGGATCCTAGCGTCGCGCCGCAGAAGGCGGTCGGTGAGGCGCAGGCTAATGGGGTGGCGGGCGCGAGTGGAGGCGTCACGAAGGACCTTAGTGGGTATGCGCCCAAGGAGGGTCAGGCCCCGGCCGATGCAGGCGCGGGGAGTAAGGAGGAGTTGAACACGAGGTTGGAGAATCTGGTGAAGGCGGCGCCGGTAAGTGCAACACGGTCCTTCAATATAACCACGGATATGCCTTGCGGTGGGACTCAAAGCTGACGGTGGATGTACAGGTCATGTTGTTCATGAAGGGCACGCCCTCCGCCCCGCAGTGCGGGTTCAGCAGGCAGCTGGTCGGCTTGTTGCGCGAAAACCAGGTGAAATATGGTACGAACTCCTTCCCCACGAGACGCATGTTCCGGAAAACTCTCTGCTAACGTGCCAACAGGCTTTTTCAACATTCTAGCCGACGACGACGTTCGTCAGGGTCTCAAGGAGTTTTCGGACTGGCCCACTTTCCCACAATTGTACACTAATGGCGAATTGGTCGGTGGTCTGGACATCGTCAAGGAGGAATTGGAGACGGATCCAGATTTCTTCAAGGAGTTTGCTGCCGCGAAGGCCCCGGCTACGGCTGCGGCGTAAGGATTGGAAGGGCGTGCATGCATTGTTGAGTGGACATAGATGACGCCGCTTGATAGGGGTACGACTACAGGAGTGATAATGAGTATGACTTACGACGAGACTTGACGACTTGAAAGGAGGACTCGATCAAGATTCCAAGTCGTGCATGCAACAGTGTCTACAATCTCTGATTTTGTTTGTGGCTGAGATATAATCCCCAGCTAGCCCCGGTCTTCAGCCTGCTTTACGCTCGCTCGCTTTTACGTGCAGTGCAGAAGCGGAGCTCATGTCGACAATCGACAATCGAGTCTGAGCGCTATATTGATGGTGCGTCCTCTGGCATCAGTGATCGCAATTCTTCCGCCTTGCTGACGAAATCTTGATAATCTAGGTAAGCGCCACGGAGCCATCGATGGCCGCTGTTGGTGTTGAAGGCTTTCCTCGCGTGCACGATCCGCAAGTTGTCGAAGATTGCGCAAGTACCGGCCGGGAGCTTGGTCTCAACGCGCAGACCGTCATTCTCGAGAGCATCGGAAAAAGCTTTCATGGCTCCCTGGCCTAGCTCAATCTGCCGCCGGGAACCTGAAAACGCCAAGTCGAGATTTGAGGAGATGAACGGTGGGCTCCAGTAGACCCTGTCAACCGTTCGCATCAGTTGGTAAGTCTGGTGGTCGACTTTTTGGGTGAACCGTTTCTTTTTTTCCGGCGCTGTGGGGAGGGTCCGTGATACCAGGTTCTTGGTGTCGAAGTAGGAGTAAGGCCCGTTCTGGTATCCGTAGGTGATCTGTTTTCCGAGCAGTTGTGTGTAAAGCATGGGTTTATGCCGTGCTAAATGATATAGGGCCTGGAATGTGTCTGCGAAGGCTGATTCGCCACCCTCGCAGGTGTTTTCAATACAGTGCAATAATTGGAGCCCTGGTGGCTCCTTCATGTACAGAAGGTCCATATGGAAGCCCAGATACCGACTTGTGTATGCAACATTTTCCGCGTTTGGTTTGGAACGCACGTCCCATGTCTTCCCATAGAAGGTATTGCGAAGTAGTGCAATTCGCTCAGCGAGTTTGCTGACAGAATCCTCGTCCGGCGGTACGTCCCTGATGAAGATCAAGCCATATCGCCACAGATAATGCAAAGCTAGGGCAAGACTTTCTGGACTTGACATGTAGTCGTCATACGGAATTGTGGTTTGCTCCAGAGGGAAGCGTTTGCCGTTCCAGAGTTGTTGGTACCGGTCATACATTCCTCTGTTTGCCATTTTATGCGAGATGACTTCGGCCTTTACCTTCCCGACTGAATACACAGAGACATGGTCAGAATCAAAGCCAGGGGCGTCTTTAGACCACTGAACAACATGGTTCCCGTGCTCGTCTTGGTGGTGATTGCGAATCTCAATGTCCTTCGGGATATAAGCAAGCGAGAAGTTTCTCTGCCCATCGCTTGGGTCAACACATTTGTTGCACGTACATGCCTGGCGCAGGTACACCGGGCTCACTGTGCATTTACCAGTGTCTTGATCAAACAGCGTGCCGTTCATTAGCCTTGTACGATTGTGCCTCTGCTCCTCAAAGGGCTGTTGCTGGACAATGGCGATTGGTGACTGTTTGGCCAGGGTTTCTATTCGCCGACGACCATATGTGAGAAGAGGGTCCCTGTGCCCGGAAGCTCGACGCAACTCGTGCGACAGCTGCCTGAAAACCCGCATGCTGAGCCAAATACAAGTCTTGAGCACTTAGGGAGCTATGGGTCCTGTCTCAGGCTTGGACGGCAACGAAAGCGGCAAAAACTATTTCGCGAAAGACGAAACAGAGATGTGCTCGTCCAGCTCCGCGAGACACTGGGCAGTACCTTACCTCGGTTGACAGGAAGCAAAATATTCAGGCTTCGAGAAGCTTGGTACATAGTAGGTCCAAGGCAGCTACCGATGATGTCGTTTCAAGGTTTCTCGCCCCGCCAGAACTACGAGGCAGGAGCTGATACGGCGAAGCATTGAATCCTTCTACGCACTGTCTTGGCAAGTAGCCATGACATACCTATGCCTTGCATGCCTTTCCTGAATCACCTGCAAACGCTATCTCATCGTTGCCTTGACCCTGCACCTGCACCCTCGGCTTCGTCACTGCTGCCTACCTTGTCACTCCGTATCCAACTGTACGCAGCAGTCTCTTACACTTTCCCTGGCTCTTCGCGGTTCCTCTATCTTGCCGTCGCGCCCTGCTCCACAGCCCACCTCGCCATCCAGCGCTTACCAAATCCATCCATTCCGCCCTTCACGACTTCTGTTTCGTGTACTACCTAGACACCAGCCTAGCCCTACCAATCTATTGCAGATTCACACTCTCTGTCCGCATCTGACACCAGACTTCGCACGAGATCGCTTCCGTCGTTGACGAGGAGGAGTGATGAAAGATGGTGGAAGCTGAACCTGGAACTCCCACATGGAAGTTCACACAGTGCTTCGGCGACAAGGGTGAGGTAGATGACATTACCGAAGCCGACATAATATCCACCGTCGAGTTCGACCATACCGGCAATTACCTGGCCACCGGTGACAAGGGCGGCCGCGTTGTTCTCTTCGAACGCAATGAAACGGTATGACACGTCCATGTATGCTGCAGATCTATCACTGATGGCATGACAGAAAAAGACTTGCGAGTATAAGTTTCACACTGAATTCCAATCCCACGAGCCCGAGTTCGACTACCTAAAGTCGCTCGAGATCGAAGAGAAAATTAACAAGATAAAATGGTGCCGCAGGCAGAATGCTTCCCATTATCTTCTCTCGACCAATGATAAAACCATAAAGCTGTGGAAAGTATTCGAGAAGTCGCTCAAGGTCGTTGCCGAAAACAATCTGTCCAACGAAGTCACTCCGGCCGGCGTGCCCGGCGGTGGGGCTCCCCGAGCCCCAAAGTTCAAAGATGCGTCCCAGCTCAAGCTCCCACGCATGACACATCATGACACAGTGGTTGCCGCCGTGCCACGCCGGACGTATGCCAACGCACACGCTTACCATATCAACAGCATTTCCGTCAATAGCGATGGCGAAACTTTCATCAGCAGCGATGATCTAAGGATCAATCTATGGAATCTCAATATCCAAGACCAGAGTTTCAACATCGTCGACATCAAGCCCGCAAATATGGAAGAGCTTACAGAAGTTATCACAGCCGCCGAATTCCACCCCCAGAGCTGTAACTGGTTTATGTATGCCAGCTCCAAGGGGACGATCAAGCTAGCCGACATGCGCGAGAGCGCCCTATGTGATCAACATGCCAAACGTGAGTTTTGACTTTTTTTTTAACCTGTGAGCACACTGACCGCGAGCAGAATTCGAGCAGGAGGAGGATCCCTCCTCAAGATCCTTCTTCTCCGAGATCATATCTTCTATTTCCGATGTCCGCTTCTCCAATGATGGTCGTTACATTCTCTCCAGAGATTATCTCACTGTCAAGATCTGGGACGTCAACATGGAGCGTCAGCCGGTTAAGACAATTCCCATCCACGAACACCTACGGCCGCGTCTCTGCGACACCTATGAGAACGATAGCATCTTCGACAAGTTTGAAGTTGTCTTCAGTGGAGATGGCAGCAACGTGATGACTGGGAGCTACAACAACAACTTCATGATTTACCCCTCCGATCCAGATGTTGAGACGGAAGTTGTTCTCCAGGCCGATAAATCGGCTTTCAAAGCCAAGAAAGTGGGCGTGCCTACGCCCATCAATGCCACCAGCCCGAATGGCAACAAGAAGGGCAGCTCACGCGCCGGCAGCCCTGCAGCCACGACTGGCCAGGGTAGCCGCATGCGTAAGGAAACTGACGCAGACCAGATCGATTTCAACAAGAAAATTCTGCACATGAGCTGGCATCCGTTCGAGGATAGCATTGCGATCGCGGCCACCAACAATGTGAGTATCTGGACCCGCTCGGACTCTCATTTGTTACTGTCTCTTTCACCCTGTGCGCTCAATGTCGATCCTGGCTCTCCGTCTCGTTATTCGTCCGATTGGACGCTCCTGTCGGATGCGTTCGATGAGGTTGATGAAGAAGAGACCGAGACCGAGGACGAGGCAGAAGCGGGCGAGGTGCGTGACTGATCTCTCGGGCATTGGCTGATGGCATTACTCGCAGCTTTTTGTGTTCTCGGCGCTCTAGAGGTCTAGATCCTAGAGTGTTGGCTCACTTCCCCGACTTTCCCTACGAAACGCATCACAGATAGACTTAAGACGAGAACAGATGCTTGCATAGGACACACGGGAAGAGCCAGGCACGGTCTTGGTGGGGAGAATGTCGTCAATGGCCGAGTGGATATTTGGAAGGGCGGAAGTTTGCCCAAAAGTTGTTGATGGTGAGCCATGCTTTGCGAGTCAGACACAGCGAGCTCAGCATGTGTGATGACCCATTTGATGGTGTCGATGTTGGTCGTCATGGTGTCATCAGTCGTCGAGCACGTCCACGGCTGTTTGAAGGGCACTGATCGGTGGGGCTTATCGTGTCACAAAGCCCAAGCTACACGGGGCCAGCGCTCCCTGTTTCACGCAGCAGAAATGAAATTGCATCAAAACCATGAACATGACCATAGATGGTGCGAACGTTGGCTGTTGTTTTACAGGACAAACCGATCTGGCTTGCGGGTCTGAATATTCCTCTCGGATCTTCGCGTTGCAGCATACGTATCATCTCGTTCACTCATACTCATCATCAGGTGGGGGCCGACTCATGCCGCTCCCAAACGTCTCCAACCCTCGTTCACCAACCTGACCGCCCTCCTTTGGGCTGCCGGTGGCATTGCCACCATTGACATTGACTGCCTCCGCGTTTCCACCATTCTGCTCTCCACTGCCGCTACTCCGCGCCTGCTGCTCCTCTTGGAGAACCCGCAGCTCATCCGCACTCTGCTGCAGACTCCGCTGGATATGTTCCTGGCGCGACTTGACCTCCTGCCTCTCGACCTCGATCTCCGCGAGGCGTCTCTCGATGCGGCCCTTCTCGACGCCGATGGCCGCCATGCGCTCCCGCAAGCCCGCCAAGCCCACGCTCAGCTTCACGACCGGCGTTGTCTCTTTGGGCTGCTTGGGCCGGCGCTGCTGGCGCTTTAGGAATTGGCTGTTGGCGGAGGCGGAGGGGAGGCCGTAGGCGGTCTGCGCGAGCTCGTAGGCGTGGTGGCGCGCAGCGTCGTCCGAGTCGTAGCCGCTGCCGGCCTCGTCGTCGCCGCTGGAATCGCCATCGCCGCCCGAGGAGGCTTCGGCGGCGGCGATCTGTGCGCGCATCGCTTCGCGGGCGGTGGCGGCGTTGTGTCGCGCGGACCGCGACGTCAGGTTCAGTGAGTCGGTCGTGATGCGGCCGCGGGGATCGGTGTTGTCGTTGACGAAGGAGTCGAAGCCTTCGGCGATGTCTTCGTCTTCTGGCACGAGGCGGGAGTCGGATTCCTTGGTTGGGGCGTGCCAGGTGCCAACCTGCATGCGTGTGGGTTTGAACTCGCCGTCTGAGTCGTAGGCATCTAGAGGAATATAGTCTTCTGAGTTCGGGTCCGTGGTGGAGGCTGGAAGGGCGGATTGCTCCTGGGCCAGGCGTGCGCGGCGGGCTTTGCGCTCAGCGATCTCGGTTGCGGAAGGGATTGAGGCGGAGGCTGTGGAAGGTATGGAAGCGCCGAATTTGGACGCAATGTCGATAGTACGGTTGTCGTGTGATTCCGGATCTGAGGTTGTGGTGAGAGACAGGTCCTTAGGTGTGGAGGGTGTGGAGTTCCGCAGCTCGTCAAGAGCAGATTTGTTGTAGGAGGGCCGCGCATCTTCTTCTCGTAGCGAGGTCTGCTTTAGGCGGTCTTGTAATGAGGTTGAGATGCCGCGTTTGGACGGGCGCACCACTGACGGCTCATTTTCTGAGGGAACAGCGCTGGAGTCATTATCCTCGTTTCCAGGGTCGAAGGAGACTCGTAGTCTGGATTTCTGTTTGGCTGCGCCGGGTCGTTTGACAACCGGGCCGGTATCTGCAGGTCGAGGTCAGCTAGGCGCCGACTGTGGATGGGTGTCAGAGCCGCTGTATAAGCATATAATGGCTATGACTTACCTTCGTTGTCTTGCGCGTGGTCTGGGTCATCTCGGACTACACGCTTGGGCTTGCGCCGGGCCTGAAATAGTGATGCCATGTCCAGTGGCGTTGCATACGAGGCAGGGAGAGAACTCCTGTGTGGTGAGTGTAATATTTGTGCTGAACAAGACAGCTCCGGGAGGAGTAGGTGTCGTTGTCAGCTTCATAAAAGAAAAGGCACATAGAGAAAGTTCGACGTTGCTGGCATTGCGTCGGTGCCGTCATTTGAATTCTAATGATCTATTCTCCACCACCGCCTTGGTTGCCTGCATCATCCGCTCTATTGGTTATACTCTCCATATAGAATGAACCGCAGCTCCTCAGAAGCACCAGCTGACGTTATGCGTTCCCGAGGGTTGACCATAAGCATTCGCTTTTGGATCAAACTCAGCAGCGCGACTCTCTTCGCTGGAGCATGAGCACAATCCTTTAGCAAGTTGATTCGTTCCGTCACAGCTGGATTGACCTCTGTCACAAATGGCTTCGACTGGCTAGTGTCATTGATGGCGGGCTCCATTCTGAAAAAGTAATCCGCTGTGAGTGACAAGCCATACGGATGGCTCTGATGCCTCCTTGATTGAGCGAAGTGCAATCGACCGTCGGGCCCTTCCACCGACCAAACGATACATTCGAGCATTAAGCAGCCAAGACTCCAAACATCGACAGCCTGTGATTGCGGTTGCTCCAGTGCGCTCTCTGGGGCGGTGTATGAGCCGTTGCCTGCACTGAAGCAGGTGGCGCTAGCCGTAGCAAGACTGTCGAAGAACTGACTCGCCCCGAAGTCTGCCAGTTTCAGTGTACCGGGCATTGTGTTGTCCAAAGCTTTGTAGAACAAAACGTTGCTCGCCTTGATATCGCCGTGTATCCCAAAGACAGGATTCTCTGCTGTGCCGAGATGACAGTGAACATTAGTCAGTGCCTCTGCAAGACCAAACATCTGATCCTCGAACCACTTTTCAGCGGCTTCTTGAGATCTCAGAGACAGAGATGGTGCAACTGGATGGCCATGCCCCCAGAGCGTCTCTAGGTCGGCGATAGCCCGAAGTAGGATAAGATATCCCCCTTCTTCATTCTCAAAGCTACCCACGAGTAGCACAATATGATTACTGCTCCTTTTGTTGCAGAGCTCGAGTGCAAGTCTCTCAGACAAAAAGTCTTCGTGCCGGTTGGGTTTTTTGATAACGTACTCGGTGTGATCAGTTGCGTCCTCGCCGAGTAGGTCCGGCCAGAGTCGAAGAAGCGTCGCCCGGTCCGTGTTGTATACTAGTGCCTCAGTACCACTATGAATAGTGGTACATGTCTTAAGAAGCCTGTGAAACACGGCCCTCGGTGGTGCGCGAAGTCTTGATGAACTCCGATCATTGGACATTAGTTTGGTCAAGTGGCAAGGAAGTCAGGCGGCTATTCCGTCCGATGAGTCCCTCTTGCCTGCGTTCGGCCTATCAGACCTTTCTCTGAGCTCGTCAATTTCGTCTTGGGTGAGCTTTCTACAGTGAGCAGGTAGTCTGAGCACCCAGGAGTCGTTTTTTAGCTCAACGTTGACCTTGGTATTGGGGTACTGTTTCTCCAGGAAGGTTCGCAGCACGCTTAGAGGTATGCGATAAGATGACAGCACTTGAATAGACATATTCGAAGCAAGTAGGACAGTCACCTAGGCCAGAAATACGTGGATCATAAGAAGCGTAACAGTCTCAGGTACTAGGTATGTTCAATAGAAACCGAAGGTGTAGCAGTCTAATTCTACTGCTAAAGGTACCCCGCGATCAGGCCCGTCCCGCGGCCCCACCATCCACCATGTAGGCAAACGCCTGACCTCCAGTTGTCACTCTTCGTATTATCACACCACGCTCTGCGAAGAGTTGATTTGTTTGAAAAGTTCAGCAGAACTTCAGACGACTAGCACAGCGTACACATCCAAGTAGCATAAAAGCTACAGGGTTCGCCAGACTGCGGTTCATAGTCCTTCCAATAAGTGTCTCCGAGAAAGTACTAGGACGTCTTTCTGCAGCAGCAGCATGCAGCCTGGCAGATTATGCAGGCCGGGCTGAAACCTCGCTAATCTTGCAAGCCTCGTACCTAGCTTATGACAATCACTGTTGGGAACACAGCTATCAAGGGAGACCAAAGAATGAACTGGGATGCATTTCATAGGTCGAGCTTCTCGCATGATCTGCAGAAGCACCTGTTCTTCTCCTCGAGACCAGTTCATGTCTTTGAAATACGAGGCTCGGCTGACGGAGTCGATAAACTACCTTCAATCACACGGGAACAGCTTCTAGACGACGTTGCAGTGGAAAACTGGCTCGCTACGGTATCCTTTTGTCACTGTTGCGGCATTGATGCTGATTCTGTGTAGCAAGCTAAAGACACGAGGCCTTGTGAGTGGCCCACATGGTCATTGAGGGTCTTGTACGTGCACTGTCTCAACGATCTGCTTGAGACTAATGAAACAGAGTGTTAGAGCGAGCTCCGGAAAACGAGCATGAAAAGAGTGGCCAATCCTCCGCCTCCAGCTTGAGCCACATTGGTCTCTCTATGGCAAATTTTGTCCGCCTGATCAAGGAGTTTGGCTTCCAGAAATCCTTCAGGCATACCTTGGAGCACAATGCGTTCATGTACTCCGCGCAACACCCACAAAGTTGGACCAAGGGATACTCCTTTCTCAGTAGGCTCAACCGATTCTTGCATGTCACTTGAGACTGAACACTTCAGGTTTCAACATACGTACAAATCCTGCGATGCTCCACGACAAGGCCATGACTCTCCGCTACGACGCCGAGAAGGCCTCGACCGCTGTCCTGATCCAGGGCTGTGTGGCCGCTGAGCGAGACGAATTGTACAAGTGGCTACACACCATGCAGAGATTCGCCGGTCACCCATTACTTGCAATAGCTCTGTTCTTCGAAATGTATTCCCGAGATCTACGAGAGACATATGACAACCTCCACACAAAGTACCTGGAGCACTTCCTGGAAACTTTCTCTACAGACATCGACCGTCTGAACAAATATCGACCCCACCTGAAGCATGCAACAGACATGTATGATGACCAAATGACTGCACAGGCAGAGATCTCGGCCATTCAAGGGCGACTCGCGAGGCTGATCGCGAGCATTGAATATGTCACAGACAAATCCCCCCCTGGTCCGAGGGGTGATTATATGCAGGAATATGGCGGCAAAATAAAGGATCGGCTTCTGGCGATGAGCGACGATCTAGACTATCTGCATACGAAATGCGCCAATACTAAAGAGGGCCTACAACTCTTGATCTCAGCAGTGGGGAGCATGAGTGCATTGGCAGAGAGCGAGATCAGCCAGCAGCTAGCCATGACAGGCCACCAGGTGTCCATTGCTAGCAAGCGTGACAGCACCATCATGAAAGCTATCGCTGTGGGTACGCTGACATTCCTGCCGGCCACTGCTATTGCCTCAATCTTTGCTATGCCGGTCCTCGACTGGGATCACCCTCCTGGTCAAGGTGTTGCAGGCCGTCAATTTGGGATCTACCTAGCTGTCTCTATACCGATGACACTGGTGACGTTGATGTTCCTGTTCGCCTGGATGAACATGGTAGATTTCGAGGCGGAGACGGCAAAGACATCCATTCGACCGTCGATACGACTTCGCTTAGGACGTCTGACCGCTGGATTGCTGCTCGCTCAGAAGCCGGCTATAAATAACGTTTCCAAACCTTGATAGAATCGTTGCGCATATAGCTAGCTCATTTTATCTAGACCCAGCGTGTCGGGTCTAAATTGAACCATGGCGACAGAACGGCAGGTGTCATTGCTCCCCTACATTGGCCATAATGATTGAAGTGGCCGGTTTCTAGTCCTGATATTCGGCTCTCAGCCCCGGCTTGGCCGAACTGGCGCAAATCATATGACCAAGAACCCCGTCTCGGATAGAGATAGGCGCAGCTATCCCTTAGTAGTCCTTAGCTTGGGAGATATGTGAACCAAGTCGGGGATGGGGGCAAAGTTGACCACCTCATGATCATGAGATGCACGCAATTGAGAGCATAAGATTGGAAGCCACTTCTTTCACCACGTTTAACGGCATGTTCGACTCGAAAAAGCACCGGAGCAGTCGCGATTCTCCCTGAAAGACTCACCCGGCGCGTACGTAAGGAAAAGATCAAGATTCAACATCGAAACAGAAAAGACACTTGATGCCCACAAGGCTGAAATTCAGCCTCCCCGAAGCGGGGACTCTCTACGGCCCCTCGGCCTTACCCGCGCCGCGCTTGGCACGAATATTTGGTCCGGACCTGTGAGGTTCACCCACTGCAACCTTACATCTGCTCGTCGTCCACGCCATTCAACTCCAGTCCCCTCCTCCGCCACCTACCTACCCTCACCCTTCCCGATCCCACATCCTGACCGACCGCAACCATGCCTCAAGCACAGCCCGAGCTCAAGAAGGTAACAACATCCCAACCCTACCTCTCACTCTGAGGAAACTCGTGCCCTCCCCTCTCTTCCCTGCCCTCCCAATCACCAACGCCCCCCTTCCCCCCTCTCCCCCTACAAGTCCCCATGCTAACCCCTCTTCTTTTCTCAATAAAACAGTACATGGAAAAGCGCCTCTTCGTACAACTCAACGGCGCGCGCAAAGTCATCGGCATCCTGCGCGGCTACGACGTCTTCCTCAACATCGTGCTGGACGAGGCCGTCGAAGAAAAAGCCAACGGCGAGCGCACCCGCCTGGGCATGGTGGTTATCCGCGGCAACAGCGTTGTCATGCTGGAGGCGCTCGAGCGCATGGACGAGAGACACCGCTGATGAGGAAAATCGCCGGCCCCTCCCCCGAAAAAGACTCAGGAAAAAAAATTGGTAAGCTGAAAAGGGAAGGGAATGGGAAACGAAGGAGACAGGAGATCTGTGAGCGTCAATGCCTGGCTGGGGGAGGTGCAGAGGTGGCGCGGCGCACCAATGTCATGGCGCAGAAGCTTTCACGAAGATATGACATTCAAAAGCGACATTGAATTCACTTGCGCTAGAGGTGATGGCCACGAGAAATATCTTGGCCTCCGGGGTATCGCACCAGCGCCTAGCTACGCAAACCCCTATGTCCAGTCCCGGACGACCATATCGATGCATGTCCTTGTACCCAAGATTCAAAGCCGACCTGCGAATTAGCCTCTCGAGGCTCCGATCCAAGAATTCCTACACAGCACCATTGCACCCAATGTTCCTCCGATCGACCAAAGCTTCAGACAGTTGGCGAACCAGATTTCAGCCCTAACTTGAGAGTGATCTTCTTTTGTGGTGGCGCTTCCTGTTGCACTTGCCGCACAGGCGGTGGGGGCGGCGTCGGAGTCTGAACTGGTGTCCGCGCCGATTGCAATCCTGGCGCTGAAATGTTCGCCTGACTCGGCGGACGAATCTTGAGCTTCAGACTCCCTGTTCCTGTACGCATCGGCGGTGGCGGATGCGCGTCAACTGCGCGCTTGGGTGGTTGCCAACGCGGAACCAGCTTGGTACGCACCTTGTTGGTGTGACTAAATTTGAGCTTGCCCTGAAAACAAGCCTTGTTAGCGGGTGAACGCATATAGACAATGAAAAATGGGGAGATCAGGAAGAGGCCTATGTTCCATACCTTGCCTAAATGCTGAACCTGCCAGTACCGGGGCAGTTGGAGCTTGACTTTCATCTCGTCTTTCGGTGGGTAGAGCATGCGGCAAAAGTCAAGCATGGTAGCTAGATCGTCGATCGTGATCTCTGAATAGCTGACTGCGTCCCAAACAGCTTTCTTCAGTATCGCGTTCTCGCCGAGCTCTTTCTTTAGTGCAAGTAGGGCCGCATCGATTGAAGTGCGTCGTGCAATCTCTTCTGCGCGAGTCGCTGACTTGTCGGCGCCTTCCTCAACGACCAAATCGTCCGAGCCAGCTTGCTTCTCGATAACAATGGCTTGGCCCCTATCGCCAATGGCGCGCCGGCCGATGATCTCACCAAAGGCCTTCTGAAGCTCTTGTCGAATCAAGGGCGAGGAGTCGGCGACCGTGCAGTGGATAACATATTTAAGTACGCTGCTCATCTCAAAAATACGAGGATCGACGAGCACTTCAAATGCTGCCAAGCGTAGCATGTCGTAATTGCCTGGTCGAGTGTACTGAAGGAAGTGCAGGGGTGAATACCGGTGAATGCCGGCGTTTGCCAGGATTGCCTGACACTCCAAAGCCGTCCTCGAGTATAGGTTCTGATACGAACTCGTCCATTCATCCATTCGTCTGTAGCGATCGATTTCCTCGACACAGGCCTGCTCAAATTGCTGCAAGTCGGCGTACTCTCGTGTCTGGTCCAGATCCATGGCGTCCACGTCTGGCGCCGACAGAGGTTTGGCGATCAGAGCTTTTGCGAGACCCTTCATCAGCGTAGACACATAGAATGCATCGGAGAATTCGTTGTTAGAGTTATCATTGAATTTGAGCTTGTCTAGCATCCATTCTTTGATGTCTCGTGGTGTATAGCCGTTGTCGTCGCGGATCTTTGAGACAGCCTCGACGATAGCCAGTTGAGCGAGGTATTGCTGATGGTCGGAAAAATCATTTGGTCGAATAATTGATGTTCCGGAGTCGGTCGAGCAGAATAACTCCTCAAAGGCCTTCTTTAAGTGAAACTTACCCACGTCAACCAGCATTCTAGTCTCGTCGTTGGTCCTGTCTGCGTGCAAGACAAGACCCTGGGCTGCGATATGCCGTACTCGGTGGAAGTACCTCTTGTCCATCAATGTTCGCAATAGAATTGACGAGGCCATCGAATCAGCTTTGTAAGCCGCAATGCTGCGGACGGCATGAAGCTGGGAGACAATGTCCCGATCTTGTTGCAACTGCGAAGCGTACATGTATCCGGGCAGCAGAAGTTCAATTCGAGCAATCCATTCGAAGTCTGCATCCGCTCGGATCCACTCGAATGACTCCAGAGCCATAGCGTTCTCCATTTCCTGGCTCCAGTCGACAAGTCGCCAGGCTTCAAGCTCCTCCTCCGTCTGCAGATTGTCGCCCAGGTAGTAGACCAGTGTATCTTTCTCATCGTCATCCTCTTCGGCAGCTTTCGTGGCAGCTTTGTTTCGCTGCTTTCGCGTTCTCTTAAGACGTTTATACTTTGTATTGTAGGGAACATCAATTTGCGCCCGACCCTCCTTTATTTGTACTATGTGCTCATATGGAGTGCCGTCAGCTTCGTGAATTCGGATCGTCATGGGCCCCGTGAAAACGTTCTGGCGCTCGCCTGCATAGACTTCGTTCCAGTCTTCCCGTACATCTCGCATGAATGTGCTTGAATCGAGCTCGCGCTCCGAGGCTGACTGCAGCTGGTCGAAGAACATCTCGATCATGAGTTTCTTTTTATTGAAGCGCTGAGTTATCCGGAAATGTGGACATCCGGCACCTTTGACCCATTGCTGCATGAAGTCGTTGATGGGACCGTGGTTTATGCGCTCCGTTGTCTTTTGGAAGAAGTCTGTAGACAAGGCGTTATTGTCGAGGTCACCCGTCCGTGCACGGGTCAGAATCTTAGATATGATGCCAGGCATCTTGGTAGCTCCAGCCGTCTTAGCCATACGTCGATCTAGGATGAACAAGACTACTGGTGCTTTGAGGGCTAGGAATTCGTAGGCACTGGGATCGACATGTAAGATGTCGCCCATGTCGTAGATTGACGGTCGCTCTTTGTCTTGTTCGTATATTTGGTTTGCTTGCTCGTACATACGAGCTCGATATTCGTTCATGCCACATATATCTTTCATGAAAAGATCTGTCAGGAAGTGAGCCATGCCAACAACAACCCATGCGTCGAAGGGAGTTTCGGGGATGACATTGATGCCTAGCCACTGAGCAGCAATGGCGTGGACGAGCCTGCGAGTCGAATGTTGCGCACTGTCGATAACACCCTCTGGATAAAGGAGTCGAGTGCTGCAGACGGACAGGCCAGCAAAGATAGAGACATCGTGGGGCATGTCCTCGACAAAAACCATCGAATAGGGCTGAAAGGGAGATGCGCTATACTTCTGGACAAACGTATCCATGGCCTTGGGCGTGGGCAGGCAGGTATTCATCACCTCTTCGCTGCGATGAGGCAAGCAGTACCCATACATCTGAACGGCATTATCGCCGAGTTTATCCTGGTCCTCGGCGTCTCTGAAGACGTTCAGGTCAACCCGTTCGAAAGGGCCAACAGCGAAGCCGATCTGCTGGGCCGAGATCTTTTCCATAATGATGAATTGTGTCGTCTTCTTAGTCGGATCTGTTTTCGAGATCACATCGTTGACAAATTCTCCAGAACAGAGAACGAGCATCTGCTTAGTCTCATGAGCGGGTGGCGCTGCTCCGTTGGCTTTCTTGTCAGGCGAGACATCGCCCAAATTTTCGGCTAAGGTCTGTTTTAAAGCATCGCCAACTGTTTGAGGCGTTGTGATAGCGATCTCCCATGTTCCTCGCACATAGAGCGAATCGGAGCAAGGAAACAAGGTCGCCGCACTTGCACCGCCTTGTCGGCCTCTTGTGAAGGCATGGGGCCAACGACCACTTCCCCTCGGCCCGCTGACAAACTCAACAGCGTCATGCATGTGGATGGTTGTGAAATTGATGGAGACTACAAGAGGAGTGAATTTAGCCACCGAGGTATCCGTAAGGCCACGAGCTGTTTCGGTAGCATCGGTGCCGGCAGGTTGTGGCACTCTGATCGTCCCAGCATCTTGCGTGCGGACCTCGGTTTCGTTGACTTCTGTTATTCTGATACTCGATGGCACTTGGATGACAAGATTTGGCCGGACAGTTTTGCCACGCAGGCGGTCGATTTTATCGGCGAAAAAGTGGTGCTGATGTGCAGTGGCTTCGAAGTGGAGTTTCGTCAAAACGCACGGATCTTGGTGGTAGTGCGTCGCCTCAATGCCGTTGACGGTAACGTTGGAGACTGAGCATTGCTGGGCGTTGAGATAGATGTACTTGAAGCTTTTGGATTCAGGATGAATTTCTATTTCGGTGTGGCCAGTGATATTCTGGCCGAAGTTCAGGTCAAGATCAACTTTGGTGTGAAAGAGAGAAAATCGTGTCTCGGCGAAAGGATCGGCAGCATGGCTATCAACCGTCTGCGTCGTGCTCGAAGTCATGATCGAGCTTGTGATGTCGTAGAGGTGCTCTTGTCTTTGACTTCCCCCGCAATTCTCCAGACGCGCCGCCGCGGTCGGCGAAGATGTGGTCCTCACACCATGCACTAACGTGAGGTCGGTGAGGTCGCGTACGCACTTTGTTGTCCGCCCTCCTTTGGCACTCCTTTGGCGCCTGTTGTGATGGTAGGCAGGTATTTTGCAATGAAATGGATGAAAACAGAGTGAATGGATGATGGACAAGAAGTTATTGATGTAGTCCAAAGAGGAAGGCCACTGCCGCGATGGAGTCTCTTAAAGGCTTGGCGCGCCCGGCCAAAGAAATCACAAGAACGTGCATGTGTCGCTTCTTCTCTCACCTCCTCCTTCTTTCTCTCTTCTACAGCTTCAAATTTCGCCTTTTAGTTGTGTTTGCCTAGGCACTTACTTGAGTACTCTTTGACTCAGTATGGCGCTAGATCTGTCAAGCTAGAATACCTCTTGTCCTTTACCCCTGCCTTACGCCGACCTCGCTTCTGATTGGCTGTCTCAACTACATACATCATCGAAAGGTACACGGACGGATATAGCTACACGGTCCAGCAAGTATTTTGTCTCGCTGCAAGACTCCATCAGAATGGCTCAAGGTAGGGAGTGGCCTGATGCACTTCAAGCAATGCTGAGTCTCTACAGTCGACCCTCTCTCCTACGAGGCGTTGGTCCATTTGAAATCCTACAAATACTCCAGTGTGGACAAGTCGTTGCTATCCAACTATGTGTTACGCCACTACTGGAATGGCTTCGTCAAGCTTCTACCCATGTGGTTGGCGCCGAACATGGTCACCTTGCTAGGCTTCTTCTTCATCCTCGCCAATGTTCTGATCGTGCAGATTTGGATTCCCGACCTCGTTGGCCCCGGCCCCACATGGGTCTACTACAGTTTCGCCATGGGTCTTTGGATGTATTCAACCATGGACAACGTTGACGGCAAGCAAGCTCGGCGAACTGGCACCTCCAGTGGCCTAGGTGAGCTCTTTGATCACGGCATTGACTCTCTCAATTGCACGCTAGCTAGCCTCCTCGAGACTGCCGCCATGGGCCTTGGAGCCACCCACATTGGTGCTTTCACAGCTATGGTGCCAGTTCTGCCCATGTTTTTCTCCACCTGGGAGACCTATCACACGCACACTCTCTACCTAGGAGTCTTCAATGGGCCGACTGAAGGCCTGATCATTGCAGCGGCGGTTATGGCCATCTCTGGCTACTACGGTCCCACCATATGGCAGAAGCCCATTGCAGATGTCGTCGGTTTTGAAGACATCTTCGGCGATACGTCCTTTCGCCAGGGCTGGGTACCGATGATCCTCTCGGCGTTCTTCTTCGCCCACCTACCAGCATGCGTCTACCATGTCGTCAAAGCTCGCCGAGCAAATAACCTACCAGTCCTACCGGTCTTCCTTGAATGGGCACCTATGGTCGTCTTCTGTGGGTCTTGTCTGACCTGGCTCGGCTCACCTTACTCGCACCTACTTGAGAACAATCATTTGGTACTCTTCTGCTTGACAATGTCGTTCGTCTTCGGCCGCCTCACCACGAAGATAATCCTTTGCCATCTGACGCGTCAACCATTTCCGTACTGGACTGTGATGATGGCGCCGCTCGTAGGAGGCGCCGTCCTGACCAATCTGCCTATCATTGGTCTACCGGCCATTGGGCCAGAGGCGGAGAGCTGGTACCTGCGCGGCTACTTCGTCTTTGCAGTCGTGGTCTACTTCACCTGGGCTGTGCGTGTCATTAACGCTATTTGTGCCATCCTAGATATCAACTGCCTGACCATCAAGAAACGAAAGCAGGACCCAGTCGAAGCCAACAAGTTCGTTGAGGACGTCAAAGCCGGCTCGCCAGCCAATGGAGAGCTCCGACGAAGCACGCGAAAGAAGGCTTGAGGTCCCCTTCCGGAGAGACTGATAGTGAGCCACCTCCACGACAACAGATCGGTACTAGGCACACGAAAAAGTTACATGCAGAGAAACCGGAACCGAAGCTGTTCATCGACTTTCAACAAGTCCTGTACTCTAAGATCTCGACCTATATAACATATGAAGTGTCAACATGCCAGAGCGACCTGTCCGTTATCTTTGCATCCTCCAGCACGGCCTCGCCAGACAACGCCTTATGCGGGGCCTTTGTCGAGCTCTGAGCTATCTACCAGGCATTTTCCAAATAACATCACATATGCCATTCGTTCTTCTGGGCAGGAGGATTCCCCTTCTGCGCTTCGATGATCGTGCAAACAGAGATCCGTGCTCCTTTCTCGCCCTTCCTCTGCTCTCCCTCCGCCTTGGCTCCCCATGCGCACAGCTGCGGTATCTTCTTCTCCCGATTTTTTATACCCTACGAGGGCTCCTGGTCCTTGTGCTTTTCCATCAGCTCATCCACATGAAAGCCACACAACCTTGCCTTCCCAACAATCGCCCTCGCCTTCCCCTCCACCGGCGCATCAATCATCTTCCCATCCAGCGTCCACGCGCCCCTGCCCAACTCCTCGGCCTTCTTCTGCGCTATCACCAGCCTCACCGCCCACTCCACCTCCCCAAGGCTCGGACTATAAACCCTATCCACCGTACCCACCTGACTCGGATGAATACACTGCTTCCCATTGAACCCCATGCGCTTCCCATCCTCACACTCCTCCACCAACCGCTCCTGATCCGCCTCACTCTTATACGCCGTCGCCACCAAATCCATCGTCGACGGCAACTCATACGCCCTCGCAGCCGTCACGATCGCCGACCTCGCAAACAAAAACTCCTTCAGCGACGGCGTGCGCGTCAACGACAGATCCAACGCAAAATCCTCCGCCGCGAACGTCAAGCCACTCAGCAGTCCCGGACACGCGCCGCAAATCTCCTTGAGATCCATGACCGCACGCGCGCTCTCAATCAGGCCGATGACGGACACGGCCGCGGCCTTTTTGCCCTTGACCTCGCGCGGCCGACTGTGCTCGATGACGTCGCGCACGAAGCTCATGTCGCTGGCGGACTCGACCTTGGGCACCACCAGGGTCGTCAGGTTGGGGCTCTTGAGCACCTCTTGCAGGTCCGCGAGCGCGAGGCCCGAGCCCACGCTGTTGATGCGCACGGCGCGCTCTTTGGCATTGTCCGGTAAAGGTTGGTCGATCGCTTTGCGCACCAGGGCTCGCGCGTTGGCTTTGTTCGAAGGTGTGACGCTGTCTTCGAGGTCGTAGGCTATCAAATCGGCGGTGAGGGTGCGGGATTTGTCGAGGAAGCGTTGGGAGGAGCCGGGGACTGGAAGGGGAATGTGTTAGTCTCCTTGGTCTCTTTTCAGTTATGTAGGAGGATTTTGGCCGAGACTGTGAGGTTCGTGTGAAATCAACGGGCGGTGGTGAGCATTACCATAGAGCATTGACCGCCGGAGGATGTTTTTGGCCGCCATTGTGGGCTATTCCGAGCAATACTGGGCGTCCAGGAAATGTTTGAGCGGTACATTGGCCCTCATGCGCAAGGTTATAAGACGGCCATTGCTGTTTACTGCCTGCGAGCTTCGGCTTGGGGTAAGGCCTCGGAGTATTCAGCTATGCGTGCGGGGAAGACTGGGGCCGATTTCGGTGGCGCTTCTGGGTACTACAAACGCTGGGCAGTTATTTCGACAGCGACGGGACTGGATTGCGGAAACATACGGGCGAAAGTATTGTTCAATGCTCATTTGTTTGATTCTCTAATAAAGGCCCATGGCTATGCGTGGCTCGCGTGCTCACGGTCAGCCTTACCCATAGGCGTAGGTATTCGCCACATACAGAAGTCCGGCAGCAGACCGCTTTTCTCCCACTGCCCTTGCCACCACTGTCAAAAGTGAACACCCTAAGTCTTGATCGCATTGCCCAATGCACCACCGCTAAACTGCTGGCCACCGGGCTGTCTGCCACCGCCACGTCCCAGACCTCCGCCCAGACCGCCACGACCCCGGCCGCGACCACGTCCTCTTTGGCCCTGGTCTCTCTGGAAAGCATTGGTCATGCCTGCTGTCCGCGTCTCAAGAACCTTCTCGTTGCCCTCGAGGATGCCCATGGCCTTCTCGGATAGCGTAATAACCTGACTCTGTAGTCTGCTCAGGTCGACACCCTTGCGGAAGATGACAGCGTCGTTGACCTGGTCAAGTGCAGCGGCAAGCTCTTCGTGAGAGATCATCTTGCTCACAATGGCAGAAATCTGCTTGCTATCTAGCTCGAACATGCCGGATAGCGTTGTGATGCTGAGAGTGTCGTAGTACGGCGCGTACGTGAAGAGGTAAGTCCGTAGACCCTCTTCTTGGATCTGGGCCGCTAGCATCTTATTGATGCGCTCCTTGTCCGCACCTAACAAATCCCAGATGCCGATCTTAGCAATCAGCTCCTGGCACTTCTTCCAGTCGCCATTCGCAAGCGCTTTGGCGGCTTGCATGACATGGTCACGTGTGTTTTCCGGCGGGCCCTGGAAGACCTGCTTCTCCGTGTACTCGAGCATGCGGCGGAAGGTCTTAGAGATGACGCGCTTGCGGATGTCCGGCGAAGAACCAGTCTGGGCAAGGAGAGGAATCTCAAGAAGCATGCTGCACGTGAGGTACACACACTCGAGAAGCTCGAGATTGATGTGCATATGGAATGGTAGTTGGCGTTGGCGCTCCAGGCGCTCTTGCTCAGGAGTGACGGTCGAATAGCGCTGCATGATGAGACCTTGTGCAAGGAGCTCCTTTTGCCGACCAGAGCCACAGATCTCTTGCAGGACACCTTGTGCTTCGTAGCATAGGCCAGCGCGGAAGGCGCAGAGGCCGATCTGGACGAGCGTGCGATTGAAGAGGATCTGTGTGCTGACATCAAATGACGAGATGTTCTCGGTCAAGTGAGACATCAGAGCAAGATCGCGGGCCTTGTAGTAATTATCCTGAAGTGCCAGGAAGTAGATCTCACACAGCATGGTGCGAGCCCGGATAATGCCCTCGCTGTTCTCGAAGAGGTAGTTGCAGAGAGTTTGAATCAGCGTCGCAACCTCGGCATTGGATCCTCGGGGAGTGATATCGCAATCCAAGTTTGATGGTAGAGCAGCCCAGGCCTTCTCCTCAAGAATTCTGCCAACTTGTACGGGCTTGAAATAAATATGCTCAAGCCGGCGGATGGTGATTCGGTTGATGGGGTCTTGCCGGGAGTCTTCCTTCAGAGTCTTCTTGATCCGCTCGGCGTAGACAACGGATCTAAGGATGTCATTGTACAGAGCTTGTTCGTCGCTTAGCCGCTCGATGTAGTCGGCTGTGTGAGGATCAGTCTGCTGCAGAGACCGTGTGAGTTCGTCGCCCAGTCTCTCGGCCAAGGATATGACAGAACCAGGAATCTTGAAAATCTCGCCGCTCGCTGGCGTAGGAGCTTTGTCGTCGTCCTCCCACTCCTCAGCTCCTTCAACTACGATCCACGTTGGGTTTTCCTCGAGAGTCGAAAGTAGCAAAGCGTATTCCCGCTCTGCCGACTTCCAGGCATCCTGTGACATGTAGTTTTGGGTGGATGTGCCAATGACGTCGAATCGTGTTGAGATGAGGGTTAGCAGGACTCGGATCTTCTGGTAGGGCGTGTTGGCCACCTCGAGCAGCTTTTCCATAATGCGGATCTGTTCCGTCCGATCGGTGTTCTTCTTGCCTCGGGACTCGATGATCGTCCTTAAGTGTTTGAAGATGCTTTCAGGAGTGTAAACCAGGGCTTTGCCACCACGGCCGACGGTGCCCCAACCCTCTTCATCAATCGCTGCTTCGAGCGCATCAATTCGCTGCACTTTGCTCTTCTTCTCTTTGGGCGCAACGTCGAGGGGCTCGTCGTCATCCTCTTCTTCCATATAAGCATCCTTGTCATCCTGGTATTTCTGGATCTCGGTTTGATAAGTGGCATTGTTCTTCCGGATCTTTTGCTTCATGGCGTTGAAACCCTTGGTGGAGGTCGCATTCATCTTCTTGGCCGCAGCCTTCTGTTTCTCGTTCGTCTCCTTGACCAGCTCTTCGAGATCGGTGATCTTCCTGATGTAGATCTTGGGAGGGGTCACGCCTTGCATGGTTTTGACAACTTGCCGATTCAGCTTGTCGAATTCTGGTCACTGTTAGTAAGTCCATGCGACACTCGCTTCTTGGGGCGACGTACCGGTGTTGATAACGGCCCAGTCTCCAATCTTCTCAGCATTGTCAATCAGTTTGATGATAGCCTCAAGTTCGTCGAGTCTCTTGTCTTTGGCGGACTTGACGACCCGCTCTCGGTCTTCATCGTCACTGTCATCGCTGTCGTCTGCGTCGCCTCTCAAGAACCAAGAGGCACCCTTGCCTTTGGCGTCGTCATCAGAGGAAGAATCGTCCCCGGAGTCGTCCGCATCCTCTTCCTCCTCGTCGGATTCTTCCTCATCGGAGGGTTGTTCTTGGGTACCGTAGAGTTCTTCCTCGTCGGAGGAGCTGGACTCGCTGTCACTATCGCCGCCGTGGAAGAATCGGGAAGACATATTGACTGTCGATCCTGTGGTGACGGAAGAGCTGGTGAAAGTGCGCCTTTTCAGAGGGGTGGTCGCCAGTCAGGGTGGCTAAAGAAACCCGCGAATTTGTCGCACACGATGCCCAGACTCCACTTTAAGCCTTGGCAATTATTTTCCGTGCATGACTTCTTCGCTCGCTGCCTTGTCGCAAGCCCTGCAACTGGCAGGGCTTGAGTCATGTTTTAACCAGAAAATGAATTTTCGATCGTTTCTCATTCCAAGTTCGATTTACAGATAGTCGCCATGAGCTATGAGCTGCTGCTGTGACTACAAAGTGACTCACGCTGTTTGCTGGAAGTCTAGCAGAGGTTGCCACCCATGCCTCACGATAGCTCCAGTACCGAGCCCACCCTCTTAATTGTGCTGTGATGCTGTTTTCTGCAAAGTCACGCTTCCTCGGCCCATTCCCTGTAAGCGAAGTCTCCTCGTTCACCTTTCTTCGTGTGGCTCAGTAGAAAGTGTTTGTACCATGAACCAATACAGAACCACTGGGGCAACATTTCTGCACCGCGGAGCAAGTCCTGCTCAATAGACTTCATTGGTCTACATGCATTTGGCGATTGTAACGCCCAGACACGCCGTGCTCGCTCTCATTTGCGCTCGGTGGTGATCGCATTTGATGGGTGATGAAGGGGCCAAGGTTGAGACTGGACGATGGTCACCAGTTGGGGGCAAGTGACTTGTCCCACCGACAATAGTATGTTAGTGCCATTGTGTTTGTCCCATAGCTCCGTCTTCTAGCGTTCTGATAAAGTCACGATTGCGTTGATTGCGGCTGCCACGTCTGCGTGCGTTTGCGGACGAATCAACATAACCATCGGGCGGCGGAGGATAGTATGCCGGACTAGGCTGCAAGCGAATGGGCTGGCTGGGGTCCAGGTGGCTGGCTACCCGTTGTATTGCCGCAGGAATGCCGCCTTGCTGCTGGTCCATAGTTGATGCTCTCTGACGTCCGGCTCTCTGGGTAGCTTGCTGGTATAGAGTATGTTGGTGACCGTAGAGTGCAGGTGCCATCTGAGCGGGTTGCTGGGTCATCTGTCCCATTTGAGGAGCGTACCCAGCACCATGTGTTGGGTATGGAGGTGGTGCGGGTAGCTGATGCGCCGGATACATGTTGTTGTACGCTGGAGGAGCCTGTGCCTGGGGAATATGGCCGTACTGACTGCTTTGCATCGCATAAGCGGACTGCGCGGCGCTTTGAGCTTGTGCCTGGACCTGTGCAGCTTGGGCGGCTCGCTGCTTGCTCATTGCTTCCGCGTTCAGCTGTTGCTGAACACCCGGTGCCGGAGGCTTGTTTGAAGGTGACTTGAGGTTCATCGGAGGAACGAATGGGCGGGACGGATCAAACTTCTGCTGAGTGATGAAGGGGTGTAGCTTTGCCTGTTGAGGTGACCATCTCTCAAGCGGATTGGTTGTAAGTAAGCCCCTGACGAAGTCGATAAAGGCGACGCGGTTATTCATTTCTATTCAGTCTGTTAGCATAAAATACACACCGGTGATACTTGAGCTTACCTCGTTCAACCTCTGCTTGCTTCATGTTTTTCCGAGGCATGCTGTAACTCCGAATGATCTCAGGTAGAGTTGTTGCCTGAAAGTACTTTTTGCTGGGCTGTTCCTTGGAGTTGTGTTCCCTCGAATATTGTTCCATGCTCTTCAGTCTGTACGACCGACGACCGAATTCGTCGCTTGTTTTCTCAAAGAACTCACCGGACTGTTTACCCATTTCCAGCATCCACATCGGGGGCATCCCCAGCATCTCTGTGATTCGAGACACTTGATTGTACTCCGATGAGCCAGGGAATAACGGCAGACCCAAGAACAGCTCGACAACAATACATCCCAACGACCACATGTCAATGGCTGATGAATAAGGTAGACCTAACAGGACTTCTGGTGAACGATAGAATCGAGATTGAATGTAGGTATACACGGTCTGTCGCTCATCGCAGGCGGAACCAAAATCGATGATCTTAATGATGGGACTCTCCAGATTCTTCAGCAAAATGTTTTCTGGCTTCAGATCACAATGGATCAATCTTGCTTTGTTGAGAAGAGTCAGGCCGTTGAGAAGTTGTTGTGCAAAGACACGTACGAGAGTCGTACTCAGGCCGCGGAACTGATTCTGCTTGATGAGCTCGTACAGATTGACACTGAGAAGCTCGAACACCAAGCACAAGTGCTGGCGGTGAATAAAAGTATCTTTGAGCCGTAGTAGATGGTGGTCATCATTCTTGTCCAATTTCGAGTTCAATAGGTCAAGTACAGAGACTTCCATCATGCTCTGGTTGAAGTATGCCGTGCGGTTTTTGATGACCTTGACGGCGACAACTTCTTGAGTTTTGAGGTTCTGGCATTTGACGACCTGTCCAAAGGTACCTTGGCCCAGAACGTCAAGTATCAGGTAGCGGTTCTTGTGGCCAGCTTCTTCGCTACCCAATATGTCATTGACGTACAAAATGTAATCGCTGTCCTCGTTATCATAGCCATCGTTCTTTGTGCCCTTGCTTGGCTTGGTTAGAACCCGACGAGGGTTTCTTGAAGACTCGTACTTGAAATTTGGGTTGCAAATGCGATAGGTGGCCGGAAGATGGGTCGTGAGAGCCTGCAGAGGACTGATGAAGCCACCTTCTGGGTTCGCGCGTCGATATGGAGGCTGCGAGTTGATCTTCTGTCGCAGGTCTTGTGCAGTCTTGACCCTATGGAATCGAGGAACAGGCCCGGCTGACCTTTGCGAAGGTTGTCTGGATGGGGGACCAGGTCTCGCATTTGATCCTCCTGGCGTGGGCAGCTGAGAGGCCGACGGTGGATAGTAGGAGTCAGGGCTCAGATTCGCATTCTCCATATTCGCTAGGTAGCTGTTCTGAGTGTATCGTGTCGGTGTCGGGGGCTCGGCCGGATACCTATCGGCTGCGTAATGGAGCGAGCGAGTAGGGGATTGCCGTGAGGACGGCGGGCCTGTCTGCTGAAAGCTCATCTGCATAGCAGACTGCGGACTAGACGCATGTGCGCTCGACGGTGCGACATTCATTGGGGAGTAACGCTGAGCCGCAGACGAGCCCTCGCCAATGAATTGCGCCGAAAGCCGGTGAGCATGTGCTGGTCGGGGCAGGTATTTTGCGCGATTGTATGGATCAGCATCCTCCATTGCGACGTCATACTCGCCGTTGTGATCGTAGGGGTTCCCCTGCGCTGAGGGGGTGTGATTTATTGACATGGCGGGCGTATTGACCGGCTTCGGCCTGCGAAAGTAATCGACCGGCGGTTGATGGGTTGGAAACGCGACAGAGACGGTCTCGCGGGGCAAGCGGGGTCGAGAGATTGACTGAGATGTGCTGGATTGAGATAACTAGAGGTCTGTAGCCTCGTGGTCGGTATCTGTCAGGATGACTTGCACCGCCTCTTGGGGGCTCCCGGGAAGGTTCGTGTGCAGCCTAAGGTGACTGAGAGGGGGGCCGGGGGGAATTTAGTCATGGTAAACCATTGGCCAAAAATTCACAGCAAGGACATCGTGACGGTCATGGACGGGTCGCAGGAGGTAAGAATATGTGCGAAGATGTGGTGCTTGAGACTGAGTCCTGCTTTGAGCAGGTTGGCGTGTTGGCAGATTGCGCTGATCTCTAGGGGAGACAACTGGTTGAGCTGGCTTACGAATGACTCCAGGCCAAGTGTGTCGGATGCTCGGAGGACTGTCTGCTTCACAGACAAAGAGGCTCAGATCGGGAGAATAGCATCACCGAAGGGAATAAGACATAGGTCACGGTGAGGGACAGGAAGGGTCAACGAGGCAGCCCAGGACCGTGGTTGTGGTCCAGCAGTGCCCGAAAACCAAACAAGCGGCTAAGCTCCCTAAGGCCAAACTGTCCGCCAAGCCTGCCTGAAGCATTCAGTAGGAGCAGCACCTCCGCCAAAAGCTCAATACCAATCCTAGGATAGAAGATTGCTGCCTGATCATTTGTTTTACTTTTTTGCCGCTCGAGCGACCGACACCTCTTGACACCTGTAACCAATGTGGCAGGAGGTGAAGACTAGAGTTGTGATGGACCTTTGACGTCTGATACAGCAGGCGACTCGCTAGGCAACAAGGGCGCTGAGATTTGCCTCTAATGACCGTGACATCTACATTTGCCGCGATTGCCACCATTGACGTGACTCAACGAAAACCGGTCCACACCTTTATTCACTACTTCATTTGCTTTTGACATCCTACTCAAACATAGCCTGTTCGAATTCGGTGGTCATTTGTCGAATGTGTAGCCAGCAATAGTTGTGTGGTCTGTTGCGTTCGCCCGTCATGGCCGGGCCGGAATCTGCATCGGCACTTGACAACACCGATGTCGACCCGAACAGCGACAGTGTCATGTCGACCGATGCTTCCACAGTCATCAACGACAATACTGCCGAGTCCGCCGAGACTGCTCGTCTTCGGGGTCTCGACGCCCAGGTCCGAGATCAGGATGACCTCGAGCGGAGCATAGGCCGCGAGGCTGACCAGCTTCTACACGAACAGGCAAATCAGCGCGACCAGCAACGACTTGAGAAGACTCAAACGCAGAAGCAGAAGCTAGAGGCATCAGTTCGACGCATCAAAGAGGACATCAGTCGACCTATTGGGGTCACACAGAGGAATCGTTTGCGTGTGCAGGTCGATCAGATCCAGTGTCAAATCCAGGACCTTGATAATGACCTCGATGAAATCCAAGAGCGAATGCGAGACCGCGATAGAGGCGTTGCAGAAGCACAAGAGGAAGCATCTAGCACCGGCCGACTACCGAATGAGACTCAGCGTGACTTCTTAATCCGCACCGGCAAGATCACTCCCTTCTCCAAATTCGGTCTATCTTCCCATGGCGTCTCCTCCGATACACTTCAGGGTGCTCTGCTGGACGCCGAGGAGGAGCCTGAAGATGGCGAAGTCATACCAGGCCAGGCACCTGCCCTTGACATGTCTCACCGCAACCTCCGTCAACCTGGGTTTGCTAGCTCCGTCGTCGATTCTGATGACCAAAGTTTCGAGTCTGAACAGCCTCGGAAGCGCCGAAAGATCCTGCCGCGCAAATTTGAGCATGACGACGACGCTTCTTTCGACGATGCTGATACCGGAACTGACGATCTTGTTTCGATCGACGAAGACTCGGATGATGTCATGCCAACGACTTCTGGTAAGAAGAAACGAACGCCTCGCAAAGCTCATGTGCCCCACGACGAAGAGATCGAAGACCTGAGAGGCCTCGATGATGGGACTGAGGCTGTGTACAAGTCTCGCTTACGGCGGTGGGCGCTACGACGACGGCGAGCTCGGCAACGCCGTTCAAGTACCGAAGATATTGAGGAAGAGTACGATGATGAGGTCGTTGAAGAAGAATGTCATCAACCTCACCCAAAGATCGCCGACACTGTGTTCGAGGATGGCTACAGGATTCCTGGCGATATTTACCCCAGCCTATTCGACTATCAGAAGACGGGAGTGCAGTGGCTTCACGAGCTATACACGCAGCAGGTCGGCGGAATTATCGGAGACGAAATGGGCCTAGGCAAGACTATACAGATCATCTCGTTCCTTGCTGGTCTACACTACAGCAAGAAGCTTGACAAACCTGTCATTGTCGTCTGCCCCGCTACTGTAATGAAGCAGTGGGTAAATGAGTTCCACAGATGGTGGCCTCCATTCCGAGTCACCATTCTACATTCATCTGGCTCTGGCATGATCAATATCCGAAACGAAAGTTCAAGAGAGGACCAGCTAGTCGAACAGATCTGGGATCCAAATGCGCGCAACAAAGCACTGACTCCGAGCCAAAAATCTGCTAGGAAAGTGCTGAGGCCTATTATGGAGCATGGCGGCGTGCTTGTGACCACGTACTCTGGTCTTCAAAGCTACGCACCTTTGCTCATCCCGACCGATTGGTCCTACGCCATCCTGGATGAGGGTCATAAGATCAGAAACCCGAACACAGCCATCACTATCTATTCCAAGGAACTGCGGACCCCCAATAGAATCATCTTGTCTGGTACGCCGATGCAGAACAACCTGGTCGAACTATGGTCTCTGTTCGATTTCGTTTTCCCCATGCGTCTGGGCACACTCGTCAACTTCCGCAACCAGTTTGACATCCCGATCCGACAGGGTGGCTATGCCAATGCATCGAACTTGCAGGTTCAAACTGCTTTCAAGTGCGCCGAGACTCTGAAGGATGCGATTAGTCCGTATCTCCTGCAGCGCTTCAAAATCGACGTGGCTGCTGATCTCCCCAAGAAAAGTGAGCAGGTTTTGTTCTGCAAGTTGACACCGAAACAACGCAAGGACTATACCTACTTTCTCGGATCTCAGGAGATGGATGCTATTATGAGCGGCAAGCGACAGGTTCTGTATGGCATCGATATCCTGCGCAAGATCTGTAACCACCCTGATCTGCAAGACCACAAGCGGCTCTCCTTCAAACCTGACTATAACTACGGCGATCCTGAGAAGTCCGGCAAGATGAAAATTGTTGGATCCCTTCTAGAATTGTGGCGCGAAACAGGCCACAAGACGTTGTTATTCGCCCAACACCGGATCATGCTTGACATACTCGAAAGATACGTGCGCTCGTTACCAGGAATGAAGTACAGACGCATGGATGGCAACACACCTATCCAATCCCGCCAGAGCATGGTCGATGAATTCAACACAGACCCAGGCCTCCACGTATTCTTGCTCACTACTAAAGTAGGTGGTCTTGGTGTTAATTTGACCGGAGCCGATCGAGTGATCATCTATGACCCTGACTGGAACCCGTCAACCGATCTGCAGGCCCGCGAACGAGCGTGGCGGTTGGGACAGAAACGTGAGGTGACAATATATCGCTTAATGACTGCTGGCACGATCGAGGAGAAGATTTACCACCGTCAAATCTTCAAGCAGTTCCTGACCAACAAAGTCTTGAAAGACCCGAAGCAGCGCCAAACTTTCCACTTGAATGATCTCCACGACCTCTTCAGCCTCACTAACGATGAAGCGCCCACGGAAACCAGTCAGTTGTTCAAGAATGCTAATGTCGAGCACTCGAACAAAGCCGATGCATCTGCGGCAAACCTGCAACCCGCTGTAAAACCCGAGCCCGAGAATGACGACGTTGCGGTCAAAGCCCTTCCCGGCATCAGCTCGGTGCAGCAATTCGCCGGAGAAGTCGCCGAAGAAGAAGAGGCGAAGCAGGACGGGGGCAGCGAAACCACAGCTGAGAAGCGCATGATGGAAGGCCTATTCTCCAGATCCGGCATCCATTCTGCCGTTGAGCACGATGCTATCATAGGTGGCAATAGCGCAACCAAGAAGGTCGAAGCTGATCCGGCGATTGTCGAACGGCAAGCGAGAAGGATTGCAGCTGAGGCCGCTCGGGAACTTCGGCATGCCGCTGAGACAGCTCGCAATGTTCCAATTGGCACTCCGACCTGGACTGGTCAGTTCGGAGTTTCTGGCCGTCCCCAGGAGACTACGGCTCATAGAGCCTTTGGTGCAAGTTCGCGCAACCGGGGTGGTGGTGTCGGGTCTGCAAGTCTGCTTGCTGGCTTGCAGCAGCGCCAGCTTGGTGCGAGTGGCAATGCCACACAACGTGTAGCAAGTCCTTCGAGATCGGCCACACCTCGGGAGTCCCCTGCTCCTTCGTCTGGCACGGCCACACCTCCAAGTGGCAAAGAGTTCGCCAAAATGATCCAGTCGTACCTGAAGTCGCAAGGTGGTAGCAGCTATACGCAGATGCTGATCGATCATTTCAACCGTTTCTGCACCAACCAGCAGTCGACGCTGGAGTTCAAGGAGACCTTGAAGCAAATTGCGACCCTGGAGAAGGGCTCGCGTGGTCGTGGTCGCTGGGTTTTGAAGGACGAGTTCAGGAATTGATGTATTAGTCATCGTCGATCAGACCTTGAGGAGACCAGTACTCGGGCTCGGGACATTGATAGTCAATCCATACCAGTGAATCACCCAACAGATCCTCCAGGACTGTCACAGCTCTCGCCTTGTCCCAGTTCAAATTGACCCTCAGCAACGAAACTGTAACACTCCCAAGCAGCTGCAGCACTTCGAGCACTGTTGCCTGATCCGTGTTCAACTCCTTTGGTACACTTCTGATGAATTGCTTTCCAGCAATTGGGATGATCGAGAATCCCGCTCCCAGCGGCCCGAGTGACTTGACCGCTCTCAATATGTCGTCCTCGCTCACCTCCATTCCGCCACCAATCGCCTTGCCTCTTGCCACACTCTCTGCACATTCCTTCACACCCAACAAGCCACCGTTTTCTGTCTTACTTGCTTGACACAGCTCTACCACTCGTACTGCCACGCTAAAGTAAAAGTCGTTCACATCGTGGCCCAGCATCTTCGCCCAAAGCGAATCGGCTTTTTTGCCTCTGACGTAGGATCCAGCAAGGGGATCAACACCGATGGCGTTACACATACGCGCGAACTCGGCCCGGAAGGTCGGATTGGATTTTATGGTGGCCGAATGCTCGAGTGCGAAGTTGTGTAGAAGTGATTGGAAGACTTCCAGCTGCGTTTGAAGACTGGCCGCATTGGCGGTGCGGAGGGTGGTTCCATGTGCAGCATACGATTGCTGCGTCGATGCCAGGTTGGTGAAAGCCCCAAGGCCAACACCTCGCCGGGATGACATCACTGCGCTTCGAATGAATCTAGGACATGAATGTTTGCTCACCTTTATGTGAGGCGGAGGAAGGCAACCACCATCTAAAGTAGTGAGGGTACGCTAGTACTAGACGCGGCGATGGCCAGAATCAGGCGGCGGAGCGGCTGCGGTGGAACTATCCACCGATGAACAAATCTTGGCAAGGTGGACCCCACGATGAAATCTTTTTGGGTCTTGCTTGAACGTTCTTCGACACCACGAGTGCCCTCTTCAACCTCTTCGTCGCCCTTCTCTTTACCAGCGCCCACCGACACAATGCCTAAGCCCGTCGCTAAGTCGTAAGTACCTTCCCGTCTTCACTGATTGGTACTGCAGTCAGATATGGTCCGCAAAACATCGCTGGTATCCTGAACCAGCTCGATATTCCCGATGCCTGCCTAGGAGAACCTGAAAAACCGGTCGCAGTGCTGGGACGTTGAGGCTCGAGATGAGAAACTCTCGTCCTTGAAAGATATACTGCTCAAGGACATTGCGTCGTGAGACCAAAGCTTGAAGCATATCAATCCTGATTCATTTCAGGGCATTGTCAGATGAGGTGCTAGGATGCGCAGGCAGATGGGGAGAAATCTTACAGCTGCCGCCATCAACTCTCACTGATCAAAGACATTTCGTCGAGTTCTACATTTCCAGATCGAGAATGCACCATACGCTGCAGTTCCGACTCGGCGACAAGCCATGCATCGGACCATACTGATGCGACTGTACAGTTCCACTGCCACCAAGGACCAGATCCTGGTGCCAGAGACTCTTCTTAAGAAGAGAAAGAGCCAGGAGAAGGCCCGCGAGCAGCGCAACGCTACTATTGAGAAGAGGAAGACGGTATGTCCCAACAATTTTCATCCACTCCTTGCATTCGGTGATGATACCTACCAACCACGCGGCTAGACTTCGGTCGATGTTGTCGCTTTGTTAACCATCTTTCGGGGCTGAGCAACATAACCCTGCACATATTGCAATCGATCGTTGGCTTCTGGAATTATATTGACTATTCTGCCAGGCCAACAAGGAGAAGCGCAAGGCTATCTTCAAGCGCGCTGAGACTTACGTCAAGGAGTACCGCGATGCCGAGCGTGAGAAGGTTCGTCTCAACCGCCTGAGCCGCCAGAACGGTACCCTCTATGTCGAGGAGCAGCCCAAGCTTGCCTTCGTCATCCGCATCAAGGGTATCAACAAGATCGCGCCTAAGCCTCGCAAGATCCTCCAACTCCTCCGTCTCCTTCAGATCAACAACGGCGTCTTCATCAAGCTTACCAAAGCTACACAAGAGATGTTGACGATTGTCAACCCCTACATTGCCTACGGCTACCCAAACCTGAAGTCTGTTCGCGAGCTCATCTACAAGCGCGGATACGGCAAGATCAACAAGCAACGCGTTGCCCTCACCGATAACCAGCTGATCGAGGATAACCTCGGCAAGTACGGCATTGTCTGCATGGAGGACCTCATCCACGAAATCTTAACTGTTGGTCCCAACTTCAAGCAGGCTTCCAACTTCCTCTGGCCATTCAAGCTGTCCAATCCCAACGGCGGCTTCCGTGCTCGCAAGTTCAGACATTTCATCGAGGGTGGTGACCTTGGTAACCGGGAGGAGAACATCAACGCCCTCATCAGACAGATGAACTAGATGGCAGGCGGCAGATGTGGGCATGAAGCTGATGGCATGAGGTTCTGGTTGACTAAACATGGAGTTGCGGGCGCTTGACAGGCCACTGCCTGCGGTCATCCCGTAAAAAGCATGCTAGCTTCTAGATGGGCATCTGCTCATAACGAAATCCAAATGATATCCTGAATCGCACTGAAACTCTTATTTGACATCCAGTCCTTGTCATCTCGTGTGTATTGGTTCTTTAAATGGTCGAATTGGGAGGCTGGGGCGAGTGGGGATGGATGGACGCCAAGATGGACATTTCGCTTTTAGTCGCGTTGGAGAAACGCGCCTCGCGTTCTTTGGATGCGGTTCCCCACCAACGCGACACGCCTCTTAGTATTCTTCCTTGTTGCTCTCTTTCCTCCTGCACACAACTATGCACTCCTCCTAACATCTTTTACATAGACTAACTGCGAACATCCGTTGACGATGTCTCACCGCAGTGCTCTTGCTGCTCTTAGAGCTGCTCGGGCTGGTGGGAAGTCACGACTGGAGAGTTACCAGATCCAGGACCAGGGAGCCATCTACGATGAGGTCGACGAAGAAGGATACAAGAAGGTCGTTCGAGGTCGTCTGAATCGCGATGATTTCGTCGTTGACGATACTGGCGAAGGCTACGCTGACGATGGTCGCGAGGAATGGCAGAACGAGCGAACATACTACTCGAGTGAAGAGGAAGGCGATGTTCCATTGAAGGGCAAAGCTGCGAAGCGGAAACGCGAAGAAGACCAAGAGAAGATCGAAAAGTCTAACCATAAGATTGCCAACTACTTCAACAAAGGCCCAAACGTGGCCGCTCCGAAGCAAAAGGTAGGATCAACTCAGATCGATACGGGCATTCGCTAACGGTACCAGATCCAAGCTACCGCCGAGGATGAAGCTTTCATGGCCGATCTACTCGGTGAAGTCGACACCAACATCGTCCCTGCGCGATCCTACGGGAAGAAGGCCGTCAAGTCCGAGTCGCGTCGCAAAGTACGCGTTTTGTCGCCGCCATTGACCGACGAACGCAGGAAGCCAGCCAAGTATATACCTCCTGTCACCGAACTAGTCGAAACACCTCCACCGCAATCCGACATGGACGACGCACCCATGGTGTTCGGTGATGATGACGACGCCCCGATGAGCGACCCACTGCCATCTTCACCCATTGCCAAAGCTGTCCAGCGCCGAGCTAAAGTCCAGATCAAAGAAGAAGACGAAGAGGAGGATCTGATGGATGTTGCTCAAGCCGTTGGCCAGGAAGGAGTCTCGGAGAAGAGCATCAACATGAAGGGCAGTAAGCCACCACCAAAGATTAAGCAGCTGCTTTCTCCACAGAGCTCGTCACCTCCCGCACCAGCATCCTCTGATGTGGACGCCTCAACTTGGACCAGCGTTACCAACAATCTGGCTGTAGCCAGCAGCCCTGCCTCTGGTACACACATCTTTGGAAAGATGAAACCATCTGATGCTGTGGAGGAGGATGGCTCCCTTCGCTTCTACTGGCTAGACTATACTGATGTCAACGGCAGCCTCTGTCTCTTCGGCAAGGTCAAGCACAAGCAGACCGGCCAATATCTAAGTGCCTTCGTCAAGGTCGACAACATCATGCGGAAGCTATACTTCCTACCACGCTCTCACAAGTTCCGCAATGGACGCCAGACTGACGATGAGGTTGGGATGGAGGATGTCTACGAGGAAGTAGACGCTCTCATGTCTCGCAACAAAGTCACAACCCGCAAAGTCAAGCCTTGCACACGCAAATACGCATTCGAGCTACCAGACGTGCCAAAAGAGGCAGAATATCTCAAGCTGTTATACCCATACACCAAGAACGGCTTGCCTATGGACCAGTCAGGAGAGACCTACTCACGCGTATTTGGAACAAACACTTCTCTCTTCGAACAGTTTGTCATGTGGAAGAACATCATGGGCCCCTGCTGGCTGAAGATCGAGGATGCCGATTTTACCAGTGTCAACAACGCATCTTGGTGCAAGCTCGAGTGTTCTTCGCCTGATCCGGTTGGAATTTCTGTTGTTCCAGATTCGGAGCAACTGGAGACGCCACGACTCACGCTCATGTCTATGTCGTTTCGTACTCAGATGAACGTCAAGGAGAATAAGCAGGAGATATTGATTGCCAGCGCTAGAGTGTACGAGAATGTCTCTTTGACCGATACCACTTCACCTGAGAAGATGCCATCCAGAACCTTCACCGTTATGCGTCCCTCAGAAGCCAAGTATCCACTTGGCTTCGAGACGATGGCCACCGAGACCATGAGTAAGCAGAACCGGGGAACGTTCATGCTTGAGAGAAGTGAGCAATTCCTTCTCAGCAAATTCCTTGCTCTCTTCGAGAGGGTCGATCCAGATGTCTTGCTAGGCCATCAACTTCAGGAAGTCGACTATAGCATTCTGCTCAGCCGGCTTCGTGAGAAGAAGACACCCGGCTGGCACAGAATTGGCCGCTTGAAGCGACAGGAATGGCCCAAGACTTTTGGCAAGAGCGGTTCCTCGTTTTTCGCCGAGCGAGCGCTAGTTGCTGGTAGATTGATGTGCGATCTTGCCAATGACATGGGCAAATCCCTAATGACAAAATGTCAGCAGTGGAGCTTGACCGAAATGTGCGAGCTGTATCTTGGGCCCAGCAACCCCCGGAGGGAACTAGACAACGAGAGCGCCCTCAAGACCTGGGCCACGACCAAAGACGGCCTGATGAACTACGTTGGTCACTGTGAGGCCGATACTTTCTTCATCGCAGCACTGGCAATCAAGTTGCAAATGCTTCCCCTGACAAAGGTGTTGACGGAGCTTGCTGGCAATTCCTGGGGCCGCACTCTGACTGGTACCCGCGCCGAGCGGAACGAGTACATTCTTTTGCACGAATTTCACCGCAACAAGTACATCTGCCCTGACAAGATCTGGGGAAAGCGCGCGAAGGTCGAAGAAGACAATGAGGACGACGATGCTGCCGACACGAAAAAGAAGGACAAGTACAAAGGAGGCCTCGTGTTCGAACCTGAAAAGGGATTGTACGACAAATTTGTGCTCGTCATGGACTTCAACTCCCTGTATCCCAGCATTATCCAGGAGTTCAACATTTGCTTCACGACAGTTGATCGCAACTCGACAACAGAGAATGACCACGAAGAAAAGGTGCCAGAAGTTCCCCAAGATCAAGCTCAGGGCGTCCTACCGAAGCTGATCGCCACCCTCGTCACTCGACGTCGGGAGGTCAAAAAGCTCATGAAAGATAAGACCGCCACTCCTGAACAGCTCGCTCTCTGGGACACAAAACAGCTAGCCTTGAAGCTCACTGCCAACTCCATGTATGGCTGTCTGGGGTACACTCAGTCTCGCTTTTATGCTCGTCCACTAGCTATGCTCACGACCTTCAAGGGACGTGAGATCCTACGAAGCACCAAAGAGCTCGTCGAAAGCAATCAGCTTCAGGTCATCTACGGAGACACTGACTCCGTCATGATCAACAGCAACGCTGACAGCATCGCTCAGGCGCTCAAGGTGGGCAACGAGATTAAGAAGATGGTCAACGAACGGTACAAGCTGCTCGAAATTGACATTGACAACATCTTCCGACGGCTGCTGCTTCATGCCAAGAAGAAGTATGCTGCGATCAATCTGGCTGAAGTTGATGGCAAATATGTCGACAAGCTAGAAGTCAAGGGTCTCGATATGAGGCGTCGTGAGTACTGTGCGCTGTCGAAAGAGGCTTCACAGCGCCTGTTGAACGAGATTCTGTCTGGAGATGATCCTGAGGTCGTCCTTGAGAAGATCCACGAGTACTTGCGCGAGCTGTCTGAGAAAATGCGCGAAGGCCAGATTCCTGCGCAAAAGTACATCATCTATACGGTAAGTTGACCACGAATGGACGATGGTATGGTACTGATGTTTGCAGAAACTTGGCAAGAATCCAAAGGACTATCCTAATGCAGACTCTATGCCTCAAGTGCAGGTTGCCTTGCGAGAGATTGCTCGTGGCAAGAGTGTCCGCGTCAACGATGTCATGTCGTATATCGTCACAATGGGCAATGATGATACCAAATCATACCCAGCACCGAAGCGGTCATATACGCCTCAGGATGTGCTCAAGAAAGACTCTGGCCTTACTCCGGACATCGAATATTATCTCTACAAGCAGATCTTCCCGCCAATCGAACGTCTCTGTGCGCCATTGCCAGGAACTGACTCTGTGCGCCTTGCGGAATGCCTTGGACTCGATACTCGCAAGTACCAGATCAATAGTTCATCAAGCTCCCAGCAGCAGAAGGCGGAGATCTTCCCGCTAGAGTCGCAGATTCCAGATAGCATCCGCTTTCGCGACGCCGTCCGCCTCAACCTTCGCTGCCGCCGGTGCAAGGAAACATCTGTCTTTGAAGGACTTTGTGAGACTACTACTCAGTGCAGTCCCTCGGGCATCATTTGCAGCAATGCAGAATGCAATCAACCCTTCTCCAAAATCAACATTGTAGCTCAGCTGGAGTCCCAGATTCGAACACAAACATTCCAATACTACGAGGGCTGGCTTCGCTGCGACGATGAGTCCTGCAGCAACCGCACACGGTCCATGTCGGTGTACGGCCACCGCTGCCTCGGCCCTAGCGGCAAAGCGGAAGGCTGCCAGGGACGCATGTCGTACGAGTACAGCGAGAAGCGACTGTACAATCAGCTGCTCTATTTCGCCAGCATATGGGATGTTGAGAAGGCCAAGAACAAGGCGAAGACGCTGAAGGAGTTTGCAGAGGTACGAGATCGAGTCATGGTGCTGGCAGAAACGAACCAGGAGCTTTTTGGACAAGTCAAGGCGATCGTGGATGCTTACCTGAGGAAGTGTGGTAGGCAGTGGGTTGAGATGGATACACTGTTTGGGTTTGCTCTAAAGTGAAACTGGAGTGAAGTAGTGTAGGATTTACATGTTGGTCACGAGTTCCTTGGGATTTTCAATCAGAACCATTCTGGCGTAGGTCATTCATTGGCAAAGGAAATGGAGTTGTAGAGCCATCAGTCGAGCCGTAGATGTACGACAGAGCCAATGACGTCGAAGCCTTTGCGGGCATTTCCATCTTCAGCCTTCTATCTAAATTTGAACCTCATCACTTGGCGAGCAACAAATCAACTATTGAAAAATCAAGCTAAGCATACGGTGCGAACATCAACTGAAAGTCGAGACGCACAACGAGCGAAAAGACGTCAAGTTGCCGGTTGGCGTTGCATCGGCCTGGATCGCCATTATGCCGATGCCGAAGGTCTTGGTCATCGCTGGCTCTGACAGCTCGGGCGGAGCGTAAGTATTGTCTTCTTTTCCCGATGGAGAGAGGGAGCGTTCGTTCTGCAGCTGAGAATCGCGGACGATCGTTGCCACAGCGAACAAAGCTTTCCACCATCACCCTGCATTCCCGGTTCATCACCACGTCAAGATATGGTACTGACATCGCACCAGCGGCCTCGAAGCCGACCAGAAGACGCTCGCCGCGCATGGCTGCTTCGCCATGACAGCGACGACGGCCTTGACGGCACAAAACACACAAGGTGTGCAGGACGTGCATGTAACGCCGCCTGCTTTTGTGGAGAAACAGATCCGGGCCGTGCTGGATGATGGGTTTATGGATGGCGAAGGAGGCATTGTGAAGATCGGTGAGCCTTCACATTGACGGTGGGTGTCTCAAGATTGGTATTGACAAGGTGTGATAGGCATGCTAGCATCGACAGACACAATATCGGCTGTTGCGAACGTCTTGGGTGAGTGTAGAGAGAAACACGGCGAAAAACTGAAGATTGTCCTTGACCCGGTAGGTCACGGCCTTCACGACTCTAGTTTCGATTCTGATTGATTCGCTCCAGGTCATGGTTTCGACATCTGGCCACCAGCTTCTGCCGGGTGATGCTGTCGCCAGCATGCGCAAACTCCTTCTCCCGATGACATACATCCTCACGCCGAATATTCCAGAGGCATTACTACTGCTTCGGGAGGCCCATCCTGACAAAGAAACTGAATTTCGGTCCCCTTCGAATCTGGACGATCTGAAGAACCTTGCTAAGCAGGTCCACGCCCTGGGACCGAAGCATGTTCTCCTCAAAGGCGGTCACATGCCTCTGAACTCGCAGTGTCAGAAGGCCAAGTCCGACGAGGATAAAGAGAAAACAATCGACATTCTCTTCCCTTCAACCAGCAACGATACCGAGTTAGACATTGTAGATTCCCCTTACCAAGCCTCTCCCAACACTCACGGCACAGGCTGCTCCCTCGCATCCGCGCTCGCCGCCCAGCTGGCCTCCAAGCCGTCCCAGTCCTTGTCCACCAGCTCTCGGGCGGCGATAACTTTTGTCTCGCACGGCATCCGGACCTCGACGACCCTCCAACTCTCCAACCGCGGCTCCGGCCCCATCAACCACTTTCACTCTATGCTGCACTCCCCTTTCCCCCGTGGTCACTTCGTCGACTACCTCCTCTCGCACCCGCGCATCGTCCCCATCTGGCAGCAGTACGTTCACCACCCGTTCGTGGCCAAGCTCGCCGCCGGCACGCTCGACGTCGACGTCTTCAAGAACTACATGACGCAGGACTACCTGTACCTGACGCACTTCGCGCGCACCTACGGCATGGCGGCGTACAAGAGCCAGAGGATCGAGGACGTGGTGCGCGCGAGCGAGATCGTGCTGCACATCCGACGGGAAATGGAGCTGCACCTGACGTACTGCGGGGAATTCGGGGTGAGTCGCGACATGATCGAGAAGACGGAGGAGAGCGTGGCGTGCACGGCGTACGCGCGCTACGTGCTAGATGTGGGCCATGCGGGGGATCTGCTGGGGCTCTATGTCGCGCTCGCGCCCTGTCTGCTGGGCTACGGGGAAGTGGCGCGCAGGCTGTACAGGGACCCGGCGAGCAAGAGGGAGGGGAATCGGTATTGGCGGTGGGTGGAGAATTACGTGGCTGAGGACTACTGCGAGGCGGTGGGCAAGGGCAGGGAGGTCATTGAGCGGGAGGCCGAGAGATTGGGCGTTGGGGCTGGGAGTGCGAGGTTGGAGGAGTTGGTCGAGGTGTTTGCCAGAGCAACGAGGCTCGAAGTCGGGTTTTGGGAGGAAGGAGCACATACACCTGTTGGAGGGGGGAGCAGGTGAAGCATTTGGTAGATTAGGGAGGGGGGGTTAAGGAAGGGCGGGCTGTGGCCGTTGAGTCCCAGTCCATATTGCCTACAGCTGAGGCGAACGTTGTAGGTGGTGGCGGGTTTGACGGAAACTTGAGGCCTACGGCTGTCTAATGTCCAAGCGGCCTATGCAACAGCATGCTGAGGCCTGTGAAAGCTCCCAGATGTTGTTCTGTGCGCATAACACTGCTGAATACCGTAAAATGTCGATTAAACGAAGAAGATAGAAGTTGTCTTCAGGTTCAGGCTGTAATAGCGCCTAGCCAAGCGCCGCCACAACTGGGTACCTAGGTACAATACCAAGCTGCGCAGCTTCCGCCGGTCAATCTTACGCTTTCATGCTTGAGTCGCACCACCGCAGCACAGGTGTGAGCTTTGATCACCTGGTAGTCGTACTGTGCAAGGCAACAACGATGATGACCTGCATCGACCTCTGGTCCAGGCGGGACAGGAAAGAGAGGACAGACAAAAGCAAACCTAAACAGAACTCTTTTCGTGCAGTGCAGAAAGGTAAAGACAAACCAGTCGGCCCTTATCCCTTGTCCCTTCTGCGCTGAGTCCTGGTTTCCGAGAAACGATGAGGCATGGTCCCGTCCTCGCGCGGTGCGTAAATGCCATGTTTGGGGCCGTGATGATTGAACTCAATCGAAAACCTTGCAGCAGATGTCGGCTGCATGAACTTACAGCTGCATCATCGGGAGCCGTGGTTGGGGAAGTCGCCGGAAGCGCCTGGTGAAGAGGCAAAAATCAAACCAAAAAGGCAAAACAATGAGAAATGATGGCGTTGATATCAAACGAGGAATGCAGGGGCATTTACTCTAAGCGACCTCCCCTTGGTCATCGCATCGTCGGGCGTTGCCTACCTGTGTTGTGTGTATGTGTGTCCGGCCTCGTGATCGATATAATCCACAGTACTCCGTATAAGCCGCTTTGCTTCCGGTGATGGTGGTGAGGGGTGGCACGTTGCTTCCCGAAATTGTTGCCTGGCCTCAACAAACTGGTGACGAGCGTGTCTGCTGTGATATAGCTTCGCTCTAGGACATAGGGTTTCGTGACTTGTACGAAGTACGTCTTTCACCAAGGAGATGGCTTCCGACACGAGGCATGCCGGGCCTTTGAACCTTGCCAAATTCCGTAAACTCAAAGCCTCGTAACCGCGAAACCCACATTCTCCGGATGGCTCGTGTCTGGGTCACGTTGTGGCAACCAACGTAGAGCTCGAAAAGCACAGGAAGAGCGGGAGGACGAGCAAAGTACTCCGCCTGCGCAAGGGGGAAAACTCAATTTCAGATCTGTATGCATGTTCAGCTGGCTTTGCTTTTCTGGACAACACATGCAGCAGCACCTTGTATCGTGATACGGAGAAACGCGTTACGCCATGGAAACACCTACTTGGCGGTGTTTGCATGCTGCTCTCTAGCGTCGCCTGAGCAAAGTTTCAGGGTCGGTACAAGTACGCTCGTGCGGCATTGCATTGGCATGACGTCCTCCAGAAGCTGCTGTGCTTTGGTTGAACGAACGTGTCCATGCTAGTCAATGTTTGCTTGGTCCACTGGGGGACTGAAGCTACCGGCACTGCAACGGGACACGGCAGCGGTGTGCGCAATACGGTAAGGTGGTGGTTGATCAGTCGCGCGATGTGGTGCACCCAATGATGATGGCTACTGAATTCGCATAACGAGATAGAGTTGAGGGACTGGCGCTGGCGGAAAGCGAAGGTCTAGAGTACTGCGGCGTGTCCCGTATAGGCGCTTTTAGGTTTGCCTAGGCACTTGTTGCAAGCCGGCTGTGAATCCAAGCTGGGACCCATGAAGGAGGTGGATTACGACTACCGGCATGTGGGAGCTTACTGCAAAGTGTTCTCGCTAGCAGCGTGGGAGCGTGGTCCGTGGCCGATCTCGATGACAAGCATACTTTGGGGGAAACCTTTGTGCTGTAGCCTGCGATCTCAGACCCACGGCAAGGCTCAAGGTTTGGAAAGTCGCGGGCGAGTCGGTCATTCCCTTATGTAGGTAGCTGGCCAGCTATGAGGACGAGGTTGGGGCTGAAGGTAGGTCATGCGGTACCCGGAAGACCTCGGTGGGGGATGGAAAGGTGCCAGAAGTCGTGGACTCAGGAGCCAGCCACAGCGTATCATCCAACGAGAGTGGCTGCAACTTTGCAAGTGCCGTCCCTGTGGATATGCTTGGGAAGCTAACGAGAATAGGTAGTGGGGAAGAGTGCTCTGGGCGGCGTCCGCAAAGCGCTCCCTGCTTTTCCGTTCAACTGGGAACGTTGCCCGAGCTTCGCGATTAGTCTCGCTTGTTTGGCAGCGGGAGTGAAATCGCCGGAATACGAATGACGGCTGGCCGCAAGGGCAACGGGACTGATGATGGAAATGCCTGTACTCCGTACCGAGGACGACACTCGATATCGTGTTATTGTGCAATTTGTGCTTAGAGTGTACTCCGCAGTGTGTATGGAGCTGGTTCGTCCTGGCTCTTTCGCTTAATCAACTGAGTTTTGCCTGGGTGTTGCACTGCAACACAGTCAGGTCGAAACGAGCTAAAGACTGCAGCGGGAGGGATCGAGGGATGTTAGGCTTCGCTTGGGTGTTTTGAGCGGTTCCGCAACTCATCACGCCGGCACTTGACATAAGAATGAACGTGAGGATGAAAAGGGGACTTGAGGTTGGCGGGCTGTTCGTGTGATGGCATGGCGAGATTGGCCCAGTCACATAGCAGAAGCGCCTGACAGCGCGGTTTGCACAGGCGAAGGATTGGATCATGGAACCCAATCTGCTCCGTAGTGAGGACACTACCGCAAGACAGGCGATTGAGTTCCCGCCGGCGTGGGTCAAAAGCGGCCGAAAGTGTAGTTAGCAACTTAACAGCCGGTCGCTAAGATGCAGGATGGTCAGTCCAAGATCCAGGGGCTGGATTGCGTGCTGTACCGGGGCAGAGGTCGATACTGAAGCTGTCGGTGCTGCAGCGGCAACAGTACAGATTGTGCCAGTATCGGGAACGTATTGACATTGAGAGCGGCGACATGCATGGTCATGCCGCAGTTGGGGCGTGAAGCAGGCACAACTTGTTCCGGCCTGCCGGGGATTGCAGCTTCTGGTTGGAGGGTTCCTCAGCCTGGGCACCGTCTCCTGATCTGCGCGCGTATTTGGCGAGCTGTAAGAGCCGACAGTGGTGGGCCGTTAGAGCCTGCGCTTAAGCACGCGACCTCCCTCACGTAACAAGAACGCTGTCCCGGACCAAACGTGACAATACTGGTGTCAATGTGGCACCGCAGGCGTCATTCCGCCGCGCCCAATGTCAAGCCACTTCCATGCCTCTAGTTGTAAGAGGTCAACAACAATGCTGCACCCACTGCATATTGAATGTCTGTCAATCTACATGCTCGTGGCGCAAGATACAGCCTGATGAAGGCCGTCGATCTCCTTGCGTGGAATTCCAACAGGTCAATCTGGTTTCACACGATCCTATGTTCGCTGAGGCATACTTGGTGCTCATGACGTTGAACATGAGGGAAGCACCGACAGTTCGAGACCCATCCCGCGGCTTAGCTTGTTGGATGGCTAGCGTACGGATGCTGCATGACTCCAAGAACGCGGCTTCACAGGTACCCAAAGAACTTGGGACCGTCACCCTCTGGGCAGCACTATGCAGCGCTATGCTGTGCCGATTGGATTATTGAGGTGCCGTCGCAGGCCGGCATCCGGGGTTGGCACATCTCCCTCTGGTCACCAGCCATAGCCAGGCTGCAGGCCAACCACGGTTAGTACTTAGTACCACCAGGTCACTGGCAGCTTCCCCGTACTTGTACCGAGTGCCGTCGTAGCTCTTGGCAGGCTGCGCCGCGGTGGTTTTATACGAGCTTTCAGCTTGTCACAGTCTTTGAAACCTGTCAAATCGCTGTCAGATCGCTGTCAGGTCGCTGTCGGGTTCTATAGTGGACAGTAGACAGCTATCAATCCGACACGTCTCCTGACAACGTGTCGCAATGTTGGACTCCCTGCACGACTACCAGACAGTAGTCATTAGCGGTCTCGTCGCTACACAAACCAACCTGGAATGCTCAAGCTAGGCCGAGGGACATGAGACAAGCCGTCCGGCCTTCCCTGTGGCGTGTAACAGGATCCGTCGTCTCGGCCCATGCGCTTGTGGATATCTCCCCAGTCGATGGCTCGTCTTGACCGAGTTAGCGCCGCTTGGGGGGGCCTCTCCACACCCACGCATACCACATGCTGCTTCGGCTTGCGCAATCCCCACCATCTAGCCCATGAAAATCCCATGTCGATACGCGAAACCAATTCCGTAGCACACCTGCTGGCGCGTAGTCCGTGCCTCGTTGTCCACGGAATGGATCCAGGAGTGTTAAACCCGTATTTTCTTCGCCCTCTCGCGGACACGATGACAAGCCACGACGTCGTGTGCGGGTGAAGCATCAAATCAACAATGATCGACTTGCAGACAAGATGAGATGCGATTGACTTTGGAGCCGGTCGTGGCACGTCTCAGAAGGGAGAAAGTCGCTAGACACCGGCTTGAATTCGAAGCACGAACATATCCTTCGGGTTAAGCCGAGAAGGAACAAGGCGCGCCGGTCCAGGAGCCTAGCCCTATACGCCTTACCCATATCCGCCTCTCACTCATGCACATCGACGCTTTCAATACCCGGCTGTCGTACTCCTTATTCATAGGCTGTACCCTCCCAGGGACACACGCCGGCCGACAACCGAACACCGACCGCATGACGCTAAGCATGGGTGACTGCAATCCAGCCCATCCTTCCACGTCTCGCCCGTCCTACCCGTAAGGTGGAATTTGCGGCACCGCGCCCATCATCCATCATCCCAATTCCCTGGAATGTGCTGCATGGCCATAGCACGGCAGCAGCGTCTGACAGTAAGATCGAGATATCGTTCAGACTGTCGCGGATATGGACCTCGTCCCCCCACGACAAACAGTTTGCCATGGCCGCGGCGGCGGAAACCACGGGTATAAAATGCCGGGCCCCTTTGCCCATCTCCCCGGTACGGTATTGCCACGGAAATTACATACCCTGGTGTTCATGGGCTGACACTCTAGTACTCCCGATGATTCACCTTCTCAAACCTTCGGCTGCGTCCGTGCATTCACATCGCACAAGTCACATCCAGCCAAAGTCAGGGAGCACCATCCACCTCTCCAACGCTGTGACCTCCTCAGTTCTCGCCAGAAGCCGCGCCTCTAGGCGCGGGCCAGTGCAATCAACTAGACCAGGGTTGCCTGCCCTGTCCATGCTTTGCCGCATACTCCACACGCCATCTGGGGTGTCACAGAGCGATTAGTCTTCTCAGGTAGTCATGTTCCGCATGGCTACTGTTCTCTGCCCCAAACTCCTTGCTGCATGCAAGAGCCACAAGAGCCACTTCATCTGCTGAACCTTGTCCGAGATCTACGCTTCGCCAGGCCTCCAAAGTCCTGCTATCTACGGAACTTTCATCCACTGGACGGCACGTCCTCCCCACAGCTCAAGTACTAACGACGCCCGCTACTTGCTCGGGATCGACCTTCACTATTCGCATCATATCCTTGCCTCTCGCCTTTCCTCGAGCTCTTTCTGCGTTTCTTGGATCTTCGGCTCGGCTATCGTATTTCAGTCCCCCTCCTTCGGCCGGAGGTCTTCTGCTGTCGCTTCGACTTTCAACTTACTCCGCCTGCATCTTCATCGACCGTTTCGCCCTCATCAGAGCGGCTTTTCCTTCTACTTTTCGAACGTGTTTGTTGGCGGGCTCGGTCTTCTGTTATCTTTTGGACGCTTCTGTTGCACATAGAGAGGGCACTTGCGGTATCCCGGACAACAAATTTCTCGACCACTGCAGCTATCCGTGGTGTCACTCTGTGGCACTCGACATCGTCTCCGGAACATCTGCGTTGCAGCTATCGCACATCCTCCCCCAGAAAGCACGTTCAACGACCAGGCCCGCACAGTCAATACCGTGGCCCTGGACATTGAACTTCGTTACAGGCCCGCCGACCCATGACTGGCCCAAGGCCGTGGCTAACGTCTCAGAGGCTTCCAGCAACCTTGCGCACATTCAGAGGCTCTCCAGCTGGCGTGAGATGATTGAGGCTGGCGATCCCGCCAGCGACCGGTACATCACTCCCAGGCTTTGAGCGTCTAGGCAAGTTTGGGAAATCCAACAGCCACGCCTGTGGGCACACCGCTGTCGATGTTGATGGCAAGGCAACCGCCAGATGGCGAGGGTCGGCACTCTGTACCTACGCGGATCCAGCTACCCGATTTCAAATCCTTCTTGACAACGGTTGGCCAGTCTGATCATTCACCACCTAACCACAATCGAGTTACGCCTCCATCCACTGAACCAGCAGAGTATTATCAGCGTCGGCCCTCACTGTTGAGCGCGAACAGTCTTGGAAATGGACCATCATATCAGCCACAACCGCCGCCATACACATCCCAGCATTTTGACTACAGCCGCGCGCCTCCGAGTCGAGATGCACAATCGTCGTTGATGAACAGCGGTCCCCCATATAACTTCACACCAATCGAGCCCGTTCGGACACCTTTGCCAAACGGGCACGAACGGTTTCCCGGAATTCCTTCATCGGCCCAGATGGGTTTTCGAGAGAATGCGCACAGCAAGGTCGTTGTACGAGAAGATTTGGTCGAAGGAAAAGGGTTGTGCTACATTTACAGCGATAACACCCACTGCCCAAAGTCAGTCAATGGCGACATCGTTAACCCCAAGTGGGGGACGACCAAGGCAGGGAAGCCTAGAAAGAGGCTGGGTCAAGCCTGCAACACCTGTCGCGAGAAGAAGATCCGCTGCGATCCCCAAATCCCAAAATGCGCGCAATGCCAAAAGTTTGGACGGGAGTGCAAATTTGAGCCAGGGTAAGGAAGCTCTATCCTTTTCGAGAACCCATACTGACTGCAGCAGTGTTCGAGGCTCCCAGCGTAGCACACGAGGCTCATCGCCTGGTGATGCGCCCTCACTCCAGGAACGCCGAAACAGCATTTTCCACGACCGACACGGCTCCGAAACCTCTGCCGGTCAAACTAGTGCAACAAGGTCCTCGATCAACGTTGATCACTTGCTATCACCCGCGTCCACTCACTCTCTCGGGTCACACGAATCGCCTCCAGGTAAGAGGCGCAAGTTCTCCACCTCACCCAACATAGACTCGCGTCCGGTCGCAACGCCTCGACCGGTCCCGAACGACAGAACCTTTTCTCCCAACGTTGACCCATTTTCATGCGATCCTCAGATGACTATGCATTATATCGGAAGTTTCTTGACGAACTTTAATGGCAACTTGTATCAGATCTTCCCGACCGATAAATTCGTTGCCTGGCTTCAGAACGCGGCAGCCAAGTCGAGCAGCGATATGTTGCTGATGTACACTATGATGGCTTTTGGTACGATTTTTGCAGCGGCACCTTCCGTGGAGGAGCGACAACACGACCGCGACGTCTTCTTGAGGATCGTTGATGAAGCTATGAACAGGCAATCAAGCAGGCCAAGTTTACAGATGGTCCAGTCCCTGGTCTTGCTTTCATTGCTGCGGTTCTCACGGGGCCAGCTTGAGGAGTCGAGAGAATTATGCACTTCGGCAATGCGATTAGGGACAGATATCGGCCTGAGCCGAGAACGAATCGAGTCCGTGGAGCCCTACTTCGGTCTCGATGCACATACATCGGACGAGTGCCGGAGGCGTACGTTCTGGGTCGCATACATCGTCGACACGTTGCTTCAGTATTATGTCGCTTGGCAAGGTCGCCCCATCAGCGTTGACTGCAAGCTACAAGTACCATGCAGCCAAACCCAGTATGACGATGGCAGCATCCCACAGCTCCCGGTAGCCGAGTTTCACGGGCTGGATCCTCACGACATTCCATTGGATAACGGAAGTTCCGTCCTCACTAAGCTTGTTGGCGGGATTGCCATACTTCGCGATATTGTCTCTTGGGTCAAATGCCTCAAAGACATGGATGTGTCTCAGATTCAGGCATCACAACAGGATTTCCAAGACCAGATCAACTGGCGATTGGCGGCATGGAAACAAAAGGTCACCGGCATGACGCAAGCAGAAGAAGACCGAAAGCTTGCAGAGGGCAAGAAGGTAGATCCTGACGAATTACTTATAGTGTACCACCTTGGAAAGATGGTATTGCATCGACACGTCCGACATGAATTCATGACGAGGCAGCAGGTTGAGATGAATTGCCGCGAGGTTCGCAGCCACGCGTACGCCTTGCTGCAGCTCCTCCATACACTCCATGAGAGGAGCAATTTTGATGAACGGACACCGCTCACGGCATGTCCTGTGGCAGGATACGCAGCATTTGTGGCGGTCGACATCATCACGGCCGCGGGATCCATGTCCAGCGTGCTGGAGAGTTCGGCCGAGGATATCTACGATGGTCTCCACCACGAGCGGATGGACACGGGCGCCCACGACACCTTCATGGACCTGGTGCCGACGGCGTCGGAAGCACTGGTAAACTTGGGTCAGTACTGGGACACGGCGAGACGGCAGGGCGAGCTCGTCACTTCACGATTCCAGACCGTGCTCATGGCCGCGAAGACGGGGTCATCGAGTCAGAAGGCGGCATATTTTATTCGGAACTCTTTCTGCAGCCCATTTGGGATGGATATGGATGTGATATATGGCATTACGAAACTGGCACTGTTCAAGGCGCTGGGGATGGGAGATCGGGTCCGCAATCAGTTCGATCTGTATGAAATTCAGGGGTAACAGTCCCTCCAACAGCACCTGCACACAGGCGTTCGACGAGCAAACGATGGAAATGACGGTACGCTACAGCATTGCAACCTTGTCGTTGAGAGGAGAGAGAGCGGCCCGGGTGGTAATACCTCTTATCACAACTAATGAGTTGAGGAAAGTCGTGTGGGTGTAACGCAGAGATAGACCAGCAGTGGTGAAGCAAGTTTCGGATAGATATTGTCGACACTCTACCTTCTCTGAAGACTCAAATTCTGCACACATGCCGTTTGCGCGACAGTCGTTCATCATGCGCTCTAGCAACAGGGAGCGACGGGGAGCAACCACCCGGACGCCTGCATTTTACTGTAGTTAAACCACTGACCGGTGATCCCCTCTGCTGCCAATCATCGAGGTCGAAACGACTCCAATCAAGGCTTCTCCCCTCTGCTACTCGGCGGTTCTCTTGCGCCTCATTTCTGCCTGATCTTGACGCCGCAACGAATCCTACAGCGCATCAGGCTCGTACAGAGCCGACTGACCCCGCAGACTTGCGTGGCAAAGCTCCAGACAATCGAGAGCCCTTGCGGCGGAGCCAACTGCAATGCAGAGCCAGGATTTTCGGCGGTGGTAGGACGTCTAACCAAACAAATCTGCTTTGACTCACACAGGCTGGCGGCGCTCTTCTCATTGTACGAATAGCAGCTGCTGCCTATGGCCATTGCTCCAGTCACCGTTGCAGCCTTGCGATATCCCTTTTCTCAGAGCTCACGCGTCTGCAGTAGGGTCTGCGTCACCTATGCGTCCCAGACCCCTCGAACGCATCGCTTCCATCGCGCCAACGCGATGCGTCGCGACACCAGACTGGCAGTCTGTCGTTATAAAAAGGTCTCAAGACCTGTTTCTCATGTTGAGTTGCTCAGGTAAGTCTCCATCATTGCTTCGATGGCTCTGCTGCGCAATGAGACGTCGTCTCCGGCCCTGATCCCAGACTCTGATCCTTCCAATGGCTTTCTGTATTTGCCACCAACCTTCCTGGATGCCCTGATACCAGGATACTCGGTGCTTGCTGAGGCCGTGCACAAGTTTGCCGGGATCGACATCTCCTTCTACGTGTCGCTCTGCGCCTTTGTCTTTGTGCTTCATGCAGCATGGAATTTCACCGTCGCTCCACTGCGCGACACTCTGATCAAGAAATTTTCTTCCACGGTGGTCATCGACGAATACGATGAAATCTTCGATTTTGTGCTTAGCTGGATCCGGGCTCACAAACTAATGCAAGATCTGCTGTCTTTACGAGCAGAGAGCCAGGGCCGGAGCTATGATTACAATGACGACCACGACAACATGATGGGCCGTGACCTGTCCGACGGCACCATCTTCAACTTCAACGATTGGGCTGCACGCGCTCCACCCAAGTACGAGCCTCACTTGTCTTCTGGGTTCTTCTACCACAAGGGCCGCTTCTTCCGCATCATTCGTGACCAGGAAAAGGTGCAGGACGGCCACTTCTCCGTCATGCGCGATAGAGAGAAGCTACTGATTACGGTTCTCTGGCGATCCACTCGACCCATCAAGGCGCTGATCGAAGAGGCCCGCGAGTTCTACCTCGGCAAGCGAACATCCCACACCAGAATCTACCGGCCTGTGGCTAAGGAAGAGAGGAGTCATAATAACGAATGGCATATCGTTGCTGTGCGGCCGAGCAGGCCGATCGCCACAGTCGTCCTTGATGATTTACCCAAAGCCGAGATTCTTATAGATTTGAACGAATTCTTGCATCCCAAAACGGCGAGATGGTATTCAAACCGCGGTATTCCATACCGAAGAGGCTACCTGTTCCATGGGCCACCAGGTACCGGCAAATCGAGCATGAGCTTCTCCCTCGCCGGACTCTTTGGCTTGAATATATACTGCTTGTCTCTCAGCGAGATCACCTTGACCGAGGAAAGCCTCATCGTGCTCTTCAACACTCTTCCACGGCGCTGCATCGTCTTGCTGGAAGACATTGATTCGGCAGGCATCTCTCGACCAAAGCCAGCAAGTAAGGAGGGTAAGGGTGAGAGGAGTACGGAGAGGAAGAAGAAGAAGAAGCAGACAAAACAAGACACGTCAGAGGACGACGTGATGGTGCCCGGCCTCCCGAAGAAGCTGACAAACGCCATCAGTATTTCCGGTCTACTGAACGCGATCGACGGCGTTGCCTCTCAAGAAGGCCGTATCCTCATCATGACTACCAACTATCCGGAAAAGCTCGATGAGGCTCTTGTCAGGCCAGGTAGGGTGGACATGAAGATCAAGTTCGATCTGGCTAGCACCCAACAAATCAAAGAGCTGTTCCTTCGTATGTACTCGGCAGATTCAGTCGAGCATGCAAGACAAGCGACCAAGATAAGCCAGGTAATGCCACACATGGATATGAGGAGCCTCATGGAGGCCAACGGCGATCTTGCCCCGGGCTCTGATGAGCAGGCTAAAACTAACCGTGCCGATGATGGCACTACGCCTGCAGAAAAGGATTCTATCACGAACTCTCCGAATGCTTCCGCGCCTCTTACCATCGACGCCGACTTGGAGAAACTAGCAAACCAATTTTCCGATGTCCTCCCTGGTGGAACTTTCTCGCCGGCCGAGGTTCAGGGCTATCTGCTTACCAGAAAGAAGGGACCGAAAAAGGCGGTTGCTGACATTGTGGCTTGGAGAGACGAGCAGATCGCTAGGAAGACTATGAAGGCCCTAGAGAAGAAGCAGACGCCGGATACGAAAGATAAGTCTGAAGCACAAAGCACTGCGACCACCTCCGTTAAGCAAACAGAGCCGCCAGCAGACTCCGAGGAGGATTTTGTTAGATCGAAAAGTGAGTCCAGCTCGGATGACTCGGTCAGTGACGGTGACGGCTCTTAGTTGACTCAGCAATGCCAGCCGTGTCTCACATAGGTACCATTCGTAGGGTTAGATAAAATGAAGATCAGTATGGCTGCTTGACTCCTGAAGCCCCTCGAGACTGTCAGCCTTATGATACGCTGTAGGAGGCGAGGCTCATCGCCAAGACTCCGCATCTGGACTGTCAACAGATCGTGATGTTTCGGCTCGTCGCAACATCCATGCCCCTTTCACCCTTACGCTCAGTACTACGGCGAGCACACCAAAGGCAATAGCCTTCGGCGACGGAGAGTAGGTAAGTTAGGTAAGTTCCCGTCGACGGTAAGTCAACATTCTACACCGACGTATGCCCCGGATGTCAACTCACTCTTGAACAGTTTCCCCCATCCATCGGTATGTCTTCGACCGCCACATCGCTGGTCCCAGCTTCCGCGCGAACGTCCCTATCTTCTGCAGTGTCGTCAGTGTCTCCTGCGTTGCGAGGAGCGGTCACAGCTCCAACGACACCCGCATCAAGAAACGCCGAAGCGAAACCTTCGCCAGGCACCTTCAGGCACCCTCGTCTCGCGGAGATCGTGGCCAGACAGAATAAGACAATCCTTACGCAAAGCAATGTCAGAAGCGCAGCTACCAACACAGCGGCGTTGGTCCTGTCCTTTGCGTTTCGAAAAATCATCGCAACCACGTCAGTATGCCCTGCTGTTTAGCAAGCTTGTCCTGACCCATCTAGCTTTCGCACGATCCTGAGTGTCCTCTCGATGTCCTCCGATACGTCCGGCGACGTGACTGCTCTGTTGCTGCTCGCTATACGCATACTCTTTCTTGTCAACATTGTTCTCTCGCTTCGGCAAGGAATCCCATACCTTGCGCGCAGAGACAACATCGAAGACATACCCCTTACGCCATCCCAGCGGTCCCTTCTTGGACTGCCACCATCTACGAAGACCACACCCGCGAGTTCACCCCTTGCACCTTCCACCGGCTACGTGACCCCGCCGCGCTACCACCGTCGCCTCTCGGGCAGCGCCTCCCCATCAGCATCCATGAATGGCACTCCCACCGCTGAGCCTGTGAGCGCCGACCGACGGTCAATTTCCGCCAATTATTCCGCCACACCCCTCTCAACCAGTCGATATACGCTGGGTTTCAGCCCTTCACCAAACGCCCCGCAAACTCAACCGTACAACCGCACAGGACGCGTCGCTTCCGGGTCGCCTTTCAGTCCGTCGGGTAGTCCACTGTTTCACAAGGCCATCGATCGGCAAAGACGGCAATCGCAGGATTTCGATTTTGGCCGGTCGCCAGGTCTGGCCCGGGGCAACAGTCGCAAAGAGGGAGCCGGTGACCGGGGAAGTCCACTGCCGAGGGCAAAGAAGGGCGTCAATTTCAAGTGGCTGTATGATCAAAGCTATTCGTTTGGCAATGGAGGCGGAAGAGGACTGTCTACGAGCCAAAGCATGAATTTTTGACATTATTGGGACACGTGAGTGAGCGATCTGGCGCGGGGCTCTGGGCTTTTATACAGACATAGCATAGCATAGCGGGCGGCGCTACCTGGTAAAACAGTTGATTGTCTTATAGCATTCCTGTAGTCCGTGAAAGTACTCCTCGAGCCAGTGGATTTCGGTAACAATATAGATGCTAAATGCCCGGCCATACCAGGCGATCAGTTCAGCAAGTCTAGCACTATCAATTGTGTCTTGCTTGAAAGGACCGAGTGAAGCGTGCTTGATCCTCCAGCGGGAGTGCAGATTACATGAAAGGTCCATCCTGTGAACCATGTAGATGTATCGTGCAAACAGAGGGCCACCCTTGGCGAGGGCGGGACCCACTCTTTGTATGCGGCGCATGGCACTCACTCAACTAAGTCAACCCCGGGCTCCAACTTCCTCTCCACGCCCGACCCCGTTCGTGATTTCGCAGAGCCTCTCCCGGCTCCCCCCAGGACAGTCATGGGAGCCTCCGAGTCCAAGCTTGTCTTCAAACAAGGCATCTTCAGGCTCTCCGAGGAGCAGCACATCGCAGCCAATGACCCCTACTGGACCGGCGTACGTCATCTGCACATGAGAAGCACCCCCCGAACTTTCGAGATAACCAACGCTGACTATTTGGTCGCAGTTCTGGGAACTTCCCGAGTCTGCCGAAGATGTCTTCAGTCTTTTCTCGGGAGCCGATATACGTCGTACCCGCGATGCGTCCATAGCGAATCTCGAGACCCTCCTGCTGGCTGTGACGTCCAAGTTGTTTGCTCTGAAGAACCACCCTTCCTTCCCCGACTCGGAGCTCGCACCGGATCGGCATGCGCTGAACTGCGTCCGCGTGCTGACCCGAGTCCTGCCATATATCTACGAAGCGGACCACCTTAGCGAATGGGAAGATACCTTCTTCTGGAGCGCTCGCCGGCGCAAGAGCAGGAGAGCCCAGCTTGCGGGAGAGGTCCTCTTTGACGAGTCTCAGGGCGAGGAGACGCCTCAGGATGGTGCAGATGCTGATGCGTACGAAGACGCGAAGCCGCTGGGCGAGGAGTTGATCGACACCCTCATCGATCTGCTCTTCTTCATCGACTTTACCGTGCCGGAATTGGCACAGCCCAAGAGCAAGGTCACATATGCGATATGGCAGAGTGGAGTCGGCTGCAAAACGTCGCTGGGCTCGAACAAAGAGCTGGACAGCAATCGGTGTGAGGTTTTGAGACTGCTGCTTACCCTCACGAGCAAGTCCATGTACATGCCGTCCACGTTGCTGCCCGCCCAGGGCGTCAAAGCCATCACCTATATTGCAACCTGCCAGGACAAACAGATCGTGCTGTCGGTGCTCTGCTCCTTACTCAATACGACGATCAAATACAACTCGGCTTCTTGGAGGCTCCCCTACGATCATGTTGTCTGGAAGGATTCGAAGCAAGCGTTGGTTGTCTATAGCGTTCAGTTCATGCTCGCGGTATTGTTATACCCTATTCCAGAAGACGGCCGCGGAATCGCTCCCAAGAACTTCTATCGTCATTTCATGGGACGTATCCACCGCCCGGAGGATTTCCAGTTTCTTGCAGAAGGCATCAGCCGCGTCCTCAGCCAGCCTATGCACTCCACAACATCGTACATCCCCGGCAGCCAGAAATCTGTCAAGTGGGCTCCGGAGATGATCGTCTTGTTCTGGGAGTTACTGCAATGCAACAAGCGCTTCAGGACCTTTATCCTGGAATCGAACAGAGCGCACGATTTTGTGGTCCTGATGCTGTACTATGCCATCGAGCACAAACTGGACACTTCTCAGCAAGGCGTGGTGAGAATGTGCATTTTTGTCTTGCAGACGATGAGTGTTGAGCCTGCTTTTGGCAAAAACCTCAATAAGAAATTCGAAAATCAGGAGACCTTGCCGGCCTCGATCCGTCTCCCGAATTTCAGGGGCTCGTACGCGGACTTCCTGATCATTTCGATACACAGCCTCATTACTGGCAGTAAAGGAAAGCTGGAAGCCATCTACCCAGCTTTGCTTGCCATTATCAACAATCTGGCGGCATACGCTCAACACTTGTCCATGGCTTCATCCACGAAGCTAATGCAATTGCTCACTTCCATGTCCAGTCCGAGCTTCCTGCTTGCCAATGAGTCAAATCATACTCTGTTGCAGTCGCTGCTCGAATCAATTAACACTATCATCGAACATCAATATGCCGCCAATCCGAACCTTATTTATTCGGTACTCAGGGCTCGGAAGCGAGTAGAAGCGCTGCGCATCTTCACACTCGAAGGGGGTCAACAAGACCTCGAGAGCATGGAACGTAATCGCAAAGACAATCCCCTCGCCAGTCCTACGCCGTCTACGGTCTCGAACCGAACGGTAGTGGAGGAAGATACGTTCACCATTGGCGATTCCTCAGACTCCGAGAACGAGGACCAACCCACGCCTTCTCAATCGACCACCTCCGTCCACAATTCCCGCACGCCTTCTGTTGCTTCGGAGGATCAAGTGCCGATTCAATTACGCGGCCTCTCCGAAAAAGCCCGTGGCAAGCTTCCCGCTGGCGCGCCCACATTCTCGCGTCAGAACAGCACCACATCACTCTCGAGTCCAACGACAAGCACCCCTCGTGGTGGTTTCCGCGCCACGCCCGAATGGCTAGATTCATGGCTCCCCGACCTCCCACTTCACACTATGCTCGCCATCATCAAAGCGCTCTCACCTAGACTCCCACCCCCAGCCTCTGCGCGCGAGCGCACTTCCTCCGAGCCCGCCTCCGCAAACTCCTCCCGTAGACCTTCCCTTCAGACCGATAGCTCCACACCCACCGAGCCAGCAGCCCCCTCGCTCACCGACTTCCTCAGTTCCCTCCCCTCCACCGCCACACACCCGCAAATTGCGCCCATCCTCGCATCTCCATCCCCGATCCGCGTCCACCTCTTCGAATGGTCCCCCCTCTCGCTCGGCTGGTACATGTCGGTCCTCTACTCACTGATCTTCACCGCGGAGATGCACATCGCGCCCGCGTCGACGACGGCGAATACCTTGACGGGCACAGGCGGTAGCGCGGGGCCCGTCGGCACGTGGAACGGCACGAATGTGAAGCTGTTTGCCGTGCAAGAGGGTGGGAGGCGGGGGATCACACTGAGTCAGCCGAGGGGCGCAGTCGATGCTGTGGGCAGTAGGTTGGTGCAGGGGGTGCAAGGACTGGGGATTGGCAATGCCGTTGGAGGGTGGGTCAGGGGTGTTGGAGGAGGAGGAAGTGGCCCGCAAGCTGATGGTGGAGGGCGGGGTGTTCGGGAGGTGTAGTATACCTACCTAGTCAGTAGCAGCCTGCTTGTCCCCTCGTCGCTAGAGAAGACGACTAGGACAGAAGGAAAGAAGGTTCAGGGGAAAATCAATGGACAGGAGCACAAAGACGAAGCAAGAAAAGGCGAAGAACAGGATTGAGATCTTAGCGAGGCGTTTGTAAAATCGGTTGGGACGTCGTTAATCCTTATGGGATGAGATAAAGTGGCTAGTGTGTGGCGATGCCAAAGATGGAGATCACGACTATCAACTCAAACACACATGTTGCTTGAAAGCCAGATATCGGCGGTCCCTCTCTGATCTAGTTCCATGTGCGTATATATTCGTCAAGCATGCATGCCCGTTCTGTCTTATGTATCGAAAATGCCCCACCCACCCATCCATTTATATCTCCCCGAGCCGTTCTATGTCTAGAACTATAGAGGTAGTTTGTAGTAGGCAGATGTCGTCGTCACCGTCGTACACAATGCTACCACAAAAAGTTCATGAACCCGCCCCCCCCCCCTCCTTGAGACCTGGGGCTCGGCCGAGGCGGCCTGGACGGAAATTTCGTGCATATCCTGATCTTCTCAGCGCGTGATGGGTCGGTGTCCCGGCCCCTTTATAGCCCACCCACCAAACCCAACCCCCTACGTACGCAGCGACTCCGCCCGACGACGCATACTACTGCCGTCACACCACCCCACCACGCCGCTGCCCATCCGGCGAAGAAGAGTCAGAATCACGGTCGCGATCACTGTCGCTCATACTCATCTCGCCGCCCTTGAAGCCACCGGCACCGTGGCTGAGGTCTTCTTCACGCTCGGTCATGGCGGAGAAAAAGATGCCGGGATGCACAAAGGTCTGCAGACCAGTGCAGATGGTCATCATGACGGTGTCGAGGCCGATGAAGAGGGCTTCGTTTTGCATTATGGAGGATTCCCAACCTCTGTTACGTACGGTGTTAGAATGGATAGAGGAATTGGATGGGGGCGAGAGGGAGAGAGAGAGGGGGGGGGGGGGAGAAAGGAAGGGAATGAGGGGAAATCCGTACCCAGCAAGTTCGGCGATGCGGTAGACGCAGCGGATGAGAATTGCCGTGTAGAGCGTGATGAGCGAGGCGGCGAAGATGCGGAACTTGGTGTCTGTCCACGTCTCGGTCGCCTTGCGCGAGAGGGGTTCGGGGGATTTGTAGCGGCGGTAGGTGTAGTCTACCAGAACGTCAGTTTGGGGTTGTAGGATGGTTTGGTTTGTGTGATGCCAGAGTGGTGGGAGACTTCAACGTGAGGATATGGCTCAGAGAGTCTTGTCCTCGATACCTCCCTCTGGTGCATTCTTCTTGGGGATAATGGATTCCCGTAAGATGGGGGCTCGCATACCGATAATCATCGCGCCGAAGACAGCTAATGTGACAACCTGGAAGACCACACCGGCGATCATCAAGCCGTCACCCACCTCCTGCAAGTCCAGATCGTCGTCTGCGCTGGCCGCAATGCCTCCACCAGCGGACTGCAGGAGAAGGGCGACAAAGTCGGCAGAAATGAAGCCCCAGGGGTAGAAGCGGGGAGGGATGCGCGAGGCAAAGGACCCAAAGCGGAGCGCCACGTGCTTGAGGGTCAGGTACTGGACTCGTCAGCTTGGTGGTCATTGCGTGGTACCGGAGCGATGCAAGAAGACTCACAATCGCAGCAGAATTAAAGGCGGGTGAGAAGGTAAGCGTGATGATCTGTAACATGAAGCCGGGTTCGTCCCATGGGTTGTCATGCATGATGATACGGCCGCCATAGCCTGCGGATGAGGTCGCGGTTGCCAGGCACATGGCTAGCATGTAAGTCCATAATCTGTATCTCCAGCCAAGGTAGGCATTGACGAAGAAGCAGAGACCGAAAAATCCGGCACCCCAGGCGTTGGCAGAGAGGGAGGGATAGTATCCGTATATTGTTTCCTCTACCGGACACTCAGGAGATATCGAGGTGCAGTTTTCGGTATTGAGCTCGCCTGACATGGTTGCTTGTTATGGAGAGGATGGATCCGCATTCAGGGTTAATGTGGTGAGACAACCAACGAACGGTACTCCTTCTGATCGACTGCTACACTGGCTGATATGGACGAGCACGACCTAGGCACTCGACGGATTATATAGCCCATACCTATGCGGGGTTCAACGTGTTTGCGTGCCCAGCCAAGCCTGACAATCATGATTGGGAGGCGCAGCATGAAAAATTGCCAACCGCTGAAGCATAGTCACAAAGAACGACCGTTTCAGGGAGCTCGGTCCCAAGATAGAACATCGTATACGGGGGAAGTACCCAGTACGATTGGTCAGGGACGCTGTGTCCCCGTGGGTATAGCGGAAAGCCTTGGCGGAGGGAGCGAGGAAACAGGCGCATTCGTGCAACCCGGAGGTTAGCTTATCTGAAGCGAGGGTCGCGTGTGGATTTCGCTAGGCAGCGACGTTAATTGCTGACAACCTTGGGCCCTATTGACGTCTGGCCAAGGCTGATGTGGCTTATCTGGTTCGGCCCCGAGGCTGGCCTGATGCCTCGTTCATCGGGCACGGTGATAATGTCTCCAGGTATGAACGTCGGTCCTGAGGCTCAGACATGGTTCGGAAGTATCATAGGCCGCAACGTCTCGGGGTAAACTTGCTCCGCGACCTCAGTGAGTAACGTCATGTAGGTGAAATGTCTGGTGGAGCGCTTGGAAGTCTTCGAGATGGTCTGCGGAAGGCCCGGATGTCAACAGGCACGATCATGTTTTGGGCGAAACATGCGAAACATGCGAAGGCAGCGGCTGGGATATCCGCGTATTGAGAAAGCGCAATACCATTCTTGTCACAGCCTTCTCAGATCGACACGAGTATTCTAGAGTCCCCTGTGGAAGCCTGTAGAGGGAATGTATGCTTTGCTCGCACAAGTCGATGAGAACTGATGAGCCATGTACAAGGCTCGAATGCAGTGCGATTGCGCAGCTCGCTCACCGTTGTTCGAGGCTACGACCCCGGTTCATGGACACTGACCTCGCCCTCCTGAGCCGAAGCGCTGAGATACTTCAGATGTGGTCGGTGGTTAGGGCTTGGCGCAGCCGGGTCATTCTCCGAGTTCGAGAAAGGCGGAGATCAAGATATCATGACAACGACGGAGATCTAAAAGTTTCTATCGTACGTGTTGTGCAGATTAATGTCAGTGCGTTGAGGCTGCGAATATTATCCGCGGAGTCGCTCCCCCAGCGCAAAGCCATATAATCCATCTCCTTTACAGAAACTTGGTGCTCTAAAGCTTTGCCTGGAGCTGGCCTTCATACAACTTCCTCGATTTATCCAGAGCCTCTACCGCTTCCTGCTCAATTCTCTTCAAAAGCACATCGCAAGTGGGAACATCGTGAATCAGCCCAATGACTTGGCCGGCGGTCCAGACGCCGAAGTCCTTGTCACCATTGAGGAAGACCTCCCGACCACGCTTTCCAGATACTAGCGGGCCGACTTCCTCGAACTTGCCGGTTGTGCTCTCCTTCTCGATCTTGACCGCCTCCTCGGTGACCTTGTTCTTGAACAATCGCGAGGTGTTCTTCCATCTTCTAAGCACAAGCTCCGTGTCTGTTTCTTGCGCATCGACAATGGCTTGCTTGATCTTTTGGTGAATAGGTGCCTCGACGGTGCACATGAATCTGGTTCCCATATTGATACCTTCTGCGCCGAGTGCAATTGCCGCAGCGAGACCCTGTCCATCTGCGAAGCCCCCGGAGGCAATGAAGGGGACGCCTAGTGATTGCCGTGCCCGTGAGAGCAGAATGAAATTCGTAATATCGTGCTCGCCAACATGGCCTGCGCATTCGAACCCATCAATACTGAGAAAGTCAACACCCAGTTTCACCGCTGACTGAGCATGTCTGATGGTTGTGCATTTGTGCAGGATAATGCAGCCAGCCGCCTTGAGTTGTTTGATCACTGGACCGGGAGAGTTGCCAGCAGTCTCAACAATCTTAATGCCTTCATCAATTACAACTTGAGCATATTCGGCGTAGGGAGGAGCGTTCATGGTCGGCAGAAGCGTGATATTGACACCGAACGGATTCTCGGTCATAGATCTGCATCTTCGGATCTCTTTACGCAGGTCTTCTGGAGTAGGTTGTGTAAGTGCAGTAAGCTGCTGGCGGTTAGCAAGCATGTCTGTCGACGAGCATGTGAATGCCTACTATACCGAGACCACCAGCGTTGGACACAGCAGAGGCGAGCTCCGCATAGCCAACCCATTGCATTCCTCCCTGCACGACGGGGATCTTGATCCCCAACCGGCGGGTCAGCTCTGTATTAAAAGGCATCTTTGCGGCGAGCCGTGGAGCGTTGACTTGTATGCACCGGCAGGATACGGACGCGACGAACACAGGAGGCTAAGGCAGACGTCAGAAGCGTTGGATGGGTCTGTGATATGAAAGCGCGGTCTGCAGTCTATATGCAAAGGGATCTAGCTTTGTACTTCTCAGCTGCCGCCCGGTTAGAAATCATGGGTTGTTGGAGCATCGCCGAGGACATGGTGAAGTCGAGTTGAACCTCGGCCCATGACTGTCGCCGCTAACTCCATGCTGCACACCACACCCCTACAGTCCACCGTACAAGGCTGCACTATGCTTGGCAAGGCTGAGTCCTTGGTGCGAATCTCCTCCCGCGAATTCGCGATCTCCTCCCATCGCAGGTTGCGCGAGTCAATCAATCAACATCTGATCTGTTGTCGCGACATCACGCAGCACGAATATTGCTACCCATCTGACCAGCTAACTTGGTCCTCGAGACGTCTATTTGTGTGCTACGCGTCTGCCATCAGTTAGCATCACTAAGCGCAAAGGCTGGGTTGAAAGCCCCGGCGCAAACCGCGAGACCATGGAGGAAGGGCAAACCCCACCAGTCGCTGATCTGAAGAGAGAGCAGTCAGAGCCTGGTCTAGCACAGAATGGTCTCGAGACTGCCACGCAAGGCGCGTCTCTCGAAGGCGATAATGCGACACCTCTAGATCAAGGTAATTCAAGCGCGCTGCCCCTTGCGTCGCGACATCGCAAAGCTGACACTCACTTGCAGTACCTATCTCACAACCTGCCGAACCAACATCAGCTGCCGATACACCATCGGCGAACGCGACTGGGACCCCTGCACTTGCTGCTGCAGAGGCCAAATCACCAGCGGCTCAAGACGATCCTGACGGAGAGCCGGAGGACGCTGAAATGGGAGGCGTTGAAGAAGATACCAAAGCCGATGACGGTGATGGTGAAAAGGATGCAGTAGAAGATTCGCAGGCGACACCCGCTCCACAGACCGCCGCTGAGAAGACACAATCGAACGAGGAGCTCGCAGCCGCCGCCAATTCGCACCTCGTTCAGCAAACCCACCAGATCATCCTTCCCAGCTACAGCACGTGGTTTGACATGCACCAGATCCATCCCTTGGAGAAAAAGTCGCTACCCGAATTCTTTAACGCGCGGAATCGTAGCAAGACACCTTCTGTTTACAAGGACTACCGAGATTTCATGGTCAACACCTACCGCTTAAACCCTGTTGAATACTTGACAGTGACTGCTTGTCGGAGGAATCTGGCTGGCGATGTCTGCGCCATTATGAGAGTGCACGCTTTCCTGGAGCAGTGGGGATTGATCAACTACCAGGTGGACCCGCAAACCAGGCCATCAAACATTGGGCCGCCATTTACGGGCCACTTCCGCATCACGGCCGACACACCACGGGGTCTACAGCCCTTCCAGCCTGGGCCCAACACCTTCACTACTCCTGGCAAACCACACCCCTCAACTGATCGGGCAAAGTCCGCAACTCCAGCAACCAAAGCGGACCTCAACGTTGAACTTCGGCGCAACGTCTACGATGAGAAGGGGAAGGAGCTCAAAGCAAAAGAGGACGCCGACAAGCAAGCCAATGGTGACGCCAATGGCGCCTCGTCTGCCGAAGCCGCCACTAAGGCCATGGACGAGGCTGCGAAGGAGCCAAAGAAGACCTTCAACTGCTACTCATGCGGCATCGATTGCACAAGAAGTCGCTTCCACTATGCCAAAACCGACGGTGCCACAAGTACAACGAAACCAGACGAGCTCAAATACGATTTATGCCCGAATTGCTACTTCCAATCACGGATGCCCAGCTCTCACCGCTCCTCAGATTTCGTCAAGATGGAGGATACGACATATAGCGGTATTCCCGACAAGGATGCCCCGTGGACAGATGGCGAGACACTCCTCCTACTGGAGGGCCTGGAGGCCTTTGATAACGACTGGACCGCTGTCTCGAAGCATGTTGGTACTCGGACGAGGGAGGAGTGCGTCATGAAATTCCTGCAGTTGGACATCCAGGACCAGTATCTTGAAGACGGTATTCAGAACGGGTCCACCAGTCTACGCACTCTCGGTGGCCGGGAGCCTATCAATCAAGCCGAGAACCCAGTCATGTCGGTCGTCAGCTTTCTCGCCCAGCTTGCAGATCCCAAAGTGGTAGCTGCTGCATCTTCACGCTCAACAGAGCAGATCGTCAACGAGATTAGGGGTGGTCTAGAGAGGGGCCAAGGGGACGCAACCGCGTCTGGCAAAGAGCAAGACAAGGATAAGGCTGTCAAAGCGGAAGGCCAGGCAGACGACTCGATGGAAGTGGATGGAGAATCACGACCCACCGCCACCAGCGGCACCCGCCCATCCCCAGAGAGCGAACTTGCCACCATCGGCCTCGCGACTTCTGCCTCGCGCGCCGCCGGCCTGGCTAGCATGGAAGAGCGCGAGCTTACACGCCTCGTAGGCGCTGCCGTCAACCTCACGCTTCAAAAATTCGAGCTCAAGCTCCAGCAGTTTGCCGAAATGGAAGAAATCGTGCAGGCCGAGCGCCGGGATCTCGAGAAGGGTCGGCAGCAGCTGTTCCTGGACCGGCTGGCTTTCAAGAAGCGCGTCATCGACATGGACAAGGCCATGAAGACCGCATCCATCAAGTCGCCTGAGGAGGGCATGCGCTTGATGCAGGAAGTCTTTGGCAACCAGTCCAAGGGCTATGTTTTTGGCGGCAGCGGCAAGGATGATGACGGCGTTCAGCCGCCTAGTGCGGAAGGCGGCGAAGGCTTCAAGAGGATAGAGGTCTAGAAATGCCTACGACGCCTACACGTCGGATGAGGACATGAGATGGACGACGACGCGTACGTTGATACGGCGTACTTCCGGTGGTGGTGCACGGATGGACAAGAATTATCGGCGCTATCGACAGCGATCAAAGTTTCCTGCGGTACAAGCGGTGGAATGGCAATGTCGCCAAAGTGGATATCCCGGCCCGCTGTCGCTCCTGGCTGGAGACGACGGGGTTTTCATGTCGAGTGTTAGTATTTTTCTTTGGATGCTGCCGGGTCAAGAGCACTTCAGAGGACGGAAGGAGTTTTCCCTTTTTCATCAGACTTTTGTTATAACCTTGAAAGGCATCGTGATGCGGACGGGGAGCTCAAGCTAAAGCACGGGGAAAAGAGATGGGCCCTGGCGTCACCTCGTTCAAATGTAGCAATACCAAACAAAGCCATGATGGATTTTACAAAAAAAAAAAACTCGTCTTCACTTCGGCCGAGTAGTCGCTGGTTTTGACATTTCTTGACATACGTACGATGATATCTCTAGTCCTCGCCATACAGCACCTCACAAACACCCCCCAACGGCACATCCATGACGCCATCGGTCCCCTGGTTCCAGATCTGCTTCCAGCTCAGATCCATGCCGCGGTCCCCGTTGCCCGGGCCATACAAGCTGACATACGTCAGCCAGTCCTCCTCCAGATCCGACAGCTCGATGGCACCGCCCTTGCGTTTCTCGCGCTCGCGCTCCTTCTGCTTCTTGGCCGCCCGGCCCTTGGCGGCCTTGCGGCCCCAGCTGGCGTTCCGTCGCTCTTGGTCGAGGGCGCGCCGCAGCTCCACCTCGCGCACTAGGCGTTTGCTGCCGCCCTTGCGGATGCGGCCGCGCTCGTCGAGCACGGCGACGTTGGCGGCGTCGTCGACCATGCATTCGACGCTGGAGAGGCTGAGCGTGAGGTACTCGACGTTGAAGCTTAGGAGGGCCACGTAGATCCAGACGAGGAGCATGACGATCCAGGCAGGGATCGCGAGGGACCACCACCGGTTCGGGTAGTAGGTGATGCCTAGGGCGTGGAGGAATGGTGAGGGCAGGTATGACCATAGGATGTACATTAGGAAGGCGAGTGAGGAGGCTAGATATAGCACAAAGCCGTAGTACTCGTAGGTGGGAACTTTGGGTGAGGCGGGCGGCAGTGGATGGGCGCGTCGAGCTGAGTGCGCAACGGCTGCTTCGGTGTCGAGGGGTGTTTCGACATCGGAGGAGTCTGGTGTGGTGGGCCGTGTGCTCGTGGTAGAGCGATTGAGGATTGACGGCGGCCGGAGCAGCGATGTCAGAGATGGCGACGGGGGCAAAGGTGTGGGTGGACGATTGTAAAAGGGAGGATATAGCGGAGGCGGTGGCGGAGGGGCCCTCAGCGAGACCGTGGACTGCGAGTGTGGGAGAGTCGGGCGTTGGAGGCCTGGAGAGGTGCCGGAGAGTGGGAGCGAGGTGACACGCTGGAGGCGGTCGGGATTGATATTGCTGAAGGCAGCGGACCCGTTGTTCAAGGTCGGATCTTCATCGTCTTCTCCCTCGTCGTCTTCAGATGAGGCGGGCGAGTTGCGAGAGTAGTGTTGTTGAAACTCCTCTTCGTTCTCGCCCAGTGACTCGTCGTCGCCGATGTCCACACCATCGTCGTCCGCATCTTCAGGATCTACTGCTGACGGATGCAAAGGCGTCGGGGTAGCGGAGGCATCGCGGTCGATCGAAGAGGCGAACCGTCGAGCAGTCGGGGTAGGTAGGTCTGTAACGTGGGTATCTAGAGGGGGCAGTTTATCGAGGTACGGTCGTAGGGTTGGTGGTTGTGATGCAGATTCGTCGAGTGAACCCTCCGGCCTGCTCTCGTCCGAAGAGCCTCTGCTGGGAGCCATAGTACCGTAACGGCACTCTGTAGGACATCATGATCTGCTTCTGTCGCTGGCTTTGGAGCGACGTCGTTGAACCCAAATGCGCGCACGCGTTGATTGGACGGGTCTTCCGGAGACTCTTGGCGCCAAGGACAAAATGGTTCACTTCCGCGGCTGCCCGCTCTGTCCGCAGACCTCTGCATCCTCTCCTTCAACACTTCTCTCCTGAATTACGGAAGTACATCTCATGGCCCGCTCCAAGCAATGTGAAAGGCACTACAATCTCTACCACGCCATGTGAGGTATGCCAATGCTCTTGACAAATAACAATACTCTGGGCAGAAGACATATAAGACTTTGAAGAATGCAGTTCCTCCTTGGCGATGCTCTAGCTTTACTCCGCCTCAATCACATTGAGATCCTTTCCGCTCCAGATCGACGCTATACGCTCAATGCGGCAGGTGACAGATGCAAGGCTAGTCAATCTGGATTAGCTCGATGCCTGACCGACGTTGTTGTTCCTGCTTTTTCTGCTGTGCCTCGTCAGTCTTGTCCAAATCAAGCCGTTGTGTGACGGAAGAGGAAAGCTAACGCTGATCTCAGATCCCTCGGCTCTGCGCAAGGGTCACGACTCTATGTTGTTAGCTCCAGGCCGATGCGCCCATACCCCAATCAGCAGCACCGTTGACCACTAGCTCGCGCGCATGGGTATTCTCTGCTATCCCATCCCGCATTCACATCCGGGTTTACTCGTTCCCGGGTACCTTTCTGGCAAACACGGGTCAGGTGCTCGTGGAGTGTCTCACTGTTAGCTTATTGGCGTTGAACGACAACAAGACGTTAGAGCTTGAGCTACTCTCTACGATGAGGCGCAGGCCTTCGGTCGGTAGCCTTGGGTTTGAGAGCTCTCACCTTAGCGCACGTCACACACAGCAGAGCTCTGTCGTCGGAAGGATGCATTCCGGGAAGTTGCTCATTTCCTTTCCTCCTGGCACAGATACATAAAAGGGCCTCCCCTCGGTTGGTAGCAGATGGTTTGTTCTCTCACAGGTCAACGACATCAAGATCATTACAGACAACTCACTCGTTCTTATCACAATCTTTACACAGCTACCAATCAACAGCTCTCAAGATGAAGTTCTTCGCTACCTGTGCTGCCCTCGCGGCCCTCCCCATCGCCTTCGCTGCCCCCAGCACTGGCAAGTCCTGCCCGGTCGCTAAGCCCAAGCCCGGCCACGGCAAGGGTGACCTTAAGGACTTCCCCTTCTGCTTCACCTCCACCTACCAGATCGTGGCGACCCCAGATCAGGTTGTGAACGCCAACAACACCGCCACCCCAGGTGAGCCAGGTGCTATTGGTTACTACAACTACGGCATCCAGTCCGAGATGGACCTCATCTGCTGGGTAAGCTCCCCCAACTCCTTTTCTTTTCCACCTTCAATGTCCACTAACAGCTTCTTCAGCACATCACCCTCAAGGGCGTTACCGGCCCCTACCAATCCCCCGCCAGAACCGCCACCCACATCCACCAAGCCAACAAGGGCATGAACGGTCCCCCCCGTATCGCTTTCCCCAACCCCGAGCCCGCCGACACTGGCGCCGACACCGTCAAGGTCTCCATGGGCTGCATGGTCGGTCCCTTCACCACCGGTGTCCTGGCCAACGGCACCGACACCGGCGCCGGCTTCACCGTCAAGCAGATCGAGGAGAACCCATCCAACTTCTTCACCGATGCGCACACCACCACCTACGTGGCCGGTGTCGTGCGTGGTCAGATGGACCAGTAAATGTGTGTGTGTTTGCCGCACTTGTTGGAAAAGGGGCCGTTTCATGCCGTCCTACAATAGTAGCAGAGGAAGAAGGAGTTTTCTCGTACATAATTCTAATTACGGACTGATGGGTTTAATGGTCCACCACCCGTCGTCAAATCGTAATGTACTATTCACATCTCTGGTCCATGAACACGGGAAGGAAGCCTTCCTCCATCTCAAAAAAAGTCATGTTTGTCCCGAGAAGAGAGAGTCTAGACGTGACAAACAGCGATCCACATTCAGCGGCTTCCATCAGTCGTTCCACAGTAGATCAATTTCCTCAATGTTTACTTGGCGCACGCTTTTGAGGTGAGCATGCAAGTGCCCGCGCGTCTTGTCTCCATTCCAATGTGTCCAAGCTGCCAAGCCGCTCGCAGACTTGACTGGATATATACCCCTGGCTCTATCCACCAGGAGTCAACAAGATTGACGGACACGCTGCCCAAACTCACAACAGACCAACGCCCAGAAAGTCTCTGCTGAGAGGCTCGTGGGCAGTCTAGCCGTGCAATTTCGTCGACCCCTGCACCCTGGACCCTGGTGCTCATCCCGCAGCCTGGCCCTCCTCCTCTTACCCCCTACCCTATCCCATCTCCCATTCCCTCCCCTTCCAACCTCACAACCCTCTCAAAACTTACTGACATCAAACTCCTCCTCCCCCCTCGGCCCCGGCAACGAGCTCTTCCCCCTCCTCACAAACTCCCCATACCCCTTCCTCCCCACCAACCCGTCCCCGTCCCTATCCCACACGACCTCCCCCCTCAAAACCGTATACCTCGGCCAATTCGTGACCTCGCGTCCCTCAAACGGCGTGTAATCCACATTATGATGCAGCATGCCATTCGTGACTCCCTCCTTGATCCTGCCCTCGGGGTACCAGATCACCAAGTCTGCGTCGCTGACGCCCGGCAAGACGGCGCCTTTGCGGGGGTACAGCCCGTAGAGCTTGGCGGCGTTGGTGGCGGTGACCTCGACGAATTTGGTCATGGGGAGCTTGTTGGCGCTCATGGTGAGAGGGAGCCGCGTTTCGATGCCGGGGATGCCGTTGGGGATGCCGGCGAAGCGGCCGACGGGGTGCTCGGGGGAGAGGATGCTCTTCTTGCCCTTTTCTTTGTCTTCGTACTGGAGAGGGTGCTGGGTTAGAATTGGTGTCGGATTGCAAAGGGGGAAGGAGTGTCTTGGAGAGGGAGAGGGAAAAGGCGGAAAGCCAGAGAGGTAGCTGTGACTAGGGGCGCAGGTCGAATGCAACCCAAGTCGTCACGAAGCGCTTCTCTGGTCGTCTGGAGATATGTAGAGTATGCTCAGAAAACTTACCATGAACGGGCAGTGATCCGAGCTCAGCACAGTGAAGGTCCCGTTGCGTAAGCCCAACCAGATGCCCTCGTGATCCTCCACCCCGTCTCGCGGCGGCGGGCTACACACACATTTGGCGCCCTCAAACCCATGATCCCCCGTCTTGGCCATATCCGCCCGCGTCAAGAACAAGTACTGCGGACACGTCTCGGCATAGACGGGCAAGCCCCTCGTCTGGCTCTCGCGGATATGTTTGGCCGCACTCGGACTGCTCACATGCACGATCAAAATCGGCGCGTCCATGAGCTCGGCGAGGGCGATGGCGCGGTTCGTGGCCTCGGTCTCGACGATCTGCGGGCGGCTGGTGGCGTGGTAGACGGGCGCGAAGAGCTGGCGTTCCTCGAGCTTGCGCGTCATCCAGTTGAGGACGTCGCCGTTCTCGGCGTGGATCATGGTCGTGATGCCGTGGGCGCGCGAGGTGTAGAGGACGTCGAGGATCTGGTCGTCGCGCAGCTGCAGGGCTTCGTAGGTCATGTAGATCTTCAGCGAGGTGATGCCTTCTTGCACGAGTTGGGGGAATTCGCTGAGGGCGGTGGGGTTGGGGCTACCGACGAGCATGTGGAAAGAGTAGTCGGCGTAGCAGTTGCCGGCCGCGCGGGAATGGCAGTCCTTGAGCACCTCCAGGAGGCTGGGCATGTATTTGGCCTGAGGGGCGAAGGCGACGATGGTGGTGGTGCCGCCGCAGATGGCGGAACGGGTGCCGGTTTCGAAGGTGTCGCTGGATCGGCCTTTGCCGCCGAAGAGCGGTGGCTCTTCCAAGTGGACGTGGGTGTCTATGCCGCCTGGTGTGACGTAGGCGCCTTCGGCGTCGATGACCTTGGCTGCTTTGCTGGTGTCGAGGACGCCATGAGGGGCGAGCAGTGAGATCTTGCCGGCCTTGATGGCGACATCCAGTGGGGCGATATCGGAGGCGGTGGCGAGCAGGCCGTTGGTAATGATGAGGTCAAAGTCCATGACAATAGTGGTCGTGTGCCGGTCTCACACTGTGCTCACAGAGTCGATTGGGTCTGAGGTGTAGTGCTGGTGTGGCCGTGGGCAATGCCCTTGGGGACAGGACAAGGCTGGCACGGAACAGGGGCAAGCGGATCACAAGGCAGTCAAATATGATCACCTCAAATTGGCGACTGTTCCAGCCGACAGCACTGAACTGTTCGTTTAAGGATAAGATCTGGCAGTGAACATACTGTAGCCACCCGAGGCCGCGGCTAGCTTCAAGCTCGACGTCGACGTCGGCCAGCACGACATTCGCCGATAGCAGTCCCATCGCTGAACTCCGCCGGCGGCGAAGGCCGCCAAGAGCATCAGGCAGTGGATGCGGAGGGGAACGGGCAACGGCGATAGGGTCATTGCTTATCAGTATGCCATCTTCCTAGTATCATCATTGGCTGGTCGCTGTCCCCGTTTCCGTCTCTGGGGTCTGGCGAACGTGCTTTGGCCGCGCTGGATAGTCAATAGTGGGGATCAGGTTGCCTCGAGGCCGCATCGAGTCCGCATTGCGTAGCGTGAGATGTAGCATCGCGGACATCAGAGTGGCTGCGAGTATAGACCGAGATGAAGAGGGCATATACCTCGATCTGGTCCGCTTTTGTGAGTTGGTAGCCTCCTGAGGTATACCGGACGGCTGGTCTCGCCCGGCAACCCACTTGAACCGGCTTTGTTACATATCTAACTGTTTTTAACACAACTGTGCCACTAGAGGCAATCCTTTGAGGTCTTAAGCCAGCTCACTTGGCACTGTTGCGAACGTCAAGAGCCCCGAAGCAACCCACCCAGGATGGACACCATCAGTACCGACGTCCTCATCGTCGGCGCCGGCCCCGTCGGCCTTACCCTCGCCTACCAACTCCGCCTCTTCTCCCTCCCCGCCACACCCTCCTCACCAACACCACCCACCTACGCCCCCATCTCCGTACACCTCATCGAAGCGCACCCTAAACCCCAACAGGACAACTTTGGCCGCGCCGTAACCTTCTGGCCACGCTCCATGGAACTCCTGTCCGCCATCGGCCTGGGCGACGCCATCGAGCAGCAGTGCTATGCGGTGCGGCACTCGGCCGCCTACGACGCCAAGGGCCAGGAGCGCAAGGAGCACGGTGCCTGGGGTTTCATTGAGGGCATCAGTGATACGCGGTACCGGTTTGCGTCGGTGCTGCGCCAGAAGTATGTGGAGGAGATTATGCGGGGAAAGGGGGCGGAGGTCGGGGTGCAGGTGCATTCGCCGCACGTGTTTGAGGGGCTGGAGGTGGACGAAGCGGTGCCGGTGGGGCAGATGGGAAGGGTCGTTGCGACGGTGAGGGATAACAGTGGTGTTGGGAACGGGGGAGAGGGGAGGGTGTATAAGGTGAGGTGTCGGTATTTGATTGGATGTGATGGGAGCAGGACAAAGGTGAGGGGCGCGGCGGGTATCGAGAGCGAGGGATCTAGGACGGAAGACAAATGGGTTCGTGTCGATGGCGTGCTGGAGAGCACGACGATGCCAAAGCCAAGGTGTGAGTACTCGGCTGCCCTCTGCTGACATCCTACCTTTGTCAAGACACATATCTGATCAAATCCGCTAACACCCACACAGGCTACGGCGCCATAGAATCACCGCTCTACGGCAACGTCCTCTGGATCCCCCTCGACCACGGCGCCACGCGTCTGGGCTACAAATTCGACCCCGCCCGACAGGCGCTCTACACCGACTCCAACCTCACCGAACGCGACATCTTCATCCGCGAGTCCGAGCTGTGTGTGCAGCCCTTCGCCCTCAAATGGAAGCAGGTCGACTGGGCCAGCGTCTACGCCGTGGGCCAGCGCGTCGCCAAGTCCTTCTTCGCACACCAGGCCGTCTTTCTGGCGGGCGACAGCTGCCACACGCACTCCTCCGGCGCAGGCCAAGGCATGAACGCGGGCGTCAATGACGCCGCCAACTTGGGCTGGAAACTGGCCCTGGTCTTGACGGGCCGTGCGAAGCCGGAGTTGCTGGATACGTATAATGCGGAGAGGCAGGTGCTGGCGGAGAAGTTGATTCGGTACGACGAAGGTATCAGCGAGCTGGTGTCCGGGAGGATACCAAAGGGGAAGGAGTGGGCGAAGTATGCTGATCAGAAAGATCCAAACGTCGTGCTGGGGAGGGTGTTGATGGAGGCGAAGGGGTTCAATACTGGGCTGACGCTCGGATATGGGCAGAATGCTGCAGTGTGGAAGGAAGAACGGAAATTGTCAGGCGGAGGGATCGAAGCAGAGGTAGTGGTACCGGCGCCCGCCAGGCCGGGGTTGAGGGCGCCAGACGTGAAAGTGCTGGTACCTGCGTTGTGGGAGGAATGCTGGTTGCTGAAATGTATGCCAAACCGAGCGCATCTCTATGTGTTGACCTTCCTCGGGAAGGGAAGCCAGGCGAAATTGCATCTGAAAGAGTTCAAAGAAGACGTGGAAAGACGGCTTCAGCAAAGATCTGCCGGCGTCCATGGTCACACCAGCTGCAATGGTGCACTTACCAATGGCGGCATCAAGCCTACCGGCGAGCTGCCCGTAAAGTATCTGACCATCCTTCCGGAAGCTGTGGACAATGGCTGGCACGAGCTTGGCTTCGATCCGCTAGGTGCCACATATTACGACAACGCCGGCCAGGCTGGTAGGCGCTACGAGATTGATGTCGACAATGGCACTGTCTTTGTCATTCGCCCGGATGGGTGGATCGGTGCCCGAATGGATCTCAGCACAGGGAAAGCTGCTGCTGATGTGACTCGATACCTAGAAGGACTGCTAATTTGCTAGATGTCAGCGGACATGGTAGATTGTGTGAACAAAGTGCTTCTTGAACGACCTTTTCTTTGTCTATCAAATTCGTGTTTCATTTCGTTTTGGGGAGACGATCTTCTGGCATCGCAAGATTGGGCAAGGCCTTGGGACATGGCGGCAGAGTCGCGATGGCCGTTGCTCATTGATGGCTGTGCAGGGCGATTTGCTCTGCCAAGTCCAACGAAATTCCAGTTCTTCTTTCGCTTGCTATGCTATGCAGGACATTCAATTCGTGACGGATGTGACCAGGACGCCAACAAGAAGTTGGCTGTCCAGATGATGCTGCAATGAGAGGACAGCTTGTCGCACCTTCAAAGTGCTTCGTCGTAACGGCTCCTGATTCCTTGCTGCTACCTCAGCTGGCGAGAAGATACATGCCTCATCTCATAATCTCGTGCCAGATCAGGCCCTTCAGCTCCTCCTTGCTCAACTGCTCCTTGTTGCGGTCAAAGTCGAAGAACTCCTCGGGAATCGGCTCGGCAGTCGGCTCATCCTCCGGATCATGATACGGCTCGAGGTAAGGGTGCTTCAAGGCCTCCTCGACAGTGATGCGCTTGACCGGGTTGAAAGCCAGCAACTTCTCCAGGAGATCCAGGGCCACCTCGCTCGATTTGGGGAAGATAAGCTTGAGAGGGATCTTCTTCTTGAAAGGTAAGGAGCGAATATACTCGCGAGCGCGACGGGACTTGATGCCATAGTAATCCTCCATCGTAGGTGTGCCAAGAACATCAAGGATCAAAGTCAGCTGGTGATGGTCTGAAGTGGGTCAGCACGTGTTAGAAACGATCCGGGTCAAACGTACAGTCTTTGCCAGGGAACAGGGGCTTGCCGTTCAACATCTCGGCGAGAATACATCCCACAGACCAAACATCGATGGCCTTGGTGTACTCTTTGAAAGTTAACATGATCTCGGGCGCACGATACCAGCGGGTGGCGACATATTCGGTCATGAATCCTGAGTTGTCGTCGGTGCTGGCGGCGGAACGGGCAAGGCCGAAGTCGCATACCTTTAGGTCGCAGTTGGCATTAAGCAATAGGTTGGACGGTTTGAGGTCGCGGTGCAGAACATTAGCAGAGTGCATGGCTTTGAGCGCACGCAGAGTTTGGTAGATGAAGTACTGGCAGTGATCGTCGGAAAGATCCTGAGTGCGAATAACACGATGCATATCGGTCTCCATGAGCTCCTAACACATCGTTAGCGTTATTCGTGATAGATACCAGTAATGATACGCACCTGGATTAAGTAAACCTCATTGAAGGTTTCGTAGTTACGGGGCTTCTGGATGTCGAGTATGGAGATGATGTTCTCGTGGTTGAAGTATCTCAGCAGCTTCATCTCTCGGAGCGTTCTCAAGCAGAACATGGAGTGGTCGAAAGGCGTAATCTTCTTGATAGCCACCTTCTGACCAGAGGGCTTGTGTAGCGCCGAACTATGGGACGTGTAAGCAGGAGTTGTGAGGACACTGCGCACGGGACCTACCAAACCACGCCGTAGGCACCCTCGCCAATCACATCCTGAATATCATACTGGTCGGACACGTTGAATGAGATCTTGCGGGAGCCACCGTTGTTGGTGGAAGCAGGTTGTGATTGAGCCATGGTTGCAACACCAATGTTCTTGCACCTGTAGCTGCGGATGGGGGAGCAGGAGAGCGAATGCTATGCGGCTCTGGCTCGTGGTCGCTGGCCAGCAGCCTCTGGGGGTCCACAAAGATCGTAATTAGGATGTCGGACAGCCTCGGCGGTGAGAGCCTCAATTATGCAGCGCTAGACGGTATGTTGAGAGTTGGGAGTAAGCGTCAGGTCGAACAGGAGCGCAGTCGAGAGCGTGAAGGAATGTGTGGTTCTTGTGGACAATAGAAATCGAAGCTTGCGCTGCGAAAACAATCCAAGCTCTTGTCACCTGTCCTGAAGCGGGTGTGGAAGCTTGAGGGTACAAAGACAACAACGGTGGAGTTTCGGATTCGGTCGATGTTCCAGACAAGGCGCGCAGATCAGGTAGGATGGTCGCCAATGTTGCAGCAGACGAATCTGCGACTTTGTCTTCGAGTTTGTGATCTAGAAGCGGGCACGAGTCGTGCAAAGGAATATCGTAGCGAAGAGGGAGCGAGGTGGTGCGAGAGGTGAAGCGAGGGCAGTTTCGAAGCCAATGGTGGGGTTGGAGGCTGTGGGCGCTGGCGGCGGCGGTCGATGAAATGCGCTTGGACTGCAAACACAAGCTTGGGCGTGATCTTTGGTCGTCAAATGTACAATGAGGCAAAATAGAAAAGGAGAACAATGACTGAAGACGGACCGAACAATTGTGTCTGGATGCGCGAGTTGTGGCCTACGATACTCTCGACTTGTTGCAACACGTGCCGGCCGAAAGTCAAAGAGGGGGGGGGTTACGAGGTGCCGGAGAGAATCGACGAAAAGGTTTAGGCTTGTTCTGAAGCGCCCGTCGCAGCCTCGCCTCCTCAGCCTGTTGACAGCACTGCAATCTTGAAGATTCCCGCGAATGGTGGTTGGGTAGGGTGCTCTAAGCGCCAGGATTGGATGAGCACCGTCGAAGCATGCTAGAGCCTAGAGCTGGCAGCTCGCACAGCTCCGCCGGCTGTTTGAGGTGTCCTTGCTTGACCAATGTTTCATCTTTTTGGGGGGCGTTGCAAGCGCCCGGGAGGGAATCCGCTAGCTCGTGTCTCCGTGATTCACCAATGCTCCAGCCATCGCTTCTACGGAGTACATATCATCACATCGCAAACTACCGAGCCCTGGAAGTTATTCTTGCTGCCCGCCGGGCTGTGCTAAGATCCCATCAATAGAATGCTGTGTTCTAAACATGGCATAGCTATGTTCCATGTATCTGGCTCTCGTCGGCTACAACTACTGCATGACCTGAGGAGCCCAAATTAGCAATTGTTCGAGAAGACTTGCGCCGCACTAGAAGCTCACCTTTTCTCTCATCATGCCCATCCACTGTTGGAGGCTGACACCCTGGTCCGCCCGGTCTTCCACGAGCATCGTCTGGGCCCACAGACGCAAACCCGGTTCACCGTCTTCCTTCACAACGTAGAGGTGCGGTACAATAATCGAACCAACACCCTTGGCTTTATGATCCCGGCTCTTGCTAATGACTGCTCGCACCCTCTCGTTGAAGTCGTTGTCCAATTCAGGCAACCGTTGTTTGCCGACCTTGAGTTGTGTCTTGTCCGCTAGACCGAACACATCCGTGACCAGCTGAGGTACCGCATCCCTGCCGACCCACATGAACTGCGTCTGCCCGTCGTCGATCAGATATAAGCCGTATGGCACCAACCGCTCCGAGGATAGGTTGATAGGTGGGGGTAGAATGATTTCGCCCGTCTTCTCATCCACGGTGCCTGCATCATCCGGCATGTCGTGGAGCGAGAACATCTTGGGGTAGATGTACTGAATCAGGAGAGGTAGCGGCAGAGTTGACAACAAACACAATGCGGCTGAACGCATGTCACTTGGAATCTGAGATGACTTGCGGAGGCCCAGGTTCTTGGTCAGCGCAAGGAACAGGATGGGGAGACCGCGAAGATTAAGTGGGAATTGCAGACCGCCGCCACCCATGCTGCCTCCAGCGAGCTCCTTCTTGTAGGTCGAAAGCAGCTCGACAAGCTTCGCTTGGATCGAGTCGCGTGCACTCTCGAGTCCTCCGTTGAGCGCTCGCTCCACCGCCTTGTGGCTGAAGTATGTGGTGATGGCCTGCTGATCCGCTGATGCGTAGACGTCTGCTAGCTGCTGAGTCGTTGGAAGAGCCAAGGTCATGACACGAATGCGGCGCTCACCGTTGCAGGTGGTGTGCAAGACAGCCGTCTGCATGCAAGCAACCGGCTTGGTGATGGTCTCATCGATCGCTACTTCAACCACATAAGCTTGGTCACGCGGAAATGCTGGAAAGGCGCAAAGGTCCGAACTACGGTTGAAGAAATTGCCGTAGAAGGTGTTCATTCTCAACCCGGTCGTGGCACGGACACGTAGAACTGCTTCGAGACCAATCTCAGCAGACAGGTAGTCAGAGAACTCCTTGGCAAACTTCATCGCATCATCTTCCCTGGCGGCGTTCCAGCCCGGGTAGAAAAATGTCTGCCCACCAGTGTATCTTGGTAGACAACTCAACGAAGCCACATCTTGGTACTGTGACGAGAACAGGAACATGTCGACGGAAATTTGCTGCTTGGAGCATTCCACGGCGAAGCTCTTGTAGAAGCTGTTGGAGGTACCCAATAAGCTGCTCTCCTTGGAAGTGCCGAGCAATTTCTTGTCCTCCCGCATCTCGAGCCGTCCGCTGCCGATATTGGGCAAGGACGCAGTGACCACAGTCATCTTACCTCCAACCGGACCAATGAGCTTGTGGCCTGATCGAAGTGCAGATCCCATAGCCGAAGCACCGTTTTGAGTATTCGCAAACATTTCTTGCAACTTGTCAAGGAAGTTCTCGATGTTTTCCCGTGCCTCGGTTAGGGTGACTAGAAGGTCCGCCGGGGTGGGCAAGAATGGCTCATCCAGGTCCGAGACAACAAGCATACTCGTATCAGCATTCTCTGTGCCGTCCCTTGGGATGTTGAAGAAGTGTAGACTCGAATCGACAGCTATGAACCCAAGTCTCGTTCTCCGATCGGCATTCGGTATTCGGTCCAAGCTCTCGCGTATACATCTGGCAGCTGTAGCAAGCAGACCGCTGGTGACCGACGCATAGCTGACATCGATAAGGAAGAGATAGACCAGTGGCTGGGGTGACCGAACCATATACTCTTGTGGCGCAATAAATTCGACTACTGCATGGTTCAAATCTGGACGTTGCCACCTATCCAGACCTTTCTGAGTTGTGGCGTCCCAATCGAAAGCCTGGGGAACATCGTTGGTTAAGCTGCACATGTTGCATCTCCATCTGTGTCCGTGGTCAAGGAACGTAACGAACGGATTGATGTATGAGCGGCATCTCCGACATCTCGAAATGACTTGGTCGGGAACGACGGGGACGGGGTCTTCGTTGTCATGTAGCGAAGTATATGGTTGAATGACGAGCGCGAAGGGGAGCTTCGACTTTTTCAGAAGAGAATGTGTGGTAGGAATAGCATTGAGCGTCGAACGAACATACTTCGGCGGGCAGTTCGCATGAGGGGACGGTGTCACGCTCGTCTGGGAGATGTTAGCTGGGAGGAGTTTGTGAGCGCCGTCGAGCACTTACATTAGGTGGGAGGACTGCGGGAGGCGGTAGGTAGTCCAACTCGGCCACATTAAAGGGACTGTTGGAAAGATCGGCAGGGTACAGTTGGTTCAATTGGGGTGCTTTCACCTGTTGCTGAGGCGGCGGAGGCTGGTTCATGTTCATCTGGCCAAACTGTTGTGTCATTCCGGGAACACCCCCCTGCGGCTGGGTTGGGTAGGCGGGTTGAGGAGGCTGATAACCTCCAGGTGCGCCCGCATCCTGCTGTCCGTACATAGGCGTCTGACCTTGCTGAACAGCGGCAGGGTTTTGTTGATAGCCACCCTGGGGGTACCCCGCCGCATCCTGCTGTGCCGAGTAGCCACTGTAGGGGGCAGCTGGGGCGCCGCCACCAGTCTGTTGCCCACCGAGACCAGCATTCGCTCCTGCACCAAATTCATATGCTTGACCGGCGTATGCACGCTTCTTTCGGCCACCAGCAGCGGGAGGGCCGGTGGGTGGTCCGGGAGGGACACCTGGGGGAGACTGGGTTTCGTAGTTTTCGTACGACTGGCCCGGCGGCACAGCTTGGCCATACCCATCTTGTCCACCAGGCGGAATCTGCTGGGAATATTGTTGCGACATCTTGCGATCGCTCGGCTCGACTACCAGATGCTCGGAGGCAGAAAGGGACAGGAGGAGCTAAGTGGTGGTGTTGGAGAGGAGGGTTGTGTGCACACAAAGATCACCTTCCAGCGTTATGAGAGATGGCGAAGAAGCAGATCGAAGCGGTCGGACGAAAACCTCATGCTTATCCAGACATCGCTGCGGAAGCTACAGTGGCAATGCAAGGTGTTATATGTGTGTACGGCTACCTGTCACTCTGGCCAGAGTGCATTAATCCACCGCCGCCCACCTGTGGGAGCAACAATCAGACCAATCAGAGGATCCGGCACATGCCAAGCCATGAACGAGGCTGAATGTCCCACCTGCACCATCGCTTTTACTTGAGTACAACCCTCGGTGACCTCTGAGGTGGGTAGGTACCTGGCTGGTGAGTCCTCAGACTACTCTATGTGTCTGTTGTCAAGGAGTGAAGTTATCTTTTTCAAGGACTCTAGCAATTATTCGTCCTACTAGCAGCACAGTCAAACCTAGCTAAGGTCGTCCTCCATCGAGATAGAGAGATATCGAAGGTATATCATCGATCTCAGGTCTTTGTTCACAGTACCATGCAATGCCACGTCTCCCATATTCGGCCCATCCAAGAATTTTGTCTCCTCTGGAACTTCTTCATCCAGAATCGTCGAAACCTTCGAGATTGGATACCAGAATGTTGATTTCATTCCGAATCCTCCTGCACCTCGGTAAGGCTTTAGACGAAGCGACACGACGTGTGTCGCTGGAGGAACGTGTGGCTCTAGTGGATCACATGGAAATTGGTAGCTCATCGACATTGTGGGTGGGTCTTGTTCCCAATGGCTCAATAAGTCCTTCCTCTGATTGTTTGCGAGGATCCCTGGATGATAGTAAAAGGAGTATACCTGCAATCGGCGCTCACGAGCTACAGCTTGAATTGGCTCACTAACGTCACTGGGAGCGGCAAACTCCTCGAGCGCGATTAGCTGTTCTGCAAGGACCGCGAGCATTGTGCTGCTCCAGGGCCTAGGAATGGTTAGTAGGTTCACATCAAAATGCAGCTGAGTGGAACGCTGTCAAAGATAGCGCCAAAGGTTTATTTGAAACTGTGTTTCACGAGACGCATAGCGAGCATCCCGCTCTCCGATGCGCATCCTTTGGGAAGTACTAACCCTTCGAGCCGCCGGGCACGGTACATCAAGCGAACCGCTTGACGTCGGATACCCGGCTGCCGACATTTGATGGCGACGAACAAGAGCATGAGGTTCACCGCAGCATCTGGTGACCGGCGCGTATTGAGGCTACGAGGTTTGCTGCGTTTCAACTGGAGAAATTCGGTGCAGTGCGCAAGGATTTTCCGGAAGTCTTCGAGTTGAGCATCGTATTCAAGCTCATCATCCGTGGTGATAGCTACCAGCATTGCCCGCACGGCGTGGTAGTGACCCGCCAACAGATGATAACTTCGGGGGAGCTGTTGATTCTTCTGTGTCGACGTATGCATCCGCTCGTACCACTGATCAAGGAGCTCAATAAATCGGTAAGCTTCACCAAGACCGCTCTCGAGGACTGTGTTATGCGCCTCGGATATGTAGGCGTCCAGGAGCTGAAAAAACCTGGCGTGGATGTCGCTGGCATCTGCCAGCTCTTGTGAAGCAAGCTGCTTGAGGGAACTTTGCTGATGCACACAGGAGAACTTCCGGAACGAGTCGTTCACATCCAGACCCAGTTCGGCACAGAATCGAAAGAGGCTGGGCAGCAGGGTCTCCAACATCGGGCTAGTTGGAGAGGTGTGTCCTTTTGCCGGGATCAGATCTAGACTGCTGGAGATATTGAAGCCCGCCTTGGCATGTTGCCGTGCTTGGTGGTTGTTGCCGTGCCACAACTAATAGGAAACAGTGAGACTAAACAATAGCGATGATGTTGTTTCACTCACCTCGATTGCAATACACACCAGACAAGCGGCCAGCACTACAGCCATCTCAGAAGGATGCGCGATATCGCCAAGAAGGCCCCCTATCGCGATTTGATATTGGTCGAGACTGAACCTGTACCTCTGCAAAGCCAGACCAATCTGGTTGGGTTGCGTTCGCAGATGGAAGGCTTCATCAAGGCTGCTCAAAGAAACGATGAAGTGTTCGAGATACTTGCTGCCATGGCTCATTCGGAGCAGATTAGCTCCCCAGAAACCATCATCAACATAGCCGCGTAAGTCGTGAGCGGTATTCTCGCGGTAGAATTGAAAGCTCCTCAGCTCGTCGTTACTGAGAGAGATAGGAAGCGCGGTCGGCACAGGTCGCCATGCACACTCGAGACCAAGCTTCTGGCAGGCTGAGCAGCTTGGCTTCTTCTGGTCGCATCGAACACGGCGCTCCTTGCATCTAATTTGACTTTTAGTTGGGTCCATTGTTCAAGGCCTTTCCAAGTACCTATCGCAACCTGCCTTCGATTTAGTATGGTATCTTCTCCGCCGTAACCGAGGAATGGGCAAAGACATGTCGCCTCTGCCAGGAAGTCATGGCGAGCGCCAGGTCGAATCACCAGACCCGTTATTTGCGCATGCCGGAGGTCACATTCGACGGTAGCGAAGTGTTCTGCGAATGCGATGCCAGGCCAGGGGCTTGCTTAAGTCTCAGTAGCCAACCTGTTGTCCCTCCCTGAGCGGGTAGCTGTCTCTAAACCAGGGCTGAGAGCTGGTTGTCAGAAGTGGACCAGATTGGGCTGCGGCGTCCAATCACTTTCAAGGCGCACGCTCCTCTGCCCCGGCCGACGCAGACGCTGGCCAGCACAGTCAGCACTGCAACTGCCTGTCTTTCTGCCCCTGTCAATAAGGGCACCCAACCAGCGGCGACGCTTCTTTGAGCCCAGAATTAGATAATGGCGCTTAACCGACGACATTAATCTCCTCTTCGAGAATATGAACCAGGACGCATTTGACTCCGAGTCCGAGTCCGGGATGGGAGCAGGCCCAGTCTTTGGATTGCCGGAAACTCGGCGGAGATGCTCCCGACTTCAAATACACTTGTGCATGGTCACCATATCTGGCTGCCAGACGCAAACTTACTCCCTACGTCAAGGTAATGTATATAATGCCCTCAATCGCTCTCTGTAAATCTCACCCACCTACATCAAACATCTTACAACCAAATACATCAAATTGAAAACACGATATAACATCCCATGGCTGCGTACACCTCATCCGTCTTCGCCGCCACCTCGCTGGCGACAGCGATGTCCGGAACCTTCATCGGCTGTTCAATGACATTGTCATACATGTCAATCCCGTCGCTATTGCTACCGGCTGCAACGTCGTCGAAAGAAGCTAGAGCTCCCCTTTTGGACAATGCGAACCGTTCTTGGCAACTGCTTTATAACATCGGGAGTCGGGCAGGCCCACTGGCTGGTCTGGTGGGCTCAGTGGCATATGTGTATGCGTGGCGAGCACTTCCAGCGACTTCGACAACTGAGAAGCGTCTACTTCTCGCCGCAGCTGTTACGAACATGTTAGTGGGCCCGTTCACCATGATTTTCATGACAAGAACGAACAATGAATTGCACCGTCGCGCGAATGCGGCAAAATCCGGACAGGACGAGATTGAAGGACGGAAAGATGCAAATTCGGGCAGTATTGAGAGCTATGGATCGGTGGATCTGCTTCAACGATGGGCAAAGTTCAACGCCTTTCGCAGTGTTTTCCCGGCACTGGCTGTGGCTCTTACGGCATATGCATTCAGCCGCTAATTGGGACATATAAGAGTAAAATCGAGTGCAGAACGTGAGTTAGCAATAAGTACGGCTGTATAACATAATCAGATCCATATCACAACTCAGACTCTTTGATCTAGAAGAGTTTCATGTTCCAATCTTCTGGCATTCACCATCCAAGCGATGCTTGCTTATGATTGGTCAAAGCAGCATAATCACAGCCTCGTGGGGCCGATCCAAGGCTGGATGCCAAGATTTTACGTCCTTGGCGCTATCGATTGTGCGCGGCCCACACTCCTGCGAATTTCCAGACCTCCAGCCTACTCGACACTCTTTGACGACCAACGCAACCCTTCCCGTACCGTTTAGATTGCCAGAGACTCGAGTCTCCAGATACCGCAATCATGGGTGGTGTGACCGTTCGCGATGTCGATGTAAGTCGAGCCGAAATTTCCCATACCGAAGCCCTGTAAATGCGGGACGAAGCAGGACGAGAGGGAAACATGAACGACACCGAGAAGAGTAGTCCAGAAGCTGACTGTGATATCTCTACAGGCCCAAACTTTCATTAACGCCTATGCCGACTTCCTGAAGAGACAGGGAAAGCTGCAAATTCCTGGTTAGTCTTCCCGCACCCACGAGCATTGAAGACATATCCAAAGAGAAGGAGAGGGTCACCTCGCAAATCATTGCACCTGAGTCTGACTCGGTCGTCACTATTGCGCCGAACAAGCCGGCTGGGACTTTTTCCTGCCAGAGAACAACCGCCTAACTAACGTTTAATCCAGGCTGGGTCGATACCGTCAAGACTTCGCACAGCAACGAGCTCCCCCCCCAATCACCAGACTGGTTCTACGTCCGCGCCGCCGCCGTCGCGCGTCACATCTACCTAAGAAAGTCCGTCGGTGTCGGCCGCCTCCGCAAGGTGCATGGCAGCACCAAGAACCGCGGCTCGCGCCCCAACCACCACGTCGATGCCTCCGGCTCCGTCGACCGCAAAGCCGTTCAGGCGCTCGAGAAGCTGGGCATTGTCGAGAAGATCGATGACGATGAGGACACGGGCAAGGGCGGCCGGAGAATCACGCAGGCGGGCGCCAGAGATTTGGACCGGATTGCGATGACTGCTGTGGAGGAGGCCGATGACGAGGATGACGAGTAAGCGTTTTGAGAAGTGACAGCTTGATGATGCTGGGAGCGGCGGCATGAGACTGGCGTTTGAAAGTCACGGGGCTACGCGAGCGTCAAAAAAGGCACCAGAGGGCCGGAAAAGACGGTCCTGACGTGTTCTTTGAGCAGCAAAGTCGTGCGATGTGCTTCGCAGCATACAGAAACTGCTTGCGAGTGCGCCTAACGCACGAGATGATCCATTCCGGAGGTGGCAGGTCGCTGGCCATGAAGACAAGATTCTCCAAAAATCCCAAAGAACTTCTCCTAATGATCTTGGTCTCTGTGTCGTGCTCGCAACATGCAGGATCGCTCACCGTTAGAATCTCCTGAACCCGTGCACGATGGTCGATATTCGATATGTGGAACCTCTGTGGAACCTATCAAGATCATACGTGGAGAGCTACTGCCCTTGTGCCTGCCTGATAACCCTCACTTAGAGCTTGAAGAATTCCAGGCTGTGACGAACGATCAGTGACTCGACTAGACAGTAAGAGTGACGGGTAGAAGGCAACCACGCTGACTTCGCCACAAACAATTGACCAAAAACAAGATCTATCGAAGTTCTCTCATTGCCTATCCAGAGGAGGGTATCTTATGCATTCGTGAATTCGTAGGCCCGCAGGTCAGCCCCCAAACAACGCCGTGCTATGCAAATCGGCCAACCAAAAATCCTGGTGCCCTCCCAGGGACGCCCATGAGCGATCTGAGGCTAAGCCTCATCGAAGAACTCGTCCTTCTTCACCTCGTCCCCATTCACCTCGTCCCCATTCACCTCGTCCCCATTCACCTCGTCCTCGTCCTCCTCGTCTTCACCTCTCTCATACGCCTCTGTCGCCGCGATCAAGCTGTGGCCCGACGACCGGGGCGACCGCCGCGTCGGGGTGCTCGAGTCGCGGGTGCCACGGGGACCGCGGACCGGGGGTTGTGCTTGTGCTTGTGCTTGCGCCTCGACGAGGCGGCGCTCGGCGGCCAGCAGATCTTGGTCGGAGATCGAGTCCGAAGACTCACTGGTCGAGGCCGGGTGGTCGGGGCTGTCGTCCCGCGCGGGAACGAGGAAGGGGATGATTGGCCTGGGTCCGAATCTTCGCGGCGCAGCGTTCTGCTGCTGCGCGGGAGACAGGACTGCAGCCAGCATCTCGTCGGGGATACCGTCATCGCCGTAGTCGGTGGTGGTATGGGCAGTGCCGGAAGGGTTGTTCTCGGCGTGGTCATCGGCGAAACTAGTGTCGAAATCGTTGAGATCGTAGAAGTGGTCATCGTTGTTGATTGTACGGCGGTGCATAGGGTCGGGACCAGGTGCAGGTCGTCGGACGAGTGGGATGTTGCGAGCAGTCTCGGCTTCGAAAGGACTGTTCGCCCCGCGCCGGGTTCTAGGGACGAGGGCTTGGGCTTCTGTGGTACCGGCATTTGCGGCATCGGCAGGGGTTGCATCTTGGTTGATGTGGCCTTGATTCTCTTGATTCTCTTGGTTCTCGTCATTCTCGCTCTCGTCGTCGGCGCCAATGTGGTCTTGAAATGTTGTGATCTGATGCTGTTGGTTGCGAGCCGGAGGTGTGGCCAAGTCTAGTCCGGAAGCGATGCGATCGTCGCGTTCCTCCAGCTGGTCATCACTGAGGACGGCTAGCGCAACGCGAGGCTCATCCACAGTAGTAGGAATGTTGCCGTCGTCGTTAGAGCGAGCGGTGTCGTAGTATGAAGCAATCTGCGGCTGCAGAGGCTCTGTGGCTTCAGCGTTGTCTTCGAATATCTCAAAAGACGGCTGGCGAGCTGCAGGGTTGATCAGGGCCCGCTCTGGGGTTGACTCGGGCGACGAGGAAGGGCGCTGCTTACGCTTTCTGGACGACATCTTGTCAGGAGTTGCAGATGGTGATGACAAAGATACCGCTGAACGAGGTACCGTGGTTTTGTGTTGCGAAATTTCGCATGACAACAAAAGTTGTGCGGGAGTAAGTTTCCCCGGCGGCGATGGCGATGGCAGCAATTTGAGCAGGTCAGCATCCGATACCTCATCAAGTATCGGCAGAGCTACACCATGCGGTACGTCCCCCCTGGCCACCAGTGTGTCCTGCGAATCAAAAGCTTTGTCGACAGCTTCGTCATTGTTCGATGCAAGGCCGTTCGCCTTGTTCTCGACGTTTGCCGATTCATTGAGAACAGATTGTCGGTTTCCACTGATCTTCTTAGTGAAGAAGGTATTAAGTCTTGGTTGGCTGGCGGTCACCTTTCCCCAGGTGTCCTCAACAGATATCTTCCCTTCGGTGAGAAGCTTCCGCTGTGCTTCGCGATCCTTGATCGCTTGCTCATCACGCTTGCGCTGGTTCAACTTACGCTTGCGATCCTTGTCCTCAAGGTTCTTGCGACGCTCCTCAAGTTCATCGATACGATCAGCCCTCCGCATCTGAGATGCGGAATATTTGAATTGAGCGGTACTTTTCCTCGCAGCTCGTTTGGCCTGGCGCGTCGTCATTGGCGGTAACGCTACGCCCGGCATGTTGGGCCATAAAGAGCGCCGAGCGCCCTGCAAAGATGGCCCGAACGGGTGGTTGTGATGCTGAAGGTTGAAAGAACAACAGAGGTCGTTCGATATCAACAATGACTGAACGTTCCACTACCTCAGCCTGGCCAAGGCGAGGCTGTGACCATTCCAGTACACTATGACGTCAATCATTGGTTCCAATGTCGGCCCTACTTCGGTGTGAAAGTAGGTGGAGCAGTAGTACCTACATGGCGGTGCTACAAAGAGGCCCTTCACTGATGCACTGTCTTCATGGCTACAATGTCAATAAAGATGTTCACAGGAGCTGCTGGTATGACCCTGGCTTACTGGCTCACTACGTCAGATTTACAACTTCTGTGAAGAATAACCGGGATGCTATTTGCTCGGAGTTCACAGTGGAGGTTTCTGGACTGGGGACTCGGCGAGCGAGCATCTACTGGAAGCGTATGGCATCAGCTGTTATCGCCATCACTGTCGGAAGCTGACTCCTCGTCGTCTACAGGAAAGGTGAGGATGGCGGCGATACCCCCAAGACCCTCTAATCTGCGCCCGCTCTCGTGGTCGCTACTTAGAATTCTCACGTCTCCACCCTCGACCTCCCTAACCTGGTCGACCAGCCGTACCCACCTCCGTCGAGTTGCAATGTCTTGACTTCTGAATAACGAGTGACTGATGAGGAGTGTACCACCGCCACGCCCAACAGCCCCTTTGTCCACGGCCCTCTCAACCTCCTTTGGTCCATACCACGCTCTCCCATCGTCCTTGCGGAGCAGCTCGAAGAACTTGTCCATGAGCTCTGTCTCCTTGGCGTACTTGGTGTCCTTCATATTGGCAAGGACTTCGGGGCTCTTCAAAACCTCGTTCAGGCTGTGTAAATGACCGGAGCTTGTATGGATGGTCAAAAAGGCCTTTCGCTTGACGAGGTCCTGAAGCAGCTTATCACCCTTGGATGAAGCGGTCTCGGTGATGTGTTTGAGGAAGCCCGCAGCGGTAAAGCCGGGGCTTCCCAGCAGGATTGGAAATGTGGCATTTGGCTTGTTCTCCAAAAGTGTTGAAATCTGCCGCATAAGCGTTTCGAGCGTGACAACATAGAACTTCTGGAGACCCTTGTCGTGGTCTGCAGATCTTCCAGCACCAGCCCGCTTACGTGGGACAGAATGCTCGATCCGCTGGCGGAGTACTGTCTGGTACTGGGTGATGAAGCAAATGTTGGCCAAACCTTCCTGCATGACGACAGCCACAGCCTCAGTGCCGCGAGTTTGGTCGGTAGCTTCGGCAAGCTGCTCTCTGGCGACACTGTCCCACGCCTCGCCATCCTGCGCGTCCTTGTCGAGAGTAAAGTTTCGTTGCAGTTCGAGGTCTAATGTGTGGAATTGACCGATCTTCGTGTGCTTCGTCTCCCGAGCTATCTGTCCGGAGACATGAAGTTGGCCGGCTTGGGCATCGAAATCAAGGGATTTGACTCGAATGGTAAGGTTGAGCTGAACGGTCTCGGATCTCGTTGAGCCTGTAGTTGCGGATTTATCTGTGACTCGTCGGAGCGCTTTCGCAGACAATAGGTCTGTAGGTCGTATCAAGTTGTATGCGTGCCACATGTCCTCAGGCTCCTCCGGGTACAATGTCACTGACCCGCTCCCATCGCGGTCGATATGCCTTCGAATCAATTTCATTGTGATGCGAAGTCTAGGGAGTGCATTCGCATATGGGTACGTCGTTCGGCAAAGTGCTGTACACCTCAGATCTGTATCTAGGCTTTCTCATTGAGAATAAGGAACAATATACTATGGTATCAATATGCTGAATATTGCCACGTCTTGGCAGCTCGTGTACCCCGCGGCACGCGTGAATGTCATTTGACTTAAAAGCGTTTCATGCTTGCCTGCGCCGGCTTCACTCGTCCAGTTCGGCACTCATGTGCCTGCTGCACTTCACTCATAATATCCATGCTTGTATCAACCATGCCTCCGGTCTGCCCTCGCCAGACATGACTTGAGGGTCTTGGACACGATTTTCGTAAGTGCTTTGGCTAAGAAATGTTGGAATAGTTTAGGTTAAAATTTTGTAATGCACCTATCCTGCATAAGAATGTAATTGTCCGTCAATCTTCGGCTGTGAGCACACAGCCAGAGCATCACTTTATCGCACAGTTCTCATTGCCGAGTCCTGAAGTACTGTACGGAAAATACTATTCCCAGCGTTTGGGATATGCATCCATCCTCCCGCTGGTGTTTGGAACGCAATGATTCACCCGCTGAACGATAATGTCACCGCAGCCGACCCCGGGCAAGAAAGCTTTGCCTTCAGACGCTCTTGAGTACGAAGCAGGGTCGCATTGTCTTGTCTAGATGCTATTCAAAACGCTGGTGCAAACTTGGATACAGCCGATTGCCCGCGATGCCCCTTTCCACCGCTAGAGGCACCCGAAACCACCACAAAAATAGTATGCTTGGCATATAGCAATCTCGCTATAGGTGGACAATCGATCTGAAGCTCCCAATTTACCAATAAGGACTGGGACGGGTGGAACGGCGCGAACATGCCGCTCCGAAAAACAAATTGATGGAACAGCGCTGGCCAGCACGATTGGGGCCAAACCAACTCCTGACAAAAGAGTTTATCCTTTGTTATGCTTCTGCCTTCCTCCTCCTTTAGTCTCGCCTCAACACGAACGATATTGACGAACAAACTTGTCTCCGATGCAGCTTAGAAAGTGTTTAGGCGGCAGCTTGCTGGCCGCAACAGCGTTGGCGCAGTCATCAGTGACATCAGCAGATCAACCAGTGATCTCGGTCTTCATGATTGGTGGCATGGGAGAAGCGTCAGGAGAGATCACGACCAATCTATATGCATCCATTGTGGATAATGTAAGTCCTCCGTGATGTCACACCGGGTGGTCCGACCTGCCAGACTTTGGGCGAGATTTTTAGGTCGAGGTCACCAGTGTCCAAACCATTCTCTGATATCAAAGCAGGATGCGACGGCCACGACAATGGAAATTGGATGCGACGACACCGGTCTCACGGACGGAGAGCTCTGCAATCTTTTCTCAGGCTTCACAATCATAAATGGACCATCGACGTTCGAAGGCGGATACAGCTACAGCGGGGCCTACGGCGGTAATGCCATGACAATGGGTTGTGAGATAACTGCAAGTACTACAGCCGTGTGCAGTCAAACGGTCGTCGCGGACCAGGGTTTTGGCGATTTCGAATCAGATGCGCAGAGCAACACTGCTCCGGGTCCCGAAACGACGTCGTTGACCACCGATATTCCTTCTTCGGATATCACCTATTACCCAATCACCATCACGGCCGGAGCACTAAAAACTGGGGGAGAGTCTGGGGAAAGTGGAGGTGCAGTAAGCTCTACCACGGGAGCGAGCGCTTCTCAAACCTCGTCAAGCTCAGACAACTCAAGCGACGGGAATCGTGCGGTGATGGCCATGTCAGGGGGCCTGACTGCCCTGATTGCGGCTGTGATGGTAGCCCTGTAGATGATATACAACGATCAGCAACGCTGCACTGCTTCGTGCGCACGTCCATGGATAGCGTAATTGATTGACAAGAGCACGAAACGAGCAAGGAACATCGCAGAGTCCTGCGAGCCGTCTTTTCGTGTCGGCACGGCCTACCGCATTGGGGCAGCCCTTCAGAATGATAGCGCGGGACAAGTCCGCTGGGGGGAAGGCGAGCGGCTGGTACCTGATGACATCTGTGGGTGATGATGCTGTCAACTGGACCTTATCTGCACAGCTATCGCATGAAGCGAGCCAGCCCCTGACTTTCTCCAGCTTCTTACTGGGATGAAGCATAAGCTATGCGTAACGTTGCTTAGCCGTGAGCTCTTGGCCGGAATCTACCTGGCCCTCCACGTCTACGCAGCCAGTCAGACTCCTACGTTTGGTGTAACTTTGTGAGTACATGGGCGTTGAGATGCACGTACTAGGGTGGTAGCTTCACGATTGCGATAAGGTAGGTAAAGCTCTCCAACGTCCTCCGAGGCCAGGTACAATATATCTTTCGCGAGAGGTTGAGCTGCAAGTCTCCCATGACTTCCTCTTTATCTCAGCTAGGATGGCTCTCCAGACACGTCTGGTCAGCTGCTTGCTCTTGTCTTCTCTGCTCTTGAATACTGCCTCGAGTACACCATTCAGACCCAAAAGACAGTCGTCGGAATGTCGTAGGACACAAGTCCTGGTGCTAGGAGGCGGCCTTGCTGGTGTCACGGCCGCCCAGACTTTAGCTAACAACTCCATCGATGACTTCGTCATCGTTGAATACAACAACGATCTCGGAGGGAGAATCGCCCACACCACCTTTGGTGAAGACCAAGATGGCAATCCCTACACCGTTGAGCTTGGGGCAAACTGGGTGCAAGGCATTGAGAACGAAGAGACCGGCGCGGTCAATCCCATCTGGCTCCTCGCTCAGAAGTACAATATCACCAACACTTATTCGAACTACAGCAGTATCGAAACATTCAATGAAACTGGTCCGGTGGATTTCAGCGATCTCTTGGACGAGATTGATGTGTCGTACACTCAGATGCAAACAGACACTGGCCGGTTCATCCTCGATAACATCCAAGACTACAGCGTGAGGTCTGGCCTTAGTCTTGCAGGATGGAAACCGAAGAAGGATGCGCAGAAGCAAGCGGTAGAGTGGTGAGTACATGTTGCAGTTGTTTACGGTATTTGCCCTAACATTTTTGCAGGTGGTACTTTGATTGGGAGTATAGCTGGCAGCCAGAGGTGTCGTCCGCCATGTTCAGCATGGCAAACTACAACACGACCTTTTACCAGTGGTCGGACGAAAACAATTTTGTGTGGGACTCCCGAGGATTCAACACAATCGTTAAAGGAGAGGCCTCGGAGTTCCTCAACTGTACGACAGACTCCTACGACTGCTCAAACGACGACCGCTTGCTCCTCAACACGATCGTCACCAACCTTACTTACTCTGACGAGGGAGTTATCGTCCTCACCGAAGACGGGACCTGCCTCGAGGCCGACTTTGCAATTTGCACGTTCAGCCTGGGCGTGCTGCAAAATGAGGTTGTTACCTTCGAACCACAGCTGCCCGAGTGGAAAACTCGAGCCATTAACACATTCCAGATGGGAACGTACACCAAGATTTTCATGCAGTTCCCTCCGGACCAAGTCTTCTGGGACACGGACACGCAGTTCTTCCTCTATGCCGATCCGCGCGAACGTGGATACTACCCAGTCTTCCAATCCTTGGATGGACCTGGTTTCATTAACGGTAGCGGAATTCTCTTCGTCACTGTTGTGCAAGACCAGAGCTATACCGCGGAGGCGCAAGGCAGCAACGTCACCGAAGGAGAGGTGATGGAAGTCTTGCGCAAGATGTATGGACAGGACATTCCGGATCCTACAGCCTTCATGTACCCGACCTGGTCGCTCGAACCGTGGACGTATGGATGCTACTCGAATTGGCCTCAAGGGACAACTTTGGAACAGCATGCGAATCTTCGAGCCAACCTAGACCGTCTTTATTTCGCAGGCGAGGCTACTCATCCTGAGTACTATGGATTTCTCCAAGCAGCGTACTACGAAGGACAAACGGCGGCTCAAACTATTGTTGACTGCCTGAAGGGTAATGACTGCCAGGAGTACCCACGTTATGAGGTCTTACACGGCACGACTGGGATGGCTGAGTATAATGCGACGAACGGCTGGACCGTCTCCTCGTTCCAGGGCTATCCGCCGGACTCGTGACGAGATCTCAGCTCACGGAGTAGACAACTGAAGTAAAAATAAAGGAACGATAAAGTTTGCAGATGAAGAAAGCGTGTTGAGCGAGCTGAATGCGATTGCGATTTCCATTTTCCCAGCCACTCCCAATGCGGCCTCGGCGCGCTTCTATCGCGAGATTGCAGCTCACAAAGCTCCTCTTTCACCTCCCACCCACCCGCCTTGTCCGAGCGTTGCATCGTCACTGCTAGCACTCTTCCTGCCGCCTGAATTATTGAGGACATTTGTAGTCAAGGATCCCGTCGCCTGCACACTATCTCTCCCACACTTTTCAACAGTCGCTCACTTTCTGCCCGCGTTGCGCAAGGCTCCAGCTCTTACATCACGCACCGACAAGCGAGCTTCCCCAAACGCCGCGTTTCTTCCGCTTTCTACGGTGTAGGCCCGTACCTCTGACCCCTCTGCATCACCGCTTCTTCGAGACAGCGCACGAAACTCCGCATACCTGGGTACTTTGCCAATCATGGGATCTTTCGTCTTCAAATGGTGAGTCGTTAACCGAGGCGTTGGAGTCGAACATTCCTGGAACAAAGGCTAATGTGCATAGGCCGCATCCCAATGCGCAAGAAGTCTACGTGACCGGCACTTTTGACGACTGGGCCAAAACCACGAAACTGGACAAGGTCGGCGATCATTTCGAGAAGGATGTTCCGCTGAGCAATACCGACGAAAAGATCCTCTACAAGTTCGTTGTAGATGGTGACTGGACCACAGATCACACGGCGGACAAGGAAGATGACGGGCACAACAATATCAATAACGTGCTGCATCCCGAGAACATCAAGAAGGACCCGTCTTCTGCTGCTGTCTCAAGCGCTGCCCCCGGAAGCACAACAGCTGCCCTTGCCGGCGGCGTGCCTCTGGAGCAGAAGCAGTCTGCGCCCGGCGCCTTCCCTGAAACTCCGGCCAACGAACTCGACCAGCAAATAGGTGTTGCTCCTCTGCCCGCCACCTCTGGCGCCGGCAACCCGGTCTCTGTTCCTGCTGGTGAGAAAGTGCCAGAAAACGTTACTGCGAGCACGGTTCAGTCCACAGCCACTACCTCGAAAGAAGACTATGACAATGCGGGTAGCTCTGAAATGCCTGCCATGGGCGGAGAGGCTGCGCAATTTGGCGTCAATCCTATTCCTGCTTCCTCCGGTATTGGCAACCCCGTGCAGACCAAGCCAGGCGAGGGTATCCCAGAACAGGTGACCACGAACACCGTTGACTCGACGGCAACTACCTCCAAGGAGGACTACGAGAAGGCTGGTAGCTACGGTCTTCCTGCAGCCGGGATTGCCGCTGGTGGCGTTCTGGCTGGCGCCGCTGCAGCCGTCGGCCTATCCGGAAAGGACGACGATAAGAAGAATCTGATTCCTGAATCGTCTCTACCAATTGGCCAAGGTGCTGACAGCACCCTCGATGCCGGCCCGCACATCCAGTCTTCCGGTCCTAGCTCAACAACAGCTGCGTTGGCTGGCAACGTTCCCTTGGAGAAGGACAAGGTTGCTGCTGCCGTACCCGCACCAGTCCAGGAGTCTCTGTCCGAAGCTCATCAGTCTGCCGAGGCTGCATCATCCCCAGAGGCGGTCAAAGACAAGGAATCTCTCGAAAAGGAGTTGCTGTCCAAGGTTCCTCCAAGCGAAGCCCAGGGCGAGCATGCCAACCCTGCTGCGCAGACCAGCTATCATGGTCTTGCCACTACGGTACCTGCAACAGTGGAGAAGTCAATGGAACAGGCCAACGCTGCTCCTGAGGCTGCAGCGGATACATCTGCTGTCGCCGAGAAGACTCAACTGGAACAGGAGCTCAAGCAAAAAGTTCCCGAGTCGAACGAGGCGGGTGAGTCTGCGCCAACGGCAACTTCTGCGACCTCTGCTGTTGCCCCTGGGACATCAACTGCGACGAGCGCTGCCGCCGCTCCTGGAACTTCGTCAGTAGCGGCCGCCGCTCTGGCCGATGGCGCTGGTGGAGAAGACCTTGCTACCACCAAGAACACCACCACGACTGCAGAAAAGACTGAAGGTGATGCGACTGAATACGCCCCTCCTGTCGCCGCGGGTGCTGCACCAGGCGTGTCGAGTGGCGCTGCAGCCGCACTCTCGGACGGTGCCGATGCCGGTTTGGCAGATGAGCCCGCTGTCAAGTTGATGAACCAGAATGAGGATGCGGCTGCTCCCACCACGACCGATGGGGCTGCCGACACCAAGAAAGAACCTGAAGTAGTTGCCCCTCCTGCCGCTACCACCACGACTGCTACGGAGAGCAAACCGGTTCCGGAGAGCAAGTCCACTACTGAGGACAAGTCTACTACTGCAGCTGCTCCTCCATCCAGCGCACCGAGCACACCGACCAAGAACACAACCGAAGCGGAGAGTCCGGCGGGCAAGGATAAGAAGAAGAAGCACCGGATCAGCTCGTTTTTCAAGAAGATCTTCGACTAGCGGCCGGGACGCTTGTGCTGTACATGCCAAAGTGAGAGTGAGAGCTGAAGGGGGGGTGCATTTGTGCATTGGACTATTTTTGTGACTTTGTAGATATCCCACCAACGTGAATTGGAGTCCAGCATTGCGCGCGCTGAAGGTACCTAGCTTAATCGTGTAATACCCCCGAATGGCAATCCCAATGGAGTTTTGACAAACGAGCTTGCTCAGCGTTACGTGTTCTAGAAGGCTTCCAGAAGAGCGGCCGAAGGAGGTACCTGGTGAGGAAGCAAGCGGTTGGAGTTGCGGGAGAAGCAGCAAGGGAGGCTGATCTGCGCCACCCATGCGGTGACAGGCTCAACGCCGGGCGGTGGTTCGTCCTACCCCGCCTTATGACTTGAGGAAGCTCGCTGTTGCCGCCCTTGCTCGCTTGGATTTGCGTCAAAGTCGTGTATGACTCCTCTCGGAGCTTGCTTACCTACTGCAAGCCCGAAAAAGCAGCCAAGTAGCCAGCACGCAGGCCAGCTGAAAGGCAGCTCCTTCTTTCTGCCAGCTGCTAGCCCCTGCGCTTGTCGTACTTCTGAAGCTCCGACACTTGATCTCCATCCTTTATACTCTGATACTACTCGAGACCACACCTTCTGACACGTGAAGACGTCAATTCAGATCCCAGGCAGCTTGCAGTTGTGTTGCCCCACTCTCATTGCATCAGACACTGCCCTCTCCGCAGCCGACGCAGCACACAGACCACCTGCGCGAACTACTCACACCCCCCCACATTTATCTCGCCTCACAGGTCCCTCTTCCCGCCTCCATGTCGCTACCCTCTCACCAACAATCATACCTCGATGAACTCGCCCAGAAGCTAAAGTCCGCCAATCCAGAAGACACCCTGCAGTTCTGTGCCGACTTCTTCAACCAAAAGCTTTCCCTCGAACGCTCATCCGCCCGCCCCTCCTCCAACAAAGGCGGCTTCGCAAACGGCAAGATGGCTGATACCGCCGGACCTTTTGCTGCGGGCAAGAACGTCAATTCGATACAAGAGGAGGATGAGGAACATGACACCTTAGGCTCACCTACCGACTCCCGCTTCAAGGCCAGGGATGTTGGGTCATCGCCGTTTCAGAACGCTTCGCCCTTTGGTGCCGCCGCTGGCGGTGCCGCTGCAGGAGGCGCAGGAGGAAGCCTGTTTGGCAACTGGCTAGGCAGTCAAGGACAATCAGAGCAAGATACCTCTGCGCAACCCTTGCCCACCAACTATTCAGGTAACCGCCGCACCTCGGTGTCCGCTGAATCCATGCAACCCGATGCCGAATCCTCCAACTGGAAGCCTCCCAAACACCAGAAGACTCCAGATCAGCTCGAGCGCCTGAAGAAAGCTGTCTCGGCCAACTTCCTTTTCTCCCAACTTGATGAGGATTCTTTCACCACCACGCTTGACGCTCTCGTCGAGAAGTCCATCCCAGCCCCCAACATCAAGGTCATTACTCAAGGTGACGAGGGAGACTACTTCTACGTAATTGAGCAAGGCAGCTTCGACATTTACATCAACTCGTCAGGTGCCCTTCAACCTGGTCCAGATGGCATGGGCAACAAAGTCACAACCATCGGCCCTGGCGGCAGCTTTGGTGAGCTGGCACTCATGTACAATGCTCCCCGAGCTGCCACTGTCGTCAGTTCTAGCAAGGGCGGCTTGTTGTGGGCCCTCGACCGTGTCACCTTCCGCCGCATCCTTATGACTAGCGCATTCGAGAAGCGCAAGATGTATGAGGGTTTCCTCGAGGAGGTTCCAGTACTGGCTTCGCTTAAACCATACGAGCGAGCCAAGATCGCAGATGCCTTGGAAACGGTCAAATTCGAGGCTGGAAGCAACGTCATCACAGAGGGCGAGCCGGGTGATGCTTTCTATTTGTTGGAGTCTGGTGAAGCTACCGCGTGGAAAGCTGGCGTTGACCATGCCCTCAAGGAGTACAAGAGAGGCGATTTCTTTGGTGAGCTCGCTCTCCTTGATGACAAACCTCGTGCTGCCAGCGTTGTGGCCAAGACCAATGTGAAAGTGGCTAAACTGGGACGTGACGGTTTCAAGAGGTTGTTGGGCCCGGTTGAGGGCATTATGCGACGAGAAGAGTACGAGACTCCGGAGCAGCTGGATCCTCTGAGTCAGCAGCGGACCGTCACATAGTCGACCCGATGGCAATACATGGACGCAACAGGTGTGGGCGGCAATATCGGCAGCGACGGGGGTGTGAGAGCAGACCATCTGAGGTTTGAGCAATTGGTATCTGATATGCAGGAATGGTGCAACTGGCGTTTGGGCATGGTGCGCGCGCAACCGGAAAGATGTTACGATGGGTAGTAGGTGATGGTGACCAGCGTCTGCTACAGATGCATCCTAACATGGTGCCAGCAGTAGCTTCAGATACCTACTACGGAATTCAATGGAATGATTCATATGCTTGATCGTATCCAGCACATACGTCTAACTAGTCAGTCTGTAGTCATGAATAGTCCAGCATGCTTCAGTCCGGGCCACGACACTGGAGAGCTGATATTCAGCTGCCTCTGCATGCGGCGAGTAGGATATTTATTACAGTCAGTCATTCAATCTCTCAGCCGGCACCTCAGCATGCATTCTGGTCAGCACTCTGTCGAGCTTGGCTCCTTGGGGCCATAAGGTCCTCCTCGAGATGTATGATACCTCTTCCACTTCAGGTTTGCCACTGTACGCCCTACCTGTGAACTCTGCCCATCAGATTCTTCTCCGCACCTGGCCTCTTTAAGCTACCAATCACTGCATCTTGGTCGCCTATGATCCGATGCGAAGCTTTCGAGCAGACCCCATCTCCTCCAACGTTCATGACCTCGGTCGGGGTAAACCCCAGCTGCGATGGCGGACATGATGCACTTTACAGTGCCTGGGCCCCAGGAATCATCACAACAGCTCGTCACCATACAAGATTCACACCAGGACCATCTTGACAGAAGTCGATAACGACTGCAGCATTGCCACCATGTCATCCCTCAACGACCTCAAACGCAAGGATCTCTTCCAATCGAAGGGCTACATCAATGGCTCGTGGGTTGACTCGTCGTCCTCCAAGACATTCGACGTGGTTAATCCCGCGAATCTTGACAGGCTCGCTACTCTGCCTGAGATGGGTGCTTCCGATTGCGATAAAGCCGTCGCTGCTGCTCACGAAGCCTTCAAAACTTACAAGAAGACCTCCGCCCGTGAGCGCGCCCGACTGATGCGCAAATGGAACGACCTTGTCATCGCCAACGCAGATGACCTGGCACTCATCCTGATGCTCGAGAACGGCAAGACACTCGCGGAAGCCAAGGGCGAAGTCCTCTACGGTGCCAGTTTCCTCGAGTGGTTTGCAGGCGAGGCGGAACGGATCCATGGCGAATACGTCCCTCCGGCGAATCTGAATCAGCGTATCATTACCATGCGACAACCCATCGGCGTCGCCGCATGCATGACGCCGTGGAATTTCCCCATCGCTATGATCACACGGAAGGCCGGTGCAGCGCTGGCTGCGGGGTGCACCACTGTCTGGAAACCGGCAGGCGAGACTCCATTGAGCGCACTGGCTCAAGCCGTCCTCGCTCAAGAAGCCGGCTTCCCCAAGGGCGCCATCAACGTCGTCACAACGCTCAACAACGTCGCCGAGGTGGGCAAGGCCATCTGCGAGGATAAACGTGTCAAGAAGATGAGCTTCACAGGCAGTACGCGCGTCGGCAAGCTCTTGGCTAGCCAGTGCGCGAACAGCCTGACCAAATTGACGCTTGAGCTGGGCGGCAACAGCCCCTTTATTGTTTTCGACGATGCAAAGCTCGACAGCGCGGTAGAAGCAGCCATCATGGCCAAATTCCGCAACAGCGGACAGACATGCGTCACGGCGAATCGGATCTTTGTGCAGAAGGGCATCTACGACAAGTTCGCCGAGGCGCTGACGGAGCGGATTCGAAAGCTGAAGGTGGGCGCTGGATGGGAGAAGGATGTCTTCGTGGGACCGCTGACGCATGATCGCGCGGTCGAGAAGGCGATGAGTCACATCAACGGTAAAGAGTCCTTTTTGTCTTGTCACGTTGCAAGATACTAACGTCAGCTTATGATAGACGCAAAGAAGCACGGCGGCCAAGTCGTCCTCGGTGGATCTCCTCTGGAAAGGCAGAAAGGGTACTTCATCCAACCGACCGTCATCACGCACATGAACCGCGAGATGCTCACCACGCGCGAGGAGACGTTTGCCCCCGTCGTGGGCCTCTACGAATTCGACAGCGAGGAGCAGGTGCTCGACTGGGCCAATGACTGCGACGTGGGGCTGGGATCGTTCATCCAGACGGAGAACATCGCGAGGATGTGGCGTGTTAGCGAGGCGCTCGAGGTCGGAATGGTAGGTGTCAATCTGGGCCTATTGAGTGCGAGTGAGAGCCAGTTTGGTGGTGTCAAGGAGAGTGGCTACGGCACCGAGGGAGGGAGGCACGGTATCGAGGAGTATTTGGTCTGGAAGAGCATCTTGATCAATGTTGCGAATTAAGACCGTACAAGACATCAGAACTACGACACTCGAATCAATCGCCATGGTGTGTTACTTTATTCCTTCCTTTCTCGCAGCAGCCGGCCATTCACGCGCTTCACCGGTGACTGGCCTTCTGGTACGGATTGTGTTTCATTGCGGCGCAGCAATGCACAAGCGTCATCGCTGCCTGAACGGACACCATCATGTCCAAATCAAGCTTGTCGCTTGCCCACTCCGGAAGGGATTGTGTGCTTTCGTTGGCGAAATGCGTGCAATTTCGCTGTATATAAGGACCTTCTGCGCCGTGCCATCTCTTGCAGGTTCGCTATCATACTCCGCTTCGCCGTCAGAGCCACCCACGCCTTGTTCTTGGGATGTCCGCTGAACAGCCTACCTGCGCCGGATGTTGATTCCTTGCATTATTGGAGCAAGCTGGTATGGTCGGCCGATGCTCTATCTGATCCCGTGCGGGTCTATCTATCTACTCTAGTCATTCGTGGCCGACCCCAATCTGACACACAGCTGCCGATTCTGCAGTACCAACCATTAAGGCCGGCCTGGACACCAATGTTCATTCTCCCCTCCCCTTCCTCAGTTCATACTTCTCAGTTACCTTAACCGCCTTCTTCTATTGAAGGTTCCACCTCTCAGCCACCCATAGATAGCCTATACAGTCTTAGCCACACAAAACCACCCTCTCCCAGGCCCCCTACCCTTCACAAGCATTCAACTACCTACTCACCTGCCACCGTCAAATCCTCCCCCCGCCCTTCTCCTTCAAGAACAACGCTTTCCCAACCGCCAAGGCCCTCCCCTCCCCATCCTCCACCACCCCCCTCACCCAAATCTTCCTTCCCTCCAATCCCACCAACCACGCCCTCACCAGCACCACCCCGGGCGTCACCACGGGCGCCTTGTAATCCACCGTCATGGTCGCCGTCGCGGGCGTCGCGCTCGCCGAACTCACCGCCGCCGTGCGCCCCAGCTGGTGGTCCAGGAGCAGGGCGTTGAAGCCGCCGTGCGCGCGCGAGGTCTTGCCGTCGATGCCTGTGCCCAGGGAGAGGAGGGTACAGTGCTCTGTTGGGATTGGGGTGAGGGCATCACGTGCCGGAGTGGTGGAGACGGCGATGGAGTCCGGCTCCGGACACCGGCGTGTGAAGTGCAGGGAGGCGCGAATGGCGTCTGAGCTGGGGTTGGCGAGGGTGGTGGCGAAGAGGGTGTTGGAGGCGCTGGTCGGTGGGCTATAAGTGTCGGTTTTGGTATGCGTGTCCGAGAGATTGAGCGTGGGGTCGGTGGAGGTGAGGAGCTGGTGGATCCATGGGAGGGAGGAGAAGTCGGGGTGTAAATTAGGTGGTAGAGGCATCTTTGGGCGTCACGGGCGAAGGATACAATCGGGTGAGGCGGGAGGTGGTGGGAGGTAAGTTACAGGATGCAGTGATTGTGTGTGGGCGGAGAGAGCGTCAAAGGTGAGGTGTATTGAATGCTGTTGAGGAAGAACCTTGGCTACAGGCAAATAGTTCTGGGAGCAGCAGAGATGTTCGCAGAGTCGCCAGTCTTCGGACGGAAGCTGGTACATGTGTTCGTGGGGAGGTATGGGCAACATGTTGGCACCAAGTTGCTCGGGTAGTGATTCAACCGAGGTAATATGCAAGGCATCCTATAGGGCAACCCTAGCTGACTAGGCGTTGCGATTTTCCCGTATGAGGCTTTTGTTCTATCATCTATGGAGTCCTATGCCTGTTCGGCTTTACTGAAACTCCCGAGCACGTCGTCTGGCCTTCTTATACCATCCAAGCGCCAACTGCTCATCCGCCGCCGCCTCCCCCTTCGCAAGAAGGTGCTGCACATTCCGCTTTCCATCCATGGCGAGCATGGCCGCGAGCTCGTCGGTAGCGTCGGCAATCACCCAGTCGAAGGCGTTGCCAATGATCCAGCCGAAGTCGGTGCGGTAGTCGTGTCCGTCGGGAGACTCGTCTTCGCTGACCATTGCGTCGTAGAGTCGCGGCGCTCGGCCGTCTTGGTACGAGAAGGCGGAGTTGTTGGTGCGGATGTCGTCGGGGAGCGTGTAGTTGGCCGTGTCGAAACTGGGGTTTGGGGTTAGTATCGTGCGCGGCAGGCGCGGCGACATGGGCTTACTAGGTTCTGGGCGAGGTGATGGGGTCCACGAAGTCGCCTATCGCGAAGCTGTGCAGGTGTCAGTAAGGTGGGATCGAGGAGTGAGGTTGGTTTCACTCACAAAATGCCCGAAGTGCGGAAGGCGGCGTCGTCGGATGCTTCGTCCTCGACCCAGTCTTTCAATGGTCGCAGCGGCCCGTCCGTGGACTTCATGTTAATCTCGGCGCTGATGGTGTAGTTTGTCTTTGCGAATGCCTTCATCGAAGCTAGGACATCCCATTCCTCCATGTCACCAGAGTTGTAGACAGGAATATAGGCGAGTTGAATGCCGCTTGCGAAGGCGTCTTGGACCCAAGCCAACGCTTCAAATTCTTCTGGTGTCCGGTACCAGTTTGCCTGCAGCTTGTAGATACACCACTCGTTGGCAGGCACACCCGCGGCGTTGGTGAGGTTCTTGAGCTGCCAGTATGCTATCTCAACTCCGGCCTCGTCCTTGAAATCGAGTTGCAGGACTACGTTCATGCCAACATCGTGGATGTACTGTACCATTCCTGGTAGAGTGGGTACGGTCTCGCCCCTGACCCGGCCAGCTTCGTCACGAAGGTGCAGATCCTCAATGAAGCCACTGTAGGCGCTGTCCTCAACCTTGGGGTTGTGGCCCTGTCCGGTGAACGGGTTGTAAGCAGCCTGGCCCTCGACTTCTCCCACGTTGGTTTCACGACCCAGTCCAGAATCGTGAATCATAGGGAGGTAGCCGTCACTTGAGACACGGATGTCGGTCTCGATGCACTCTAGACCTGCTTCGGACGCTCTGTAGTAGGCGTCATATGAATTGTCGGCGGTGCCGTTCCATCGAAGTCCTCGGTGGGCACAGAGAATGGTTAGATCTTCATGGGGTCTGCGGAAAGCATCGATGATTTTGTGGACGTCATAGGGCTGTTGAGCAGCAAGTACCAGAGGTGCAAGGCTCGAGATGAGGACTGCCAAGTTCGCGGTCCTCATGATGGCGGTGCTGTCTGTTCTACCGGTGGCTTTGGCCAGCAGCAGATGAGAGGTAGCATGCTCTTATATAGCATTCTTTGCACCGGTGGGCTGATCTGAACCTACTTCCCGGAGCACCTACCGTGAAGACTCTGCATCTGGAGCTCAGTGAAGTTGGTATAGCACCAGTATAACTCTTAGCGAAGCCTTGGCTGTCGGCCACGTGCCTGGAGTTCTCAGTAGTAGCTGGTACCGGAGATGTCCTTGATCAGCACTCCGTTCACTAGGACGACACCGGCGCTTCCGAAGTCCACGCTGACAGCACGAAAAGGCAGCTTTAAGCCGTCCCGACCAAGCTCAGGAGCGACTAGCAGGGAGAACGGCAACGAATGTCCCGGGGTACCAATACTGCTCACGAACTTCGACTCGTGTCCATCAACGGATGGGGGTACCATGAGTCACGTGGTATCACAGCCTGACCCGGCTGACCGCCAGCCTTGCCAATGAATCGCGTCCACTTCAACTTACACAACTACCCCTCCTATGGACGTCACGACGCGTTCTGATGCGACAATCTCCAGCCCTGAGGATAGCGCGCGACTACCGAAGGGCTCTCTACCCGATCGGCCATGCGATGTTTGTCGGAAGCGCAAATCAAGATGTGTGAAAGAGTTGGGCCAGAATAAGTGCGTCCTATGCACTTTCCATCAACGCGATTGCACCTATCTAGACGCTCCTGCGCGAAGAAAACGAAAGCGACGAGATGAAGCAGAACTCGAGTCACCATCGATAGGTGCGGCCAGCGTCTCCTCGCCAAATCCTGGACACTCGCTTCTCAATTCTACTTTGGGCCTTCATCGAACCTCACACTCCCGTTTCGTAGGCTCGAGCTCAGTCCATGAGCCTGTGCTGTGGGCTCTCCAAGAACCATATGTCGGCACCAGTAACCATGATTACGTACGCCGTGTCGATGCAAATACATTCTTTGTGACCGAGAACGATCACCAGACTCCGTTTCATGTAGAAGAGCTTACCGATATCGATGAAATCGAACGGACAGTCCAGCCTAACGGGCCGAAACTTGTCGAAATCTACTTTCGCATTGTGCATCCCGTGTTCCCCATTCTTCACAAAGCAGTGTTCCTCGAAAAATATGCACGAAGTTACCGCGAATTCTCGCCCCCTCTGCTCGCAGCAGTCTACTTACTGGCAATGGACTGGTGGGAATACGACACGGATCTATCCCAGAAGTCGAAGCCAGATGGCTCACAACTCCTCAGACTAGCGACCAACTCTTTCACGTCGGTCGTGCTGCGACCCAAACTCTCCACAGTGCAGGCGGGTCTGCTTTTGCTGCAGCGGTATGGAGGTGGCTCGTGGATCATGACAAGTCAAGTCGTGGCCGTCGCCGAAGAACTAGGTCTCCACCAAGACTGCTCGAGTTGGAGTGTGCCAGATTGGGAAATCGGTCTGAGACGGAGACTGGCATGGGCCGTGATCATGCAGGATTGTTGGGCCGCAGCACTCTACGGACGACCGCCACATGTAAGCCTCAAGAATTGGTCCGCAAGACGGGTATCTTTGAATGATTTTCCCGAGACAGCCGCAGATCAGGATAATCAAGACGGCAGCACGGAAGTGGAGAAAGGCCGACGTCTCTTCATCCACCTGGCTGCTCTGACAGAGATTCTCGCGGAAATTCAAGGTATCTGTGGTCCTTCTGGTATGTCTCCTACAGTGTCTGCTCTTGAAGAGCTCTTAACCCAGGTCAAACCGGTGGCCATGCGACTTCGTGACTGGAAGGCGTCCATGCCTGCCGGACTGTATATGGAAGATGTGACACCACGCAAACTCTGCTCAAATGGCTATCTGCATCTCGCATACTACACCGTTGAGATCCTATTACATCGCCATATTATCCGCTGTTGCTCAGTCAGCTCCGACCCCACGCTCGTGTCGCTGTGCCGGGAGGCAGCAAAGTTGCGACTCGAGCATGCAGTGTCTTTCGTCGACATGCTACGTCCCGAGCATCTCCACGCCTTCTGGTGGTTCGCTTCGGCCGAGTCTGTCGTTCTGATCGGCACCTACAACGCGCTCTTGTGGGCCACGAGCCCCTTGCAAACGGAGGCAGACACGTACAAGAACAAGCTTGATGAGTTTCGATGGAGCCTGAAGCTGCGAGCTACGAACTTGAAATTTGTAACCATCGCTCTTCAGCAACTGGACAAACTACCCACGTTGGACGATAGACTTCGGCAATCCCAAGTTCTTGTGACGAGTCAGGCTGGTGTCTGGCCGTCGAGGCTATCTGCGTCAACCATGATAGACGAAGATACTCCCCAGCAGACGCCCAGCCATTTCCAATTCGATTGGAATGCGTTTGACGAGGCTTTCAGTCCCTATCTGGGTCCAGCTACCGGCAACAGTGTGTTACTTCAACGTTCGGACCAGGGCGAAGACACATAGACAGGGCCAATGAGTCCGTAGGGTACATCTCAATGTTAAAAATGCTTCCTTGATAGTTGTGTTCACTGAACGGCGACACCCTTTCCCAGCGATGTCCAGCAATCTGAAATCTGGAAGCTGCTATGAACATAGCGAGGAGGCTGTACTGCCAATGTCAGTGCGGCTGGAGAATGCAGAATGTACAAAGTACTACACCCTCAAACGGCATGATGACAAAGCGTTGAGCGGTTACAGGAGGGTGCGGCTGAGGGAAGGTGCATATTGTGACTACTGCACCTGCTTCTGCATTGACTGAATGGTACGTTCCACACCTGCACCTCACCACTCTCCTCGGCTTTCTTTTGAACCGGATATGCCGACACTGACTTTGATTAGGTACATGTTATGCATACACGCAGTTGTCTCGCTTGATCTAGCTCTATTTGCTCTGTCACCTTTCGATACCAACTGAAGCCTCAGTTGCCAAAAGCCTCAACCATCAGCCAACCTACGCCATACGGGACAAGTGGGACAAAGGTTCCAAGCACCACGAACAGTACATCTTTGAAACATCGTTGACAAAATGACAACAGTAATGGCTTCCCTTTCGGGACCCCTACTGCCTTCTCCGGATTCAAAAGCAAACAGGACTATCATCATGAGCTCAACACCACACCCGAGATCCTATCACGCCCCCAACGAGGAGAGTGAGGAAGATCGGAGATAGCGCCGCCTTCGATCGAACCGTTGCCCGCTCCGGATCCAACGGCGACAGGGACCTCCATCAAGGGTCGAATGCAAATGTCAGCATTGGGGCTCACTATCATGCCCCTAGACGAGGAAGATAAGGAAGATAAGAACGGTACTGTCTTCTCGGATCCAATCATCGCCTCGAACAAGTCTTGCTATAGAAAGTATCATCCAGCAGCCAGGTACACCACCAAATCACCTCGTTACGTCCACGGGTGAAGATGACAGAAAGGGTGATACCTCCCTTTTGGATGCCATCGCCCCTCGTTGCGAGTTCAGTCCAGCTTCCAAGAGCATGGCTAAGGATGAATCACCAGGGGTTGACAAAATTGACGGGCGGGTTCCTCGAATTCACAGTATATGACACCCAAATGTCTTTGCTATGAGTTCGCGGGGTCCGCCCGTCAATTTTGTCGACGCCTCATGAAATCGGTCAGGGTCAATATCGAGCACAAATCGGGCACCGACATCTACAGAGGCAGTGCTTTCAAGCATGATACTTGTGTGCAGAGAAAGGTGCGATCCCATTACCCCAGCTGTGTGCTCAGTCAGACGACCGTGGTCCTTCAAGCTGTTTTGGTGGCATCGCCGCTTCACTTCGAACCCTTTTCAAACCGGCGCGCGATACTGAACATCTTCCCATCAAGCCCTCTCGCACACACCAAGCTGATTCCAAAGGGCAACTGCGACCCTTCGCTAGCGACGACAACACCGGCAGGCACACTAATGGCACAGAGATCAAGCACGTTGCCGAAATGCGTAAAGAGACCCAACTTGGCGTTCAGCTGGATAGGATCACTCTCCATCTCTTCACTAGTCGGATGGCAAGGTACAGTAGGCGTGACGAGCACATCAACCTTTCCTGCGAATCGAGAAAAGAGCCGCGCCGCTTCCGCTGTGGCGGTGGCTTGTAATTCCTGATCTCGATAGACTTCCCACGCTTTCGTGGGTCGCTCAATAACTCCCCTGAACAGCGCCTGCGTCGCAGGGTGGAGAGTGTCGAGGTTCGTGGTGAGAAATTCCGGACCGATGCATGCAATGCGCTCGTTCACTAAAGTACCGGAATACAGCAGGTCACTGGCCATCTGGAATGGCTTATAGCCATCTTTGGATAAGGTGAGCATTAGCCCGCCCATATTCTGCAACCTGGCAAGAGCGTTGGCGAATGCTTTCTGATATGACGGATCGCACGCTTTGACCACAGACTCAGGTGGAACGGCAAAGGTGAAAGTTGGGTTGGCCCGGTAGTCCGACATGGCTAGGGGCAATGAAGAGGGATCTTTTGCATAGACATCTTCTGCGTCATACTGGTCGACGGCGTACCATACGCGACGAGCATCTTCCACGGTCTTCGCAAAGATGGAGGCCGTGTCGAGGCTTCTGCATGCGGGGACGATGCCGCGCGCAGACAGAGTGCCCTTTGTTGGTTTAACTCCCACAATGCCATTAAGAGCGGCGGGGACCCGTCCACTGCCGGCTGTGTCCGTTCCCAACGAAAAGGTCACGAGTCCAGCAGCAACGGCAACACCGGACCCGGACGACGAGCCACCAGAGATGTACTTGCCTCTGCCGAAAATACTCACTGGGTTACCAGAAGGAGACCGGCACCCATTCAACCCAGTTGCGAGCTGGTCCATGTTTGTCTTTCCGATGAGCAGGGCTCCAGCAGACTGCAGCAATTTGATGACAGGTGCTGTTTCTTTGGGGAAGTATCGATACGCTGGGCACGCAGCCTCAGTCGGCATGCCAGCCACATCAAAATTGTCTTTGACAGCAAACGGAACTCCATACAGCCAAGGTAGCTGATCGGAGCTGCTAGTGGCATACCTTGCCTCCAATGCGTTGGCATCGGCGAGCACTTCCTGCCTTGATCTAACATATGTCCAGATGTGTGGGTCTGCTTTCTCAACACGGTCGAAGACTCGGGTGACGAGATCTAGCAGAGGCAAACTCCGACTACGGATATGCGTGGAGATGGCTTCCAAGTCCATATCTCCCTTCCAGGCCGCCGGACTGTCTGGCGGCGTGCGCAAAAGCTGGCTGCCATGCGCGACAAGCTCGTTGCTGCTCGCAACATAGCCAAAGAGGCCGTCATAGGAGCAGAACATATTAAGCGAGACCTCCACGGACGTCGCATTGAAGCCCGCGGTGCAGTCTGTGAGGATACAGCACTCGAAGCCTCGGTCGTTGGCCTCCCTTGCCGTCGTTGTTACGCAACACTCCGTCGTGACGCCACAGAATAGCAAATGCGTTATATCCCTTGCCATCAGCACCCGATGCAGACTAGTCTCCCAGAAGGACCCCTTCCCGGGCTTGTCGATGACCGACTCCCCGGGCAAAGGCCGCAGGTCGTCGATGATGTCGTGTCCATACTCGCCCTGCACGAGCAACCGACCCATTGGCCCCTGGTCGCCAATGCCCATGGTATGATGTCCACTGGGCGCGTTGACCTGCCTGTCCCGCTTGCTGGCCGGCAGGTCGGACAGGTCGGGTCGGTGGCCTTCTCGCGTGTGGATGACATGCAAGCCCAGCCGGCGGGAAGCCGTCAGCGTGTCCTTGATGGCGGGCACGATGCTGCGCACGGAGTTGAAAATCTCAGCATTGCCGCATTGAATGGCGCCGAAGCCGTCAGGGTCCACGAAGTCGCGCTGTACGTCGATGATTACCAGTGCGGTGTGTTCGGGGTCGAATTGAAAGCCGTATGGCCGCGCTGATGGCAGAGACAGTAGCGGCGAACTCGCCATCTTGTCGTTGATGGCGGTAGGTGTCGTGGTCGTGTGTTGACGACGACGACGATGATGCTGAAGAAGACCAGTAGCACAACAAACTTCAGTTGGCACTCCCGATTTGACTGTAATAGAAGAACCAACCAAAGCCAAGCATGAGGGTTCTCTACAGCGTTTTCGGAGCAATGCGCTAAGCACGCGGAGGGGCTTCGGGGAAAGGGTTCGTGCACTACAGTGCTTCAGCAGTAGAGGCCGCCGGCGGCGTGCTAAGTACTGGCCGACGGCCGTGTCAGCGGTGTGGGCTTAAAATGGGCAGGACAGGACGCTAGATAAGACACTCGTGCAGATAAGCGGCGTGGCCAGCATTGGCACTGGCAATGAGGGCGGAGAAGCCCATCTCGACCTGTGCCTGCGATTGGCTACTGAAGTTTAGATCTGAGGGAACAGGGTACAGGATAGGCTGGACCAATTCTGTCAAGGGTGTACTTGTCCAGTAGGGGGAGTACATCTGCCTATCGTCTGGAACTGTATTTTGTGTTGCCTAATTCCATACACAAATAGAAAAGCGCAAGGCCCATCATAGTAGTAGTTGATAGCTTGGCTGTAGGTAATTCCTACGCCTGCTACTGTGTAGGAATTCTTCGAGAAGGATTAGAGATGTTGGTCGAGGAGTGACTGGGTGCCAATATCTACTAGACCTCAGAAAGCGTCTTCCACTCAGCCCTGACTGTCAACCTATGGAATGATCAAAAGTCCATACATAGTTTTCGTAAAGGTTTTGTGTAAGTCGAAAAGCTGCTTATGAAAAGCCTATGAAAGCGGACGGTCTTCGTCCAGGATCCTCGCGCAGCTCTCTTAGCTCTACCAGATAATAGTTTTTTCAAAATCCCTCGGTACTGATATTTTAGCATAACGCGCGCCTTCTTGGTTTTTTTTTTTTCCCCACGGCCAAGCTGGGCGACACTCATGCCGCGGCGCTCACCTCCTCGGGTCCCAACCGACTCTTCGACAAACGCTTCCACACGTACTCGCCCGCCAGAACAGGCTCGTATTTGCTTTTCTGTCCCTCATCGAGACACGAATCCAGCGTCTTGATGGTGGCGTCGTAATTGACGCCGAAGAAGAACGGGATCGAATACCGCTCTTGGCCCGTGATGTTCCACACGCGGTGCACGGTGCTGATGAAGCGGTCGTTGGTCCACCTTGCGAGCATGTCGCCGATGTTGACGACGAACGTGCCTGGAATGGGAGGGGCTTCGATCCAGTCGCCGTTGACGTTGAGGATTTGGAGGGCCGGCACGGTGCCTTGGCAGAGGATGGTGAAGCATTCGATGTCCGTGTGGGCGCCGATGCCCAGGGCGTTGGGGTCCGACGGTTTTTGGGGTGGATAGTGGATCATGCGGCCCATGGCGCCGGGGGTGGAGACGAGGGGGTCGAAGAAGTTGGGTGGCAGCAGGAGGACTTCGGCGAAGAGTCGGATCATGCGGCGGGCGAGGGCCAGGACGTCGGCGTAGTAGGCGCTGATGGTTTCTTTGAAGTCGGGGAAGTTGGGCCAGGCATTTGGGCCGGACATGGGGTTGTCTTGCCATTCTGTTGGAGTGTTTAGTACTAGAATGAGGAAGAGGGGGAGGCGGGTTTTACCTTCTGTGTCGTCGGTGCGGGACCATAAGGGGTCGAGGGATCTTTCGTAGCCCCAGTTGAAAGCCTCGTTCAGGTCGGGTTTGCGGGTTTCATCAGTACGCACCTCGGCCGGTGGTTCGTAGCCCCGGAGGATGTTCGACTTTTTGTAGTTGATCTCGTTCTTCTTGCTGAGGTCCTGAGCGAAGAAGTTCTGGGCCAACTCAAACATGCGGTCCACTTTTTCCTGTGGCACACCATGGTCCTTGACGTAGAAGAAGCCAATGCGAGTACAGGCATCGGTGAGCTTTGCTAAGATTTCTTCTTTGCTGGCTGTCAGAGAGATGATGGGAATCTCGTCAAAGTCGGCGCGTCGAGCGGCATCGGACGCGACGGTGCGTTTGGCTCCGGAGAATGACGTGAACTCCATGGCTCAAGGATAAATGATTTGGTGCGCTATACGCGACTACTGTAGACTGAGCTGCAGGGTAATCTTTGCGACTTATAGAAGCACCGGCACAAGGAATTTGAACACCAGGAAGCCGAAGTTCGGTGCATCAGGCAGTAAAAGTCTTGGCGGATCAGCTGATGCCCCACCGCTTTGGGGGAGCGCGCATCGCCGCCGCAGGCAAAGATAAGGCCGCCGGCCAGCAGTTTGTCATGCGCCGTCGGCGACCCTGCCAAGAGGTATATCGGTATATCGGTACGGAGTAAGGTGTTATATCGCAGATGCGTGGACTCCACGTGGAGCACTCCACAATCTAGAACAGATAACGGAGGACAGTGGAACGTGCTATTTAGCCATCATCATGTCCAGGACCCAGCGTCGCAGTCGGTCTGTGACTACAACATGGACAATATCCGGTACCGTGCACGCGCCGCGAAGCAGAACGTTGTCTCCAAGAGAACGAAAGAAGGATGGGTTCTTCCCAAGACTGCAGTCACGTTCGCCGACGAAAACACCTGGAGTAACATCGATACTGATGTGACTCCGCTGGAGCGCCGAACATGGACCAGCTGGACCATCCTGGGCTTCTGGCTGAGTGACGCGTTGTCTGCGCAGAGCTGGGCTGGGGCTTCGGCCGTCATCGCTGTCGGTCTGACATGGTGAGTGATGCCACGCTTCCAAATTTGGATTTTGCTAACTTCTCAAGGCGCGAAGCTGTGTACTGCCTGATTCTTGGAACGCTCGTGGTGACAGTGCCGTTGATTTTGAATGGTGCAGCGGGAGCACAGTTGCACGTACCGTTCCCAGTCGTGGCAAGGTCCGGCTTCGGCTTCTACTTTAGCAGATTCGTCGTCGTTGTTCGTGAGTTGCCCAGTGAGAAACACACAGATAGCGAGTACTAACGACGCTCCAGGAATGGTGACTGCCCTATTCTGGCATGGTGAGTCGAATAACCTCATTTGTGACATTATTCCCTAACAACTGGCAGCCATCCAGACGTACTCTGGTTCAACTGCCATGACGCAGGTGATACGTGCGATATGGCCATCGTACCTGGATATTCCCAATCATCTCCCGGCATCTGCAGGAATCACCACGCAACAAATGGTCTCGCACTTCATCTTCTGGTCGGTGCAGTTCCCAATACTGCTTATATCTCCGCATAAGCTCAAGTGGTTCTTTGTCGTCAAAGCTGTGGTTGTCTTGACAGCTGCGTTCGCAACTGTCATTGGCATGACACAACTCGCAAACGGAGCGGGAGATATCTGGAGCCAGCAACCGACGGTGCAAGGGGCCACCAAAGCCTGGCTGATCGTCAGTTCCATGTCATCTATGACCGGAGGCTGGGCTACTATGGCAACCAACGTGGCTGATTTCACACGATACTTGAAGAGTTCCCGTGGCGTGTACTGGCAGGTCCTTTTTGTCCCGTTGATCATGACACTTCTGGGCGTTTTCGGCATCATCGGAACCAGTGCGGCAAAGGTGGTCTACGGCGAATATATCTGGGACCCGCTCGCGCTGGCGTCGAGATGGGAAGGTCCGGGAGGTCGGGCTGCGGCCTTTTTCGTTGGTGTGGCGTGGTGTATCGCACAGATTGGCACGAATCTGTCGGCCAATGTCATCTCATGCTCCAACGATATGGTGAGCTTGTGCCCAAAGTATCTCAACATCAGACGAGGAGTCGTTATCACCACCGTCACGGCCGGCTGGATCATGGTGCCTTGGAAGATTATCGCGTCGGCCCAGTCATTGCTCAATTTCATGAGCGCTCTTGGGATCTTCCTAGCGCCGATTGCGAGTATCCTGGCTTGCGACTACTGGGTAGTCAAGAAGAAGGCGATCGATGTGCCGGCCCTTTACCGCAAGTATGGTCGATACCGCTATGGCAACGCCGCGGGTACGAATTGGAGGGCGGCAGTGGCATTAGCCATTGGAGTTGTGCCAAACATTCCAGGCATGGCTGCCGCCGTCAACCCTTCGATCAATATTGGAGGAGCGCGATACATTTATGCCATGTTCTACCTTTACGGATTCAGCTCGACGTTCGTTAGCTACACAGTGCTTTCATGGTTGTTTCCTGACCGCGATACACTGCTCCAGGAGCCCATCTTCGAGGATATCGTGGTGGTCGATGGGGTGGAGCGCATCAACGACGGAGTTCTTTCGGCGGATACGAAAGATAAGACGCTGGTCAATGTTGAGGCTGAAGCAGAGGATTTTGAGAAGCGTGCGGATGCGCGGGTGTAGGCAAGCAGTCTGCCTGTCGTAGGTAGAAGTTCCAAGTGAAGTACGTCACATTCGGTCGACGTTTCAGACTTTTCTCTGCTCGAAATTCAATCAACGTAATCATCACGCGGCAACGAGCACATAATGCATTATACTCACTCGGACCGAGCAGTAGAGCATCTCGGTGAGACCGTGGTCGGACGATGGGGGCTCCGAGGTAGTTTTGAGGCACTGCCACAGCCAGGTACCATGACGTTGTTTCTCGGCCCGGAAGGCCGCCGCCATTCGTATCCCCGAAGGCATCTTTCTGCACAACTTTTCATCGCCCCCAGCGGTTCAGATGCTGGATGTGAATTCTGATCTTAGTCCGGAGAAAAGCAGGGAGATCAACACGTGTGCCAGTACCTTGTGCATCCACGCATTACTAGCCCAATTCGACCACATCGATTCATACGACGAACGAACCGCCCGGAACCCACTACGCTCGCACGGCTCCAGGGGTGCAGGGGTGCAGTTTATCCCAGGCCTCCCCCGCCCGGCGCCAGTTCGTGCCGGCAGCCACTATGGACCCTTGCTCGCCCCTATGCAAATGCTTGATCCCTTAATCATCAGCGCCGAAGCGTTGGCAGCCTGACTCAGCGAGAGACAAAGTCGTTGAAATGCGCACATCCACGGCAAACCCCGCCAGATTCACAGGCTTCACGAAACGCTTACAGCTGGCAGAAGTTGGGCCAAAACATATACGCGCATACAGAAAAATGACGGAAGATGATACTGCACTTATCAGACTCTCGAAATTCGCGTTCGATATGTGCCAGGACGGACAAGAGGGGGTTGGGATTTGTTTTCGGGCTGATCCCCAGTCAGCCGCATTTCAATCACTTTGGCATCGCTGAGCAGCCACCAGCCTGCCGAGCTCCAATCGGCCCCGAGAAGCTCTCGTCTATCGCCTTGTGCAAGCTTGGGACCTGCCGCATTCCGCTGTGCCTTTGTTGTCCTTCTCGACGTCGGAGCAGTGAACGCATACTCCGTACAGGCGCCGAAAACAATCTCACATGGCTTACTGGTGATCGGTACTTGGCTCAGCCACCTTGGGCATAGACTATGCTCGAGATGCAGTTCCGTCTTCCGCCAGGGCCGCCTTCATAATTTCAACCGCTGGAAAAGTCCTAATTCGACATGCGTTTGGTATTGGCAGCTGTAAGTTCCGAGAGTGCTTGACTGTCAAACCTTACACCACGGCCTATAAACCCCGCTCTCAGCTCCTCGACACATGCCTCGTACGTCCAGCAGAAGCTAGCATTCACCTCCCTCCGACTTCCCACCATATCCCAACCATGTCGTCGCCACGTTCCTCGCTGTCGTCGTCTGGTTCGTCGTCGGCCTCGTCCGACCGGGATAGGTTACATGAGGTTCAAACCCCTGCTGCAGATGTTGCGCGCCGAGACTACTTTGTTGACGACGACGACCGTCAGTTCGAGCCCATTCGAACTTTCACTCGTGATGAGGATCGACCACAACTAGCCCATCTCGCCTCGCTTCTGTCTCGTAATGTCACCAGGCCCTCGACCCACGACACTGCTGGTAGACAGTCAACCCTGGAGCGCAAGGACACTCTCGCTGGCCTTGAGGGCGATGATCCTGTCTTTGACCCGTCATCACCTTCTTTCGACTTCTACAAATGGGTTCGCTTTTTCATGAGGCAGATGGAAATCGAAGGTATCAAACATCGACGTGCTGGTTTCACATTCAAGAACCTCAACGTTACCGGTACAGGGTCGCCTATCCACCTACAGCAAACAGTCTCCTCCATGTTCTTGGCTCCACTGCGCTTTCGAGAGAATGCCGGAGGTAAGGAGGAAAAGAAGATCCTGCGCGACTTCAACGGCTGCGTCAAGGACGGTGAAATGCTTATCGTTTTGGGCAAACCCGGCTCCGGTTGCACCACCTTCCTTAAAACCATGACCGGCGAGACGAAAGGCCTTAATGTTGCAAAGGGTTCCTCCTTGCACTACAACGGTATTCCTCAGGACATCTACAAGAAGGAACTCAGAGGCGATGTTTGCTACAACGCAGAGAATGACCAGCACTTCCCTCACCTGACGGTGGGAGAAACACTCGAATTCGCGGCCAAGGCCCGCACTCCCTCCACCAGAGTGCGTGAGCTGGGTCGTGACGAGTTCGCACGCCACGTTGCTGCTGTGGTCATGACCATCTTTGGCCTGAGCCATACGTACAACACAAAAGTCGGCAACGATTATGTCAGAGGAGTCAGCGGCGGTGAGCGAAAGCGTGTTTCCATAGCAGAAATGGCGCTCAGTGGGTCGCCAATCTGTTGTTGGGACAACTCTACCCGTGGTCTAGACGCTGCCACTGCCCTCGAGTTCACACGTGCACTTCGTGTTTCGGCCAATGTCGGTGGCGCAACGCATGCTGTTGCCATCTACCAAGCCAGTCAGGCCATTTATGACCTCTTCGACAAAGCAGTCGTCCTGTACGAGGGACGTCAAATCTACTTCGGCCCCGCCAAAGAAGCCAGGAAATATTTTGAGGATATGGGATACGATTGTCCCGTTCGTCAAACCACCGGGGATTTCCTGACATCTGTCACGAATCCGTCCGAGCGTCGTGCCAAAGAAGGCTTCGAGTCAAAGGTGCCCCGTACACCGGATGAGTTTGAGAGATACTGGAAGCAATCCGAAAACTTCAAGAGGGTCATGGCCGAGATTCAAGAGCATGAAACCGAGCACCCCATCGGAGGCAGCGACACCATTGATACGTTCCGTGAAGCCCATCACCAAGCTCAAGCCAAGCACATCCGTCCCAAGTCGCCCTATGTTATTTCCATCCCTATGCAGATCAAACTCTGCACCATTCGTGCTTATCAACGGCTTTGGAACGACAAGACGAGTACCATCACAAAGGTCGTCTCCCAAATTATCATGTCGCTGATCATCGGTTCCATTTTCTTTGGCACTCCGAACAGCACGGCCGCATTCTTCTCCAAAGGCTCAATTCTGTTCTTCGCCATCCTCCTCAGCGCATTGAACTCCATTACTGAAATCAATGGCCTCTATGAGCAGCGGCCCATTGTGGAGCGCCATGTCAATTTCGCCTTCTATCACGCCTTCTCGGAAGCCATCGCAGGTATAGTGAGCGATATACCTATCAAATTCTTGGTATCCGTCTTCTTCAACATCATCCTCTATTTTCTAGGTGGTCTGCGATACGAGGCAGGGAACTTTTTCCTCTTCTATCTCTTCACGTTCATCACCTCTCTGACAATGAGCGCCATATTTCGCACCCTAGCGGCTGCGACCAAGCAGATATCGCAAGCCCTGGCTTTTGCAGGTATCATGGTGCTTGCAATTGTTATATATACCGGTTTCACGATCCAGAGAAGATACATGCATCCTTGGTTCAAGTGGATCTCCTGGATCAATCCTGTGGCCTATGGATTCGAAGCGATTCTTATGAACGAAGTCCATGGCGTTCGGTACGAGTGTGCTACATTAGTACCACCCTATGGCCCACAAATAGGGCCTAACAATTTTGCCTGTGCTGTCCAGGGAGCCAGGATTGGAGAGTTGACCGTCTTGGGCGACGACTGGGCGGATTCACAGTATGGCTATCGGTACACACATGTCTGGCGCAACCTCGGATTTCTGTTCGCGTTCCTCTTATTCTTTTGGGCAGTGTACTTCACTGCAACCGAGCTTAACTTCTCTTCCGCATCCAGCGGCGAGTTTCTGGTCTTTCGACGAGGTCACGTACCGGCTTACCTTACCAAAGGCTCGGATGAGGAGACGCTGCAGGAAAAGGAGATGACGTCTTCCTCTACTGGTGGCTCAACCGGGAAGACGCAGCAAGACGATGCAGTCAATGCCATTCCGGCACAGAAAGACGTTTTTACTTGGCGAGATGTCGTCTACGATATACAGATCAAGGGCGAACCCCGGCGTCTGCTTGATCATGTCAGCGGATGGGTCAAACCGGGCACACTGACAGCGCTCATGGGCGTGTCTGGAGCTGGCAAGACCACCTTGCTTGACGTCCTGGCCCAACGGACGAGTACTGGCGTTATCACAGGTGACATGCTGGTGAATGGCAAACCTCTCGATGCGAGCTTCCAGCGAAAGACTGGGTACGTTCAGCAGCAAGATCTGCACCTCGAGACTACCACAGTTCGGGAAGCACTGCGCTTTTCCGCCATGCTTCGGCAGCCCAAGAATGTTTCGAAGGAGGAAAAACACGCTTACGTCGAAGAGGTCATCAAAATGCTTCACATGGAAGACTTCAGCGACGCCGTTGTCGGCAACCCGGGCGAAGGTCTGAACGTGGAACAACGCAAGCTTTTGACTATTGGCGTGGAGCTGGCCGCCAAACCTGCTTTGCTACTCTTCCTCGACGAACCAACGTCTGGACTCGACTCTCAGAGCTCCTGGGGCATCGTGGCTTTCTTGCGCACATTAGCCGACAACGGCCAAGCGGTTCTCGCCACCATCCATCAGCCTTCAGCCATCCTCTTCCAAGAATTCGACCGTCTTCTGTTCCTAGCCAAAGGAGGCAAGACTGTGTATTTCGGTGACATCGGCCACAACTCGAGGACCCTGCTCGACTACTTTGAGGGGAACGGTGCTCGTCAGTGCGGCACCGAGGAGAATCCAGCCGAGTACATGCTCGAGACGGTGGGTGCCGGTCCCAGCGGCAAACCAACCGCCGACTGGCCTGGAATCTGGAAGGACAGCACACAGGCAACTGGTGTGCAACGAGAGCTGGATCGCATTCACGCCGAGAAAGCCAAGGAACCTCCTGCTGGCGACGGCAATTCCAGCAGTCAGTTTGCGATGCCGTTTGGCATCCAGGTCGCGGAAACGATGAAGCGCGTCTTCCAGCAATACTGGCGCACACCGGCCTACATCATTGGCAAGGTTGCACTGTGTACCATGTCGGCATTGTTCGTTGGCTTCAGTTTCTTCAAGCCGAATTCTTCCTCTACCGGTCTTCAGAATGCTCTGTAAGTTATTTCGGGCCTCAACCTTTTGAAAATCGTCACTGACTCTGGTCCCTTTCAGATTCTCAATCTTCATGATGACGACCACCTTCTCGACCCTGGTGCAACAGGTAAGTCCTTCCACACCTTTGCCTCTCCCTGACGCCCACCTACTGACTCAATTGCAGATCATGCCGCGCTTCGTCCTCCAACGCTCCCTCTACGAAGTCCGCGAGCGGCCGAGCAAAGCGTACTCATGGCAAGCCTTCCTCATCTCCAACATCATAGTCGAGATCCCCTACCAAATCCTCGTCGCCATCATCGTCTGGGCCTGCCTCTACTTCCCCGTCTTCGGCGCCCACCAAAGCTCCGAGGTCCAGGGCCTCTTCGTCCTCTACTCGATCCAATTCCAGATCTTCACCTCGACCTTCGCGCACATGCTCATCGCGGGGCTCCCCGATGCCGAAACCGCCGGCGGCATCGCCACCACGCTCTTCTCCCTCATCCTCACCTTCAACGGCGTCCTCCAACCTCCCGACAACCTGCCCGGCTTTTGGCTCTTCATGTGGCGCGTCTCCCCTCTGACCTACATCGTCGGCGGCCTCGCCGCCACCACCCTCCACGGCCGCCAAGTCCACTGCGCCGACAATGAACTCGCCGTCTTCGACCCCCCATCGGGCCAGACCTGCGCCGAATACCTGAGGGAATACCTCGCGCAGGCGCCCGGTCAGCTGTATAATGGCGACGCCACGGCGCGCTGCGAGTACTGCCCCATCAGCAACGGCGACCAGTTCCTCGCGGGCAGCCGCATCTCGTGGGACCAGCGGTGGCGCAATTTTGGGATTGGCTGGGCGTACATCGGCTTCAACATCTTTGCGGCCGTGTGGCTGTATTGGTTCTTCCGGGTGAGGAAGAGGGGCAGTGGGGGAGGCGCGAAGAAGTGGTTGGGGAAGCTGGTGTGGTACGTGTCGCAGGCTGGGTGGTGGGTTAGGCATCTGTTTGTTCGGCACCCGGCGGGGTATAAGGAGGACTTGGCAAAGGTGGCAACTAATGACAAGGTGTTCTGATGTGTTATGATGGTGGGTCAAGAGAGGTTGGGTTGGGTTGAGTTAATTTGACTGATTGACGGCTATGGTGATGGACCGTCGGCTTGCAGAGCACGAGCAGGACCAAAAGTGGAATACGCTAGCCGAACCTGCTGGAATCGACTGAGTTTGTTTTCTGTCAATCGAACAGTGGTTGCCGGTTACCACCAAAAGTGTGCGAACTTCCTGGAATGCTTTCGATCGGTAGAATATCTTTCTTGCACGACTCTTTCCTGTTGCGTGGTCCTTCGTAGATACCTAGCTGATGTTCTCAGTATCCCTTCTCCTTCTTCTTCTTCTTTCCCATAACGCTGATTCAAGAGCATTTTCACGCGTTGCGTCACGGCGGAGATAGCGGCAAGTGCCCAGAGTGAGGCCAGGCAAACGTGGTTGATCGACAGCGAAGGCGAGGCAGAGACGTATTCCTTATGGGGACTAGTGCTGTACTCGCAGACCCACTTGCTAGAAGGCTGGGTGTATCTGATTCGCTGGCAGATCGCTTGCTGTCGATCTCGACTTTGAACGAGTAGAGTTGTTCGATATCGTGGCGTGGATGAAAGCGACAAGTCTCATATGTTCTACGAGTTGTGCGACTCCTCATAAGATGAAGAAGACAACACTGCAGGATTTGCGTCGTGTCGGTGTTGGTCGTCGGGTGCAGATGGCCTGGCGGTGCAAATGATCTGCAAATTTTGAGAGCTGTGTTATTGGAAGGGTTGGTGAGGCAGGGATCGGTCATCGCGGCTACAGTAGCTTCGACCGGGCATATGAGGAGATATACTGGTGTACGGTGAGATCAGTGGGTTGAGGCACGGGAGGTATTGCTAGGGTGTTGTGACGAGTTGTGTCAGCTCTCATGATTGGCACTTATATCATGATGCCTCGTGAGGGGACTGGAGTCTAGGCCATCTGATGATACGTTGTTCACTCTTTCCAGGCCTAAGTTAACATATGCGGCAGTTGCGGGAGATCCACTGGGATCGTGGCCGCTCGGTGGCCGTTTCGGGACGTGCGGTAGGCGGTTTGGTGTTGGTCGGGTCTCGTAAGTCTCTAATGCGAAAATGGTCCGTCTAGCCCTTGGCCGAGCATCTGTGTTGATGTGTAGGGCATTATCGAGGGTCGGTGCGAGTGCTGAGGGCTGAGCAATATCAGTCAGGATGTGGTAGTTGCCGAAATGCATGAACGCAGTCATCTGCTTGAAGATGATTGGGCCTGGCGTTAGTGGAAAGGGAATTTAATGGAGGCAGGAGTGTCGATTTGGCTGAGAGTAAGAGGCGTCCTGGAAGGACGAACTAATCTCTATATCAGCTTTGCACCGAGTCTGTTTCTCGACACAGTGGGAGAAGCTTGAAGGGTTTCGCTGCCTCTGAGGCACACTCGGCAAGTCTCTCGATGCCCACGCATGGAGGTGAAATGTCGACGAGAGCGCACTGAGGCTCAAGTGAATGTCACCTTCGATCTCCGACTGCGCCATCAACCGCGTGCGAGGATTCACTCCTTGTCCGTCACCAGGACAACATCAAAATCTGAACAACAACGACTCTTCAAATTTATCCTTTGCTGCGCTGGTCCACCTACCTTACCTACCTCTACATCTTGACCAAGAGAATCCGCCGATCGAGCTTGAACTCGACACGATTTGTCTTTCCCTTGCCTTGCCGTCACCACGATGTCGGCCGACCAGGTCGCTCAGCCTGCGGGCGAGTACCCCGCCGCCATCACCGCCCCTCCCGGTACGATGCCACCCACTGAACCGAAGAAGAAGGACAACATCATCAAGCGTCTGATCAACAAGATTAGGTGAGTTTCATTCCGATCCGATCCGCTCGGCCTCCACACAGAGCAAGTTCTGATAATTGTTTAGGCTCATCCTCCGAGGCAAGAATACAGCCACTCGGCCGCCCTTGACGGCCAGGGCTCCGGTCTCTGTTGGCTCGAACCCACACGGTGAAACGGAGCAGCCAAGCACCGGGCAGAATGCTGCTGTCGTTGCCGGAACCGCTTCTTGAGATCCTTCTCCAGCATCAATACCTTTGAAGCGGGGAGGGGTTTTGCGAGAGCATGGGTATGGGACGAATGGACGCATGACAAGAACGATTCAAACTCAAGGAGATGAGACAAAATGAAAATCGAAAGGGCGATACCAATAATGGCAGTATCGGCGAGCGATGGCTCGAGTCATGGCTTGTAGCCGGACTGTTGAAGAATGCCTCAGAGGCTTGAACCACCTGCGCAAGGGCGACGGACTTTCGACATAGCCTCAACTATGATAGACCAGGACCAGTCGATGACAAGAACCTGAATCATGCTGTTACCCTTGTCTCCGGCCATCCTGACGCAGTAGCTGCACTTGCGCTTGGCCGCCATCGACTCATGACTCTGACTCCGACGAAGCCCGAGGTCGCCGTTGGGTACGCAATAAGCTCGTGAGTGTATTTGAGTCGTGTGTTCTGTTGCTTGTCTGCGTCTGTGCCTGTTGGCGGTCCAGCCCCCCCTTTCAAGGCTTTCGGCGTAATTCTGACAGCCACGGCGAACGCCAAAGCGGGTTCCAGAACGACGGTCGCACAGTATGGAGGTACAGAGTGCACCGCATGGTGCGAAAAAAATGGCAAGGGCCCAGACCCCGCGGGTGGACTTTGGGTGTGTTAGCTTGTTTTACACCAAAAGGTTGAGGCAAACCTGGCTGAGAGTTTCCTTGCTCTATATACACCATGCGGGCTTGCAGCTGGTCGGAGTAAGTATTCCGCACGAACCATAGTGATCGGGCTTCTTTGCGGTTCCGCGGATGATGTGCTGGGGCTTGAAAGCCCGACGGCTGGTTTCTTAGCACGGCTGCGGCCTTTGCAGCCAAGCGACCCGCCATCCTGGATACTGCATACAATGCTCCTTCGTTGATCATGGACTGGTCCCGGACTGGTCTTCATCTGGCAAGTTTGCTCCCACGCAGCTTCCGGCTTAACTCGATTGGACACAGCAAAGCACGTGCCGAACATATCGTGCAGGTGGCGCGCTCCGACGGGCCTCTTCCGTGCGCCAACCGTACCCGCTCTCGCGATCTTGCACAAAGCCTAAGCCGGGTTCCCCCCCCAGAGTCTAGGGGAATTGAGCCGGTGCTGATCGGACATGGTTCGGGGATAGTCCCTACAGTACTGCATCGTTTGCAACAATGACCAGGTGCCGCGAAATCACAGCCAGCCCCTGGTGCCACGAACGAGGGATAGGGCCGTTCAGGTCCAGGGCGATAAGAACAGGCAGTTGTTCGTCCCCGCAGGACATGCTCACGCCACCTCGCTAATGGCCGTGCTTGTCGCATATCTGAGAGGAGATATGCCCTGAGAGAGGAGCCCCCCGCGTCACGGACTTTGTCCACTAATCCAACCGACAAGATGTCAGACAGAAAGAGCAAAGGTATGCCCGCAAATGTTCTGGAGCACTGCCAGAGAATCGCCAAAGAGGGCAACGAGAAGTACTTGAAGGACTCGGACAAGAGGCTGCAGTAAGCTGACCTCGTCCTAACCTGTCTGCTTGTCTGACGATAACTTTCCATTAGGGCCATTGAGAAGGACGCCAGAAAGATCATGCAGGAAGCTGAACGAAGAGCAGCCGCAAAGAAGTGATAGGCTGGTAGCAGACCATCGCCCCGGCCGACCACGAACACGGCGCCTGCGACGGCCCTCCTCAGTCAAGTCCAGCGGCAACTACACCGCCACTGTCCCGCAGTGACTGCTCTTTCCCTCTACACTCGACAATGACAGACCACCCAATGTTCTCATCCTGTTCCACACATCACACAAACTCGCGCGACACACATAAGACCCGGGTCGACGCTGCAGTGTTCCATCAAAGCAAACATACAGTGCCATGCTATCGTCACCCGTACCGGTTGATTGTTTAACCAAATGCGGGTTTCGAGAACAAGGCCTTCGCTCCTTAGCACGACGCGGTGTACCCTGCCGAACACTTAACCCCCTTTCGACTCAAGTCGTTGACGGTCTCCGAAGGCTGTCTCTCCAATGCAAGAACCGAAAGGCAGCAGAGAATCCTGCTGCCAACGACACACAACAAGATAAACAAGGAGACCGAATATCATATCGAGCGACTATCCTCCGAGCATGCCATAGGCTCACATTTGTCGGCGGACGAGACAGGAGGTGGACAAGTATAGATCTGGTTGCCTGCTGCGTCTACGAAAGCTCTGGCATGTTCCCAAGGCTCACACTAGCCAGACGATGGCCATGGCCGATATTATGAATACCAAAGTCCAATATCGGTTGATCACTCTTCCGCTAGCCGCTGCAGCTGTACCAGACACTGCCATCATGCTAGACACGAACACCGTATCATGAACACCTTGGCAGTGTCCGGAGGATCTGTACAGGCCAGTATCTCCCCTTTCTCGTACGCTAGCGAGCTATCAACGTTGCTTTTTCAGCGCTAGCTGTCAGCGAACATGCAAGCTGAACAGAGCATTCCCCAACAGGAAAACAGCAAGCCTCTTCCGTCATTAGCGCAGATCCACGCTTGCCACCACTGTGCCCCACGATTGCGCTTGAAACAATGTCAAAATGTACAGACTCAACTTCAGGATCATCCCAGTTTTGTGGAGACTTAAAAGATCAGATCAGATCGTCTATGGGGCTCGGAGCTGTACACATATAAGCACGGCCAGTAAATTTAAAAGGTAGTAAATCTAGGACTGACTTCGATATGTTGTCGGTCAGTCCCACCGTCGTGATGCGACCAACAGGTGGGATAAGTCGCTCAAAAACGCCAGCGAATGCTTCAGAAAGCTCTTGGATGAAAAGGTTGCACAGGCACGCATCTGCCCCTCATCGCCTCCTCTCGACCGGCAGTTCCACAGCCGCCGGCCCATTCGCCGGCATCTCACTGACGACGCTCTGCCCGCTCATTTCGACCGGCGCAGCCCCATACCCGGCTTGGCCCGGATATTGCTTCTGTTTCTCCATGGCGTAGGCCTGCTCGCCATACGCTCCGTTTGGGCTAACGCCCATTGGACTCTGCCCATAGCCATGAGCAGTAGCAGCAGGACTGACGCCACCCATCAGCCCCGCGTTCGGGCCCATCTTGTCCTCCAAGTGCGAGTTGTGGTTCCGGGCTGCACGACGCCGCCGCATAATTAAGAATACTAGTCCGGCGATGGCGCCGATGCCGATGATGGTGCAGCCAACGGCGATGCCGGCTGTGGCACCCGTGGAGAGACCGCTGTCATCGTCGGATGAGGATGAAGACGAGGAAGAGTTGGCAGAGTCGGAAGAGGAGGAGGAACCGGATGAGCCGTTAGAAGCGGCTTCATCGGCGGCGGACCCGGTTTGGGAGGCGGAGGAGGATGGGACGCTAGCGGATGAGTCTGGAGAGGGGAAAGACGTTAGTGCTGGGTTGTGATGATAGTGGTGATCGGCATGTCTATGATAGGTCATTTGGAACAACAGCAGCAGCGACAGTACGTGCATTGCGGAAGAGAAGCTGGATGGCTCTCTGCTGTTGGCTCTCCGCTGTAGCACGTCCCAGAACTCTCTTTCTTTATTGTCGAGCCCTCGCTGCTGTTGTGCCAGAGCACACATTCTAGATGAAGACAAGGAGGGGGAACAATTACTTACCGGTAGCAGTAGGAGCGGATTGCTCCGACGCGCTCTCGGTCTGCGTGTCGAACAGGTCACCATTCGCGGCTCTAATCTCGAACAACTCGCCATCGGTCGTGACGTTCGGCTGGGTCGCGCAGGCAGAGTACATGGTATCCATGACTAATTTGAAGAGAATCTTTATGTCAGCATGATTTCTTGTAGTAGCAGGTGTGAATTTGCGTGTGAGAGGCCGGGGCAAGGCAGCGGAGCAGCAGCGGAACAGCAGAGAGAGACTTACAATTCCCCAAGATGACGGTGCCCGTCCGATTCTTCAGGCAGGCCGCACAGTCGGGCGCATAGTTTGGGTAGACGCCCGAGGTGGCGTCGCAGTAGTCGTAGAGGTATCTCGGCGGGGTGGTGTCGCCCCACAGGGTGGTGAGCACGGACTGCAGGGGCGAGCACTCGGTGGCGCAGTCGTCGATCTGGTTGGCGCTCGCGTCGAAGAGGCAGTATTGTTGCGTATATTTAAGGTGGACTATTGAGGTGGGGGAGATATGTCAGGAAGCTGACTGATGTGACGCGGGGGGATCATAGGGAGGGTAGGGTAGGACAGGGCATGGCAGGTGTGAGGTGGGTTTTGGGCTGGCAAAAGGACTTGGGAAACAGAATTATACGTACACATAAACCAATACTGATCCGTCGCGGTATCGCTGCTGTTGGCATAGTCGCTCGTCTCGGTGCACGTCAGGCACTCGCGCATCTGCTTGCCCGCGGCGGTGCCCGAGGTCTCGTCGTAGGCGGCGTCCAGGCACGAGAGATCTTGCGTAACCGTCAGGCTGCCGCCGTCGCATTGGTCGTAGCAAGGCGAGGCTTTGCCGATGTGGAGTGAGAGGGTCGGTTGGACTAGGAGGAGGGCTTCTGTGAGGAGGAAGAGTAGCGTCGTTGGGAAGGGAGAGGGAGCCATGGTTGTTTGGGCGTGGGCACGCGGAGGCCCGTGTAGGAGAGTATAGGTGGGTGTGGTGAGGGAGTGTGTCTTGTGTGTATGTGTGCGGCGGGCTTCAATGCTTCTCCGGGCGGAATGGGCGATAGGCACGAGCGGAACGGGATGGAACTGCGTACGTGTCTGCCCTCCTTGAACGACGTACAACAGGGAAGAGTGACGTGAGGATAGGGAGCGCAGGCAAAGACAGAGCGCACCCTCGCGAGAACGCAGAGACGAGAGAAGCGTTAGGGGAGAAAGTCCCAAGAGTCCGATGAATGGTTTCAAAACAGCACGCCGTGCCGGAGGAAAACCCTGTGCTACTCACCTCGCAAGTGTCGCACAGGAGGCTCCGTTCTACTAGACATACCTCGTCTCGCGTCCCCGTGCCGGGGGCTAAACGCCAACCTGTTGGCCCTACCAGTGGCAGATCCTTAAGGCAGGTCGCCTTGCCTGGCTAGTGGGGGCCCAGGATCTGCAGTCCTGCGAATTATGACACGCGCATCGTATACAGCAACGGTAGCGGAAGATGCAGGGGGGCCCGTTTGAGCTAGGAGGCTTTGTTGATGGATGAAAAAACCGACAAGCAACGGGCGTGAAGAAGAAGGTTGTTTCGGTTGTGTCTAATATTGGAGCTTGCAGAAGCCGCGGACGGATTCGATTGGATCCGAGAAGCACCAGAAGGATACGGCGCCCTGCCAAGCCAAGCTTCGGTCGAGCCTGGCGGGAGAGACTTGCACAAGTGCATTGGCCGACTACGGAGTACGGAGTACGGGCTATAAGATCTATGGAGTATGAGAGGCAAACAAATGGAGTGATGAACCAATGCAGTGGGCTCGGAGTGATGATCGTGGAGATTCTCGCACCCGATGACCAAGGACTCAGCCGATTTGTGAATCTCCTTAGGTGCCTAGATGTCTCCCACTGCTCCGGGAACGCTTCTACAGCGTCCTAGTAGAAGTTTAGCAGAGGTCGAGAACACCGAATGCTGCAGCGCAATCACAGTAGGCTCCACTCATGGGAAGCGTCGCCGACCTCGCCTTACACAGGAACACGCATGGTACAGATGACTTGTGCTCATAAAGGTACTTGTACCTCGTCGTTACGAATAGGCTATGTACTCGTCCTGGCAGTGCTGCAGACAGACCTCGCTCGCTCTCCAAACACAAAAACACCGTTGTCCACGTCTCACTTTTTCTTCCCTTTCTTGTCAAGGCTGTGGTGCTTCTGGTGGTGGTTGTTTCTGGGCACAACGAGTGGCTGTCCCTAGAAGATATCATCGCATCTCGACCAGTCGCCCTCGTGTCGAGATTGCCAGTAGTCGCCGTGGAAGTCCCAGAACCATTCGCCCGTCACCTCGTCTTTCTTCTTGCTGAACCACTTCGGCTTCCATTCCGCACCCTCGTTCTCTCGCACCCTCCGTGCCGCGCGCTGCTTCTCCTCCACACGGTTCTTCTCTGTCGCTGCAAAGTCATACTCGCCGTCCTCCATGGCGCGCTGGTCCGGCCGCAGGCGAGTATCAGTGGGTGGCAGCTTCGCCCGAAGCGTGTCGGGAACCGCATTCAACGTAACAACAAAAGGCGTGAGATTGAAGGGTATGCCCGATGGCCGCTCGTGGGCTTGCCACACGAGCATTGCTTGGTTGGCGCGTGCACCCCCAACTTCGATGTCTTCGAAGCCTTCGGTAGCCCTGGCGTAGAGCTTGTCGTTCCAGCGACCACCGATGCTCCATTTGGTGACGCCAGACCCATCCGTCACCTTGCCCTGTACCTGGTACGCAGAGCTGGGTTTCCACCCACGCGCTTTAAATTCGAGCAGGCAAACCTCGCCCGTAGTCCAGTTCTTGATCTCCATGGGTCCGTAGTTGTCGACCACCGGGTTGCCGGTGATGATGCCAACCACCGAAGATGTGACCTTCTTCCAGGTGTAGATTTCTGGTGGACCGTTACGTGGTCGGATTCGCAAGAACCACGTGCCGAGAGGATTGATGTCGAAGCTCTTGCCGTAAAACTTGCTCTTGACTGCACTCTCGCCCCAGTAGTCCCACTTGGCCGACTCGGCATACGCAGCACCAACCGGCGGATGATGGCTAACCTGCTCGATCACAAAGCGGTAGCCTTTGTCGGGCCGAACATATTCGTACGTTTCACCCAGCAACGGGTTGAATGGCTTCGCAACTCGCCCGATAGTTGATGCATATTCTGATGCAGCGAAGGCAGCCACATAGACCATGCGCTCGGTTGAGTCTGTCCGGTCAGCAGCAATGTCCAACAAATCGGTATATTCCATGTCTTCAGCAACGCGTTGCAATAGCGATGTAGGCTCGTTGAACGTCACGGGTAACGTCATCTTGGTCATGTCCTTCCCAATCATAGACTTCAAGATGCCCCAGAGCGAAATTTTCGGTCGATTGTCAGCGTCCATCTTGAGTCGCTGGCGTACACCTTCTTCGTAGCCAGCAAACGATGGCTCAATGGCTTTGATCTTCTCCGCCCGCACGTCGCCCTCTTGCTGCACCTCGGCTGCGGGCTCTGGAACAGCCTCTGCAGGAGGACGTTCAATGACCTCAACCTCGCCCGCATCAACGGCGTCGAAAAACTCCTCGTCATCTCCAGACTCCGAGTCGGACAGGTTGGTGTATTGCGCGATGACTGACTTCCTGCGATTTCCATCACGAAATGTAGTAGACAACCTCCTATTCCTGACCACTGCAGCAGCCTTGGCCTCGGGCCGAATATGATCGTCGACCGCTTCAGCAAACTCGATTCGCTGCGAATCCTGGAGCTGCATAGAACCAGGCCGACTGGTGGGTCGTGACTGACCCTCGAGGGCCTCCTTGAGCGCGCGCTTCGTTCTCTTACGCTTCTCTTCGGACTCGGCAATCGACTTCTTCAGGTCCTCGTGCTCGTAAGCGATCTGAGCCATGCTCTCTTCCCACATCTTGCGAGCATCGGCGTCTCGGTCCAGACGATATTGCCAGTATGCATCGCGATCTCGCGAGATTTTGAGCAGGTCGGCGATCAGGCTGTTCAGGCTGATGACCGCCGTGTCGTACGCGGATAGAGCTTGCGCGACCTCAGGGTCAGAGAGCTTGGTCTCGGACGCAGAAGATGCTCGACTATTGAGTGCGCCCGAAACACGTGCAAGCAGATCCAACTGCAACTTGGCAGACTGCGCTGTGATGTTGAAGGCGTCCTTGCTTCCAGGTTGGTGGACTTCATGACTACTAGCATCGTCACCGTCCATGTCCTCCTCGCCATCAATAGTTGCTGTACCAGCATTTGTCGGCAGACGTTGAAGTTCGTCGCCTGCAAGACTCTGCTCGAGCGAATCGTATTGTGAACCAGCTTCGATGTCGGAGCGGAAGCTGACCCTCGAAGCAGTAGGTGCCACTCCAAGCTGACCGCTCTTAGGTCGGGAGCTTGTGACACTGAGATTGGATTGCGGAAGGTCGGATTGAGACTGCCTCACAGAATCAGTGTCTGGGACTCTCCTCTGATTCTCTTCTTTGGCTTCGTCCTTGGCGTACTGGATGGCGTTGTTGAGCGACCAGAACCAGCGCTTGGCCTCGACCACGTGATTCGCTTTCAAGTGATATTTGACCGACGACTTGCCATGAATTTCAAATCTGGTCTTGTCTTGCGAGTCCATGTGCAAGCGGGCGATCCGCATATTGATCGCGCCGCGGCAGGCCGAGCCAGCATCATCCTGATGCTTGTAGTAACTTAGCACCCCATCTTCGAGCACGAACCATCTCAGTTTGTAGCCGCTGGTGTAATTGGTCCATTTTTTCAGATAGCCCTTCATCTCCCTTGCGTCCTTACCCGTGTCGCTTGTGGCAGCACCACGAGCTTGTGAAGGATGACTTCCCAAAATCGCCTTTTCTTGAATGCCCCGTTGTGCAGCAGCGGCCGCGGGCGACTTCTTCAGTATAGCTCTCGTGCGATCATCCTTGGTAACATCTTGCGGTAGTTTGCCCTTGCGATCTCTTCGGAAAGGGTCTGCGCCGTGAAGCAGGAGCAATTGGGCAAGTTGGATATCTCTTTTCCGCGCAGCCTCGTGGAGGAGAGTACCGCCAGTCTGCACAGTTTGTGGTTCCGTCGGCAGCTCAAGTGCGTTGACATCCAGTGAGCCTTCGACACGCGGCTCAACGAGCAGATCCTCGATCTTCTTGTATTCATTCTTCACGACATGCTCCTGCACCTGTTTGACGACGCCGTCAAGGAATAGTGACTTGGACAGCTGCAATTGACCAAAGATTTCAGGAGTTCTAGCAAGATCGATCGGGAGCTTTCCATGCCTGTTGACAATGGTATCGTTGACTTGGGGCTGATCAAGCAGCTTGACTACAACTGGTGCGCGACCAAGCTGCGCTGCAAGATGTAAAGGCGTATTTCCTTCTCGATCTTGTGCATTGACATCGAGGCTGCTGCCTTCTGTGATTACTTGCTCGACGACCTGTGGTTCAGCGCATTGAATGGCCAAATGTAGGATTGTCGTCCCGGGTATCGGCTGCGGCTGGGAGGATGAGGGCTCGTTGTCCTGTATGGCCTTACTGATAGCGGCTGTGTCTTTGCTTCGAAGCGTCTCGAAAACACGAAACGTCCGTACAGAGTCGTCGATGGAGCCAGTTGCGGCAAGCGGGACTCCTGATGCGACGTTCTCGACATCTTCTTCGATGGCGGAAGGTGGGGCACTGTCCATGGTAGTTTGGGAGAGTTTCGAGGTCGTGAGAGTCAGAGGCGAGAGGCGACTTGCTTCACCGACACTCAAGTTACTGGCGGAAGCGTTGCTCGGCGCGAGCAGACCGTTAGTTGAGCTGGTCTCGGAAGCGGCGTCCTTGGGTGTGGTGTCGCCTCGGAGGAGGTTCCGGACTCGCGAGCTCTTGGAGCGCTTGTGGCTTATTGGCCTGTCTCCCATGTCAGCGCTCGATGCAAGTGAATAAAAAAGATTGGCGGTGATGGGAAGCTATGAAGAGAGGATTGTAAATCTGGCAAGCTACTACTAACCTTTCTGGAAAGCACGAACTGGGGGGATCATAGTGTCGCTTGAACGATGGCGAGCTTTACTTTCCAAGTCAACCCCACCATGGCGTCGCAAAGAGTCTACTTGGTAGGGGCTAGAGCGGGCATGCGCAATGACGCCAGAGTAGACTCCAATCGTTGGAGAAGAACTGTTGACGTGCACTGCCACCACAACCGTCAGCCTACACGAACGCATAGGGACGGAGGCTGCGTGTGCTTCTTTGCCGCTTTGCTCTGTGCAGATTGTTATACTGTTATGCTTACTACTTGGTGGCGATGATCTGAGGGCGCTCCCACCTGGAGTGCGGATGTGCGAGCACGAGTTTGCGCCTCTGTAAGTACGCAATCATCGGAAAAGCAAAACAAAAGATTGTGTTTCCGATAAAGCCGGTCAATCACAGCCTACGAGGAGAATGAAGAGACATTCGTAAATGGCAATCGGATTCTTTTGATCTTCGCATGTGCCCAAGTTGCCCGCGGATTAGATACTGGCGCAAGGTCTAGCCCAAAAGGTCGTCTAAGCCGTTGCCGAGCGGCTTCGCGCCTTGTCCAGAAGTTGTGTTTGACGTGCTCGTAGTATTGGACGCAGCAGGTGCTCCCCAGATACCTGCATCACTCTTTGCCTTGGCCATGCTTGCAAGGTTGGGGCCCTGCGAGATAGGCTTGCTCTGCACACCAGCTTTGGTTCCAGCGGCAGACCACAGATTAGCGAAAGCATCGCCTCCGCTGCTTGCAGTGTTGGTCTTAGCAGCCGGCTTGCCAAGATTCGCCATGGATGTTGGAGTAGACGTCGAAGATGCGAATGAAGGTTGGTTGGAGGTCGGCATGGATGGTCGCGCCGCAAATGCTGACGGCTTTGACTGACTAGTGTTCATCGAGGCGTTGACTGATGTAAAGTAATTGGGACCGGATGGCTTCGGAGCCTGAGAGACTTGCGCTTGCAGCGGCGGAGAAGCGAGAGATGAGACCGATCGAGTCTGAGAGGGCGTGGGAGAAGGAGCGCTGAGGATACTGTTGAGGTTGGCCGCCTGTCCCGGCGCGACGGGCTGTGGGGCTGCAAATTGAGTAGCAGATGTCGTTGTTGAAGTAGTGGGAGGCGGTGATAGAATGCCTAGCGAGCCAGCACCAGGTGCTGGTGCCGCCACGCTGGGAGACGTGGCTGATTGGAAATCGTCAAAATCGTCATCGTCGGCAACAGCACCGCCTGCTGGCGCACCGAAATCAGCCAGAGCTCCGCCAGTAGAGGTCGCAGGCGCTTTACCACTGCTGGTTGTCGCAGGCTCATCGTCGCCAAAGTCGAAGAGATCTTGCTCCGGCTCTTTCGGCTTTGGAGGTGCTCTCTTCGTGGCAGATGCGGTGGGCGTAGACCGTGAAGCAGTAGGCCGACTGGTAGTGTCTTCGTCCTCGTCGTACTCTTCGAATTGGTCCGCTCTCCGCTGTGTGCCAGAGAAGTCCGTTTCTCGGCCACCGAAGCCACCACCATCGCCATAGACTTCACCCTGGTAGCCACCAAAGTTTCCGGTCTCGCTGCCAAAGCCACCATAGCGACCACTTCCACCAGAGAAGCCACCCAGAGTGCCAGCCCCACCCTCCACGCCGCCATATTTGTTTTTGTTTACACGAGCTTTCTTCCGCTCGGCGCGGATCGTCTCGACATCGCCCAGGAGCTTGGTGAGCTCCGCCGAACGGTTTCGCACATTCACGCCCTGGTCTTTGCCGTTGGGATCAACATAGTGAAACTGCCGCAGCATCCGCAGGAGCGACATGTGGCTTCGTGCATCGTCTACTACTCGCTCACTGCCATGCTTCACAAGGAACTCGAGGAGCTGAAGAGCCTGATCTGTCCTTAGAATGGATTCTCTGCCAGACCGTGGGACGCACCTTGTATATCTGCCGCCACTCTTCTGCGGTCTTGTCTGTGAAGCGCTTATAGATCATTGGCATGATCTCGTTGAGTTGTTGACTGTGCACATGTCAGTCTCCCACGTCGGGCAGTTGTGCGTTCGACTGACTAGTTATGAGTGCCCCGAGCGATCTCCTGCATCAGAGTCGCCGAGGCACCCCAGGGATCGCCGTTGGTTGCTTCACGAACCTGCTGCGGTCAGTCTGGATGTTGGGATGCGGAACACGTCAACGTACCTTGGCCTCCATCTCCGTGAGGTTCATGACGGCTGCTCATGTTCAGTTCTCGTTCCATCGGTGTAAGTGGACGTGCATACCATTTTGAACCTTCCGAACACCTGCCTTCACATCGTAGAGTGTCAGGTTGCTGACCTGATTCTTGAGGCTGTCGAAGTCCATGTTAGCGATCTGCCTGGCGGACTGTATTTTTGACACAGAGATGCTCTCGCCGAAGGTAGACGGGAGACGAGAGTTCAGAGAGTCGATGCGCAGGCCCGAATCGGATCACGACAACGGTCCAAATAATGGCCAGGGAGCGCAGGGACACGTCTTGGAGAAGACCCCCGCCAAGCACGAGCATGTCGTTTCAGGTTTAGGGTGGATCTTCTACTTACAACTCCATCAACACGATCGGCGTAGTTCCAGTCCCCTTCGAGGACCGCGTAACGCAATCTTGGAAAGTAGATGAAGAGGACGACAACGACAAATGTCAGTATCATACTGAAGATTTGTGGTGCGAGGTCGAGTTGGATGTTGTAGAGGTTGCTCTCTTATTTGGTAACGGATTGTCACAAGAACGCGGGTGGGTCTGGGCGGAACGAGTAATCGTTAGCAGCTTCAGCCATTTCAACATCTCCGGAAGGAGAAGAACGAGGAGAATGGTGACGAAGATCGCAAATGCTTGCTATGGAAGGTTGGTTGAGACTTCACTAAATGACGAGAAGTGGCCACGCAGTGACTTCCTCCGCTGTTTGTTCTGATGCACGGACCCGTAAAGTCTCTACTCTCTAGTCTCTCAAGTATTTCTCCTATCAACCCATCAACTGGCCCAGATCATCTGGAGGCCATCTTGTTTGTGCAAAAGTAAGACATCTCTTCACCGACTGCAGCATCTTCCTCGTCACTTCGTCACTCATGATGTGTGCCTGCTTGTCATGCTCATGGAGCTTCTCTCGTGCACTACGCTCGTGAATACCGACCATCGTCACGCCGATCGGCCAAGCGGCCTTTCCAATGCTGAGAGTGAGGTATGCATCGTTGGCTTTGACGTACTGTCGCTTCTGTATGAAGCGTACAATCTCGCAGAGCGGAGGTATCAGGTCAGGCTCCAGGGTGTTCGCCTCCATCTTGCGGAACATGGGTGTCAGGTCAGAGAGCACTGTCAGGTATGACTGGTATGCGGCGCGTCCTGAAGCCGAACTCTGTGTCGCCTCATCGCGCTGTGACAGCATGATCGACCACTCTGTCAACAGTAGCGAGAGGTAAGATGCCAGTCGCCGGTAAAGGAATTTCGTGCCCCCTGTGTCATCTGTAGAAGGTAGTTGTTCGGGAATGAGCATGTCTTTCTCATCCACTGGCTGTAGCGCGTGAGGAATTGGACCCTTGGACAACTGAGGCCGCGAAGTCAGAGCTTTGCCGGTCAATGTATAATACCTCTGTAGACGTGTTGCGTGCGACTCGTCGAACACCATGACTGGCTCGAGGAGCTCTCGTAGCTTCGACCTCAGTTCGTCGTCCGGTATATCTTCTAGATCAGTCCCATTGGTCTCATCATTCTCAGCTTTTGTCTCGCATAGTTCTGGAAGCCCTAGTCTCCGTCTCCGGGCCCGCTCCTCTTCCCGTTCTTGCGTCTCACGTCGAATCTTACTCTCTTCCGCCAGCCTTTTCATCTTAGCTTCTCGAATTGCAGCCTGCTCGGCATCGTCTTCTTCGAGTTTCCGCTTTTTGGCCATTCGCTCTTCACGCTCCGCTGCGGTTCGTCGTTGTTCCTCGTCATATTGGGCTTGTCGCGCTGCCTCGATGTCTGCTCGTCGCAGGTACTTGGTTGTACTGTCTTCCTTGGCGGCTGGCTTTGATTTCGAGATTTGCGCTGACATCAGCTTCTTGAAATCCATGGCGGCTCGCGACCCTGCGGGGTCAACTCATCGTTCGGTTCAGTCTTGAAAAAGGAAGAAGAAGCGCAAAGACGCCCAGACTCAAGGTGGTGTCGGGATGCTTAAATCCAGCTTATCTCCGCCTTCAGGCAGTGAATGCTTGTTCGCTAGCTTCCACGCTACGTCCGTACCCGCAGTAGCAACCGCTGGGGCAAGTGATAATGGATTCGTTTTGCGACAGCATAGAAATATCTTTACTTTGAATATTCCGTATCTATTAGCCTGCGAGCTTGCCCGACCTAGCGATCATTTTTGCGAAGTGTATGAGTGTATTTGCTATTGGGCCGTTGTAGATTAGCTCCCTACTCAGCCCCATTCACGCATTTCTAGATATCTTCTGTATCGTTCTGCGATATGTACCTATGAAGGTGTCAGTCCATTGACTACGTACGAGACGAGTTTCTATGTTAGTTCCTGGACGTAATTGAGCCACCATCTCAGGCTCATTAAAAGTACGATCCTACTGCATCTAAATCAACCGGGTGAGACTTACCACATGCCCGTATCGGTAGCATTGGTCAGATTTGTTTGGGAGGTCGAGCCGAATCTGACATAGCCGTTCTCGACAGATGTCTGCACAACAGTGCCATTGTGAAAGCGCTGTAGACGGTTCGCGCCATTCTGAACACTGAAGTTTGCAAGGCTGATTTCGCCTGTGTTGCGAGTCACGATAGTCTAAAAGTGTTAGCTGATCAAAAGACATGGTATTGGGGTCAGCCTAGCAGAACTTACCGGCATGCCGAAGTAGTTGGCAGTGACCTCTTCCTTGCTAAAGTGTAGCTCGAAGTAACCGCGATAGTAGATTTCGGACCACTGAAGTTCTCTGTTGGCCTCCACGAGGAGTGTGGAGTGGTTATTCGCAGAGTGGATAGTGACATTCTGTCCACGTGGCGAAGGAGAGGAGACAGCAGTGCCACCAAACTCGACACCGATAGAGCCGTTGCCAGTGCGCTCATCGTACTCGTGCTCTTCAAGCCAGACGAGATCGGAAACCCAGTTGGCGTGGCTGTCGCCCGAGATCATGATGTTGTTGCCGATCTGGTTATCGTAGAGGGTTTGCAGCGTCCTATTACGGTTTGCCATATAGCCGTCCCAAGCGTCGTAGTCGAGAGGATCGACGTTACCATATGCTTCACTTTCGTTTAGGCGGGAGAAAACTGTCTGTGAGCCGATCAGCCGCCAGGCAGCACCACGCTTAGCCGAGCTCATCAATGAGTTGTAGAACCAATATTCCTGACGAGGTCCCATCATCGATCGTCCGGCGTCGTTAGAGATCTCGTTAACGTAGTCGGTGTTCCAATAGAGGTCAGTGATGGAGCGGTCATACTGGCGTGTATCGAGCATGATCATGTCAACAAGATTGCCAATTGCAAAAGACCGCCAGATACGGAGCTTGGATCAGTTAGTAGTGCTGCTAGGACAGTACATGAGTCTTACCGAGTCATCCATCTCAACCTGTCTAATCGGCATCCATTCAAAGTAGGCCCGCACGGCATTCATTTTGCGCTGGTCGACCGATACCCCGCCGTCCTCAACGAAGGAAGCTTCAGTGTTGTTGAGCTCAGAACTACCATCGCGGTATGTATTGTCCGCGACCTCATGGTCATCCCAAACAGCAATCCAGGGGAAATTAGCGTGAGAGAGTATCAAGTCCTGGTCGGTTCTGTAGGTAGCATGACGCTTTCTGTAGTCATATAAAGTGTAGATCTCACGATCTGGCAACGGAATACGGTCAATGGATTGACCCCAACCATAGTCTCCATTGGCGTATTCGTAGATGTAGTCGCCTAAATGTATGACATAGTCCACAGAATCCTTTCGTACTGGATTGCCGTAAGCATTGAAGAAACCAAAAGGAAAGTTGCTGCAAGAGTAGACTGCAATGCCAACGTTGCTAGTATCGTCGGTCGGATTCGGTGTGGTCTTGGTTCTCCCAACAATGCTCTTCACATGCGAGTTGCATACGGTGAACTGGTAATAGTAGCGTGTGAATGGTTGCAGCCCGGTGGCCTCGACCTTTACAGTATAGTCAACATCGGAACTTGTGTAGACCGTACCCTGGGTAACGATCTGCGTGAGATTGGCGTCAGTTGCAACGGCCCAATTCAGACAGACTGGAGCATTAGAAGGAGGTCGGTGCTGGTCTGTGTCATTGTAGATTGGTACTGGATTGTAAAAGGCTACCAGCCCGGAGACGGTAGAGTTGTCATCTACGTCGTCAAACATTGCTACAGGCGTTAGGTAACCAGGTCAGCAAACGTATTCCATGCAAGGCACGCAAAGGGTTGGGACGAATCTCTGTCGTGGAGGTGTCCAATTCCGCACAACAAGGAGAGTCGGTCCCCCGTGATGAAATGCACCTCAGAAGCCGAAACAGTTCAATGAAAGTGGCCTCTCCAATGGCCTTGTTCTTCAACTCATTGAAGAGGTACCAATCCAGCTCATTGCCGGAGTTTTAACTTACGGGAAGCTCGAGTCCAGAGGATGACTGAGTTCGGATATGGGTCGCCAGAAGCAACGCCATGGGTGAAGTTCAGCTGAGATGCATTGAAGGAGGAGGTTGGGTCGTTGCGCTTGACCACCTTTCGAACAGAAATGCCCAGGCCAGGATGGTGCAGCGACGGAGAGCGGTAGTTCAGGTTCGAACCGAAGGACGCAAGAGCAGGGACTGCCAACAAGGTAGTGACATACAGTAATGACAGCATTCTGGCGGGTGGCGAACAGGTACAGACATCATGACTGACCCGGGCGGGCTACAGAGCTATATAGCTTGAAGCCGGAGCTGCGTCCTTATGAAGAGCGTTGAGGTTCTGGCCAATCTCGAGAGCTACCTCCAGCATGGGATCTGAAAGCTGCGGGTGGTGAAGCCCACCATGGCTCCTCGGGTACTGTCCATGTGGTAGTTAGAGTGCAAATCTAGCTCGTGGACAAGCATCAGAAGCTTTCTGGACCTGGATCGTCTAGGTTGGCCAATGACCGCCTTCGACAAAGGTCCAAGGACCCGGCGAGTCGCGAGTTCTGAATTGCGGCCTGCCTGATGTGAGATAGCTCTTGCAGGTAGATGCAGAGCTCGGCAAAGGCTCAAGTAAACAGTCGAGTCCAGCGCACGTGCAATGCGGTCGAAGCAAATGTAGTACAGGTACGGTCCGGCTGCATCACCCAATGGTAGCGCGGGGGTGGGGTAACACTGCCGATCTGGCAATGACGTCGAGAAGGGCAGATCAGTGAACAAACCGGGCGTTTTGGAACACAAAAGGCTTCGCCCTGATTGGACGTCATCAAAGCAGGCTGTCTGCCCGGAGGTGTGTTCTGGCTCGTGACCTGCGGCTTCAGCCTGTTGGGCGTGTGTGGCTTAAGTAGGTATTGTAGCACCTCCAGGACTCTCTCAACCAATATATCCTCCACCGCAGAAGTGAGACTTACACCGACATCCCCACACTTTATCCAGCATCTACGCAATTGAGATATGGCGGCCGCTGTGTGTCCTGTCGTCGGTACCACCAACACGGTCCTTCCTCCCACTCATCCCGAAGTGGATCTAAACAAAGATGGTCTCGTTTGCCCTGTGACCAACGCTACAACCGACCACCACCACAACTTGCTGAAGCATCCCAGCGTTCCTGGTGCAAAGGACCCGAAGGCTAGCGCTGAGGAGTGTCCAGCACTCCAGAAGATGGTCAGTCGTGATGAAGACAAAGAAAGAGACGAAGGTGTCTGCCCCGTCGTTGGTACGGCCACAAGTGTACTGCCACCCGATCATCCATCCCTGAACGGCAAAACCGACGACAAGGTCTGTCCAGTGACGAAAGCCAAGTTGGGAGATCACAAGGACAAGATTCACCAACATCCGCCAGTCGAGAATGCCTCCAAGGATGCAGTGTGCCCCGTTGCGGGAGTCAAGGCAAAGTAGCACAGGTGCGGAAACGATTGTCAAGCTTTCTTCGGAGTCGGCTGGTTGGGTCTGGTTTCCATGGCTAAATCCGAGGTTGTGTTTGTACGACAGATAGTCACCAATAGCAGCATTGTGACATTCGACGCACGCGGCAATGTCTCTCCCGTTTACCAAGCACATACTTTTGCTGTATACAATTAGGTATAATGAGTATTCACCTCGCAATCGGCCACAGGCTGTGTAGAACAGGCCTTCCCGTCCGCTCAGGCAACTTAAACCACAGGCCGATCAGTTAGTAGTTGAGTGGGTGACCATCAGCGAATCCTGGTTGTCGATTGTTTTTGCATTTTTTGTGACTCTTTGAATCACTTCCTGTACTTTAGGGCGGGCCCTACAATAGTTCTTGTTCATCGTAGTCAATTCCGTGAGGATGTTGATGAATAGTTGCTGAACCAGACAATAGTGGAACTTTGTGCTGTGTTTCTAACATTTCCACTGGTTCGCTTGCGTTTTAGGCTTGCCCCCAAGCAGTTATGCTCGGGGTCTAACATTTCACCAATGGTCTGTCCTGAGTGTGCCACCGCGTGGCCGGCATATAAAGAGAGGGTGCTGCGGCTGCAAGAGGTGACACCTTGTACAAGAATAGCAAGCCCCGTTTATACTACCCAAGGCAACCCAGTCTGGCCTAAAATATAGGCTATCAGTGTGACTCTAAAGTAATAGACATCTGTCGACACTCAGAGCTCTGGCGTCTGCCACAATTCTCTAATAGCAGGAAAGCAAGATGGGCTTCGATCGAGTGAGTCCCAAACCTACAGCATTGCTCGAAGGAAGCTTTACTGGCAACCTGAACAGATAGCGCTCTACTTCCATAACCTATACTATGGCATTGGCAATCTGAAGGCCGAGAAATCACCTGACGCAATTCAACTCGGGGTCCTCGGTGCAGCATCGTTCAGCCCTGGCGGTCTATCTGACGCGGCTCGAACTCACAGCGATGTGGTCATCACTGCTATCGGCGCGCGTGTTCTTGAGAAAGCACAGGCTCAAGCCAAAGAGTACGGGATCCCGAGGGCTCATGGATCCTACCAGGAAGTCATCGAGCTAGATGATGTGGACGCCGCTTGTATCCCACTTCCCATCGCCTACCACGCGGAGTGGGCTATCAAGGCTGCGAGGGCTGGCAAGCATGTACTGGTCGAGAAGCCCATCTGCAGTAACGAGGAAAGGAGATCAGTAGCTTGGCGGTACCACTGGCGGAGGCTTGTTCCGTGCTCAAGCTCGACCAGTTTTCTCCGCCTTTCACGTGTAGGTTTGCTTCCGGCATCCATAACTCATCATGACCTCCAAGTGGATGGTACCTGGTTTTCGGACTTCGGCTTATGAGGCTCGAAGTCTGTATATTGTGCCTTCCGGAAAGCCGCCAATGAAAAGCCCCTGCACTCAGTAGCGCGGCGCAAACCCCCTCGCGCACGGCTTAACACTGGCAACATACTGACGTTAGCTAACAGCGGAGTTGCTTTGCCGGTCATCTGGGACGATTTTACTTATGATCGTCACAGATGTCACCCTGGACGTCTTGCATCATGAGTAGCTACAGAGTATATAGGCCACAGTCGCCGTAGCCTCTCCAACTCCAACGATCCTGCATTGATATCCCCACCTGAGTGCTCCCATAACAAGCATTTCTGCCACTGTCAACATGCTATCGTTTTCTACAATCTTGAGCCTTCTGGCAGTAGCAGCAGTGCACGCTCAGCAGGTTGCTCAAGATCCAGGCTCCAGTGGTCCTGACCCCGAGCTTGTGCATCTGTACTATGATGAATGGCCTACAGGTCTGATGCTCCATTCCTGGGGCGAGGAACTGAATTGACTCGAAACAGGCATAGCGGTATCCGCTTCTGGGCGCATGTTCTCAAATTACCCGCTGGGTCTCGACGCAACGAACACCAAATACCAGGTGGCAGAGCTCAAACCAAACAATACGGAGACGCCATATCCGGACGCTGAAATCAACACTCCGCCCGGTGGTCCCATCGACTATTCGACATACCCAGCATCCTCCAAGGGCGACCCTGACCATTTTGTCGCCGTGCAGTCCGTAGTCGTGGATGCAGCTGATCGATTGTGGGTATTGGACACCGGGCGTGTTTCTCTAGAGAATGACACCCTTCTGACATCTCAATATGGCGGACCGAAGTTGGTGGGAATCAGTCTGTCTAACAACACTGTCTTCAAGACCATCTTGTTCCCTCCGAACGTTGCATATGGCGACTCGTACCCGAACGACGTTCGCTTCGATCTCCGTCCATCTGTCTCCGGATCCGGACAGGGTATCGCATACATCACAGATTCTTCTAGCGAGGGAAGGAATGGCATCATTGTCGTCGACCTTGGCTCGGGAGAAAGCTGGCGCCAGCTTGAGAACATTCCCCAAGTTCGCCCTGAGGCTGGCTTCTTTGCCCAGGTTTGGGGCGAACCTGTTTACATGAACGATGGCATTCGACCTATTACTCCACTTGCGTTCGGTGCTGACGGCATAACCTTGTCCAACGACGGCGAGACCCTCTATTTCTCTGTCGTGAGCGGGCGCTACCTTTTCTCGGTGCCAACGGCACGTCTTCGGGATCGTGGCCCCAGCTCAGCACTCTTTGCAGCGGGATCTGTCATGAATCTGGGCCAAAAGGGCGTATCCGATGGCCTTGAGAGCGACTCAAACGGCATCGTCTACGCCGGCAGCGTGGAAACAAACTCCATCAACATCTTCAGCCCAGAGAATGGGACGATTTCGACGTATTTGCGCAACCCCAAGATTGACTGGACAGACACTTTTTCCGTGGCTGGAGACTACATCTACTTTACTGAGAATCAGCTATGGCGCAAGCCGAGCAGTCAGGGAGGTGTCGACAGGCGCGTCAAGCCATATGCACTATGTGAGTGGTACTCGTGTCCGGTGGGTTAGGGGCAACGTTGCTAATGTGCTACAGATCGAGTGCCACTACTCAATAACGCCACGAAGATTTCTTTGCTGTAGCAGGAGTTTTGGTTGTGAAGAGCTCACTGGGCAGTGTAATCTAATACCAGTCACCAAAGTGTGCGCGATGCTTGCTAACATAGTATAGCCAGGCCTTTGGTAACGTAAAAACAAGCAGAAGCGCTTCGAGGCAATCAGGTGTATATACAGTGTATACTACAATATGAAGACACAGAGACTCAGCACAGAGAAGCCACTTCGAACTTCGGCTGGGATTGCCTAGGAGATCATCATTTCTCAGCCCAGTCCCTGCTCAGCTTTGTTGACCGAACGACATCATCTAACCTCTACACAGTGGTGTACCTTGCCCTCCCAACATGCCTCTTGCGCACTGTATACACCGCCAGTTGGGGTTCACGTCACAAGGTTCGCAGCCGAGGTTCGCAAACCACGTACGGCGGAGCGGAACAACTTGGCGTGCTTACGACTCCAACCTCACATAATACACTCATTGCGTGCAGTCAGCATCGGCTAGCTCCAGATCTATATAGTGTCGTCCAGACTCTGAACCTAGTACACTGAGACCTTGCTTGTCAAACGGCTTAGTGCTTCTACGACGCCCACCATGCCTCCACCTCGCAGCGCTTTGCCCGTTGTATTGTTCGGCTATGACTGTTCGCTGTCTCTCCAAACGTAAGGGTGTTTCGTCAGCTAACGAAAGTCAGCTTCAGCATTTACGCAGAAGGCAAGAATGTCGCTCAGACTGAAGCAGATCCCGTACAGTAGGTTCCGCGACAAAGCTGCTACTCCAGATACTCGTACTCATTCTTTTGAAGCATTCGTGATCGTGCCGTCGATGATGCCACGGCCCATATTGAAGGACAACTTCAACATTACGTACCGCAAGATTCCGGTGGTCATGATTGGCAAAGAGGTCAGCCACCATTCCAAGACCCGCGGCAACTACTAACACAGCCGGATCAGACGTACATCGACACGTCCTGTATCTGCGAGGCTCTGGAGCAAAGATTCCCACTTTCGCAAGGCTACGGTACGCTCTACCCTCCAGTATCTGGAGGTGGCCCTCAAAGATCACTGATCCGCGCGCTGGCAAGCTACTGGGTCGATCGACCTCTGTTCCGGATGACGTGCGGCATCATGCCCGCGTCGATCTGGCGTAGCCCGTTCGGCATCGACAGAGCGGGGCTCATCGGGCACAAGCTCGACCCAGACAAGCTGGAACGCAAGGTGCCGCAGAACATGAGTGGCCTCGACATGCATCTCAGCCTGCTGGAGTCTCTGCTGGCAGAATCGGGCGGCAAGCAGGCTTGGGTGCTCGACACACCCCAGCCCAGTTTAGCTGATATCTCGTTCTATTACCAGCTGCACTGGGGGCGAAACATCGCTTCAGGCTACGGCGCCGAGAATCTTACTGCGGGAGGCGTTGAGGAAGGCGGCGAAGAGGGCGCGGATATAGTGCTCAACTCGGATCGCTATCCTTTGGTGGAAGCCTGGTACTCTCGCACCCAGAAGTATTTCGGTGATCTTCCGTTGCGTGAAACTCGCGTTGAGCAGGGAGATAGCGAGGGACTCGCCAAGATCACTTCAACCATCGAGCAAACTCGTCTCGATCCGGAGATACCCTTACTGACTACGGCGGCTCCACCGCACAGAGAGCTCGACGCTCGTAACGGACTATCACCAGGTGTTCGTGTCAGTATTGCACCAGATGATACTGGGATGAACGACCCTTCATTCGGCACATTGCTTGCAACCTCGCCCGAAGAAATCGTCATTGCACCGGAGGATATCGAGTCGAGGCGGGTGGACTTGAGGCTGCACTTTCCTCGTATTGGATTCAGAGTGCGACCTTTGACTAAGGCGGCACTGTAACTAGATCTATGCTAGATGGGATGTCAGGACGAGCAGAAACACCGCGTGGGCCCCTCGGAGCGAGTCCGAGCATAGGCGAGAGCTGGCAGCACCGACAGCCACAATCACGCTTGACGCACCCCAACGAAACTTGACCTGGACAGGGCTCACTAGAGCGCATGTTGACCAGATCGTGCCAAAGTATACTATAATACTCAGCCACGGATGTCCGAGACCAATGCCAAGCTTTCACTGCCTGATCCTGGTCGGCTACCCATACCTATGATGCATTACCCCTCCACCTACCCCTGGTATGCCCCGGTTACTCATACTGCCAATACCCAGAGGACTTATGTCCTGATAGTTAACTGGCCTGGAGTATAGCTTGCCGTCGTGACGGCAATATCTAGGAGTTTGTACAATTCATTCATACTGATTTGACAGCATGAATGACCAGGAAGCATCGCTTACTAGGCCTCGAGCCAGGGTATGTCTCACGAATACAAGCTACCATCGTAAATTGGAATGGAGAAGTGATCACAAAAGTTCCAGAAACCAAGGCCCCCCTTCCTGCTAATCCTTATACCACCCAGGCGTCCAGGGGAGGGAGCCAGTCCATATGCAACGACCTACTGGCGCTGGCGCAGTAAGCCCCATCATTATGCAGAAAGTGATCTCCTGTCTTTCTGGCGAGAGAAAAAGAGCTGTTAGAATATGCTATTATACCCAGAAACCAGCAACATCTGGGGGCCTGAAGGTAGATCCAAGCTCTAGCGCAGGTCTGGAAATCAGCGATAGTATCTCGGACGTCTGTCGAAGAACCATAGTCGCCATGATCCCCGCTGTGCTGCAGAAGCATGGTCAATCATCTGGCTTCTTCTTCTCAACAGCTGGCAATGATATTCATTACCGTTTCAATACCTCTGCTGCTGTGCTAGACACTTCTGGGTATGTGCAGGTTAGCTCATACTTGGAGTCTTGACGGTGGCAGGAACAGCACAATAACGCGACCAGAGAAACTCGTTCATATTCATATTCAGTGGGCTATCCGTCGTCTCAGGTCTCATAGCTCTTCATTGAACTTTTCAATCCCGTGGTTCCCAAGCAGCCATCTGCCCAAGCCAAGCACCGCCTCGAACGCCTCGTTGCCCGTGGGTACGATATGTTCCTTGGGTAATAGGAAGCCATACGCTCCTGTGTCCCGCAGCTTGATTTGATACGAATACTTGATGCGAAGCTCGTGGTAAAAGTAGTCCAATGCGGAGCCTCCTTGCGCCTCCATTAAGCCCCTGGCAAACTTGGCTTTCGATTTGACCGAGTCACGTTCGTCCCATGAGATGCTGCCTTCGCAAGAACTGCTAACACCGTAGTAATGGCCGTTGGTGAGTCTGAATGACTTGGCCAGCCCCAGCGCCACTTCTTCCAGGTCTTCCAAATTTGGTGGTTCCGAATCGCAGGTGTAGCTGTAGGGGTACAAGACCTGCTGAGAATAAGAGTGCAGGTCGAGAAAAGCAACAAAAGTAACATTGTTCTGTTCAGTTTGGTTGCGAGCCCATTCAGTCAATCGCTGAGTTTCATGAGCTTGCAGGGGTTGGCTGCCGGCAAAGTCTTCACTGCACGGATTATCGACGTCGTCGCTGCCATCCCAGCCGAAGGGAAACGAACGATCCAGATCAATGCCAGCGCAGAAGGGTAGCGGTGTCTCCTGACGGTTCTTCCGCCACAATCGATCTGTTGACCACGTGTATTCGTAGCCGTCCGGATTGAGGGTCGGCAGAAACGTCACATCGAAGTGATCGAGGAGCTTTGTGGTGTCAGGAAAGCGAGGATCTCCATATCGAGTAATCAGGCTGTAGGCGATATATGCTGCAGTCGAGACCGAAACCCATTCGCGAGCATGAGAGCCGCCGATAACCAGGATCGTCTGCCTCGTGGGGTGATCATGGTCCGGAGGCAAATCTGTCCGCGCCCCAATTCGCAATGCCGGAATGTCCCGTCCTTCGGCTGATAGGCCTATCGACTCGAGATTGGCGTGTGTCGGAAACATAGATACCATCAATCGCAGCCATGGATACAGCACAGATAATGGCTGGTACTCGTCGAAAAAGATGTCGTGCGGTCCGTTGATCTGCGTTGGTGGTTGTTGGGCCGAAGTAGCGCCATTCCAGCTCTTCTGCAGTTCCTCCGTAGGACCTGGATATGTATCATATATTGCTTGAGCCAAGTCGTGCATGATTGGAGAATGTGCATTGTGTAAGGATTCTGGGAGCAGTCCTAGCAGGGACGGCACCACGTCTTTTGCCATCCGAATATCCACCCACTCGTCTGTAATCTCCCAAACATCGAGATACAGTATATGAATGGCTTCTGACAGAGCTTTGACCTCGTCTTCGGTCTGGAAGCGAAATCGCAGGACGGTGTCAGCGCCATAGCGGGCGCGATAGTTCGACGGAGCGAGAGACTGTATGTTGGCACATTGCTTTGGCTTTGGTCTTGCCGGAACATCCCATATTCTTTCAATTATAGCATCACGAAGGCGACGCAGCGGGTTCGTATTGATAGCAGGACTGGTGGTTGTTGTATCGTGGAGTGCGACTTGCAGCGGGCCGCCGGCTGGGACAGCCTGCGACCAGGGCAAGGCCGTAGCCAACACGAGGAGCGCTGCCAGCGTCTTTGCCATAGCCCTATGAGATCTCAAATCATAGTTCGAAAGGATAGAGGATGTAGAGACGGTCGCGTGCCTCAAACGTACGAGCCGAGAGCAGAAGAGGGCTGAGGGATGGACGGGAACTTTAATGGCAAGTGGAGCATCGGTACTTCGAATTGAGGGGTGCCTGAGTGCTGTTCGTATCACCGTATCCCAGGTTGGCAGAATACGGTGCCTGTATCACAGCATTGGTATCAGAATACGCTTGTGCGTCAAAAGGTCTCGTATGTGACTACTTTTCAGGGTCGAGCACACTAGGTATATGTGCATCATTGGCCGAGCATATGAAGCCCACCACCGACCGACACGCACGAAATTGGACAGCTTGGGGTGATCTACTACCCAGCCAGAAATTTGAATTGGACTGCTTTTGGACAGCCAACCAGCCGCAACTGGCATTGACTGCATGCTTGAAGGTGTATCTCTATGGAATCAGAGTCATGCCAGGCGCTCGGTCTGTTGTGAGGTAATGGTCTTGGTCGCATTGCCGATCGTCGCAGGAGCCGTGAAGGGTAGGAGTTACTACCTTACACCTTCTCCTCCTTCAAGCCATGCTTCCAGATGGTGGCAAAAGGAGTCACACCATCCTCACGGAAGTTGACCAGGATGTACATGCTGTCATCGTCCAGGGATTCGCCCTTGTAGACATCGTAATCCTTGAAGTTGGCGATGATCTTCTTGATGCCTTCCTGAGCACCAGTCTGGAACTCCTTGACCTCGTCCTTGGACTTGCCCACCTCCTCCATCTTCTTGGTGAGAGCTTTCATGTACCCTAAACGTCATGTCAGGATCGCCGCTATACTCTTGCAGCCGCACAGGACTTACTCTTCACATCTCCCATGTATGCTTTCTTGTCAAGACCATCGATCTTGTTATATCGGAAGTCGTCCACGAAGTCAATCACCTGCTCCACGCCGCCCTCGGCGCCACCCTCATCGGCATCCTCGCCTTCGGCAGAAGGATTGGCGCCCTCAAGAACTAATTCAGCGTCAGCCTCAGAGCCCCGCAGCCATTGGATGCGGACAAACCGAAGTTCTCAGCGCCCTTCTTGACCATTTTGCCATCGTACTCCCAGAGTCCAGAACCGACATCGGTCACTTTGTAGACATCGGAGATGATCTCGTCACCCGAGATAAGGTCCTACAAGGTGTTATTAACCTCATGTATTATGGAAGGCGGGGTGATCCATTTGGCCAAGTTGTCCTCAGCCCTTCGCCGACAGTAAGGTGCTTACCTTGTAGATGATCATGGCTAGAAGCGTATGCTGAACGAATAACGAATGCGAGAGGGATCGTGTCGCGGTGTGCAAGCGGTCCGGAGCGTTGATTGCCTGTCGTTCGAAGGAAAAAAAGCGACAGTCTAAATCGCACCCTTCTGCCACTGATGTGGGGTGTCGGAGCGCTCGAGAACTTCTAATTAAGCTAGTCCATGAACGGCTAGAACAGGGCTCAAGCTGATCTAATCTACCTGCGGCCGCGTCGGATGCGTGGTGACCGGCGATGGCAAATTCACGCATCAGTGCATCACCCCATCATCGTCGGCCTCTCAGCCCCCTTCAGGTCTTGTAAAGGGTCCTTTGCTTCTTCTTCTTCACCATTTCTTTTCTTCCTTCGCCAGTATTCCACGATTCCAACTACCTCGTCGCTCCTTCAAACAACCGCTTTCCGTACTTCGAATCCAACGTCGCCCCCTTGCGGCATCCTCGGGCCCGCAAACCTCGAGAACGATCCTCAGGCTCACGTGCCCGTATATTTTGCACGTCCACATCTGACGGCCTGCGGCCGTTTTGAAGCACCATGTCCGCCAATACAACACTCTTTGCGGAGCGAAAGATCTCTACCATGCCCCCACTGCCCGACTACACCCTCACCGAGCGCCCTTCATTGATCTCAGGAGTGCCAGACTACGTGGTGCAGCTGACTCTGCCGGTCATTGCGTACTGGGTAGTGTCCTTGTTTTTCCATGTTCTGGACGAGTGCGATCTATTCCCGCAATATAGGCTGCACACCCCCGCCGAAATCCTCAAGCGTAACAAAGTATCAAGATACGAGGTGGTACGTGATGTGGTTCTGCAACAAATCATTCAAACCGTCTTCGGCGTTGGTCTTGCATACTTCGATCCGCCGGAAATGATTGGACGGGAAGACTACGACGTTGCTGTCTGGGCATCGAGGTTGCGGACTGTCCAATCCTACGTTCCTGCCGTATTGCAGACCCTCGGTATCGACTCCTTTCAGCTTGCCTCCAACCTCAATAAATCTTTCCCAGTAGCTGCAAGTGTCGTTGCCGGTGGGATCTACGACACAACCACTTTCTCAGTATGGGAGCTTCAAGCAGCAAAGGCCATATACTGGGTCCTTGTCCCCCTGGTCCAGTTCACTGTCGCTGTCTGCATTGTCGACACTTGGCAATACTTCCTCCATCGGGCAATGCACATGAACAAGTACCTCTACACGACCTTTCACATTCGTCATCATCGACTATATGTGCCCTATGCCTATGGCGCTCTTTACAACCATCCAGTCGAAGGTTTTATGTTGGACACTCTGGGCACGGGTCTCGCATATCTGCTAACAGGCATGACCGTGCAGCAGGGGATGTGGCTCTTTACTTGCTCAACCATCAAAACCGTTGACGATCATTGTGGTTATGCTTTTCCATGGGATCCCCTCCAGCATATCACATCGAACAATGCTGCCTACCACGATATTCACCATCAGAGCTGGGGCATCAAGACCAACTTCTCCCAACCATTCTTCATCTTCTGGGACCGTTTCCTGAACACTGCTTGGACCGGTGGAGATGTGTCAGCTCGTTACGAGCGTGACCGAATTGCGGCTCAGAGAAAGCTCGATGCCGACGCTTCATCGAGCGCTGCAAACATCACCAATGCACCTGCGACAGATGTTGCACACGCCCTGGAGCAGGCAGCAGCCAGTCGTCAGCAGGTTCTGGACGACCCCAAAGTTGATGGCAAAGTCGTCATTCAGCAGGAGATTGAGGAAGAACGGGACGCGAAAGCGCAAGTCGCCAAGCGCAGCACGCGGCGAATGACAAGCGGCTTCGATCCCAAGACCATCTCGGATCGCGTTTCGAGTAGCCTCCACGGCCGCAGTGCGGTCCTGACGGTATGAAAGGCTCTTTTCAACCCTGTCTGTACAATTAATGTGAAAATGTCAATGAAGGTACAGTTGTTCTCTGGGAATTGGTGTTCTGGGTCAAACATAGGTCGAGGACTGCTTTATCAAGCAAGCCGGCATCCAATATAATTGCTACGGGCACACTTTCGCCATTCAGATCAGGCACCGGCAGGGGGGTCTGCTGCTGTTTGTGATTGTTTTTCCGTGGGCTTTGTTTCCGACATCGATATCTCACCTTTATGTTTTTCTTTGTGAGCAGGTCGGAGTTATTGGCAAAGATGCCCTTGTTGCCTTGTTCATATTGCTTTCTATGCGAAAGTACATCATGTGTGGTTCGAAGCTGTCCGTGCGCTTTGCGTCCTTGGACATATACCAAACTTCGAGACCATCCTCAACGTACGAGTACACTAGTTAATTCGCTCACGCAACATGCCTCTCCGACTCACAACGCTCAGTTCGGGCGATATTTGCTCGCTGACCGAAGTTTTGCAGCTCAACCCCAACGATACAGACCCAATCCATTACAACAATCGCATTGCCGCCCTCATCGAGGCTTTGCCCAGCAGATTGAAGTCGAATGGCTTCCTCAACCGCATCACCAAGCCAGCACTGCCAGCAAGATCACGAATGCTTGATCCGCTTGATCAACGCGGACCACTATGCCCAATGCATCACAAGCTCGATGCTAGCATGGTACAGAAAGTATTCACTCTTCTGGCTCTGGAGGTTGGCCATCATCTGAATCATGTTGCCCGTCATTGTCATCTTCTGACTGGAGAGCAGCAAAAATTGATCTCTCGACTTCGCGCTTTGCATGCTATCTGGTATCAACCAGAACAGTACGAGAGGTTCTTTCTTGAACCATCCAAAGATACCAGATGGACGTATCAGGGCAACAAGTGCGCTGCCTGTACTCTTGCACGGATTGCTGGCAATCTAGACGCCCTCCTAGACTTACTCTGTGCCGTATCAAGCCGGACTTCGTCTAACGAAAAGCACAAGCAGCCCAGACTGTACGACTGGCTGGTGGCCTGGATTGAGAACCACGGAGAAGCTCTTGAGGAACGCGGCCGTGAAAAGTTGCAGGTGCTTGTTCAGGACGTTTGGAACCGATCGTTTGCCTTGAAACAGAAGAGAAAAGAGTTTTCAAAGGCCCGGAAGGAATTCAAGCAAGGCGTGGGATCTGATGCGAAGGGTGAAGCTGTCGAACCACAGGAAGGCGCGAACATCCAGATGTATGATCATTTCGATGATGATCAGCTCGAGAGTGTCAATGTCCATACCGCTCTAATGAGTACGCCACACCTGCCTGACATGGCGCGCTTCCATCAAGAGGAAAGTCAGCGGTCTGGACGCGACGAATCAAACCTTGCTCCACCACGCGCATCTGCTGTTAGTCGAACACGTTCAACAAGACGGGATCAGAAGACATATGGAGGAAATCATAGCCCCGCCAGCCCCCTCACAGCACGACCCGAAGAATACACACCACCAAGAGCCCGGTGGCGAACATCCGACGATGCAGCAAAGTCGTACGCCAACGTGATTGGGAAGACTAACCCCTTCGCCACGCGCAATACAGTCCGCGACCCGATGCCTAACCCCAAAGCTGCAAAGCCTACCAACCGCAACCAGAAACCGTCGCCTTCTACACGTGCCAGCACAAGCCCAGAATCCGTCTGGACAGATTGTGAGCCCCAAGCGACGGCCAAATCCTCCTTGTCCTCGCTCTTCGAAAAGTACGCCAACTACGGCGGCCTTCCTGACGGCCCAGACCTTTCGAAGCCACCATCAGCACGGGGCACAGCTCTTGACAATGACAGAACACCAACCAAAGCACCACCTGCCACGGACCTACCACTCCGCCGCCACGCCACCACCGCCCAAGACAAGCACCACCGCAAGCAACTCGACCCCAACGAATTGCTCAAGCGCGCTGCAAGCACCAGCACAGCGCCTCGAGAACGACATACTCACAATGCTGCTGGTGCTGGTGCTGCTAGACGCACCACCGAACGGCCCGCATCCGTCCACCAGCCCGATACGCGCCCCTCGTCATCACTGATCGGCAAGCACAAACATGACAGAGATAAACCCACCAGCACCGCCAAAAAGAGTCCATCCGCCGTCACCGAAAAGGATGAAGCAGTCACGTGCTGGGACGATGTCTGGCGGGACGACGTGCTGAAGAAGCCAGAGAATAAGTTCTACAAGGACAGACTTGAGCGTGAGGAGGCTAGGTGGCGCAGGGAGAAGCGGGAAGGTGGTGGTGGTGGGGAACCTAAGAGGAAGGAGAGCCGTCGTGGCGCGGAGAAGCGGGAAGATGAACGTCGGGGGAAGAGGCGACATGGTGAGGAGCGGAAGAGGTAGTGTATGGTACTTTGTGTTTATACTGTATAAGACGGTCATGCTTGTTGGCTTTTAAAGCTTCTGCTGGCGGATGCTCTTTGTTTGGGGGATAGCTCGTAGTCATCGTTGTCATCATCCTTCGGCGCTTTTGCTGTCGTGCGGCATTGTTGGGTCTCAGTCCGCCTTGATATGAGAAGGGAGAGAAGATTGGGTGCTGATAGCAGTTGGCCGGTCATTCGAAGCATATCAACTGACGTCTTCGGCTGAAAGAGCTATACATATACACGCGGTTAATAGCACCTACAAAGCATGAGATTGCATCGTTGTGAATATGCTCATTAAGCTGCATCGCCAACCTTGAATCACACCCAATCTTGCGTTGTACTGCAGTCAGGATCTATACACCCCTGTTCTACTATAAGGTGACAACAACTACACCAGATACAATGACATGTATCACTCCCCCTCCTGGTTACAATTTGGATTCTTCGGCCTGCGGAACCACTTCAATCACAACCTTCCCCCTCGCCCTTCCCGTATCCAGCTTCTTGAACCCTTCATCCACGCGATCGAAAGCGAAGACACTGTCAACGACAATCTGATCCTCGCCCTCCAGCTTGGCAGCCTCCTGCAGCCAATCGGGCCTCACCTCCAGCGAGATGGCCTGGTAGCTCTTGCCTAAGCCAAGGTAGCCGAGCAGCCATCGAAGCACCATGCGCGGATTCGTCATGTAGCCCAGACTGCCGCCGAGGGTGGCGCGGCTGGTCTTGTCGCCCACGATCGTGACGTATTGGGGCGCGAGACCAACGCATGCGGTGCCGCCCACACAGTCGACGATTGCGTCGGGCTGGAAGGCTGCTACTGCTGTGGCGACGGCGTCGGCGGCGGAGGTGTAGTCGACGATTTGAGCGGCGCCGAGGGACTTGACGAAATCTGCGTTTCGACCTGAGCAGGAAGACAGTACGGTCCAGCCGCGCTGTGCGGCTATCTTGATAGTGTAAATGCCGGATGCTGAGCTGCCTCCGAGGACGACAAGCTTGTTGTGCGAAGGCGTGCTTGATTTCATGAATGGAGCACATTTCTCGATCATCGATCTTGCAGTCAGCCAGGCCAGCGGCAGGCAGGCAGCTTGGATCCATGTCATATGTTGGGGTTTGGGAATGATGCAAGTCTTGCGGGTATCGATGTGAGCGATCGTCGTCAGAAACCCGGACGCGAAAGCGTTGAGGTCGATGCCCATGACTTTGTCACCCTTCTGGAAGGGTACTCCAGGAGCGGCTGCAATGACTATGCCCGAGAACTCCCTGCCCACGACCTTGGGGCCCCGCAAGCCCGGTAGGCTGTTTATGGGCAGGTTCATGATCTGGATGTCCACTGGGTTCAGGGCCGCGGCATGTATCTCAACAAGAACATGGCCTTTGCTGGGAGTGGAAGGGACATGATGTTCAGAGAGCTGTAAGGTCCCTGGGTAGCCCGGTGTGGTTGCTGTCCAGGCCGGTACTGTGTTCTTCGACATCACGAGCGCTGTATGGGAGTGCAGTGTCGATAGTCTGGCTCACACTCTGCCGGAATCGTGTCGACATTATTCTGCAAGTCATCCATGGCCGCTAACATGTACATTCGTGTCGGCCGACAAGATCAAAGCCATCACGAAGCATTGTTAAGGAGGCCAAGCCAAGACTCTGTGACTGTCAACCATAATCTCGGCCTCGGAGGGTTAGTTGATCCGACATGTCTATGAATCGTCCCGTCGCGAACGCAAATGGAGCACATGTCACCTTTGGCCGACTGGGCCTTACATTTCAGTGGATTTGCGAGAAACGATAGCCGAGTTGAGCATCGGGCAGACTCAGTTGGTCTCGCGGCTCAGCTCGGTGTTCCGAGCTTCGCAATTCCGCGTCGCGGAGTCGCGGCGTGTGGACGCCGAAAACTGCACCGATCCTTCACGACAGAAGAGCTCTACAAGCGTGAATTGACACACTAACGGTGACCGGATGATCATAGATGGTTGTGAATCTGACTGTGCAGCATGGATAAAGAAAAATGTTCTGGGTAAGTGCCCATTATCAACGAAGTTATCGGCCAGTCGTTCGTGCCAGGTACCTGTTGGCTATGGACAATCACTACCAACACGGGACAACACTTTCTTTCCACCACTGGACCACATTGACGGCGGCAACTTATGGCACCTCGAGCTACCACTGGTCTCGCAGGAGACAACAGAAGAGTGGGCCCACAGCTCTACTTGTTTGGCTTATCTGAGTGAGCTCGGCGCATATACGCCCAACCAATGCTCGATATCCCGAGGCCATCGTTCGTAACTGAGGGCAGAAATTGCTGGGACATCTCGCGCCAGGCACGAAACGCGTTATCCAGCTGCAAATGCTCCTCAAACCATCGAGAAACCAAACGTAGATGGCCACAACACGGGGCCGGAATCAGAGGTTCGATACAGATAGAACCTACTCTATCGAATCCGGCCTGACAAGATGTGTTGGAACAGCCCAGCTTGCACGTCCCGCTTCCCAGGCACCCTGAGACGGCCGTTCCTGCCCAGGAAGGCAGCAGGCACCTGTGCAGAAAGCTTGCCTCATGTTGTCGAGTCTCTCACGAGCATCGATGCCGTCCGAGGCCTTTCAGGCTTCCGACAGTGCGTATCTAGAAACGATCCCCAGAATCTCTCTTGCCGCATACCCGGATGTGATGCTCCGCAGTCTTGACTGCATCGATGCCATGGTTTGACATCATCGCTGCATAATCAAACGAGGCTCCGACACCACTAGCTTACTACGTGGTCGAGACAGGCCAAGATACCCCAGATCTTGTGCCACATCGATCTCGCACTAAGGGCCTGCAGTCTCTTTAGATCCCTGCTTGAATTTCGAAACGGTCCCGCACCCCAGCTTGTGGCTCGGCCACCCCGAAGGCGAGATCGCCTCCATCCGCCAGAAGCGGGCTCCTGTGGAGATGCGTGCCGCACGGATCTTGCAATGCAGCAGGGTACAACTGGTAGGAATTTACTTCTTTCCTGTACCCAACAAGCGGATGACCCGTCTGATTTGCGGGGCGGGATGCCGCTCTGACCGAACTCTGATGAAGGAGACATCCTTGTTTACACTGTGGTCAGTTGGGTTGCAGGTATGGCGTTTCATGATGGCACCACGTTCCACGTCAAAACGCCCCCATCGACTTCTTTACCCGTCGTGAATGGCCCAGCAGGCAAGGAGTCGTCAGAGTGCCAGAGCCACGCAGCTGCTCTGACAGCGAAGCATTGATTCGGCATCGTCAGAATCATCGTTGACGAAATGCTCGACATGAGTCTCGCTGGGCGAACACCGAGAAAGAATCCGAGGACCGAGTCCGTATTGCAAAACCCACGCACGATGTGCTAAGCGAAAGAAGCGAAACTCAAGGCAACAACGCTGGTCATCGAGCACGAGAACCATGCAGAATTGCTTTCCAGAACCGCCCTCCGGCTCCATAGACAGCATAGACCAAGTCTATCAACGTCTCCTTAACCTCCTCAACCGTCCGCGCCCCGGTGAGGCTAGTCCTAACTTGGCTGCTCTCCGGCGCATGGCACCAACTCTAACCCCGCCTTCCTTCTCATTTCTTTCTCACTTTCTTCTGCCGAACAACTACAGGGATCACCGACATTCTGATGCTAAACGGGGTACATCTCCGAGTAGCCTCGCCTGAGTATTTCACCGTTTGTCGGCAGACCTTGGGTACTGACTCAGGACCTCGGTCGCCTACCTCGGTTGCCTACCTCGGTTGGCAGGACCGAGTATCATGGAGCTGCCTTTCCATCGCTGCTATGTGCCCTTTGAACAGTGTGAGTCCAGAAACACAGCTTTCTTTATGTATATGAGTGCACCTGAATAGGGTTCAGAGTGTGGAACGGCCGGGTATGCGCTGGCGGAGTGGCGCAATACTCGCCATGGTCTGTCCCGTCTTGCCAGAAACCTTCCCTCGTGGGAGCAACAATCTGGAGCTGTTTTCACGGGGAGGCGCGTTTTGTCGTCGGCCGCGGGCGAATGAGAAGGGATCGTGGCTGCCGTGAAATGGTGTCTGGATCGCGCCAACCATGCTGGTCGTAGTTTCAGGGACCAAAACGAAGAACCTATTGCCACACTGCCCGTACCGAGCACTGACTCTGGGCTAAGAGCAATCGATGCTGATCACACTGCCCTAACACGCGCACCAGACACATGGCACGAAGGGTGTACCCCTGTGTTGAACTTATATCCCCGGTTGGCTGGATGGGGTCAGAAGGATGAAGTCCCAGAACAGCACGCAGCAATATAGCTGAGCCAAAGCACTAGGTTTGCATCTTTGCACCTGAGAAACCACTATATCTCTTTTCACACGTTGACATTGTCGCCTGTGACGACCCTTCGCCATGGCCATTCCGGTCGCTGGCCGTGGGCCAGAAGTTGCTGGCGTATACGCTCTATTCACCACTCTGACAACCGTCACTATGGCCCTTCGCGTCTACTGCCGGGTGCGCTTGGTCAAGCACTTTGGATGGGATGACTGGACTGCCGCGATAGCTTGGGCACGTATGCACCTGCTACTATACTAACATCGCTAACAGTCCCAAGGCTATCTTCGTTGCACATGCCTCTTGTGCATTCCTCGGTGTTCGCCATGGCACTGGCCAGCATGCATGGGACATCCAGCCTCCTTCAGAGATCCAAGCCGGGCTTATGGTACGTCCTTTTTGCCTTGTGCTCGAGCCTGAGCTAACACTGATAGTGGTGGTGGATGTGTGAGTTTAGGTGTGTCTTGAAGTGAACAAGAGCCTCGTGCCAGCCTTGCTAACAACCTTCAGCTATGTCCTTTCGAACATGTTTATCAAAGCAAGCATCGCCATCATGCTTCTACGACTCACCATCGTCCGCACCCATCGCCTTATCATTATCGTCACAATAATTGTTACCGAAATCTACTCTACCGTCTTCTTCTTCCTATTCGTCTTCCAGTGCATGCCCAGCAAGTATTTCTGGACTCAGGTTGGCGGCGGAAGAGGTTCGTGCATGGATCCATCCATCACCGTCAACTCCGCCTATGCATACTCAGCAATCATTTGCGTCGGCGACTGGATCTTCGCCATCCTGCCCTTCTTCATCGTCTGGAATCTACAGATGAGCACCCGCCAAAAGCTCATGGTCGCCCTGATTCTATCAATGGGAGCCATGTAAGCCTCTCTCTTCCCTTTCATGTTTCCTCAGCTTGACCAATTGCACAGCGCATCGACTGCCACCATCATCCGTATCCCGTACATCCACACGCTCAACAACAAAGCGGATTTTCTCTACGCCACCACCGATGTTGCCATCTGGTCCAGTTCCGAAACCGGGCTAGGCATCACCGCCGCCAATACCGCGACCCTCCGCCCTCTAGTCCGCTCCTGGCTCAACAACACGCAACTAGCCTCTACCGCGCGCTCCATTGCGCGTCGACCTAGTTTCCGCCGTGGCCCATCCAGTGGCGCTGGCGCCGGCGCCGGCAGCAGACCCCGTCCCAAGATCAGCGCCCCGGTCCCCGTTGCCCGTGCCAGCATCTCTGCCGGCCGCGGCTGCTTGCGGAGCCATCGCCGCCGAGACGATTGCAACCTTGAAGAGGGAAGAAATGATATGAAAATTATGAAGACAACGGCAAGGGTCATGGTGGAGAATGACTATGACGAACATGACCTGATGAGTATTGAGTTAGACAGTGTCCATTCCGTATCGACGAACGGAGACGCAGAGAGCCTGGGCTCAAAGGCACACATTGCGGTGGCCGCGCCGCCGCCACCCCCAAAGGACCCGCGGAGTCACTGCCGATGCAACTGCAAGGCATTGGACTTTGAGCAGGTTCGGTCGATCCTGGAAGGGACGTGGATCGGATCGATGGGTGGCGGTGGTAGTGGTGGGGCGGGTCCGAGCGGAGAGAAAAGCAAAGACAAGGTGCCACAGGGATAGGTGTGGGTGAGTTGGCCGTGGAGGAGATGGGTTGGGGTTTCACTGTACCACTTGTATCAACACCGATTATACTTGTTTTTGGCGTTGTTGATGCTTCTCAGCGACATATCGAAGCATTCCTTTGTGTATGATGTCAATGCCAGCGTATGTAACAATAATATAGCGTAACGAAGCTCACGTATCCTTCTTGTACACCCACGGCCCGCTGGGATGGTGAACCTTGCAGATCAACAACGCGATCGCTAGCCTGCAGCATTCAATCACCGATGGATTGGGCGGCAGTCACGTCTTGCTTCTCATTTCTGGAGACCTCAGACAGTTGGTAGTAGACGCAGTGGTTTGCTCCATGCCCACAGCCTGGCTCCTTGCAGGAAACCCACTGTACACGCAGGAACGCTAGTACAAGATGGCGTCCCAGGTCTGGGTAGCAAGCTTCACTGGAGTCCGGCGATTTGAGCAACTCTAGATACTGCTACCTAAGTATACTACCTCGTCGCGTAAGCTGCGTAGGCAAACCCACTGCACTTGAGACAAGACTCCACACAGCGCAAGTACCTACCTACGCAACGTACAAGATAACCATATGACAAATGACAGAATACGCACCGACCTGTCACGATCGTCTGGAAATCGTCTCCTGAAGTTACACGCATCCACAGAAAAAACGCTTGTAGCAAGGCGTCCGCCTATGATACCAAGCTGCGGAAGCCAAAGCCAAAACGGATGTGAGTCAGAAATAGCCTACGCTCTTATCTATTAGCAAAAAAGAGGTAACAATAGAGCTTCCGTATTGAAGCAAGTAAAGATCCCCTTCCCCCGGCCTTTGCGAACACCGATTACAGCGTCGCATGAGCGCGAGCGCAAATCCGGGACCCCCTTCCTTATCTGTGCAGAACAAGGCAAACGAGGCTGCTGCTTTTGCTTGCTTGCAACCCATTTGCCTTCCCGGCGCGCCTCACTACCACTACCACTACCACTACCGCCCATATAATGGCCGCGGACTACAATTTCAACTACCCGCTCGATCTGAGCAAGCTACAGAACGTGCGCATCAAGCTGGTGCCTTTTGACGTACGTTAGCACCTCCCTCCCTCCTCCCAACACTTCACTTCAAGTATCTCTACGAGTCTCCCATCCATAGCCCTTACCGCCACCCCTAAAGCATGCGGCGCGCCTGTTAGTGATGTTACCGCTACTGCACCGCACCGCAGTCCCCACAATATGAATCTCGCCCCCCGAACATCCCTCCAACACCCACAGCCCAGCCCAGCCCACCACATCACTTTCCCGCCGACTAACGCCTCAACCTTTCCAAAAACCACAGTCCAATCTCCCCAAATACGCCTACCTCTACGCCTCCAAAACCGCCTCCTCAGAAGCCGGCGTCGCGAACTTCACCTACCTCCCCTACGGACCCTTCGCGAGCGCGACCGACTTTTTGGAGTGGTACGTGCCGGCCATCCAACGCCAAGCCAACGTCGTGTGGTTCGCCATTATGGTGCGGGATGGGTGGCGCAAAGCCCATGACGACGACGACGCCGACGACGCCGACGACGCCGACCCAGAAGGTGATTTCGCCGGCTCGATCGCCTACCTCAACGCCGACCCTGCGAATGCCAGCTGCGAGAATGGACACGTACGTATCTTTTTCCCGTTGCTTCCATTCCCCCTCGCTCTCTCTCTCTCTCTCCCCCCCTCTTAGTAGGCGCTCGCTTCGCGTCTGCGACCTCTTACCTTGCCTGCTCGAAGCCACTCCCCCACGATCACCACCACACAAACACCCCCAAATAACCCTCACCCATACTCACGCCTCATACTGCACAACACAGTTGAACATCATCCCCCGCTACCAACGCACCTTCGTCAACACGCACGCCAACGGCCTCCTGCTGCACTACATGCTCGACCCCCCCTCGCAAGGCGGCCTGGGCATCCGGCGCATGCAGTGGTTCGCCAACGCGGCCAACGAGCGCAGCCAATTGGCGGCGAAACGGCTGGGGTTCAGGCTTGAAGGTATCCTGAGGTGGCATCGCGTGTTGCCGGGGCATAAGGAGGGGGTTGCAGGTGGTGAGAAAGATGTCGATGGGAATGGGCCGGGGGATGGGAGGGGGAGCGCGAGGCACAGTGCGCTGTTGAGCTTGTGTTGGGATGATTGGAGGGAAGGGGGAAGAGAGAGGGTTGCGGAGTTGATGGCGCGGTAGAGGGTGAGAGGGTGAGGGTCTTGCCCAGGGAGGGAGGGTCCGGGCGGGGAGGAAGGGAGGAAGGTGCCAGCGGATCCGCATCGTGAGTGAGGCTGAGGAGAGTGTGGCGGGGGAGGGCTGGTGTGACGGTGTGGGGATACATTGGTGGAGTGGTAGGAAGAGATGTATACTAAATGCTAGGGCATGCGGCTGGTAGGCCGGGCGGAGGATGTGGAGAGGAGGATTGTCTGTGGTCCTCTCCGTAACTGGTGCATGATTGGTGAACGGAGAAGACGACGAGACTACAGACAATCGAGATCTCCCATGTCGATGCACACAAGTGCAGGAGCTGAACGTGCGGCCGGCTATGGGGAATAGAAGCATTCGCCCCGAATCGCTATGCGGGATCTTGTCGGTGTTGGACAACGTCACGATGTTGTCGAATGGCGCAACTTGGTACCAACTTGCATGTCCTCGGCGCAGGTCACGTAGACGACCCCGTATTTTCGTGGAGGTGCGTCTACTAAGCGGACATGGCACCAGGATACCAATCGAATGGGCACACTCTTTTCGTAGGACGGAAAGAGCCTGCGCATGAAGGCGCTGTCAATTTGTGTCAGTGTCACGCTTCTCGCCCACGTTCGCACGCCATTTGCGAGCAATCAGGGAATCGAAAGATCAAGGTATCGGCTCCGCGCCGCAGTCAGTTGGAATTGATGGACATAAGCCGACGACAGCCGCTCTGGCAATACCGAGAACTTTGGTATCGCGAGGCATCGCTGCATCGGAGAAAGTGTATTGTTTAGGTACGGGAGTCTGGTCCCGCATCCCCACGAGATAAGGTGCACGACTGCACCACATTATTTGCGTGATCGACAGTGCCGTGCATAGCAGCGAAACTTCGCTGCAATTGTCCAGCGACTAGCAGTGGCTGGAAGGGGGCGAGGGGGACGGTTAGATGACTGCGTGAATATCCGTCTGGATAATGGAGGACATGTCCTGAACAGGAAAACCGGGATCGTCGTGGAACGTGGGGTGCAGATACAACCGGCACGGCTAAGGCCTGAAATCGGAATTTGCTGGGGAAAAAGGGTGGAGAGGCGTCCCATCCATCTCCGCATTTTTGTAGCTATCGGTTCGCTAGATATTGCCCACTGGTGTATGATACTCCTGATATATCGCCGAGATAAGACTGTTGAGCTGCACGAGAGAGGGCGTCCTTCGGCAAAGAATCGATGGGACCTTGGACTTACGTCAAGGCTCGCAACTCGAAACAGCGTCGTCGCGTAAGGGAACTCATGATGAAGTCACTGTCGGCCAGAAGGAAGATTGGCGCATGCAATGGTCCCCAAATCCAATCATGGTGGACGCACGTTTGGTGAACAGGGAAGAAGTATCACCGAACGTTGACCCGCAGCCCAGGAAGACTATTGTAGCTTAAGTTTTAGCCGACACGGCAGCGGAATTTCATCTTCAACTGCCGCAGAGTTCGGATCGTTCGTTGGCAGCGATGGTACCATGGAGCAGCGATGTTGATGAGTACAGAGAGTGAGTCTCAGCTCGTCGTGTCGTCACAACAGGCATTTTGTTGAGTATAGTGCACGATCCGAGATTTCAGGCTAAGGTCGGTAGTTGTTGTCTCGTACAAGTCGTGATGCTGAGGTTTGCATCATACCAAAGGAAATGCAAACCCGTTCCAACGTCGTCGAGTGCAAATCTACGGGCACTAGGAACGGGGGACCTTACCGACAGCACTGGGCCAGTAGGCTGGTCGTGCCTGCCCAGGTGTAGAATAGACTCCATCCCTGTGAGAGGATCATAGGGTCCTCCGGGCGTGGAGAATGGATTTCCCCCTGATACGAGTAGGTCATCGGTACCGATGGGTCTGCTTTGCATCAAGGGTCATGTCCTGTTACCTGAAACATTGACAGGACTCACCGCTTGACTCTCGACTACAACAGAAGAAGCAGCACATCGCAGACCCCTTTTGCGTGCGCTTGCCCTTGCCAGCATTGCAGGAGGGGTCCGAATGTGGCTTGCTCGTCGCTCGTATTGACGAGGCTTGCTGGCCATGCACTTCGTATCGTTGAACGAACATGTGAAGTGGCCCGCTCAAGGCCGAGACATAACTCCTGGCAAACGCTGAAATTTATCGCCAGTGGATGTCTGTGCGGGTGCTCTTCGTATCGAGGGTTGCCAATAGGACGTGGGAAGGCAGAGAATCGTGCGTAATTCGATTCGAGGGGGAGGATCAGGGTGTTGTACATGGCAACCTTGGTTCAAGGCATGTCAGCAACCGTTCTCTGCCTTCGAAGCCGAGTTTCGAGGCCGCAGAAGCAACTGGCCTCGCCTGGCCATGATTAACTGGGGATCCTTTCATAGACGCTCCGCGAGGCCTCTCAATGGTTCGTATGTAGTCGAAACACGGAGTGGCCGTGGCTTGTCAGCTCTGATAGCACAAAAAACAACTCCCCCAATGGCCACACGACTTTGGCTCAGGCGCCACTCGTACAAAGCTCTTACTCGATAACCCCGGGAAAGGTCTCGGATGCCCGCATGTCAGGCCCTGGGGTCCTGCGTCCGCAGTCCCCGTCATCCGCGAGCCCCATAAGCCTTGTTGGCCCCATTCTTTGAACTCCATCAACACTGCCGTATCGCCGGCATTGAAGCATTGTGACAGGCTCATCGATGTAAATGATGCAATCACCCCTATGGCAAATGGTATTTCCGTTCTGGTACAGTCACCTTCAACCCCGGCTCTCGCTGAGAATAGGGTCGCTCGGTTGAGCGTGAAGGGGTGTGCTGGGTTCCATGGGTACAGCTGTGTCAGATGGGCTAATAGGGCAATTGATGAGTGTGACAGGGTCTCATTATCGCAGCCTGAGCGGCGAACGAATTAATGATTGCTTTTGCGGTACCGCAACACTTCGCGGCTGACATTGGGGGCAAGACCACCCTCTCAATCTCGCTTGGCGGGAGGTATGACCTGTCCAGTCGTTGAGATGGTGTGTTCGGACCTCGTACGTGACACACACACTCACACAGTCGACTGACCAACGGACATCAATCACGCCCCGTGAACGCACCGGTAAAAATGCACAATCTGCCGCGGGCTGCTGTGGCCCCGTGGCTGCATAGGCACAATCGAGATGCACTCCGCACTCGCCTGGCTAGGGTCAGGCCATAGTTGTGTTACCTCAACGACGTCCAGGGGTCTCGGCTGCAGTCATCCCTGACTTGCACTCCATATCAACATTAGCCCACAGCTCCGTAGTGTGGGGTTGTCCGATTAATCGTTCAAAGACTCACGATAAGGCCAGAATGCCAATTGCCATGTCCGCCGCCGGTTGTGCCCATGTCTCTGACTCAGCCCAGCAGCTTCGTTGGCTTATGTTCCGCCAGACAGCTTCTTGACCCTGGCGTTGGGCATCTTTAGGCACTTGCAATCATCAGGATTGGGCAGCGAAGGAGGGGAATAGGCTCGTAGGAGTGTCTTCTAACAATGATGTGTCAAATTACATTCCCACGAAAGCCTTCGTAGAAAAAGGCCGTGCCACTGGTTCTGCAACCAGGCTTGGTATCATAAACCCTGAAGGTCTTATCCGTTCTATCCCTGCGCTCAATGCGCTGTTGCCATACGCGTAAACCAGTCAGAAAATCCCAATGCCCTGTCTATATGTTTGCTCCACGCTAGCCCACACCGCTTCGTACAAAAAATCATGCCACCACGTTCGGTTTGCGTAATAAATTGCGTCAACCGACATCTGGGAAGGAGTAGAGTCCGTAACAAGCTTGTCAATGAATGACACCGTAAGAACATCACTGTACCAATTATCGCCGCTCAGCGATGGGAATCACCGTTGATCGAGGCAGCTGCACTAGACTCGCCCGAGCTGAGACCATTGGGTAAATGAAGCATTTCGTGGACCTTGGGTAGCTGCGGAACCGGAAGCTTTCGTTGACTGCCTGTGACGATATCCGCAATCGAAGGCCCAGTATGTCTCGGTGGCTCTACATGCGAGTATGACCCATCAGCCTGAGGCTCCATAGGTGCAAGTAATGGGGTATGCTGGCCCAGTGACAAGTGCCGCAAGCCTGGTAGTTGCAAATCATGATCGTGGGGTCTCAGCCGGGGCGAGTGGCCGGGAGTGGCAAGTGGCGTGTGGTCGGGAGTTGGCGAGATGGACTCGTGAGAGAAAGTCGGAGACGAAGGAGCTGTAGAGTGGGGCGAGTTGGGTCTTGAACGTTTCGAACGGTGCCCATCTTCCTGAGTCTCTTGCGAGTGAGATCTGGACATGGATTGAGAGATGGCGTAGGCAGACAGCGAAGGAAGTCGGCCGTTGCTTGGAATGTTCCGATGGCTGAAAAGGTGGTGCTGATGCTGATAGGGCATCCGCGCAACGGAGTGGTCCTCTCTCTCCAGCTGGGACGCGGCGGATGCTAAAAGATTGATGTCCATGACATTTCCCCTCTCGCCATCTCTAGACATTGGGCTAGGCTGGTTCGAACTGCAGCTGGTGGCCATGGCAAAAGAGTGTGGGGGCGAGACATTGGGCGAGCCGGCCATGGAGGTAGGCGCAGAGCGCGGGGCCATGTTCTTGTTGGGAGGTGGCATCATCTGTGCCTGGGAGGGATAGTTGTGGTTAGGACCATCTTGCAAGCCGGCGGCGACCGCTGCAGCAGCGACCTGATGAGCCTTGTTGTTGCGACGGGAGTTGGGATTGTTGTGGATTCTTGAGTGGCGGGTCAACTCGTCTGACCTGCTAAAGCGCTTACTGCATCCTGGAAACTGGCAAGCGTGAGGCTTCTCTCCAGTATGCGTGCGGATGTGCCTCGTCTGATGTTCGAGACGATGGAAGGCTCGGTCACATAGCGGGCACTTATAAGGGCGAGGAAGATCTTGTCGCTCCTCATTGCTGCCTGTAGGATTGGGGTGACTTGTCTGGGAAGTGACGACCTGCGGCACTGGGTTGGCGACGGCGGCCATGTTGTCGACGGCTATAGATGGTGTCTCTGTCTGGGGAGTGTTGGGTGCAGAATCCGGGGTAGAAAGGATGGGAGGATCGGAGGAGGGAAGAGGATTAAGGATGGAGGTAAAGTGTGCTGACGAAGAGCGTTGCATCCGAGCCGGCACGGGTGATTCGGTGGTGTTCCACGGCAAAATCGCTTATCGTGGGGGAGACCAAGGTTGACAGGCGAATTAGGGGGGGTAGCAGGCAACGAGGGCGAAGGCTGTTTCGGCGTCAGGCCGGGGTAACTATTGATGACTGGGCTAGTTGTTGGGGGCGCTCCGGACTCCAGATGGGGAGGAAAAAGGAAGGGAGGATCTCCTGATCTTGATTCCGTTGGAGAAAGGGATGGCAATTACCCGAGGGCGCACGTCAGCCGGTCTGGGCCAGGTGTGAAGGCTGAGAGAGACGATCGAAGAAGGGTGGAAAGAGAAAGCAAATGAGCCGGAAGAGGGCCGTGCTAAGTGCGTCGAAAGGGTTGGACTAGCGTAATTTCTTATCTGGGGTCTGGTGGGTGTGGGCGTCTTGCGGGCTGGCCACGTTGATGAGGGAATGACGAGAGCTGAGAGCCTAAGAGGGAGGTCTCGAGGCAGAGAATGGCGAGACAGGGGCCTGGGCGTGCGTGACCTATCACTCGCCGTAGTTGACGTGATCCAGGAGCGAAGCGTTGGGCGGGCCAGGGGCACAGAGTCTGATGTGTTCAAATTAAAGTCAGGGCGAAAAAAGTGCGAGGTAACTCAGTACCGGGCGATCTGGGGAAAAATGTCTAAACGCAACGATGATGAAGGTCAAGCAGTTTGGGTCGGGACAAGCAGGGAGAGAAAAAGGCCACGGCGATTGTTCGCTCGCCGCTGAGCCTGCGCTTCCCCAAAAAACTCTGTTGCCAGAGAGAGTACTACTGCCTCAGGTACACGGTCGCACAACCGCGGTAGAGAGGGACTTGTGGGCTACGAATTCAACCCGGAGCACGCCTTGAGGGTGGCCTCTGACGCTTGCGACGCTGATTCCTCGGCCCACAGACCGGTTCAGCCCCATGTTGCCCAGCGTTCGCTACTGGTACCTATCGGCCGCGATTTGTGGGGAGTGGCTCAGGGCTTCGGGGCGTACCCACCACTGTACCTCCGTATCACTGCCTCTGAAATTTGCTTGGGCTCGGAGTTGACCCCGACAAAGCCTTGCCTAAACATTCCACCTGCTGCAATACAGTAGATAGAGATAGATTGCGATGACATGGGCCGTCAACACCTCGGCCAGCAATTACACTCTACGCGACGTCAATATTACATTCATCGCATCGTTCTCAACCCATTAAACGCATTCCCTTTGTCCGAGACCTGAGCTCGGGGAGAACGGGTTTCATCATGGTTTTGACGCTCAGCTGCGGTAGGTTTGGGGCTTCGGGGCGCAGCTACCGAAGGCGTTGCTGCTACGGAGTAAAGTGACCTTTTCTGCTCCAAACTGGAGCGGCGTGGGTCGAAAGCAGATCAGCTCATCCCGTTGGGGCCACCCAATGTGGGGATAGATATCCTGCTGCAGCTGTTGGGCTTTGGGCTTCGAGGCAGGTACGGAGTACGCGGCGCCTCATCTCCTTTGCTGCGACTTGCCTCACAAACCACTGATGGGACTTACCTGCTTCCCTCTTTCGAATACCCCCGTGGCTGTCGCTGAACTGCGAGGGACAAGTACTCCGTACTCTATAGCGCACACATTCCAACTGATTACGGATGCGCTGGGTGTACCCACTGTACATTTTCACGTGTTTTTTTATCAAGAGCAAAAAAAAATTCTTTGTCGCCATAAGCAGCCCCACCACTCCGTGACCGCACCTGCATTAATTGACATTGTGTGATGACATGAGATACCTCAGCGAGTCACGCCTTCAGAGCTGAGCATGTGCTGATATCTCTGAAATTGCCTCCTGCTCCAGGATTTCCAGGTGTCCAACGCCGGACAGCACGTGCGCGCAGAGCCCGGGAGTCTTGGTGTTCTAGATCGGGAAAGCCGAGAGCGGCAAATTCCCAGCGGTTTCTCATTGCGAGATAACTCCACGATACAGGCGTTACACTCGGCCGCCTTTGTGGGGAAATGGTACGTACCACTCTTTGGGGGCCGCTCTTCATATGGGCAATCTGATCTTGGTTGACGAGTATCACCAGGAGCGCCAGAGGCCCAACAGCATCTGGCCGCATCCGTGTCGTACCCTAGGAACTGATCTCGATTGCGGATGTTAACTCAGCCCATCTGCAGCCGCAGAGAGCCTGCCTCTATCTCACAACAGACGACGTACGCCCCGTTTCGGACGCGGATGGACCACTGGTCAGCTCATGAACCTTGGCTTGAATTCCTTATCTCGCAGGACATCATACCGTGCTCCATATCAACCCTGTTCTCACCACGAGATATGGCCAGCTAGACCCCGCAGTGTAGCAACAGTCGGCTGATTTGCTTCTGATGCCTGTAGAATAAGATTAAAACCACCTAGTGATACCGACCAGGCGATGGCGCTTATCAGATGCGGGCTGGCGACCTGGACTAGACGTCCTTCTCGATCTCCAACTATCAGCCTGTTTTTGCCATCAGCTTTGCCCCTGTTCCGGGGCAAAAGCAATCCAAGCCCGGGTTTGTGGGGTTGCCAGCAACCGATGAGAAGCCATAGACGTGTCCAGACCGTTGATAGCTTTTGCGGAAGGCAACACGTGGTCGGCTTGTCCTGGGCGAGATCAATCTAAACAGATATTCTTTGTGCAGTACCGTGTACAGATGTCATGAGCGATGGTACACGTGCCCGCAAAGTACGCTCCCCTGTTAAGCGAGCAGCCTGCCTCTTCCACGCTTTCAGGTACGAGTAGCCCCCGCAGCGCTAAGTTCTCGGCTCCTCGGATAAGCACGCATTACGCCCGCATGGGGATTGCTTTCAGGTACCAGATCGTGCTGCGTTTCGGCGGGCGCGCAACCTTTTCCTGAAGGGATTTCAACACTGCCACAGTGGTGCTTCGGATATGTGAGACCGCAATAGCGAAACTGTTGAGTGCTTGGCGGTGCAAAGGAAGCTGAAGACACTGTAGGTGAGATATATTCGGCTTGATTACTTTTTCGACATGGGAGTTGCCGCCGTCGCCACCACAAATCGCATACTGTATACACACCCTTCCGGCATCAGACTTTTATCTGCCGCCTTGCACGCTCGTGTTGCCTTCTCGCCACAGAAGGCAACCACCCTTCACGCGAATGTCCCATCCACCCGACCAAGCACCCGCATCAGGCTTTTCACATGCTGCCGGAGATGCTACCCGAATCACATCTGATCCGCTATCGAAATTTTTCTGGGCATCTCAACCTGGTCAAGCTAACCTTTGCTTATCAGAACGTGTCCTTCAGAGGTGCTTGAGCATATTACCAGTTTCCCCCCACAGTGATGTTCGAGAAGAATTAAATCACGCATCTGGTGCCACTTTCACGTGAAAAACGTGCTCCCCGTGGGAGACTCGCCCACCTCGTGTGAAATCATCAGGTAGGAGAAGATCGAATCTGACTTTTCTGGTTGCTCCATGGGTCGGCGACATCAATGCGATCAAGCGGACCATTGTTGCCTGAGCCACTTGACAAGGTCTCCATAGAAGGCTATCATGTAGCCGAACCAGCCTTGTGTGGCTAACACCTCCCTTAGGCTTAGGAGCGCGAGCTTCTCGGCTTCCCAGTTCCGCCCCGAGATATTTTCGTGAGCTCACCGCCGACCGGGCCACTGAGAGTGCCAACCATCCATGCCCGCGTCCACGCCCCAAATCCCACGCTTCCAGTGGCCCCCCATTCTCACCTGATATGCCGCTTGCGCTGCACGGCAGATTCTACGCGAAAATTGGAATCGAAGGGTTTGGACCGATACGAACCCTGGTACCCTTGGTTCATAGGGCCGCTCCGGCATTGGCGCTGGCAGTGGGTTGGCACTGCAATCAGGGAGCTCGCTGGTCCTTAACCATGAAGTCGCGACTGCGGCCTTGGCAGAGGCGTGAAACATGAGCGTGATTCTGCACGCGCAGAGAAGACCGAGCAGTCTATCAGGTAACTCTCCACCAATACCGGCCCCTTGACGCATGAGATACATGGTCACAGAACTCGCGCCAGCAGCGCCATGTGATATCATCCGGGTTCCTAGAATTTGCAGAATGTGTGCGAGAGATTGTAGTAGCAGGAACTTCGATGGACAAAGGCTTGCATCTTATCCCTGGCACACCCAGTCAACTCGTCTTTGGAGGTGGAACACTAAGGGACCGGCATGTGTAATGACACTCTAGACACTCAGCGTTGGTCCATGCGTGGTATTCATTCACGGTTCCCGCTTCCTTTGAGAGGAGCTCACATGTGACATTAGTAGAAGCTCACCTGTATGGCAGCCAATACTCCCGGGACGACCGCCCCATGACCGTCCTCGATGACCCTTAGTGCTGCGGTCTACTTCATATCGCAGAGGACTTCACGCGCCGAGTGCCGCGCTCATGTACATTAACGGTTGTTGGAATTGTGCTGCTATCCTTCGTGTCAAGTCGTGGGACATGGGGCTTAAAGTGCACAATGCCGAGAACGAGTGTTTGACGCGGTCGGTATGACGTAGCGCGAACCGCGAAATTGCGCAAAGGCAGGATTGGGGGTGGTCGAACTGCGCTTGCGACCACGAAGTTCAACATCAGTCGTTCGCAACGCATCTACTTCAAATCAACGGCGTCGCCCCTTACTCATCATACGACAGTTCTCACCATACGATACAATCCGGGATCCAGACCTATAAATCTAGCCTGCCATGGCACCGACTCGACCGCGAGCTGTAGATGATTCCCGCTCAGAGACCTCTAGCACCATTACGAATCTGAAAGAGAGGGCTACGTTAGGTGCTTTGACGGGCACTGGAGTATCTAAAGGCAAGAGAAACGCAACAGGGACTGCGAATAGCACGTTAAAAGCCACCGCCAATGGCACGGCAACGGACAGTAACGCCGTAGAAAACCTCCCTAAGGTGCGTTCGCTCACACGACATCACACAATGCAGTTAAATTCCTCACCTCACGACACTGACGGCATCCATATGCCGCTGCATTACTTCCGACCTCGGATCTAACGTTTTCACAGACAGACTGGAGCTCGTTATCCCCGTCCACCCTCCTCACATACCGCACGGCCTACCGCCTTCCGACTGCTTCTTGCTACACACATCCCCACGCTGATATCCTTTACGAATCGTCGCAGACCGCCCGCCGGGCCCCCACAGCTGTTCTAGCGCGAAAGCGCATGAGGGAGTTCCGACTACATCACCGGGAAGAGCCTCAGCCGACCACATCCACCAAAAAGAAATCAAAGCCAACCGCCACTGATAAAGACAGCGACGTCTCCAAACAGAACGAGCTGTCCAAGGCCGCCGCTACAGTCAACAGTAATGACAGCGGTGGAGGTAGCGATGAGCCAGGCTCCCCCGACCCGTTCCAGCCCCTTGTGGGCTACCTTCCACCAGTAGAGCAGATTGACCGGCAGACACCCCAGCTTCTGGCCATGGCGGTGAGGAAACATTTCAATGCACAGCAGCTCAACGAAGCGGAGACGGTTGCGAAATTCATATACGTGGCGCGCAACAGCTCCAGCAGGGGAGCCGTCCGGACCGAAGGCAGCGCGGGCGATGGCAATGGGTGGTGGATGGGTAGTCAAGGGAGAGAAATCAGGAAATGTGACGGCGGCGAAGTGGGCTTCAGGTTGAGGTTTCGACCTGGCTAGGAGCCACGCTCGAGGCGCTATGACTGGCCTTCGCCTGGACATCTATACAATATTTTCCAGATGCGCTGTGGTCGAACCATCACACGCTCAGCTGAGTGTACTCTGGATCGAACTTGCAAGGCTGTTTGCGGCCCAAGAACCTGCTGAATTGCCGGTCACGGTATGTGGGCTATGCTCTGGGCCTTGTAAGAGAGGAAAGCGCGACCATATATCCAGGATTTATAAGCTGCAAACGTATATGGCCCGAACTCCCACGCATGGCTGGCTGCTATGCGACGGTCCCGTCCTTGCCTTTTGACCAGCTTCTGCCATTGTTGGGATCCGATCTCCCGCTAGGTGTTCATCACAACGATTGACCCGACCCCTAGCTCGAGAGCCTCTGACGAAGGGTTCGGGGTTTGACTCGCACCGGTTGATGTCTGCAGCTACTCCTGTAACCACCGCAAGCTGGTTCGTCATCCTTTCATGCTGTGGCCTTTTGCCTTGTTTCGCAGTCGCATCGGCGTCTAGTCTTTCCTGCCGTAACAACAATTATTTCAGGCGGCAATATAACGGACAAAAGTACCTTCGCCATGGACGAGGGCTAGTGTTTGGATGCGCGGCCTAATTCGTGGGGTGGCTAGGTGCTGACCGGTTGAGGCTGCAGTCAATATTGGTCAGTCTCAACATGCGGACTTGCCTTGTCACACCGGTCATGCAATTCAAACTTATCCAACAGTCCGTATTGCGGCCTAACGCGAGGCATCAATTCTAATCTTGGAACCACACGATGTTTGAGAATGGTCCTTTTAAAGGTCTGTTTTTGTGCTTCTGCGTATCGAAGTGGTCACCACCAGTTCGCGTTCTACTTGCCGAAAGTTCATGCACTTACCTCCGCAGAGGCATCAGTTGGATCTTGTGCCTGTGCGGTTGACCCGGTGTGCTAGTTATGTGGAGGCCGATTTGAGCGATAGTGGTTTGTAAATCGGTATTGGCCAGCGGTGGAATCGGCGCAAGGCTCTATCAGATGGATGAACACTCTTCAGACTACTTGTCCGGGCCCGATTCGGATTGACTGCCCATACGTGGTGCATTCATGCATTGGAGACGTCAGGGTCCTCAATTTGACAAATCGGTGTTTCAATAGTCCTCAAGGTCGCGATGGACGTGTCGGTCTGCTGACCGCCAGGAATTGGCGCCTGAGCAGCGACAATAAACGGCCAGTGCTACTCAAAGCACAGGGCCACGAACCAAAAAATTTTCCTCGCAGACATCGAGCGGTATGGGCGTTTGACGGCCGACATCGGAATTGGTTCATCGTTGTTCGCGTCTTGATGCCGCCGGTAATGCTGGACGAGAACGAGTGTTCGCGCGGTTACGTGGTTCGCCTCACGCGTACGGGCGACATAACTCGTCTAGTGGAGATTGGGCCCATCGTTCATCGGTAAGACGCAAACCTCATGTGCGAGTGACATAGTCAGGAAGAACACATGCAGCGCAACAGAGGCCCGATGAGAATATTTCTGACGCAAGTGCTTAGTGTTGATGCCCAAAGAATCACGGCTGTTTGACGAAGCACCTGACGATATCCGGTTAAGGATAGGCAGTGATGTCTTTGCGCAGTAGGGTAATATTAAAGGGGGCCATCAGATCTGATCCCGAGGAGCCTATAACGCTGATGCCCAAGCAGTGCGACGAATAATGTCCGTAGCATCACAGTTCTGCAGCCGTGGATGGTTGGATGTTAGTCTGACGCAGCGCTACTGCGCCATATCTTTGGAGCAAGTGCAGTAGTTGAATACCTAGGTATGCATGGGTCCTGGGCAGGTCACAAGCGAGGCCGTTATGGAGGACACGTGCGAGGCCTGAGCTGGCTCGCCTGCAACGGGCCGTCGACTGACTGGCGTCGGGAGCAGGGTCTGAGCTCGCCGAGCAATTAGTAGCTTCCTCCTGGGACTTGTAGAATTCAATAGATGACGAAAGTAAGGTGGGACGCACAACTAAGAGTGGCAGCAGGGGGAAATGCAACGAATTAACGGGGAATGGATTGTTAAGTGGTCAACTTAGTCCGACCCCGCGGGGGCTTGGGAAGGACGCTAGCAGAAGGGAAGAACTGAAAACTGCCAACACATCAAGGTCCGCCAGGATGATTGCAGAGCTGCCTGACGAGCGAGGCGAAGATGTGACAGGATATTGAGATCAGTTCAGAGATTGATGAGAGCAGATGAAGCGGTAGATAGGTGCCCGTGCGCAGATGAGTATAGGTATTGTCGCTAGCTGTTGGATATCGGGAAGATGCGGGAGGGTAGGATGATAGTTACCGACAAGACATGCGTTGTTTGCTGGTTGCTTGTGGTCGCACTGCTATTGTAGAGGACGCGAAAGTAGACACGGTAGTCAGCCGAGCTCATACAGCCATATACGAAATAGCCGCTGAGCCACGCGATGTGATGTGTCGTGGAAGAAGCAACATCGAAGTTTGATCTGAAGAGCAAGCATACCCTTTAGCAAGGGATAGGGAAAGGCATGGGGGCTTGTTTGTAGGGGCTTGAGAGGCTTAGCTGCACCCTGGAATTGGGTATGGTGGCAGGGACGACCGCCGGGTGATATTTGTCGAAGGCAGGCACTGCAAGAGTGGGGAAAATTCTGCATCGACCAAAGTCCAGTCCAGCTCCAACAACCTCACCACCTCATCTCACGCAGTCGTCTCCCCTCACCCTTGCTCCCTCATTTCCTTGCCTTGCTATTCTCAAACACCATACCATGGCCCGGCACCAGTGCAGTCGCCGATTCCGCTCAGGCTAAGCAAAGGCCAATCCGGCGGTGAAGGCCACGACACCAGCCTCGCGGAAGTCTCCCAACAAGCCGGAAATTCAGCCTTCTGGCGCCTCATTTTGGCTCCAGCAGCCCAAGTGGAGTTACTGAGACCACGTCCAAGACCATCGTAAACTCCCTCATCACCTCGCATATTCCTCATTGCCAGTCGCCTACTCTGCATCTACGCACAAAACCATCTATGAGCCTGCGCCGCTTTCGGTCTCGTCCTCACCGGCCCTACGCGTTCAGTCGCTCTCTGTAATATACTCGATTTGGTGGCAGTGTGTCTTGTCGCTTTGTCCAACACCAGCTCTCACCGCCTACGACCATCGTCCCGAACTACCAATCGACCTCCTTCACCGCGTCGTACACATTCCGTTCACTTACCGCATCGGTTCCGTGTCACCTGATGTTCTACCCAGGACCTCACTCAAGTTGTGCTTGTGTTGCGTCCTCCCTGGCTCGGGACCAAAGGTCGCCTTGTCCCATCTCCTCCAGTTGAAATGGGCATAAGACCTGGTGATGGACATCCCTCTCAACGCCCCGTCACCCCCGAGCCTCAGCCCCACAGCAAGCACTCATTCAGATTGGGGATGTGGCAGCGCCTCCATGGCCTTTTCTCCAAGGACGACCATCATGACGGCGACCCAGTACCAAGCCCCGGCCAGGTCTCCTGGCCCGACCATCCCCCGCCGCCGAGCAAGAAGGATTGGTCCGCTGTTCCTGTAGGTGTAGGGCTTCCCAGGCAGGCCACCTTCAGACGCCAAAACTCAGAAAAGAGAGACCGCTTGACCCCAGTTCTCCCTAGTGCCAGCGAACGTCGCGCTGTCTCTAGTGCCCGAGCACCAGGGTCCAGCAGCGTTGCACGCCGTCCCCGCGCCAGCTCAACACCTCCGCTCTATCACCTTGAACGAACTTCCGCTCCCGCAGTTCCCACCTCTTACCGCGACAATGGGGACATCGATCAGCCCAAGCAGCTCTCAGCCAGTCCTGTACCAAATGTTCAGCCTGAGTTCTATCCTCATCACGTGGCCGATGACGGGACCAGACCTCCTAGACCTTACTCCGTTACATCTTCAGCCATGTCCCATCATCAGGACTTGGCAGAGCCTGAGGCGGATGAAAAGGCTCAGATCAAAGCAGAGCTTGATACGCGGTGGATTCTCAACCTCAGCATGCATTTTCGAGACAAGTCTGACCGTGAGAAATTTTTCGTTACTTACGCTGAAACACCCAACAAATGGCGCAGGGTTACCGTTTCATGCGATTATCGGAACGCCGAGCCCGGCTCCTTGGAAATGGACCTGAAAGAACTCCAATTTCAACGTGATAAAAGCCTGCAGATCTACGAATCGATACGCGATTCTCTGCTCGAGATTCAGTTCTATGATACCGTCACTAACCTGAAACTTGAGACCAGCGATGGACGACTCCATGTTCACGTTACGGAAGATGTCAATGAGTGCATACAATATCCACCTCGAAGCACGGTTGCTCATATCCTTTATCACGACGAATATCGACCTCAGGAAGTCCGAGAATCTGAACTCGACTTCGACTCACATCTCTCAGGCTTTGTTTACAAGGTAGTTCACGAAGGACGGACTTATATCAAGAAGGAGATACCTGGCCCCGACACCGTTGACGAGTTCTTGTACGAGATCAATGCCCTACACGCCCTTCATGAGTCCGCCAATGTCATCAGGCTTGAAGCTATCGTTGTCGATGACACACATCAACTGGTCAAGGGCCTACTGATCAGCTATGCCGAACAAGGAGCAATAGTTGATCTGCTGTATGACTACAAAGGAAAGATAACGTGGGAAGATCGCCTTCGCTGGGCACGGGATTCGGTTGTCGGGCTGAGCGAGATTCATGAAGAAGGATACGTGCAAGGCGACTTCACCTTATCGAACATTGTGGTCGATCGCGAGGGAAATGCAAAAATCATCGACATCAACAGACGAGGCTGTCCAGTAGGTTGGGAGCCTCCAGAGATCGCGGCAAAGATTGAAAGCCACCAGAGAATATCAATGTACATTGGGGAGAAGTCGGATTTGTATCAGCTTGGCATGACACTTTGGGGGTTAGCTGCCGACGACGACGAACCGGAGAGACATGATCCGCCGCTGTCTGTCCACGCTCTGCCACCCGAAGTCCCCGACTGGTACAAGGATATTATCCGCATCTGCCTCGATCCGAAGCCTCGAAACCGGCGCTCTGCGAAGGAACTTGCCGCATTGTTTCCAGCACCTGAAACTTCGAACACAAAAATGTTGTCCGAATCACCGCATACAGTCGATTATCGAGAACAGAAGCGTTACATCAACCCTAAAGACGCTGTAGAACGGGATGATATCGAGAGATTCAGCTGGAAGGAACAACTTCCCTACTCGCCAGAGAGCTCACGTTATGACGACACTTTCACGTATCCACGCTCATCCAACTACGATCGAGGAAGCGACATCTCGGAATTCGAGCGACCTCGAGGGAGGCCGCCGCCCAGGAATCTAGAGCATCTTAGTCCACGCGAGAGACACGGATGGTTGCATGAGCAAGCTGCTACGTCTCAGGCAGATGAAAGTGAGCCTCAGATTTTGGCTGTCTCGCCGAGGATAGGGCCGCAGTACGACGAACTCGATATTGATGGGAGGCCGTTCCTCATCGCAAGGGGTACCTTCGACGATGACGAATTGGAAATGTTAGATGGTCGACCGCGTGGTCGGTCACGCAATCAATCTTCCATCAATGTGGGCACTGAGCTTGATCCTCCGAGCTCGGCACCGTTCACACGACCTGCAAATATATCGCACAATTCAACGACATCAGGGAGTACGCCTCGACACAGTCAAGCCGTATTGCCGACCGTCTCAGGTAGCCGGCGCAGCAGCCTGCACGCCGCACCTTCTGAGTTGACATCGGTTGGCTCGCACCCTGACATCGCCACAGAGCCTCATGCCGGGCCTACACTTCAACCTTTAGCTGAAGAGCCTCGCTTTTCGCAATCTCCTCAACCACCCCCGAGTCTTACTTACGCGGACTCTGGGTTCTACGAGCCGGTCGATGAAGAAGACATGCTACCTCAACCTTCTCTGACCATGCCAACTTCTGAGGGCGTTCCGAACGTGCAGCGCGGTGAAGATGAATCGAGCACGCCGCTCGCAGGTTCCGTGGGCAAACACGCCACAGCAATGCCCACACTACCGCCGTTGTTCGAAAGGTCTGATACAAGCATACACCTTGGGAAGGAGCAAACATGCCCGCTTGAGGAAGTGCAGCGCTGTGACTCTGAACCGCCAATAAGACCGACAACGCCGGCACCATCCGTTGTCGTCCACGATGTGGATGGACAAAATGCTTATGCGACAACGTTACTTGAAGCCCAGGACCTGCCGTCCGTTTCCGAGTCTCCCAAGATCGAGGTTCCCGCAGATGTCTCGGACGTGATAGTCGAGATACCGCCATCCGTGGACTACGATGCAAGCTTGAAGAGCCAGTCGGGTAAACTTCAAGAAGAGCCGATGCATGATCCGCAATCGAAGGGCGATAGTTCACTTCCAACATCGGCACCAGAGCGGCAGGCAGATACGTCTGACGTTGACAATATTGCATCCACAACCCAGGAGGGTTCCAAACCAAGTGGTCGCTCTGATCTGACAGACCTCGCTCTTCTTGAAGTCGACAACAATTCGTTGGTAGAACCAACCGCTGTGGCCCAAGAGGATGGGCAGGCCGTATCCCAGACAGATGCGTCTACTTCAAGTTCTCAGTCCGCGACGTTCGAAGGCGCTCTAAGATCTGGGGGTCCGGCTGCGCCTGATGAAGTACGCATGGACTCAGTTTCGGATAGCGCAGCAACGGACCAAGGGCCTGGGTGAGAAAAGAAGTCTGCTCGGCGCGCTCTGCGCCGGGTTTTCAAAAGAACTCAACTCGCTCGGCCACCGTTCTGAATCTTGACGGCTGCACCGAACCATGATTGCGTCCAATAGCAGTATTGATTAGTGTCATACTCATGCTAGAACGCGGTATACCATCGCGGACATTGAATCCGTGATTGCAGGCAAGCTGTGCCACATTGGCCTGCAGAATAATATACGTTCCGCGGCGGCGCCGTTTGGAGCTGAACCAGTTCCAGATCATTTGCAGATTGGATGAACCATGATGGAATTTTGGCATCTTGGAGGTGCTCATTGTATATAACTCGCTTTCAGTCATTGGCGCGCGCGTTTTGCTTTTACTTTTTGGCATAATACTCAGTTTCAGCAAATCTCAGAGAAGCGCCCCTATAAGGAAGAGTCGAAGCACGGGGAACCAGACATCGGGGTTTGAAGCAATTCAATACAGGAATACCACCAAGAACTCGACCTTGGCGGTAGAGAAGTGATAAGTGAACGGGTCATGAAGCATGAATCGGATTGTAAAGGATGGGCCAGTCAGGGCGGGAGTCTTACAGAGGGACTGGAGGATCAGGGACTTGCTTTTCTCAAGAAGACAAGAAGACATGATGGACACGACAGAACATGATACCACGAACGATTTTCTGAGGGCCTGTAGTATTGCTCGCATTTGCGGCCCATTCACGGGTTGATGGACTTTTGTAATAAGATCTTCGGAACAACTTATAACAGGCAATTTGATAGATTTGTTTTCCTGCTAGTGATACGTTACACCTGTGTGTTTTATATATGGAGGCAGACGGATATCAATGCCTTCAAACCAGTATCTGAACCTGCCAACAAACATTGATGGCAGCCATGTATGGATAGATCCCTCAGCATGCTCTCAAGGCGAGCCACAAACAGTCCCGCCTGACTGGACGGCTATAGGGAGGGGTGTTTGGTAGAAACAGGATGGGAAGACCGGAAAAGTTCGCATACGCCTTGCACGACATGAAAATCATCACTACTCGTTCATATTTTTGCTACTGGTTAGCTTACGTATCTTCCGCTCCACCGTCAGCCAGTCAGCCTGCCTTTTCTGGGCCGGAACATCCTTTTTCAGCGGCGCTACGAACATCCCTTGTTTCTGTACTCCTCCTACTTCCAAGCACTCAAGCCAGCCCACGGATCTCCACCACCCGGGCCCCCACCACCCTGCTGCGCGCCTCCCGGCCCTTGCTGAGATTGCTGCTGCTGGCCCTGGCCCTGGCCCACGCCCGGTGCTCGAGCTTGATAATTCGCGTAGCCGCCGGGCCCGCTGGCCCACTGCCCCTGGTGGTGTGACGGGTACTGCGTGGACGAACCCCCTCCGGGCGGGCCTGGGGGCGGTGGGGGCGGAACGTAGTTCTGGGGCATGCTGTAGGGGGTTTGGAAGCCGGGCGAGGGCTGGGATTGTTGGGATTGCGAATAGGAGGAGGCGTGGGGTTGGTGTTGGGGCTGGTAGTGTTGTTGGTAGGACTGCTGGGGAGGGGGTGATTGATAGGAGGGTTGCTGGTGCGGGAAGCTCGGGTATTGTTGCTGCTGTGGTGGGTACTGGGAGGAAGGGGAGGTGAAGTTGAGCTGGTGGTATTGTTGCTGGTGCTGTTGTTGGGGGGGTGGTTGCGGAGAGTGTGATTGTTGGTGCTGGTGTTGAGTTTGGGGCGGGAAGAAAGATTGGCTCTGTTGCCCTCCTGGAGGCGAGGTCACGGGAGAGTATGAGAAGCCTTGAGCCTGTTGTTGTGGGTTGGCATTGACGGGCGAGGCGACGTTGCGCTCGGGGTAAGCCATGGGATTGTAGCCCGTGGAAAGCGGCGCCGCTGCGCCTTGCGAGTAAGGATGACCGGATTGTGGTGAGACAGGTGAAGGATTTTGTGGTGGTTGAGGCTGCGCATAAGATGGGTAGCCATTGGTGAAGACCGGGACAGGCTCTTCCCGAGGCGGAATCGTGAAGCGCGGGTCGGCGTTTGCGGCAGGGAAGTTCTGCTGAGGTGCTGGCGACGGTTGAGCGTTGGCACTAGACGGCTGTGGTGGTACGGTGGGTGGCCGCTGACTCGTTGGCGACGAAGCGCTCGGATCCATGGACAACCGCTGCATCAACTCTTGCATTCGCTTCTGTTCTGCCGCAGCTTGACCTCCCGCCGCGCCAGCTTTCGTTTGCTCGATCTGGTTCAGTAGCTGTGCGCCTTCTGCTCTTCGATTGCTGACAAAAGTCTCCACGTTCTTCTCCAGACTGTCCACACTCTCTTTCATTTCACTGTAGAATCCTTGAGCTCGCATCAGGCCTTGTGTCAGGTCTTCGTGTGCTGTGAAAGCCCTGCGGTATCGATATAGGACGTTACTCCTCGCTTTTTGAATACCCTCGTATCTTTGCTGGTCTGATCGCACCCGCTTGTCCTGTAGGAGGTCGCCGTAGGTCTTGGTCAGCTCTTTGAGGAGCGATGACTGTTTATGAACAGTCGAGATCAGTCGGTTTTGATGAGATCGGAACTTCTCCAGCTCGGCCTGGAATAGCTGACTTTCTTGGTTCGCTATCAACTTCTTGTTGAGAATGAGTATGTTCGAAATGTCATCAGTATGGACCTTTTCCTTCAAGTCTTTGAGAACTTGCATGCGTTCTCGCTTCACTAGGTTCAGCTTTCGAAGGACGTCTTCGACTTTGGCGATTTGATCGGCAATGGAGACGCCACCTTCACCATAATCCTCATCCAATAGATTTTCTGAGCTCTGCATCGATCTATCGCTTTTGACGCCCGACTTGATGAGGGCTTGCTGGTATAATACATCGGCTGCTCCTGTCTCGCCCGCGGATCGCATCTCCTCGAAGTCGGCTTCATGTTGCCTCGCGGTGTTCAGAAGCTGGTTATCACTGCCGGCAGCTTCGTCGACCGTATCACGATAGCTTTTAATGTCACTGCGCAACGTCGACGTAAGGCGTGAGCTCGGCTGTTGAGTCCACTCACCGCCATACTTCGACCTCATTTTTTCACATACGCTTTCTTCCATGTCGAGTTGCTTGGAGCTCTTCGCAAGGCTCTCGAGAACAGAGGCCTTCTCACGCTGCAGCTGATCGAAAGCGGTTGAGAAGGACCCGTGACTGGACATCTCCTGGCACCACCGCTCAAACTCTGGATCTAGACTCATTTCTGAATCTAGCCCACCCTTAAGCACGTTCAGGCTGTTTGGGAGCTTGAGGTAGTCTAGACTGGCGGCCATCTCTCCGTTGGCTTGTTCAACTTTCTCGGCCTCGGATCGAATGAGCTTCGCCTTCTCCTCGTCATACATGCTGGCTTGCTCAGTAACGGACATGGGTACAATTTTTTGAAATATATCAGGCCCGGTAATTCGCTGGATGTCCTGGCCTTGGTAAAGATCAGATACTGGGATGGCCTTTGCGGCGGGCATTTTGGTGACTGGCTGAAGAGAGCCTTCCGCTGGAATAGTTTGATGATAGATAAAGCCATTGTCTTTGATGGACGAAGTCAGCTTCTCTTGCACAGTTTCGAGCTGGCGCTTTGTTATCTGCTGTAGATTCGAAGCGGTATCTGATCCAAGATTAGACGAAGTGCCGGGTGTTGCAGGAAAAACCTTTGCCTGCTGAACAGCCTGTTTACTGGCCTTCTCCGCAAGGTTAAGTCTCGCAATGGCAGAGCCCTGCAGATTGCCTTCGTCCTCAGTCACGGCCTGAAAGTATTGTGCCACCGAATCGAAGTGCAGCGTCTTTATTTGAATAAACTTAAGCCAGGTTGGGTCGAATATCTGCCTCGAGTTCTCGCATTCCAGACCTTCCTTGGCCTGAGCATACAACCAGTGTGCTTGGGAGGCCAACTTGGCCAGCAATGCCGACTTCTTACCGTCGCGAATCTGCTTTTCAAGGAACGACTCCTGTGCCTGGGCGAGGTTGACATTGATCAAAGCTTTGACGGTGTCCCTGTTGAGATCTTGAGACGGCGCATGCAGGAAGTTCTCGTTGATGTATGTGAACATGCCAGCCGAGGCTTGGAATGAATGATAGGCGGTCTTGAGCCCATTATCTTCGGCTCGGTTCTGCGCAGCAGCATGGCATGACAATACAGCCGAGATGTTAAATATGACCGAAGCCTTTTCGAATGCTAGCGAGTACTGCGACGTAGGTTTGTGTGTAAATGCATCGAACCTGGAACGGTTAGGCGAGTTGTAGGCATTGCGGGATCCAGACCTACCAAGTAAACGAGATCTTGATGTGGTTTTCATCGACTGGAAATCTCAGGTCCAGGAACTCAAGCTGTCCGTAGTATCGGTATAGTAGGTCTCTTCCCGAAGCGCTGTCGGAACCCGCTCCACGCATATCCTGGCGCAAGCGATTGAGGGTGGCGCATTCTTCTGAGTATTTGTCTGGATCATCGCCGTAGCTTGCTCGGATATAACTTTTCAGAGGTGTAATCCAATCGACCTCACCGGTCTGCTTGAGCGGGCAAGATAACATGGGAGCCTGCACCATGGCGGCGGGGTGGGGCCGTCTGCGGCCAGGTGGTCGTGTAAGTGTTATCGGAGGGCTTGAAAGAGGTAGAAGGCCATGGAGGCGGACTGCAGCTACAGATGCAAGACTGACAGGTGTAGGGCGCGCGAGAGTCAATTAGCCGCGCTGGAATTGGCGGGCGGCGGATATGGATGTGACAAGGTGAGTCGAGATGCAGCAAGGCAGCCAGCAGCCAAACGAAGCTCCGCCCCCGAGGCTACACCATAAGGCTACAACTTTCACTGCCTGATAGATATTATTTTGTCTGATGAGTTGATATTCATTCCTCTATATTGTAGCTAATACATCGGTGGCGCTAAATTCAGCTATTTATGACACTCTTCGGGTTGCTGTCATCCGGAGTCGGCTCTTGTAGGATAGACACACTGTGAAGCGGGGGGTATTGTTGTACATCTGAATTGGTTCATCCAGAACCTGACGCCTTCTTTGGCTCCTCGTCATCCTTGCTGTTGTCCTTGGCCTCGTCCTTCGGCTCCTTTTCCTTGGTCTTGGGCTCGTCGGGTTCCAAATTGTCGTGTTGATGGGTCAACCTGTGCCAGGCCGATTTGAGGAAGCCTTCGTTCTTGTGGTCTGAGGCCGTCTTCGAAGATTCTCCGGCTTTTGGCTGCGAGTCTCTACAGATAGAGTTAGCGAATGTCGACGTCAACATCTTGTGATCTTGAGACGTACTGCTTCCATTGGTCCACACCCATTATCCGCTTCGCCGTCTTGTCGCCCATCTCGTCGGCCAGCATTTCCAATATTACGCGCTGGTTGGCGCTGAGGTACTTGGGCATTTGTACTTTGAACTCCACCCGCAAGTCTCCCGAACCGCTATCCCGGCCACCGCCTAACCTTCTCATGCCCTTGCCTCCAAGAGTGATCTTGTCACCAGTGCCTGTACCTGTTGCCACCTTTACCTTGACCTCGCCATCTAGGGTAGGCACCCGCACTTCTCCTCCCAGCAGTGCGGTCGGCAGTGGTATCGATGCGGTATAGAGAATATCGGCGCCGCTGCGGTTGAATCGAGAGTCAGGAGCAACGCGGATGTGAACGTAAAGGTCGCCACGCTGCGATCGAACCTTCGGATTTGGCGAAAGTCCTGTGGGTGGTGCATCGCCTTCACCAGATACCCGTAGGCGCATGCCATCGTCGACTCCGCCTGGAATGTCGACTTCGACAGTTTTCCGCTGCCGTACGACGCCGTTGCCGGAACAGTTGCCACATTCCGAGCCCCGTGGGATGCTGACACCTGAGCCACTGCAGGCTTCACAGGTGCTGGACATGTGGAAGCCCTGTTGCATGACATGGACGCGCGTTCCCGTACCTCCACAGCGTTTGCATGTCGACCTAGTCGTGCCCTTCTTCAACCCGTCTCCTGCGCAAGTGCCGCACTGTACGAGTGGAGTGATGGTAATGTTCCTCGTAACGCCCTTGGCCGCATCCATGAACGAAATGTTGGTTTGGACCTCGATGTTCTCGCCCACCAGGATCTCTTGAGCAGCTTGCCCGCGCCGTCCTCCTCTTTGTCCCGTGAATGCGCCGAAAAGGTCTTCAAAGTTGATTTCTGCGCCAAAGCCTCCGCCAAAACCGCTGAATGGATTTCCACCTCCACCACCGAAACCGCCGGCGCCCGCGAATGGGTTACCTCCCGAAGCGCCCGCTCGGGGATCAAATCCTCCCCCTTGGTCAAAAGCCGCTGCTCCGTAATTGTCCCATGCGGCCTTCTTCTGCGGGTCGTTCAGAAGCTCGTAGGCCGACTGCGCGTCGGTGAACTTCTCCTTGGCGCCTGCATCTTTGTTTGTATCTGGGTGGTACTTTTTGGCCAGCGCGTAGTATGCCTTCTTGATCTCGGATGCTGACGCACCAGCGTTGACTCCCAAGGTCTTGTAAGGATCTTTCGTCGCCTGAGCGGAGCTAGTTGCCGAAAAGTGACGGGATTGAATAATGCATGGCTGTGCGCTCAAACGCCTCCTCGTGCTTGGGCGCGAGCGTGCTGAACTTGATACATGTCGAGACTGGGAATGCTGATATCGATCGTAATGCCTCGGACATTGAGATATGGGACGAATTAATCGGAGCGGGAGGGCGATAGCACCTGCAGGGCCCGGCGCCGCAACGCTCATCGTATTTTATTGCTCTTTAATCTTTGGTATTGTTGGAGGTCTCATTTGTGCTTCATGCAGTGTCAATCCGAGAGAAGAGGAAACTCATATAGAAGTTCTACCGAGAAGCAGAGTCTGGGGTAGAGAAGTTTCGAGAGCATTTTGTTCCGAGTGGAGCAAACGGCGTCCCATAGAGTCAGAGGGTGCAGGTTGCGGCGAGTCGGCGGAAGAAGGTCTGCGTATGAGATCAGTACATTTGACGCAAGCCCACGGCTACCTGCTGTTTTGCTGTCGCCCCTCTCAATTTCTCTCCTTCTGCAGCTCTGCAACTCTGCTGCTAGCCCTGAGAACACACTCCTATCAGTCCTGGGCGAGCTGTCACCACTGGTGCTACAAGCCCGTCCATTACCAAGCAAACGACACCGGGCTCCGACATGCTTCGCGGACAACGCCTATCATGGCGAATAGCAAGCCAGTATCAGTCGCGGATGCTGTGTAGAGACTGCCAGCAGCAAGTTTCCCGACAGAGAGGTCTCGCCGCTTCACAGCGCTCGAGCGCTGCGTCCTCGTCTTCCTCCATCAATACAGTCCAGCGATTACAAATACGCCACTTCTCGTCGCATCCCGCCAGACGGAAAGACAAACCATCGGACGATGATCCCACCCCAGCGCCATCAGAAGAAGTCGACGACAAGACGAAGAAGTCTGAGAGAGAGCTGACGGAGTCTTCTCGAGGCAAGGACAATGCAGAGGCAAAGAAGACACCATCAGGACCAGACCCGATACCACAGCCAGATGGCAAGGCCGCCGTAGATGGTGGCAGTGGAGGAGATGGCGCCTCGGGCTCTGGAAGTGGCGGTGATCAGGGTAGCAAACGTGGCCGCAAGGCAACGCAAATATCCAAGCCCACGGTGCCGGAGACATACCCTCAGGTCATGGCCATCCCGATCGCGAAGAGGCCATTGTTTCCCGGCTTTTATAAAGCTGTCACCATCAAAGATCCAAATGTCGTTGCCGCCATTCATGAAATGATCCGCAGAGGACAGCCATATGTCGGCGCGTTTCTTTTCAAGGACGAGTCTATGGACAAGGACATCATCGAGAAGCCGGACGATGTCTACGACGTTGGTGTCTTTGCTCAGATTACGAGCGTCATCCCTGCGCCAGGCGATGCTGATAGTGTGACCGCTGTCCTCTATCCTCACCGCCGAATCAAGATGACCACACTTTTGCCACCCAATGCCGCGGAGCCCGGCAAGACGACTGTCGAGGTACAGCCGGCAACGGAGGAGAAACCGCAGCCTGATGGTACCACCGAAAACAAAGGTGATGTGGTCGCCAGCTTCGAAGAGCCCAACAAGCAAGAGCAGAGTGACGTAACAGTCTATGAGCCAACAGCCTTTCTTCGCAAATTTCCCGTGTCACTCGTCAATGTCAAGAACCTTACAGAGATTGCACATGACAAGAAGAGTCCGAACATCAAAGCCCTTGCTTCCGAGATCGTCAACGTCTTCCGCGAGATCGCCTCCATCAACCCCATGTTCAAGGATCAGATAGCAGATTTCAGCATGTCTTATCCGGGTAACGTGACGGATGAGCCAACCAAGCTCGCTGACTTTGCAGCGGCGGTCTCAGCCGGCGACATCGAGGAGCTTCAAGATATCTTGCAAACCATGGATGTCGAGCAAAGGCTGCATAAGGCTTTCACGGTCTTGAAAAATGAACTCATGAATGCTAAGCTCCAGACGAAAATCACCAAGGACGTTGAGAATAAGATTCAGAAACGCCAGCGTGAATACTGGTTGATGGAACAAATGAAGGGCATCAAGCGAGAGCTCGGCCTAGAATCTGACGGCAAGGATAAGCTTGTTGAGAAGTTCAAGGAGAAGGCCTCCAAGCTTGCTATGCCTGAAGCAGTCAATAAAGTCTTCGAGGAAGAGCTCAACAAACTTCAGCACCTCGAGCCAGCAGCTTCCGAGTTCAATGTTACTCGCAACTATCTTGACTGGATCACTCAGATACCTTGGGGCCAACGGAGTGCCGAAAATTTTGGTATTAAGAATGCCATGACCGTGCTCGACGAGGACCACTACGGCTTGAAGGACGTCAAAGATCGCATCTTGGAATTCATCGCAGTCGGAAAGCTTCGAGGTACCGTTGAAGGCAAGATTCTGTGCTTTGTTGGTCCTCCTGGTGTTGGCAAGACCTCGATCGGCAAGTCCATTGCACGAGCTCTCAACAGGCAATACTACCGCTTTAGTGTAGGCGGTCTCACTGACGTCGCCGAAATCAAAGGTCATCGTCGCACCTATGTGGGTGCTTTACCTGGCCGCGTCATCCAGGCCTTGAAGAAATGCCAGACGGAAAATCCTCTTATACTCATTGACGAAGTTGACAAAATCGGTCGCGGCCACCAGGGCGATCCCTCGTCTGCCCTGCTCGAACTTCTCGACCCCGAACAAAACTCTTCGTTCCTCGATCATTACATGGATGTTCCCGTTGATCTTTCTAAAGTCCTCTTCGTCTGCACTGCCAATATGACCGACACCATTCCCAGGCCCCTCCTTGACCGCATGGAAGTCATCGAGCTCTCAGGTTACGTTTCGGACGAAAAGAAGGCCATTGCCAACCGGTATCTGGCGCCGCAAGCCAAAGAATTATCAGGCCTCAAGTCGGTTGACGTCTCGCTTACCGACTCCGCCATCGAGGAGCTCATCAACAAATACTGCCGCGAATCTGGCGTGCGCAATCTCAAGAAACAGATCGAAAAGGTCTACCGCAAGTCCGCGCTCAAGATCGTGCAAGACCTCGGCGAGGACGTTCTTGCCGAATCCGAAGCCCTTACTGATGAAGGCAAGGCCGCTATGGAGGCCTCGGAGCAAAACGCTTCCGAGACCACCGACGTCAAGGACACCCCAGAGAATATCGAGCAAGAGACGACCGAAAAGCCACGCAAGCCGCTGCAGCTGCAGGTCCCGGAATCTGTGCATGTGGAGATCACCAAGGACAACCTCCCCGACTATGTCGGACCCCCAGTATTCAAGTCCGACCGCCTTTACGAGACTACGCCGCCTGGTGTAGCTATGGGCCTCGCGTGGACGTCCATGGGCGGCGCGGCGCTATACGTCGAGTCGATCCTGGAGTCGGCGCTTTCTCAGTCGTCGCGACCCTCGCTGGAGCGCACAGGCAACCTGAAGCCCGTGATGAAGGAATCCGCGCAGATCGCATACAGCTTCGCCAAGAGCGTGCTGGCCAAGAGCTTCCCGGATAATCGCTTCTTCGACCATGCCAAGATCCACCTGCATTGTCCCGAGGGCGCGGTGCAGAAGGACGGCCCGTCCGCCGGCATCACTATGGCGACGAGCTTCCTGAGCTTGGCCATGGGACGCGAGGTCGATCCGAAGCTGAGCATGACGGGCGAGCTTACGGTTACGGGCAAGGTGCTGAGGATCGGTGGCTTGAGAGAAAAGTGTGTCGCGGCGAGGAGGGCGGGCTGTGAGAAGGTCGTGTTCCCGCGGGAGAATTGGGGAGATTGGGAGGAGTTGCCGGAGGTGAGTTTTTTGTCTTATTCCAAGCACCCTCTGTCGTGAATTTTTTTTTGGTCGGTCTCAAGAGCCGTGTGCGCTGACAGCAACCTTTTTTGCAGAACATTAAGCATGGCTTGGAGGGCCATGCGGTCGATTGGTACCATGAGGTCTTCGACCTTGTCTTTCCCGACGTGGATGCTGAGAAGGTGAATGGCTTGTGGAAGGAGCAGTTGAAGGAGCCCGGGAAGAAGAAGCAGCAGCAGAAGGAGAAGGATGCGGATGCGGATGAGGATGTGGACTGAAAGGAGAAGTGATTGGTTGCTTTCGAGGAAGGCTCGCTGTGGCTATGTGATATACAGCGAGCTCGGAGGTACATCCGGATACGCATCGCTTCTTGCATTGGTGGCGCCCGACGGCACAGAAGAAGGTAACATATGGCATGCATGGGTCTGTGATCGCCATACAGAGGGGTACATACGTGGATTTGATTGAGTCTGCTGTGCGCAACCCCGTGCATGGTTTGGGTTTTCCACTGTCCCTGGGAAAAGTTCTCGAAAAGGAGGATAGCAGCCTGCATCGAATAGATATACTCTCCACTCGCGATCTGAAGGTGGAGTGGTTTTGGTGTGTGTGTACAGTAGAGCAAGATAAACCGAATGTGTATGATCATAATCGTCATCATCTACTCTTCTAGGTGCGCTCAAGATATGCTTGCTTGGTGCTAATGTCAAGTCGTCCTGTTATGTCGTCCGTGTTCGTCAAAGAGCATCTCTTCGGTTGTGTCATTTTCCGCCGCTGCATTCTGCTCCTGGGGAACAGTGCCGGCGGACGGTGCTGTCTCATCCTCGTCCTCATCCTCACTATCCGCTATCTCGACGGCTTTGCGCTTTTTGGGACCCGTTTGGGAGCTGGAAGAGTCGTCGAGCACCGGATCTACTATATTTGCAGGGAGTGGTACCGGTAGTGGGCTTGCTCCAGCGGTGGTGGTTGCATCTCTGAGTAGTTGAGACGCTGTTGGAAGTATGGCTTCTGGGTCAATCGGAGGTGCTGGGAGCCGATCGGGCTGACTCGTACGGATCTGCAGCAGCATATCTTCTTCGGCCTCCCTCGGCACGGGAGGAGCAGCAGCCTCAGGGAGTTGAGTGTAGATGTCAAGTTCTCGCAGCCCGCCAGTCTCGATCACGAAAGGAACAGGGTCAGACAGGATGTCCTTAGCGCCCAATCGAACAACCTCAGCTATGCGGTAACTTCTTTTTTCCTGGAGATTAAGCTTCGCTTTGTGCTCTTGGGGGTAGAGGTCCCGGTAGAGGAGAATCCTGGTGTGGATTGCGGCATCCCAAGCGTGTCCAGACAATGCCGGCTTTAGGATTGCGCGTTGACCACCCTTTACGCTTGTGATGGTATTGGTGAGAATCACGATTGCGATGTGTCGAGCGGCTGCCAGTCGCGATAGAGCGGATGCCAGGTTCTCAATCAGTTGAAAGCGCCTGCCGGCGGCCTTCTTTGCGGCGTTTTCCTGCAGAATCGTGTTTGTGCCGTTCTCCTGTCGAAGTCGCCGCGGAAATGCGCTCTGCAGAATATTTGGCAGACCGTCAATGACGAGAATTTTTGTGTGTGGCGGGGGAAAGAGGGTAGTTGGGTGCATCAACATGGCCAGCAGATGGGGCAACGAGCGCACTTCTTTGTAGCTGAAGTTGTCCACACGCTTTCCTTCCTGGTTAGGTGGCTGTGGCGGCGAAGAAGGAAGTTCTTGGCCACCTCGATGGATGTACGCTGCAGTAAGATCGTCGAAGCGAGTCTGCATCAGAGGAGATCCAGCAGCAATCCAGACGGCCTTCGCGTCTGGTTCCATAGCGTGTAGTGCATTGACTGATACTTGGGCGCCAAAGGTCGTCTTGCCTGACCCTGGTGGTCCATATACCTCTGTGACATGTCCACATCGGATGCCATCACAGGGTATGGCCGAATTACGTTGGTTGAGGCGTCGATCGAGGCTGGGCAGGCTGGTGGGCACGCCTCTGGCTCTCTGCAGTTCATCCTGGAGTGCTTGCGCGCCAGATATTGCTGGTAGCCTATGTTCTGACGACGTTGAAAAGTTGTGGATATCGGGTTCGTCCTGTGGCATCTTGGGGTGTCAGATTGCGGCATTCGGTGCAACGATCTTGACGCGCTGTGGCTGGCATCATTGTTGAAACATGCCTAAGGCAAGAGTCACCTCCTCAAGCATCAGTAAGAATGTTGGCATAGCTAGACGATGTCAAGTCGTTTGCATGTTTTGGATCTAAGACGTCGCTTTCACCCAACTTGGACGCGTGGAGGGATGTCAATGGTCTAGTGATGAACTGGTGAATACTACGCAAGGCAACGGCGAGAATGGCTCCACTTGTTGTACGGTGAACGGGAAGGCGCCGTCAGCGCACAGGCTTCCAGGTCGCCGGGATTGCATGACTGCTCTCCCCTACCAGAGCCCAAGTGCCTTGAATACGATAATCAAGTCTGTCTAACCTACGCAAAGACCACCGAAGAGCCATCACTGCTTACCAGCGCACTCTTGTGACCCCAAGTAGGATCCGCGCTCACAGTGCGTCATCTGCCTCCACGGCACCCAAGCAACAGCGATCCCCGAATACGTTGCTTAGCAGCATCCCGAGCACCGACGCCTTTGGCCAAATGTCGATGAGCGTCTGAGATAGTTACTACTCGCACGTTGTCGTTTCCCTCGACAACTGGTTGACGATTGGATTGTCATGTCGGAGTTTACTGGAACCCCACCGTCAACCTCAGTACAAGAGCTCTTCATCCTGCTTGTGCCCTCTCTGCTCATTCCAGCTTTCTTCTTCTTGGTGCGCAGGTCACGAAGTGAGCCAAACCCGTACATCTATGAGAAGCTTGGTCTGAAAGGCGAATCGAACCTCCGTGATGAGGAAGACCCCAAGTACGCGATCTCGGAGGCGACATCAAAGTCGGGTTCTATCGACTGGAAGTTGAAGGCGATCCTGTGTCACCCAATCAAGTCTTGCGGTGGGTTCGAGCTTGCCACTGCTAAAATCAGTGGTAGCGGCATCCTCTGGGATCGCAAGTTTGTCATAGCTGAATGGGCCGAGGCGCCGCCAAAGCAGGGGCAGGAAAGAAAGACGAAGTGGCTCTTTCGGACCATGCGCGCCCCCGGATATGAGAGGCTTGCCCTCGTGAAGCCCGAGATCTGGCTGCGCAAGGGCTCTGACACTGACGGACTTCTCATTGTTCGGTATCCTTACGTCCCTTCGGGACCGCTGGCGTCACTGCATCGTCTGCTGATGACGCTCGGTCTGATGTCAAAGGAGGTTTCGTTTGAGGTTCCACTTGAGCCACCAGCGAAGCATAATTACCCGAAGGAGGAGCTCGATCTATGGAAAGACTCGCCAATCTGGCTCAACTACCAAAGACATGTTCCGAGAAGCCTGCAGACGCTTGTGCAGGCGAAGGGCCCAGTCACATTGTTCAGAGTCGACCCGGCTTCATACCGAGAAGTACATGGAAACGCACCAAAGAAGGCAGATATCGGTTATCAGCCTATGACAGGCGCGAGCGACTCTTATCCCCTCAGTATTCAGAACCTAGCATCTGTGCGGGACCTTGCTGCCAAGATCAGTGACGAGATCCCACATTTCACCATTCGGCGCTTGAGGCCAAACTTCGTCGTCAGCGGTGGTCCAGCCTTCGATGAGGACGACTGGAAATGTATCAAGATCGGCAAACACGATATCTATACTCCATGCAGGACCACTCGGTGCAAGCTGCCCTGCGTCGATCCTGATACGGCTAAGCGACACCCCAGACAGCCAGAAGAGGCGAGTGACACACAAGACTAGTCTCAAAGGGGTGCCAGGTACTAACTTATCGCAGTATCTCAGGAAGAATCGCAATATCGATGCAGGAGCTAGGCACAGCGGCTGCCTGGGAATGCAGATGGTACCAGCAACTCAAGAGACTATCGAGATCAAGGTCGGCGACCCGATTGAGATCGTCGAACGAGGCCAACACCATTTCGCAGGCTAGGATAAACAGTTGCGGCTTGGATGAGAGGAGATCATCGAATATGGTAATTTGTCTTGCTGCAGACAGCCTGAGCTTCAACTTTTGATTGCGGTCTTTTGTCCTCGACTAGGCCCGCAAACTCCTCCCGTTGTTCAAGACAAGATCCGAGAGACGTATACATCCCGCTCGCTGGGAACATTTTCATCGGCAACGGCCTTCAGCGTGGTATGAACTGGCTATCGGGAGGGGCCGATGTCAAGACTCGCGTATGCTGGCCAGCCCTTGGCGGAAGATTCTGCCCACAGCTCCTCGGGTAAGAATTCCACGGTAGTCCACCTACTCCCCTTATCTCTGTCCGGCATTGGCGTGCATCACTCATTCTCTATCTCGCCCCCGTCCAATTCGCTTGAGATATCTATGCAAAAGCTTGGCCCTGACCAAAATCGCTTACTCAAGATCTAGCCTACGGCCCAATGCCCATCCCCTTAGCCTGAGGCGCGGGGCACCGATGCCACCATCTGCTGCACCAAATCTTTCCGCGGTGACCAGTTTTTATTTGGCGTTCGTGAAGCACGTTGATATCATCTAGACCCTAGCGGATCCCTGCCAGCCTTATCATCCCTGCTGGCGAGAGCCGTAGCGCACGCTCATAGGCGTTCGCCGGAATTTTGGTACTCACGGGGATCTGTGAACTTCACGATTCATAAAGAGAGCTCGAGATCCTGGTGCTAACGTGTCTGCCCAGCTCCGACTCTGTACAGTTCCTCCGATAAGAGCAGAACTCACCCTGCTGCTATCAGGTCTGGTTGATCGCTTTCCTATATATACAGCGCAGTCCTTCTGACGAACTCGCCCCATCTCCTCACCAATCGTCACGCGACCCTGACCGAACTCTGAATACTGTTGACACTCGCAATCTGCAGCAATGGAACCAGATCGCATTGGGCCGGACACAACGCCCAAGGTCCCCTTCACGGACCGCTTGAAGCACCGTGGACAGAGAATCGTCCGAGGGTGCACGACCAGAGATGGCCTGATTGGCGACTATGACTATGCCTTTCTCTTCAAGCCTCGCCTGCCGTTCATGAAGAAGGCCAAACGGGCTGCACCCTTTTTCGGCCTCAACGACAGAATGCCCATTCTCCTGGCAATGCTACTTGGATTCCAGCATGCTCTGGCTATGCTTGCAGGTCTGATAACCCCACCTATCATCCTCTCCGGGTCTGGCGGTGCCAACCTGACTCCTGACCAATCTCGATATCTGGTCTCCGCGTCCCTCATCTTTTGCGGCATTGGAAGCGCCGTCCAGATCACCAGATTCCACATCTACAAGACCCCTTACTACATTGGAACAGGCCTCATCAGCGTCGTGGGAACCTCCTTCGCCACCATCCCCGTTGCCACTGGCGGTTTGGCACAGATGTACGAGTCTGGCTACTGCCCGACAGATGCTGACGGCAACCGTCTCCCCTGCCCAAGAGGGTACGGCGCCATCCTGGGAACGGCCTGCGTCTGTGCTCTCCTCGAAATCGGCCTGTCGTTCATGCCAGCCAAGATCTTGCAGCGCATCTTCCCTCCTCTGGTCACTGGCCCTACTGTCATGCTTATCGGTATCAAGCTGATAGCTTCTGGCTTCCAGAACTGGGCTGGTGGAAGCGGCACGTGTGCCAGTCGGCCTGAGACGGGTCCTTTCCAACTCTGCCCCTCCAACACTGCGCCGAATGCGGCTCCCTGGGGCAGTGCGCAGTTCATTGGCCTCGGATTCACCGTGTTCGTGTCCATTATTATAGTCGAGCGCTGGGGCGCGCCGATCATGAAGTCCTGCGCCGTCGTTTTGGGTCTCCTGGTCGGCTGCATCGTGGCTGCTGCCACCGGCTACTTCTCGGACTCAGGAATCACCGCCGCCCCTGTGGCCAACTTTCTCTGGGTTGAGACGTTTCCCCTGTCCGTTTATGGGCCAATGATTCTCCCGTTCCTCGCCGTCTTCCTTGTGTTGATGATGGAAGCGATCGGCGACATTACTGCCACTTGTGATGTCTCTCGCCTCGAAGTCGAGGGCAAGACGTTCAACTCCCGCATCCAAGGTGGCGTTCTCGCCGACGGTCTCAATGGCATGCTGGCCTGTCTGGCAACAATCACCCCGGTTTCCACGTTTGCTCAAAACAACGGCGTCATCAACTTGACACGATGCGCTAACAGGAAGGCCGGATACTGCTGCTGCTTCTTCCTGATCGTGATGGGCGTCTTCGCCAAATTCGCCGCTGCGATCGTAGCCATCCCATCATCGGTCCTCGGCGGCATGACCACATTCCTCTTCGCCGCCGTCGCCGTCTCCGGTATCCGCATCATCTCTACGATCCCCTTCACCCGCCGCAACCGCTTCATCCTCACCGCGTCTCTGGCCGTGGGCTACGGCGCCACCCTCGTCCCCAGCTGGGTAAGATCCAAGCCTTCCTTTTCCTCTACTCGCACAGCTATCTAATGTCACTCGCAGTTCGACTACGTCTTCACCTACGACGGCCCCAACCGCGCCCTCATCGGCTTCATGAACGCCATCAGCCTCGTCATGGAGACCGGCTTCGCCATCACCGCCTTTTTGGCCTTGTTCCTCAACCTCTTCCTCCCCGAGGAGATCGAGGACGAGGTCATCGACGTCGTGGGCAAGGAACAGAGCGACAACGCCGCCATGCCAGGGCCTTCCGCTCCCAACAAGGGCATCGAGAGCAGCCGCGCAAGTGACGCTGACTCGGTGGATAAGATCAATGGACATGGGCCCGGCGGCCAGGCCAAGGAGGTCAGCCCATGAGTGAATAATGGGGAAACACTCACACATGTGACGTAGCACACTGAAAGACTTTGAATGTTTTGTAGCGGTTTTTATCGGTTGGGGGGATGATGATGATGATGATGGAGCGGGAAATGATACCATAAAAGTGTTTGTGCTGTTAACAGAGGCAGGTGTGAAATGATGTGACTATATACCACAAGATGTTACTATCGCTATATTACTTACTGCATATGCACGTTCCAACGGATTCTTAACTTTTAAGCATCAGAGAATAGTACGTATAGGAGGTCTCTCGCTTTGACTTTACTATCCGCGACTACTGAGCTCTGTCCGTGGAGAGCCCAATATAAATATGCAGACTCAGACTACGATTGCCAAGAAAGGAAAAAATACTGTGTAGATACCAAATATTCTGGCTCGCTGTAGTATTGGACCACAGGCCTCTCCTCGATCTGCATTGCCTTTGTCTATAGTGGCCATTACTAAGAGTAAGTCTTCTGTGTGAGCTTGACACGTGCCGCATGGGGCCCCAGACTATACTTCTGAACGCGATTGGTGTTCCACTTCAACGTCGGCGTTTTCTCCCAGGGCGCTCAGACGCGTACTCATGTGGAGTCTCTCTCTCTCTCTCTCTCTCTCTCTCTCTCTCTCTCTCACGGCCCGGTGACACGATCCAGCTCTAGAAGGTGTCTTACCAGCCGCGCACAAAGGCGGAGGGTGGGTGGATCCGCGTAGCTCCTTGAAATTCACAAATGCACTCGTACTCACAACGGCCCCGTACTCCTCGAATTCCCGAATGCCCCTAGATCCCCTTCCTAGCCATCCCCTCCGCCAACGCCTTCATCCGCGCCGGCCACCAACACGCCTTTTCCTCCTCCTCATTCCCAGTGCCATCCACCTCCCCCCGAGCCCCAGTCCACGGCAACATGACCTGCAGCTTCCCGATATCCGAGCTGCCCAGGTCGGCCAGCCACCAGGCCTCGTGCTCGATCAAGATGGTGAAGACCAGCCAGTGCGCATACACCTCCCACGCCAGGTATTGGATCGCGTGCTCCAGCAACGGCGGCTGCTCCTCCTCCTCGTTGGCCACTATGCCCCCGTCTGGAGGACCGTGGGGCGGGAAGCCCGCCGCCGGGAATGGCTTGCTGAGCAGCGAGATGTACGGAGCGGGAACGCGGTTCGGCCACGTCAACACGGCGTGCGTGAGGGGGCGGGAGGATTCGAAGGTGGGTGGGGAGTCGCAGTACTGTTTGAGCCAGGAGGAGAAGGTGGGTTTTGTGGTGGCCTGTGAGGGCGAGGCGTCGTCCCTTGAAGGGAACGGGGAGGAAGAGGTGCTGTTGTCGGTGTGGAAGATGGAGTGGCTGAGGGCTTCGAGCATGGTGAGGGCCGAGTAGCAGGCGCCCAGGGCTTGGACGTCGGAGAACTGGCTCTCGGCTTGCTCGAAGGTGAAGAGCGGGTCGGCGCGGTCTTGATGGCGGAGCTTGTCTTGGAGTGCGTTGAGGCGCTGGTGGAGGGCTTGGAAGGCGGGGTCTGCCGTGGCGGCGATCGTCGGGTACATTACATGTCGGGGCCCGGCGGGCGAGTCGAGTGCGGAGGCGTCCATGGTGAGTTTGTCACCTTGGGATTCGACGGCGTTCAGGATGTAGGCCGAAATGTATGGCGAAGGCGCACCTCTTTCCGGATGGGGCGAGGCCGTGTCCATCGCGGGTGATCTGCTGTTACGGATGGTGCCGATACTTCTGACGCCTCGAAGAAGATGCAGCCATTCGAGGTTGGTTGGTGAGTCAGCCATTGGGTCGTGGAGCACGAACCCCAGCTTCTCCTGTTGGCGGTGAAGCAGGCGGAAGATTCGCCTTCGAGCGGGCGGGTACCCAAGCATCATGGCCGAGTGGGCGTGTGCAATTTCTAGCTCCTGAGCAGAATCTGTGTTCAATTGGGCCCTCATGTGGGCGAGAGCTTTGCCATGGTAGTAGTCGCCCCGGGAGAGGAGCACGTCAATCCGGTCCATGTGCGAAAGTGGTTCGTAACCCGTCAAGATGTCTACACATATGCATGCGGCGCCGAAGGCAAGTATGGAGCAGAGCAGGCCCTGGCTTCGCGCAGCCATTCTGGGCATTGCTACCTTTCTCGCATAGCGGAAGCTGTTGGTCAGGCCTGGGGCGTGGACGGTGTGACGGATGTAGTGGGTGAAGAGGTACATATCTTCTTCATTGACATCAGAAGGACTATACGGGTTGAGAGCCTCGGAGGCATCGTACAGTGTCTCATCGGCCTCTGGTGAAACTGACGTCCAAGTGGGCTGGCCGTGTAGAGATGGCGAATTAGTTGTCAGAATGCTTTGCATGCGCCGGCCGTCGTGGACCGAAGTGATGGTGAGGTTTTGGAATTGAGACTCCTGCCGGATTGTGTGCGGGAAATACTCGCACTGCTCTTCGCGTATCACGCAAGTCCGGCACTCTGGCTTGGTTTCGTCACACTGTCAGCGTCAATGTCAGCTTGGCGACAACGATGACCCTGAAGCGTGATTTACCTTGATCTTACGTCGCCGACAGTTCTTGCAGCCATTGCGAGACTTCTTGTGAGATTTGCGTGGTTTGTAGAGCTTCTCCTCGTCGGCCATAGTGGAAGATATCATCGACGTAGTCATATTGCCGGAGCTCCTGAACCTAGTAGTAATGGTAGATTAATAGACTTGCCTACCCAACGAGTCACCACGTGTAGAGGGAAAGCACCCATTTTATGTCAGCCCGTCCTCGACCATACCAATGACCCACCTTTCGAGGCCGACTTTCAGCGGAGTCACGGTCTCATCGTAAAGGAGGCAGCGGCCACGATTTGTCACGGTAGCGAACCCAAGTTTGCAAATTATTCAGCTAGGCACAAGGCTCGGAGACAAATTGGCAGCAACAAATGATTGCGGTCCTGCAGAATCAAACCAATTGAGCTGGGTAGCATGCTGAAGGGGCAGTGCTTGTCGAATTTCTGCAAGATCCCTCATCGTCGCGTGGAGACTGCCACGAGTTGGGCGTAGGTAATCATGACTACCCATAGTGGCTAGCTGCCGCCCCTTAGCCTGCCAGGTTTGCAAGGGCTGCAAGGGGGGCCTAATTTTGGCTCCGCTGGCCAGTGACTCCCCCAAGGCTGAACGATTAAGGCCCGGATACCGGCGCGGTGTCGCAATATTCTGCCCAAAGGCTATCAGCTGTGACGTACTCGGATAGTGCGCTTGGTTGCAAAAAGTTCCTGAATAACTGAGTTCAGCGCTGGCTTTGGTTAGGCGCAATACGCTCGCTCTAGCGGGATTTGCCGATTCGGACCGCTCAGAGTAAGGTATCTCAACACCGCTCCTGTGAAGCTGCGGCATCCCAGTCCGGCCGCCGCTGGGCAGGTGATCTACAGCCTAGCAAGTGAGCATTCACGACTTGAGGAGACTACCATCGATCCTGGCCACTAAATGTAAACCAGAAAGCATGCCAATAGGCAGTGAATGCTAGGTATGTATCACCATATCCGAGTCAAAACACGTGATGCTGTCGGTCGACATAGGTGTCTTGCATGGAAGATGCTCAAAAACTATATCTGATGTGTGCCCATGTTACCGAGAAGCTGCCAGTGGCCATAGCTTCGAGGTGTTGCAGACCATCCTTCCGGCTCTCCACGCAGAGAACATGAGCGGGACACCATGATGTGGGACGAAGAGGGAGGAGATGAGTATGGGGCAAATGGGAAGGAAAGAGAATCTCACTCCATCAGTCTTATACGAGCTCTAGACGCTGATGCGAGCGCTTTTCTCGTCTCCCAAATCCGTGAATAGATCGTGGTGCCCTCCCGATGCCCATGTCGTCTTGACTTATCAGGTACAAAACCGAAACATTCTCAAGGATCTTCTCTCCCGCAGACCATCGCCGGTACTCTGAGCGCGATAGTCATGGACCATCTTCAGCGAACGAGCTATCTGCTGTTTCGATAACAGTGAACAGCATTATTTCGCCTCCGGCATATACAGTATGCGGGCTCCAGGCACGATCGCTGCTAAAGTCTTAGCGGGATCGCCCCTGCATGCTGGATCTGATCTCCGTAATTACCTTTCCGGGGTTCCCAAGTAGTCATGACGTATCCTGGGCCATTATCTGACAGTCCCCAGGTGCTGCGACACGGGAATAATGATGCGGAAGATGCGTCACGACATGTTCGTCTGCGGATGGTAACTAATTCAGGTCGTCCTGGCTGGGGACGAAATGCGTAGTGCTATTCATGCTGGTATTCTCGTCACCCTCCATTACAACAAAGTATTCTGCAACCCGGACGCTGCACAGCGCATTCTCTTCTGCGGCGATCAACATCTTTTCCTACCGAACAGCGCGGGTATACTCGAGACCCTCCAGCTACATGCCTCCAAAACAGAAGTACACGGACCCCAAACTCCGCGAGGAGGTCAAGGAAGACATCAAGCAGTCCGACAAGGGCGGCGCGCCGGGACAATGGTCTGCTCGCAAGGTCTGTCTCTCTGCTCATCACCATACAACAGCCCTTGCGCTTTGCCTGCACAAGCACTAGTTCTTTCGTGATCACTAACTGACCACCCCTCGACACTAGGCACAAATGATGGCGTCTGAATACAAGAAGCGCGGCGGCGACTACACAACGCCCAAGTCCGACAAGGACAAGGAACAAAAACACCTCGACAAGTGGGGAGAAGAGGACTGGCAGACCAAGGAAGGCGAAGGGCAGGCGAAGCAGAGTGACGGGAGTCGTAAGCGCTACCTGCCCAAGAAGGCATGGGAGCAGATGGACGACGGAGAAAAGGAGGCGACGGACCAGAAGAAGCAGAAGGCGAGTAAGCAGGGAAAGCAGTTTGTGGGGAATACGGATAGGGCGAGGAGGGCTAGGAAGGATGCGAATGAGCAGGAGGAGGAGGATTACGAGGGGCGGAATGGAGGGGAGGGCGCAAATGAGGACGATGAGAAGGACGATGAAGGTGAAGAGCAGGAGGAGGAGGAGGAGGAGAAGGAGAAGGAGATGAAGGGAACGAAGCCGCAGCAGAAGGCCAATGCTGGTAGGAAGCGCGGGCGGCCGCAGAAGGAGGAGGACAAGCAACAGGAAGAGGCACCGGCGCACAAGGCGCAGAAGAAGAGCGCTACTACTGCTGGCGTGAACAGGGGCCAGGACTCGTCGAAGGACAAGAAGGATGGAGGGTCTCAGTCTCAGTCGGGGAAAACCGTCGGGTCGCGCAAAGACAACGCTGAGGCCCCCGCAAAGCAAGCCTCCCTGCAGCGTCTGCCCAAGAAGGGTACCAAGGCGTACTGGAAGGCCATGCCGGGATGGGTAGATGGGGATGTTGTTGAGGTGTTGAAGAAGGGGAAGAGCGTGGATGGGTAAGTTTTATCTCCCACCAACCGACACAGGTACGTGGAGTGCTGACGAGGCTGCAGGAAGCAGGTCAAGGCCAGCAAGGATGATCCAAAGGTGGTGCTGAAGAGCAGTTCATCGGGCAAGATCTGTGTCCATAAGGTGGACAACGTGTACTTTGACTGACGAGTTCGAGACGTTCGATGCTGGGTAGGCGGAGGCATGTCTACATCTCGTCAACTCAGGAAAGTATTGAAACATCAGGCCTGCAGGAGTTGGTCTTCAATGGCACCAGCGTCGGACCCTCTGGAACATGTAACAATATACATATTTTATTCTTCCTCCTCCAACACGAGTACTCATAGCTTGGCCTTCGGGCTCGCCTTGGCCAATATAGGTTCCATCTTCGTGGCCTTCATCACATTGCCCTTAACCTTCAGCTTCCCACTCATGAACAGCTGCTGCGCCTTAGCCTTGCCCGTCACCATCTTGCCGAAGTTCTCGTCGCTCAGAGAGAGCACGACATCGGCCTTTTTGCCCGCTGGCGCCTCGCCTTTGGCGACCTGGCCGGTCTCCTTGAGGTCAATGTGCCACGCCTCCTCCTTGCCGGAGGTATTCTTTAGCTTGAAGGCGAAGACGGCCTGGCCTTGCTTGATAGCGTTTTTGGTCTCGGCTGCGTCGGCGGAGAGGGCGGATGCAATGGCGTCGAAGGCGGCGGAGGAGGGGAAGGCTTCTGAGGCACGGGTTAGGAAGGGGTCCGTTGGATGGAAAGGGCGAGTTGCGTACCGTCTGCGAGAGACATCGTTGCGGCTGTCGGTCTTCTGAACTGGTGTTGGTGAGCTCTGCGGATGGATCTGAGGGTTTACCAGCAGGTTTACGTAGGATGAGACTCTGTAGAGGGAGAAACTGCGAAGACGTGTCGAAATATCGGAGGCCGAGAGTCGCAATTGATCACATGGGCAGTCAGAAGTGCTGTGGAAACTCAGCTTCGGCCATCGCACCTGAAATTGCATGTGAAAGCGGCTGAGTCGGAGGATCAATGACGCTGCAAGCGACGCGTGCGAGCCGAGGCTGGGATTCTGGCCCACGGGCGTCACGTGGCACCCAATTGACATGCCTATTCTATCCTTGACGGTACCAATACGATGGAGACCAGCTATTCTCTACTCATCAGGCTTGTACACTGCATCTTTGCATAATACGACGACCTTTTTGAACAATCGTCGCCATTCCAACGGATCGCCCGAACCTTTGACAAACGATATTTCAACCACCGCCCCGTCTGCAACATGTACTACACCAATGGCAATCTTGCCCGTTAAGCGACATCCTCGGCTGTCTAGAGCAGAGACCTTGATGGTGCTTTCGTAGTCCTGCGCTGATGGGCGGGGAACGCTGGGGGTGGGTATTCCGAGGTGACTTAGTGCTTCGATGAGGAGTGGCACCAGTAGATTGAGTGACCACGATGAATAGAAGTTGGTCAAGCTCTGAGCCGGTAGAATGTCGCGGAACTTGCGTGCCATCTGCGTTCTGCTCATGGGAACGCTAGGCATCGCAGCGAACTGGGACATGGAGGGTTCTTCGGCGAGGAAATTAGGCAGGGCAAGGGATTGAGTCGAAGATACTGCGCGACTGTTCAATGGCTGCGTTGACGAAAAGACCGGTTTCCGGGGATTGTCCCAATCAAACAGCATATCTTCTCCCGGAGCCATAGGCTGCGTTGAAGCAAGCTGCTGAGCTGCCAACTCCTCTTGACTCTGGCCATCAAGTTCCATAGCGTCCGTATCTTGCCTCTGGCTGCCCTTGAGCGGAACTGCATCGAAGCTCACCCTTAGAGACTCGAACATGGTCGTGGCAGTCGTTAGTGGGTCATTGAAGAGCCCCTGATCGTTGATCTGGTTATTGGCCTGTGTGAACCATGGGTGTCGCCGGATCGCCTCGAGGGAGAATCTTCGACTGACGTCCACACTCATCATGCCTCTCAAAAGTGATAGAACATCATCTGGAAGACCCTGCCAAAGGTCGTCCTCCGGTCTGCCATTCGAATTGATATAATCACTGTATTCGTTCGGTCGTCCGTACTCGTCTCGGCCCTCAACGGGCTTGCCCCAAGGGGTGTTGCCGGCTAATAGAACAAACAAAACCACACCACAGGACCAGATATCCGCCTTGTCTGCATCGTAGCCGACTGCCTTGGTCTTGTCGTGTGATCCACAAGTCAATACCTCAGGAGCGACGTATGGTGGACTCCCACACAGTGTAACGACCTTCTTTCTCTTTCCATTGTATTCAAACAATGAAGCCATGCCAAAATCTGCCAGCTTCAGGTTGCCGTCTGCGTCTAATAGCACATTCTCAGGCTTCAGATCTCGGTGTCCTATGCCTCTCGAGTGCATGTAACTCACCGCATTGATCAATTGTGTGAAATAAGCATGGGCGATTTCGGGCTTCAGCCCAGCGTCGGCTTCCACCTTGTCGAACAGGTCACCACCTTCTGCCAACTCCATCGCAATCCACATCCATACATCATCTTCGCCGCTGTCGTAGAACTCTATGATGTTTCTGTGTTGACCGACATACTTGTGCAAAGTGACCTCCATCTGGAGTTGCTTCTGCTTGATGCGGCCATATTTCTGTGCATAGTCTTTGTGTATGAATTTAACGGCGAAGATCGGGCTTTCTTCTCGCTTCGGAGCGGCCTTTTTTATACTGTGATATTGATCAGCCTTACTTCGAGGCCTCTGAACGCAGATGCGGACAAGCAAATTTACCATGCATATGCGCCAGCGCCGATTGTCTTGGAAACGATACGGAAGGGAACGTTGTGAGTTGGCAGCGGCGCCAACTGCGAGTGCTGGACTCCGTTCATGGTGAAATCATGTCCCCGTCAATGTTGGTCCCATGGCCGCGTGCTGATCTATGTCGCGTGAACGTGAACGTGATTAGTCTGGACGCGTTTGATGGGGATCGATTGGCGATGAGGCTTTCGTCATAAAGAACTCGCGTCACTGCAGCGACCACAAGCGCGACCCGGGTAAACACAGGACCCGAGGTTCAGGCACCCGCAACCTTACGGAGGCATTACAGTAACCTCACTTTTGCACATCTCTCTACATCCTAACTTCGCATCTTCTATTCAAGCGCATCAAGTCACGAGAGCATCTGTGCCTTGCATTGACCGAAGCCTAGATCAGAACCCTCCGTCCGTTGTCAGGCATTGTCTCCGCTTTCAGCATTCCTTCACATTGCGCCATTCTCCCGCACCCGGACTCGACCTGAAACTCACAAAAAGACAAAAAGACCTCGATCTAACATGGAGTTCGCCCTCGAGGATACACAGAACGCTGCTCCTGGTCAACCTACCATGGCGGAACAACAGAAGCTAGGTGCCAGCACCAAGCGAGCTGACACCCAGAGCGTTACTAAAAGGTGAGTACCTTGTAAGCACATTTGCTACCTGCTCTGACAACGTTCAGACTACAATCCGAACTAATGGCCCTGATGATGTCTCCAACGCCTGGCATCTCCGCCTTTCCGGGTGCCGATGGCAACATGCTGTCCTGGACAGCCACTATCATCGGCCCCAAGGACACACCCTACTCCGACCTCTCGCTGAAGCTGTCCTTTGATTTCCCCTCAAACTACCCGTACTCGCCACCCACAGTACTATTCAAGACACCAATCTATCACCCCAACATCGACTTCTCAGGCCGCATCTGCCTCGACATCCTCAAAGATAAGTGGAGCGCAGTCTACAACGTGCAGACAGTCCTACTGAGCTTGCAAAGCCTGCTCGGCGAGCCGAACAACGCGAGCCCACTGAACAATGAAGCTGCTCAACTGCATGAGAAGGACTCGGAGGAGTACCAACGCAAGGTACTGGCGCGGCACCGAGATATCGAGGATTAGGCACATCCATAGCATGAACCAGACATGAAGTAGGCGAGACGTGCTGGTCGATCGTTGATTGCTGCGATTAGCGAGCTCTTTGTCGTTGCGGGTGTCGGTAGCGAATCGATCCATCATCAGCTGGTTCACTGGAGTTGCATAGCATTGGGAACATCTGGTGGCGCAGGCTGGAGCTGTACAGGCATTGTGGAATGGGGAACGGCGGCAATTGCACACCTATCCAAAAAGACCTTACAAGTCTATCGTTACACTTTCAATCCCGTCGTCTCGCATTCCAATTCGTGTGTCTCGTGTATAAGCATCCCAGGCCGAGCCCTGTTTTCGCAATTTCGTCCTCCAAACCCATATTCCTACAAGAACGTCATTCCAATCTTCCTGATCCCAAGCAACGACAACTACGATTTACAACTCCTCCTGCTCCTCCGCAGCCAAGAACCTGTTACTCCCTCCATCTAGGCCCTCAAACAACTCAACACCCCAGCTCTTGCCCGGATCGTTGAACCTCGCCTTCTCATCCCGCTCCGTGATCCTCACCATCTCTTCATCCTCAAATTTGACGTGCACGCTCCCCAAATTCTCCACAATGCGCTTCTCATGAGTGCTCTTGGGGATCACGACCGTGCCGCGCTGCATGCCCCAACCCAGCACGGCCTGCGCGACCGTCACGCTCTTGTTGCGCGCCATCTCCACCCAGAACGCGTCTTCGGTGATGGGCGGCAGTTTCGGGTGCGTGCCGTTGTAGGTCGGGTTCAGGTTCGCCAGTGGGCTGTAGGCGATGACTTTGATGTCGCGCTCCTGGTGCCATTCCACGAATTCCTGCTGTTGCAGGTAGGGATGGGTCTCGAACTCGTGGGCGTAGGGGCATATCTTGCAGCTCTTCAAGACTTGGTCGATCTGCCGCGGCGAGAAGTTGCTGATGCCGATGTGGCGTGTTAGGTTCTGGCGCACGAGGTCTTCCATGGCCTTCCAGGTGTCGGTGATGGAGGTGTCTTGGTCGATGATGGTGCGGGAGCCTTTGTCGGGAACGAAGGCAACGGGCCAGTGCATCAGATAGAGGTCTAGATAGGTGGTGTTGAGGTCGGCGAGAGTCTGGCGTAACGCAGGCTCGACTTTCGAGGGCTGGTGCGCATCGTTCCAGAGCTTGCTGGTGATCCAGTATTCATGACGGGAAATGTTGGCCGTGCCGAGGCCTTTGCCGACGTAGCCCTCGTTGGAGTATGCGGCGGCCGAGTCGAAATGATGGTAACCTGCAACGAAGGCGGATTCTACTGCGTCGGTGGCGAGCTTTGCTTTGGAGTTCCATAGCCCCAGGCCGATCTTGGGGATTTCCAGGCCATGCTTGGGAGGAGCGATTGGTTTCTGGTCTCCACCTTTGTCGAAAGGGACGAGGCGGAAGTCGAAGAGGGAGCGGGCGGCGACGCTCGCCACCAGGCACAACCAAGCGGAGGGAAGTAACATGTCGTACAGCAATATCGGGCGGCGCCTCGAACGCAAATGCTTCGGGTAGGCTGCCAACGAAATGAGTATTCGAATGATAGGACTGTGACTCTCGTAGTGATGGAACACGACGTTTACGAATGCTTCTGCCTTGGGATCGAGAGTTTCGGGACAGGGGGGAGGAAGCGTCATAGATCCACTTTCTCCAGGTTTCAGTATCCTGGTCCGATGGTTTGCCTTCCGGCCCAATCAGCGCTGGATGTCCAAACGAGGCGACGAGGCTTGAACCTCCTGAAACAAACCGGGTACCAAGCTACTAAAGGTCGCTTCGCCCTCGTCTCATTCGACCTTGCGCGAGCATTATGGCTGCGCCTCAGGGTGACAAACAGGAATCTTCTCCCACGGTCTGCCAGCGAGCAAGTCATACTCTACGGCTAAAGAAACAAGGTCCAGCGCATAGGACCGTGATACCTGTCTACCAACGAACTCTGGAACAATTCCCTGTCACACGTAACAGATGTGATGATGAGCACGTGATGAGCGCATAATGAGTGCGACAATGCTGATTCATCTATGATATGCATCCTTATTACACTTTCAATATCGAGTTTCTGCAAGCTTGGAGACTCGAGAGCGCTACCGTCCTGGCCGGAACCACCTAGAAGTACAAGCCATGCTGACTCCCCTACCACCCACGCTACAACACATTATATGCGCAGTCTCTGTGATGTGACCACTGCGTCCCTGTGCCATGCCGAGACAACTGCATCAGAGAATGCCTATGTTGTCGTTCGCCTGACGAGATTCTGTCAGCTAGGCCAACTCCGCATCGCTCCCATCTTCATCCTCGCCATCCGTCAAGTCATCCTCATCATGCTGAACGAAGCCAGCTTGAACATCAGACATTTGCTTTTCTTCGTACAATTCTGTGTTGCCGGCAGTCGTGGCGAGAACAGAACCACTCTGAGCAAGAGCAGCACTGGAAGCCATTGCAGCTTCCCCCGCAGTCACCCGGCGATTCGCAGCGTTTCTAGCCCGCGTGACCACTCCTGCAGCACGAGTCTGCTGGACAACACTTGCAAAGGGAGGCAGAGGTTCTCTCATGCTCTTGTGCTTCGGCATATCAGCTGGGCGACCATCGTTGCGAAGGAAGTTGCCGTTGCGGCCATTGCTAACCAGGTTGTCCCATAAGCCATCTTGGATCAACTTCGTTGTACGTTTGGTCAATCGATTGGTCAGGAAGGTTGGGTTTTCGGCAGCGGTCGTTCCCTTGAGAGCATCTTGTACGTTTTTGGGCAGACACTCTTTGATCTCGCCAGCGGACCAGTTGCGTTGCAAAAATGCGTCTAGTACTGCATGATTAAGTGAATTCGGGAATTGCTGACAGACGTCGTAGCAAGATAGACCTGGTGGTGGCACAACATGCTTTCCTGGGAAGAACTTCCATGAGGCGTAGTTACTAGGACATTCTCCATACGAATCAGCAACGACAGGAGGAGTTGATGCGTGAGCTTGAAGCTGTTGTGGCGGGGTTTGTATGATATTGCCGACGCCGACATCTGAATTCTGGTCTTGTGCGGTAGAGTGTGTGGGGTTATGATCAGGAGTGTGTGAAGCTGGTGTGGTGGACACGGCTGTGTTGATGCTGTGAGTATTGGTGAATGGTAGTGGTAGACCATAGATTGTCTCTACAAGGGTGTTGAGATGAAGGCTCGGTGAAGTTCTGGCCCCTGCGACTACGTTCCGTGAATGACGATTGGAATCGAATGCTGCGGGATGGGTACCATGCAGAGTCATCGGATTAGCAGTAGTTGCTACAGGAGCATTCGCTTGCATGGCTGGCGTCGCTTCCGGATAGACATGAGACGTGCTATGTGGAATGTTCGTGTTTGTACGAGCTACATGATATGTGGTCTCTGAAGTGGGACATCCGCGGTCAGGCCGAGGAAAGGTGGTGTGGAGGTTTTCGGTTTGCCGAAAACCAGTCGCAGTTGAACTAGGATATCTCGTGATGTCTGAATAGTGCTGATTTGTTAGTTGTGTCGAGCCGTTGGGATATCTAAGGAGACGGAATATCTCGGAATCGCAGGGTCCAAGAGGATCAAAGTCGTCAGCATCGTATGCTTTACGATCCATGATGAATGATATTGGATGAGCCGGAGAGTTTTTGGGTAGATGTACAAGCGTCCAGCTATGCTCACAAGTGGAAGGAAAGCAGTACAAGTAGCGTCTGCACGCGTGCCAAAAGGAATGCAGTTTTCAAGAGAGCGCAAGATGTTTGCAATGCTCTATAGAAATATAACGCCTTTTAAATCCGGTAGTGGAGCTATAGTAAGGCAAACGAGGCAGGAGTGGAAGCATAAGTAACCAATCGGCGTTTCCAGAAGCCTCAGCTTCACCCAGGCAGAGTGACACACTGACATGAAGTCCTTGGTAATCAGCCTGTGAGCACTACTGGAGAAAGTGAGGGGAGAATTGTACCTGAAGAGAGAAGTGTGGTCTTATACGAGTGATCAGAAACAAACCTTGTGCTGTGATGTATAGCAAGCTACCATACTTAAGCAAAGATCTTAGGAGTGTGGCTTGACAAAGCAAGTATTGCTATGTTCATGCAGAAGAGATGTTGCAAGGCCAGGCATAGTCACGCACAAGGCCTTTCCATCTACTTTTGGACAAAGGCATTGAAATCAAAGGTATAGCAAATCTGGGCCTAGCAAATACAATTCGGGACAAAAGAGTCGGCTTCGAAATAACACTGAACAGCATATTTCGACAATCATGATTTCTGCATTCTGGCTCTTTCAACTACCGCTTGCCCTGGATATGGACCTCTGTTCGTAGGATTTAACACTATTAGCCACAATGCTAACAATACAGTCTGCGAACCTAACGATACAGTCTTTGAGAGGGTTGTCTACACGTGCTTCTCCTGCTTCAACATCCACACTGGGTAACGCCTGTCTATTCACTCTCCAGCTCTCTGTAGATCAAGGCTGCTCTTTGTGCTCCTGATATCTGGCTTCGAGCTGCTGGCCAACACCTTGCTCGGATTGGTACTTGATGTCGTTGTTGCGATCCAAATCGTACATGAACTCGCTTTGGGGGATTGGGAGGAACTGGCGACCTGACGAGAAGTTGCCATTGTTGGCAAATGGATTGACACTTGCATCCCACGGAGTGACTTCGAATGCATTCTGGCCCGGCTCATAGACACTCTGCTGAGGTTGCTGCAGGTTTTGAGCATTGTCGAGGCCATCCTGGATCCACTCGTAGTTCGACCGGGTTGACCAACTGGGGTCGGGGTAGGTGTAATGCAGGTGGTTTGGGGTCGTGAATTCGTCTATATCTTGGTGGCTCCAGTTTGTACTTGTATGATTTTCTCCATTTTCGAGGCTAGTGACGCTCTGATAGCTGTGCGCTCTATCTGGTGACTGCTGTACATGAGCCAAGTTTTGATGCGTTTGCAGGGGCATCCAGGAATGCATTCGTGGCACTTGAGGCTGATGGTAGCCATTCTGCGCAGGATAGATCTGCTGTTGATAGCCGTGAGCGGCGGGTTGATTAAGATTTGCACGTCTGACTTGCTGCATAGTGACGCCCCAGGCATGCATGGCTCTATTGATCTCCTCGTTTGCTGGGAGTAGCGGCAGGTAACCATCCTCTCCAGGGAACAAACTCAGTCGGCGGATTTCCATAGCCTCGTTGTAAGGTGGTAGCTCATGGAACCCGCCAGCGTGAGGGTCGGGACGGGGAGGGCAACGGATTTTGTTAGAGAAGAACTCATCCTGGGGGTGAGTTTCATCATCGTAGGCCGGTGCACCGACCGCAGGCTGGAGGGTTAGAGACGTAGAAGGTGGCTGTTGCTGGACCAGAGGGTTCGGAGTACCAAGAGCACCTGGCTGGAAAGGAGCTGATTGGGGAGGTGTTGGCTGAGGAGGAAGGGTGGGAGCAGGTGGAGCAGGAGGAGCAGGACCAGGAAAGCGACCATTGCCTCGCATATTGCAACCTTGTTCGCGAATCTTTGGGCCGAGCATCAACATGTCCCAAGTCCCATCGCGCCGCAGCTTCAAACGACGTTTGTTCATGCGCTTGGCAATGGCGTTGGATAGGTTCTTGTCTGCAGTTTTGTGGTTTCGGGTCAATGCCTGCCGGGCATCCTTCTTTAAGCAATTGAAGATTTGACCACATGACCAATTGTGCTGCATGAATGGGTCTAGACCATCCCCATACAGACTGTTTGGGTATTGTTGGCACACTTCGTAACATGAGAGACCAGGAGGGACAACCGTGCCTTCAACGGGGTAGCCGTCGATATGGCCGACAGCCCGGATTGGCACAGGAAATGGACGACCATTTCGCGTTCTGCGGTCGAAGTCGTGGGTACCGGTGGTGTCGTCGTTGTCGTCGGCGTTGTCAGCGTCAGATTCGGTAAGGTCGACAGACGCATCACCTTCGGAGCCCATTGGAGGACTAAGAGGAGCGTCCGACATGTGGATATCGTCTTCGGCCTCGCTGGAATGAATAGATGAAAGGGTGTCTTCAGGCGACATTGCAGAAGAAGGTGTAATGAGTTGCTAAATAGCAGAGGAGAGTGTCTTGCGCTCGAGCCAACAAAGGCGCCTGCTGCCACAACGAATGTCACTGTGAAGGGCAGGATCTTTCCGGTGACAGACCAGGGCAAGTAGTATACTCGAGCGTCAGGCAGAGGCACATACCAACGAGTAGCGGTGTCAAGCAAAGGTGATGATAGTGAGCACCCAAAACTGCCTGCGGAGTCATGGTGGCATCTACTTGCCAAGACGGCACAAGGCTGGGGTTTCAGGAGAAGTGAAAGATAGTGAGCAGCCTGCCGGAGCACAAGGCTGTGGGGATTGAGATGGGGTGATATGGTTTGCGTGGTGCTTTGGGTGTGTCACGCTCCTTCCACCATGGCCCAGTAGACTGGTAGTGTCTAGAGATGTCGGTGAGCACGGGTGGGCTGCCCCCGATGGACAAGCTGGTACGCTCTGGACATTGTTGCGGTCCCGAACATAAGTCGGTAGAGACTGCCGCAAGCCGCATGTCCATTCAGTCCAGACAAGGCCGATATTGCTGTCGGTAACGCAGAGCTTAGGCTTCTCAAGAGGCAACAGGAGCCTGAAATTGAAGGCCTTGAATAGTGCTGCTCCAGATTTTGGTATTGACAGTTTTCCATGAAAGGGACAGCCCGAATGCGCCTAACGCTTCGCAATTTTATGGTGCATCATGCATCAGCTGCCCACCAATATGCTTGTGCTCCATACGTCAAATACGACGAGGACAACGATAATCGCATGACCTGTCCAGCCGTTTGCCCCATCCAACATATCAGCAGTTTTGGGCTATTATCTGCAGACTGAACTCCATGACTGGGTAGATATCTAAAGAGCCGACGAGGTTGGTCGCCTAGCTCCATGAGATCTGGTGTCTTGTCAGTCAAATTGGGAGTCAGGCGGCGCTGACTGGAAGTAAATGCGAGAAGGAGAGTCTGTTGAGGTGCTAGTAAAGGAGAGACGGGATGGCAGCTAACTTTAATATGATAATCATTCTATGCATCTCTTTGCTATGTGGGATGTAACCCAGGCTTTTACGTAAGGGTGAAAGTGAGGAGTAGCATGTGGATCTGGAACTGCGCTAGTCCACATAAGGCGCCAAGACTCTGTAGGGCGACCGTTCAAGGCGGCTCGTTGCCTAATATTATTTTACTGACTGCACAGAGGTTGCTGGTCAAGAACATCATTGTATGGAAGCACTTTTCATTGATGCTGCATAAGGCTTCGTGTTGATCTCTTGGCTGGCCGCTCGGTCTTCGATAATTTCCGTCTTGCCGTTTCTGCAGTTGTTGCTCTGGACGGCTCGCAAGGTCTGCCGGAATCTCACTTATCATTCCTTGGTCCAGCACTTCTCTTCAACCAGTATCCCGCAGTCATGTCGCTCGATAAGACTGAATGGGGTTGATCCACCATCATCACGCGCTCAGCGTCCTTGCCGACGAAGAATCAGCTGACATCCTCGCCGCACACGTTTTTCAACCAACCGCTCGTTCCAATCTTGCGGCACCAGAGGTTCAGGGTTCTCTAGCGAATGACATACTCCAGCCATCACCGCTCGCACTTCGGCATTTTCTCTGGCTTGGCGCACGAAGGCAGTGCCGCTGACCCGGTCGGATGTGTTGTCCTTGGCGGTGCTGTTCTGCTTCGCAGGAATAGTATCCTTGCTCTGAATGTCGGCCTGGTAGGGGTTGATGTCGTCGTATACCAAACCCTCATCGCGCTCATCTTCGACCAACTCAGATCGAGCTTCAGCAAAGCCTTTGAGAACCCAATCCTCCGTGTCCTTTCTCCAATACTCTGGTGGTTGCGGCAACTCAGCATGCGCCTCGTCATCTGAGTCGCTCTGAGATCCGGACTCGCTCAAGGTCTTGCTTGCGTTGATCCTGAGGCACTTATCGTTGGCGAATCGGTGAACCAGCTCATGTTCCCTGCCGTCGATCATTGGCTGCTTGATAGGCGACTCCTCCATCGGATCCTCCAGATAGCACTTCTGGGTTCTGGGAGTCTTAGGTGTTTCCTCACCGGTGCGCGGGGTGTGCATGTTGGTCTCCGCCATACTCCTGCTTGAGTGTTTGCTGAGACAATGTCAACAGACTTCTCACTGAGTAAGAATGCGCGTACCTGTTGTTGCGGGACCCAGGCAGAGCTGGAGACTTCTGTTATGCAATAGTGTGCAATGTCAAAGGTCAAAGACCATCTCACAATCTCGAGTTCGCCTCGTATTTGCCTGACTGGAGGACACCTTTGCAAGTCACAGTCACTGTGCCAAGGCTTGACGCTTCCTCAACTCTATTTCTACCAACGATCAAATGGCGGAGGGTGTAATCACACCCTGGGAGGTCTCCAACTGATCGATATCCTTGAAACAACGCTCACAGATCGGTAGCTTCGGGGGTATCAAGAAGCGCAAGCAGCCCAAGCTGCCACCGACACCGGCTACAAGCGCTATGCAAAACTGTAGTCCAGGATCGTTAATGGCTATGTCTAGTCTGACTTAACTGTCGTCCAAATTTTTAATTGGTGAAGACAACAAGCCCTAGCAGCTACGCGCCTAGCTCTAGCGAGAATCTGTCTCCTCGTCAGCAACTGAGCCAGTATTGGCCTTTCGGTACTAGAGAGACCAGTCGCCCTGTAGCCTCTCCTCTGGCCCAACAAGACCGTCATGCTGTCGATGAGAAGCCAGGTATCTTATCCAAGTACCGTCCGATGAAGACAATCTTGCCTTCGCTCTCGGCTGGTCGCTGGGTCTCGATGATCTCAAAAATCTCTCGTACGCCTTGCACAACTCTTGCATTTCCATCTGTGACCGGGATGAAACCCTTCGTTCTATGGATCTCGTATGGTTTCGGCTCTCCTTCATCCCATAAAACGCTCTGTAGCCAGTGTTCCAGCATGGGCAATTTCTGCAGCTCGAAGGCGGGGAGTGACAAGGTGACGGTAGAGATAGATGGATCAAGGTGCGAGTGGCCTTTGGCGTGGAATGGCGGGACTGTCGGAAATGTGGAATAAGCTTCGAGGTCGAGAACTGTCCCAGACAGGTCATCCACTATCGAGTGTTTGGTAGGAATGATCTTTGCTAAGCCATTGATCGACCGAACTCGGTCCTGGATTAGGCTCAGCTGGTCAGCATCTACCAGATCGGTCTTGTTCAGTAGGATCACATCAGCGTGTGAGATCTGCAAATGGGCAGTGGACATCAGTGGACCTGAGCCGTGAGCATGATCCTCTTCATTTGGGATCTCCTCCTGGGACGGCTCGTCTAGGCTCTTGAGGATATTCTTGGCGTCTACGACCGTGACGATGCCATCAAGGTAGATGGAGCTGCCGATGCCCTCATCCATCCAGAACATGGGCGCGATGTTGCCCGGATCTGCAACGCCGGTAGTCTCCAGGAGAATGTAATCGAACTTTTTCTCTGTTTGGCGTTCAACAAGGGCTTCCAGGGCCGCCACCCCGGAATCTTTGATGCTGCAGCAGAGACATCCATTGGCTAGTGGAATCCATTCTTCGGTCTTCTGTTCATCCTGATTTACAGATATTGACTTCTCAATATCCGCAGTGTTTCCGAACTCTGCTCGATGTTAGATCATTTGTCCTTCTTTGGATGATGGGGGACTACCAGCCGTTCAAAAGGACTGCGATTTTCTTTCCATGCTCAGCCGTCAGGATATAGTTTAGTAGGGTTGTTTTGCCCGCCCCTAAGTAACCTTCATCGTTTGTTAGTAGCTGTTCACTTCTAGCCAGCGCTTCTCCTACCGGTAATGATGGATATTGGGACCTTGAACGATGAGGAAGTTGGAGCCGATAAGTCCTCCGCATTTACATCTAGTAGGGGAGGCGGGCTGTCAGAGTCATCTATGTCGTCCATGATGTGATCAGTGCGTTTGGAGAGAAGTCTTGAGTACACAACAGTGTGACTATGACGAGCAGGGCAGTGTCTTTTGAATCCGATGGCGAACATTGAAAGTCAAATGACACGGCGCCCAAGACGGACTAGCTGTCGATCATCCCGGTCTTGAATATCAGAAGGAAAGTTAGCCGAATGAAACAGAACGCGGTTGCGTGCCCGCGACGTTGGCACCAGAGGTGCGGTAGTGAAGTAAACGCAGAGTTCAAATAACGCCACTTCGACTGCCCAAGAAGCAACGTCAATCGGGTCCCAGCCACTTGGAAGCGCCAGGACGACCGTATACAACAGCAGGCTCACCTCCACTTCGCCGCACCGGCATAGCTCTCCAAGCACTCAGCAGGACGAGTCGGGGAGGGTTGAAGCTCGCACGGGTCTTGAAAGTCCTGGAAAAGGGTCAGAACCGACTATGGCGGCGGCCGTGACACCCTCGCGGGGTGGCGTATCGCCGTCGAGCTCTCCTCGTCTCCCATCGCCCCCGCCGATGCCAGAACTGCAATTCGGCCCTCAAAGTCCTCTGACCGGCGCTACTATGAGCGAAAGTCAGGACGAAGCCAATAACAAGCAGGATGAATCGGCGCGGCGGAGAATACGGCCAGGCACGAAGGCAGCGGACATGGCAAAAGGTCCGCCTCTCGTCCCTCTCAACCAGGTAGTCTACACCCGCAACTTGGCTTAGAAGCCGCTGACATTATTAGGTTGACTCCGCGTTTCCCTTACAGGAGCACCTAAAAGCTCTGTACGCGCATTCAACGCACGGCCAATACGCAACGCATACCACACCGATCACGAAAGACACTGCACGGCAAATAGCACGACCACCGCAATATGAAGATGGCGAGTCCGCAGACCGAAACCTCTGGCTATACGAGATATGTCGCTTTCTTACAACCAAAGCTGGCTTGGTCTCGTGCGCACTTATGGAGGACAGTCCACCATGCTCGTCGCTTACTTGTCCGGAAATGCGAGCTTCGGAGTGGCAGTATCTTTGCGCGGTACACGAGCCTCCAAAATCATGCTGCGCCATCGACTACGTCAACCATACCCTGGACTGGGCAGCAAATGTCTTGACCAGCACGAAACATTTCCCTTCGCGACTGCAACTGGGCGGTGGGGAATCAGGCAGCGCCTACCAAAGCATGCGTCAACTTACCAACATTTTCCGAAGGGTATACCGGATCTTTGCCCACGCATGGTTCCAACATCGGGAAGTGTTTTGGCATATAGAATCCACTCACGGCATCTATATACTATTCAAGACAGTCTGCGATGAATACCAGCTCATCCCTGATGACAATTACACGATTCCACCAGAAGCCGAAGGACCAAGAGAAGAAGCAGAGAGCCCAGCACATCCCACGCCCACAGAAGCAAACCCATCACAGGCCAGCATGCAGATCCTGCGTAAAGACACCACTGTCGCTCCCAGCCAGAACGGCACAGACCCAACTGCATCTTCACCACCTCAAGAGCCCACTCCAGCGCAGACGGCCCGGCGACATCGTCACACTCCTAGCACAGGCAGCCACGTCACAACCATTGCCGAAGGCACCGAAGAGGAGGAAGAAGTACCGCCGGTGCCACCAATACCACATTCTGGCCCCTCCGACGAACCCACGACCGCCATTCCCCCAGACTCCCCTCAGCGCTCAGCCCGTGAAGCACTCGGGCGTCTCAATCTTTCCAGCCCCGATTCTAAATTTCCAGCAACTTCTGCCGATGACTCAGCCAAGCTTGCGCAGCCCGAGCACCCGACGCCTACGACCTCGCACGTTCAGGATCCCCTTGCCGCGGCCGGCGCCGCAACCAAGAGCACCTCCCCGGCCACGAGTGGGGAGAAAAAGTCAGACTCTACACCCGCGCCGGCGCCTGTCAAGCTCGACACCTCCTCAGCCACCGAGCCGAAGCCGATCTCTGAGCAAGACCGCCGAGGCAGCAATTTCGAAAGCGAAGTACGCTCTCCCGGCGGCGGCAGCATCAGGACCGCCGGGCCGGATCTGCTGGGCGCGATACTGGGGCACATGGACGACAAGGAACGGGAGGAGGTGCTCGCGGCAAAAGAAGTCGTGCAGGGAAAGGCCGAGGAGAAAGACGCCCACGAGGAGGACGCTGATGGCGACGGAGAGGAGACTATGCTTTTCATTGGCGAGGATGCTCAAAAAGATGCGGGACCTGGTGAAAAGGAAAAGGCGACGACCAAGACTCCGGAGGGAGCGGATAAAAGCAAAGGAGCGGAAAAGGAGAACGACAGTGATGATGGTGGCGATGACGACGAGGACGAAGCAGAGACAATGGAGGAGATTAAGCTGCCGTCAAGGGACAAACAAGATGCGGAGAAGGAGAAAGAGAATGACGGGGAAAAGTAGACAAATAATCGGCGTGCACGAGAATACCCTCGTGAGACCACTCATCAGGCCTTGAGCTCACGTCAGAAGACCGTATCTTCATGGGTTCCTGGAAACTTGAACTTGAGCTTCGCGGTCTCAGTCTCAAAAGACTGTTTCATAGCCAAAGACGACATTGTTTGTCTGTCTAGTGTACCCGAGAAAAGGGGCGAAGAGGGGCGAAGCCGGCGTGCCCCCCTGCGCGCCGCAGTATGGAGCTGGTGATCAAATGTTTGATACATTGAAGACATATTTGCGCCTCGCTATGCTATGTCTTTCACCAAGGCTAATCTGGGTTCTTCAACCGATCCACATCTTTTGGTCTGAGACCAGCAGCAGCCACGGGCGGCCTCCAGCCTCCGAGCCTGAGTGTTTAGCTTCCTCCTGAATAGCCCGGCCGCAGCTTGCCCATCTTCGGCTCGATGAGCGGGTGCCATTGGGCTAAGAAGACGATGGCTGTTTACAACTGTCAGCATGTCATGTCGGAGCACGACCTAGTGTGTAGATGAGAAGGGCGGGGGCAAACCTACCCCACATGATATAACAACTTGCGAACGACAATACGAGCGTTGATCGCCACACTCTGTTTCTCGTTAGTGAAGCTGTGGAGGACGCGTTTCCCTTTGTCTCCTGCCACGTGCTGATGCGGCGGAAGGTGAGGAGGGGTAAGGGCTAACGTACGTCTGGTTCTCGCCTTTGGGGCTCAGCACCCACGCAGCTATACTGAGCGCGACGACCACAAGGAGGCCAATGATTAGAGACCAACTGTTAGGAGAGTATTAGCTGGTGCACTGGTAGATCGTTTTGCCGGAGAACGAAACAAGAGCAGTAGAGGGTGCTATGCAAAGGAAGGAGGCAGCTGCGGGAGTCGTTGGCTGTCTGCTTCCAGAATTGTCGACATAGACCGAAAGTAACCTGAGTTGCGCAGAAGTCTGCTGTCATGGATGTTGGTAGGTAAACCGCCTCTTAACACGTTGGACTGCGCCGCGCCGTATAATCCTTGATAACGGAATAGGAACCGCAGTGCCCCAGAATCTTAAGCAACAAGTCTGCAAGCCGATTCCATAACAGATGTCCAGACGAACAAGAGAGTGCAATGTAAATCGGCGCCTCCCAGGACGCCCGCTCGGCGGGAGTTGACCGGGAATTGAGCGGAGTGGACTCACCCATTCGCCATTGTGCAGTATCGAATGTGAACGCCACAATATTCAATGCAGACAGATGCAGCTGCTGGTAGTCTCGTCTATCGTGCTCTGACTGTGTTGCTGATGCGTCTGGAGGACAAGGCAGTAAGAGGAATCGAGGAATTTAAGCAGACGATGTGGTTTGGTAACAGGAACTGGACGGTCGGGATTGCTTTTTCAGTGGGTGAGGAGGTTGAATAGAGCGACAGTTTCGAATATTTCGTCCAATGTTTTTACAGGCACACCGCAGGGTGAGGTCTTTAGTTGTGTCCGGCTCAGGAAGCTGCAGATGCGGTCGATGAGGTCAAAGGCCGCAGTCTCGGCTAGCTTGCCGGAAACAGAATACTCTACAGGTTGAATTGAAAGCAAGTGGAAGATATGGCATTCTTGTTTCAAGCGCCCACCTAGCGCTCGCGTGCATTCAATGGTGCTCAGACATCCAGCCGGACATCTGCCCGGTGACAATCTACGTGGTATCAAAAGGTTCCGGACCTCCACTCCCGCCTCAACTTCCAATGCCCGCTAAGCATTTAGGCGCCTATGCACCCTCTCGACTTTGACGATAGCTGGCTTCCTGGTCGACCTGCAGTTGATCGATCTCGGGAGCAAGCTCCGACAAGATTTCGTAGGCTTTCTTGTGGTACTCGAGTTGAGCGGCAATAAGATCGGCAAGGTTGCGAAGTGGCTCAGGAGTGTCGAGGACCTAGGCTAGTTTAGCATGTGATTCAGACAATGTTAGGCGGCTTTAAAACTCACGTTCTTCATAACGCCCTGGGCTTCCTCGACTTGGCTGACAAAGTCATCTTCCTTGGCTTCAATCTCAGCGCGAGCCTCCTCGCTCAACGCACTCTCGTCATCCGGGTTGAAGCCGCGTCCCTGGATCTGGGACTTCTTGGCTGCCTTTGTGCTATCAAGCATAAGTCGGCTGTTTTCTACATTGCGGCGAGCCTTGGTCGCGAACTGAATGTTGGTGTTCAGAGTTGTCTGCCATCCAGCCAGGAAGCGGGCCTGAATCTGTTGGTCTTGCGCCAGACGAGCCTCGCCAACCTTCTCTTCCGCCAGAGCATACTTCTCAAGCGCTTGCGAGAGGGGATCCTGGGTACCGGTAGACGGGGTTTGAGTGAGGAGGTGGGATCCAGCTAGGGACGCGCGGGCGATAGCATGGTTGAAGGTCTTCGGTTGAGGCTTGGCTGAAGGAGGGGCCGTGAATGCAGCCTGCGCCTCAGCAGGGCTACCGGCTTTGGAGAGAAGAGTGACTTTGTCAGAGATGCTGCGACCGAGATCGCCGAAGGATTCTGCAATATTGGGAGGATAGTCGTATGCCTCGTTCTGATATTGCTTACTAGACTCGATGTCAGCACTGGAGCATGTGACACTAAGGGTGAGACCTACGTGACATTGAGCAGATTCTGATGTACCTGCTTCAGGGCGTCGACTCTCTTCTCGAGATCGACGTACTCGTCGGGCAGTTGTGTCTGCAGGCGGTCAGATAAGAGGACAGCATTATCATGGGATGAATCGAACCTTTTCATTTGCAGAACCGAATTGCTCCTTGAGGTACTGGGTGTTCCGCGTAGCGAGCGGCGTGACTGTGGTATTCCATGCAGAGCTGAGGAACCTATCTGTTAGCCATGTTCGATAGGTGAAGAGATCCGTGGTAGCCATGGCACGGTGTGTAGGGGCGCAGCCATGCACGGAGTGTTTACTCCTGAGCGACGTACCTTATGTTCTTGCCAAAAGCCTGGAACTTGTCCATAATTGCGATCGAAAGGACTATGCGGGATCGACGACGGGTCAGACAACGTAAGACTAACTTCAAGGAGCAGGAGGGGTTGTTGTAGTGTTGGGAAAGTTGCTACGTAGCTGATGCCGAGCGGCTGCCTCGTGCCAGAGGGTCAGGGCTCCACATGTCGCAACGCCAAGCCTTGCGTACAGGCCGCAGCCAACTGGATTGCGGTGTTGTGTATGGTCTCGCAGAGCATGCTCAATACAGCGATGAATAGCATATGGTAGATACTCTTGATTCGTAGTCGAGATAGCTCCAGATCCATCATATCCAAGCCATAGAAAGGAAATTCGTTCCCGGATGCCCGTCTAGTAGGCGTAAAGCACATCTTTCCACACACCCGAACACTTTCGGCATATGTCTCATCCTCTTCCCCAAACCTGGTGAGTAATCTTCCGCAAACGGATACCCCATATAGTGGGAAACAAGGATCCTTGTTTCCAACTCATATTGGTCTGTTACCGGCGCATGCCCGACGATTGACAGCCTCAAGTCAGAGTAGCCATCATAGCCTTGATAAGACCGGGCGTTGGTGCAGCTGGCCTGGAGGCCGAGCGAACTGTGGACATTTTATCAGGACATTTGCTTCAAACTAGCGCACCAGCGACATCCTACCTCTTTTGTCCTTTCTGACTTCGAGTATTTCATCGCCTCGGCGGTCCGCAACAATAACCTCACCCACGGGCGAAGGTGATCGCTCGCGTACCCGTTCGATTTTGATAAGCTCACCACCCTCCCGCTCGTAGCGGCGCTCACGGCGTAGGGCTTTCCTTTCGGCTTCGAGTCGCCTAATCTCTTCTTTGATGTCTCGGTCGCTGCGGTCTGGATGCCGATCAACCACAAGAGCAAGCGGCCCGACATGAACCGAATTCGACTCGTCGAAATCGTCTTCCTCGCGTATGATTTTCTTCTCCACGAAGACCTCGCTGCCGCTTCTGCTTGTGGCTGTAGGCGAGAAATCTCGGTGCTTGTGACTTCGGTGAGTCCGTGCCGGGGACACCTCTCTCTCTATGATCTTCTCTTTCTTCTCGATGATCTCCTGCTTGACTGTCTCACCTGGCGAAGAACCCCTTCGCGAGCGCCGTCTTGAGCGGGATCTGGCAGACTTGGCACCCGATCGAACCGAGAGAGCGTCCCAATCTCGCACAGATCTTGGTGCCTCTTCCAAAGGCAACGTCCTTACGTCATCGATCTCTTTGAAGTCCTTTTCGATCTTGACTTCTCTGACAGTCTCTGCGGGTGGGGCTTCTATCAAACGCGTCGTATGGGCTTCAATAGTCAGTACTGTGTCTCCTGATAAGCCTGACGCTGGCCGCGACTTACTCTCGCGCGCAAAATACTCCTTGGACATGGTAAACACCTCATCGATGTTATCAGGTCCCAGAGCTTTCTCTATCAAGATAGTCTTCTCATCCTGCTCTCGTCAGCGCACCAAGCTTTCTCATGAAGGTATTACTTACCTCTTCGTAGTAGGGATAGCCGAGATCATATAGTACTTTAGTATGGACGAGTCGCTTGGGCATCCTGGTTTTCCCGCGTCGTGGGTACGGTTTTTCTTCTTCCTTTGTAGATTCGACGAATTCACTGCGAGGACGCGAACGAGAGCGAGATCGGCCACCACTGCTATTCCTTCTCTTGCGAACCCATTCGCGTTCTCTGTACTCTCGAAATCCATCGTCTCCATAAGCATAAGGGTCTTGAACTTGAACATCGTCATATTGCCGCTGCTCAACCTCATAGCCCCCTCTTCTCGGAGGCCCCCTTGGAGGTGGCGGTCCATGGTCATCGTAGTCGTAGCGGCGGGGGCCTCTGCGGTCGTAGAAGTCTAGGCTGGACTGACGGCGAAGCAATCGAGGAGGGGCCACGGGAGCAGGCGGTTCGGGTCTGGCGGGTCTTTCGGGTCTGAAAGGGATCATGGCGCCTCCGGCGGCTCGCGGATCGTCTCGGTAGTAGTCATCTTCGTAATAGCGACGCTCTTGCCGACCTCCAGGGCCATAACGGTCACTTTCGTAGTAGCGCTCCTCCTCGTATACGGGAGCGGACCGACGAGGAGGAGAATATGGTTCGGCGTAGGGAGGTCGCTGCTCGATTATGGGTGGACCATATCGATCTCGCTCAGCGCGAGCGAATGAATCTCGATCCCATCGAGCGGTAGGGGCCTCGCGGTATGGCAAGTCCCCAGAACTTCGGTACTCAGGCCGATATCTCGACATGCTTCAAAAGTCTAGCGACTGCAAATTTGGGCCAGTACCAGTGAGGTAAAAGAAGTGATAAAAGCGAGCAGTGGCGGGATCAATATGAGCGGTGATGGAGTTGCGTCAGGTGGGGCGTATAGCCGTGAGAACAAGGCCGATTTCCACACGAGAGCTGTTAAATAGGAAGTGCGACTGCGATGGTGGTTTTGAGATGATCTACTACAATGAGCACACGAGTATAAATTGATCGCGCTTGAGACGGGGAGACAGACTATGTACTTGGTAGGACATCAGCAGGGCGAAGACGACACAAGCGCTGGCCATGACGTGGGGTTGCAGCCCAACCCAGCCACCAACTCTTCTACTGTTCAACGCCCGCCGTCTAACATGGCACCCACCATCTGGGTTTCAGATTCCCCTTTGTGCTGGCGGCCCATTACACGATCCCTGTCACACTACCTTTCTGGGGGACTGTGCTACCTGGCTTCGTGGCCTGGTTTTCTAATTTCTGATCTTGTTTGTTGTGTCACTCGGTCATTTGCACGTCCGCTCCCCTCTGTGCCACAATTTCGGTGTCTGCCTGCTTACCTGCCCACTCGAAGATCAGTACTCCGGTTGATGACTGATTGAGGACTTTGTGTGTCAAAATTTGCAGGCATGAAAGACCACGCAGACATTATGGATCACGAGAAAAGGATTCTAGAAGCCATTGGGCACTATCCTTTGGTTCCTCCGGTGGGTTGGCGTGTACTGCACCTCCCAGATCTCCACCTATCGACTTTGTTGGGCAGCAGTGCAGAAAAATGTCGACCACACTTGCATCCACCTTTGTAGACTCAGACTGCGCTTCAACGGCCCAAACATAGTCTGATACACTACTGGTGCCGGTCTGCGTCTACCTCGGTCTACATGACTCCAGAGACGAGTCTGCACAGTCGTTTGGGCATTCCTGCAGACTTTCTTGCAGATTGGCCCTTACAGACGTTGCGGTCTGCCCCTGCACCACGGCCCGAACCGTGCAGATCCGTCGAGGCATCAGATGCACGTCTGGAGAGACTGCTGGCATACCTGAAGGTGTTGTGTGCCTTGGCGAAGATGCTCAGTTCGCTTTGGCCTTGGCTTCGATGATCCTCTTCAACCTCAGGGAAGAGTCAATGCCCATGACGACGGCTGTTCTGTTGTTAGCGACAGCTTGGAGCGGAGGGACAGCATACCGAGCGCGAGGTAGGGAACATATAGGCTGCATAGCTTCAATTGTTCTTCGATTGAATAGTCTGGCCAGCTTAACATTTCCACCAGGCAAGTGAAGGTCGTCAAAGCTGTCTGCATAGCGAAGATCAAGAGTTGCAGCGGCAGTTGAGGGTGGTCTGTGTTTTCCGGTGAGCAACACACTAAGTATGGTAGCGGAGCGTACCTTCAAGGAGAGCATTGAGCATCCATGCGCTGACGGGCAGATGATATACGGCTTCAAGAACGAGGTATGCTGTGAACCATGATGGTGCTTCGTCGGAAAAGAACTTATCGTGAAAGTTGTTGACGTAGTAGTCTTGTATCGTGAGGCTGATGCTCGGAGCGGCTCCCTCTGGATAAAAGCGAACCAGGTCGACGACTGGCGAAGCAAGGTTAATCATTTCCCTCAATCCGGGGAAAATAAAAAGATGGGATCCGTACATAGTATCACCGGAATATGTATTGCGAAGAAGACCAGATAAACGTTGTTCAGAGTTCGCTGTGTGCCAGAAGGTTGGGGTGCCATGTTATGGTTGCGATCTTGCAATGCCCCAGGAATCTTGCGCTCGCTGCTGTTCAGTTCCCTACCGTGTGTGCCCCGTCTGGTGTGTGGTGTTCATGAGGACGACCGAGATAGGGGACCAGGTGTCTGCTGAGAATTGACGCTTTGGGAAGCTCTGCCGAAGCCCTCTAATCAACATCTGGTAGGAACCCAACACTGCAGCTTTGCTACTTCTTCGCAACATCTTGGCTACACGGCATCTAACAGCTCAGACGAAATGGAGTCCTACCACCATATGTGATCCACGTGTGCTTTATGACACGAGGATCTCTAGGCGTCTGCCCGTCTTTCCAAGGCCTCAGACAGGTGGAGCCCCTACAACCAATGCTGGGCTCGTGAGGTTGAGTGTTATTCTTTCCTACCTTGCGATGTTTTCGAGACGCAGCAGTGAGCAAGAACAGCAGATGCGCGAGCAGCTGGATGTTTAGTATGACTGATGATCGCGACTTGGAGCAGCTCACGGACACCCTACCTCAGCAAGTCATGGGTCACTGACAGTTATCACACTTCTTCCCAAATGGCAGAGCAGATTGCAAGAGGTCAACGTGCCAAACGTGCACAGGTCTCAAAGGCATGTGATCGCTGCAGACGTCTCCAAAAGGCCTGTAGCAGCTATCGGCCTTGCAGGCGGTGTGAAAGGGCAGGTATCGACTGCTCTGATGGGACAAGTGCCAACGCCCACGACCCGCCGGTCGTCTTCACATCTCCGTTCGCAAATACAGCTCCCTTCGTGGACTTTCCCGCCACTAGCCCTCAAGACTTTCATAGCTTTCCGCGCTTGAGCTTCAAGGACCAAAGAAACCTCGCCCTCCTGCCAGCTGATGTGGTCGAGTATTGTGAGATCAAATTCTTGGAGCGACTCTATTCCACTGTTCCACTTCTCACTAGCGATTATTTCGCCTTCTTGAAGGCGACCGCTGCAAGCTCTGAACCAGAAAGTGACTCGGCTTGGTGCCTTCTGGCAGCCGTATGTGCAGATTTAATTCTAGTGTGGTCAGTGGTCCCGAGCACCAGTCATGCCACGCAAGATGTCATTGACATGGTTGCCATGCATACAAGCCCTCTTAACGCCTCTCGCAGTTCCTGTCGCTGATATGCTCTTCTCTCCGAGACTCATGGTGCAATGCTAACCTTCCTTAGTAGGTAACCCCGATTCACTCGAGGGTCGAAGGCTCTTGACTTATGCGCAACCCTTCTGACCTCAGAGATCCATTCTGTAAGGCTTCGAGGATTGTACCATCCCTCGGAACCTCCCAATAACCACAGACATTTTTCGGACATTCCCTCCCCTGAGAATTCAAACCAAGCTGACACACTCCTGCAGCTGAAGATCCCAATGGTTGTCTCTTCCCGCACGTTGTGTCCGAAAACAATGCGGCGTATGGGAGGATCCTGCTATCTGAGGCACAGACGACACGCAATCATATACAGAAACGTCCTTCTTCAATTCCGCTATCGCAGGTTCTGGCGTCGTTCTTCATATACTCCTGCGAGTCGGCGCTATCTCACCACTCCCTCGCATTCTACTTTCTCCGCGAAGCAACTACACTCTATCTGCTTTTAGATGTGAATGCGGCTGCGCAACACAGTCTACAACACGTGCTATCAGACAGACTGTTCTGGATTCTGTTGGTATCCGAGCGAAGTCACGCTGTGAGATACCGAAAACCAGTGACCTTGCAGCTGACCGCGGCTTCGCCTGCTCTTGATCAAGACTCCGAACTCGCCGGGTTTCGTAACCTCGCCGAACTTTTCCGACCACTCAGCACATCTTTCATTGCCGCGCTTAACCAGGAAGAACATCACCTAGCGAACGTCCCTACTTTTCTGGACCACGTTGAGACCGCCATCAACCTTGCGATCGATCACACGGTGATTTTCCGGAGTGAGCAGAAGGCAAACCTTCGAGTAACCCAATTATGGTTGCGTATCATCCTTTGGCAGCTTCGGCTTCGGCTTGGTCATCTCGCCGAAGATGCTCTGTCAAAGAGCATGACCTATCAGTATCCGCTTGAAGTTGCCAAAGAACTCACAATGTCGACGCGTGATCTACCAATCGAGAGCATGAAAATGCACGGCGTCGGCTTGACGGAAAAGATCTTTGATGTTTCGTGTGCAATGGTCGACGTGCTGGCGCGAGTCCCTTTGTCGGGACCTGATCGCCAAGCAACCGGTATCACTCCTGAAGAGAGTCTTCGCTACCTACAGCAACTCATTGCAACGCTCATGGGAGGCAAAACGTACGGGTCATTGTTATCTAAACACATCCATCAAACCTTACCACGTAACAGCCCCTCGGCCGAGCCCAACTAACCACAGGACATCTCAAGATGGGCCTGTTTGGAGACGATAGTAGACAATCTGGTCTCAGACGACTGCCTCCTTCGTCACGTGTTGCAGCCGTTCTTCGGTATTCGTACCGATGGACAGTTTCCTGTTGAGATCCAGAGTATTCGAGTAAGGATCGATCTGGGTGGTCGCAAATTTTCTCGCTGGCACGCCATGCTCAAACAGAAGGTCGAGTTCTGCGTAAGTCCGACCTTTAGGTTCTGGCAGACGGAAGTACACCCATATGCAGGAGACCAAGCAAGAGCCCGCCCAGAACCATGCTGCCCGAGCGCCCCAGTCCCAGCCAGATTGAGCACTGGAAAGCTGAAAGTTGGTTAGCACATTCACAGCAATGTTGCTTGCGTTGTACCCGGCCCTGGCGAGCACGATGGTCTTAGCCTTCAACCGAGTTGACGAGAGCTCTGACACGAGTGAATAAGTGACGGGCCCAACGGTGAAATCATCTAGGGTGTCATGTTAGTTGTTTCCCGGGCAACAGGGCATATTCAAGGACTCACAGACAAAGGTGAAGAGCACCAGCAGCGCGCCGATCGACCACAGGGCGCCATCTCCACCAGCAAAGCTCACCGAACCGACGATTACCAGCAACAGGAATTGGCAACAGAGACCACTGAGATGGATCGTTCTCCTTCCGACCTTTGACATTAGGAACCAGGATCCCGCCGTGCCAACTATGCCGAGTGCGTATTGTCCCATGGAGAGGTTGAAAGAGTTCTTGGGGTCTAATCCCGCTTGCGTCATGAAGTATGCGAAGTAGCCCATCAGATTCTGGCCACCAAGGGTTTGAACCAGCCAAATGCCCACGACAACCTCGGTACGGCGCAAGTCGGTGCCTTGAAAGCAGTCTCTGAACCGAACACCTTCCGAGATCGACTTCTCCATTTCGTTGGTGTGCTCAATCATAGCGATAGTCTCATCCGGGTTGAAGTCCGGCTGATTGCGAGAGGTGAGTCGCAGGAGCGACTTTTTCGCTTCCGCCCGTTGGTTATGGCGAACGTACCTGCGAAACGCGTCAGAATCTCAAAGAGGGTGGCTCAGGGCAGCGGACAGCGCTCAAGCATGCCCGAAAAGCCTCCACAGATACAAAGAAGAATTCATTTTCCTGGCTCATGTTCATGGAAATACACTTACCACCACGGCGATTCAGGCGCCAACAAAACACCTGCAAGAATTGGCAGCGGCCACACCCCTACATCGTCAGCAAATGTCTTGTGGTGGAGATGTGCCATCACACTTACATTGTACACCGAATGGGATCTTGTACGCCCACTGATCGTCTCGATCGATTGAACCGCGATTGACGGCAGCCGCGAAGAATTGGCCAATCACCCAGCACATGTTGATCCACGTTGTGAGATACGGTCTCAGCACGACGGGGGCGACCTCGCTTGCATACGCTGGAGTAACGCTCTGAAAGGCTCCCCACGGGATTCCGCAGAGAACCTCGCCGACCACAAGGACTTGCACATTTGGCGCAAAGAAGAGCACAAAAATGAAGGCAACCATTAAAACCAAGGAACCAATGGTAGTCACCTTGTACCTTGAAGCCGTTAGCGGACGAGAATTTGCATAAAGAGAAGAAGAGACCACATGAAAGGGCATCTCGACCTTGCATGCGCCAGGGTCGAATGTTCCTGGTCCCTCCCTGATGACTTACCCAAATCTGTCGGCTGTCCAGCCTGCGATGATCAACCCAATGATCTCTCCAGCACGAGCGCCGTTGCTTAAGCCCGACTGCCAAGGCGCACTGACATTCCACTCATCATTCTCGGGATTGAAAGCGCCGAACTTTTGATTGAAAATCGGGCTGGCATAGAGAGATCCCAGCAAAGCCAGGTCGTACCCCTCCATGATCAAGGTTGAGGAGAGTAGGGCAGACCAGCCGATGGCCTTGGGGTACGTCTTGATGGCCTGCAGGAGCGTCATGCTCTGTTCCCTATTGGCGGCATGTTTCGCGTCGCTGATGAGTGCCTCTTCATGTTGGACAGGGGCCTCGGCGTGTTTCGTGTCAAACTTTGCTCCCTCGTCAGCCATCTTGCGTGGATTCGTGGGGATTGAGAGAGGATCGGCCCCGAATCGATGGCAGTAGAGACAGTGGTACGATCGTGAATCGAGAGAGTCAAAGTTTCGTTTGCGAAAGAAGCCCCGACATTTATAGGACTGGACCACCAAATTTCGCAACAACCATCGGAACCGAACAGGTCTATAGAAGAGTCTAAGGGATTTCCACATGGTGGGTGGAGATGGAGTTCGGTTTGACGCTCGTATCCTTGGGGATTGTGGGGATCGGCGGGCTTGTGGTACCACCTCGCTTATTCGTCTACTTTGATTCCTGGAGACTGCCGTTAGAAACCCGATGGTTTTCTGATCAGCTCCACCCGACTCAAGCACTCTCAAGAAGCAACGAGCGACAGTCACGGAACAGAACCTCGGACTACTGTTTGCTGCCATTGACCAGCGTGAAGCTCTTTGCATCTAATACCGATTCTGCTCGATGCAATGCCCAAAGTCAAGCTGTCTTGCATGCGGACTAGAGGCAAGACCACAGGCGTCCTGAGCACGACACTATACTGTCATTGGCATGGCAAACCCGGAGAGAAGCGTGCCATTGAGTGGAGCCCCCGTCATCAAAAGACGCAGGGGTGTCGGAGTTGGGCGGAGATGGTCGGAGTTTTCGCCCCCTATACCCTCCCCAGACGGAGCTTCTATCAACCACTTCCTAACACACACGCCCCGCAGCTACAACTGCCTTGGAGGAGACATCGGGTGGGAGGCCGCCAGTACACCCAGACCTAACATTTGGCTCATCTTAGCGGATCTTCGCGCTCTGTATCTCGGCTAAAAGCTCGCGGACGACTGCTTGGGTTTGGAGACTAGTATACCAGATAGTCCTTCTGAGCAAATTGGCACATCTTCGAACTTGAAGTCCTCTAGGCTCGTCTGTCGGTTCTCTCTTGTCTTCCTTTTCAGACCCGACCGGCGCAGCTGTCGCCCAATATGATCTACGACCCAAAGCACACCAGTTTTTTTGGCGCCGAGCCATGGTGGAAAACAGCAACATTTTACCAAGTGTACCCGGCGTCCTTTGCGGACTCGAACGGCGATGGCTGGGGTGACATTCTAGGGGTCATTTCCAAATTGCCCTACCTCCACCGCCTCGGTGTTGACTGCATCTGGCTCTCGCCGTGCTTCGACTCGCCCCAAGTAGACATGGGCTACGATGTATCGGACTACCAAGCAATATATCAACCTTATGGCACCGTCGATGATGTTGATCGTCTCACCGAAGCCTGCCACGCTCTTGGCCTGAAACTCATTCTCGACCTTGTCGTCAACCACACAAGTGACCAACATCCCTGGTTTCAAACATCCAGATCTAGCAGAGACTCGTCAAAGCGAGACTGGTATATCTGGCGTCCCGCCCGCTACACAGACCAAGGCGAGCGACTACCACCCACGAATTGGCGCAGCTACTTTGCTGGGGGCACGTGGACATGGGACGAGCACACGCAGGAGTACTATCTTCATCTGTACGCGCCCTGCCAGCCAGACCTGAATTGGGACAACCCCGACGTTCGTCGCGCCGTGTACGATGAAACCATGAGATTCTGGCTCGAGCGCGGCGTCGACGGCTTCCGCATCGACACCGTCAACAAGTACAGCAAAGACACCCGCTTCGTTGATGCCTCAGTCACCGACCCCAGCAGCCCGTGGCAAGCCGCACCCGAAATGTGGTGCAACGGCCCTAACATCCACGAATATCTCCGAGAGATGCACAAAGAAGTCCTTGGCCCTTACAGCGCCGTTAGTGTAGGCGAGCTGTCCAACTGTCCCGAGACCGCGGACGTCATCCCATACGTCCAGGCCAGCGACCCGCAGATGAGCATGTGTTTCCAATTCGACCTCATCCGCCTCGGCACCGGCGGCGGCTTCGGCGACAAGTACATCTACCGCCCGTTCTCACTCAGCACGCTGAAGGGCCTCACGGAGAAGTGGCAGACCTTCATTGATGGCACTGATGCCTGGACGACGGTCTTCATGGAGAACCACGACAACGGTCGGGCCGTCAGCCGCTTTGGCTGCACCGACACCGCGCAGCAATGGCAGGCCAGCGCGAAGATGCTGGCGCTGTGGCAGGCGACGTTGAGCGGGACACTGTTCCTGTACCAAGGCCAGGAGATCGGGATGGTCAATATGCCGCGCAACCGGGGCATCGAGGACTACAAGGATGTGGAGAGCAGGGGTTTCTACAACGAGGCGCTGAAGAGCGGTGACGAAGACAGGGTCAGGAAGACGATGGACGGGCTGCGCACCCTGGCGCGAGACCACGCTAGGACGCCGATGCAGTGGGACGCCGGCCCTTTCGCGGGGTTCTCGACGGCCGAGCCTTGGATGCGCGTCAATGACTGGACACTGGACGTTGTCAACGTGAGCGCGCAGGAGGATACAGAAGACAGTGTCCTTCGATTCTACCGCAGCGTCTTGCGCTTGAGGAAGGAGTATGTGGACCTCTTCGTCTTTGGCCGCTTTCAGCTCCTGGAACCGGAGGACGAGGACGTGTTTGCTTATCTCAAAGAGAGCCCGGCTCAGAAGGGCGACGTTGACAGCGGCCAAAGGAGGAAGGCGCTGGTGGTGCTCAACTTTTCAAACGAGGCCCAGAAGTGTCCTTCTGCTGCGATGGCGTTGCAGTGCGCGGAAGAAGAGGTGCGGTTGTTGGTCGGTACGGTGCGTCTGGTGGGTGACGGGAAGGGGTCGCTTCGGGCTTGGGAAGGCAGAGTCTACATCAATTTCTGATCCACGGTCCGGAGAAACCACGGCTGCTGCGGCTTTTGGGTTCGCGGGGAAGGGGTGTGAGTGGGCGTAGCGGGGGCCTGCCGTACGTGTGAGTCTGGTAGCACCGACCAGGGCATCGGCAGGATTGAGGAAGGTACAACGCGAGGCCTTCGGAGCGGAGAGCAAGCTCACCGAGGAACTTCGTGTTTATATAAATAGAGAAGCGTTCCCACGTCTGGACGTTCTCGAGAATTACAAAAGCACTGGGTTATGGTGGTCACAAGAGGCGGAAGCACGTCTACACCGCAACAGCCTCTCTCGCCGGCCCCTCCATGTTCCGCTCGCCATGCAATCGCTCCAATCCCTCCCCGTCGACCACACCACCACTCCCATCACCAGCGATATCGAAAGTCGGTCTCTCCTCCGTAACCGCCGCGTTGAAGCCCGCCACCCTGAACACGGCGCTCTCCTCACTCAACGAGTCAATGTCATGACACTCCAAGCACGCCTCGCGACTCAACAAGACCGCCTCGTGCGTCCGCTGCACCACCTCGTCCTGGTACTGCTGCAGCCCCTGCTCCAGACTCTGTTCGCCGGCCCGCCACCGTGTCAGCTCCCACACCAGCTTGACGGCGTCGTAGATGCCGTGGTTGGCCGCCTCGCCGCGGTACATGGTCATGGTGTGGGCGGCGTCACCGACGAGGCTGACCCGCGAGTGCGCGCCCGAGAGCCACGGCTGCGTCGGCCAGTCTTCGAGCTTGATCTCGAGCGCGGGCGTGTCGTCTGGAATGGCGAGGATGGCGTCGCGGAGGGTGGGGAAGAAGCCCGTGTCGCTGGTGGCGGCGCGTTTGATGGCGGCGAGTTGGGCGGAGGGGGTGGAGGGGGTGGGGCCGTGGCGTGAGGTCAGCCAGGACATGTTGAATTGGCCTTCGTAGTAGGGGGAGGAGGTGGTGGCGCTGCCGTTCGAGGCGGGCGTGCTGAGCATGGAGAAGAAGACGAAGAAGCCGGATTTGGGGTGGCAGCCTTGCCAGAGGACGGGGTGGATGGCGCGGAAGGGCGCCATTTGGTCGGGGGATAGTCGCAGGGTGAGACCGTTGAAGGCGACGGGTAAGGGTGAGAGGCGTGAGGCCTCATCGCCGACGAGCTGGCGTTTCACCCGGCTGTTCTTGCCGTCGACGGCGAGGAGCATGCTGCCGGAGGCGGTGGTGCCGTCGGAGAAGTTGACAGTCACGCCGTTGGGGGTGCTGGTGAAGTCCTTGACCCGCTTGTTCCACTGTACAGGGATGTCGGTACAGAGGAGCTCGCGGAACAGTTTACGGTTCAGGCGGTAATGCTGTGAGGATGGAATGGCGAACTTTACTGCCCCGGTCTCAAAGTCGAGGAACTGGTAGTAATCGTTCTCTGGATGAGACATCAGTAAGAGGCTCACGAACATGACGGACCGCTGCTACCTTTGCCGCCTTCGACCGGATCAACTTGAATGGATAGCAGTGTTTCGAATATCTGTGGTGGTAAGCAGGACGCCAGGGCTGGTAGTGCCCAGTGCATGGTAATGCCCCATCCTGCTGGACGTTCGTGCAGACTGTTGTCCCTGTCGTAGATCTCGAACTTGAATCCAGCCTTCTTGAGGCCTTGTGCCAAGGTCAGGCCTACGAGGCCGGCACCGATGATAATGATTGGCGAGTCGATGGAGGCCATTAGGGAAATGGCGTGGGCTTTCGTGATTTCGAGGCAAGGGATCACCGAACGCACTTGAGTCTTATCAAGGCGAGTCGCAATCGCTGAGCCAAGTTGACACAGTTGTCGGCAATTGTGCTTGGTGCATTGCATAGGTCGTGAGGTGGCAGGCCAAGTCGGCGATATGGATAGGCTTCAGATCGCCCATTACTACTGCGGCGGGTGCCATTACCGATTGGAGATTGCCATGTATGGACCTGGCCACAGTGAGGTGCTAGGTGGGGTACTCGGATGAGGGCGGGGAGACAGCCTCTGTCCCAGCCTCGATTCTGGCACCGCGGTTGTGAGCTATTTCATATGCCTAGCCCTTTCTTTGAGATCTAATCCGTATAGACATTGCGATAAGACCAACAAGTTTTTTCTCCCAGCAAAACGCCACAGATGTATCTGACCAAGACGATCAACGGAGTCGAGATATGTTACGATGAGTGCGGTGCTGCAGAAGGCCCGCCCATTGTGCTCCTGACAGGATGGGCCCATGATATGCGGCTGTACGATGGGATGCTACCGTACTTGGCGGAGAAGTACTGGGTCATCCGGCTCAATTGGCGAGGTCATTCTATCAATCGCGACTATGTCGAAGACTTTGGGGTTGAGGAGCAAGTTAGCGACACGCTGGGATTGCTGAAAGCACTGGATGTGGACAAATTCTATCTGGTGTCTCATTCTCATGGAGGCTGGCCGGCGCTGGAGATTGCAGACAGGTTGGGAAAAGAACGGGTCCTGTGTCTCTTGATGATAGACCAGATCATGACGCCTCCCCCACCGGAATTCGTTTCTGGTCTCCAGGCCATGCAGTCCAAGACCACCTGGCGAGCGGCGAGAAGGGGCCTTTTCGACCACTGGCTGGCCCAGAGTAACAACCAGGCAGTCAAAGACCATTTCACCTACAGCATGGGCTCCTATGGGTACCCAATGTGGTCGCTATCGTGTCGAGTTATCGAGGGGGCATATAAAGCCCACGGATCACCCATGGAGCGCATGAAGAAGATCCGGGACCCTCAGCCAATACGACACATCTTCTCACATCCCTTGGGCTCGCCAGAATACCGCAAGCTGCACGAAGATATGCGCAAGGACAACCCTTGGTTCTCCTATACAGATCTCAAGGGCGAAACACATTTCCCGGACCTCGAGATCCCACAGCGGGTATGCGAGGAGATTGAGGATCTCATTCAAGCCGTGCCGAAGTAGATACGTTGGCAAATAAATCTTTAGCCTTACTGGTAATATTACCCCTGCTTTCGAAGCAGCAACTGCCTGAAGTCCTAGAGCGTCTTCTATGTCTTGGTTTCTTGCTCGTGCATCCCCCTGTGCTTTCAGGTGTTGGTACCGATAACTGTGTTCCGCACATCTCCAGTACTCTTCGCGTCAGCCCTGTTCCTGAGCCTCTTGGTTTCAATGCTAAGTTCATTGAACCCCATGTGAATAGCAGAACTTGGTGGCTCCTGCCGCGTTGCAGTATCCTTCATCAAGATACCGTCGTCGTTTGAACGAGCTCGGGAGTGGTCGTCGCGCGGCCCGTGCAGTATCGGAACTGAGAGCCCTGCCGTTGCTCGAGTTATGAACCGAGTGCGGTCGGAAGAAGACTCTCTGGATGCTCTAGCCCGGGCAATCAGGCGCATATAAACTTCAAGCCCTGTCCGGTGACTAATCGCTGCCAATTGGTGGACGATGTTCAGTGCCTTGAAGAATCAAGTCGGCTTTATCAAGTCGGCGTCTTGGAAACCTAATCATCTCCCCAAGACTTCCTTGATAGGCAAACTGCAGCCATTCAACAGTCAGCGATGGAAATCCAGACCACGGTCCCCGCATTCCCTTATCAGGTTGATGCGTGGCCGCTAAATGAAATGGCTGTGGAGACCAGGTATATGAGAATCGAGCAAGAACCCACCTGGAGATGCAGTCCAACACTCGGTATCTTGTCGAGCTATGGATGACCTCAAGACCCCTTACAACGATGTCGAGTCGCCAGCTCCCAGTGTCAACACCCCGCCGAAGGTTGAGGAGGGCATCATTGAGGACTTTGTGACCCCTCGCTCTCTCACGCATGCTATCCGGAAGCTCACCCAGGCGGGCGTTGAGCTACGCAGCCTTGAGCCTGTGCCGCCAGAGCGACGGACTCACACCCGGTACTACAATGTCATGACCCTGTTCGGCGGGTCCTTCTTTTCGATTCTTCCGTAAGTATCTCCTCGCCTGGCGGTACTCAGCATTGACACCGCGTAGTCTCAGCATTGGAACGACACCAACCCTCATCTTCGGCCTGTCTTTCAGGGATGCGGCCATCATGATTACGACCATGCAGCTCCTTTTCATCCTTCCAACACTCTACATCTTGACCATGGCACCACAACTGGGCATGCGCCAGTCCGTGCAGTTTCGATACGTGTTTGGGTGCGTCAGTCATGGTACATACGGCGCCAGCCCTTACTGACAGGGTCTACAGGAAATATCCAAATGCCCTCATCTCGCTTATCGTCATCCTCGAGATTGGTATCTTCGGCATTCTTGCCGCAGTAGGCGGAGCAGAGTGCTTGTCCGCCGTCAGACCTGGCACACTCCCCGTGGAGGGAGCCATCGGCATCATCATGGCTGTTGCGCTTGTCATCGGTTTCATCGGCTACAGCGCTATTCACTTTGTCTGCCAGTGGATTTGGATCCCTAACATCATCTGCCTGCTTGTGCTCGTTGGCTCGGCTGCTAGCCAATTACAGAACCAAGCACCAGCAGCATCCTCGGGAGCAGCGCCCTTCTTGGCCACGATTTCAATCTGCGCTGCAAACATGGCGACTTGGGGAACCATCATCGGCGATTACACTTGCTACATGCCCGCTCACGCGCCCAAACTCAGACTGGTCGGCTACTGCCTGCTTGGTCTGTACGTCCCATTTACGCTGATGATGATCCTGGGTGCCGCCCTGGGTGGCGCCATCCCCATTGTGCCTGCCTGGTCCGCGGCTTATGGGCAGGGCAGCCTTGGAGGTGTGCTTGGTGAGATCTTGGTGTCCCGAGTTGGCAACTTTGGTCGCTTCTGTCTCGTTATACTTGGCTTCTCCATTGTCACGACCTCCGCACGAGACATGTACAGCATCTCTCTCTTCACCGTGGCAGTGATTCCGTGGTTGAGACGGATTCCCCGTATCATCATCCTCATTGTGGCAGCGGGTGCTATGGTTGGGATCGGGATTGCAGCATCAAGGTCATTTCTGCCCGCATTGAGCACGCTGGTCAGCATCGCCGGCTACATGACGGGCCCGACAGTGAGCGTTTTTCTGGTCGAGTGGTTTGTCTTCCGCAAAGCCGATCCGCAAAGCTTCGACCCTGCCATCTGGAACGATCATGCCGCACTACCGTCTGGTATACCAGCAATCTTCTCCACAGTTGCTCCTTGGGGAGTGATTGTCCCTTCAATGGCAACTGCTTGGTACGTGGGACCGATCGCGGTACACACCGGGGACTTGGCTTGGGAGTTGGGTGCAGCGAGTTCAAGCCTGTTATATCTGCCGCTAAGGGCACTGGAGATCAAGTTCAGGGGTCGCTTCTAACTTACATATGCGTCCAATATTTTACCGCTTCTACCTGTTGCGATGCTTCTGACTTGGCAGTGAAAGAGTATATGCGGACACCAGCACAGCCTTCAACTGTTCACAAGTTGCAGTATTTCTTTGTGATAGATCTCAGACCATCTTGACACAGGCATTGTCTAAATGAGCAGCCTAGTGCTGGCTTGCAGAGTCTTCGACGCGTCAAGTAGATGCAGGCAGCGATCCGGCGGCCCACAAGGTCGAACCTTGAAGTATCTCTGCGCCACCGTAGCCAAACTTCTTCGACGGGCGATGAGTAGCTATTTGATGAGCTTGCTCCCACAAACCCCTTGTACATATGATCGGAGGTCGGATGAATATGACCTGCTTCAGTTCGTCATGCTTCAGGCTTCTGCGCGGGCTAGGGTAGCATGCAAGACCTGCCATGCTAGGCGCGTGAGATGTGACCGGCCTCCCAATGGTACGACATGCTCAAACTGTCGTGCGGCAAACACGCCATGTGAATTGATTGACTCTCGACGAGGGAAGTAAGTCAATCCTCCGAACGAGCATCGAGTTGCAGCTGAGTCGCTTCTCGTAGGCACAAGCGCCATGGTACCAAACGTCAACCCAAAGAGTCACCGGGTTCACCAGTGGCAGAAGTTGACATAGCACAAGACCCTGGCAGTACGCCGGCAACAGCGGAGGGCCTGTCGCCTACGACCACGAGATCTGTGCGCCGCTACGTCAGCCCTTCACTACCGGAGTTCAACGTCTATCGTGACCCCGGGAGTGCCGAGGAGCGCGTAGTCTACATGGGAGATTCGTCAAACATGAAATATGTCATTGACGAAGTTGGCGACCCCTTTCGCAGTACTCCGCAGACTCGACTCTGGGGCGACCATCTACAGCTGTACATGCTCGAGCGGCTTGGACAACCCACGCGGGAAGCCTTGTGGCGGCTGCACTACTCGAATCAACAGCTTTTGAAGACACAAGGAGCCTTCAATTCTCTAGGGCGTCGTCTGGGTACAGATCTCGTGCAGAGCTATTTTACATACTCGTACACGCATCTACCGATATTTCAACGTCATGACTTAATCACCTTGCATGAGTCCGGGGCAGGTCTGTCACCGTTGGTTGCCAATGCTGTCTACTTCATCGGCACACTTCACTGCAGCAGCAGTACCATTGATGCACTTGGTTTCGGCACGCGATACATGGCCAGCACGACTTTCTATCGGCGTGCAAAAGCCCTCTACGATGCAGACTGCGAGTCAGATGGCCTGGCAAACGTTCAAGCTGCCATACTCTTGTCGCACTGGTGGGGAGGACCCATGGACCCTAAGGACACTTGGCACTGGCTCGGTATTGCATCTGGATTGGCACAGTCGCTAGGGATGCATCGAAGCAAATCGTATGCATGCCTACAGCCTCATCGTCGAACGCTCTGGAGGAGGATCTGGTGGGTGCTATACATCAACGACATTCACCACGCAGCGGTCTTTGGCCGACCTCCCCATATCCATCCCTCCTTCTGCGATGTCGGGCCGCTATCGCATGCGGATTTTGACGACGACGACGGGTCCAGGCCGAACGAGTCGACAATATACCTCATTTACCTTGCAGAGTTAGCGCAACGCGTTGCTGGATGTTTGTTCGCCAAATTCTTACCCGACGACCGCTCCGCTGAACGTGCAAGTCATTATCGCAAGCTTCATGATTTCAAACAGACCCTCAGCTCGCAATGCCCCATCTCATGCTCTGCTATTTCAGCTGACAAGGGATTCTGGCCCTCAATGCTGCACCTCTACCACTGCGACTATCAGATCGTCTTTCACCGAATGCTCTCGGACGAAGACGACAGTTCAACGACGTTCACTGCTGCCGGAAACGTCAACAGACTCCTGGAGGACTTGCTAGCATCTGGCCTGCTGGCCCGCGCTCCATTCATGACCTTCCCCGCGATCTTTGCGTCGATCTTGGTGAATATAATCCACATCCGCAAAGGCGAAGCACACATCAAAACCCTGGCAGAGAGCCGAGCACGCTTCTCCATGCGCGTCCTGGCCGACTTTGAGGACGCTTGGCCCATCGTCATCTGGACTCGGCATCTGCTCGAACGCCTCCTCAGCACTTCTTCTTCTGAGCAGGGCGACGAGCCGTGGGAATCGGCCGTCCAACCTCAAGCTACCAGGACCAGCCCTAGGGCACTCCGCGATGCGAATAGTCGAATCCGTCTGCATGGCCCCGCTGGATCACCAACGGAACGCAATCAACCCCAACCGAGCCCGATAGTTGCTGATGCCGGCACCGAAACCGACTTTGCAGCCATGCCTCTCATGTTCCCATTTGACGATCTTGCTGAAGGTGCGGGCCTTTTGGGAACAGAGTTGTGGAATCTTGATTGGCATGGTTGATCCTCTTCTACTGTAGCCATGGATGCTCCTACCCCATCATCGATTACTCCAGGAAGTTCCTCCCTACGCACAATCCGGGGGCGTTCCCTTTGCCAAGCAACTCTATCAGTCTGCGAAATGCAGACACATGTGTTGACAAGGGGTACCTACTGTCGCCCACTTTCGAACCAGCCGACAGAAAGTCGGGTGTTGGGAACATCGTCAACAAGTTATTCGCCTCCTGACTCTTTTCGTCGGTCTTCTACATAATCGTATAAAAAGAAAACATGTCATACACAGCGACAGATATCGTCCACTGATTTCCATTCTCCCGATAGCCAGAGAAGAGCACCAACTGCCCTGCCAATGCCAGCGCTAGCGAACCTCAAAACCATCACCACCCATCCTCATTCTACGAATTCTGTTACCCTCGCTCTCACGCTCTTTGCCGCATCCAAGATATCTCTGTCAAAGCCCTGCCTCGCTCCCACAGCAATCGCAGCTTCCAGGAACTCCAGCACCCTCCCGCAACCCTCATCGCCTCCAAACGCGCCACCTAGGCCGGTCCGCGTGCTCTCACTCCACCATTTGCCTGCGACATACAGCGCCTCCCTGATCACCTCGCCCTTCGCTTTACCGAGGAATGGCCGCTCCTCCGTATAAAACATCTGCTCCAGCGTATCGAAGAGCTGCTCGTGGGCTACGCCGAGACCCAGGAAGATATCGGTGACCCAATGTTCCGGCGCGACGTCACGTTGAGCGGTGTAGCTGTAACCGAGGAGAGTCGGGAGCAGAAATGGAACGGGAAAGGTGGCTTCTGAGAGGCGTAGGCGGGCGCCGAGGCTGCGGACCTCCTCTGCGATGGCCTCGAAGGGCTGCGGTGAGCCATTGCTGACGGTTCTTTCATGTGTCGTGTCTAACAGCTGTTGCCACGTGCCCTTAATGGTGCTGGGATCGCGGTGATCTGCCACCATGTATATCTGGAGACAGATATCGTAGTAGCCACCAGCGTCGGCAAATTTGTTGAAGAGGGTTGAGATGTCCAGAATCGGGCCATCAACTTGTTCTAGCACTTCAGCCCTCGCATTCTCGTCGAGACGAGTCTCATCTCGTAGTCGCTGAAGAACTTCATCCTGGATATTGGCAATGTCGAGTAGTTCCGAGATGTCCTGGAGAAGCTTTTGCTTGGTCTTGCGGTTTCCACCTTGCGTGTACGTAGAGGCATTGGCACGAGCTCGCGAAAGATATTCAATTCGACGATCGAGAGGAAGCTGGAAGCCAGACTGGGCCAGTTGAAGCTGCACAGTGGCGGCCTTCTGATATTGGTTGGTCTGGCCGTAGTAGCGCCAAAGCAGGTCAGCGTAGACGATGTCTTCGGCAGACTTGCGCTCCAGATACTTGATGATGAATGGGGATTCAGTGCTAAGCACGCGATCAGCCCAGCCGTTTGATAGATACCAGTCGTAAAGGTCCGTCAAGAAGAGCTCGTCATTCGACATAGCGATGACATCGTATGCCTCATTCCGGCGGATGGCAGGAAGGGTCGGTCGTCCGTCGAGGAACGTCGGCTCCTTCTCAATGCTCTTGTCAACCGAGACGATAACATCGTGAACCAAAGTGTAACACTTCTGTCGCTTCTCGAACTTCTCTTTCCTTGGATCGCCCTCAGGCCGACCATCCAGCATCCATGAGTGGGCATCATTGGCCTTGTCCATTTCATTCGCGACCTTGAGAATAAGTTGGATTGCTCCGGCGAAAAACCTCAGCTCGATGTACTGTTTCACAGCTGCCTTGAGGTAGTCCCTTGGGAGGCTATGGGCTACCTCTTCAAATAATCTCAAGCTATCGTTGAGCAGGTTTCGTGCAGTCTCAGCATTGGCGCCCTGTTCCGCAGCGCGCTTCAGCAGTTCCTGGGCTTTGAAGATAACAACGTCATCAGCACTGCAAAAGTTGCCACAGCGTCGCCGTAACGATTCCGCAATCGTCTCGACATTGGAGCCCTTAGCAATGTTCCGGTTGACGATGGCCTTCACAAGCTCTTTCGCAAGGTCGAAGCCCATCTTGGTGCTGAAGAGCTCCTCATAGGTGAGCTTGAAGAGCTCTGGGCGGGACGCTTCTGGTAGCAGTGGAACAATGTCTTCGACACGCTCTTCGAACAAGACCTGCACGAATGAGATGCCCTCGATAGTGTTGGCAACGAACTTGACTACCGCGTGTAGCGCTCTGTGCTCGCCCTGCATAGCGATCTCGTCATCCCGTGTACCGGCCTGCGGCAGATCATCAGGCCCACTCAGTCCTTTGATGAAGCTCTTGTTGGCATTGAAAAATCTCTGTAGGGCGGAAAGATCTTCTTGTACTGATCTAAGTTTTTCGATCTTAACAGCAGGCTCAACCACGTACTTATCCTTCTCTTTCTTCTCCTTGGCTATAACACTCCTCCAGGTTGACCGTAGTAGGCGCGAAAGGTAGAGGGTGATTGCAGCATGTCGTGGTGACGGGCGAACAGCGTCAATTAGAGGCATATTCCGATCCGCAACCATATTTTGATTGAGACTGGCCTTACCTCCGTGGTCAATGAATGTTTTGCGTGCCACTTCTAGCACGTCTGGATCGAGAATGCGAGTGGATCTGCTCTCCGAAGTTACCTCTTCTCCCTGTCCGCATGCCACGGCAAGGGCAGTTGCAAGTGTCTCTGTGCGGCCGTACGTTCTCATGAGATAATTGATATCGTTCTGGAAGCCTTCAGTCCCACCGCCCTGCCGTACCAGTCCAGCGAAGATATCAACAAGTCTTCTCCGTTTGATGACATGGATACCAGTGTTTGTGAGGATGGCGATCTCCGGTATGGGCTGGTCGAATTGCACGGCAAGATCATTACCGAAGCCTCTCGGAGTTGTCGAGGGCGCGATATACGGTGTCGAAGCGCCGATGTCTTCGGCCTTGCTACCCAGCTGGATCCACACGGCCGATTCGGCGGATTTGCTTAGCTGCCCCATCTCGGCTGGTCTGATTACTCGGCCAGCATCTGGCGCGCAAATAAAGAGGGAATCGGTTGGAGCATTTTGATCTTTCGTCGTAAAGCAGAAGAAGTATCCCGGTGGGAATCTCTTAGCCAGGCGTGTCTGGATGAGGGTATTGACTGGTGCATGCATGTTGTTGGCTTGCTGTGAGCCGGAATGAGCGCGGACGGTATTAGAGACAAACACTGCTGGTGTTGAAGGCGGTATTCTGACGTGTTGAGGCTCCATACTGGCTGGTCCACCGGGATTTTGGGAACCCCAGAAACCTGAGCTAGTAGTGCTGCAGTAGATCCGATATCCCGTGGCAGTAGTTGCTACCAAAGAATATCGTGCTGCCTCTTGTTGAGGGATCGCAGAGATTGCGACAATTGCGATCCGAGGATTGAGCGATTCGTTTGGGGTGACTAAGTGTGAGACCTTCGAGTAGAGGTCACTGGCCGACTTGGTGATGCATAGCGTCAAACTGCCATCAGATTTCATGAAGAAGACCCTGATATTGGATTTTGAGGAGAGCGTGTACACAAGACTCCGGCTATCATCAACGATGATCTGTTCGACATACTCTGAGGGGCGTGACCCAAGGGCTGGTAGGGACATTGTCAAGGTCTGCACCGTAGTTCGTGTATGGCAGATCTTGTTGCACTTGCCTCGGAACCAGCCGTCTTGCTGCTGGTATACCAGCTCGTATAAATCATTGTCCGTGGTGCCGCCAAAGAAGATTCTGCCTGTTGTCTTCGAGTGGGCAATCACGGACACATCCATGCCTCTTACTGACACAGACATACCCGTCTTGATGACGGACAGCTGTGGCGCTCCAGCAACCATTTCTGTAATCAGGCCTAGTAACGAGATCTCTGACGTTGTCGCTAGCACAATCATGTTTCTGACAGTGTCAAGAAAAACGCCCGGTTTTGGTACTGCCAGCTCGACGGCAGTAATACTATGTGGCTGGTCCTCAAAGCCAAACAACTCCGGGTTGTTGGCGGTATAGTCCCAAAGATAGAGCCCGTTATCGATCGAGACCCACGCGTGTCTCAACTCCGCGAACAGGCCCATCAAAGTGGTCAGATTCGAGTGATTGTATTGCTCGAACACCTGATCTGGAATCTGATAAACCCGCGCTTTTTGGAATGGTGCCCATGTTGTGGATGTCTGCACCTCATACTCCGAAGAGGGTCCAGGTGGTAGATACGCATCAATATCAGCAAACTGCGCTTCATCGTTCAACGCCTCATTGATGTATTTTGCGGCTCTTTGTTCTGGCTTTAGAGCCTCAGGTTGCTGCTGTGTTGTTGGAGCGGCAGGAGGATTCGCGGAGGGTGTTCGCTGGAGCTCTGGGATCGGTCTCTGGAAAATCGGCTGTGGCATTTGGTTCGGGAGCGCGGGCGTCTTAGGGAAGATGCCAGGGACAGGGCGCATCGGCGTGGCATAGATGTCTGCCGCCATGTTTGGCGCTGCCAGAGTATCGTGATCTTCGTTGTTTGAACTCAGTCCATGTGCATCAACACTGAAACTGAAGCTCTAATTTTGAGGGTATCATCACGCTTCACCAGCTGTGTTCGCGACTTCTGGCGAGCAGATGGGCAACACCAGATGAGATGGAAGGTCTGTTTGCGACTTGTCCAAAAGTTTTGGGTACAGCTCCGCAGGACGCGCTGCGGATCGCGACTGCCAAGCTTTTTATGTATAGCGACTGCGGTCAATGCTTTCCTCACCACTCATGTATCAACACATCCATCCACCCGTGACCTAGCCTTCCTGCTGGAGCTACAATGGCATCATCAGCACTCTACGCGTCTCGAGCGCTCCGCTCATCCACCTGCACCACATGTCTCCGCCGCTACGGTCTAAGCTCGCTGCGCTATTCGTCTACGGACGCCGCACCTCCTCTGCTAGCGCAAATTAAGAAGGACCTGATGGCCGCTATGCGTGCCAAAGACAAAGCAAGGTAGGACACTGAGAGATCATGCATATGCGATCGAGAGGGAAAAAGCTAAGGGCAAGGTAGGTCGAATGTACTGCGCGGCATCATTTCCGAAACGACCCAGATGGCTAGTGGTGCGAATCCCATCAAGACTGATTTACAAGTACTTGCTATGCTTAAAAAGAGGAAGTCTGCGTCGCAGAATGCGGCGAAGGAGGCTGAGGAGGCAAAACGCCCTGATCTGAAGGAGAAGCAGGAGCAGGAGATCGCCATACTGGATGAGTATGCTGGCAGCATAGCATTACTGTCGTTGGAGGAGCTCGAAGCAGCAGTCAAAGCTACTGTGGAGAAGCTCGGCGAAGATGGAAAAAATCAAGGCAGAGTCATGAAAGAGCTCCTGCGATCTGGTGGGCCCCTGGATGGAAAACCGGTCGACAAAGCTCAGCTAGCAGGCGTTGTGAAGAGTAGCTTGAGCAGCTGAGAGTGAGCGGAGCAGAGCTGTAACACCATTTTAGAATTCCCCTCCAAGCCAAAGCTGTAATTGATAGAGGTCATGTGGTAATGAGATCACATTCAGACTCCCATTGCCGCTCAGTCGAGGTTCAAGGCGGGTACGTTGGCTGAGCCGAATCTGCGGGACTGGCGACAATACTCACTGCCATCCTTGCCATCCTTGTCTAGCAACTTTGGGAGGCCAACAAACTTGTTGATCCAATTGAGGACCTGATGATGCCAGACTCTCGAATTTTCGTGCTTCAGGACCCAGTGGTTCTCATCTGGGAATGACAAGAACCTTGACTCGACACCCCTTATCTGCAGCACATTGAAGGCTGCAAGGCCCTCAGCAATGGTCAAGCGATAGTCGAGTTCATTGTGAATCACAAGCATAGGCGTATCCCAGTTTCCGGTATGGCGGCTGGGATCCCACTTGTCATACATCTCCTGCCGCTTCCAAATCGGCCCACCGAGGTCATGGATAGGGAAGTACTGTTCGTCAGAAGCCAGTTGAGCCGTCATGCTAAAGACACCGTCGTGACACACAAGCGCCTTGAATTTCTTGGCAAGGTCGTGCCCCTGGATCCAATTCATCATATATCCTCCATATGACGCACCAAGGGCAACCGCTCGAGAGGTGTCAACGAAGTTGAGATCAGATTCGATGTACTCGAAACCTCTCACCAGGTCTTCATATGGTAAGCCGCCCCATTGGTTCCGAATTGCATCAGTGAAGGACTGTCCGTAGCCCGTGGAACCAGTGGGATTCGGGCAAACAACGATATAGCCTTGTTCTGCGAAGACAGCGGGGTTCCATCTCGTGCTCCACTGATCGTTCCAGGCTCCTTGTGGGCCACCGTGTATGAGGTAAGCCAGAGGATACTTTTCGCCGGCTTTGAAGAAAGAAGGGCGCATCATCAGAGCATGTACTGGATGATCATTGGCACCTTTCCACCACAGGCTTGAGACTTGTGAGGGCGAAAGTCCAAACATGGAGCCGCCTTCCATTAAAGACGACACGACCTGAGCCTTCTCGGGGCTGGTGGGGTCGACGATGGTGTATACGCTATTGTCCACGAGAGTGTTTCCAGAGACAAACAGCAAGGGGCTACTGTCCGAAGCTGGAGCGACGTCAGTAATGTAACCACCAAAAGTCAATTGCGTCGGCTTCCAGCCGGGCAGAGGTGGATTCGTTAGGTCCAGCTTGAACAGGCAGCCTGCGCCTGTGTCCTCGGCTTGCAAAAGCAACGACTTGCCATCTACAGTCCACATGACAGCGCTGGGCGATCGGTCCCAAGCTTTTTCGGGATCACTTGGAGCCATTGCTTCAGAGCATCTGAAGTCAGCATTTGCAAAGTCATGAACCAGCACGATGCGGTTTCGATCACTTTCGTAGCCATCCGTCTTCATCTTCAGAAAGGCAATGTTCGAGCCATCTGGGGAGAACACTGGTGAAGAGGCAGCCCCTTCCAGCCCTGGCACATCAAAGCGGATGGGCTCGGGGTTGCTCATGTCCATCAAGTCTTCTTTTGGAATAAAATACAGATTGCATTTGGTGTGGGTGGCAGGATCGACATCAGGATCTTTCGCAACGAAAGTAAGCCCCTTTCTGCCAATGTCGAAGTGATCCGTGCCCCCGAAAGGAGGGACTGGACTCTCCAATTTGGTGCCGACAAGTGCATTTTGGAAGCCTAAAAGGTTATAACGGCCAGTCCGGGAGGTGACTTTGGGTATCGATTTCTGGAGCAGTCCAGTAAAAATCGAGTTCTGTTGTGCTGTCACATACTTATCCCAGTGACGGACAAACAAGGAGTCGTAAACACGAGCAGATGAGTGAGACTTTTGGTCATCCTTCGGACTGTGCAGACTACCATCAGGGTTGGCTTGACCAGCGACAGCAACTGCAACCATTCCAGGCTTGATGACACACAACTTCAGGTTCGATACGGGACCAGGAACTGTGCCTGCCGTGTAGGGCTTACCAGGTTGACCGGCATCGCAAATGACTAGCGAGGTATTGCCGTTGTCGCACTCCTTGAGCCATACCAGCTCGTATCCATCGCCAAGCCACTTTGGTTCACTGGCCTTGCTGTCCTTGCTGATCGTCAATGTCTGTCCGTTAATGATGTCCAAAACGCTGATTTCGTTTGTTTTGGAGTGAGTTTCGAAAGAGTAAGTTGACTGCGTGAAGACGGCCAGCTTTCCATCCGGGCTTGGTGTAGCAGGTGACCGTCTGGGAGCCTGCAGCATCACCCTGAACTGTAAGTGTCCTGTACATGTCAAGTGCTGAGAATTACTGACTCTGGGGTGAACTTTCGGGGTTTGACCGTCATAGTGCGCGAACGTCTGACTATCGGTCAAGGCTGACAGCAACGTCTTCCGTGCCTAAGGTGACGGATTTGCGCTTCACGCAGGGATTATCCGCTGTATATATAGGCGCTACAGCTCTGGAGGTATCCCGATGGCTCCTTGGATTGGGTTGCTTTGCTGCTCAGGAAGTTGCTGCAAGCTGGACTGTTCAAGGCGGTTGAAGCTGGCAAAGTCTGGGGAAGCCGCTATCCCGGTTTGGGCCAAGTGCACGAGCGTGCACCCATCGCTGCCTGCTCAACATCGTCATCCTCTATAAAACGGAGCATCATCGAAGCCGGGCGTGGCAAGGTGTCGCGAGCGCGGGGGCCGGTGCTGACGCTCATTGAAGGACTGAAGTCAGGTCCGGCACGACCAACCAAGCGTTGAGCGACTCGAAGCCTTCACAGCCGAAAGACTCCGAGGCTGGCCCTTAAGGTCCCGAGCCATCAAATCACCCATCGTAGCCAGCGCGCCGTTGTATCATGTATCAAGGTCACTTGTGAGAGGGCTGTGCTCATTTCTGAGACAGTTCCACCGACTGCCTCAGTCGCACCGAGGATGATAGAAGAGCGCAAGTAGTTGAGGAAGGTAAGTATACAAATGCATGTCCTTATCTGCCCGAGGTCTTCTGTCCATATAGGTCCACAATTCCTTGGAGATGCATTACGACTATCTTTCCCCGGACAGCTTCCACTATCCAAGATCGCCATACAGAGGGTTCTGTCATGCCTTTCCTTACCTCCGGGCTATCAGTACTGGTCGTGGTGCAAAAACCTCGTATCCAGCCCTTCTCACTCTATTTTGAATCCATCACTGCTGCATCGCAAGGATCTGTACGAAGCCCAGCATTCGTGCTTACTTTCTGTCGGTGCCGCCCATAAGACCGACAATGAGATGCTGCTAAGATCGTGGCCTGTCCGTCTTTTTGGTACGATACGAAAGTCGCATCTTCAGGCGCTGACACCCTCGTTATGAGAGCAGGAGTCGATGAGATACTGTCCTCTTCGCAAGATCAGGACCGACAATTCGGAAGAACATTGGTTGCTACTCCTGTGATGAGAGTCGTAAGATGACAGGTCCGTCGCTAGCGAAATTTGCAGCATCACGGACCCCGAAGAGAAAGATAATCTATTGCTTGCCAAACGTTAACACAGAAATATTCCTACTATGGTGACGCACATGCCTACAACCATGTCGCCTCATCGCTTCCCAACTTCTTCGGCATGCGATCATAGCCAACTTCTACGCCGTCAATCCTCGCCGAATGCTTGATTGCAGCCATATCACCAAACCCACAAGGCCTTGTAGAACCAGTCGCACCCGTTCCATCGTACAACTCGATTGGAACGTCTGACGGTTTGTCCCAGCTCCGACCTCCAAAGCACTCCGGACCGCGGCTTTGTCCCAAGCTTCGCAAATACTTCATTGTCCCCGCCAAACTTACCTCCACCAGATATGAACCACCCTCCGTCGCCCTCTTGTATAAGGCGGCCATGATGCCAAATGCCAGCAGATACCCTGACGCGTGATCTAAGGCTTGACAGGGCAAGACTTTCGAAGGCTCTCCCTGACCGTGATACTCGGCCTCTGCCACGTTAAGTCCAGACACTGTCTGCACAATTGAATCGAAACCCCTGTACCCTGCCCACGGTCCCTCAGTGCCCCAAGCCGACAGACTTGCGTATACAACGCCGTTCTTCGACACTCGCGCAAGCCTCTCCGGCGACAATCCTTTCATCACCAGACTCCCTGGTCTATAGCTCTGAATAAAAACATCCACATCCCCCAACAACTCCCGCAACTTTTCCATATCTGCCTCTTGGTCGAGATCCAACTGCACCGTCCTCTTCCCCCTCGCCGTATCCCTATCCAGCACCGGCAGATCCGGCAACTTCGGCGACGTAACCCACATGACATCGGCGCCATGCGCAGCGAGCGTCCTCCCCGCCACCGGCGCCGCAATCACCCTTGTCATCTCCAGCACCTTCAAGCCCGCCAAGCACTTCTTCTGCCCAGCCCCCAAATGCGCCGGCCAGCCCTTCGGTCCATCCGCAATCTTGCGGACCGACAACGGATGGTCCGAGACGGAGGCTGCCTGTGGCGACGCATCCCATTGCGCATACGACCTCAAAGCACCAACGATCGCGCCCGTCCTGAACGCCTGGGATTCGAGCTCCACGGCCTTCAGCGTCGCGATCTTCTGCTTGATCTCTTCGGGAGAAGCGGGCGGGGCCAAGCCGATGAGCCTGTACGCCGCCTCTCGGTGGTGCGGGAAGCTGTCGTGGATGCGAACCCAGCCGTCGCTCGTGCGGTGCAGGCCGCCGATGGAGGACGATTCCTTGCTCGGTGGCTGGCCGTCGATGGTGTAGAAGCGCTCGGACTTGAATTCGATGCAGGCCTCGTTGGCGAAGACGGTGATGGTGGGAAGTTCGGCGTGATCGTTGCGACTGGTGTGGATGAGGGCGGCGGCTGTGGCGGAGAGGGCGATGGTGACTTGGGCGAGGGCGGGGACTTGGAACGAGGTTGGGGTCCCGCAAGGTCTACCAGGGAGTTGGACTTTGTTGGTGGCGGTGGGGGGCAGGTCTAGTGCTGTCCAGATGTAGTTGAGACTGTCCACTTGACTGAATGCTGTGCGGTCTGGAACGGTGGTAGGCATGATTGGGAAGATGATATCTTATCTAGTTTGTCGTCGCGGTCCTGATCTACCTTACGGCGGATGATCCCTTGTAATTTGGACCAAGATAAAATGCTAGAATCACAGATCCTAAATGTGAGCGGTAGCGTCCTCATACTAAAAGACTCTCAAAGGGCTTCCACGTCTCCAGGAGCAATACCTCGGGATGTGGCCGAATATGGAGGATTCCACCGGCCAATCAGCAGCGTGCCCCTGCCAAGGCTTGCCTTGCGCCCATTTCTCCCACAGCGCTACAGGCACACAGTGTAGCGGAGTTCTTTCACCTGGAGGGTGGGATGGAGGCCTAAAGGCAGGAAAGGAGTAATCAAGCACCGCATCATATGGGGATTTTATTTGTGTGTCTCGCACAATGTTATGTGTCATGGACGCCTGCCAGTCACTCTGCTGGCTGTCTGCCCTTAGTCCTGATGCCTCCGACCACGATCATCCATAGACTCATTCGTCTGCAGTCACACAGCCTACTGGAAACGCTGGTTAATGATCATGAGCCAGGTGCCGTTCGAGTCCAAGGCGTCACGCCAGCTGGGAAAGTCGACACGTCTCAACATGCGCTCACCAGTGGTCAAGTCACTCGTCTCCTTTCCCTCGAGCAACTCCTCCATTTCCTTGCGCCACTTGATTCCATCAGAGGTCTTGCCCCACATCTCCAACATCTTGGTAGACGCCATCAGACCGAGAACGTAGTGCTGAACCTCGGGTGTTTGCTGGTACATTGGCAGTCCGTGCGCCCAGCCGAGAGCCTCTCTGCCGTCACGGAACAGGTCTTGCTGGATCTTGCAGATGGTGTTCCAGGAGATGTAGATGTCGCAGTTACAGTCTGACGAAAGTTAGTAGCTGTGGGGTTTATGTTGAGGGAACTTACAAAGGTCCATCCAGATGTAGGCAGTCGCCATGACCTTGTTGACATGGAAAGTCAAGAGGTAGAAGTACTTGTAGATCTCAGGAGGAATGTTGATGGCATCGGCGAACATGACTGGCTTCTGCCACCTTGGAAGCGGATCCAAGAGGAGCTGACGCACAGCAGGATCAACACCGAGATCGTCACGGTTCCGCAACTGGCTCATGAAGTGGAGGCCGCAGGTCATGATATCTTCGATGAAGGCATCGACGTTGGTTATTAGTGGACCCACGCGAGAGGTTCCCATCATGGCAGCAGATTGGGTAGAGCCTTGGAGGTTGGGGTTTGACGCGATGGGGTTGATGAAGCCTGACGCGTTCATGTTGCGAGGTGGCATGGCATAACTACCAGTGGTAGGAACTTGAGCCGAGAGGTTGGCAATGTTGCGAGTCTGGGTGGAGGGGAGGGCTGTGCCGTGGACAGGGTTGGTAGAGGCTGATTTGCGATCCACCTCAGCAGTCGTGGAGTGGTCGTCAATCTTGGCTCTTCCATTGCCCTTGTCCATCTGTATATCCTCCATCTCGTTGTCGTCGATCTCAGTCTGACCACTGGTTTTGAATGGGAAGCTGGACTCTTCCTCGTTGACAGAGATTGGCGAAATGTCGGCAGGGGAAGGTCGAACAGGCGATCGTGGACGGGCAGGCATGTTTAGTAGCTTCTGTTTGAGCAAGTAGAGTCTTTCGCGGGGAAAGATAATCGATTCTTCGGCGGCAGGCTCTTGGGCAGAAGGTTGTTCTGAGGATAGAATAGTCAGGAGGGTTTCTCGAGATAAATAATTTTGCGTCCCGAACGTGCCCTTGGTGACTGCGAGGTGGTTACCGAGGCCACCTTGGCGTCGCTCTTCACGAGCCACCGATGGTGACTTCATTCTTGTTGCTCTTGATTGTACAAAGCTTAGACAAGAACAAAAATTAGAGAAAACATTTTATAGGTTTGCATGTTCGCCGAGTCGGTGTTAGTCCTAGCCATATAGAGCTGGTACGTGTTATCTTCTGTCCTAGCTAGATGTGGCAGCGCCATGCCAAACAGTATTGCTGTAACCTGCTTCTTGTGAAGGGATCCGCTTCACTAAACTTGCACAGAGCTCTGCTATCACTGCTTGTATTCAAGCATGCTGCTGACAAGTGTGTGCAAAAAGGAAAGAATGGAGGCTGACCTACCCATCCTTTTCAGAACTTGAAGCTTTGAAACATGTCCTCAACGACCAGCTCGACCCGTTCGCTTGCTCGACCTCACCCACGCAAGCGTCTCGTCTCGATAGTTACTGAGGTTTTATCGTGGCCTAAAGCTCGGTACCATCTAACCGCACTTTCATCTTTGCAACGCCATCGAATTGCCTTCTCTTGATCGGCACGCTGTTCGGAAGGTTAGAGCGGAGTTCATCGGGCACGTTTGAAGGATCCTCGGGTCTGACGGCTAGACGTGAACTTTTTCCCGCCGAGGTGCTGTTATCATACATTGTCACGTTGTCTCGTGACTCGCCTTCGAGGGGGAATCGGTCACCCAAACTGAAGTTGGGTGCGTTTGACGGCCTCCAGTCATTTATTTGATCAAATGAGAACCATAAAGCCGATCCACCTCACGAGTGATGCCCAAAGCAAGGCTGTATACGCCAAGGCGATACATATTGCATGACCATCAGTGGGATGAGGTTGATGCACGCATCGACGTTGGCGTGCGAGGGGAACCGAGACGTGCAAGCTAATTAGTCAGCTGGTCACGTGATACCACACCGGCTAACCAGTCACACTGCAACTGCACCAAAGCAAAGGGCATGGGGAGGACCTAGGGCAAGGACAACCTCCTCTACAGGAACTCTGTCCATTGAGCGCATAATACCAGCAGTGAAGCCCTGGCGGCCAGTGATAAGAAGCATGCTCAAGGAAGCAACACCCGACAGATCCGGGCATAGCTTTTGTCCGGTAGGACCCTGCATGATGTCAGGCTCCAAAGATTATATGCGGAAGAGTGGCGGGACCACGCGGAGACATCCCAGAGGGCCTCAAGGCATACGTACTCTCGTTTCTTGGCTTGCTGACATTCGTAACTTCCTAAAGTCCATTGTTCTTCATTGCGTCCTTGTCGGAACTTGGTAGCGTACTGAAACAGAGATATGCCCAGCATGATCCGACTGCCACCGATATTGCGTCCACGACTTACATGGCGCTACCTTCTCTGTGCAACCGCGGTTCTCTACGTCTCATATTGCGTCCTCTCCGATTCGCCGCTTCTTGCTTCAAAGCTGCCCCAGTATACTGGCGCACATCCGGTGGGTGCGATCGACATCGAGAGCCCATGCGATGGCCAGCAGATCAGCAACTTCAGACTGAAGGAGACCGGCGAGGCGGCTTTCCAGCTCGACACTGTGCTCTTTACCCTTTACTACCCATCGACCAAGCGACCTTCGAAATCGAAGTCCCGACACTACTGGATTCCCAAGCCCGTCTCGATCACGGGTGAGGGCTACTTGCGCTTCGGCGGCGTCAATAACTTCATCAGCAACAGCCTTGTCACGGGCGCTCTCTGGGGGCTAGCCGGCGGCATCACCATTCCAGCCAAGGTCGATGTACCTCTCACAGATGCGTCAACCACCGTTGCCCTCGAGACTCAAGATGACTTCAACATCCAAATGCTGCCCGAGAAGCACGACGGTCTCCCCGTACTCGTCTTCTCGCACGGATTCGCGAGCTCGCGGACCGACTACACCGACTACTTGGGCGAGCTAGCAAGCCGCGGGTACATCGTGGCAGCCATCGAGCATCGCGACGGCAGCGGTCCTGGCTCGCTCGTCATGAAGCAGGGAGTGCAGAGGATCGCGTTCCCCATCAAGGAATCGCACGTGGAAGCTGACGAGGAGTATGACACCGCCGCTTTCAAGCAGGCGCAGCTGGACTTCCGCCAAGCCGAGGTCGAACAGACGATCCGCGTGCTGCGAGAAATCAACGATGGCCACGGCGAGAAAGTCTTCGCGTCCAATTCGCGGAAGGAAGGTCGGGATTTGAAACACTGGAAAGGTCGGCTAAACATGAAAGAGGTCACCATGGCAGGACATTCTTTTGGCGCTACTCTCGCTGTAAGTTCCCGCCCTCCCGCTGCTCTAACCCCAAAGCTAACACAAGATTATAGTTACAAGCACTCAAGCACGCACCTTCTCAAGCCCTCCCGCTGCAAGGCTGCATCGCCCTCGACCCCGGCAAGAGCAGCGGCCGTCTAAATGCCGAGATCGACGTCCCCCTCCTCGTCATCCACTCCAACTCCTGGTCAAGCCGACACTCCATCTTCTACGGCCGCCCACACTTCGACGTCGTCAAGGAACTCGTGCAGGGCGTCATCTCTCGCGGCAAGAGCGCATGGTTCCTGACCTCGCTGGGCACGTCTCACCCTTCAGTCACCGACGCGCCGCTCATCGAGCCGCTGCTCCTGAGCTGGACCACGGGCTCGACCATCAATGCCAACGAGGGCGTGAGGGAATACGTCAGGGCGTCGTCGGAGTTCCTCAGGTATCAGCATGCGGGGAGCTTGACGGGGTTGCTGGCACAGCCGGTGTCGCATCCAGAGTACAAGGATCCACGGGGGGATAAGAGCAGCCTTGAGCCGGAGTTCAGGAAGTACTGGGAGGTTCATGTTGCTCCTGAGCTGACTTCGTAACGACGATGATTGGGTCCCTTGCTGTTGGTTTTGGCGGGAATTATAGATTCGTAGATTAAGCGTCAGGCATTTCAAACGGGAGCCGAAAGGACGAAAACAGAGTCGAATTCGACGCCATGGTCAAACCGATGACGTCCAGGATAAGCCTTCATGCCGCAGTCGTGACGTTCTATGCGAATCGAATTCTTGCGAGCACACATCGCCATGCCATATTCCACTCCTCACACCGGTACAGCGTGCTTCAAAGAAGCCCTACCAGAGGAACATCCTCTCTGTAATCAGGCTAGCGGTCCGGTACATTGCGCTGCTGACCAATTGAGCCCGCCTCATGCTCCGCACTGAGCTCCGACACATGCTGTTGGCCGGCGTCCATCTCCTGCGCCACCGGCCTATACCCCTTCTCATGCAAGCCCAACGCCGACACCGGCATCGTCCCGCCTGACGAGCTGCTGTCCTGAGCGGCTTTGTTGGAGTAAGGCAGCGATACTGCGCCGGTAGCTGCTAATTGACGACGGCGATGCCGACGAACCAGGAAGAAGACGGCGGCCAGGACCGCGACTCCGCCGATGCCGGCTGCGGCGCCGATGCCTCCGGAAACCGCGGGTGACAGACCAGAGGATGATGAGCTGGGGTCCTCGGTAGACGTGGATGTTGGCGAGGGTGTCGCGGTGGCGGAGGCGTCGGTCTGGTCAATTACGGAGAGGTCGAAGAGCCCGCGGTCGAACTGGACCAGCTCTCCAGAGGCCCTGTCAGGCTGCTTCTCACAGGCTGTCTCCATCAGATTCAGGAAGTTGCCCACGACGACACTGCCTTCCTGCGTCTGGTGGCAGCTGGCACACTTCTTGACGTTGTGCTCGAATGCGGAGTCGTTGGCCGTGCAGTAATGGTAGGGGCCGACGGCCGTCAGATTGCTCCAGTTCTGTTCGTAGACTGGCCTCAGTGGCTCGCAGTCGTCGTCGCATAGTTCCAGGTTCGGGGAAGGGCGAGAAGGGGTTCCATCGTAGAGCCCGAGGCAGTACTTGATCGTGTATTGAATGTTGTAGAAGAAGTAGTAGCCGTCGTTATCCCGCGGTGGGCTGCTTTCGGCTGACAATGCGGTACTGTTCTGAAGACATTCGAGACAGGCTTTCATCACCATACCTCTGGTTTTGGTTCCGTATTCCGTGTCAACGCAGGTGAGGTTCGCGAGTTCGGTATAGGTGTCGCTAGAGCAGATGCCGGCGCATGGTGAGTTTGAGAGTGTGGAGAGAGACAAGGCAGTCTGGTGAAGGCCAACAAGCAACGTGATCACGGAAAGACGCATGGCTGTTGTCACCTCAAGCTCAGGTGAGCCACGACGTGTCGTAACAGCGTATGTGAATAACTGAGAGCTTGCAAAGGAGTGAGCAGGACCTAGAGGAATGAAGCTGGTCGTTCCAGTCAGGATGATCTAAATCTGGCTACGGCGTAACGGGGTGGCAGGCCAGAAGGCGCTAAGGGCAGGATGTCGTTCGGACAACTAATCTTCCCTGGGAGGCTCGCTGGTAGTTCCTGAGATGAAACGAGACCGTGGAGGAGTATAGCAATGCTTGAGACAGCAGCCCATGGTCAATTCATGGCAGGCTAAGGAATAGAGAATGCCTCGTGGCGGATCATAACGCCCATATCTTCAATCAACAGAAGAAACGGTCGCATGAGAGGTGCGAACAATATCAACATGGATACTGGATTGCAACAGAGCCTCTCGCGGCCATGTCGGATATCTGTTTGCCCCAGTGAGGCTCATAGCGGTACCATAGTAGTACCTAATCACCCCTTCGACTCGCACGTAAAGATGAGACCGTACCTGCGTCGACTAGACTTGATGTGCGCTTCATGTGGGTCGCTTGCTGGATTGGGCACAAGTGGACGAGCTCAACCCTCGTTTAAGCGCCCAAAATAAGCGGCAGAAGGGTGCCAACACGGGCTGGGCATAGGCCTGATCACCCGGTCACGTCGTTTAGATTGTCTCAATGCTCAAACAAGTTGTTGACTTGGCATGCGGCTGAAATTGTACAGTTGCTCGAATCCACCTAGCAAGACAGGACTCGAGGGGGGGCTAGTTTGGCATTACAGCCAGGTTGATGCCCCGGGCCATAGTTATGGAACAGGTTGTGGGCGGTCTGCGTTCATGTTGAAACAGCGCAATGCGCCTTTGATGGACATTCGGTCTTTATAACAGAGACATCGTCAATTCTCAGGCAGAATACAGTGGTACCGAACCAACATTTGGATGAGCGTCGGCTTCTTGTAGATGAGTCTTAGTGCTTGGAGAGCCTTGGACAGCTTTTAGGAGTCTCAGCATGTCTCTAGCACTCGGTCAACCATCGTCTCAGAATACCCCAGATAATTTGCGGGGTCACACAGACCCTTGAGCTCCTCTCGACTCACAGTCTTCTTCACCTCTTCATCCTTCCAAAGTAGCTCAATTATAGGCCTGTGCTGCTCCGCCGCCTGTTGGCAGACCTTATACACCAGGTCATGCGCATACTGTCTTCCCAGTTTCTTCGCCAGGCCCATCATTACTGCTTCACTGACAATCGCACCCTGTGTTATGTCTAAGTTCTTCCTCATCGCATCCTCGTGCACTTCCAGTCCCCTGACCAGTTCCTCCGTCTTGACTATCGTCGCGTGCGTCAGGGTACTTATCTGAGGGAGAACTATCCATTCAATTTCCCATGGGCCTGTACTGCGCTCATGATCTTCGACCATCGCCTCATAGAGGCTGGCGCTGAGTTGACGGACGGTAGCATTCATGGCTGTGACATAAGCGCAAGAGATGGGATTGCGTTTCTGGGGCATGGTTGATGAAGAGCCGCGGTGTGGAACGTATGGTTCTGACACTTCACCGACTTCTGTCTGCATCATGAGCTTGACATCAAGCGCGAACTTAGCACAAGTCGAGGTCAACAAGGCACAGAAGGCGCCATACTCGGCAATGGTATCGCGTTCAGTGTGCCAGGCGATGAGTGGGCTTTTGAGTTTGAGGTTTGAGGCGAGTAGAGCTTGACAGTCCAGACCAAGCGCTGGAGAGGATGTGGTTGGAGGGAGTGTTGCAAGTGTACCGGCCGCTCCAGAGAACTCGAGGGTCAGTAATGTGGTGCGGAGGGTCTCGAGGCGTTGTCGGTGGCGTAGGAGCGTGGCAAGGAGACGTGCAAGTTTGAAGCCAAATGAAGTAGGGACTGCTTGCTGGAGATTAGATCGAGCAGGCATAGGAGTGGCCTTGTGCTTTGATGCTAGAGACTTCAGGGCTGAGATGGCCTTGGCCAGCGAGACTTCGATAAGCTCTAAGGTGTCTCGTAGTTGCAAGACTGTAGCTGTATCAGTAACATCCTACCTCGGACATTAGCAGATGTTAGGTGAATATGATGAGGGAGGACGTACTTGGGTCGTGGCCCCCCAATGAGCCCATTCTCCTGTCCCGGCTTCCACATCATTGACTTTTTTGACGAGCTGCTTCACAACTCCTAGCACAGGATAGCCGACAAGCTCGGTCTCCTTCTTTAGCTCTGCAAAGTCAATGTACTTTACGTCGCAATGCTTGACGATGAGCTTGGCAGCTGACGCCGGGATAATCCCAAGTTGCGCCTGGGCTGTGGCGAGTTCGGCTTCAAACTGCAAGTAGTACTGCGTCCTCGTGTGGTCTGACCAGATTTCGGCCGACTCGGGCGTTGACAATATGTTGCCGAAGATGATAGAGTCTTGTACGCTACTCATATTGGCACTAATGTTGATGGCAGAGGGGCATGCAATAATCGGGCACGGTAATACGTCATTCGTGACAACGCGTTAATAACCCTGCTATTTGGGTGTTTTTCAGCAACGAGGTCGGTAGTCTCGCCCAGGCTCTGTCCACACGCCCGTCGACGTTGTTTGAGTTGGAGCCCGCCGTCACATTCCCGGGGGCCAATGTGAGCCCCCACTCAGGCAGTGGATGCAGGTGGGGGCCGCGTGAGGGGTCCCACAGAGGCCCGCACCGCCCGCGTTCCCAGCTCAGCGAAGAACGACAGGGATAATTTGAAGCTTCCTGCAAAAGTTGCTTGTTATCCTTTTCAACAAGGCGATCAGCAGCCGTAGCCCGCTTGCTGCGGCTCTTTACCTAACCTCTTCGTCTGCGGATGAAAAGCTTCCAGCTCAATTAGCCTAATCTCCATGATGAGCTCCCGTACCTGTGTGTGGGGTATGTTGACACCCGACATGAGGTAAGTGTATATCAGGGCGTGTCGCCAACTACTCGAAAAGTGTAAGTACGAGTTCGTTTGCCACAAAAAACATGCTGCTTCCAGTTGTCAAGGCAGTGGTCTACTCATGTCTCGCCACAATCGCCAGAGCTCACGCCTCGAACTCAGGCAGGGATCACGAGCAGGGGCCGAGTATCAACGATGGCCGCTGGGTGACGACCTGGGCCGCAATGCCACAGCTGACTGAGCCTGCCAATCTGCCACCACCACCCTATGTACGTTGTCAGGGGGCACGCAACAAGCTATGCTGACATGATGAACCAGAATGGCTCAAATGTGGTCTTCCTAAATTCGACTTTACGACAAACATTGCGTATGTCCTCAGCGGCGGAGCAAATCAGAATTCGGATATCGAATGCGTTTGGCGGGTCAGACCTGCCCATCACTGGTCTGACCGTCGCTCTTCCGTTCAATGGCTCTGCTGGCGTCAGTGCCATCCAGTCAGACACTCTGCAGACCGTAACATTCTCCGGCAACGAGTCTACTTTGATCCCCAATGGAGCACTGGCTGTCTCAGACCCAATCAACCTCCGCCTGAATCCGGGCACCATGCTCTCAGTCACGCTTTACACGAGAGAAGGTCAAGGAGGCTCTTCGATTACGTCTCACCCAGGTAGCAGGACTACAAGCTGGTTCACCATGGGCAATCAGCTCTCTTCAACGAATCTGACTGGGCCTTTGCTGAACAGCACCGCCCACTGGTACGCGTCGCGCTTCTCTGGGATGTCAGCCCGAGTGACTAACGTCAACGCAGGTACTTCATATCTGCCGTTGAGGCCTGGACGACCCTGGATGCTGGGAGCTTGGCCATTGTAGGCGACAGCATAACTGACGGCCGAGGAAGTACCACAGATGCGAACAACCGGTACGTCACTTTCGGCGGTGCTTTAACCCCCAGACGCACACTCCCTTTCCCGCCCTCCGTTAGTACTGATAATATACTTGTGCAGCTGGCCAGACCTACTTCTTGGAAAACTCCAAGCGAATCCAAGCACTACCAAAATAGCCATCGCCAACCAAGCCGCAGGGGGCAACCGTATCCTGGCTGATGGACTGGGCCCCAACGCGCTGAGTCGCATCGACCGGGATGTTCTCTCGCAATCCGGAGTCAAGTATGCTATGATTTTTGAAGGGGTCAACGACATTGGGGTTGCTTCTGCAGACCATGCAAACCAGTCTATCATCTGCGATCGTATCATCTCCGCATACGACCAGATTATCACTCGAGTGCACGCACACCGAATCCCAATATTCGGCGCCACGATAACACCATTCAGTGGTCAGAACTCCACGCTACAACCATACTCTGACCCTATTCGAGAAGAGACTCGGCAGCAGATCAACTCGTGGATCCGAAACAGTGGCCGTTTCGACGAAGTCATTGACTTTGATCAAGTCCTGGCTGATCCTGAACACCTGGACCAGCTGAATCCTCTATACGATAGCGGTGATTACTTGCACCCCAATCCGGCCGGCTACCAGGCGCTGGCAGATGCATTTCCACTAGAGTTTTTTGCAGAATACGCTGGGGATATCAGTGGCTTTGTGTGACAGCTCTGGACAAGAGAGCAAACATGCTCGAGCTTGGTGCCGAAGGCACCCATTTTACTGTGCAGCTGCCGTAGCTATGTCTTCGCCGATCGGCGACTTGTGCGCTCTACTCATTGCTGACGAAGCAATCCCATAGGGCCAATTTAGGGGCAAGAGCTCGTATTAGAGGATACGCCACGTGCTGTCATGTACCAGAGCCCTTAGTGGACACTCAGCTGCACCCCCCAGGCGCCGATTGAGAGTTTCATGCTTCAGATGACGTTACATGATCTGGCGTCATGGAGCATTATTGCTATGATCTCCGCAGTCTGCGAACTACCGTAAAGGGAGTGTGCGAACCGCTAGGAGAACATGACTAACTCGAAGAGGCGATTTCGTTCCTGCGGCTGAGGGGTCGCCGGATCGGAGGCGGTTTCGCTAGATTATTGCTTACTTGCTTTGCGACTATTTTCCCACAGACCCTGCTGGTGACGGTCGGGCAGCGCAGCTACTAGGCTCGTCAAGCTGTTCCTTGATTATGGGCATAACGTAGCCTGGAATCGCCTCTGAGGGGTCACTGTAGCTAAGCTACGGGGGTGCTATCGCTTGATCAACCCTTGACATTACAGTAACACACCGCTAGTACCGCTCACGGACTGTGTGTTCGAGCGTAGCTTCTCGCGGTGTGAGCAAGGATTAGATAACGCTCTCGCAAGAATAGACTAGGTTATCCTAGACCTGGTCTTGTTGGAGAATCCTTGTACTGCGATCTACTTCGCATGTGCGTTGTAACGGGCACCTGTTCAACACGAGCTGCGTGCGAGTTTTCGCCCGTTCTTCTAAACCCGCATCCTGATTACGCAACTTGTCACAATTAAGATTCGGCTTCGGTCATGCATCGAGGTCGACTTAGCACCACATACTCTCGTCCATTGTCCCTGTAGTGGTACACTAGAATTTCTGATACACTTATAGCCTGATGCCGAATTGCGGCCACAGCTCGCCGCACCTAACGACCAGCGACAGCATCTCAGGCGCGCGAACGTCAAGTCGGGCCTGGATCACAGACACGTGAGTCGCTTTGTCCTTGTCGACGCCGCTCGAAAAGCACGTGCAATAGATTGAGTTGAACTCAAACCATAGCCTTGCATTTGCCTGAAAGACTATTCCAGCTGCAACGCTATGAACTTCCGCTTCGCCCACTACGATCCTCCTACACAGGACAAGAAGCGAGCACGGAAGGCGGCGAATACGTCCAGACGCCCACTAGCTAAAGTTGCCTCTCCTGATAAAGCTGCACAAAGGAAACGTACGGGCGAATCTGCAACCTAGAATCTCGAGGCTGACGCAGTACAGTTTCCCAACGGCCTGGACTCCACGCACAATCCAGTCTAAAGGCTACAACAGGTGGACGTGAGACCCCAGAGCCGCGGCCATCACTGTGCATCGCACATCGATGCCCGTCGGTGGCCAAGCGCGGCTCAAGCAGTCCAGAAACAGTTACCAGCCTATTGTCCTCAGTGTCCTCCTCCAACGAGCCGGATGCCGACTCTTCAACCACGAGCGTGTCTCAGAGTTCATCGTGGGACTCGGAGCGATGTTATGCGCTGCCAAACCTCACCACTTTATTAGGTGAGGGTCGTATAGATCCATTCGGCGTGTATCCCGTAGAGCACGTTTCGCCTTACGTTCATATGTTGTTGGATCACGGTAGGCTCATTCCCGTACAAGACCTTTTCCTCATCTACTCACCGGCCTTATGCAGCAATAATGCACAAGTGGCCCAACATCGTACCGACATCGTGCCCTGCAACAAAGCCATCGTCCTCACTCCAGGTGGAGCGAAAGGAGAACTTGACGAACCATCCTGTCAAACGCGCGTGGTTACAGTGTCTCCTCAACCACCCAGTTGCTTTCTACGCCCTCGTGTACGGTTCATCTCAACACCTAAAATTCCTTCACAATGGCCGCGAGGTCGTCCCCCGCGCAGCACTGCTGCGTCTCAGCTATAAGACCGAAGCCGTCAAACTCATCAACCAAGCTCTCCGTGACCTGCACGGCCGGCCCATTCCCGATCCCGTTCTCATCGCCATACTGAGCCTCGGCGCCCACGGCAACGAAAGCAACCACAGCGCAGCCGACGACGAAGCATCCGGGAACAGTACCTCAAGTCCACAAACCAGGACCACCGCCCCACCAAATCCCCTCGCTACAGCTCAGCTTCTCAACTTCTATGGCGCTCTCACCCAGGAAACAGCGCACATGTCAGCCCTGCGTACCCTCCTTCAACACAACAATGGCACCGAGTCCATCACCTTGCCAGGTCTCGCCTCCGCCATCTCCCTCGGCGACATCCTGAACAGCACAGTCACCCACCGCATTCCCTACGTGCCGCATCCGGGACCTCTGACGCCCTCCGTCGCCGCCTACCTTAACCTCCTCCCCTCCCTGCCACTCAAAACCAAATCGTTCCCATCAGGACGACAAAGCGCCCAACTCCTCGAATCCCTCACGCACAGCCAAGCCCTCACCGCCGGCCTATCCTCCTATCTTTCCCTCTCGAGCCCTCCTCCTCCTTCTCCTCCCCAACCACAACCACACTCGGTCACAAACCCCACCACCGCCCCACCACCCACCCTTGAAGACCTGATCATCTCCCGCAACGCAGTCCACCATGCCCTCCTCTCCCTCCTCCCGGCCAACGGCCTCTGGGGCCCGCGCTTCGCCCTCTACGAGGCCCTCCGCCTCGGCATGCTCATATTCTCGGACCTGGCGTTGTTCCCGCTGCCGGCCAAGACAGGCGTGCGCGGTCGCTACGCGGGCATGCTCCGGGAAGCGCTTGAGTGCATTCTTGGCGGCGGCGGCGGCGGCGATGCTGGAACGCGTTGCAGGGAGCAGCAGCAGAAGCAAGGGGAGATGGAGGCGCAGGGGTTGGCTTGGGCGTGTGTCATGGGGGCTTTGGCGGTGGAGGGAGGAGATGGTGAGGAGTCGAGGAGGAAGAAGGCCTGGTTTGTGGAGAGTGCGAGGGGATGGATGGAGGTGTGGGGGGTGGTTGAGTGGGAGGAGATGCAGACCATGCTGCAGAGGTGGTTGTGGTGTCGGATATTGTTGGAGGGGGTGGGGAAGGCGGCGTGGGAGGGAGAGTGAGGCGAAACAACGCAGCAACCTGGACGACAAAAGCAAGTTTTGAGTCTAACAGCTCGGACGAAGGAACACTCGGTGCAACTGCAGGTCATTTACAGGCTCGAGGCAAGTGTGCAGCGGTGGTGAGAAGTGACTCAATGTTCATAGCCGTTTCTGCGAGAAGAATCTGGTTGTCCGGCGACAGCGACTATGGCTCTCGAATAGCTGACGGAACCACACCGCCTAAAGAAAGGTGAAACATTGATTGAATCCCTCTCTTAGAAGGTTAGCCTAGAGTATGGGGCATTGATTGGCACCATGTCTGTGTAGAATATGATTTAAGCCAGTATCAACCGCTCTCTCCGTGGACTCCGCGCCACCGGTACATAAGCCATTCATTGGTGACCCGTTGCCAAATGATCATGCTCCTAAGTCCGTCAGCTCAGACCCATGTTCGCCATAGCCTGCAGGAAGCGCTCTTCGTTGGTCATCTCCTTGACGGGTAGCGTCGCTTGTTCCGCCCCTACTGCATCCACAGTTTCTGGTTCGGGAGTCTTATGGGTGACTCGAGGATTTGCAGTCCGTACTTGCTGGGGAGTCTCGGCCGGGTCGATCTGTAGAGGCACTATTCTGTCGATAGCGTCTGCAACAGCTGTGCTTGCGGTCTGCAGTTGCTCTGGGTTCTTTCCAAATATCATTGGAAGCGGCTGGACGTTGTCGATGCAGTACCAGGCAGACGCCTTCGGGAGGCCGATTGTCTTCCTATTCCTCTTGGGCCGAGTCAGAAAGGCTTGTCTGGCTCGGCAGTAGATCTCCTGCCTGAGCAGCTTCTCGAAAGTGAGATCCGATTCCATTATCTCAGCTATCGTACTCTTCTCTTCGTTGACAATGTCGTTGGTCGCCCACTTGATGAATTCACGCTCGCTCCGAGCAGTGTTCGCATGGCCCATCTCCCTGATGTACTCGAAGCTTTGCTCGATGCGTCGTTCAGTGAGCCATTTCCTCGCCGCCTCATTTGCAGTCGCTGCGATCTTATCCGTATTCGAACCAGTCAGAAGATTATTGATACGGTTTTCGGGACCAGAAGCTGGGCCCTTCGTCTTTAGCCAGTATTTTGGATCAGCAAGACCTTCAGGTATGTTGGGTTTCCAGACTATTCCTTCTCCTTTACTCTTGTGAATGCCAAAGTGTGCGGCATAAGGGCAAGCCTTCTCAACTTCGTCTGATAGTTGCTGAATCTCAAGCAATGCTGGATTGTTAGGCCTTCGATCCGAGATATCCAACCGGACGGCATACTGCGGAACTCGTAGGATAGAGTAGATGGCAGCAGATGGTTCCTCGATTTCCGCATAGTCGGCATCCGGCTGCCAGACGCCGTTGACCTGGATCGCGATGATGATGAAACGAGCCGAGATGTGAGATACACCAACTCCTGGCTGCACCTTCGGGCCGATCCATTCGCCTGCTATAATGAGCGGCTTGTCGTTGTCCACTGGGATGAGAGGGTTCCGATCCTTAAACCGGTTGAGGATATTTGTCACCAAAGCAGATAGCTCGAGGGAGCGAGTGGCAATGTTTCGGGGCCAACCTTGCATGGACTCTTCCGGATCGCAAACACGGTTTCGCGACTGGAATGTTGGCTTCGCGGTACTGTCTTTGAGGCCGAAGACTATATCAGCGTGCATGCCATGGAGCTTGACAGTACCTTTGAGTTCGATCGTTGACTCGTGGAGCTTTCGGCTATCCTTCAGGCGGTGTAGATTCAGGAGAAAGTCCGTTGTTTTCCCGGAAATTTTCGGGAAGGGGATGAAATCGCCGGCCTTGTTACACGTTGCAATGGTGTCTGCCATCTTGGAGTTGGTCATTGCTCTTTCTCGAAAAACTAGGCGAACTCTTGAGAAGGTAGAAGGAAGTCGAGTGTGGTACTGGCACAAATTTAATGGTCCAAGGCAGTAGCAGTGGTTCGCTATATTGTTGTTGAGTGAATATAATTGATTGACTCGAAAATCATGTTAGCTTTAATATAGATCATCCGAGGTTTGCCGTTTTGAAGCTGAAGGTGCTGTGAAGTGAGCACAATATCAAATCATGGTGGTGGAGAGGCTGTGCGAGTCAACCAACAGTATCGAACTTATTGTTGAGATGGTGCTCTCTTCCGTGCTATCAACATTCCCTACAGCAGTCCGGTACGCTGAGGTTGGACACAACAGTTCTGATCCATTGCAGAGGGCCCAACCAGGATCCGGCGATCTGTTTTGCTGGATTGTACAGCTGTCTCTGGATGGTCCATGAGGACGCCTCACAAGTATAGCATCGTTGACGGCATACACCACGCTGCTAGCCCGTAATTCCCAGCGCGGTGTCAGATTGGCGAGATTCGGAGATTTCATACCACCGAAGGCTTGTCATCGCCAGGTCCATAATATGTGGGGTAGAAAACCTCGAAGAACGCAGTCTTGTCAACAACTTGTACAAGCTTGACAACAAGTAATGGTGCCCATTTGTTCACATTGAATGAATCCTTTGGGAGCGTGGCGGAGCCAGCACTGCGGTCAGGTCAGTGAAAGGTATAACGGAAGAACATATGTCCGGGACTGCACTAAGCCTCCAACAGTCTAGCGTATACTCTGGATGAATGACATACTCACTGACTGCTGTAGCATCATCTGAACTTGCATCTCCTGACACCCGAAGTACTACCCTCAAAATCGTCACGTCGACAGGTCTGTGCTAGCAGCTGCGAGTATGGTGTCGAGTACCACCGTCCAGCGAGCTTGCTTGGCTTCAAACTCCGTTAACCGATAATGTGATTTCCGGCCGCCAGAGAAACTACACAAGATGAACTTGTCAAATTACTCGTGGTGGAAGCCCTTATCACTTCTTATAGTCTGGCTCCAAACGTGACAAAATCCTGTCCGCGAGTATCTTGGGCTGACGCGACTCGAATGGCAGACAGATGGAGCATGGATCCATCAGCAGCGGTCTTGAGTCGATGAAGGACTTGAAGTCAAGCGAAAGGCGTGAGCCACAGTTGTCTCATTTCTTCCTGGAGGGCTGGAAGGTGGCATCAGTGACCGGTATCTTCTGGTGGTGAGTCACAACGGTGAGAAGTTCTGGTGAAAGCCAAAATGCTTCAATGCAAGAAGTGAGTGATGATGGTAGGGCATCCACCTCAGTCGCTTCATTCCAATCTGTTGTGCCAGACGCAGGCTCTCCAGCAAAACCTTTGTCGTGTCCAGCACTTTTCTCATTGCATCACAAGGATTGCATCATAGCCAGACGACTGATCGCAAACCTTTTAAATCAGGCAACCTTTTGGCAACTTCAACCTCTCCCCTTCCCGCTCCACCACAAACTCGACACCGACCATTTCGTTCCCCCCAACGTTCGCTCGTGTTAAGACATCATGAATCACTACACGATCGCCAAGTATGCTCCTTTCCACTTGACATCAACTGTACTGACGAAGATCCAGCGGCGAGTTCGTCATATGCGGCAGAGCATACCAGGGAAGCGTCGCCTCCGAGTGCCGGACTTTACGCCGAGAGGAGAATGGTAAGTCCAAACGCTTTTGTAGCTATACAAATACTGAGACATTCACAGAGCTGTCGCGTCACATCAGGAAGATCCACCATACCGCCGCCAACTACAGCGAGTGCGCCGTGATCACGAGGGCCGCTGCGATTGCTTTCGTCGGCCAGAGAAAGGTTGCCACTGCCGAGCTGGTGAACCGCCGCCGCTTGCCCGACCGCGTCGCCGAGGCGCCCAGACGTCCTGGCTGGTTTCCGACGCCGCAGCAGCAAGCTGCCATGCAGGCTTCTCTCCCTGCTTCCTCCGCTCCGGCCGCTGGTGCTGCGCCTCCGCCTCCTCCTCCTCCTCCTCCACCACCTCCTCCTCCCACCACCAACCCTCCTCCCGTTCCTGTCGCGCCTCCCTCGTCTGGCCCTGTGCCGATCTCGAGCGCCTACAACAGTCAGTACGATGTTCACGGCCAGAAGCTTCCGAGCCCCGCCGCCGTTGCCTCGTCTTCCTTCTCCTCCTCCTCGACCCTCACCTCTTCCTCCGTCCTCTCCGCTCGCCTCGCCGAGTACGACGACGCCAACACCAACACCGACGACGACGACGACGACGACGACGACATGACGAACGTCTAGTCAACCACACGCAGCCATGGGCGGATGGAAAGGGCGTTGCTGGTGGTTTTTCCTCTTCAAACATCAAGAATGCGGGCCGGGCCAGCAAATACTACTCTAGGTAGTGTTTGTTTGTGGTGAAGTCGCAATGTCCTGGAAGTGGGCAGTCGATTAACTTCCTGTCCCAAAGCTCGTGGGTGGGCGGCTCCAATCCAGACTCGCGAATAATAAGTGGCTCCACCTCCAGGTGGTGCGAGTTGTGAGTAGCTTTTTTCTTGCACTTGTTGTCGCTCTGTAGTGGGAGCAAGTGCAAGGACGGAGTGAAACCGAGAGAGCCCAAAAAAGTGAATACGATAGAGGTACGAGGAGCGGTCCGAGTGGCGCGTTGTATGGTGGGTTAGGCTTGAAGTGTCTTGTAGACGCAATTACAAGTTTACCGCATGCTACAACAGCTTCAGCTGCACGTCCTCGTCTTAGCATTAAAAGGATACTCTTGCTGTACATAGCACTGGCAAGGCCTGGTCCTTAACCACCGCCTCTAGTTTCATCGGTCAACCTTAACGGATGTGCTTCCGTAGTAAAGACCCAGTCGTCCAACCTCACCAAGCGCGGATCTGCAAACAGTAGATAGAAGTACTTGAGCGTCTCGCTCAGCCAGAAGCTCTCCATCTTATCCGTCAACTCAGTTTCTTCGCCCTTGCGCATCACGTCGGCCACGCTTGAATGCCCGTACTTCGTTCTGGTAGCGTTGCGAATGGCGAGGAACATGTCCCACCCCATCTCGCGCCACACTGGATCTCCAGTGACACGGTACATGATGAAGACAGATTCAATGGCCTCAGGCCGGAGCATGTATTCCGGGCGCTTGATTTCGGTCATGCCGACCGGAAGAGGAGTAATGAGGTCGTAGTGATGACCTCCTGCTTTGTTGTAGGCGGCTTCGTCCCAGGAGCAGTTGCGGAGAGAATTGAGGCACGGAAGACTGCGAAAAGTATCCGGCATGATCCCAGAAGGAGTAGAGGCGTAGCCCCAGACGCAACCGTGGGTCAAGTTTGTGGCGACTGCAAGGTCCTCATCGGACGAGTCGTTGGGAAGTAGTCGAGAAGAAATGGCGAAGACACCACCGAGGAAGCATGATAGGTGTTCCATCTCGGGGTGAAAAGCAGCCGAGCCACCTCCACGACTTGCGATGACTCCTGGGAAAAGCATGCCGTTGTTCTGGGGGTTCATGGGCTGGAACAACAACTTGTTCTTGATCTGTGGTGAGGCTTTCTGCCACATCTTGATATAGATGTCATCCTTCGCCCCATATAGCAGATGGGATTTGACGATGTACTCGTAAGCCGAATCTGTGCCAGACCCCATTGTGAACCATTGCCAGTTTTGTGGGTCGAGATCGCATACGCCCTCCGAACAGGTTCCGTCAAAGAACTTAGGCCACATACCTGGGATGTGGGAAGAATCCTGCAGCCGTTCCATTGCCTTGGAAAGAAACTCGATCTTCGACGCCCATTTTTGATCGCCCGAGACCATCGACAAGCGTAGGAACTCGAGACTCTGGCTACCTAAGCGAGCGAGAGATAACATAGCGTTGGGTTCGCATGACCAGCCAGGAAATCTCGGCCAGATGATTGAACGACATTGCACTCCATTCGGCGCAAATGCATGGAAGAGCAAGTTCCCCATTTCTACTGCCTTGCGTTTCAGTCTTTCATCTCTAGAGCCGGAGATGTCGTAGGCTGAGAGTAGGCCACCTAAATGCCTGATGGTCGTCTCGAAAGGATTCACGCCGCAAAACCCCGACGGCGCATAAGCGAAACTCAAGCGCGACACAGCATGCACAGCTTCGTCAAACTCATCGTATAAGCCCATGATATACAATGTGTCTAGTGTGTCGATCAACGTTGCCGCCCAACCGCAATATTGCTTGTGGCTGCCCCCAGATACAGGCTTTACCTCATCATGAAGCCATGCGTGTGTTCGATAGCCATTGTAGGCATGCAAGAACTCTTTCTTGACCTCTTGCAGGCGATATAGGTCGCCGCCAGCTGATGCGTCAAAGGCATACTGGATCTGTGGGGCGCGGGTCGACAGGAGGGAGTGAGGGTCGTGCGCGGAGTAATGGGGTGCCTTGGGGCTAGGGAGCAGTATGTATATGACAACGATAACAAGTAGAATTCGAAAGGCATAACGAAATCGCCGCCCACGGCTCAGCGCCGCAAGCATTTTGTACGTGGCGTTTGACCATGGCGAGCGCAGAGACGTTCAGATCTTGAGCAAGGCACTTACTTGATCTTAATCGCACCTTCCTTCCAAGCATTACGTGGGGAAAGCATTAGCTATTCTTAGCAGGCCCTAGGAAAGTCTTGATTGCGATCTGACGCTCACACGAGCAGCAGAGGATCCGCTAGAGAGGAGTCGAAACGGCTTGTCTGAAGCAAGACTCGGCCAAGAGCCCAGAACATGGCGCCCGAAATACCCGTGTGAGGAGTCAAGGGGCCTCCCTGCCCGCACCACGATAGTAGAAGGAGACATCGGCTTGTAGCTAGGGTGAGGCAGTGTCTGCGTTGCAACCTGCAATGCGCTCCAATGAGACTGCTGTCGCGCTCTTACATTGTTGGTGAGAAGGGGCGTAAAATCAGAATGCCGTGAGTTCCGCGGGCCCGCGTCTTGGCGCCGCCTTATCCCATGACCCTGGAGAATTGATTCTTGGGAGGGGCTTACAATCCTTTGAGAATGTTGATACAGCAGTCGTCGGCAGCACCTGTACGCCCCGTGGCGACCGGAGGAGGTCCCTGCAGAGACAATTGCAGAAGCGAGCTTTAGATCGATTGTGTTGTTCCAAAATGCTCTGCTCGAGGTAGGTCGATGCTTCTGCACACAGAGAACATCCACCAAGGCGCCTCAGGGTGGTCTGCTTGCGCGTCAGCTGTGCACCAGCACCTTCCAGTAAAGGTCCCGGCTAGTGTCAGCCGGAGTATATGCCTCTTTATCGTGTTGTAGCGTGAGAATTATGGGAGGCTCAAGGATCAGTTCCCAAAAGGTAATTTGGCATCCTAGCTACGTCATTCCTCAATATCGACTTCACAGCTTCTGCATCGACATGTTGGGTCAATACGCGATATCGAAGTATTCGCATCCCCTGCTCTCAGCACAAATCCCCAATATCGAGACACCGCAATGAGACCGAGACAAGTCTCACCTTTCCTCCAGATCCTCTCCCGCCCCGGCCTCAGTATTCATTTCCGCTCCACTCACGCGTTCTCCACGACTTCCTCCCACCAGCTCAGCAACCGCGTTTACAACCCCATCCGTACGCCGCCGCAATTCCACGACTACCTGCGCACCGCCTCGGCTTCTAACACCTTGCTCCTTCTTCTCTTCACGACCTCCGCCTGCGCCCCTTGCCGCACCATTACGCCGCTGCTCACCGAGCTCGTCACGCACCGCTCCCCTTCCCCCTCCGACAGGTTCTCTGCGCTCTCCTTTGCGGAAGTTGAACTTGATAGCGCCGACACAAGCAATGGCAACATCACAGACCTAGGCGTCGAGTACGGCATAACGAGTATGCCCACACTTGTTGGTTTTGGCGGTCGCAGAGCCGAGAGAGTTACGGAACGCTTGGTGGATACGAGGCTGATGAGTGACCGGGGCAAGCTTGGGGCATGGGTGGACGAGGTGATGGAAAAGGGAGACCCAAACGCCACTGGTGGCACTGGTGGCAAAGGCGCTGGGCTACTCAGTAAGCTGTTTGGCTGAAATGTGAAGAGGAGCATGGATGCTGTAGATGATACTTCATTACTCGAGCCGAGCATATATTGCAGCAACAACTCACCGCACTAAACATACCTCCCATGGGTCCGGAAGCACACTACCGCCTAATCCATTCCAAATGACAGCCGTCGTCATTGCAGTCGAGCAACTTCACTCCTACCAAGTGCGCAGCTTCTGGTACTACCAGCCCGTCGTCGGACCGACCGCCGGGCTTATCGTGCAAGCTCTGATCGAACAACGAGCCCGAGCCTGCAGCCTCGAGTTTCACTCCACGCCATCAGGGTCGCTGCGTCGAACATTAGATCTACCATCAGACGCTGGCTAGCCCGGCGGAGACACTACACCACGCTCTGTTTCCTCCAACATACCTCGACTACATCCCGGTCAAACTCCAACCATCCCGAGTCGTCAAGAGGGTCGTCGTGATTGAAAAGCATTCAACCTTCGTCAATATTTGACCGAACTCCTCACACTACATCCTTGTGGCCCACCTCAAAGTGGTCATTCTCGCCGACGTCGGTCTTACCCTCATACTCCTCCTGATCAGCGAATCGATTACTGACCCGACTGCCTCGTCTCAACACAGCCGGATCAATGCTGCTGTTCCTCCGCACCTCTTCTTCCTCCTTCTGGGTATACTGCTCGGGTCGTCCGCTTCGCTTCGCCTCTTTGTCGCGCCAAACGAGTACCGGCGGGTTCCCGCGGTAGTAGTCGTCGATGTCTTCCAGACTGCGGCCCGCGGTCTCTGGATACAGAAAGTAAACCATGGGGACGAACGCGGCGTTGAATACAGTCCAAATGATGTAGAACTTCCAGTGCAGCGACTGAATACCATAGGGTGTTATCTCGACGACGAGGAAGTTGAACTGACAAACGATGAGTAAGGACCGGACGATGCTCCATGGCGAGGAGCTGGAGGCGAACTTACGATCCAATTGGTAGCTGTGCCTGCTGCGGCACCTTTCGTGCGCATCGCGAGGGAGTTGATCTCGGTGGGATACAACCATGGGACTCCTGTTCAAATGGTCATTACTGGGTACTCCACCATCCCACTGCGGCGCGAGCCATGTCCCAACCACGTACCTTGCATGCCAATCCCGAAGAAGACATAATACAGAAAGAAGAAGGCGACCGATGCAGAAGCGACCTCTTTCTGCGCAGCATATCCTGGCTTTTCGGCATAGCGCAGCAGGGCCGTGATGATCGCGTAGCAGAAGCATTGTCCGGCGGCCGCAAACATGAGCATCTTGCGCCTACCCCACCTCTCGACGTTCGGGATGCCGATCAGCGAGAAGAGAAGATATGACACGGAATTGCAGGCTGCGAGGAGTCGAGCCATGGTCTCGCTCAGATGAACTGACTGGATGAGGACCGTGGGGAGATAATATGAAGTGACATTGATGCCGCTAAGCTGTTGGATGAGTTGTGTCCCCATACCAAGTAGGAGACGTCTGATGGTCTTTGTGCCGCCTTTCTCTCCAGTTTTGCCGCGCAGAAGCTGCGACCAGGGCACAGCATTGGCTCGCTCGTACTGAACGGTGTAGACAATCTGTTTATGCTGTGTGATGATGAAAGGATCGTCTTCAGACTTGCCTTCGAGATCTGCCAAGATGCTGAACGCCTCGTCCTCGTAGTCGTGCGCGATAAGCCATCTAGGCGACTCTGGAAGCCATGGCACGGTTGCAAATAGGACGGCGATGAAGACGAACTGCACGGCAAGCGGGACTCGCCACGCTACCGCACCACCGGCGAACGACATGCCATAGGTGACCCAATTCGAGAGGGAGAAGCCAGCGATGTTGAGGATAAGCTCGATCACGACAAGCTTGCCTCGCCATTTTATCTGGCTACATTCGGTCTGCCAAACCGGAGCAGTTGCGGTGTTCAAACCGTTGCCGATCCCCGCGACAACGCGCCCGACGAACATCTGGGCCAAGCTGAAGGATGTGATTTGCAGGATGGCGCCAACAGACATCACGACAGTCCCTATGAGTACTGTCTTCTGGCGGCCAATTGCCTCGCCTAGCCATGCCGCCACGAGGGCGCCGATGAAACAACCGACGTCGTAAATTGCGGTGACCGTACCTGTCGTGCAATCAGAAAGGGCTCAAGCATCAAGTTGAGGGAGCCATACCCAATGTAGCGGTCTTTGTTGGCCCCACGAGATCATGTTTCTCTAAGAAGTCCCGAGTCACAATCACACCACCGAAGACGCCTTGGTCGTACCTAGGTAGACTTAGTATACTTGTCTCGAAGTACAAAGTGCTGAGCAATTGGAGACAAGACTTGGATGGAGTGTAGACTTTGTGACCGGAAGTAACCGAAAACGCCATCTCTTCTCCGACGCAAGTCATAGGAGAGTCGAGACCACTTACCCAAAGAGCGTCATGTCAGTTCCACAAGCCACTGTGATCCAGAAGGTGAGCCATCCTCCCGTCAAGCCAAAGTACGGCTTCGTAGACCCTCGGCCGCCGAGTAAGCCCATGGCTATTTTGTAACACAAAGGACGCTCAAGGTCGATGTCAGGTGTGCTGGGCACTAGGTCGCTCAATGGAGGAGATGGCAACCACACCTACCACTGGGCCGTCTTGGACTCAGTATATAACAACTTGAGGGCCCGCATGGGGTCTAGAGTGCATGACGCGGAGGAGCAGCAGACCCTCTAGACGTTCGAAACACTAGCATGCATAGCGCTTGAGACGTCATCCAGTAGCGGGCACTGAGTGAGCGTGAGTGAGAGTCGGCAACTTTCCTTTGCGGGAGCTATCTTGCCTCTGCACAGGATCGTGCGGAGACACCGGTGGATGGAACTTCCACCCGATTGACGAATAATCTGTGTAAGAGCGACAGGGACAATCGCATGGTGTGAGCCGTTTTGCAGCGATCGAAACGGGCTGCATGATGCCACAACGGTGAATAATAGGCGACGCCTGCGGCAGCTTGAGGGATGTCCCGTGCTCCACTCAGAGGCAAAATGTTTTGAGTCGATGGTCGATTCTCAGAAGTAACAGCGCCGACTGGGAATGGCAGAAGCAAATGAGGTGCAGAGATCGACAGCCAACGGCTCGAGAAGTGGAAGACACAAACGACTTGCGGGGAAGCCCAGTCACCAAAGCCTCTAGCGCATAGCGCTACCACGCTCTAAAGGCAATGGCGGCGGCAGCTTAGCGGTGCTTGTTGGATGAAGCGTCCTCTTAAGGCCACTAAGCACTGCACCGGTGCCATCATCGGTCGGTAGACGCAAGGGTACGCTTGGAGCTGGTACTGTGGGTGACGTCGTTCGTAGACGCTGTTGCAGCCGGGGCTGGGCTCCCTTCAATCACTCACTACCCAGACGTGCGAGAGTGCCGCTGCGCAGCTTGCCCAGTCCATGTTTGTGCTACTTGAATAAGCGGGGCGCAGGGACAACAGTATGGACGTGAGATGTAGAAGTTGGTTCATCCATCCTGGGCTCTGAGTTGACCTTCAAGACCCACGTCACCCACGATCGACAAGCCACCGAACTAATATCCGCCTTACAAGACGGACAATCGTGGCACCGGATCCTTGACGGCGGATCAATCTTGCAACGGACCTGAGGCTCGCCGCTCGCCGGGTACCGGGCATGCAAAACCGAACAGGTATCGTAAGGATTTTCTACATATTGTACCATATTCCGCCCTGACATTACGGCTCCGTGTGAATTGGCACGGAAAATATCCAGCACCAATTTGGACTCATTGTGCTAATACATGGTAAGGAAATCTTCATCAGTCACATCCATCAAAGGCAGCGCCGGCCTGGTCGGTTTCTATCTTTCGTTAGCCCAGCTACCCTTACTCGTCATTCAAGTCTAAGGGCGACCGTCGCCGCGTCCCGAAATGGTATAGCGATTTGAATTGGTCCGCGTTGGTCGACCGTGACTCTGGCCATGCGGCTGCCAATGCTGCCGCTCGGGCGATGCTCCGTTGCCTCGAGGCTGCAACTCTGTCTGCCAGTAGCGGTTATGTGCTTTTTCCCTGTTAGCGGGCGACGAAGTACCACTCCGGGATGAGCTGCGTTTCCCAAAGATGACGATTGCGACATAGAAGAGTGCCACGAGACCTGCAATGACGCCGTATGCGATGACGGCGCCACGAGGGACATAACGCGACCCCACGGGACCGGTTATGTTGAAGCCCAATCCACCGTTAATGATCCCGAGGAGGATCATCAATCGGCCGAGACTCTGGTGGACCACGCCCATGATCGACCGGGCTTCGTTCCGGCGGAAATAGATGTGTTGAAACAGTCCCAAAAGAGGCTGAAAGAGGATGAGAACGGCAACGACGATGTAACCAATGATCATATGGTACGCGTCGAGCTCGTCGATGCGTTTGCCAAGTCTAACCCCAGCGGCCAAGCCTACAATCATGAGAATGATGCCGATGACTTGAAGAGGCGCATGAATCAGAAGGACGCGCTTTGCAAAAGGTAGGTATAAAGTTAGAGCTGCTAATGGGAAGAGCAGCACAAAAGTGACAGACATGACGATACCATGCGTTCGGCGCAGACCAATGGTGTTATCTGAGATCTCGCTGCTGGTGCCATTGGAGCCAGAACTGGAGCCCGCATCAGAGCTTGCAACGGGCGTTGAGGGCCCCGAAGACGGCGTGCTCGATGGGTTGGAGGTATCCACCGCCGAGACAAATGGGTTTACCGAGCTGCCACCCGTGCCTTGGGTCAAGTCAAGTGTAAAAGCACCGTAGCTGCTATGCTGGCGGATCGATGCCGAAGTGCTGGTGGTGTCCAGGGACGAACCTCCAGAGTATGCCCAAATCCAGTTGCTGGAGCTGTCAGTGGCTTCCATGCTTCCACCGGACCAGCTCAGGCACGAGTCGCATCGCACATTAGCCACCATGGAGCCGTCGGGCTGGATACCGGTGCCGCCCAGGACAGTTATCTGAGCATCGGAGTTGTACTGTGGCATGACGTGACCGGTGCCCAGCCGAGGAGAGACAGTCACGTTGTTGTTGCCATCGGAGTACACAATGAACATGTTGGCGCCACTCATGCGCGAGCCTTGACCAAATCCAGTCCATGATGTGCCTGAGGGGGCAGTGATCTGAAAGAAAATGCTCTGGCCACTGCCGGAGGCTGTGTCCGAGGGGACATTGACGGAGATGGAGTGTCCATCCTGATCGTAGCTTGCGAACTGTGCATTGGCAGCGGCGGCTACAACTCGTCAGCCATGATACCTTATAGATGTGGTTACTGGGTTGGGGCATACCAAGCAAAGCCGCCAGCCAGAGCCTGGGAGAGTACATGATCAGTGGCTAGCTATACAACCGGGAAGTCTTTGTTTCAGAAACGGAGTCAAGAGCATTTCGGGAGGGTTCAACGATCAACTATATGAACGTTGACAACAAGGCCCTTGAGTGGGGCCAAAGCCCAAGGACGTGAGCTTGCGCGTCGGACAATCGTTCGAGGTGCAGCGCCAAGTCCGTGATACAGACAAGGAGCATCCCGTCTCCCAAGCTTACCAGACTCCGCGAGTGGTGACGCGTGCACCAACGACAGGACGAAGCAAAAGATAATCACCCCATTTCCGTTTCATCTGCCCGCGTCGGTCCGGCGGAGACTCATTCGACGGGATGCGCTGTTTTGCTGTTCTGCGCGGCAGCGCATGTCTCTTGATGCCCGTATCCGGGGCTGTGACAAGCAGAAAATAGATGTAAGATGGGGTCCGACGACTGTCAGGAACCCAAAGGCTCGTTGAGGGCGGGAAAAAAGTGACCTATCAGAAGCCCACGGAACTGGATGATGAGAGTCGGTCGATCTTCCCGTCTTTGATTGCGCATGCCTCGACATGGAGGAGCAAGCAAGACTTGGGCCACGGGTGATAAGGATTGAGGCGCAGCACGGTTCAGGTACGCAAGCAGAACCAAGCCTGAGAATTCCAAGTGTCTTTTTGGCTACGGTCTTACCGCAGCGAATCATGATAGACACCGTTCGGCGTCCGAGGTGTCTCATTGGTCGTGCATGAAACAGAGCAGTCTATCGCCGGTCCTTCTTGCAACTTGTATAAGTTTTGAGAGGCTGCTCACATAAGGGATTGCAAGGTACCCGAGGCCCCGTTCTCCGGCATTTGAATACGTGTCTATCGTCCAATGCCGTCACGAAGATTCCTGGATGATCGTCTGCCGCCTCTTAGGTAATGTTGGCTCGCTTCTTCACAGATGACTTGGCGTCACGGTGACCTTCCAAACTCTTCCTGGAACGATATTGGGGCCCGAATACGAACCATACCGCGCCAGCACCGCTACGACATCGTGTAGATCTTGCGGCAACGTTCCCGTCAACTTTCCCGAGTACTTCTGTTAGACAGGCCTCCAGGAGTTTTATGTACTTTGCGAAGGAGGCCGCATGTCTGTTGGAGGACACGCTAGGAATAGTGAGGATAGATCTCATACAACGCTGAGTATCAAGACTTTGTCCGCTCCACAATAGTCTTGATCATCTCGCTACCTAGTTTGACGGCCTCGGGAAATCGAGGTGCAAAGTATCGTTGAATGTTCTCAAATCGATCACGGTACGCCTCAAAGTCTCCGAAAGAGACGCAGTCCGACCAGGCCTGTGATCACCATGTCAGCTTTCTACAGATGTAGGTTCTTTTGCGACTCACTCTCGCGGCAAAAGTGAATTCCAGGTCGTCCGATCGAAATGTGTTGTCCTCAATGGCCGTACTGATCACGTCATCTAGAAGATTTGGGTTCCGGAATAGATATTCTGTAACCCCAAGCCAGATGCGGAAGAGCTACGGTTGTCAGCCATGGTACTGATGGGGGTAACGAGCCCACAAACCGGCGTGGAACAAATCATATGGTCATATGGCACGATACCTAGCTTCCACCACGTATCGACGATGGCAAGCAGGCTCAGGTGGTTGTTGCGGGTTCTCTCCTTGGGCCCCTTTGACAGCGAGAACTGGTCAAGAAGGTCATCGGAAAGCAGAAGATTGTGTTCGTCGGTTTCTTGCTTGAACACAGCCGATCCCGCCGTCTTGATACGATGAGTCAGTTCTTCCCGATGACCTCCCAGCATCAACTTGTAGAGCTCTGTCACCGATGCCGCGTATTGCCTGATCTGCTGTTTTGCCGCTGGGTTGAGAATGGCTAAGCCTGCGTATACATGCCACTTGTTCGAATAAATCCGCATCATGATGTTGATCTTCACGTTTTCGATGCCGCCAACGTATCGATTGATCTCCCATGGAAACTGTTTGTTGGCAGCCCAAGCACTGCCCATGCTGAGAAATGCAGCATGAGTCACCGCCTGCGTATCTGCAGTGATGCGATCATGCCTCTCGCCAGAGATAAAGACAAATTTAGATTGTAAGCATGACAAGATCTCAACGCACAGATCGACGCTCTTTTGCGATGCTCTGTGTTGAATGACGACAAGCGGTTGACCTCTCGGGTCTACTGCTGGACCATGGAGCGAATGGCAAGAGACGATTTCAACATCTTGTGGCAGATACTTGTCAAAAGCTTCCAGCTCAGGAGCCTTACACGATGTCTGGCCACCGACGATGGCACCCACCTTTGTCGATGGGCCGTATTCAGCTACCACACGACCGATGACTTCGGCCTCTACGCTGTAGATGATCCAGTCGCTGATTCTGGAGACGAGGTGACCGTTCGGTAGGATAGTGATACCTTTCTGACATCGTCAATGATGTTCAAAGAAGGCACCACTCTACCAACCTCGTGCTCAAACTCGTTCTTCAATGACTCATACTTGGCAGGAAGATCGCATGCGTAAATCCTGAACCAATGCGCCTTCATTAGCTGCAACGGTCACTGCAATGAGGCCTTGAAACTACTGCAAGCAAAGTCAGTCACATGCTTCTCTGCTTGAATGGGGCATAAATTGAGTAGGAGCTTCTCCATCAGACAAGAAAAAAGTAAGGTAGCGAGGTATTTACATCAGTGACCACGTAAACAACAGACGAAGACACCAGAATGGTACCAACAAGTCATTTTCCATGATGCTCGAGCCAAATGCACTCATGTCATCCCAGGAAGGAGTAGGGGTAAGGGAAAGGGGGGGCTTACCAGAATACAGCAAAGGGTCCAATATCGCGTCACGGCTGGTGCAGTGCTGGATGGGCCTACCTCCATCCTGCTTGGCTCAAGCGTCGGGCGTACATGCGGCCCATGTCGCCCATACCAATAATGCCGACTGTCGTTGGCTCCATGAGGTGTTGCGTGCCGGCAAGAATCACTAAGATATACACATGAGAACCAGGGAAGTGAGGATGACCAGCATCACATGGACAACCAATCAGCAAGCCCTCGAAGAGCACAGCGAAAAAATTGTTGACCGTCTGTGTGTCGAAAAGTTGGTGAGATGAAATGAGCTCTAAGGCCAGAAAGAATCTTTGAGCTTGCGCCAAGCGCAGAGACTGTACCATTCCGGATATAGACTAGTGCCAAGTTCGCCCACAGCCCAGCGCCGGGCTCGCGAACTTTTTGAAATTCCCAGCGCCGCACGAAATCACAACTCGATCTCTCTCAGTCAACTTCAGCACAATCGACACAATATGCCTCCCAAGAAGAAGGTTGAGCGCCCTGCTCAGGAGAACATCTCCCTCGGTCCTCAGGTCCGCGAAGGTCAGTCGCACAATGCAAACAGTTCAACACCATGCTAACCCCTCCGCAGGCGAGCTGGTATTTGGCGTCGCCCGCATCTTCGCATCCTTCAACGATACCTTCGTCCATGTTACCGATCTCTCGTGAGTACACTCCATAAAGCAAACAGATCCTCTGAAGAAGCCCGGCATGGTTCATAGGCTAACATCTGGGTGATTCCAGTGGCCGCGAAACCATCTGCCGTGTCACCGGTGGCATGAAGGTCAAGGCCGACCGTGACGAGTCCTCTCCCTACGCTGCCATGTTGGCTGCTCAGGACGTCGCCGCCCGCTGCAAGGAGCTCGGCATCACCGCTCTGCACATCAAGATCCGTGCTACCGGCGGTAACGGCACCAAGACCCCAGGTCCCGGTGCTCAGTCTGCTCTTCGTGCGCTCGCCCGTGCTGGCATGAAGATCGGCCGCATTGAAGATGTCACGCCCACTCCATCCGACTCGACCCGCAGAAAGGGTGGTCGCCGTGGTCGTCGTCTGTGAGCAAGTCGTTATCTATTTGGTGGCCTACCCGGCGTGATAGATTCTGTGCTCCACCACATAGGCAGGCACTTTGGGTTAGACACCAAAAATACGCGAAGAACGGCAATGATGCCTGGTCTTCCATCTCAGAACTCCTCCTGCGACTTGCAGGGCTGCCGTACATGGCGAGGATGCCTGAATGACAGAACCTTTCAAATTTCATCATCTTGCCTTGACAATATATTTCCACGTAGCCTCTCTTGCCGTCTCCAACTCCACCATCAGTCCCACCAGCTCTCATGGCGTCGTCGTCAACGCTATTATTTCTTGACTTGCCGCCCGGGACATTCATAGGCATAGACTTGTTATCTTTCAACTCGTCACCAAACTTTCACGGTGTAATTGAGGTGCCCATTGGGATACACTTCATCTACACCGGCACAGATGCTTCAGTATCCATTCGGAATGGCCGCTGGTTGAATATTGAGTCGTCCAGCACAACTCACACCTTCCAGTGGAACGCTGAAGATGAGTCGCTCTCACTCATTACGCCCGATTCCCCCACAGCACAACATGCGCTCAGCACCATGCCATCACTTCCTGCGCACGGCTTGATCACCTACCCAGCCCTTGAGGCCGCAACCTCCAATCTGCAAGCTGGCGATACGTCTACAGGAGCAATTTCACCAATCCCTGCCTCCTCCTGGACGTCGTTGGTGTCACATATCTCCTCATCGACCATAGCGCGCATAACGCCCACCGGCACCTTGACGTCTATATCCTCAGCGCCTGCGGACTCTGAAGCCGATTCTATCCCCGGCCTTACCCGTTCCGAAGCCTTGTCCGCCCTGCCATCCAGCACCAACCTCAACCTGTTGCCCATCGACCTCAAGCGCACCTGGGCTGAGGGCGATGTGGGCGTCGTGCGCACTGAGCGCGCTCGCGACCGCAGCTGGTATTTGCACCGATTACTCGGAGACTTGACGGAAGGGTACGAGAGGCATATCAGCGCCCGTGAGGTACTGGGCGAGCTGCAGTTCTGTTATGTTATGGTGATGGTGCTCGCCAACTGGAGTTGTCTGGAGGGGTGGAAGCGGATTATAAGCGTGGTATTCACCTGCAGGATAGCACTGAGAGAAGCACAAGGTTGGTTTGTGGAAGTTGTGCGAGTGTTGAAGTTCCAGTTGGAGAGAGCAGAAGACGTAGAGGGAGGAGTGTTTGAATTGAGGGAGGAGGGAGCGAGTGGGTGGCTGAAGGTTTTGCTGAAGAGGTTCAGGGAGAATGTGGAAGATTCTCTGGACCCGGGAAGTAAGCTCGAGCAAGAACTACAGAGCCTGGAGGAAGTCATGAGGGAGCGCTATGGCTGGGAGGTGGAAAAGACGGTGCTGAAGAGAGGAATGGTGCAGTTGGAAGATGGCGAGATGTTGGAAGTGAGTCTTACTGGGGCAGATGAGGACGAGGAAAAGGGGGATTGGGCACCAGTCGTCGTCGAAACCTAGCCTAACTCGGTTCCTAAGTGAGATGTGAGTGTGCACTATCACTTCCCAAGGACAATTGCAGCTGGACCGGAGTGCCTTAGGACCTGTTAGTCAAAGGTTATGGGCGAGACGGGGCAAGCCCTCCTCGGACCAAGGACTGGCCCTCAAAAATAGGAAGTTCTTCTTCAAATTTGGATATTGTTGGATTGAATGCTCTTTTGCATATCAAAGGCGAAACACCTTAATGCCCGCTTTTGGCTCATAACCACCCATAATCATCTCGAAGTCATCCTGCATCAAGTACCTTCAGAATCAGGCTATGCATGACACCCGCTTCGTCCCACCTTCCTTCGAGATTGTCCTCATCACCAAAGCTGTGTCCACAGGCACAACATGTTGCCTGCCCACCCCAAAAACACAACCACCGCTTAACGATACGATTTCTGGTACCGTGCTCTCGCGCCGGGACCGCCGAATTTCTTGGGCTCGCACCGTCTGTTGTCGGCGACCAGCAGGGTACGGTCGTACTGCACTAGCGCCTGCTTCAGGGTGTTCTTGGTGAACTCGTCGACGTATTTCTGGTAGTAGGCAACGATGGACTTGCCGATGGCCTGGCGGATAGCATAGATCTGGCTGGTGTGGCCACCACCAGTCACGCGCACACGGATGTCGACTTCAGCGAAGCGATCGAGGCCGAGGAGGAGGATTGGTTCGTAGACCTAATGCGTTATACTGTTAACTATGCAGTTCTTTCCTGATCTTGCGATACTCGAATTGCGTGGGCTGTTACTGATCGGGGAGCTCTGTACGTACCTTAAAGCGGAGGATCTCGGGTTGGACGAGGTGGAGGGGCTTGCCGTTGACCTTGATGAGGCCCTTGCCCTTCTACAGACATTGTGAGTATTTTGCATGCCAGCGCAGAGGGTAGAGAGGCAATCGTACTTTGCAGTGGGCGACAGCGGTGGCCGTCTTCTTCTTGCCGAAGCACTGGACCATCTGAGGAGCCGACATGATTGCTGGCGGCGTGTCCAGAGGCTTTTCGATCGGGTGATGTTGGCTTGAAGTGGTGGTAGAATCAAGGCTAACAATTTGGCTTGCACGCACATTCGCAATCTTGGCAGGAAACGCCAAGTGAGGTCCCGCTTTTTTGGCCTCTTTGCGAGGCTGCAACGGAGCCTTGCGAGACTTTGAATCTTCCGATGCTGGAGGACGAGCAAGAGACATCAAGCTCGCCCACACTCTAGAGCCGGACCTTATCATTCCGACCCGGTGCGCCTGCTTACTGCGGAGTTTGTTCAACGAGATCCCCCAATGAATCAGTAGCAACATCATTGGCCATGTCGCAAACTGTCGGCAAGGTACTACTCACTCTCCAGCTTCCAGCACGCTCTTTGTACTAAACCTGCGTAGACTCGTCTTGCATACTCTCGCACCTGGCACTACATCAATGTCGGCACCGACCCCCGGCCCCTTGGGCGTATCGCGTCTTCCATCGCAACAGTTCTGATGGGAAAGAACAAACCAATTTGGGACCCATCTACCGATTGCGGCGACTATGTGGTGGCTGTAGGCTGCTCGGATTTACATACAACTGGCAATAAGCGTCAGCAGAAACTCTACTACACACACAACACGCGTCCAGGCTCATTAAAATCAATGTCGATGGACCGTATGTTCGAGAAATGGGGCGGCGGCGAGGTGCTGAAGAAGGCGGTTAGTGGAATGCTACCAAAGAATCGACTACGAGATAAAAGGCTGGCAAGGCTAAAGTTATTTGAGGGCCAGGACCATCCTTACCGGAAGAACATTGTGAGATTCGCCGGACGCGTTTATCGAAATGGAGTACCAGCGCCGGAAGGCAAGGTGGTCCAGGCTTTGAGGGAGACGGGACAAGAAGAGATCGCAGCGCCAAAGACTGAGGCGTGAGTGTATCACCACCATGCATTACAGGGTGTTACTGGAAGCGTAGAGATGTCTTCTAAAATGTCATTTTATTCATGAAGTCTATCCTACAACTTGGACTGCCTGGACCCGAATTGCCCGTTCACAGCTGGCTTCGAGGTGTCCCTATTCGCGGGTAAGCCTCTGTGCAGAAGATGCCGATATTGATTTGGTCCTCACCTCGTGACGGTGCACTTGATCAGGCCGTTGGGATCTGATTGAGGCGCATACACCTCAGCGTCCTTTCCAGTGTTCTTCAGGCCGTGATGCCAGCTCAGATCGATCTCAAAGTAGTGCTTGTTGGGAAGCGAATAGTCAACAGCGTGGACAGTAGCTTCGGCAGCTAAGATCTCCTCACACATTTTGTACATGGTATTCTGGACCGAGGGGCTCTCCTCAAGGGCGAAAAGGCGGAACGTGACCTCTCGAGCCTTCTCCCAGGTAAGGTTGAATTTGGCAACGTCGGATTTGACCTGCTTGAGGGTGGGGAAGGTCTTCCATTTCCATCCCGCGTCGACAGAGGTGCTAAGAATGCGGTCATAGACGTCGGGGAGCGTGGTGTAGTCGTTGCGGACGAAGTGATGGAACTCTGAACCAGTGCTCTTCAGCACCAGCAGATCCGAGATGCCGGACCTGATGTCGATACCCTGGCGGGACACGTCTGCTTGTACGACTCTTTTCTCGGCACCATCACGGAAAAAAGAATGCGGATGAGGCTTGCCCTCGATGGTCATACGGGTCCATCTGTGCTGAACGATGCTGATATGGGCGACGTGAATGTGACTGTAGGTCTCAATGAAGTGGTTGCCGAGAATGGACGCGAAGAGCTCCACGGGAGTCACAGGATGCTGCTTAGCCATGATGTAAGTGGTGTTCTTCATCGTGTCGGTAGCAACGACAACGCTATTGTCTGCTTTGGTGTATCTGCTACGATTAGTGTCGCGGATGAGATGCTTGGGCATGTACTTACGATGTCTCGATCTCGCCCTCGAGGAGAACGCATACTGTCATCTCAACAACGGTATGAGTTTTGGTAGCCTCGTCGCGCTCAACCTTGTAAACGCGGATATTGTCCTTGCCATATCTGGCAGCAGCGAGTTGGGGCATTGCGTCGCGAAGATCTGATAATATCGAGAAGCAAAAGAAGCACTGGTTATCTCACAAGAGAGCTTGTTGACCTGAGCAGATTGTTGTAGATAGAGAACAGAAATTTTGTCGCAGTGAAGTAGCACAGGGCTATATATGACGTGGGGTCCTTATCAATAACTCGTATGAGATGCAAATCTGAGGTATACAACGGCGAGCAGCGACATGGCGGTGGATAGCGAGGCAGACGTCTAGAGGCTGGATCCGACGAAGATCTGTTTAGTCTGATCTGTTTCGATACAGCATCTTCATGGGCGACTTGTCATTGGCAGAAGCCACCCCCATGCGGTACGATCGGGCCCGAAGAGCTTGCTTCGGCGACCTCCGGTGAAAGGTATGTGGTCTGATAGCAGATCGAGAACGGACCTATTACTCCACGCCAGTGCTTTCTCGGCCACGACAAGACCACGAAAGATGGGCGTTTTGAGATCGCCAGATACTTTCACTTATGCGTTCGCGTCGCTTGCCTAATCTGCGACTGCGAGGGTACGGGTCATGTAGTGGAGATGGTAACTGAGAACATGCGAAAGTACTTGTACTGCCCGGAAGCACCTGCAGCTCTTGGGGCCATGTGCTTGGGGCGGGGCGCCGCTGGCAACTAACTCCACACTGCAACGCACTGCAACCTCGTCAGCAGCCAACATCAGCGCTCATGCCGTTTGGTGTTGCACAGACGACCATACAGTCATCTCCTCTCCGACCTAAATCCTGTTGAGAGACTAAGAGTGCTCTTGCACAGTATCAGTAATATCCGTCGTTCTGCCAACGCATATTTCTACAGATCCGGCTCAATCACACCTGAGACTCGAAGCAAGATCGATACCCGTCACTGACTGCACCCCCGGTCACAATCCAAACATACTGCCGTGGAACCCACATGATTCTCTCAACACACACAATACGACTCAAGCCTTCTCATAAGCGCAAGGTCAACGTGGCCTGTCATTGCGCCAGCGTGCCCGCTCTTTGTATCTAAATCCGTCGCATGAGGGTCCCACCACTGTCTTGATGCCTCAATGGCAGCACCGGAGGAAGGGACAGGTTACTCTGTGACACCCACACAAAGAGTGGCGTTCAAACATGCGACCCGGAAGAGTGACGATTTATCGTCAACATGGCAACGACCGTCGACCAAGAGCAATCGCTCTCTGTCTGGCGGTACATCTCACTTTGGCCCAGCTGCGATTGCCAAATCAGTTGTCGGCGCAGGACCGCCAGGCAGCTTCAGCACCGACCTGAAGAGCGCACTCCAGTCGCGCAGTACCACCCTTCAGAATGAACAGGCTCCTCAAATGCCCCGCCCATCCCTTCAAGCCGCCCGGACAGGCGACTGGACCGACAGCCCCGAGTCGCGGCAGGCCTTCGTACGCGATCAAATTGCGAAAGAGATGAAGATCAAAATGGGTACTGAAAACATGCTGGAGGCCTTGATGAGCAAGAATGCAAAGCAAACCAAAGATCAGCGCTTTAAAATTGAGCAAGAGTTGGGCACATCGAATCGAAAGTTAGTCGAACTGAGGTTGCAACTCGACCAGGAGATCCAACGATCGCAGAGTCCCAGCACACCCCCATCAAGGAGGCTATCGAGCTACTTTAGAGGGAGTCCCCTGCGCTCACCTCCACTTGGAGAAGAACCGGAGCCGGATGCATCCAAGAATGAGGAAGAATCCCCGACTGTTGTCTTGACAGACATCCTTGAGGCTCTCGAGGTTGAAGGGATGCAACCGGATTATTATATTGATCGAGCGAACATCCTGGTCGAGCTGTTCAAGAAGCATTCAACCTTGAAGTATGATCTTGCATGGAGCGTCTTCAGCTTACGAGTACAATTGATGCTGTTGAGCGATAGCTCCGACGTCGTTGCCGCGGGTTATAGACTAACAAGACACGCCATAACCGACCGGGCTTCTCTGAGAACGATACGAAGTCTGCACACTGACGAGCTGATCGTCCTCTCCTTGATCAAGAAAGAGAAAGCCGCCTTGGAGCGAGAACAAGCTGTCAAGTTCGTTCGAGCCTGTTTGGACGTCAAGGGCGGTGTCTACGAGATTTCAACTGCAGTCGCTCGTAGCTTGGTCGCTGTGGCCGAGCATAATGATGACAGCCTCAAAGACATATGTCTCCTTACATTGGCTGAGGTTCTGACAAAGCATCCTTCGCTTCTAGTTACAGCAGGCGGTATGAGCACATTGACAGATGCGCTTGCCAACGGCTCCTTCCCAGCGCCCGACGGGCTTGTCGCCAGTTTCTTGCACATCCTTGATCATCCTCGTCAACGACAATATCTTAGCACGGGTCGTGAATTTGAGGCCATGTTCGCCCCTTTCACCGATCCTATGTTATTGAACGGCAACGAGGAGAAATTGAAGCACTGCGCAAAGGCCATCGCCGCGATGTTAAAGACGTGGCCTGGGTTTCTAGCTCTTTCGGAACGAAACGCCATCTCCCTTCGTTCTCTCATCGATTCCTTACAGTACCCAATCACAGCCGCTCGAGGCATCATTCTCGATTTACTCATCGACACACTGAGGATCAAGGTGCCATTTTGGTCAGACACATACGTGGCTGGAAGGCGGCTTACCACGTATGGACGTGTCAATACCGAAGTCGTAGAGCCTCCGATGAAACGTTCAGCTACAGACTATGGAATTCGGGGAAGATTTGACCTGACCTATCATTTCTCCGCAATTGTACTTGCAGTGCTTATCAAAGTCGGCCTGATACCTGCACTTTTCGGGCTGATTAAGACAGAAGACGACAACGCGTTAAGACGCAGGGGCACTCTAGTTCTGACAGAAGTCCTACGTATGGCCCAAGACGCGCTACCAAACTTGCTGAGTTCCAATATCCAAGTTCTCGGTGGTCTCCTCTCGCCTGTCGAAGATTTCTTGTCGGAGAATCATGCAGGCAACATGGAGATGCTATATCAGATTGAGAGCATCAATCGGACCAAGAATAAAGCTAAGCGTTCCCTTAGTGGGCAACAGATTACGAATGATGACCTCGCTGGTGGCGTCCAGACCAATAAGAGGCTCAAATACAGCCCGCTCATAGACGGAGACCAGTTTCGACAGCTCATCGCCGAATCTCAAGTCCTAAATCACACCTCATATATCAAGTGGAGATGGGATGTCATCCTCGGCCTCATCGAAGGACCCTTGACCAACGCCAAAAGGCTGGACGAGGCGATCAAATCGAGCAAATTCATGAAGCGCGTGACAGGCTTTTATCGGCCATTCAAACATCGTTTCAGTGATGTACGTAGCAACCAGTTCAATCAGCGATACGTGCGCTACGGTTGCGCATTGATCAAGACCTTATTACAGACGCAAATTGGCATCCAGTATCTGGCAGAGAGCAAGGTCCTGCGCCAAATAGCAGAATGTTTAGCTCAAGTCGATCCCCAGAGCGGGCTCACATCGACGTCGCCACATTTCGACCGCTATCAGATGACTGAAACCTTATCTGGCGGCTACTTTGCGATGTTGGGATCACTCAGCTCAACTGCCGAAGGCATTCACATCATGGAACGATGGCATATGATGGACATGTTCTATCATATTCTCGACCGGCGAGACCGAGATGACTTGGTGCGTGCCATTTTGGGTAATATGGACTTCACTCTCGACACTCATCTTCGAGTCATGCTCTCGCAATCGCTCACGTCGGCTTACAAGGAAATTCGCCTCTTTTCTACCAAGCTCCTTCGGCGATATGCAGTTAGCAGCATGCAGCAGAGCTCAAACATACCAGACTCGTCCAGTGCACAGTGGGCCTTGAAGCTCGTTATGACCCAGTTGTACGACCCTGATGTGGAAGTATGTGAGACTGCGATCAAAATTTTAGAGGAAGCTTGCGAGCAACAAGAGCACTTGGAGTTCGTGGTCAGATGCCGACCGGCATTGGATCACCTCGGTGAAATCGGTGCTCCTCTTCTGCTCAGGTTTCTTGCTACTTCCATTGGCTATCGGTACCTGAATGGACTCGATTATATCACACAGGAGATGGATGACTGGTTCCTGGGCCGCAACGACACGTATGTCGCTTTTGTTGAGGCTTCGCTTGCCCGCACGTATATTGATTCTCTTATTCACAAGACGACCTATGCCGAAGATCCGGAAGTGGTGGAGATGGGACTGGCTCCTCCTCACTTCTACCGTGAGCTGGCGCGCACCGAAGAGGGTTGCAAGCTCTTGCGACAATCAGGTCATTTCTACGAGTTCGCGTCTACTATTCGCGACTTCGATCTAGAAGACGATGACTTTGAGGCCCTGCTCAAAGTTAAAGGTAGCTTGTGGGCCGTCGGAAACATTGGCTCCATGGAACTCGGAGCGCCCTTTCTCGAGGAAGACGATGTCGTCAAGACCATGGTGAGAATTGCAGAGGGCGCAGCTGTCTTGTCAGTACGTGGCACGGCGTGTTTCGCGCTTGGGCTTTGCTCGCGAACATTGCATGGCGTGCAAATGCTTGCGGAGAACGGCTGGGATACAACGATCGATGCACGCGGCCGATCACTTGGCCTGTGTGTGCCGCGGGAGCTAGATCGTCTGTGCATGGTAAGTGCTGAGACTTCTCAGGTGCTACTCGATACTGACGGGTGGCAGCACACTACTCCAGCGTCGAACGTTCCGCCTCCACTCAGCCGCAAGGACAGTGAGCGCTACAAAAACGCGGTTGACGACGAGGACCCAACCAAGGCAAAGATATTGAAGCTTGTTGTCAACATGGGCAACTCGGTCACCTACAAGAAGATTGGAAACGATCTCCAGGTCCTGAGACTGAGGCACCCTCAGCTCTTCATGGATACTGGGCTGTTCCGAAAAACGTTAACCATTCTAGAAAGTCATCATTATCGGCTACTGGCAAGACAGCACATTCTAGACCTGTTTGACAAGAGCGTGATGAGGAGGATAGTTCTGGATGAGGATGTTTCAGAGACAGACTCTGATGCATGATAAAATGTTTTACGAGCCGGTGGCATTTCTTTAGGAGCCGGTCGCCCCGCAAGGCAACCATTTCGGCATCACAAGGCACATGCGGCGGTATTCAAGGCGCTGAGTAGTGTACGTAAAGCAAGGCGTTCTGGGGAGCAGTGAAGAGTGGTTCAGCGAATCGGCAGGCACATCTTGGATATCTAAGCTCCGCCACCCCCTCCGTCGGACTTGTACCAACAGATTAAGCGCGCATATCAAGGCGTCATCCGAATCAATACTGTCTTTTGATGGTGAACTCTCTCAAGTAGTGCGAGTAATGCGGGCCCAGAGGCCGCCAGCTTGACCCCCATATGATGTTTGCATCTTCGATTCGCACGTGACTTGGGGGCTCATGACGCCGTCGAGTTTTCGATGCAAGTTCAAAACTTAGATCGCAGTCGTTCAAGACAGCGCACCTTCATCGCCATTCGCTCCAGGCGGCCAATCAAGCATGAAATCTCCCGTCTTTTGGTGGCCATTTTCATGGACCTAGGCGTAAGACCCTCGGCGGTTCACAACCAATGCCCACCAACTCGTCAGATCTGTGCCTGTTCCTGGCCAAGCTGGGTCATCTCGAGGCAGCGCCTCCAATGAGACAGTGGCTCCCGCTGAGTGTTAACGTCGTCGATCAAACAGCTCGAGACTTCGGACACCTACTCACCACTACTGCTCATATTTGTGTATTGAGCATATCACCAGGAGACAACTCCCAAGTTCCACAGGCTGTCTGTTCGCCTAAACCATTGGCGCGCGTGAACCGCCGAAGATCTGGCCCAATGGCTCTTTTCAACTATTGACAGGCATCGCTACCACCCCATCTCCACCGACGCAGTCTAGATTTGCGACTTCTAACACTTTCACCAGTGTTCGTTTCTACTCTGAGCAACAATTCTAGGTCGATATTGGAAAGTCTTCATCTGAGGTTGACTTGGCCGACCCATACCCCTCCCTCCATACATGGAATCCTATCATACGACCAGTTAATCGATAAAAGAGGTGGGATTCCGGAAATATTTTCCACGCGTGGTAGCATATTCAGTCATCACCGCCCGCGTCGATGAGCGCAAATGAGACCACGGCACCTCCGCAGGAGACGGTCGGGTTGAACGCATCTGCCGATGCACGCGCCATCATCCGCCTTTTTCAATGCTCTCAATGTTCCTATCCGCTCCGAGAACCTGTAACATTACCATGTGGAAGTTCACTTTGCAGGCCGTGCCTGCCCCCTCTGTACAAGAGAGAGAATATTACCTACTCAGGACCGCTCAGTCAAGGCCGGTCTGAGGGTTTTATGTGTCCATATCAAGAATGTCGCTCCGAGCACTCCATGGGCGACTGTAGCAGGGATGTGACGATGAGCAAAGTCATGGAGACCATTAAGACCTACGTCGAACGCTACAGGAACGAGAAGTCCGACGCGCCGATCCTCCTGGATGAGAAGTTGAGCATGTCACGTATCGTCGACTCAGCTATGGATGTCATGCCACGGTCCAGAGTCTTGCAAGGAGGACGTCTTGTGGCGACTTTCAGTCTTGCTGACATGGGCGAACTCAACTACTTCTCCGACGTCGCATATCATCCAGTGATCGAAGGTACTGACGATCGTGTGGACTCCCTGGATACCGCCGTTCTCGAAAACCTCCGAGAAGTGGTTCGGGTTGAGCTTGAGTGTCAAGTTTGCTACGCTATTATGGTTGATCCAATCACCACGACCTGTGGACACACATTTTGTCGACAGTGCGTTGCAAGAGTACTGGACCATGCGAATCTCTGTCCGATTTGCCGTCGGCAACTCCCAATGGCGCCAGGCCTACAACTCGAACCCAGCAACAAACGTATCAGTTACATTCTCGAAGGCCTTCTTAAGGATGTCCTCGAAGCGCGAAAGGCAGCAATCGCATTAGAGGACACACTCGACGAACACGCGAGTATGCCTCTGTTCCCTTGTACGCTGGCCTTTCCGATGATGCCAACCTTCCTTCATATCTTCGAACCTCGATATCGACTAATGATTCGGCGGTGCATTGAGAATGGATCCCGCAAATTCGGCATGCTAATGTACAACCATCATCGTATTGTCCAGGAGGGACTTGGCGAGGTCCATTACTTGCAATATGGCACTGCGCTACATATTGACCGCATTGAAATGCTCCCGGATGGGCGGAGCCTCATCGAAACGCGGGGCATTTACAGATTCAAAGTTATCGGCGGAGATATGCTGGATGGTTACAATGTTGGCAGAATACAACGAGTCGACGACATTCCTATCGCAGAGGAGGAGGCCATCGAAGCACGCGAGACTGGCAGTGGTTCGCCTCCAAGCAACGATCCAACTTCTCAAATCAACAAGATGTCTACGCAGCAACTTCTCGACTTCGCTTTAGAATTTACTGCTGGGGCCAGAGCACGTTCAGCACGTTGGCTTCACCAACGAGTCTTGGACGCCTACGGTCAACCACCCACGGACCCTGCTATATTCCCGTACTGGTTTGCTAGTGTCCTTCCCATCGCGGAGGAGGAAAAATACCAGCTTCTCCCAGCAACAAGCGTACGAGAACGCTTAAAGATAACGACTCGGTGGATTCAACGGCTGGAAGCCGCCCGATGGTGAGTCATTGGTCCCGTACTCTCCTTTTCTTTATCAGGGTCGTTCCCTGACGGTGGTCTCCGAAGCAAATACGAAGCGGAACTACGTACTGCGCGAGAGCGAAGTGTGCGTGGTGAGGCAACAAGTAGTGTCGAGCGTGTCTCGGCAGTTCCCGAGCGTCATGAAGCTCAGGCTGAGGAGGACAATACGACCAACCACAACGAACCCGAGGTCAACACTGGAAATGCGAGAATCGATGGCCATACCCTACGTCCTCCAACAAGTCCGCCAGATGGGCGAGACTCAACGCCTGATCAACAAGAAAGAACAGAGAACTAACTTATTTTTTCAACGATTACAGGGAAAGTTCGGCCTCCTGCACAGTTTTATGACTCGTGCTCGCTGGCGTCAGCATCGGTGTCCTTGCGCTGGCGCTAGCGGTCCCGTATTTTACAACGAAACACGAAGGGACTCTCGACCCTCTGAAAATCAGAAATCTGATGGCAACGAGCAGCAGACAGATCAGCGGTGGTTCTATCGAAAGTATGGGTACGATCATGTCAAAAGTGCTCGTCATGCTGCTGTGCTTGATTGTCGTGGTTATACGCATCGTGATACCCTTTACAGCACTTCGAAGAGCTAGAGATCCTTTCAGGGCAGCCGAGCCGGGAGGTGGTAGGATCATTGTTGTCTTGTGACAAAGATCTACTTCGCGTCATATGCATGGCGATCTCTTTGGCCGATGTCTCGATTGCATCGTTAAGGAGGTACGCTCATTTTGGTGGCCTCTTTGTGGCACTTTTCCCAGTCTCAGACGCTTTCGACCGCAGCATCATTGGTCTTACCGGCGTTTCCTGGATGATTTGCATGTGAATTGTTCAAGAGCTGGAACAGTTTTAAAGGAGAGAAACGGCATCAGTCTCCGCGTGGGAAGGATTAAGGAAGGCGGAAGTATTAGGACAGCTGAAGCATGATCTTACGAAGCGAAGCGTATGAACTTGAGCGGATACATTGCATTCACGGTATAGGTGTAGATACAGAAATTTGAGCCGTCCAAAGAGGCACAACCACACCTACATCTTGCAAGGGCGAGGCCATTGTATTGCTGGGGCGTCATGCCTGTTGCTTATGAACACGGGTTGATTGGCCGGAAAAGTATCTTGCCGTGTTCAAAGGAATAGAAATGTGCTGAGGGGGGAGAACTCGACAGATTTATATTCACTGTGCACTGTAAGGGTTGAGATGAGCTGACTTTGCCGCTCCCCGTTTCGGTTTAAAGACCTTTAGAGGCCTCCAGATATAATGTGTTCCGGTTTAAGTATGCTTGAAGCTCTTGTCTCGCGGAGACAGCGAACACCCCACCGATAAGTCTGGCCGAATGGTTGAGCACCTTCAACATGGCGGCGCTGCGAGTAGCACCAAGCCCACACTTTACCATCACCGACCGTAGCGTAGCGTCTAAATACCTAATTCAGCCCTCGGAATCATCCAACTTCAGCGTGGGCGCCCTCTTGAGCCCAACAGTATGCCTGACCCACAGCGCGTCGACGAAGTGATCATGTCGGATCCCCGGCGGCTTCGCCTCCCTGAAAGCGTCGAGGGCCTCCTGAACGCCGTAGCCTCGGCGCTCGATGAGATAGCTGCAGATGAAGAAGCCCGTTCGGTTGAAGCCGTAGTGGCAGTGCACCGCAACGGCCTTCTTTGCCTCAGTGTTGTCTTTGGCTTCCATCTCGGCGCGCAGCCGGTCGACCAGGGCGATGAAATCTGCTACCTCCGTCGGGGTGGGCGGGATCTTGCTGACGGTGGGGAACTTGTGGTATTGGATGCCACCCTCTTCGAGCGTCCGGGTTGAGTATACCGGCGCGTCGTGGGAGATGTCGATGACGGCGTAGATGGTGTCTTTCCACTTGGCAACAAACTTGCTTGGGGTGTGTTCAGTATCCTGCTCGCGGAGCGTTTTGAGTCCGCGTAAGAGGTTATTGGCAATGGGACCGGATACTGCAGGCGTCCGCTGCCACTTCTCGAGGTTCTTGACGTCCCATTTGCCCGTTGTGGTCAGCTGCTGGAGCTGCCAGCCAAGAGAGAGATGCGGGGAGACGTGGGACGAGAGGAAGTCCTCGATCAAGCCGGCGACCGTGCGGTATGTGCGGTGGTCGTAGAGCAAGGCGTGGGCCGCGGGAAAGGGCAACGTTGCAGTCTTAAGGACCGAACTCGATAGTGTCCGCGTTGTTGTAAGGTTTGGCGCAAGCCCGGTCGTCTCGTCGGAAGGCGGAGGTGGAGTCGTGGCTGCTGTCGGTACTGGGTCACTTTTCGTAAATCCTGGAAGAGACTTGCCAGGCTTGTGGAGGAACGATACGATTTCGGCCAGTTCTGAAGGTTTGGTGACCTTGTCGGCTTCACCCGCGACCAGGAAGAGGGGAACTCGGATCTTGGACCAAGCCTCCTGTCCGGGGATGCCACCAATAGCATGGCCCCTGGCATCATATTCCGGCAATGCTCCCATTGCTGTGCGCTTCCAGACTGGTGTCTTGAAAGCGGCGTTGTACCTCAGCTGTAGCCTGCGTAGATCGATTCCGGCTCCCTCGCCCACAAACCGGTTGACGCTTGTACTGTTAACTCCTCCTCTCTTATCCCACCAGCGGAATGCACTCAACCACGAGTCTGGCAATGAAAGAAAGACCTTATACTTCAGGGTCTCAGGCTGAGTCGGTGGTGCAGCCTTCGGGCAGATAGCAATAATACCAGCAACTTCAACGGTGAAGCGCGAATCGACAGCTAGAAGAGCAGCAATAGAGCACCCATAACTATGTCCGATGAGTACGACCTTCTTGTGGCCATGCTGTTCGCAGATGTCCTGAATCGCAGTCCTCCACAAGACTTTGAGCGCGCTGGTACTGTAACCATCGGGGGTCTCCGGAGAAAAGCGAGAGAGTCCATGACCGGGAAGGTCGATACCAAAGCATGGTGCAATGTTGACGAGACTGTTGAGGAGCGGCCCATATTGGGCTAAGGAGCCTCCAAGTCCATGTACGAAGACCAGCAGTGGCAGATCCGCGATGGCGGCCAATTTCTCCTTATGAGCATGTGGCCTGTAGAAGGTGCGTATCGAGCCATAGTTGGCAAAAGGCGTCTTGAAGGCTTTGTGTGATGAATGGTTCTTGAGTATGGGGTGGTCGCCAGGCTGTGTGCTAGGGTTATCCGTATCGGGAACCTGGTTCGAGCCTCTTAGGTACAAGTACGATGCTATGAGAATCGATAGCAGGGCAGTAGCGACAACTGCTGTAGCGGCATTTTGGACAAGCCATGGCAGATCGTAATGCCCCATGTGCCGAGCTAGACGGCGTTCGTTTAAAGCTTTGGGAAACGACGGCGTTGCAGGGCAATGGCGTAGGACCAACACCGTTCATGCACCCATCAAAGCTTGGCCCAACAAGTGTTCGCGATTAATGTACTTACGAGGATCTTCAAGACTGTGTCCCGCAGCCTGGTTATTTCGCGAGTCGAACCGAGGAATGCTGTGGGGGACGATGGTGGCCACAAATGACGAAATCTCGAGGCGGTCTGTAGGGCATCAGAAGGTGATTGATATCAGTGTCAGAAATACGGAGATATGGTACCACTAACCCTAAAGCGGCAACTCTTTTTCGCGCCTAATACAAGCCTGCAACACGTCGCTCATCGGTAGACCAAAGGAAGGCGCTGGGGCTTCAGGTCAACAAAAAGGCGTTCGTGAAGTCCACTTGACCCCAAACTGTGGCTTATAATTCAATCGGCGCCCCCGAGATAGCTACGCCATTGCTGCCAAGAACGGCAAAATCACGTTGCGCCAGGATAGCTCTTCGCTACAGCAAAAACAGGATGTTTCCTCACACGCTTGTACGCCACGGGCGTGTAGAAAAACCAAAAAGTGAAGGAGGTCTCCTTTGGACTTGAGCCGAAGGTGGGGCTCGAACCCACGACCTTGAGGTGTCTTATGATTAAGAGCCACACGCTCTACCGATTCTAGGGACGGTGTTAGAGAACGACACCGCTACAAACAGGCAGTGAGGCTTACGAGCTACCCCGGCAAGGGTCACACTCTGTGTTCGAATGTTGGCCACAAATTTGCATCATTTAAGATATGTACTTTATGTACCAACCTTGCCGACAGGGTTACCTAGAAGTCTGATTGGAGTGAGAGGGGCACCATCTCAGAGACCTCCAGGCAGTAAAAATTTTACTGCCTGAATTTCTCCAATGCCAAGATTGACCATCTGCGTTAGATGAAGCGAGAGCGGACATTCAAGAACCAAGTGGAACGGATTGAGAAATACAACACCAACCAGACACACGCCAGAATCCTACTCTCATCGATCAGAGACGCAATAGTCGAGCAATTTTGTGTATTGACGTGTTACTCATTCGTGCACAGAGAGGCCTCCGTTGAGTCACCGCTTCAGTCGTTAGTGCTATTTTTCCCTAACTCGCTGCTGTCTTCTATCGCATATACTCCTTCTAGTAGCGATGCGCACCACTAGTGAACGCTCATCAAGACCAGTGCCAGAACAATGACACCCCTCATAGAATCTTTAGCTCGACGAAACTCTTCATAACCGCTTCGTCAATGCGACCCAGCCACTCGGCCTCGAACGCCGCCTGCCCACCCGGCCAGCTCTGCATCACGCCCTTGAAGTGCTCTGCGATAAAGTGCCTCGCATTGACTGAGAATATGGGGTCGTTGTTACCGAGCACCTTCTTCCGTCCATCCTCGGGCGTCGCATCCGGCCAGTCCGGCGCATCGCTCGGTTTCGTGAAATACCACAGGTAATCGCCCTGGCTGTCATCCGCAGCCTCCTCGCCCAGTTCTGTTGCAATGTCCGTCCACACTGTCATCAAGCTTTGCAACTGATCTAGCAGTATTGTTGGTGGCGGGCTCGAGGCGGTGAGCAAGGCGGTCACGCCGAGGATTTGGAGCTTCTTGCGCAGAATATCGCCGATGGCGTCGAAGTGCCCAATCCACTCCACTACAAGCCAATCGAGGGCGGATGTCTCGGAGGAGCAGGCGTTGATGGCTTGGATGAAAAGTGGTGGGGAGAGGAGCGCTAGACGTGCGAGCAGTGAGAACAAGCTCGTCTCGCCCGGCCCGATTACGTCCGGAGGCCGTCGATTCGGACGTGGGTCCGAGTGGTATGTATGAGCCTCATGCAGAATCTGGAGCAGGTCACGCAGGTAACCTGAGGCCACCAAAGTAGAGAAGAGATGTTGTGTCGCCTGTAGTCTTGTGGTCGCGTCAAAGTATGTGGGTACGGTCAACGTTGCTGTGAGATTCTCAAGGACGTGGGGAGCTAGTGCAGCATCTCGGGCGCGGCTCGAGGCGAGCATTGGGAGCAGGTTCTTCAGCGAGGCAGTCAGTGGCGTAAAGAAAGTCGGCGCCAAAACGGCGGTGGGTGAGAGGACTGTATAGGACTCGATGACGTCGAAGATTTGCTGAAGAAGCTCACTTCCCATTTCTAAGAGTGGAAGGAGAGAAGTCGACATTGCGAGCAGTTCATGTGACGGCTCATTAGTCGGTGTCTGGATCAAAATCGCTTTCCATAGCTCAAGAGCCTCCTCTAGGAGATATACCGAAGCCTCTGAGTCCGGCTGGACTGAATCATGGATGAGTGGCAGGATAGCTGCATGGTAGGACAGGCTCTTCTCGCGTAGGCTGTTTACGATCGCAGTAATCATCGTCAGAATGGCCTGCTTCATGAGGTGCTCCTCGCCGCTCTGGGCCCACAGTGGTGGAAGCATGGACATGATTCCCTCTGCGTACGGTTCGATGTGACCCTCAAGCTTCGTGACGGCCACACGAACTGTTTCCAGAAGAGCCATTTTTGTTTCCGAGAGCTCCGTTTCAGCGGTGAGAAGCATGATGCTGGATAAGATAGGGGTGGCGTACGGAGCAAAGTCCGTGTAGTTGAACTCGAAAGGCTCTAGGACCATACGGAGCTGACGGCCAGCCGTGACCCTGACAACGTGGTCGTTGAAGCTGTCATCTTTCGACAGCAGGTGAGTAAATACCTGATACACAGCGACCTGCAAGTCGGATTAGCACTGATAGGCTCGGTATCTGGACTGGCCTTGAAGACCTTGGAGTCTTGGTACACGACGGCCACTTGCTCGTTGAGACGGAGAACTTACCCTGTCAATCACGTCTGGTTTGATGGGTACCCACTGTGCAAGCACCATCGCACTTCTCCTTCTCAAGAGATTATAGCCAGGATGTGTCATTTGCACCTCTGGTACTAGAGTCGAGCGGAGGAAGGTGTTGAAGTCAAGGACATCGTCGAGACAGGCTGCCGCTATTCCTATAGCGGAATAAAGACTGTCTTTCAAAAGGACATTCGTGTTGTCTACACTTGCGTATTGGTTGAAGACATCCAGGAGTCGTTGGACAAGAAGCTGAAGATAGATTAGCTCAGCCATTCCGCATTTTCGGAGCAAGGCATCGCTTTGACGCAAAATGAAGTCCCACAGCGCTTGAAGAGGGCAACAGCTTACCTGCTTGAAGTTGATGACAAGGTCTAGGAACAGCTTCTCGGAGCAAGATCTGATGGAGAACTCCCAAGCGTCGGCAATTTCTTCTTCACGTCTCTCCCACTCATCAGGCTCTGTTTCCCAATCACGAAGATCGGAAGGCCGTAGTACGAAGAACTTGGTGACCAATGTTTCCATAATTCTGACCACAAAGTCATCTGTGAGGACTTGTGTCTTGATGGAATCTGTCGCAAGCTTGCGATCCTCTTTGTCCTGTGGAGTCTGATATCTGAAGGTTAAAGCTGGCTGAAAGACCATCTTGACACAGGCTCTAAACAAGAGTAGAGCTCTCAGTGCCAGCTTCTCTCTTGGTGAGTCCTCGGTATCGTCTCCGTCACGGTAGACGGCCCAGTTGAAGTCTGACTGAAGGGTGCCTCTTGCATCGTTCTGGAGCGATTGAAGTTAGCATCAACTCATCGCTCCCAGGATAAGGTAACAAGCCATTCGCCGCATTTCACGCCTATGCTCGGCCATGGATGCCATAAAGGTCAATGACTGCACTCTCAATTTGGCGAGTCTAAGTGTATGAATAAAGGTGCCTGGACGAGCACCCTTTCCCTGGCCAATCTGGAACCACCCACGAACAACGATTGCGGCTAAAGCGTCAAAGGAAGTGTACTCACATCGCTGATAATGGACCATGACCGATTCAAAATCTCCATAGAACCGAGGAGGACGAAAGCGGCAGGGTGCGCCCTCGCCATTTCTAGGTAAAGTTTTGATAATTGCAGTAAGTGCTTAATGGCAAAGTGCTCTTCTCGCATGCTCAGAAATCGGCTCTGATGGTCTTGCAGCAACAGCCAGAACTGCTTGAGCTCGTCATTCCGGTGGTGGTGCTCAAAGCCAGACACTAGAAGACGGCGTAAAGTCTTCAAGGCTGTATGACTGTTTCGTGCTGAATCGGCATCAATGCCTGCGGTTAGATTCTTTGCCAACTTTCCAACAAGCGCGATATAGAGATTCCCAAGCACATGAAGGAGCTCTGAGGAGATCTGTTCCAGGGCCTTTTTCATCCGCTGCAATTTACCAGCTGCAAGCTCTTTGATGATCTGTAGAGTGATGACAAGGACATTAGAGGTGTATTGGTGCTCGATTAGATTGTCTGTTGCATTGCGAAGGTGCTGAATGAGGATTTTGAAGACGTCAGGCCAATCGTTGGGATACTCATACCGGACAATTTTCGCCAGCATGAGAGCATTCTGAAGAGCCAAGGCAGGTACAGACTCCTGCACGCCTGCCTCAATGGCTATTGATCGCATCTTCTCTTTGTCCTCTTTCGTAATAGCGTTCTGAGACTGCTTTCTCCAGTGCTTGTCGATGCCATTCTTGAGTTGTATGATGGCTTGGAATCGCACTTCTTGTGGGAGGGAAAAGTCCGCATAGAGACTTTGCAGCAAGACGTGATACCCTGGTGACCTTTCCCAATTGGCCAACTGCTGTGATGACACTTTGAGATTCTGGTGACCGGACAAGCTGTTGGCTATGGTGGATAGCAAGGCATCACGATTCAAAGGGTTTGCCTCGCCTTCAACTTCGATGGCGAATGAAGGCATTGTGTGACCAGAATTGACATGATACCGGAGTATCCTGGAGGGACTGGTATGTGACTTATGTTGGGGTTGAATGTGGGATGTTGGCCTCGATATACCTCGAAGCAGTAACCCAACAAGAAGGCAAACTTCAAGGTCGACGCCTGAAAATGACCAGAAACGCGGTACGGGAGTTAGTAGCGTGCCATTGGTGCAGCTAAGTTACGTGCATTAGCTCGTCTTGGCATTCTGGTGCCTCGGTCCGCTAGACTGCGCCGAACCCCAACATCGAGTTCTTTTTGCTTCGAGCATTATTCTTCTCAGGCGCTATGCACTGACCATGTCCGGTAGCAGCTTCGCCGCTGCTCAGCAACGTATACTCGAGCGACAAGCCGCCAGACAGCGTGAGGTCCAGATACGGCGAGCCGCTTTTGAAGAATCAGCTCGATCAAACCCCATTGCGCGTCTTCCGCGTCCGCTCAATCGCGCCGCAATACCACTGTCGTCATTATGGTCAACTCTTGTTGTTTCTGAAGGAACGAGACCGGCGTTTCGAGTGGGCCAGGTCGATGCAGAGCTCTTGGATGAAGAATTGATCACGCTGTTGAAAGGGCAAGTAGGAGAAGGCTTGAAATATTTCGGAGCCCATCTACAGGACGACTGGTCACAAGAAATTATTCTCGTGCTGAGGGCTTGTCTCTTCAAGCTGTCCTTTTGGGACAACAATGCTTCATATGGCGCGACATTGCAGAACCTGCGCTATGTGGATGCGCGAAGACCTATCTCGCTGCAAAGCAAGCCGACAGGTTTACAGAAAAGTCTGTACGGCTTCTTCACGGTCTTAGGAAGATACGGCTGGGACAGGTGGGAGAACTGGCTCATTGAGCAAGAGGGAGGATATGCTGCGCCTTCCGCGAGAGTACAGCGCCTGTCACGTTTGACATCGTGGATTTCTACGAGCCATTCGATTGCAGCATTCGCGTCGTTTCTTGTTTTTCTGGTGAACGGGCGCTACCGGACCTTGACCGATCGCATCCTCAGGCTCAGGCTTGTATCTCCGTCCAACCAGATCAGCCGCGAAGTGTCTTTCGAGTACCTGAATCGGCAGCTCGTCTGGCACGCATTCACCGAGTTTCTGCTGTTTCTATTACCGTTAGTCGGCATCGGGCGATGGAGGCGCTGGCTGACTAGGGCATGGAAGAAGACAAAGTCCATGGTACGATCTAACACGGAGACTGATGATAACGAAGACCGGATCAAATCTGGACCGCTATCATTCTTGCCTGAGAGAACGTGTGCCATCTGCTATCAGGACCAGAACCCTGCAACTATGTCAGAAGCGGAAATATTGGGCGCAAACACTGGCGCAAGCGGAGGCATCATTGGGTCTGCAGAGACCGACATCGTCAACCCCTACGAAACGATTCCTTGCAAGTGCATCTATTGTTTTGTGTGCATCGCAAGCAAGCTTGAAGCGGAAGAAGGCAATGGGTGGTTGTGTTTGCGCTGCGGTGAAGTTGTCTACCGATGCAAGCCTTGGGACGGCGATGTCTTGGTGGAGAAGAAACCGGCGAAGAGTGCAAAGACAGTTGGCTTCAGTGATGGCACCAATACGTCCGGCGAGGAACGGCCGGCTGAAATGAACGGGAATTCAGACGGTCAGGCGCTCGATCTGGAATCCAGTCAGTGGTCAGTTGCTGAAGCTGACTGAAGCTGGCTGAAGCAGGCAAAGCAGTCCACAACAATCCCCTTGAGAAACACCTGAGCGTACTCGTCCCCGTCCCGGTCCAACCCACTCGCACGTCTTGGAACTTGCCAAGGGAAAGCGAGAATGGTGGCTGCAGATCAATCGGTCCCGGATACCATGCCAGCATTGTTTGATCTATGTCACCGCACAGCAAGATCGATTCGAAGAGCGCAGTGACGGCTCCAGCACTAGTGTCAATCTTGCTTATCTCTGGTGAAGTGAGCTTCTGCAGCTCGAACACAAGCTTGAAGGTGAAGCAGGTACGACCCAGGAGCCTGATGTTAGGAAGAAGCGCCATACAGCAGCCTGTTTGCTGAGAGCTGATAGCAGAGGATAGCCCGAGACAACAAGATGCGAAGCCGAGACCTGGCCGCAGAAACGCCGGAGCTCGTGAAGAGGGGCGATCTACAGTGTCAAATTGGGACGATTGTCGGTTTCGACCAACAAGTCCGTGAGGAATGCCCCTCGGGAGGACGTTCAGAAGGCGAATACGCATGTAGACTAGGCACCGACTTCGCGAGAGATGCACAAAGGCAAAGAATACTGGTGGCCCTCGAATCAAAAGGGATTCGGGGGCTCCGATTTTCGAATAGCATGTCTTGAGTTCAAACAATGTCTGTTTGGTATCTACGTGCCTAGTCTTGCAGATCTTGCTTGGTCGTTCTCGCACCGCAGGCGTCTAACGAACTCTGTTACTCCACGACTTCTAGCATCTCGTTTCCCCCTTGACGCACGCTGTGTCTGCGGAAATTATGCATCGTGGTGGTCGTGGGCTTTCATTCTTCTCCATACGCCCGTCGCTCCGGAGGGCGGCTTCTGGCCCTACCTAAGTGGGGAAGAGCGTGTTGCGCATTCATATTATGGACATCGCCATCAGGTCCAGCGCCGTGGTGGTCGCAATCTGTGCTTCCCGGAGCTTCGTTGTTCCCGAAGCAGAGTGCTAGATGACGGGGCACCTGTTTGTGCATTCTTTTGTTTGGAGTAGCAGCGTCTCGCCACTACCAGGATCAGAATCACCGTTGCAGCACGCACCTCTCCAACACCTTCCCGACTGTGGGTAGTAGCTCCGCCACCTGATTCGCATCCCGCAACACGGCGGCAGCATCATCTCTCCTACTCGCCAGCGTGTTCCACACCACCTCGTACTTCTCTTCCTTCTCTAAGTACTCCCTGATCACCTCACCCTGCTCGAAGTCGACATAGACCCTTGTGTCCCGGATGCGCAGCAGCACATTGTCTAGCCGCATGAAGAACCGCTGCAGGAGAAGGAGCCTCGCTGGCATCACCCGTACTTTCACGTTCAGCATAGTAATGCCATTGTCGGCCAGCTCGTCCTCGTAGATTATTACGTCGTCAAAGAACAAGATAGGGTCGGGGCGTTTGAGGAGCTCCATTGGTATTTGTTTCTCTGTTGGCTCAAATTGCGGACCTTCGGGGGAAGTCTCGCCCTTGAAGTCCGTGGTATAGCTCCAATCGAACGGCTTCACGACCTCCTTGATATCATGACTGTCTTCCCGGCTCTGATGCCATTCTTTGGAGTAGCTGACTTTTAAGCGCTTCTCGCCCGTCTTGTCCACGCGATCGAGAGCGCCATAAGCGTCGAATTTGATACCGAATCTTGAGGGTGGGTGTTCGATGGCGACGAAGTTGTCGCCAAAGATCATTTCGGGAGGAGCAATGCCTAAGGAGTTGGTCATGCGTTCTATGGGTTCGGCTTTGAGGATAGGAAGCTTCTGCGTCGTGATGCGATATGAGTGTATGGAGTAGGTGCGGGGAGGAGCAGCGCCCGGCTCCGGATAGGTCGTATTAATGGGAGAACCCTCTACAGCCGCCATTGGGGGAGACGGCTTCGCGATCCGCAGAGCTTTGTTGGTGGAAGATGGTCAATGGCGGGGAGTTTGAGATGGAGGTGCCTCTGGGCAAAGACGGACCAGCCTGAATGCCTGCGCTTTGCGACTGTTCCAGGGGAGCAACGCTATCTGCCAAATAGCTTACACAGGATTGGAAGACGCCGAAATAATTAAATGTCTGGATGAATACTACACCCGCAACATGTCTACCAGTCCCTCGCCGCCGCCCGCAGATGTGGGAGCATCCGCTTATCGATAGTGTCACTAAACAGGGCTTAGCTTGGTTGAGCCACTCCGCAACTCTGTGGCTTCGGCATTAGTGCCTACTCAAGTATTTTCTATCTTGCTGCTTTTGTTTGCACGTCTTTATATCTGGAAGACTCAGCACCCGGACGTCACAGACAGGAAAATACTGTTGTCAGGACCAGAAAAGATGTCGCCAGGCGACTCCCGTTTGATGCCCACCATGACTGCGGCATTTAAGTCAGTGACTATGGTGCCATTCAATTCATACCCAGCCAAGAGCTTCATCAAGGCTTGATGCATCGCGTATACCTCTTCGACTCGAACACAGTCGAGAGCTAAGCGAGTGTCTCGCAAGGGGTCGTCAACATGCTCAGAAACAGCCCACGCGGTTGACGAGCAGACTTCCGACACTGTCGACGCTTCATGGAAGCATGTGGAACACCTTGGCACCATTGGTTTGATCGACAAGACGTTCAAACAACGACCACCAGGTTAGAGCTGCCCTTCCTCCTTCGTACGACCTTCATTCTCCTCGCGAGACCTCGCTTCTTCCCCGCCTCACTACCACCCCTGCCATTGGCGCAGAAGAGCCGTAGCCTTGGATATTGCTTTGACAAATTCGCGATTCCCCATCTGCAGCATGTTCGGTTTCAACCAGCATCAGCACAAATGCCGTGTGGGTATTCATGAGTGACTGCATGTGTGATGTTATCCTAACGACCGACACTGGCTTTTAGACAACTAGTAGAGGCTAGGGTTTCTGACGCTGCTGCGTCCCAGCAACTGACACTCCACTGAGCAGAGCTAGGGGTTTGCAACCCTCAATTCCTTACTGAAGCTGCTGCATCCTAGCAACTGACACTCCGCTGAGCAGAGCTAGGGGTTTACAACCATCAATTCCAAATCGTTTCCTCCAGGCCGGCTATATAGCTTCGAGTCCTTCGACAGCAGATGTCAATTGTTTATCCTTCACTGCTTTGCTACTTCTTCCACCATCTTCTTTCATTCTCTTCCACGTCATAAGTCGTTCCTGGAGAACTGACAAGTCGTTCTTTTGTTCAGTCGTCAATTCCTGGAGAATCGGCGCAACATCATTCTTTTCATTCGATCTTTACGAAGTTCAAGCAGCCACATTCATTATGAAGTACTCCGTTGCTCTGGCATTAGCCGCCACGGCTCCTGTCTTCGCCGCTCCTCATCCTGGCAGACTTTTCGCTAGGCAAGAGCAGGCTGCCGCTGCTCTTGCCGCTGCGGCGGCGGAACAGCAAGTGGCGACTGTGTCCGCCACCGCCGAGGCCGCAGCCGAAATCACTGCCGCCGCTGTCGCTACCGACGTAGTTGTGGCCACTGCCACCGACGACGTCGAAGTCGCCACCGCAACCGATAATCAGGCTTTGGAATGCTCAGCAGTACCTTGGGCCCAGCAGTTTGGCGAGCCTGGATTTGCCTCCATCAGTGCAGTCCAAGATGGTCAGGTTGATGCTGAGCTCATTGCGCAGCAGGCCAACGTACCAGATGCCATCAAGAACGACATGAATGTGGTTCAGGCTGTTCAAAGGGCTACCAATGACGTGATGGCCGCACAACAACGCGCGCAGGACGAGATTCTCGCCTGCCAGCAGACCGCAGCCCGCAATATGCGCGTTGCCCAGGAGAAAGCTGCGGCCGAAGTCAGAGCTGCCCTGCAACAGGGTCTGCTCAAGGCACTGCAGGATGCCCAAGCACAAGAGGCCGACCTTCAAAAGGCCGAGCAGGATGCTGCTCAGGCCGAACAGGATGCTGCGGACGCCGCGGCTGCGAAGAAGCAAGCCAAGGAAGAGGAAGCTGCTGAGGCTCAAAAGAAAGCCGAGGAAGCTCAAAAGGAAGCGGATGATGTCGACGCGGAAACCGAAGCTGTGGCAACCGCTACAGCCGAAGTGGACGCCGCCACCGAGACCGCTGTCGCAGAGGCTGCTGTTGTTGAGAATGCAACTGCTATCGCTGAAACCGCTTTGGCTCAAGAGACTGCCCTCGCCACGGCCACGGCCATCGTGGAAGAAGCTGCCGCCGTGAACACTGCTGCCGCACTTGAGACTGCAGCTGACGAGATTGCGATTCAGACTGCCACTGAGGCCGCTGCAGTCGAGACGGCGGCAGCGAATCCCAGGAAGGGTGTCCAGGCTCTCAAGCCTGAGGAGATGATCGAACAAAACGTGCAAGAGGAGGAAGAGGCCGGTGACAAGCTCATTGGTGGCATTGGTGCTGGCAAGGCTGACGGTGGCTTCTTGGGTGGTCTCTTGGACCGACTTGGCCAGATTGGTGCGGCTCGCCCTGCTGAATCTGCTGCTCACCCTGCCCCTCCCGCCGCCGGTCTTGCTGCAGGTGCCGCACACCCTGCAGCTCCTGCAGAGGCCGCTGTCGAGCAATAGAAGGGGATCGCGCAATCTCCTACTGTCATGAAGCCGGTCGATGTAAGAGAGACAGCAGCAGTTGGTGCGAGGAAGTGATCCCACTTTGTTGAGAACATGAGGTGGAAGAATTCAGGGAGATTTGAGGAGGGCTTGATGCCTTGATGTTCAGTTCTTTCCGACCATATGTTCTCAGTCATGGAAACGTGTTACGCAGCTATGTAAAAGCAGATATGAACTATGCCACTGCAGACAACAAGACTCTCCTGGTTTCCACGCATCCTACTCAGCGGCGATGTAACCCTCTGATCCTCATGACTCCAACGATAGGCCCGTACGAAGCTGTTGTTAGTAGCATGGTTTAGCGGTTGTAATCTCCGTAACAGGGGTCTCAGTGGCAGCTCTCTCGCAATGACTGACATCAATTCTCGCTGTCATGGATCGTACTTTGATCAAAAAGGTATCCTGGCTTCGGAATTTTTGATTGTCTGACTTGAAACCGGAAGAATACTTTCAGTAGAATCATCGCACGCTCTATTCGCGTGTTATCTTTTTGGAAGCGTAGGGGGTTTGTGTATAGTGATGGAAGCTCCAGAACACTCATCTTAGCTCATAACACGGTAGACAAAGTTCTAGGTAACAACGGCGATTGCGCGTCGCAAGCTCTATCGATAATTGTCTAGCGCTGAGCCGATCGTTCTATATAACGCAGAGAATATGCCGAAGTTGAGACAGACCAGCCCCGGCGAAATAAGGTAAGGCTGAATCTGGCAAGTTTAGGGGCGCTTACATCTCTTGGCCGTTAGTTGCCCCTAACAACGCCGCCGCGTTCCCCACTGTTTAACTGACCCCATTCGACCATCCGGGCTCGCTCTCTTCACTCCCAACGATACGACAACAGCACAACTATACAGCAAGACGGCGTAGAGTGTCGGAAATTATCATTTTCACAATGGCTGCCAAAACTCTCGAAGCGCGCTTCGAGCATCTCTCCGTCCACGACGAAAACGAAGCCCCAAACAATGGTTCTACCATGCTGAAGTCCAAGGTATGGAGCTCGTTGGCTATCTCTGGAACCAGCAGCTGATGATGTGCGACAGGTGACGGCTACTTCTGCAATGGCTGCTTCAGGTATCGCACCTAGCCAAAGCCGAACGAATCTCGTCAAATACGCTCTGCAGCAGAGTAACGAGTCGAGGCAGAATGCGGCACAAGTCGCTACTGTCACAACCACCACCACAGTCCCGACCTTACCTCCATCTCCTGTCCGCAAGCCGGTCCCATCTCGTTCCTCGGAAGAGAGCGCGGGGTCTGTTCAGCGTTCTTCTGATCCTGCTACGCTCTTTCACCAACAAGACCCAAAAAAGTTCCATCTAGGCATGTTTGAGATCGGCAAGCCGTTAGGGAAGGGCAAGTTCGGTAGAGTCTATCTAGCGAGAGAGCGGACATCGGGGTTTGTGTGTGCCTTAAAGGTGCTACACAAGTCCGAGCTTCAGCAAGGCAAGGTTGAGAAACAAGTGAGGCGAGAGATCGAAATTCAGTCCAACCTACGACATCCGAACATCTTGCGACTGTACGGTCACTTCCACGACAGCAAGCGTGTCTTCCTTATCCTCGAATTTGCCGGCAAGGGCGAGCTGTACAAGCACTTGCGAAAAGAGCACCGCTTCCCGGAGTGGAAAGCCGCACAGTATATTGCTCAGATGGCAGCTGCGCTCAAGTACCTGCACAAGAAGCATGTTATGCATCGAGATATCAAGCCCGAAAACATCCTCGTGGGCATTCATGGCGAAATCAAGATCTCGGATTTCGGCTGGTCAGTACACGCACCAAACAACCGGCGACAGACCATGTGCGGTACTCTTGATTACCTACCACCCGAGATGCTGCGGCCCGGCAGCTCTGACAACTACTACAACGAAAAGGTCGACTTGTGGAGTTTGGGCGTGCTGACATACGAGTTCTTGGTTGGAGAGGCGCCATTCGAAGACACACCGGTTATGACCCAGAGGAGGATAGCCAAGGCTGACATGAAGGTGCCGAGCTTCGTGAGCCCTGAAGGCAGGGATCTGATCATGAAGGTGAGCAATTCAGACAGCATTCCGAGCCACTTGCTAACATTGTGCAGCTTCTCGTACTGGACCCCGAGAAGAGAATACCACTGGAGGATGTCGAGCGACATCCATGGATTGTGAAGCACTGTGCGACAAAAGGCGGCGAGCGCGGCGCCCTTAGGGCTAGCCAGGAGAGCAATGAGCGATGACAGGACGATGGATTTACGAATCTCCTTAATTGTTCAGTTGGGTTTCACGGATAGGATGCGGATCGAATGCGTGGACTTCCTGGAAAGCAAAGATTGTTCCCGGCGCGAAACATCCAGTCATGCGCCAATCAATGCGGCAAATGTTCATTGGGTCGATGTACTTTCTCTTTCTGCCAGCTAAATCATGGCTATACCTGCTGGTTGCAATACTTGTCCTATCGAGCCTCAATTTCCGACTCCTCACGAGATACCGTGATCGAGCCTACTGTCAACAGTCGGTCTAGACTTTTTCGTACGTCATCTTAGGCAATCAGCCAGTCTAGTTCTCGGTTTATGGCAGCACTTAGGGTGGTCCGATGGATCCAGGCGACGGAGAATATTTGAGTCTAACCGCAACAGGAAACTGGCAGATGGAAACGCGGATGACTCTGGACCCATTCCTCGCATGAAAGCGCCTCGACACTACGAGATGATTGGACCATCAACGTCACTTATGAGTCTAATACGAGCGACCATAGGATATGGCCTGCCACTCTGCCATATACATATGCTGACCATACCTATGGCCTCATGGTAAGATCACTTCGCTCACAGCACTAAATACCTCCTGTTCGACAGGCGTACACCTTGGAATCTGATTTCTCCAGTGCTTACAGACTTCCAACACTGATGGTCCTGGTCGGCAGCAGTACCACTGCTACTGCCACTACAACTATGGGAGCCGATGCAGATCGACACAACTATCCGCACAGTCGAGGACCGACTCCCGACGACAATGAACACAGCGTTAATGACCGGTTATCTCCCAGCATAGATCACGGTTTGGATGAGTCGCAGTGTTTATTCTGCAACCAAATGGAATCGGACCTGCACCAGAATCTGGCACACATGTCAAAGTCACATGGATTATATGTGGATCTAACGAATCTGCTAGTGGACGTGGGCACGCTCCTCTCCTACTTTCACACCGTCATTGCCGGATGCCATGAATGTCTCTATTGTGGAACGCAGCGGAGTACTCTCCAGGCAGTGCAGCAACACATGATGGCGAAAGGGCATTGTAAATATGATACCGCCGACGAGGTCGTTCGAGACTTTTATGACAGTCCCCCGTCGACTGCAATGGAGGAACTGCGCACGCGCTTCTCGGACGACCCTCAACTCATACCACATGCCAGATCGAGGAAGGCACGGCCACCGAAGCATTCGGCCAGGCAGGATACCAACACCACAGCCGCCCTTGTCAGCCAAGTAGACCAGAGGCCGAGACCGTCCTCACAACACGATACCGAGCTAAGATCAGACGCTAACGAGCAGCCGTCTCGTTCTCTCAGTGAATTGAGCACACGAGCGCTGAAGCAAGAACACACGCTCAACCACCAACTCACACAACTTCGTGCCAGTGACCGGAGGAGTCTTGCACATCTACCAGCTTCACAGAAAAGAGCAATACTTGCAACACATCATCAACAGATGGAGAAGGCCAGGAGGACGGAGCAAGCACAACGGGGAAACCTGGAAAGTGCAGGAAACCACTTCAGTCGTCTGGGGACAATTAGGCTGATCCGGAAACCTCCGCACACGGGGAACGTCCACAGTTTGAACCGGTGAATCAATTGGGCCCAAGAAATGTAATATAGGAAAGGCCTTTTCGATCACTGCTGGTGAAGGAGCTTCGAAGTACAGCCAATTACGCACACGGTACAACACGGCGGGCTCTGCACCCGCACGAGGCGAGTTAATGTAATTAATCGGAGAAATAATGAAAGCGTCAGATTTCTCCCAATAAAAATGTTGCTGTCCATCAGTTCTCCGACTGCGGAGCAATGACGCACAGTTTCGATATCGGATCTTTTGGTAACACTGACGAATATACTTATCGTTGATCGAAGTGCGACACATAGACACCTGAACCTGACAAGTCTCGATGCTACGGGTTGGCTAATAGCGAGGAGAGAAGTCCGTCCAGAAAGCCCAGGATTCGTTCTTTGAAGACCCTCCAGAACAATATTCGGTCGCGGAGTTCTCCCTCCGCCATATCAGCAGCTTCATATATTACTGTCGCTTTTAATCGTGCCATCAGCTTCAGCAATTGGCGGATCCTCACCAGCTCTGAATCGTCTGTGCAACGCAAGACCAAAAGTGAAGCAGGATGGGGGACGACGGAGGCAGCACAGAGCGGGGCATCCGCATTGCCATTGATGTAGGTACCTCGCCGCTATCTTGCTCTGCACTACTAAACAGTCTACCAGCGAGGTGGCACCTTCACCGACTGCGTAGGAAATCCCGGCACAGGTAAGATGGAAGACGACATCATCATCAAGCTGCTTTCAGAGGACCCCGCCAACTACAACGATGCGCCGCTCGAAGGCATCCGACGACTAATGTCAAAGTTTACGGGGCGAGAGATCCCTCGCGGTGAGCCTTTGGACACCGCCAAAATCGAGTCTATCCGAATGGGCACAACAGTCGCTACCAATGCACTACTCGAGCGAAAAGGTGAGAAGATGGCCATGGTCGTCACCAAGGGCTTCAAGGACTGCCTCGAGATCGGCAACCAGAGCCGGCCGAAGATCTTTGACCTTGCCATCCGCAGACCGGACGTGCTGTATCAAAAGGTCGTGGAGATCGACGAGCGAGTGACACTCGAAGACTATGCCGAGGATCCTCACCGGAACCAGACCAAAACCGAGGCGAAGCATGACCAGCATGAGAAGCATGAGCTCGTGCAAGGGCTCTCAGGTGAAGCTGTCAGGATCATGAGGAGACCAACGGAGCAGCACATCAAGGAGAAGCTTCAAGGTCTGTATGATGAGGGTTTTAGAAGTATCGCTGTGTGCTTGATGCATGGCTACACCTTCCCTGCCCATGAGGCACTGATTGGTAAGGTTGCCGGAGACATCGGGTTTGACCATGTCAGTCTCAGCCACCAGCTGATGCCCATGATCAAATTGGTTCCTAGAGCCACTTCTGCATGTGCGGATGCATATCTAACGCCTGCGATAAAGAAGTACATCGCAGGGTTCGAAGCAGGGTTTGAGGGTGGCTTGGGCACGGAGAGCGTGAAGAAGGAGTCTGGCGCTAAAGGCGCCCGGTGCGAATTCATGCAGTCGGACGGTGGCTTGGTCGATGTCGACAAGTTCTCTGGACTACGGGCGATTTTATCAGGGCCTGCAGGTGGCGTTGTTGGCTACGCCCTGACATCCTATGATCCCGAGACCAAGACACCCGTCATTGGCTTCGATATGGGCGGCACATCCACTGATGTATCCCGATATGGGTCGGGCCGCTACGAGCACGTCTTCGAGACAACAACGGCCGGAGTTACCATTCAGTCTCCCCAGCTTGACATCAACACCGTTGCCGCAGGTGGTGGTTCTCGGCTATTCTTCCGAAATGGTCTCTTCGTTGTTGGTCCCGAGTCTGCTGGCGCCCACCCCGGTCCTGCTTGCTACCGTAAAGAGGGCCCCTTGACGGTTACCGACGCGAATCTCTTCCTTGGCCGTCTCCTGCCAGAGTTCTTCCCCAAAATATTTGGCAAGAATGAAGACGAAGGCCTTGATCCTGATGCCAGCAAGAAGCTCTTTGAGGAGCTTACCGACCAAATTAACAAAGAGACCGGCAAGAGGATGTCGGCAGATGAAGTCGCATACGGCTTCATCAAGATTGCCAACGAGACTATGACCAGGCCAATCCGATCTCTTACAGAAGCCAAAGGTCACGATACGTCGCAGCACCGTCTCGCAACTTTTGGCGGTGCTGGGGGTCAACATGCTGTTGCGATCGCCGAGTCGCTTGGTATACGCCAGATCCTGGTACACCGCTACTCCTCTGTCCTCTCTGCTTACGGCATGGCTCTCGCTGATGTAGTCGATGAATCGCAAGTCCCCGAGTCTCAGGTCTGGGACATTCAAGGCGGTGCCCGCGAAAATCTCAAGTCGAAGATGAACGAGCTCAAGGAACGCTCTCGCAAGCGTCTCAACGACCAAGGATTCTCTGACGAGAACATCGAGTATGAAGAGTACCTCAACATGCGCTATCGGGGAACAGAATCAGCACTGATGGTGATCCGCCCCTCCGCCGAGGAGGCCAAAGAGCACCACTCTGATGATGATTGGGCCTTCGGTGCGGCTTTTGTCAAACAGCACGAGCAGGAATTTGGATTCACACTTCCAGACCGGGACATTATCATTGATGACGTTCGTGTGCGTGGGATCGGAAAGTCTCAAGGTGGAATGGACAAGACTGCAGACCAACAGCTCAAGGAGATCATACCTACGGAGGTATCGAAAGACAAGGTTCATTCCTCTGCGGATGTGTACTTCGAAGGTGGCAGGCAAACAACCTCGATTTACAAGCTCGAGGACCTCGCCATCGGCGACAAGATTCCAGGCCCCGCCATTATTGCGGACGGCACGCAGACCATTGTTGTCACCCCTGGTGCGTCCGCCACAATTATCGCCACACACGTTATAATCAACATTGGCGACGAGGAGTCAGCCAAAAAGCCCAACGCCACCGAGATGGACCCCATCCTCCTCTCCATCTTCGCACACCGCTTCATGGCCATCGCCGAGCAGATGGGCCGCGCTTTGCAGAAGACGTCGGTCAGCACCAACGTCAAGGAACGCCTTGACTACAGCTGCGCGCTCTTTGACGCCGAGGGCGGCCTGGTCGCCAACGCCCCGCATCTGCCTGTGCACCTGGGTAGCATGTCCACATGCGTACGCACGCAGGCGGCGATCTGGAAGGGCAAGCTGAAGCGCGGAGACGTGATCGTGTCCAACCACCCGGAATTCGGCGGCACACATCTGCCGGACATCACGGTCGTGACGCCAGCATTCTCCAACAATGGCGAGATCGTCTTCTACGTCGCCAGCCGCGCGCACCACGCGGACATTGGCGGCATCCTACCCGGGAGCATGCCACCGCACAGCCGGGAGCTGTACCAGGAGGGCGCGGCCATCAAGTCGGAGAAGCTGGTGAGCGAAGGCAAATTCAACGAGGCGCGCATCACGGAGCTGCTGTATGATGAGCCGGCGCAGTACCCAGAGTGCTCGGGCACGCGGTGCCTGGCAGACAACATCAACGACCTGAAGGCGCAGGTGGCCGCGAACCAAAAGGGCATCAACCTCATCTCGACGCTGATCGACGACTACGGCGAGGAGGTCGTGCAGTTCTACATGCACGGCATCCAGGACAACGCGGAGCGCTCGGTGCGCGAGCTGCTGAAGGACGTGAGCCGCCGCTTCGCCGGCAAGGACCTGCACGCCGTGGACTACATGGACGACGGCAGCCCGATCGAGCTCAAGGTCAGCATCGACGCGGAGAAAGGCGAGGCCGTGTTCGACTTTGAAGGCACGGGCCCGGAGGTGTACGCCAACATCAACGCGCCCGAGGCCGTGACGTACAGCGCCATCATCTACTGCCTCCGCTGCCTGATCGATCAGGACATCCCGCTCAACCAGGGGTGTCTGAAGCCGATCAACGTCCGCATCCCCGAGGGCTGCTTCCTGAGTCCGAGCGAGAAGGCCGCGGTCGTGGGCGGGAACGTGCTGACAAGCCAGCGCGTCACGGACGTGGTGTTCAAGTGCTTCGAAGCGTGCGCCGCGAGTCAGGGCGATTGCAACAATCTGACCTTCGGCTATGGTGGGAACTTGAAGGGTAGTAAGGAGGAGAAAGGGTTTGGGTATTATGAGACCATTGCTGGTGGCAGCGGGGCGGGTAAGGACTGGGAGGGCACGTCGGGCGTGCATACGCACATGACGAACACGAGAATCACGGACGCAGAGGTGTTTGAGAGGCGGTATCCTGTCATCTTGCGGCGGTTCGAATTGAGGCCGGGGAGTGGCGGCATTGGGCAGCACAAGGGTGGTGATGGTGTAGTGAGAGACATCGAGTTTCGGATTCCGGTGCAGGTCAGCATATTGAGCGAGCGCAGGGTTTATAGACCGTATGGCATGCATGGGGGTGGGGATGCACAGTGTGGAAAGAATGTATGGGTCAGGAGGGTGAAGAAGTTGCAGGGGAAGGGCAGCGGGGGCGAGCATGAGGGAAAGAGGCGGGAGGAGGGCGAGCATGAGTATGAAGAGCGATTAGTGAGTATGGGCGCGAAGAACACTGCTAGCATGCAGCCTGGTGAGAGAATCATTGTGGTAAGCCGATCGCTCCTGATGCAAGGAGACATACTGATGTCGTGCAGATGACTCCCGGTGGTGGCGGTTATGGTGCTGTGAAGGACGAGAAAAACGTACGGCCGCGAGAAGATCATGAGCGGAAGTGGGCCAAAGGTTCGGTCGCATCGAGGGTGGCCGAGTGGGAGAGTAGCAGCTAGACAGAATATGTCATCTTGTAGATGCCATGTTACAGGGCTGATGAACGCATGCTTTGATGCTTGATGTACAGTTTTCCGAGGACCGCCAGGCCGTTTCCGAATGGGCTCGCATGCCCTTGAACGCCGTCAAGTTCCATTTGAAGACAAGGATGCCAGCGCTTGGTCTTAGTCCTCGTCCTCATCGCTCGTTGCTTCAATATTCGACCTCTGGAGTGCCTTCCCGTCTGCATCGTCATCACTCTCAGCTTGTCCCTCCGCAGGGGCAGGCTTGCTCGCACCATAGTCTGGCCGAGGCACATCCTCGCCCTTCTCCCTGAGAATATCTTCGATTTGTGGCATGAGTGCGATAAGTGCAGAATATTGTTCCAACGTGAGACTAATGCCCTGTAACCCATTAGCATGCCGCCATCGGGTGTCTTGGGTCAACACTCGTGCCTTCTTTCCTGGTAATTGCTTGCCATTGGCCTCGTAGTATTCGCGAATGTTGATCATGGTCATCTTCTTGAATTCCGAGACAGTAACGCGTCGCATCTTCGAGATTTCCCAGTACTTGTCGCCATTGTCGTCGATTTGGGGTTCGACCGAGGCTTGGAACGTCGACTTACCACCCTTGCCGCGCTTAGTGGGGCGGTCGTCGTCACTAGCAACGACCTCGTCGCTTTTGGGGTTGGACTTGCGCTTGAAGCCGGCCATAGTATTGTCTGGCTGATAGGTGCATCGGCGCAAGCGCAGTGAGATCTCGCGTCTTTCTCCAAATGACTCGTGCCCCCGCGGTCTCAGTCACGTGATATGCTGCTCCGAGACCTCAATCAGGACTCACCCATGCACCTGCCTTACTACTGCTTCATCTTAGGAACCTCAAAACCTGTCCGACTTTGACTGTTTGACCACAGTATCAATGCAAGCAATCTGTGTCAAGCAAGACCTCGTCATTGAAAGGGTGATCAAGATACGCACACCCGGCCTGATATATATGACGCTAAAGAAGTCATAAGCAACCCGCAAGACAGCTCGCTCAAATCCTGGGGTATCATGCCCTAAGGGAGGTCAGTGCTGTGGAAGCCGTCGTTCCCAAATGATCCGCAGTTGGGCGAGGTGCTGCGAGAAAGGGGGGCACTAAAAATGTCTGGCGATGGGTACTTGCCAAGCATTTCGATCATGCCATCTTAGAAATACTCGTTTTTTCATGTTTGTCCAACTAGGTAGGCTGCAACCTCTTCGAGTCTTGTGTGGTAAGTCTTGTTGTGCCCAGAGATAACATGAGGCTCGGCTGCCTCAAGATGCGCTTTTCACGAGTTGTCCCGAGCGCCCGGATCGTTGCACAGTCAACAGTAAAAGGTTCAGACCAGCAGAGGTCAAGGTTTTTCGCGTCAGTGGCCAGCCAGATCCCTGCGACCTCGGCTTCCCGAAACCACAAGGTGGTTATAGTCGGCGGCGGTAGTGCCGGTCTTGCCGTCAGCAGCCAGCTAATCCGATCTGGCAAATTCGCAGCGAACGACATTGCATTAGTCGATCCGGCGGAATCACACCATTATCAGCCGGGTTGGACACTGGTGGGAGGTGGTCTGAAGAACAAAGAGGACCTCAGACGACCGTTGGGAACGCTGATCCAGCCCAAAGTTCGCTTCTACAATACTGCGGTCCGTCAGTTCGATCCCGAGCAGAACTCAATATCTTTCAACAACGGCGACGAGTGCAACTATGAGCACCTCATTGTTTGTCCTGGTATCAATGTCGATTTTGACACCATCAAAGGTCTGCGAGAAGCAGTGAACGACCCACATGCACCGGTCTCCTCGATTTATAGTTACGACACATGCGACAAGACCCACCGCAATATCAAAGCCTTCAAGAGCGGCCAGGCACTGTTCACCCATCCTACTGGCCCCGTCAAATGCGCCGGAGCGCCTCAAAAAATCATGTGGTTGGCACTCGACGGCTGGAAGCGGGCAGGTCTGTACGACCCCACTGACACTTCCAAATCAGCGATACAGATTACCTTTGCAACAGGCATGCCTGTGATGTTTGGAGTCCCTAAGTACAGTCACAAGCTTGACGAGCTTCGGCAAGAAAGGGGTGTTGAGGCGCTCTTCCAACATGATCTCGTTGCTATCGAAGGCAACACAGCAATATTGGCGAAAGCTGACGGAAAGGACTTGGTCAAGAAGCACTTTGATATGTTACACGCTGTGCCTAAGATGCAACCGCATACGTTTGTCCGAGACAGTCCTCTATCCAACGAGACAGGGTTCGTGGATGTCAGTGAGAGTACACTCCGTCATAAGAAGTTTGATAATGTCTGGGCTTGTGGCGATGCTGCTGGGCTATCCACAGCAAAGACAGCGGCCGCTATAACAGCCCAGGCACCTGTTATGGTCTCGAATCTGCTGGCAGCGTTGGAGGGAAGGGATCCGCAAGCTAGTTATGACGGTTACACATCCTGTCCCTTGCTCACCGAATACGGCAAGGTCATGCTTGCCGAGTTCGGGTACGGCGGTAAGCCCAAAGAAACATTTGGGAACTTTGTCGATCAGAGCACGCCACGGCGCGAGTTTTATCATTTGAAGAAGGACTTCTTCCCTTGGGTCTACTACAACTCCATGGTGAAGGGAACATGGGCTGGGCCAAAAGGCTGGAAATGGTAGTCAGCATCTGAACCTGATATGTAACGTATAGATAGAGGCTCTCTGAGGTGCATTGTGGTACTAGTAAGAAGCTTGCTTCTGTATCGGTGTCCTCGTCCGCGATCAGAATCGAGAGCAGATTCTCTGCATACAACATGTAAAATGAATGCATCCCCGTGTCAGGGCTCAAAGTGCAGCCTGGCCGCTTGATCCAATATGATCTTTCAAGACGCAACGGAGGATGGTTCGAAACATATGCTAAATAAACATGTTGCGATACGCGGCTCTCAAGTTGTAAGGGAGTGTAGCGTACCAGGCTCGAGTATGTAATGGACGTTGTAAATACTCGTCGAAGTAAAACGTCAACTGAGTACTATATGCAGTGGTGGCCGCTCTGGGTAACCCAACACGGAAAAAACGAGCGGCCAGAAAATTGATCTGATAACACGTCATCGGCCATTCTCATTGGTCTGGAAGCCTCGGCTAACCTGCTCTGAGCGGAAGGCGCGGGCGAGACGATTGGGTCAAGGCGACCCTGTTTCCCCGGCCGAAATAATGATATCAATCCTCAATCATATTCTATCTTTCTCCCTAACCTACAACCACACCTGACACTTTCATAATCCCCCGCCATTCGATCTGTACAGCTTTTGCACGAGTACACTGACTCAACAAAGCACACACATCTCCGCCATCATGTCGCGAAGAACACTCAGCATGCTCCCCCGCACTATCGCCTCCCTCTCAACGCCCGCCATCCGCCCATCACTCTCACAAACCGCCTCCCCCCTTCTCAGACCCGCAGCGACACAGCCGCAACGACGAAACTACCACGAGAAGGTGCTCGACCACTACTCTAATCCTCGCAATGTTGGCTCGATGAACAAGAATGATGGCGATGTCGGAACAGGTACGTAATCTGCGGACACTCCGAAGTCAGCTCGGCCGAAGCTTCTGCTTCAACCCCGAGCCTTCAACACATCCCGATATCCCCAACTAACATCTCCCGCTAGGCCTTGTCGGCGCTCCCGCATGCGGCGATGTGATGAAGCTGCAAATCAAAGTTGATGGCAACACCAATACCATCTCCGATGTCAAATTCAAGACCTTTGGCTGCGGCTCCGCCATCGCCTCCTCGTCATACCTCACCGAGCTCGTTCGCGGTATGACACTCGAGCAAGCGTCGCGTATCAAGAACACCGAGATTGCCAAGGAGTTGTGCTTGCCACCTGTCAAGCTTCATTGCTCGATGTTGGCGGAAGATGCCATCAAGAGCGCGATCAGCAATTATTATACGAAGAATCCCGAGGCCAAGAAGACGGACTTGGGAATGGGCGGCAAGCAGATGCCTAAGATCGAAATCGAGAAGGTCACGACGCAGACTGATACCGGAGCAGAGGCAACGGCTTAGGGCTTGGAGGGAGAATGTGGTGATCGAGGTGGACATGAATTTGCCACTGCATTGATGGGAGGACAAGGCGCTCGGTGTTGAGGATACCGTTTATACCCATCCCAATCCAGGGATTTACGACCGTCAGCCGGCTGGTGGTATCGCCGTTGGGGTGCCGGACAAGGCCGCCATCGCACGAGCCATTCAGCCACACTCGGATCGAATTTGTATACGACCTAAAAGCTTGAGTGCTACTGATCACTCGCTACTTCTGTATCTCCGTGGAAGCCATTCATAGCATTCGTAGCGTTAGCAAACGTAATGCTAAGCATGAAATCGAGCATGTTCTCGCGCTAAAACCGTGCAGGTTCAATTCACGAACAAACTATAGAATCAATTTCCCGTAGCAGAGCTGACCACGAGCAACGCAGTTCAAAGCAACAGGGCCACTTGGACGGATCTTGCTCCGGGTTTCGGAATTGTTCTGTCTACGTCTAATACCAAGCAATACCCGCCTAATTACGGCGATCGTGTGCGCACGAAGCGCGATAGAGTGCCCGTCCGATCGACACGTCTGCCTCTCTGACCCATATTCATATTCGTTATGTCGTAGAGTCGTGTGCCTCTTTGCATGTGGAAGCCTCGAAGTGCGGTCGCGATGGCTGCTTCCTCCAGTGCTATGGGCTGCACAACGTCGGGGTCGTAAAACCTGTATTGAATCACGTTGGAATTCATGGTCCTCCCATGTCTTCGTCGGATGTGCCCTCTACAGACGGCATGACGGAGGTTGGACCGCTGCTACCCATCAGCGAGCTCGCCAGCGAGTTAGGCGGATTTTGAAACCCGCTGTTATGTCCCGTAGCCGTTGCAACAAGGGACTCGCCTGCACCATCATTGAACGATGGTATCACAGCGGGTGCGTCGAAGAAATAATTTGTCGGAACCGAGCTCGAGTTCGAGTAGAGAGTGGTGCTCTGCTGCGTTATCGATTGATGAAGCTTGAACATGCCGGCCTTCGGGCCGAACTAAAGCTCATCGGCCATCATGTCCTCGTCCATCTCATCAAGCGTAGCCGACGGCTTTGAGCCTGGGCCCTTCTTATTATCATCGTCGCGGTTCTTCTTCAGCTTTTTCAGCGTGTCGATGTGTTCCTTGCTGATTTCCATACAATATTCGGCGTCACCAACATGTTTGATGAGCGCATGCAGCAGCTGCGAACGGCTGTTCAGCTGCTGTTCAGTTGCGGCTTCCGATCGAGTACTGGTTGCTTCGGGGAGGAACCGAAGGATCTGATCCGAACCGTCCTGACTAGGCGTTATGGTGGCTCGCAGCTCACCAGTAGAGATGAGATTCTGAAGGTATACTTGAATAGGCGTGCCATTCTGATCTGGTGGCAGTTGTGCCTCGACGTGCGACACGTTGACTGATGCGAAAAGCTTGGCCATTCTTAGAACAGAGTACTTGCGATGGGCCTGCAACACTTCCATCACCAGCCCCATGTTGCAGTCCTCCTGCCATACGGTCTGACCCTCATTGGCCTCCGCAAAAAGTCGTTGGGGCTCGCGCTGTTTGAAGGTCTCGGCAAGGCAGTCGTACGGTTTAGCGAGGGTGCGGACATTGCGCATGGTCGCCTGGTATGCCGGCCGTGGGTATTCGGGTAGATAGCCAAGGATCAGTAGATTGAGCAGAACCCACTTCTTGTAAGCTTCCACGGCAAGCAAACTAGTCACGCCGCTTGCAGTAGGTGCAATGAGGATCACTTCAAGAAGTGGAATGGCCTTGGAGTATTGACCTAGGGCCATGTAGCACAAGGCACACATGAAGTTGTAGTCCAAGAACATTCTGCTCGTGATCTTTTGCGTCAAGCCTGAGGCAAGTGTAATGTAGCTGGCGCTCGAGTCTTGTACCGAACAACGGTATTTGTATGCTCTCGCTTCCACTTGCTTGTCTATACTTGCCGGAATGTGATAGATCGGTCTGTCGATGATGTTGAGTGCATCAGCGTACGCTCTAGCTCGTAAGCACAGGCGAACGTAGATGTGGTGTGTTGAAGTGAAAGTGGATGAGGAAGTGTCCAGTCGGAGGATGACATTGCTAAGGAGTTGTATTGCCGGTACATAGTTCTGTGTCTGCTCTGCACCAATACCGACGACAGTGACGATTTCTGTCAGGCAATGTCCAGCGTACCGTACTTGAATTGGATCAAAGTTTAGTAGGATATTGGTGATGTAAGGCCAGAAGTCTTGGTCTGGAAGAAGAGACCGAGCAAGCTGACCGGACACAGCTTTTCCAGAGCCTGTAACATTCTTGATCCCAGCAGAGACGATCGAGAGGTAGGTGATGGTTTGAGCAGTTGGTTCCAAGGACTATACAAGTGTCAGTATCGCAGTCTAGGCCGGGGGGGGGGGTTTCTGCTTGCATACATCTAATACGTCCTTCGAGACCAGCTGTGCAGCGGGAATGGCTTGTAACTTTGCCGACAAATTTGTAGCTTGCTTGTCGTAGGAGTCTTCGTCGCTGGCCAGCAAAGCCGGGGTTAAGCTCGCTCCCTCAGCAAGTAACTTGTCCATCTTTACGAGGCGGGGATATGAAGGTCATCAGATCATGGAGGGAGTTTGTCGCTCGCAGGGGAATGGAAGAGGCCTTCGGAGAATCGAGGTGTCCAAGTTGTAGTGGTGCCCACTGGGTGGAAGCCGCAGGAACTTACGAGGTGAAGGCTGCCTGCCGCCGCGGTTGGAGGCTCAAGTGGCAGTACTTTTACCTCTAGGCTGCTTCCCCGAATTCCTTGGCACGACAACCCGCGACAAGGCTGCAAGTTCTACATATGAGGCTCTATCATTCAAGGTTGTCCTTGTCAGTCGAAGGGTGTTTGTACTTCTCGCGTATTTCTGACTACAAGAGGAGTCGGTAGTCATAGTGACTGTTATTTCAAGATCAGCTGAGCGATAGATCATAATATGGATTTTCGCTGAACTTCAACAAAAGCACCCTCCTGAACACCAAGCTGAACATAACCAGGTCTATTTGTTCCGTTTATCCTCATTCCTCTTTGCACATGGGCGTCTGTATCGGATGAAAATACCACCAGATGTCCCGTATACACCAGACTGATATACACCGTCGTCAGAAGACATCACCTAAGCTTGGTTGCCTTCTCCAACTCCGCCTCGAAAAGCTCCAGATCGATAACAGCACCGAACCTAGACGTTGTCAGCACGCGTTCAACATACAAGGTATGAAGACTGACCCAAGACACTTGACGCTCGGAAGTAGAGCGTCCCTTAGCGACTGCAGACGCTCTGGAGTAAGGCTGTTGAAGTTGGGATGGCATCGGACCTGGTGCCAGACCTGCACTGGCGTGATCTCAGATTCAAGTTCGATCTGATCGGAGAAGCTAAGGAGTTTGTCGAGCTCTATTGCCGGTACGTTCCATGTGGTCCCCTTGGGCCAACCCATCTTGAGCGGATTGAGCGAGTATGATGGAGAGTGCTCCATGATGGGACTGGACAGCATGAGTGAGTGCCCATAGCCGATTTCGCCGTGGGCAAGCATCGGGACTGAAGGGATGCTGTGATGGTATAGACATGGGTGCTCAAGGGCGAGCACGAAGTTGACTCCGACTTGGGTAGAATCGAGGCCGTAAGGATGAGTTGAGAGTGGCCTCTCGACCTCTTGATCGCACGCCATCGCAAGATCAGACCCTAGAGCTGTGGACGTGTTGGCCTCAAACTCTGAAGAAGACGGAAAGGGTTGCGCAGAGACTGACTCGCGAAGGTGGGGTGCAGGAGCAGAGTGGTCGAACACAGGTAATTGGGCTTGAAGAGATTGACCAAATGGAGGTTTACCGACCAGTTCGATGGTGGCCATGGGATGATTTACTTTCAAAATGTCGTTAGGAATGGGAACGTCGTTCGACGCTAACAGCTCTTGAAGCCGTTGGATTACAGTCTTCGCGTGACGGAGTTCTGTGAGCAGCGTCAGTCATATCTACGGCCGGGCAATGTGATAGGTGAGCATTACCCTCGGAAAAGTGAGCATCTTTCGCCCGTAACTTGGCTACTTCCATTTCTAGCGCTTTGACATAGGTAGCTTTTCGGTCTCGATGTGTACTATGGGTCTGATTAGTCTATCATGGGCCCGAATGAGGGGGGCGGCCAACCGCTGTGCTTTCCGCACCTGCTCGCGGCGACGTTCCTTTGCACCTTGGCTCGCTTCGTCTGCAGGTCTGTCATCTCCAGCTAGCACATTGTCAGCCTCGGTGTTGATTTCATTGCCGCTGTGTGGCTCTTTTGATCCGGTGCAGCATGCAGCAAATAGTGGATCGCAACTTGTGGCTAGACCTTGCCCGGACGGTACAAGGACGGTGACCACCATCATATAGCTACCGCGTAATGTCGCAATAGATGTGCTGGCGGCTCGTATCGTACTCACATGGACTGTTGCTGATTAACCTCGCTTTCCAACCCGACGACCCAATACCTGCTCCTGGCACTGACGAACTCATGATGCTTTGCGATTCCTGATCCTGGTTTGAAAGCTTACAACGCCCTCGTTGGAGGGGCTTTAGTAACTGTTTTGTAGTCTCTTACTCACACAGAAGCTGATGCTGGGCATGACATACATGAAGGATACGCCTTGATGATGTGAGATTATGGAATCGTGCTTCTGGCGGCTAAGCCATTCTCGGAATGCGCAAGCGTCAGCTTGTTGCGGACCTCTCAGGCCTCCGAGAGCATTCGTCAAGCCCTCATAGCAGTGTACACGATCAGCGGTCAAACCATGGCGCAGCACGGGTGGCATATGTCTCTAGTGGACTGCAAGATGGCCTGGATAGGTTCATGCGGCTTATCTCGCTTTCGCTTTGTGGAGGCGGAGGGCGAGGTCCAGCCGAAGCCGAGCACACCAGCCTCAGAGTAACGAGCGATTATAAAACTATGGTTTTCGCTGCTTGAACGAGCTCCGCCTTCCCTGCTATGATGTCAGACGCAGCGCAGGTTGTAAAGAGCATGATAAGGACATCACTTTTGGCACGCGTATGCCGGTATCGCCAACAGCAACATGAGGCTGAGTAGCGCTTGGCGAAAGGCCGGGTGACTTGATTGGCTAGACTTAGGGTAGTGTGCCTGCCAATGCACGAAGCCATCACGCGGTCAACACCTTGTACTTTCGGCTCTTCTTCTACGTCCCGGCGATCCTGAGATGGTATATGACGAGTATGGCGATGGTGAGGCCCGCTAAGCTCGACAACGAATGCGTCCGACTCCTGAACATAGGTCTTTTGCCGGGCACCTTATCCTCTGTGGAGCGAAGCATTAACACTGGCGCGCACCGTCACGTCCTTTGTAAACGGCTCAAGGAGCGTGGGGCATCTCGTGACAGTATTCGGAGAACTTTGTGCTTGGCAAGGCTGCCCCGTGGTCGCATGAATCGCAGGACAGACTGCCTCGAGCGCAGCCAGGCTAATACACCAGGCTGAGCATCCGCTTGCCTTTGCCAGACGCCCAACACAGCCACATCCACTCACGAACAATGTGGCATACAAGATACCTGTGTACCCCTCCAAAGATGAGTAGGTTTCTGCAATATCGTGACTACTACTGCTCCAGACATCATCAAGCCAGTAGCGACAATGATTAACACAAGGGTCATTGCGGGTGCCGCCATCGTCTTTATTGTTATCATCCTCCTATCTATCATCCTCTCAGCAACAAGACGCAGACGGAGACAATACCAACGAGGCCCACATCAGCGTTCAATCCTCCCTACATCAAACGTTGTGTTCACCGTTCAGCAGCAAAATGAAGATCGCCGCACGAAGCAACTCCTTCGCAGCAATGGTCCCATTGGAAGGAACGCTCAACGCTTCCCCGACCGACTCAATGATCCTCTTCCGTCACCACCAGCTCCGGCTCATGTCAGGACGACGAATGGTGCGACTGACCCACCTCCACCATATAGCGCGTAAGCAAGATATGGCGAGTTGGGGAACAGCCCTCAACAACGAAACGAAAACTCATGCAGAAGCTCAGTCTCAGGCTTAAGAGAAGCACATGTGAACTGCCAGTGGTCATTGCATCGCGATCAAGTGTGCCGAGCAACAGGAGTTCCCGTTCTCCGAGCCACCGCTTCCATCGCGTTCGGCACGTAGGGAAGCCAAATTGCGGTCAATGCAACATTCGTCAAATGGGCACGAAAATGGTCCGGAGATTCAGCAGCTGAAACATGCCTTGGCCATGGATTCTATCCGTACTTGGCTCGCAGGCCAAGGGCTCCTGTCGAGCGATGGAGGGTGGGCCGAGGCTGGCTTATGGTGCAGGAACGTGTCAATTGAGTGGCCATGTCTGGCGCAAGGTGCGTGTGTTTCGTATCAAGGACCGAATGTGGAAGCAAGAGGGCGACGAAACCACGGAGAGAGCTGTACGAAAGCAGTACGATAAGTATATCACCGCGGGCATTTAGTAGCATAGCCAACGATGATTAGATCTCAGGAAAGGATTCACATAGCTTATCCTTCGTGATACAGCGGTTCAGTCCGCCTTAGGTTCGTGGCCTACACAATCACACCGAAATAGCGGCAGGGGCAATCTGGAATCTCTACCAACTTTCCCCTCCAGTAATCTGACTTCGACCGTCGTTATCCCATCCTGTCCTCGTCCCAAAGACTCGTTGCCAGCCCGCCTAGCCGTGTTCAAGCGAGTACGTACGCGACTGCGTGAGGGAGAAAAGCAATCCCCTGGAAACCATTGTTTCCATCCCGCCAGAAGCCCCTCATAGACATCACACCTAGTAGGCGTAGAACATAGTAGCCTCGTTATCCGACTGGCGAATCTTCTTATTCTCACGGATCAGCCAGAGCTTCATGACCCACGCGCCCGCCGCGGTCGCCACCGAGAAGGCCGCGGACGAGGACATGGCGGTCACGTAGCGGGGCTCGTCGGACGAAGGCCACAGGTACTGTTTTCGTTTCACATATCAGTCAGCGTTCCAAAGATTCCTTCTTTTGGGGAGTAGCGAGGTGACAGGCAAAGGAGGTAAACGATGATGACGTACAGGAGTCCAGATGAACGACGCATTGGCGATGGTGTTGACGATGGCGAGCGACGTCGCCTTCTTCTCGCGGGACTGGCCGCACGTGGAGCCCACCCAGCCGAGGATGATGGAGTTGACGGCGTATGTGCCGATGGAGAAGACGATCATGGCGAAGTAGCGGGCGCCCATGTTTAGAGTGGCCATTCCAAGGACGAAACTGTGGGAAAACTCTCTGTTAGCAAGATCGCACGCGGAGGGCGTTTTCGAAGCAAAAGGAACACACGTACCCGAAGATGGCCACGGCTTTCGCACCGGTAATGTGCCAGGTGCGCTCGTTGTATCGACCCGACTGCCACGACCAGTAGACGGAGATGATGCCGGCGATGAGATAAGGAGGGCAGGTCAGGACGAGGGTGATGGTCCTGCCGTAGCCGAGAGTCTCAACGACGGTGGGGAAGAAGTTCTTGAACCCATTGGCCGCCAGATGCATGTGTTGCATGAAGGCAAAGAGCCACAGCTTGGGGTCGCGCGCCGACTCTTTGAGGCCCTGGAAGGTCGACTGCTGGAACTTGTTGCCGACGGTGTCGCGCTCAATGCGGTCGTGCGCGAGTTGGCGCTCCTCGGGAGTGAGCCAGCGGGTCTTGAGGGGGTGGTCGGGCAGCGTGAAGGCCGAGGCAATGGCAATCACGAATGTGACCACGCCTTGAAGGATAAAGAGCCACTTCCAGCCAGCGATGCCTGCGACGTCGTCAAGCCCGTGGAAGATTCCGGCGGCGATAAGACCGGCAAAAGCGGTGGCTAGGATGTTGCCGGTGTAAAGAATAGAGATGCGCGTGGCGATCTCCTTTCGCGTGTAGAAGATTGACAACATGAAAAGCGCGCCCGGGTAGTAAGGAGCTTCTGTAACACCTAGGAAGAATCGAGTGAGGAGCAAGCCGGTGAAGTCCTTGGAGAGGGCGGTCAGGGCGGAGACGACGGCCCACAAGGCCATGAAGCCGGACATGTAGAGCGAAGGGCGAACGCGGGTGAGAATCATGTTGCTGGGAACCTGGCCGATGAGATAACCAACGAAGAGGATCGAAACGCAAGTCTGGTACTCAGAGCCTTGCAAGTTGAGATCTTCTTCAAGGTCATTGAGACGCGCCAGAGCGATTGCATTTCGGTCCAGATCTGTAGGCAGCGAAGAATGCGAGTCAGTATCCGTATTCAGGACGAGGGAATGAAGCAGGGAGATAAAAGGAAAAGTCGCAGCGTGTGGCTCCAGTCCTCCCGTCAAAGGCTGACAAAATCGATGGTCTGGCCTCCGGATGCACAGCACAGGCTTCTAACCGTAACCTGCTGTAAGATTGGGAGGCCCGCCCGTCAATTTGCCGACTCTTGATGGGCCAAAGGACTTGGTCGTGATAACGTGACACAGCCAATGCTGCCAATTTGGCCGGTGTAAGGATCCTGAGGTGATTCCAACTCACAATTAAGCCAATACATGCTGCGTAAACCGATCAGCGATGCTCGGATGCCATTACAATAGAGACACTTACCCCCACAGGGTGGGCATGATCCAGAGATCGAGCTTTCTCACAAGAGCAATCTCAGCTGGATCGGTCTTCTTGGAGGAACCGGAGTAATCAAGTTGCTCGACGGCCTTGCCCTCTTCATCAAGAGCATACTCGTTGTGCAACTTGGCCTCAGATTTCTCTGCAAGGACCTCCGAGGTCTTGTGGTCAGCCGGAGCAGCCATGGCGTATTTGGCAGTGGCGGACACGGAGATGTAGAGGAGAAGAGACAAGTGATGATTCCTAGAGGAACAAGATGATGAGGTGACGGGAGAGAGTAGAAAATGCCACAAGAGGTCAGATGCCCACTTGAAGGTGGAGGATCTTCTGACGAAGGGGAGATCTATCAGCCCTTTATGTACTTCGCCTAGCCATCGTGTGGAGGTAGGTACAGTGCTCCTTCGTGGAGGGAGAGGGACATGCTGCTATCCCGCACCCCCGGACGAGGTTGAGACAGGCAAGGCATCCGCCACGGGGTGAAGAGAACGACCAATCGGGTGCGGTTGAACGGGGGCGCGCACATCGGCTTCCGCTGTCGAATGTTGAAAGAAGGACTTGCATTTGAACTAGAATTATTTAGCTTCTGGACTAGCTTGACAAGACGATAATTGAAGGATGCCGTGCTCGCGAGGCCAGCAACGTTGACGAAGGGTCCAGGCAATAGGTCCAGTCGTCGCTACGGCTAGTATGAAGATCAAACTCGGCAACCTGGGCATGCATCACTGAGGTTACAACACAAGAGGACCAAGACCCCAAGGAGTGGAACAAGCTGAACAGGAATGGGGAGAAGCCGGGGGTTGGCGATGTGCAAGCCATCGAAGGTTAGTTGTGGATATGCTTGTAGCGATGACTGTGCATACACTGCGGGCGCTGAGTGGTCGGAAAGGTCAGACTGAGCAAGGGTAGAAGATATCCAAGTGGTGCCCAGATTACTCCGCCCTTCTGCCAAGAAAGCCACGACCTTCTGCCATGGCCCCCGCCATCGGTGCCGCCAGGATGAGTCCCGCTTCGAAGCAAGCCAGAACGCTAGACCGCAGCTGAACGGCAGTCGGGCTTGCACGGAGGTCGTGACCGGCGTACACAGGGGCTTGGTTGGAATAGGAAATGCTCGCCGAAGCTCGCGGCTGTGATTCGCTAGCAGGACTATACCCAGGCTCATTCTCATGATCAACTGTGATTAAACTTCGAGCTGCATCCTGGCAGTTCTTTCCAAAGACCTTCTAGAAAGCTTCCAGAAACATTCCTAAATCTCCCATACCCAAGCCTTGGGTCACTGACGAGATGCAACCCAGCATGAGCCCCCTGCTGTCGCTTTCCGATGCCAATCTGCAGTAAATTCACGACTTCTCCCGATGCACATGCAAGGGCAACGACGCCGTTCGGGTCCGTGCGAATCCGTGCGCCGGAACATGGGCTTTGCTATCCGCCCTTGGCTGACCTCGTAAAGTGATATCAAACGCCCAGGCGCAGAATTCCATCGGGCCAGAACCCACTCCGTGGTCTAACGCAGAATGTAGACTTACTCACCGATAGCGACATACTCCGCTCTGAGTTGAATTGTCCTCGCATCTTGCATTATCGCTTCCGCAGCTTGGTGGCGACGAAATGTCGACTCCGCGGACCGAGAAGCTTCAGTCGAGACCGCTGGAGACAGCACTCTCGGTGTGAACCGGCCTCGCCCATCATGCAGACGGATGTTGCTGGGCAAATTTGCCATTGTTGAGTCTCGCAGACTCGGATTCGTTGGTCGGTTCTTCCTGTATCACTTCGAAGTTCTCGCTGGCTTGCGCATGATGCACTGCAGCCTCGCGATCCGCTTTGTGTTTCTTCACCTTCTTGATAGCCTGGGCTGTAAGATCTTGACGAGACATTCTCTCGATTACATCCTTCTTGCGAGTCTTGCGATCGCCCACGCTGATAAGAATTCCGGCGGTGATATTACAGGTGATGGACAGTGACAGAATGACAGCCGTGATCCATGAAGGCCGGGTGTGGTAGGACCAGCCCCACGTGAACGCTCCGAGGGAAATTTGCAGCAGCGAATGACAATCTAGCAGAACCACGATAGTGATAAGCAGCTTGAGCGGAAACGCATAGTGGGTCGTCGTCTCGTGCGGCTTGTAGAAAGAGTGCGACTTGGCGAATTTGGACTGGTGGTGGACCAATCTCTTCTGCTGCTCGGCGTTCAGGACAGAGAACTCTGCATCCTTGGGGTTCGCTGCTTCAGGGTCTGCCTCCTTTTCTGTTCTTTCGGGGAATTCGTTTTGGTCCCGCAGCTCTGGAAGCTGTTGCTCTCTACGAACTCTCCACGTTGTCAAACCGTAGTTGGCAATGAAGCACATATGGTAGGTATCGACAGCTCGAAAAGGAGCCAGACCGTCACCCATAATTGCGAACAGAGCCACCAGGACACTGTCAATGATGTGGATGATGTATTCATTACGGTCTCCCGCATAGATCCAGCCTAAATGGGTAAGTGACCGTACTGGCAGAAGCTATGGACCACTTACCAATTAGAAAAAGAACCCAAGCAAGACCAAATAGGGTGATTAAAGTGGCGTATAGGGTCACGAGGAAACCGAGCGCTGTTCTTATTGTCAGCAGGGGCCCGAAGAGAAACCAGATGTTGGAGACAAAACATACGCTTCGAGAGATATTTGCCAAAGGCACGCATCCTTTGCTTGAATTTAGATCGGCGCGAGTGTAACATATGGCGCACATGGTCGTCGAGAGCTTCCTTGTCTTCCTCAGTCCAATCTTCGAGGTCCACGCCATGAGGAAGGACGGCATAATGAGAGTCTGTGAGTACAGAGGAGATACTGTGGCTTCGTTCCATGCGTGGTTGTCGCTGCCAGGACCATGTCCTCTGCACAGAGGGAAGCTCGGCAGCTGACTCTTCGTCCTCTTGGATCGCCCCAGTATCAGTTGCGGCTTTAGGCTCGGCTGTGGCACTCGGCGTGACTCCAGTCGTGTCGGCTTCCGAGATGCGGGTAGGTGCACGAGTCAAAGTATAGGTTGGCCTCCGATTAAGCCATCGTCCAAGATCAGGTACAAATAATGAGTTTTGAACATTGGTCAGTGTGTTTAAAGTCTGCACTTCGGGATCTGGAAAGCATTAGCATCATGCTAGGAGAAACTGCGGGAGCTGCATACCAATGACATCCAGGAGATCGACAACTTCGTCCTCGTAGTCATCAGTCTGTCGCGTGGATTCGTTATCGGCACTGCGCTTGCTGATGAACGAGCGCGCAGCATTGCTCAAGCTGCGTCTGCGGCCAACACCCGTGGCGTTCCCGGCAGCGGGTCCCGCCTGCTGGCCATCGCCCTCTAGCTGGGTTAGGGGACGAAGGTGATTAGAATACTCTTCCTGCAGCGGGGGCAGTGCTGACTGTCGTGTACTCTGGCGTGTCAACCGATTTGCACCTGCGCCTAAAGAAGAGTGTGGGTCTTGCGGAGCAGATGCTGAACGCCTTCTTCCCGAGTTGGAGCGACCAACACCATCCTGACTATCACTGCTTGCAGCCGAGAGCCGGTTGCTTGATGGCAGACGCCGAATGCCTATAGGTCTTCGACGAACAGCGAGTGCCTGGCCGCCGGGCTGCCCGGGAACGGTCAGGGTTGTTCGAGTAAAGGGTTGAGGTGCATTGTTTGGGTCGTTGGTCGAAAAGACCATTGGCGGCGCCTGGCCTGTTGGGTGGGCAGGCGTGGTTGTGGTGCGGATGACTGGATCTCCGTCGCCGCCAATGACGGTCTGCGTAGTAGTTGACGTGGTGACAGAGGTTGTGTGCTCATCTGGGTCTGAGCCGGTGAAGGCCGGGAAGGGCTCAGCATCGTGAGAGGTAGTAGTTGACCTTCGTGAGGACGCCATCGCGAGGGAAGGTGCTCGCAGAGAGCGCAGTATGTGCAAGGTAGATTACAATCGACACATTATTAGAGATGAGGGGGAGAACCTGTATGACGGCGGTACGCCAGTGGTAGAAGGAAAGCACCTCCGTGGATGTCGACCGCGGATCTGAGAAATGAGGATGCGCAATCGCGCCAAAGTCAAGATGCTAAAAAGTTGGACACTCGGGCGGCACGATTGGATGATGCAGCAGCTGAGTAAGCTAGCCCGTCCCAGTCACCACCGCTTCTCCTCTTGACGGGCATAGAGGCTAACGATTCCAGGTGCCTTTCCATGCCGTTTTTGTTATGGTGCTCGAGCCTGGGGCTGACAAAGTTTCGCCGCTTTCACATACCAATGACTGAGATTAGCATTATCCTATCTGAGACTCTCTAAGAGTGCACCATACATTCGCACCACTGGTAGCGATGCTTCTTCGCTGGTGCGACTTGATGCACCTCAGACGTTGCAAAGCATCTGTTGCAAGCTGGTGTTGTTGGCATAGAAATGTTTACAGCTCAGCAGACCTGTTGGCTGCATCATGTTTTGGTCAATCCTGATTCGGCCTGAACCTTTGAAAACCAAAGAATGTCGCAAGGCAGGCCAGTCTGACGATTACAAGCATCCACAAATCGCTCATAAGCCAAACCCAAGACCTCGCCACTACATACAGGCTCACGCGCCCGTCTGTTTCAGTTAGGAGCCCTTTTTGAATCTCTATAGCTTGTGCTCGCGCGCAAAGGTGGGCGGATGATGGTCGACTTCTTTCTGTAACCATTCGACCATCCGCTCTGCCCCATATCTTGGGTTCAGGGCGTCCACGTAACCCATGAAGGGTTTCATCTCTCTATACCTGCTGACAGTCAGCCTCGTCAGCGAGGCGAATCGTTTACTCACCCCATCATATCGACAATCCTGTGGTCTATCCCACCGAGTTTGCGAGGATCGACGGCGAGGAACTGGTTCTCAATCGGTCGAATGTATGGATTGCTGTTCAGATCTTAGTTTGTGATATGCTATCCGGGTGAGGTCGTTCCTACCAGTATTGCACTGTCGCACTTTGTCGAGGCTGAGGTGTTGTATTCTGTCCTCCGCCATGTATCAAAGTCGAAATGAAATAACACACGCCTCCCTCCGGTACAAGAGCAGGAATCGTATCCTCTTCCTTCGCTTGCTGGGCGCGATCGCTGTCCCAAAGGTGTGAACCTGGAATGATTCGAGTCGCTCCATTGGCAGCTGTATACTCGCTCAGTGCTACCTACAGTGCCGTGTCAGAGATGTGAGCAGTCGCAGATAGTGTACTTCTCACCATGATTGCTGCTCCAAACGGTGGGCGCGGTCGTGCCATGTTGATGTATCCATCATCGTGGTGCAGGGCCTGTTTGGCCTCGCCAGCTATTCAAAATTCACATCAGGCAATGTACTCCAGCTGCCGGTGGGGTAGGGCTAAGGCTGCTGCCAACAACTTACGGTTGATCGAGATGGTGTGGAAAGCACTGAGAAGATATCCCGGATCAAGAAAGTAATCGTTCAGCGCCAGTACTCGTGGCAAGATACAAAACTTGTCCATAACTCTCGTTTTGTTGAGAAGCGAATATATTCGCGTAGTCCTGAGGCCCTCGAAGGGGTTGCGACCGCCTCTGGGCGATGTTCCAACCAAACGCTGGATCTCGTCCCTGGCCTCCTTTGCTTCATCTTTGGTGAAGCAGTCGGGGATAATCACATACCCATTTTCAAGGACAGCCTCTATATCTGCTCTGGTACATGGATCAGAGGGGAGAGGCTTTGCTTTCAGAGTGTTGGAGATGAGGTTGAATCTCTTAGAAGCTGTCGCCATGTTTGATTATGCTATTTTCTTTTCCAGCTTGCCACTGAAGCCTTTGGTATATGTGAGTAAAAGTCAGCGGCTAAGCGGGATTACACTCGTATCCCCCTCGTTTTCGGGGTTTGGCCATAGTGATAGAACCTCGGCATCTCATGCCCAGTACTCCATCAGTATCATACAGAGGCAACGACGCACAGTACATTGTCCAGATGGTAAATCCTATCATAGATCTTCGCTATGTTTGCTGTCCATCACACAACTCCTAAACCCCTAGATGTCAACAACCAGTGCCCACCCGAGCGAGTAAGAAGGAAAATTAAGGTACTGTGTCTAGCTACGGAGTACTGTAGGAGCTGCTAGTGCCACTTTAGGCAGGTTGACGTCACAGAATCTGGGGTAACCAGCCTTGCATACGCACGGCTCCATCAGGCTACATTCTGTTATCTCTTTCACACGTTCCTATTGTTACTATGGGGGCACACCGCGCAGCTGAAATTTTGCAAAGATGAGAATTCTGCAATAAGGAGGTTGGGCAATGCTTCTGCCTTGGCTAATCGATTCATCGCTCGGGCGACCAAGTGGGGCAGCCTTGAAAATGTAGACTCTCTCGCATTTACCATTTACCAGCTTCCTTCTCCTCCATCACCAACCACTTCAAGCACCGCCCGCTTTTACGTTCAAGCTCTCACTCTTCTTGAATACTCTTGTGCCGCTCTCTACTATCAAGCCTCAGTCCAGTGCGTGTTGAAGGTACTACATTCTCAAGATGTGCATTGGTCTCATCTATTCCTGCGGCCACACTGCGGTCCGCAAGTGTGACCACCCCCGTCAGCAGCCCGCTTCTATCAAAGTGGTGACCGAGGGAAAATGGTGGAATGCGTACGTGGTATCAGCCTTTGGGCCGTGATAGTCGCTAATCATCTTTGCAGCAGCCAGTTGTCGATGCCTAGTACCACCTTTGAGTGTACTGGTGTGTCTGAGCCTCCTACGGAGATCAAGCAGTCCTGCTATAAGTGCGTCAGCAACAAGGCGGCTCAGATCAAGGACGAGAACGCCCAGGAGGTTGAGAAGAAGATGCGCGAGCGCACCGGTGCAGGCAACGACTCTTACATGTATTCTCTGTCAGTCGGCGAAAACTATGACGAGAATGGCCGCTTCATCTGCATCATGCCAGCCGACTTTGTCAACATCACGATGCTTGGCAAGAAGCCCTGGAACCAGCTCGAGCACTTCGCCCGGGTTGGTAAGACGTGTGATCAATCTGGTCATGTGGTCGACCGTGCCGACATCACCCCTGAGCAGAAGATCCTCCAGTACCAATCGGCCTATTGTATTGCTCAGCGAAATGCCTCCATGGGTCCAGAGGAGATGGGTAGTCTCAACCCCGCTTATGCCGGTATGTCAACTGGCTTCTCGGTAATGCCGCTGGGCTCCACTGGACGAGTGAGTCCAGTCTCCACTCGATCGTCAAGCAACAGCTCGTTGGTGTCTGTCATGTCACTCGTTGCCGACGACGAGGATGACACCCCCCTCACCGCCTGCTTCAGCGATGGTCCCACCAAGGAGAACAAGGTTGCTAGCACAATCAATGGTGACTCTAATGCCTAGAGACGCATGTCATTATCCTGTGAGTTCCCCAGCCTTTGAATCAAGCCCATCCAGTATTTAACATCGTCATTGTCAGATGGTTGCTCATACAAACGAGACCACCCATGCGACGATCTATCGTCAACTCCAAAACAACGAAACGAAATGTATCTTTTATCACGCATACTTATGACCCTCCGCAAGGGTGTTGGCCATAACGGACTCATTGGGAGGAAGTCTTGTATCAGTGGATTCTAGCAAGGCGTTCCGGCAAGAGGGACAATGGTGGCAGATAGTCGCCGATACCACAAGAAATGAAAACCACAATTGTGCTTGTAAAATAGCACCGGTACCCAGCTTCCATGTTCATAACAGATTGCTCACCTGTTTGCTTTGTCCTGATGTTTCATGGATGCGAAACAGAGCATTACTTGATCTCCTAGCGTGGTAGCACAACTGACTCTAGCGACTGCCAACTGGTAGGTAGTTGGCTGTTACCTCAAAACAGGCGTGGTGCTTCGGTACGGGTGGCGTAGAAGCTTATCAGGGCTATCCCAACCAGTCCCTGCAATTGACCAGTCAAACTAAGCCGAATTATGGTCCCTTGCAGCATAGATACCAACCACCACCGCGCGTTTCCCGCCGTATCTTCCGACCTTCCCTTTCCATCAATAGTTCTACCCCAAGCAATGCAACCTCGTAGCAGAAAGCCTTGCACTTTACACCGTTTCACAACGTCATCTTCTCGATTCCAGCACGAAGGAGAAGCTCAAACAAGCAGTGGCAAGCATGCAACGATGCTATATCAAGCTTTCCCCCGATTATTGTTGGTGGGACTTTTCTTGGGAGCGCTGCTGTTCACCTTGCCCATCGATACCGTGAACATGGCTCTCGGAATGCCTTCGTTGCTCTTGTCGGTCGTGTGCGCGGCTAGCTCCGCAATAGCAAGGTATGCCGACAGATGCATGCCATCACATGATTGACAGTTGGACAGTATGCTTCCTGGTCCTGTACGGCTGGAACCACGGCAAGATGCCGAACCCGAGGACCTCTACACAGCTTATAATTTATCCGTCCCAGTCGACCACTTCCACAATGACTCGACATACGAACCGCATTCTGACGATCATTTCAATTTGCGATACTACTTTGATGCAACTTACTACAAACCTGGCGGACCTGTCATACTGCTCCAAAGCGGCGAGACCACTGTTGAAGACCGGCTCCCGTATCTGCAGAAAGGGATTGTTCACCAGCTTACGAAGGCCACCAATGGACTCGGGGTTATTCTTGAGCATCGCTACTACGGGACCAGCTTCCCAACACCTGATCTCGAGACGAAAAACTTACGATTCTTGACCACACAGCAAGCGATGGCCGATCAAGCCTATTTCCAGCAGCACGTTGTTTTTTCCGGTCTTGAGGAGTACAATCTGACTGCGCCCCACACGCCCTACATCGTCTACGGCGGATCGTATGCAGGAGCCTTTGTGGCGTTTATGAGAGTCGTGTATCCCGACATCACTTGGGGAGCCATCTCCAGTTCAGGAGTAACAGAGGCGATCTATGATTACTGGCAGTATTACGAGCCCATCAGGATTTACGGTCCGCAAGATTGCATCTCGACACAGCAGAAGCTGATGAACGTCCTCGACAATATTCTCGTGGCTAACGACACGCAGACTATCCAAGATCTGAAGTCGGCATTCGGCTTGCAGAACCTGACTGACAACCAAGACTTCGCAAACCAGATCTCATTTGGCATCCAGGGGTGGCAGAGTCGCAATTGGGACCCGGAGGTCAATAGTCCTAGTTTTGATGAGTACTGCAGAAACATCACCTCGAGCGAGTTGCAATGGCCTGCAACAGGCGAGCTCGCTTCCAACGCCTCGGCTCTGGTAGAGGCGGGTGGCTGGGGGAATGAAAGCGACACTCTCCAGAATCCTATGCTCAACCTAATCGGTTGGATCAACGACACCTATGTTTCGTCTTGCGAATCCACCCAGAATGAATGCTTCAGCATGACAAATGGAACATCGAAGATGTATACCGATAAAAGTATCGAGAACCAGGACTCACTGTCGTGGCCATACCAGTACTGGTGAGTCGGCTCGAATGCATTTCGGCGACTAGCTGACAATCGTATAGCACACAGTGGGGATATATTCAGACCGGATCTGGCGTTCCAGAGGGCCAGCTGCCGCTGATCCCTCGCATCCTCGACCTCGAATACCTGACCTCGGTCTGTCGATATGCGTTCAATATCACCACTTCCCCAGATCTCGAGTCAGTCAATCAATACGGCGGCTTCAACATCTCCTACCCTCGTTTGGCAATTGTGGGAGGAGAGACCGATCCTTGGCGGCCAGCATCGCCTCTGGCCACGCTGGACGTGGCAGATAGGTTGAACGATTCTAGCACTGTCGACCAGCCGCTCATCCTCATCGAGGGCGCAGTGCATCACTGGGACGAGAATGGCTTGTTCAGTAACGAGACAACACCAGATCTACCTCCCCCAGCTGTCGCCAACGCCCAAGCGGAGATCGCACAGTTTGTGCAGGCATGGCTGATGGAATGGCAGCAGCACTGTTCTGAAAGTCCAGAGCAGTGCTAAGCAGTTTCTCGACATTGATGACTCGTCAAGAAAGGGGCCAGCCAGGATATAAGGGATGATTTAATGAGAGGGTGAACGCTACCACAATGACTAGACCAATCGTGGTTTCCAAGCCGAAGAAGGCTGTGGTTTCGAAACCGAACCCTGCCGCAGACTGCATGAACCTCCCCCACACTTTGGCGGCTTGGGAAGAACTCTCAGGAAACGTAGAATCGATGTTGAGATGAGTACGCTACTATCGCGCAGTAGCAGAGTACCCTCTCCTACAGGCGAAGAATTACCACAACCTGTTCTCCGTACCTTTCGCCGCGCAAAGTACAGGGTTTTCATGCGATGTGGGCACGACTTTACTCGTGTGCGCCCGAGCGGTCACTTAAGCGAGAGACTTTGGGGCCAGGCACTGCGGCCCGCCCAGTGAACGAGATAAACGCCACAAAGCCCGAATTCAAATATTGAGGCCTCGTATCAATCAACCTTGCACACAAAATACGATTCAAATCGCCATCCTCGTCAAGTCACGGCACCTGGGATGTCGCTAAAAGAGGTATCGTGGTTTACGGATATGATCACAGTGCCCTGATACCCTGGACGTCTTGTCTGCAGGTCAAGATTGCCTTTCGCTTGATCTGGCGAGGAGGAAGGGGTCCGGGTTTGATGCTCGTGCGGAAGGGGGGGGGGGGGGGGGGATCTGCAACGCGACGAGTCGCCCAGCCCCGCCCCTGGAGTTCCCTAGAGTTTTGACGCCCGCACGCCAAACCGAAGGCCTGGATCCTCAACTGGGTACCTGAGTTGAGCGGGTTGAGGACTCTGTGCCTCCCGTTTGACACATGCCTCGGCGGGCCCACATGCATCCATGATTCAATTCAGTCACTATTGCTTTTGGCTGACTGTCCCGTAAATCTCGTTTCTCCTACTGCGGTGCCAGGTTGGTCTCATTATCGATGTACAGGCCGATTTGATTTCGTTCGTTTTCTATAGACGCCGTGCCAGTCGATCACTTACAGCTTTAATGAACGTTACTCCAGTGACAATCAGTGTTATTACCACAACAGTTTGCTGATTGCTTGGAGCAAACTCGCTCATCAGTGACGATCCAATCTCAGCTTGACCATCAGCTCATGTCCACCACAGGGCCGAAACTTTGTGCATCACACACCCTGAAACAGCCGGTACTTGCCAGCGGTGAAAGTAGGACCCCCACTAATTTGGCCTTCTCACCGCGTGACGGCGGGAAACTGATGCACGTTGCAGCTGTTCAGGCAACGCAGTGTCTGTCTCCACCCCAGTTACATCCTTGAAGGACCCGCTCCTGCAATTTCTCTTACTCCAGGGCACTTCGCTTGACCCTGGCCTAAACATCTTGTCTTCAGTCCGCCGTCGCCCTCTCCCGCCGCCATCCCCAGACTTATCTGGCCCTCTACTCCCCATCTGGACGAGTCCCCGCCGGTCATTGGGTCGGAGATTCAACTTTCGTCAACATCCTGGCTCTTGCTCCCCCGATCTGGCTAACTTGAGCTTCATTGTTAGACGACCATGTACTAAAACTATCCGAGCTGACCAGGTTCGCACGGGCGTCGTATCTGGCAACCATGGTCCGACCCTTTCCGCTGTGACCTGGTGGTGTTTGAATAGGTCTGCTGCACCAGAAGTTCCAAAGTTCAGCCTCCGCAAAGCCATCTGCACCTCGCTCCATCTCGCGCCAGCCCGCATGCAGCTTGCATCGTCGACTCCCCTGCATCTTCCTGCAGTCTCCGTCCTTTATGCGTGCTAACTGTCCATTGTTCTCTTCCTGTCACCATGGAGCAAGCACTTAGGGCCCGCAGTCTAAGCTCAGCCTCTGCTCGCCGTCAGAGAATCCAACAAAGGGAGGAGGAACGCCAGAAAGCTCGAGAGAGTGCAAGAGAGAGGGTTCTAGCCCTGCAAGATCTTTCCGACCAGGACTCTCAATCTGGCTCTGACGACGAAACGCCGGGAAGCAGTCACAGCCGTGACGATTCTCTAGAGACTTCCTCCGAATACAGCTTGAGCACGCCTCAGGATACTCCTCACGCTATGTCCGACAAGACACCGTCTTTAATCAACACCCGAAGACCTGCGCTACAAGTTCTCGTGCCTGAAACGCCCGTCGACGGAAAACAAAATGACATACCCGAGCCCGAATCAGGACCCAAGCTGCATGCCTCACTTGCAACATATGCCGATTTCCAGTACGATCGGTATTCCATGATACTCGACTCTCCCGTGGAAGTTGTCTCTTCACCAGTCACCGATACAGATGGGCAAGAATCGCTATGCGAGGTTGCTACCCCAGTTTCCTTCCGTCTCCCACGTGCCAAACCCGCCGTAGTGTCAATCACTTCGCGATCGTCGAACAACAACCGTCGAACATCGTCATCGGCAAGCTTATTACTTCACATTGCTACGCAACGATCGGTTACCATGCCCCCAGAGATACCTGCCCGCTCGGCCCATCGATTGTCGCAGTTGAGTCAGAAGTCAGGATTCCTAGCCTCTGAAGCCGCCCCCTTCCAGGTTCCTGATCTGCCATCAAACGCGATGTACATGATTGCAAACGCAAGTCGGGACTCGCTATCATTGAGCACGCACAGTGTCGAGCCCAATTCAAGATCCCACGCACAACGCAAGAGCAGCATGCCGTTGCTCTCCGCAGCTTTCAGATCAAGCCACTCAAGAATGAGCAGCATTAAGGACTTAGTATCACCTGCTGTGAGCGGACGGCAGAATAATCGACAAGACCGCCCTCGCACTGCCGCTGCCGATGGAATGAATTTTGAGACGGTACCCGCCGATTTCCACGAGCCACCAACGAATCGCAACAGAACCTCGCACCGGCCTTCTACCTCCTACGCAAGCATCTCCCATGCTAGCATCCGTAATGGTAGTGTGACGGCTCTACCCATTCCGCCTGCCGAGCTAAGGGCCCATACTACAGACTACCCCCAGACCAGGGAGGACTCACCATCGCCAGAGTTCAACATGCCCCGTAAGAAGAGCTTTCAAACGCTACGCAAAAGAAGCGAGAGCATCGGCAACGCTATCAGATTTGTGTCGGGAGCAAAGAAGGGCACACGCGACAGCAAAGTCCCTCCAACACCTACCGCGGTTCCGCCTTTACCCTCAGGCATGGATTATCGCAAGTCGGTTGATCTAAGCAACTTTCCCAGCCCACCACCACCGATGCCGTCACCGCGCGGTCAACTGAGAAAGAGTGTCACAAGTGCACATTACTCGCCGTTTCCAAACAGCTACAGCGGCAACAAGGGGATAGTGGGCCTTGGCATCCGCACGTGAAGATACAGACGCCAGTGAGGGCGCGACAGCAGAGGTGCACATGACACCAAGGGCAGGCACACCAAAAAAGAGGGAACAGGTGTTGAACGACGTTACGGATATTGTATTTCCAAGGTTCATTGCATGGTGTTTTGTGGCGTGCTCAACAAGAACTAGGATATAAGGACAAAGGCTTACAATTCGGCCGGGAAGGGCTGCCAGGGCTACGAAGATACCCAGAGTAAAAGCAACTTTGTGTGTATAGGATGTTAATTATGCCCTACCACTAAGGAAGGCAGACTGAGATATCCCCTCAATATTTTTCTCTCAAATCTACACACCTCTCATGGCACTTCAGACGTGGTTCCCCTTGTAGCCGATGCGCCAGATGCGCGCCGCAGAATTTCCTTGGTTACGTAGATGTCGACTCTGAGCTCTAAAGTTCTACAGAAAGGCTGGCGTGCAATACGGAGTACTACGGGCATCTCACGGGGCCACGCTTATGTCAGCGGTGGACGCTGGCGAGGGGGGGGGGGGGGGGTGGAGCGGGTGGATGTGTTTAACTTGTCAGCTAGTCTGAAGGTCGCAATTTCCGCCAGGGTCCGGCTTTTGGACTACTGTACCCCCGTACTCCGCAGGACCTTTTCGTGCTCGTGCATCATTACGGAGTATACACGAGTCATTGCGGCCGCATGGGTGGAGCCATGGTCGAAGATGCGTCAGAGTGTTCCTTCTGGGAGGTTGCATCGACGGAACCTATCTCTGCCCGGGAGAGGCACGACCATGCGAATGCTTTTGAGTGAAGATGCAGTGCGAACCCAAAAATGGGAAGCGAAGTAATAGCCTTTCCCAGCGCTATGAAGTCTGGATCCGGCAGCTATGTACAGTACAAACATGCACGAAGAGGCCGAGCAAGTTCCCATTCGGTGAGGATTTCCATTTCATTTCCCCTCACAGCCTAGGCTGTGCCTGGGCGTCGCCATTTGCTGTAACTCCCTTCCCTAGGCCCAGCTCCTTGATGAACAGATCCGCCGCCTTCTCGCCCACCACGAACGCGGTGTTGCCGGTATTGGCGCCCACGTTCTCGGGAGGAACGCTCAAATCAGCCAGCCTCAGGTTCTCGACGCCATACACCTTCAGGCCGCCGTCGACGACGCCGCCCTTGTCCCGCGGCGCCATCTTGCACGTGCCGAGCGAATGCCACGTTGTGCTCAGCACCTCGCGGACCTTCTGCTCGATGGCGCGGTCGTCCTCGGCGGTGTATTCGATGCGGCTGTCCTTGTCGGCCATGTCCATCAGAGGACCATCAGCCTTCTCCACAACGGCGGCTTTGGATCCCTTGGGGAAGCGCGGGTGGTTGGTGGGCAGTTCGCCGCGGAAGATGGGCATGCGCCGCCACATCTCGCGTGTCACCTTGTAGGCCCAAACGTGCTTCTTGAGGTCGATGTCGTTGGCATCCGTCAGCCAGCCCGTGTCGAACTCGGGAGGGTCCGCGGGCGAGGGACCCGTGATGTGGACTGAGCCGCGGCTGTACGGGTAGGCGGTCCAGTTGGCCATGCTGACGTACTCGGCGTCGTCGGGGAGGGTGGAGTGGTCGCCGTAGTAACTGTGGAAGTGACAAAGTGTTAGCGAGTGACTTCGGCTTGTTTGTTGCTGGCACGAGCGCGCAGGTCATGTGGTGGTGTCAGTGCTTACCAGGTGTACAACGCCAGAATCATGAGTGGGCGGTCGGGCGTGTTCTTGAAGTCGTTGTCCCAGGCCTTCCTGAACTCGGGTCCCAGGGCATCAATTTCCGCCTCCGTGGGGCGGAACTTGCCCTGCGCGTCCATGCCGTTCGTGCCGAGCAGCTCATCGCCCTGTTTGATCGCGTCATCGAGGTTGAAGCGCCCGTCTTGGAAACCATTGATGGTTTCCTTTGGGCTGAGGTTCGTGCGGTATGCCCACAGCGACAGATGGTGATCCTGTATCCAGACGCGCGTCAGTAAGTTCGAGCTTGGATTCTGGGATGGGAGTATATCTCAGAGCTTGGCGATAGTGTTCTTGCCGCCAGTCTCCTAGCCATCACAAGCGATGCGGGAGTAGGAGAGTCGGAAAGGCAAACCCGCATATCCCGACAACGGGCGGAGGGAGAGCGCTCGACGTCGCCGCAAATGACTTACCTGATACTCATTCCCGACACCAGGTAAGTCTTGCACCACAGGAACGCCAGCACGCTCCAGAACCTTAGGGTCGCCAATACCGGATCGCTCCAAGATTCCTGGCGTGGCGTTGGCACCAGCGGATACCACGACAAGCTTGCGCGCACCCACGGTACGGCGGGCTGTGTACTTGGTCGCCAGGAACTCCGGGTTGGCCAAGTATTTCGGGTTGGATTGGTATTCGACGCCATTGGCACGCTTGTTGTCGTCAAACAGCACCTTGATGACTTGCTTTTCGACCAGCACGTGAAGGTTGGGATAGTCGCCGCTCCGAAGCTTGGGGTGAAGGTACCGGTGCGCGGCGTCCTGGCGGCGGCCGTTTGGACCAACGTAGCGGTAGTCTGTCGATATTAGCAGAATTCATCTCCCAGCGACTTAACGGCGGAGGAGCCGGATATTCCGATCCGTCGGGAGACGGTGTCCCAAATTTGGAAGGACTTACATCGCTCAATGGCGTTGTTGGCATCGAGATTCTGCAGGTCAGTAGCCTCGGGATAGCCGAGCGCAGCGGCTGCGTCGACGAAGGCATTCTCGGCACGGCTGCAGGTGTGAGTGCCTTTGCTGATGTTGACCGGGCCGTCGAAGCCGTGGCGATCTTTATCGCCTTTGCCATGGTAGGTCTCCATCTGCAGGATGTCAGCTCGCCTGCCGGAAGGGGGAAACAGGGAGTAGCCGACCTTCTTCAAGAAGGGAATCATATCGTCAGCTGCCCAGCCCGGAGTTTTCCAGGAGTCGAAGTCTGAGCGTTGGGCACGAGTGTACACCTGTCGAGCATCAGCAATCGTGGCTCGGTGGCGGCCGGACATTGCCTGCCATCCAGTTCATGGCCGATCCACCTCCCAGTGTTCCTCCCGAAGGCACAATTGGCGAGCGGTCAGCTAGCTGAGGAGACTTCTTGGTCTGCCAGAACAGCGTGATCTTGCTGTTAGGGAACAGATTTCGGGGATACAGAGCCGGATGGACGACTTCCGGCATGCCATAGTTGTTGGGTCCTTGTTCGATGACCAAGATGGTCAGATTACGGTCAGCCTCGGCGAGTCGAGAAGCAACCACACATCCAGCGAGACCTCCTGTGAAGATGTTCAGTGGGAGAGCGTGCGGTGGGGTGTCGACGGCAAGTACCTCCCGCAATCTGGCATCGGTCAGCCACAACCTTGTCTTGAGAGCTGCAGAAAAGCTTACAATCACGTCCACTTCCTTGAGATCGGCTGGTAGCTTGTTATGCAACGGCATGATTGCAATTCGATTCGTCCAGATTTCCTCTACTATGGCCTGACCAAGGCTGGCACCCTTGGGCCTGAGCAGTGCATTAATATACTACTAGACACAGGGGCTCAATGACGCGGTACCCTTATTCTCACCCCTCACCGTCATACCCTCGGGCGTCTATCAGCTCCGTTGATCAAGCAAGTCAGCATCACATGCGCTCATCTCTCAGGTTGCCCGACGAAGATACCCGACCCCGCATTCTACCATGACTCGAATAAGGCCTGAGAGATCCCCCAAGGAGATACCCCAGAAGCTAATGACGACTTGCGTAATGCTCACTCAGTCCAAGCAAGCATTTCAGTGGAGCAAAAGATGAGATATGTGAGGCGATTTTTTGCATCTGGCAGTCTCTAGCGCGCCGACTCACAGTGTGCGGGGATGCGCAGGGATTCCGCTTCAGCGGGCATCGAATCTCCAACGATACCGTTTGCCCGCGAACCTTTTCGGCTGTTCGAAGGAAGTCAGACGGTGAGGGGCTTAGGTACGGACTAGGTAGCGAGCAGCATATTCCCAGGGACACGTGAGAACGTTGGACGTCGCCGAAGTCACTGACTTCGCTTTGGTGACCAAAGCAAGTCTAGAAGCTAATCAAGACGCGAGGTGGGATCAATCCGTACCAGCCGAGGCCAGTTTCGTGGCAGTACCTAGTACGAAGGCTTGTCAAGACAGCAAAAACAAGGGTAGAATCGTATCTATTCTCCTACTACTCGATGGATGAGCCCTGTCCCGGTGCATGCTGGCTACGGCGGACCGTAGCACCGGGGGCGCACCAGGCCACCGTCGCGGCGTAACAGTACCTGCATGGTTGCAATACATGTGTGGCAGCTTTCTCGATTCATTGCCGATGGAACGGGTGCGTATCCATGCCTTAAGGTAGCGACATCAATCACTGACCGTTAGCAACCAGTACACGACCGCCATCGACGCACAGACAACGTCCATCGACATACGCCTGTAGGAGTATTATATCAGCTTGCTGGACAAGGGGGTGAGGGGACGGGCATCACCTACGCCGGCTTGGCTGCAAAGATACACCACGACACCAACGATATCTTCCAGTTTCCCGATTCTACGTGCTGGCATCGCATCAAACAGTGCCGCGAACTGATTACTCCCCTCTTGAACAGGGTTCATCTTGCTTGGCACGACTTGTTCTTGATCAGTCACCGGGTATCACAAGAGGGCAGAATGCTCACATCCAGGGTTGATCGCGTTCACTCGAATATACCAGGGCCCGAACTTCGCTGCCAGAAGCTCGACGAGATGGTCGATTGCGGCTTTGCTTGTAGCATAGCTCGTAAGGTCGATATTGGTGCAATTGTGCATGGAAGCACAGCTGCTCGTGATCACAATGCTCCCGCGGCCCTCATCCCGGCCTTTCCTCCCATCAGGTAAGTCCATTTCGGCGGCTGCTGCTAAGAGCTTCATCAACGCCACAGCGAGGAAATAATGAGCCGTCACGTTGATGCGGAACGTATCATCCCAGTCCGAGTGCCTTGATGACCACAGCGATGCTTGCAGTTCCTCAAGAGAGGCGGTCTTCGGGTTCGTCATTTGAGGAGGATCTCGACGGATACCGGCGTTGGAGCAGAGGATGTCCAGATGACTTTCGCGTGCTGAAAGGTATTTTGCGACTTCGGCGATGCCCTCCTTGGTGGATAGATCGCTGGGGAAGCTGGGAGCATGGCTTAGCATATCAGTGCGCCTCCTTTCGATTGTAACTGACCCTATGGCGCTCCCGCCACTGGACTTTCCCACTTCATTCAACTCGATTACAGCTTCATCGAGGTCCTGACCTCCAAGTGCGGTCACGTATACCTTTACTCCATTTGCGACGAAGCCCTGGCTCGCTAAATCAGCCCCATTCAACTACTTTGCTCGCACCGACAGACCTTGGCTATCATCAATCCTATCCCCGAGCTTCCACCTGTGACCAGGGCTACGCGACCACGAATACCGAACAAAGTGGCCACGTCCATGGCCAGACTTGCAGCATCTGGAAGAACGGATACCTCCACCATTAATATATAAATCTGCACGACGATCGTTGAGCCGTCATTGGACAGCACTCCTCGGCGTGAATCTCCGTCTATACCACATGTCCACCGCGCATGTCCGAACACGGCCTTGCACGGTGCAGCGGAAGGCGACGAGCGCGGAGCTACATCTCGGTCACATCTTCCAGTGCAGTACCGCTGGGTACCCTATATATTAGAGAGTCCTTTCCTCAATGTCCGACCCAGAAACAATTCGAGCTATCAATTTCGCATTCGTCCAAAATGGCATCCTTGACTTGGAGCGCCGTGCAGCCTGGGCACGATAACTACCTCCTCCCCGCTCTTCTCGTGTGCCTGGTATTATTCGCACTGTACAGGGTAATTGATTGCTGCGCTACTATATCTCATCGTGCTAATGTTCCCCCAAGTGGTCTCTTTCGACAGATATTCCGTATATCAAAGGCATCCCAGAGATCCCGGGCGCAGCGCCTATCTTTGGCCACTTGCTCAAACTGGGCGAAGATCATGCCAGCGTGTGTGAGAAGTGGTTCAAACAGTACGGCCATTCGGTCTTCCAAATAAAGCTAGGCAATACGCGTGCAGTGGTAGTCAACTCGTTTGATGACGCTCGCCGCATGCTCGTGGGACACCAGAACGCTGTCATTGACCGCCCAACACTGTACACTTTCCATGGCGTCATTTCATCTACACAAGGCTTTACTATCGGTTCCTCGCCATGGGATGCGTCCTGCAAGAACAAGCGGAAGGCTGCTGGCACCGCCCTGGGACGACCGGCCATGCGCGGGTACCACGACATGTTCGACCTTGAATCTTACTGTATTATGCGAGATCTCTTCTCCGACTCCAAAAACGGCGCTCTCGAGGTCAGCGTCCGGCCTTACATCCAGAGATTTGCGCTGAACACAACTCTTACACTTTGCTATGGAATCCGCATGGATAATGTCTACGATGATATGCTTCGTGAAATCCTGCACGTAGGATCTGCGATATCTCTCCTACGCTCCGCCTCGGAGAACTACCAAGACTACGTCCCGATCCTTCGCTATTTCCCCAACAACGAGAAAAACCGCCGCAGCAAAGAGCTCCGCGACCGACGCGACAAGTACCTCAACTTCTTGCTCAACAAAGTCCGAGATATGATCCAGCGTGGCACAGATAAACCCTGCATCAGTGCCGCTATACTCAAAGACCAAGAGACTAAGCTCACCGGTGTCGAAGTCTCGTCCATCTGCCTCTCTCTTGTCTCTGGCGGCTTCGAAACAATCCCAGGCACCTTGACGTCCTGCATTGGCAGCCTGGCAACCGCCGAAGGCCAGATTTTCCAGGACCTCGCCTACGCCGATATCCAACGCTACTATGGCACCACCTCCGACGTCTGGGCAAACTCTTTCCTCGAGGAGAAGGTCCCTTACGTCAACGCCATCATCAAAGAGGCCGCCCGCTACTACACCGTCTCGGCCATGTCTCTCCCGCGCAAGACCGTCACCGACATCGAATGGGACGGCGCCAAGATCCCCGCGAAGACCATGATCCTCATCAACGCACAGGCCGCCAACCACGAGACCGGCCACTGGGGACCCGACGGCCACGTCTTCAACCCGGAGCGCTGGCTCGACACCCCGTCCGAGAAAGGTGTGCCAGAAGAGCTGCCCGCGCAGGGTATCCAGCACTACTCTTTCGGCGCGGGCTCCAGGGCTTGCTCCGGCCAGTTCATCGCCAGCAGGCTGTTGTACACGGCGCTCATTCGGATTCTGAGCTGCTACAAGATCGTCGCGAGCGAGAGTGAGCCGCCCAATACGGACTATGTCGACTACAATCAGTTCAAGAGCGCTCTCGTGGCGATTCCGAGGGACTTCAAGGTCAAGTTGGTGCCGAGAGACGGGGTGGACATTGCGAAGGTGTTGGGCGAGGCGGAGGCTCGGACGAGGGGCTACTATGTCGAGTGAGACTGAAGGGCTAGATCAGTGTGGAGTCGCTGCTCGGGACCACAAGCAACGTATTTTCCGGCTGGTTTTGGAAAGCCAGATGAGTGCTGCTTTTCCGACGAGATTAGGAAGGTGACAGGTTACAAGCAAGCGTTTCGTAGAGGGGCAGTGATGAGTTTTGTAGAAAAATTACTGAGCATACTTTGACGTTTCCAAAAAATCTGCATACACCTCACCCTCATCCTTGCAAGTCCCTATATGACCCTCGATCCGCATAGCGAGAAAGGATATGCCACTCATTTACATGCTGTCCCAAAACGGCTTAGCGGGCTTTTCACTGCCTGGTGCCCAGCACTTTTCGTGCCCTCCCACCATATGCAAACACCGAGCTACTGAAGCAGATCTCATGCTGTAAAAGACAACACTTGAGGTTGTAAGTCCTTTCGGCTTCACAGATCCGTCCGAGCAACACCGATGGCGAGCACGAAGCAAGGGTTTCGAAGCCCCTCTGGTCGTGTTAGCGCCGTGGAGCCGTGCAGGGACATATCCACGCAACGAAAGTTTGATGAACGCCGTGTATAGTGCTATGCGCGGGCGTGACGAGTCCTCGAACGATATGTTGAGGGCCTGGTAGAGATCATTGGTCGTTGGTGGGTGTTACACGTCGATTAGAGTTTCGTGGGGCCCACTATCAGGCAGTGAACGGGCGCCATGTGGGGTCTCTGTTTTGACCTGGAAGTCTGGGGTCGTAGAGTGTGAGAGCACAACTGACTAGGAAGGGCTCGGCGAAGGCCGTGCAGTTGTGCACAGCGAGGGAGAAAAAGTTAAGGGAGAGCATAGCGGGGCTCTGTGCGAAGAACTGCTGCCATAATGCGCGCGTGGATCTGTTGTCTCCAATACCTTAACACTGTATAAACGAATTGATGCACTCAATGAACCGTTCACCACCTCCCATCCAGTGAACCATCCGACAGGCCCGCGAGGATCTGCTATATTGCTTCTTACTTCAAAGACCGCCTCTTCTTGTCCGGCGGCGTCCAAGCATTGATGTTGCCTCTTGCACCCAATGCCGTTTCGATGCTCAGCCCTTCTTCCCCTTCACCCAACCGATACGGCGTTTCCTTCCTCCTGATCTCCTTTGGTGGGCGGCTGATCAGGCCCGGGCTGGTCGTAGGCCACCCCGTCTTTACTGGCACGGTCGTGCCGGTAGGGTCTGGGCCTTGGATGGTGTTGTCCCAGCACATACTGTGTCTTGGTCGTAGATGATGTTGAGAAATGTGGGAGGGGAATTAGTTGAAGAGTCCCCACGTGCTGTACGAAGAGAAAAAGTGTGCAAACTGATGTGATATCTTACTGAGACGCTGGCTCACTCGCAGCGGCGCCGCATCACCAGGTATATACGCGAGGGCCACACTCCAGAGGTGCTGGGACGCTGTTGCTAAGTTGCTAGGGCTGACCACAAGGTGGCTTTGGCCTTGGATGGGAGTCGATGCAACCTTCGCTCCAGATCTGGAAAGCTCAGCGCCTTGACCAGGATGAGGACTAGGCAGTGAAAGTCTTGGCACAGGCCATTCGGTGTAGGCGAGAGTGTGACTGCCTCGGCAGAGCCTACAGGGGTTCACGTGCTGGTGTGGCAGAATATCATGGCAACTCAGGCGTCGCCTCGCACGAAAGAAGTCTGCCTTTATTCATCCGGTCTAACAAGGTCCAAGATGATGCAAGGATGACCATGAAGGAATGCCCGAAGTTATGTTACATCTTGCACTGACTTAGCTCGCGGTCGAATCGGAACAATACGCATCTGTGCGTTTGCACGAAGTACTTACCATGGACATGTTAACAGCTGTAGATAAACATAAAGCAAATCCCAAGCTTTGGGATACCTGCATACCCAGGGCCGGAAACCTCCGTTGCTCAACCTCGTATACCCCAACCTCTAGTCTCGCGGTCTGGCTCGGGTCATCGTATCTTCCCCCGCGCGAGCTGAACAACTTCGTATTGCCACGACGGGTCCCTCTCGCGCGAAGGAGCAAGAGACAGCAGATATATCTGGCTCCTCGCCGCACTCAACCCACTGCTCACGCCATTCTTCACTTTCGACTCAGGACCCGCCCCACTGCATCTAACAGTACCTCACTTAACTCCCAACGACCAAACAGCCCTCACGCGTGCAGCGATGCCCCTAAGAGTCATCATCACCATCCTCCCCCGCCACGACAAGACCGACTTCACCTGGGAGCGCCTGCAGTGGCTCGCCGAGCAGGTGAAGCAGCATGAGCCCGACGTGACATCGTACCGCTATGGCAGGAACGACGGCACCTACGGCGAGGCAGGCTTTGTCGCTGTCATGGAGTGCGTCTTTCCCTCCCTTTCCCCGGTCCCCGGTCTATACTAGTCATAAGTTCTGAGATCTGTAACGTGTGGCGGGAGTGATCGCCGGCTAATGTATAGTTTGGGCAAACCAGAATCAAGGACCAGAAGAGTCTGGAGAACCGCCGGAATCTGCCGCATCACCAGGAGATCGCACGGCTGATCAGGGAGGAGGGTTTACTAAGGGAGCCGTTGCGGTATTTTGTCCTTACGGAGGAGGGTGGGTGGGGTCGTTGACTATGCTGAAGGCAGTGGCTGCAGTCCATGGACTGATGCTGCGTTTGTGGGACACTGTGCGTATGATCGTCAATACGGCAGGTGGTGGGCCTGCCCGCAGCTCAATGGTTTACTTGCGAGGTAGGCTACTAGCTGCAGCCTTCGCAGATGCTGCTAGTGTTGCAGGGGGGCTCACAGTAGCAGAGAATGCCAGCTGCTGGAAGCTGCATCTGCTCAAATTACGATACGTTTAAAGCTCCTAGGGGTCTAGACCGTTAAAGTCCGAGCTGGGGCTTCTGCACACGGGACCTCCGGGAAGTTTCGCACGGGACTATGCACCATATCGACTCAACATATTTCCGTGGTAGACCCTCAGGAGCGGTTGCGGATGTGAAGCACTATGACGTTGTTTTAAGTAATCTCAATGAGTTTATACAGACGGGAGCTACAACCTCTTGAAGCCAGCACGTACGTTGCCCGCCTTGGACATCGACGCCAAGAGGCAGTGAATTCAATCCAAAATCAATGCAGATCTGACCACAAGCGCCAACGACCCGAACGCACAACGCCAGTTACCACCAGCAATCAGCATAATACACATCAAACCACCCTTTCCAACGATGACGACCGACTCCTGGTAGCCGATGCCAAAGTTCCATACAAGCACCAAACAATCCAAGCCGATAGGTGGACCCCGCCGCCAAGGGGACTTTTGGTGAGGGACCCACTGGAACTTTGGCAGGTTGAACCATCCAACCTCACCTCTTCTTTGCCTTGAACGCCAAAAGGAACTTTGGACCGTCGACACCATTCTTACACAGCTTGCCGCCCTCCCCTCCCCTCATCGTATGAATTAGGACGGCCAGAGAAGTCATGAACCCCCGTCATTTCGCTTGTGTGCTCTCGGTGTTCGTTCAATCAAGCACCAGCTCGTCCGAGTAAGGTAAATGGCTGGTCCATGCGCCTGTACAGGCGTAGTCGCCCTTGGGCTGCTCCATGCTAGAGTGAGCCCTGAGCGAGGGATTGCGCGGTGCTTTGAGGCCGTGGAAATAGTCGTGCTTAGTATCTTTCAAGTATCGATCGAGTGCGTTGGTCGGCGCGATGAGCTGGGCTGACCGCACCACTCTTACAGGCTGGCGTGATGCATCGTGAGGATCTCGGGTCACGAAAGTGGCGGAGCTCACGATTCTGGAAGAGGTAGAGGTAGACATGGTGTGTAGATAGTAGTTGGGCGGTTTCTGCCTCGTTCGCAGTGATATGCAAGTTTGAGATAGCGTGGGGCAGTGAGGGTTCGCTTCAAACAACGAGATCTAAGATCTGTTTATGGTAGCGCGCGTTGGTGGAGTTTTAAGGAAGCTCTGATCTGGAGGAGATCGGGGTAGTTGCACGACGAGGAGTACTCTAGAGCTGATGGCTTCTGAGGAAGAGGTCGTTCTCTCTTATAATGCTCGTCTTGCGCCGGCACAAGTACTACTAGGAACCTTCGTTCGCTGGTCTGTCGTCGTCAGCATCACACGGAACGTACAAAGGTATCACAACTTGATCACAAGCTCAGAGGTCGGAAGTTCTCCTTGTCACATATCACATCTGGTAGGAGGGGTTAGACGATCGACTGAGAATAGCCTCCAGCCAGCCAGTCAGCATTCACTAACTGTACCTTTTCTCGCTTCTAAGTGGTGCATCGACTTCCATGGACCCGACCACCGACGATTTGCGGACATAAGCAACGGTCACCTGTATGACCGCGATGCATCGATGCTGGTTGGCCCAAGCGACAACGGGGTCCAAGGGTTGGACTGTAGCACTTCGGCATGTGAGACCAGAGGCTCAAGAGCCAGTAGCGAGATGCCTATGGGGATGGATTAGCTGGGTTTAGAGCATGAATCCGTTCGCTGAACGAAATGCGAAAGTCCCTCGATGCCAAGGCGTGGGACCTTTGGCAGGTGCGGTCAAGCCTATGGAACATTCGAGGGGAGGCGGGATTGGGTAGATGCTCGACCGAGGCTCGTTGGTGGAGGGTCATATCTGGCAGCAGCACGAGAGGGCACCCGCTGCTGCTGCCCGATGCATATATCTCTCTCAGGCACTCCAAATCAGCCTGAACCCTCCCTCCAAGATCTTGGTACGCATTTCAGAGCAGAAAAAGGAGGCTGAGCAGCTGCCAGCTCTCCACGTTATTGGCCCAAGTGGTCTTACGTATTCATCTCGACCCAGTGACCTGAGAGGTATGCAGTAGTCGCTGCCTCGCGAACCGAACATGTGAAGCAAGGTGCCGGGGCCGACAGAAACATATAATGAAGCCACTCTGACCGCTTTCTACCCCTTCCGACATCCCAAGACAAGATCCAGAGAATGAGATTACGATAGACGACGCCAATCAGCGAAAGTCCTCCCACGGCCGCCCCGCATCCCATCCTGGTAGCGTCTTGCATGACCTTAGCGGGACTTTCCATTTAGAGTTCGGACAGGCAAACCTCGAGGCTGTCTCTGATTGAGGCGTGCCCCAGATCCTGTGGTACCGGCGGCTTGAACCATTTGCTGTGGCGTTGCGGGCGATTTGTCGGGCTGCATGGTATTTCACGACACCAACAAGCCCATAGCTTCCACTTGCAATTTGCGGTACCGCTGTCATTGCTTGCGAATAGATCAGAGATACCAGGGCTGAAACAGGGTCACAAGATCAACCGAAGCCAGGACAACAGAACATGGCTGCTCAACATATAGGGTCTCAAGGGCCGCCAGCCCGGCCCTTGAGGCGAGCTCGCTATATCGGCGTTGAGACGTGGAACACTTTCAAGGATGAGGTGTATGAGAGATACATTGTTCAAGACCATTCGTTGGAAAAGATTATGAATGATTACCGCATGGAATACAGTTTCCCTGCTACGTCAGTTACCCCAGGTTTTCAACCGCCATCAGGCTGACCATTAAAAACAGAAAAAAGCAGTGGAAGGATCAACTCGGTCGTTGGCAGTATCGTAAACGCCTGAACAAGGAAGATGCGGCATTTATCCTCTTCTTGTTCGAAGAAGCCGCGCGACACGGGGTATCGCGGCGGGTGTTCGTCAATCAGTCCGAGAAGACCGAGGAAGATATTCTGGCCTATGTCAGGAAATCTAGCCTCGTCGGGTCTAGAGAAGAGCTGCTTGAGTACTTGGATCATGACGAGCGCTCGCCATACATCACTTGGGTCGACGAGGATCGAGAGTTGCAGCAGCAGCCCCAAGAAGACATGCCCATGTGGCAGCCAGTCGATAACATTGAACCTGATTTCGCGCATTCGCAACCAGATGAGGATGACGACAGTCACGCGAACAGGCCTTCCTTCGAGCTACTCGTTGATTATGAGGAGCTCCCGCCAGTGGGCGATGTACACTCGATACCATCGGACAGCTCGGCCGAAGAGGAAGGGTCTTCACCCATGGGGCAGACTCGAGAAGACAACGCGCTCGACAGCACTCCTAACCGTCATGAACCGGGGCCTCCTCCAGATGTCCAGGGATCCTCGATGGGAGGAATCAGAGCTCAGTTGTTCCCACCAGAGATTCCCAACAACGCTATGGCGCAAGGGATCGACACACAGAGACTCAATGGACTACTGTCCAATTCCCCACTTCAGGCAAATCTTAGCCCCGAAGATCTGGGTACCACCATCGACGCAATGTTCGGTTTGATGGAGGCGGTCGGCTGTGATGCCGAAGACCAGTGGCGTGTAACCAGATTTCTGCGTCTCTGCTGTGCAGCTGCCATCTATGGCGGCCAGAATTTTGATGCAAAGCGCAAAGAGTCGATCACGGAAGCGGTCGGCATCTTCCGCGAGTTGCTCACTCTGAATCCTTGGGACAGTGTGACGACTCTGAACAACATGTTCGCACTGCTCAACATGTACGGACATCGTGTCGTCATTCACGATATTCTGAAAGCCACAAAGGCCATGACGGACAACGTTGCCGACTCCTTTGGCCATACATACCTTATTCGCGTTGTGCAGTCAGTCCTAAACTTCATGCTGAGGATACCGGAGACTGGTTCCAAGGCAGAATACAACCTTGACGAGCTGGCGGAGATGGAGGAGCTCGCAGACCATAGCTTTGAAAACCATGCGGGATTTGCTCTCAGCGCGACCTATATCCACGCGTGGGGGCTGTTAGAGATGAAGAGGTATCCAGAAGCTCTCAAAAAACTTAGCGACCGACGGGCTGAGTGCGAAGAAGCTTTCGACTATGGCCAATTTCAAACCATTTGCTGGATTGCGACTTTGGCTCGGGCTTATGCCATGAATGACAAGAATAGGGCGGCCGTGAATACCTATCGCGATGTCGCTGGAAGGATCTTCAGAATCTTTACGCCTTCTCACCCCCAATACTGCGATAGCATATACCGCCTAGCCTGCTTTGACAAGCGTGTCATCGACGAGTCTCAAGATCGCGAGAGCCAGCAGCGGGGCTGGTTGAGCGTTGCGAGAACCATGCAACGGACACTTGCATGGAGGGCCGAGGAGCTGGGACGGGTCAATCCGCAGACTATCCAGAATTTCAAAGCTCTTCGGAAAGTGCTGATGAAGCTTGAAAGAGCGAGCGAAACCACGACGTTCGACGAGGTCCTGATGACTGAACTGTCCTAAGAGGATTCTCTAGCAGCACTCTTGTCTGCACCAGGCTCACTTTCGATGGGCTCCACGATATGATGCTTCATCGACAAGATCGTCATTGCGGTCTCGAGACCTGTGCCGAGGACGTTCACGTCGAGCAGTCCCGTGCCGATCATCTTTAGGTCGAGGAGGACCTTTCGCGCCAAACACGCCATCGAGGTCACCAGCTTTGCGCAGAGACGGTGCAGCTCTCACTGGACCGTGCCCTTCGGAACGATTTCGGGGAACATCATAGCGTTCGCCTCTCGCTCCCGAAGCGTTGGCGCCAAACACGCCGTCGATATCATCAGCTTTGCGCAGAGACGGTGCAGCTCTCACTGGACCATGTCTTTGATCTTTCCCTCCAGAATGTTTGCCACCAGAAACGCCAGCGTTGTCTTTGTCGCGGTTTCGTGACATACCATCGCTCTTACCGAGAGGCATATCATTGCGAGACGACGGCTGGTTGACATGGCGCTTGTCCCGTTGAAGATCACGGCTTTCACTCTCAACGGCCTCTCTGCGCGTCATATTCTTACGCGGGTCGTCAAGTCGGGTTGTTGCCATGTCGCGCCTCAACCTATCGACATTAGCGTCTTCAAGTTTGCTATGACGCTGTTCTCGTCTTTCTGAGGTACGGTAAGCGTTCTGGCCGTGCCGATCGTCATGCTCGAAGCCTCGGCCTTGGGGATGACGGGCAGCGTCGCCATCGGAGTCGTCATCGTAGCGTTGCGATCGTATAGATGGCCGCGAGACTGGTTCTGGTTTGCGTTGCGTGTAATTCTCGGTAATGTTGTCACCATGACGTTGTTGTGCCTTGGTCGAGGTGTATGCTTTGTGGGCTGCCGTGACAGCCTGTTGATATTTTGATCTGGCTGCGCCTCCTTCATTGTCTAACGCTTTGCGACCGTGGCGAACATCGATGGGAGGACTTCGATCGCGACCTTCCTTCCCAGCGAAGGTTTCCACGCGAGCTTCAGGGGATATTTCACCATCGAGGGCACGCGCATCGCTATGTCCATGCCGACTACGGTTGTTGCCACGATCGTCAGATCTGATGGCCGTTTCGTGGCGTCGATCTTCGGTGCGTTGGGCGTCGCTCGGCATTCTCTGATCTAGCATAGAAAATCCACGTTCAGTTCGGTCGTTACCAACAGGATGCGGGAGGGTACCGGCGTCAGGACCTTGTCCGTGGCGGGAGGGTGGGTCCGCATAGGCCTGTCGCTGCCGACTTCTAAGGGCATAGTTCTGGTCGTCCGAAACCGAGACATCGTCGTGGTCCTGGGACTGTCGGCTTTGCTGCTTGGAGGGTGGCAAACGGCCGACAGTCTTCGACTTATTCGCAATAGCATCCGGCGAAGTGCGCCCTCTCACGTTATGAGCGGCTCGCTTGTGTGAATGATCGTCGTGCCGAGCTCCAAAAATGCCACCGAGCTCGGAGCCGGTATTATCGTCTGATTCGTCGTCCTCGAATACCGCCTGCGGGTCGACGTGCCTAGGATGACGGGCGGAGTCGTCGAACCGTACGACAGACTCGCGACGTCCACCAGGCTTAACGCTGGGAGGAGCTGGCGCAGGCGGCCGTTCTCTGGAATAGGGATCGACCCTGGCGATTTGATTAAAGGAGGCTCCGATATGGTAGCGTTGATCGGAATCTCTACGATATCTCGGAACGGATTCGTTTGAAGCATAATGGAAGCTGTTGCGTGCGTCGCCGATATTGGGACGATTCTGTTGGTGCACTAATGGCGTTGCGCCCCGTTGACGAACGGCTGGGGAATATCTCAGACATCAGACTCTTCAGAAGAGTAGTACTCACTATTCGCTTCATAAATCGCGGACGTTGGCTGGTACCGGGACGCCATGACGGCACGTGATTTCAGTGTTACCTTGTCCTGCTCGAGCAAATTGCCGTACGCGTTACTTGTCTCAGCAGGTGCCGCTTTCTGACGCCACTGGGCTAGCAGGGAAACTCTCCACAGAGCAGTGCCACACTGCCAACAATGTTGGTGCTGACGACTGGCTAGAGCGAAGGTTCCAAAAGTTCGGGTAAGGCGAGATGGATACTAGTTGCAGCAGGAATCGTTGCCTCAGGCTTTGAGGCAAGAGGTATTCAGCGGACGAAGCAGAGCCGCATGCTGAACAGGTCCCGTGCCACGGCCCACGAGCAGCGCGCCTCTGCACCTCGGTGGAAGCCATCAAGCTATGGCGACGTTCTCTGGCTAATCAGACGGGCCATTCCTAACCGGTGTAGGTCCTTGGAGAGCTGTCATCGAATCACAGATTCCTGGGCCGGGTTGTGGTATCGTGGAAGAACAGGAGGGGAAGATGATTGTGGCTTGCCGCGATGCGGGTGAAAGGCAATGCTGTTGGTTGATGCTATCATCATCCAATCGCAGAAGTTGACGGCACGGCTTGCTCGTATGGGAGCAGCGTCGAACCACACCGTTATAGGTAAAGCGTAGCAACATGCTTCCGTTGCAATCGCCCAAGAGATCTGAGCTGGCCTAGATGGCGTTGCAGCCAAGGTAAACGAAGGATCTCCGCACTGCCATAACGAGTTCCGGGCGCTGTGCTCAGGGTCACGTGGAACTGAGCTCGCAACCTCGCACCGCTCCCGAAGGGCCCGAGCCTTGTTTCGGCGATGGCGAGGTATGAGGGCGCTTTTTAGCCTGACCCAGACGGAAGACGAGGACTTATCTTGCACTACGATACGAATTTCAATCGCGAATACCTTTCGCAGTTGAAGCTTTCCCTTGGAAGTGCGACTCTCCGTCAGCTGCAGAACGGCAGATTCAGCACAGAGGATCACGCCGATTTCCAGACACTTACCCAATGAGGCATATGTTAAAACGGGTCTATTCTGTATGGCTGACGCCTTCCTCAGCCGAGCCTGGTTGCTCTCGACCGGCACTGCGTGAGTTCGACAAAGTGCAGCCGGAGCTGTCAAACCATAGACGGCTCTTGTGCAGTCGGGGCAGATATTATTATCCGTCATGGAGGCTGCAGAGGGGGCCAAACTTCCTCCATACCTCTCTCCGGATCGAGAGATCCATGTCGTGATATCCATCGCTTCTGGCTTACGCGGCGCTCAGTCTTACTACGATGACACACTCAAACCAATCCTGGAAACACATTCGGTCAAGCACACCGTACACACCACCAAATCCGCTAGCAGCATCATCGAGCTCTGTAACACCACCATCCTCATCGCTGCTACGAAAGGCGCCAAGCAAACCATCCTCCTACTCTCTGGCGATGGCGGGATCGTCGACTTTGTGAACACGCTATCCACTCTGCTGATGCGCGACACGTATGACTCGCGCGTCGGCTCCATCTTCGTCAAGCCAGTCGTCGTACTCTTCCCTCAAGGTACTGCCAATGCGCTGGCCTGGAGCAGCAAAGTTGCTCTGGATCCTATCCAGACGATGCTGAATGGCCATCCCCGACCACTGCCACAGTTCGAGGCGACCTTCAGTCCTGGCTCAACCCTCGTCACAAACGAAGGTGCCGACCGGGAAGACATGGGTACTAATTACGATGGCGATGCAGCAGTCATCTATGGCGCTGTTGTCTTCAGTTGGGGCCTGCACGCCTCGCTGGTGTCCATGAGCGACACGACCGAGTACCGCAAACACGGCACCGACCGTTTCAAAATGGCTGCCGAAAAGCTACTAACCGAAGGCCACGTCTACCAGGGCATCGTCAAAACCCGTCAAGGACGAGACGGCGAATGGAAGCATCTCACCTACCCCAGCACCGACAATGCCACAACAGCCAACAAAGCAGATCGCCATGCCTACGTCCTTTGCCCGCTCGTCTCCAACCTAGAGCAGACCTTCTGCATCTCCCCCGCCACCGAAGCCGTCTCAAACACCATGCGCTTCCTCGCCATCGACCCGGAAAAGGGCTCCGAAGAAATCATGCGTGTCCTCATGCTCGCCTACCAGAATGGCGCCCACGTCACCGAGCCAACAGTCACATACGAGGAAATCGACGGGCTGAGGATAGAGTTCCAGGAAGAAGACGCACAGTGGCGGCAGGTCTGCGTGGACGGCAAGATCATCGAAGTGCCTCGCGGCGGCTGGGCCGAGGTGCGCATGCTCCCTCCCATGGGAATGGACGGTCGGCGCGTGTTGGAACTCGTGGTGCCGACCTGATACGGGCTTACGGAGCTGTTGAAGCAAACTGGGAGGTCGAGAAACCTAGTATAGAGAACCCAAGTAGAGATGCAGTACATAGAATGGAGCACGGAGCAATTTCGAAGCTGCAGTAATCATTCCAGTTCGCATTATCATATCATATCAAACTGCCCGCGCCTCCAAACCTCCCACCCACCACCATAAGACAAGAACGAAAGCAAAACGGATGGGGGTATCTGTGCTGACGCTCTGGGATGAAACCAAATCTAACAAAGAGAGACCAACTGGGGTGCGCAGCTACCTCGCCCTCACTTACGCGCCTCCCCAAAGTTTCTTGGTGCCCGATGTCTCGTAGCCCTTTGTGACCAAAAAAACAATACGAAAGCAAAATCCGCGCCATGCATCACCACACTCACCCGTGCTTCATGCCGGCAGTCTCGACAGACTTCGAGTCACACCCGCTGCCCTATGTTCCTTTCCTCAACCACTCTGGCCGGCCTGCCGCGCAGCCACATGCTCCGCGACGCCCTCATCCCCGACCTCACTGCCATCCCGGCGAGCCTTCGCCTTGGTCGGGCTCTGCGGCGCGCCCACCTGCTCCTCGACACTCTTGCCTAGCCCTACGCCCGTGAGACCCAGCATCTGAGGATCCACTTTACTTGCCTCGTCGTCCTCGCGGGAGGCGTTCTTCTTCGTCTGCTCCAAGAGCTCCTCGCGCTCTTCTGGCGTCATCTCGCCCGGCTCCCTCGTCAGAGGTGCCTCGCCTGCACCCAGATGATCCTCACCGAGCATCTTCTGCGACACGTCCTTGCCCTTTCCCTTCTCCGATTCCTTTGACCCGCCGCCTTCCGCAGCACTTCTCATCGAACCTTCACTCCTGCTGCTGGCAACCTTCGCCAGCTCTGCGCTCTTGTCCCTCGCGCGATCGCCGCTCTCCACGATGCGCAGCTCCTCTCTGGTGAGGTAATCGCCGCGCTCCTTCGCCTTGCGCAACTCCTCTACGTACTCTTCATCGTCCTCACTCTCCTCGTCGTCCTCAAAGAACCGGTCGCTCCATCGTGCGCTGTCTCTTCTGGCGAGCTGCCTCAATGCCGTCCGGCCTGAGTTCATGCTTGAATAGCTATCGCTTGCCGCTCCTGTGGCTGTCACACGTGATACAAGGTCCGACACCTCGTCGCGAGCTTCACGCGCTTCGGAAGCGGTACGTGATTGTCGATTTGGAGACTTGGGCCCCGTAGCAGCCGACGGGGGCGAAGGCGACTTTTGCAGCTCGTCGCGGAGCTTATCGATATCGGTGGGCGTGGAGGGGAGGTCACCCATGTCGTTCATGGTGGCGGACTTCTCTGGCTTCTTCTCCTTGCTTCGAGGCTGGTGATCCTCTTTAGGCGGGTCACGCTGGCCGGAAACATGCTCGCCGTGAGCATGCACCGCCTCCTCTGGTGGCTTGGCGCGCTCTTCGGATTCGATGTCTTCGTCGCGAGTATATGCCGTATCCGTGTAGCCAAAATGCGTATCGCAGAGGTGCTGCACCACTGGCCAGCCATAAGCATTGGCAAACATGCGGCGAACAATAATGTTGTTGTGGGCGTCTGGCTCGAGGCAGACGAGCACTTTGCGCCATGTGAGGTCTTTATGATACGCACGTGCAATCTTCTCTTCAATGCGCATCGAGCCCACTTCTGATGAATCGCTCTGTTGCGAGGGTGGCCGAGGGCTAGTCACACTGGTTTGGCCAGTGCTGGACACTGACATTGAGCTCTCACGCGATGGTGGCTTTCTCAAAAAGGTCCGCTGACGCTTAGTAGGAGGCGCTGGAATATCGTCCGGGTGATATATACGGTCGTGGAAGATCGTTCTTGGTCGTGCCCCAGGATCCAGGAGAAAATCTTTGGGAGGCAGTGGCGGGTGCAGAAGGTCGCCTGCCGATTCGAATACTGTAGTCTTGGGCGGCGCTTCCAGATTTCCGTCGCCGGATTTGGCGGAGTATAGTGACGGGCCCCTAACCCGTGGCTTGCGCGACTCTCGGCCATTCTGGCTTTCTTGCGAACTCGAATCGCCACTTTCTTGACCGAGCTTCATAGTCTGGCCCCGGTGATAGATCTTCTGTTGTTTGGTGGGCTTGGGCTGAGCTTTCTGCTTTCCAGCTTGCGGTCGGAAGAATGACAACAGTCCGCTCCAAAGATTGGATCCCTGCTCTACCGGTGCCTGTTGTGCGTTGTCACTTCCTCTCTTGTAGACTTCATCTTGGAGTGGCTTGCTGTCCAAGAACTGATGTCTGTCGGGATCGGTCCTGTCGGCATCGTCGAAACCTTGGCTAGCTTCTGCTTGCGGGACGCTGGAGGCTGGATCATTTATTGCTTCCGATTCTGAGGGCGCGGCTTTGTTCGGGTCATGATCATCGTCACTGAAAAGATCATGGAAGGCCATCGGTTTCCTGGCGGCGCTAACATTCTGACCTGTCATCTCTGACCAGCCCCATTCCAACATAGTCCCAACAAGGCCGTTCTCTCTTCTAGCCTTTTCGACACGGCCAAGCCCTCGCCAGTCCAAGAACAGCAAGCACGATGTTCGCAGGGGCACAATGCCGTCGTTGACTACATTGGCGTACACTGTTCTGTGGCGGAACTTTTTCAGCGCAACGTATGCAGGACCGGTGGGCAGAATTCTCAGGAGCGGTTTGGAGGATGGGTCAGGCTCCTGCTTGTCTCTCTGTGTGTCGACACCAAGTCCACTGATCATGGTGGTCCAGCTGTTTTTCGCAAAGGTCGGCGCACGCCAAGTCAATCCGAGATCTTGACCAGTTCGCCCTACTAGCCCAAAGTCAAGAGCAAATTTGACATACATTGGGTTTTCATTGCTCAAGCCCAGAAATGGCGTTGCCAACGCCACAAAGTTGACAGGCTTGATCAGGTCGAAGAAGTCTGGGGAGTGTTTCTGAATGTACGCTATGGCATACGTCTGAATCAGACCGCCCAGCGAGTGCCCGATGAAGCTGATACTGGTGATCTTATAGGGCAGATCACGCTTGTGATGAGTGTGCTTGTCGTCCTTCATGATGGAGCTATTCTTGTGGATAGGCTTTCGATCACCAGAATCCTCAGTGGCAAGCCGGTCTTTGGATTTGTCGCCTTTTCCAAGCTTTGAGCCCGTCAAAGATCGAGTGATAGATTTTGAGATCGAGCTCTTGACTGGCAAATATGGCTGATTCGGGTAGGTGAGAAGCAACACATACTTAGCGAAACGCTTTCCCAGATACTGGATGCCTTTCTCGGTTTTGATGGCATTACCGTTGAACCCTCGCACTAGGGTCTCCTCGTCGTCCGACTCACTGTCGTCTTCGTCCTCAAGCTGCTTGACAGTCGGCGAAAGAGCGATGTCCGGGGCCGAGGCAGCTCTCTCATCGACAGCGTTTCGGCCGCCAGCTGCAGCAGCTCGTTTTGCCCTCGCATGGGATCTCCGGTTGCGTGCGTTCTCCTTGGCTTGTCTGGCTGCCGTGTCAATGCTCTCTTTCATATACAGCATATCCGCGCCCAGATTACTGTGTAAGCCGTGGGTCACCAGGACTAAGTGGATCTTCTTCTGTTTCTGCGTCTTCTTCTCCAGTTTCGCGTGCACATCGCGCTTGTCGCCATGCTGGGAAGGCTGCTCCGTCGCATCCTTTCCGTCATTGTCCCTGCGAGGGAAAGCAGGCGTGTTCCACAGACTCTCGGTGTCATCCACGTCCAGCCTTACTGCCTTGGAGAAGACACCTTTCGGTTGTGCGGCATCACGCGTACGGCCCTGCTGATGGTCTTCGAGCCTCCCAGGAGCGCCTTGGCCTGACCCGACTACTCCGTGGAAACCCAACTCTACCGACTTTGCATCCCGGCCCACGAGTACCTCGAAGTGTACGGCTGCCGTAGTAGAGAATAGAACTTGCGATGCTACTTCTATGATCCATGTGAAGCTCTTGCGTTCCCTTCCTGATTCCCCAATGAAGAAAGATTGGTCGGCATCCTGCCGTACTTCCTCTGGCACAAGCAACTTGGAGTGCCAGGTACCGCCAGCCTTAAGTTGTGGCTCAAAGTCCGGGGCACCTTCCACGGCAGCAGTCTTCGTAAAATTCTTGCTTGGGTCATAAGTGGACGGGTAGCAGGCGACATAGACAGTATATGGACCGTGGAGGTAAGCGGCACGCAACGGAACGGCCGAGGTGTTCTTAATCTTGACATGCAAATTGGTCGGCGGCGGGAGGATACGGTCAAGGCTCGGAGTGTATGTCAAGGTATACCTTGCAATAATCAGCAGTGCTCTTCTTCATGCGCACTCCCACTCGTAGGGCGTACCGGACTACCTCTCCCACCTTTACCGAACCGGTTTGGTGGAGCAATAGCATTGTTGCGAGGTGAAGGCGCTGTCATGGCAAGCGCCGGTCGATGCTATCGAGGTAGGATGTCTGGAACACGTTGAGGCAACTGCGCCATTCCTGGGGGTATCACCAAGGGTCCGAGGAAGAATGAGCACGCTACAAACGTAGGTCATTGGCTTTATGAACGTGACATAACTCTCTGACTATCAGCGCCGTCATGCGCTCCGCCGGTGCGCCCGTGCCTGATGGCCTAATCCGGCCACGCGACGCCTACGGTGGCCATAATGTGCCCACTAGGTAGTACTCTTGCATAGCGTTCTGCAATTCTCGCTTTTCGTTTATCGCTCCTGTTCGACTATGGAGCCTCAGAGGCGTGTGACGAGCTGAAGATCCACGAAGCGTACGGAGTCGACGCCGTAAGACTATCCGTACCTTCCGGATTGTGGCGCACAGCACGGCCGGCGCATTCAGCCACATCCAAAGTCTTCATCCACGGCCTCATCTACCGTAGGAGGGACTTCCACTCCAACCGTCGTCGTGATCGCGTCTCCGGAGTCAGTTGACCTGCTGGTGTTGGTCGCGGAATCAAGTTGCTTCTTCGCCAGACAATGTTAGGTGCTAGTAGCCTCAATATTCCTCAGCGCGGCAGGTTATCAACACCGAGTCCATCACTACCGCTATCCTCATCCTGTTCCTCTGGCCATCTGAAGTCCTTTGCTTTTTTCGCCTCTCGCTTCTTGCGGCTGTACACCTTTGTGTTCGGCGATGCTGCGTTCTTAAAGATGTTGGTAATGCGCTGCGCATCAGATTTTACATCGTCGCTTCCAGCGTCATCCTGCTTGTGACCATTGACAGCTGCGAATGCATGAGTTGTCGACTGCTCGGCTTCGATGGAGTCGCTATCGTCAGGGTCAGACTCTCCTTCATCTTCAGAACGAGACCCAGTCGCGCTGTCGGCGTCGGCTGTGGAAGCTTCCTGTGCCTCTGATTCATCGTCTGCGTCTTCTTCTGGACCTTCTGCGTCGGCGTTGGATGTAGTCTCTTCCTGATTTTCATCGACTTCGTAGTCTTCAGAGTCATCCTCTCCGGAAGTAGGTGCTGGCTGGGCAAGCATCTCTTTAAGCTTCCTACCAAGCTCAGGGCTGCTATCGGGTCGCACTTGCAATGCGATACCCGGCGAAGGTTGCGTTTGGGACGTTTTGCCGCGCATCTGCGAATTCTTGATCGTCGACGTATTCGCCTGTGTCTGCTCAAACACTTGACTGGCGGTGAGTCTGTTTCCAGGAGTCTTGTCCTGTTGTATGACGGGCTTGCGCTGACGACGTGGAGTCTTCTTCTTGTCCGAAACCTCCTGCTCGCCGCTCTCTTGGCCTTCGGACTCACTTCTGGCAGCATCATCTTCCGAATCGTCGGGCTTGTCATCAGAGTCCTCGTCGGAGGGAACATCGCTCTGTTCGGCCTTTTCCCTCTCTGGAGTAGCCTCCTCGTCCGAGTCTTCTATGCGCGCCTTGGAGAGATTGGCGCCAGCCAGACGCTTTTCCATCTTTGAAGGCTGTTGTTCCCTCATGACGCGCGACAGACCAGAGTCAACCCATACGCCGTTGACGCTCTTGCCGTGCATCGCACGCCAATGGTTGGCACATTGTTGTGCAGATCGACTTTTCACTCTTCCACTGACGGCGCCCCAGTTGAAAGAGTCGACATCCTCGATGCCAGCTGAGATTGTTATTCTGCGCATTTCTTTGATTGCATCTTTGAAGCGCGCATGCTCCTCAGCGTCCCAAGTTCCGGTCTTCAACGTCTTCCCTTTGCCACCGAACCGCAGCTTGTTCTTCCAGCGCTGCCGCAGGATCTCGGGGTCTCGAGTAAGCTGGTCACCAATTTCGTTCCATTTCTGGCCGAGCTGCGCAACAAGACTAATAATTTCTGCATCGTCATCAGCGGTGAACTCACGGCTCCGGTCCACATTTTGAAACCTCTCCCTGTAGCGTCGCATACTCCGAACATTGCGTTCCGGCAGCACATCATAATAGTCCTTCGTAAACTCTTTCCTCGAAATGAATTTGTAAGGCCATGTTGCATTGCCTTGTTTTCCCGAAGCCGTCATGATTTCGTTGAACTCGTAATGATTAAGCCCATAATCGTTGCAGAATTGATCACGCCAGCGTTCGATTCTATCCTCTTCCTCGGCCGAGAAACGCCCTGTCTTGCCCTGCAGACCGTTGCCAGTCCCGTGACCTTGCGCTTTTTGGTGGCGTGCTAAGCCAGCTCTCGTGGCGAACTGTTTTTCACAATGTCTGCAATCGATCAGATCATCGTGGGTAGTTGGGTCCTGGCGGTGCTTTTCAAGTAGGGCCTCGGTCGGAAAGAGACTGCTGCAAATCGGGCAACGATGCGTATATGGCCCTTTGGGAGCCCTGGGCGTAGATGACCGTGATCTTGAGAGGTTGGCAGGCTCCTTTCCTTTCCCTTTCACCGCTCTCTTCTGCTGTTCCTTGACATTCCGCATGCTTTCAGTTGATTCTTCATTCAGTTGACCATAATCAGATTCTGAGTCGTTTTCCTGCTGCAAAGTTCGCTTTGCGATAGTTTTGGCAATACCTGATGAACCCGGCGGATCCGGCTGGGCCTCCACATCCCACGGACTATGGCGACCTTGCGACGCACCGTTCATGGCAGGCGTGTCAATAGGCTTCGTACGTCTTTTCAACCCTGAAGAGGGCCGTCGTGACGAGCTGGGCTGTGGCTCGGCGTTTTGATCGTTTTCGTAGCGAGCAGTAGAAGGACTTGCGGTAGACATGGGAATCACGACCTCGACACCCTGGTTCGACCGACTGTCTTCTGGTGACCTGGGATTGTACACGGGATGGCGAAGGGCAGAACTTTTGGCGAAAGGCTGGGCATAGTCTTGCATGCTACTTTGACGCCGAATCGTCTTTGAGACATCATTTGATGCCGGGTGTTCCGGAACAGCATCACCGGTGGCATTATCGATGGTGATATCATCTGGTGCAGGGGATGGGGAAGTGGGTGGCGTATCCATTTTGCGGTTTTTGCTTGATTTTTGCTTCTTTGTAGACTCCGGCGAACCTGCTTGCTGATGTTTCCGCTTGCGCTGCTTCACGACGGGTGTTTCCTCGACGAGAGACTGCACATGCTCGTCGTCAAAGACACTGTTGATTGAGGTAGATGCCAGCACTGACATGTCTTCTGGCTTAGGATCGACAGGTGCAGGTTCAGGCTCCGTGACTTCGCGCTCTTCCATCTCGCTGTCAGCTTCCACTCTCCTCTCATGTTCGACTTCATCTCTAACGTCGGCGATGCCAGCAAGACCAGGGTGGGCGTGTGGCTTGGCGTCCAGCTCGCTGTCATCGCTCATAGCATAGTCTCCAAACATTTCAGGCTCCTTCTCTCTGATCCGCCGCCTCTCCTCGCGCATCAGGATTTCCTCGGCCAGCCTAGTCTGTTCATCCTGTGGCTCGGGCTCTGGCGTGTGCTCGCTACGCGGCTCTGCGTCGTTGTCGTCGTTGTCTATGCTGTGGTCCGCTGTGCGCTTCTTCTTGCTGTTGGCACGCGTTGTCGTTGTCTTCATCTTGCGCTTGCGCGACTTGGCTGCCGGTGGCTGCTCTGCGTGTGGGAGCGACGCCACGGACGCACTGGGGGAAGACTGGCTGCGGCGGGTGTCAGGGATCTGCGAGAGATCAAAGTCGTCATCTGTAACCATGATTTAGTACAGGATGGTTCCTTAGGACATTGGATTTATGGTCATCGTACTCTCACTTCCATTGTCGGGCGCCGACTGAGCTTCCTGTGACTGCTCATTGCCCATCGTGGCCGCCGCAGAAGGTCGTAGTTATTTGACACACAGATGCGATTTGCATGCCGAGAACGGGGTCACACCAGTCTCGATAGAATCGCGTTGTCGGAGAGGTCAACGTAGCAGTCGCGACCGGTTGACGAGAAGTGCAAGTTGCTCCAAAAAATTAACCGAGACTCAGTTCGCGACAGACATGTGGGGTAGGCGGATCAGCCTTGTCGCGGGCTGTAGAAGGCTGCTCGAAACAACTACAACCACCCTCCCTGAACTCGACTTCTTTACTGTCGCTGCACGGAGACAGAAGAGACTAAGCCATCGATATGGTACTCTTGACCGCAACGCCTAATGTGTTCTGCGCCATCTCTTCCATTCCACCTTCTGCATTGCCCTCAGACCTGCCAGACATTGCTGGCGCGCCCATCGCACACAATACGCTGGTCGCTATTGCCCGCTTAGCACGCCAGCATGGCGCAGATTATACGCTGGATTCACTGCTGAAGGGCTCGCGAGTCTATGTCCCGCCTCCTGCTCCCAAGCCACAGAAGTCACCAGAGTATGTTGCGCTCATGGACCGGCTCCGCAAGGAGCAGGAAATGAGAGAGTACCGAAAGCTAGTGTCGAAGACACAGGGCATGGAAGGGGCAGACGAGGAGGATAAGGACGACATCACACCATCACTCGTCTTCAACGTACTACTGTCCGTTGTTATGTGTGGTGTCGCCATGTTTCACATGACCCGATGGTGGGCGAATGATGCTGTGAGGGTGCTGGTGTCGATGTTGGTTGCAGTGATTGTGGGCGTGGCGGAAGTGGTAGTATATGCTGGCTACCTGCGGAACCTGAAGCGCAACAAAGCCAAGGAAAAGGCCAAGATGGAGAGGAAGGAGGTGGTCGGAGAATATCAGAACGCAGGCGATGAGATGCCATTGACGGTCGTTGAAGAGAAAGAAACGATTTGGGGCAGAGGCAAGCACGGAGGTATGCGACGGCGAGTACGCGATAGATGGGAAAAAGAGCAAGGTGAAGAAAGTGAAGAATAAAATGTGTTATCGGCATCGATGTAAAGTGGTCAGTCCGAAGTCGTAAGTCATTGCTCCCTCTTCCACCCGACTTAAGTGCTCTTCCCCTTTGTTGGAGTTTTCTTCCGCGGCTCCAGTAGCAGCTTGCCTCCGCATGCTTTTCCCACGAAGCCACCATGAGTCTCTGAGGTAGCGTCCCTGTCAAAAATGACCTGACCCCTGAGGATCGTCTTTTTCACCATACCCGTCATTGTGCGACCCTGATAAGGACTGCATTTGTTTCTGAACAGCATCGTACTGGGCTCAACGGTCCACTCTGCGCTCTCATCAAAAACGCAGAAATCAGCATCGAAGCCAACAGCAAGAGCACCCTTTGATTTCTCAAGACCAACTTGAACGGCCGTGTGCTTGGCACACCACCGTACCAGATCTGTGATTGCTGTGTCGAAGTTCGCTTCCGAAGTCATACCGCGGCGGGTCATTTCGGTCCATAGTATTGGCAGGCCCAGGCCCACGGAGGAAATCCCACCCCAAGCAGAAAAGAAATCTCCATCATCGCCCTTGGGCATGACCGCATTATGCGATGCGCAGACATGCCCAGGGACGCTGGTTGGCAGAAGCTTGAGGTCTGGCGTGCAAGGCGAGTGATCTGAAACTACTGTCCTAATAACGCCTTCATCAGCGTGCTGCACCAACTCGTCCCACAACGTATCCTGGTTCGTTTGGCTGCGGATGGGCGGGCAGCATTTATGCCGAGTATCGCCCTTTTGAATTTGCTCCGCTGCCAGCGATAGATAGTGAGGACATGTCTCGGCTGTTATGTTGACGCCGCGCGCACGAGCTTCTCGCAGAAGTGGAATGGCCTCCATGGCTGACAAGTGGACGATGTGCAGAGGAAGGTTGGGAGCAAGAGGTGCTAACGACAGAATTTCCTCAACCGCGTATGTTTCGAACGCTGGGGGTCTTGACTCCAGGAAGGTGTTGTACACGTCGAGCGGCCCATGAGGCGCCAGTGGTGGAAGAGAGGTTTGAACATCGTCTCCCACGGAGTCCGTAATGGGCGGAATCATCTCTGCATGAAACATAACGGTGGTGGGCTCATCAGCGAGCTCCTCAAAGACCTTTCGAATGTCGTCGGAAGAGACCGCTGGAAACTCTTCCACACCGCTGTCAATCATGAAGCCTTTGAAGCCACGAACACCAGCTTGTACTAGGCCTTTCAACTGTTTCTCGTTGCCGGGGATGATGCCGCCGTAAAAGCCAACATCTACCCAGCACTTGCCTTGAGCAGCGTCGATCTTTTCTTGCAAATTGGCCACAGTTGTGGTAGGCGGGATGGCATTGAGAGGCATATCAACCACAGTCGTCACACCACCGAACGCCGCGGCCTGCGTGCCGGTGTAGAAACCCTCCCATTCTGTTCTGCCCGGCTCGTTGAGATGGACATGGGCATCAACGAGGCCAGGAAGCAGAATGTGCGGAGAGTAGTCTGTGTATGGGGTACCCGGCGAAAAGTTGGACTGGGGAACAACGGAGTCGTAAGTGGACAGGATCTTGCCCGTCTCATTAGAGATGACAAATGTAGCGGCAGAGACCCTGCCAGATCTCACAGCCCGAGAGGAAGCGATAACGGTGATAGCAGGTGGGCTTCCAACGTCGACTGAGCCATTAGAGGGCGACCTGGGCGGCGTAGGATAGCCTGGTTGGGTATTCGAGATACTGTTCATGGTTAAGCGTCGATGATAGCGCGTACACCGGCGTCGAATATAGAAAAGACAGCAGAACAGGTTCAGATCAGACGCGAAGTATGGAGAAAAGAGTAGAGAGCATGTGAAGCTGAGTGTGAAGCATACAATGGCTTATCTTTGGGATAGATAAGGGACCGGGGTGGCGCTGACGAGAACGGAAGGGCGAGGTCCAGGTGTGAGTATAAAACAAAGACATGACCAACACGACTGCTACCCTCGGGTAGATCTGGCTCACCATCAATTTGCCCCCATTATCGCCGGTTCGGAGTCTCCATAGATCTGGACACAGACGAAGGTGAAGGACGAAAGCCTGGGGGGCCCACCATCGGGCATGCAAGGCATCCTGGGGCAATGGAGGGATTGGGCGGGCAAAGCCGACGGTGTTGAGCAGAAGATTGGTGTTCAATTGGATGATCGGATGTGGGCACGATTGCTCTGGAGCATATCGAATGACTTTACGGCGAGGTATCGAGTCACAGATAAGAGCGTGAACGGGGCGAGACATGTGGTTCCGTTGGGAGCTTAGAAGAATTCCTCGGCGCTCACAGACCCGAGGACACCCATTCCGGTTAGGAGCAAAGTTATTTGCCAGTTCAGCCAGCTGCTTAGCCCGTGTACCAGTTGATGTTACTCGACTTTTTGCTGCCAACCTTTTCCCGGTGGTTTCTATCGAGTAATTCGACGCTTTTCAGTCGTAAGCCATTACGCTTAACTTTCCAAAAGCCTCGGAGATGCCCATGAGATAGACCCCCAGTAGTTGGATTTGAGCGCTTTCGCACGTGAGCCGACGTTGGCCAGCCCGTTCAACCCGATCAGCACTTTCGTGGAGTGACATTCCATGTGTGAAGTAGTCTGCCTGTTCGGTATGTGAGAGTTGGGAGTTGTTCGTCCCAAGTAGTAGGCCGTGAAGGACGACGGATTGGGCACTCTCTCCAGTAGCCTCTTGCCGATTGGCATGTTATCGTTGAATATGCACCGGTACATAGCACCCTAAGAATATCCGTACAGCTCGTCAATGTTGGAGCTGTGCTCCATCAGCGACCAAGCATCTCGTCCAAAGCTATAGTGTACAGAGGCTTAGAAGATGCTTGTGTATATGAAATTCGTATGGGACTCAAATATGAGCTACGCTTACAACTCGAAGAGAAAGAACGCTGAATGTGTTGGAGCAGAGCTTGTACAGAAGGAAGTCCTAGAGCGGTGCCTGAAGGGCGCCCCGAGCAGGGCCAAAGGGTGCTGAGAGGGCATCGTGCACAGTGAGGGTTAGGGTCATGCAGCGCCGATAGTGGCCCGTGATTGGTACAAGACTTACGGAATCCACAGATGACTTTCACCGCCGTCAGTGTGGGGCAAAATTATCAGCGGCTCACGATCTGGTGCTGAACTTTTCTGTGTACCGTTGAAAGAGCACGAGACTCTTTCCCGACTCGTTGCGCTGCATCCGTCAAGATGCCCGATGAGCTGGAGGTAATGTCATCATGGGCTACACCTTCGATCGCAATCTAACTGGCACAGGAACGTCTCCAAAAGCATGCCAGAAGTTTTGATGGATTGCTGTCGCTCATACCGGCAAAACTCTACTACGGCGAAGATGTCAGCGTGAGTACCTAAGTTTCGCCCCGCGAGTACTATCTGATAGTTCCCAGGATCAATGGAAACGCAAGAAGCAGACACCCGAGCAGAAACGCGAGGCCAAGAAGCAAAAGCTCGATCCAGATAACTGGAAAAGTGCAAAAGATGTAATGGATGAGCGAGCCAGCGCAGCCAAGAAGAGAAAACGTGGAGATGATGATGAACAATCAGAGAGCGAGATTGTTGATCTAGAAAAGCCCAAAGCTGAGCAAGAAGATGCCCAGCACAAGACGAAGAAGCGGAAGGCCGACTCAGCCAATGTTCAGCCACCGCAAGCAGAGTCGGAGGAGGAAAGAATACGACGTAGAAAAGAAGCAAAAGCTGCAAAGAAAGAGCGCAAGAAGGAGAAAAAGTTGAAGGCCAAAGAGAAGGTCGAACGTCAGAAGGCACGGAAACTGGCTGAACAAGGCAAAAGCGACTCCGATCCACCGAAGCAGCAAACCAAACCTAAGAAGAGCAATAGCCAGGTGCAAAACAAACCCGGTCACGACTCCGACGAAGATGATACCGACAACGACGTTGCCGAGGAGATATCCATCGATGGTCAGCCTCTTAATGCACTGACAATGGAGCTGGAAGACGAAGAACCTGGTTCGGATGCTTCGAACGACGAGCCTGCAGATGTCTTTTCTCCTCCGCAAGAGTCTGCCGTATCTTCAACGTCGTCCATTCAACCTGTTACTGACGATGGCGTGCCCCCAAAGGCACCAGTCGCTGGAGCGACCTCAAATCCTGATCTTCCGCCCCCCAAGGATCGGCTTGCTGCTGCCATTGCAAGCTTTCGCTCTCAGCGCAAGGCCGACTCTGACTCGGTCCCGAAATCTCGTGCTGAGCTTCTTGAGCAACGTCGCCGCCAAGAAGAACGACGGCGGGCTGAGAAGAAGGAGCAAAAGCGCCGCGAGAAAGAAGAAGCCCAGCGCAAACAAGAGGAGGAGATTGCAGCACGCTTTTCGCCAGGAGGATCAGGGTCGCTGCTCGCGTCGCCGCGATCACCAGTCAGCACGCCTGACGCGGAGAGCAACAACTTCAGCTTTGGAAGGATAGCTTTTGATGACGGTTCAAACTTTGATCCCAACGGCGAGGGGGCATCGGAGTCAAAGAAGAGAAAGGGCCCTTCTGACCCTTCAACAGCCCTACAGGCCGCGCTAAAGAAAAAGTCGCGTCTCTCAGGACTTGATGCAGACAAGCAGGAGCGTATCGCGTCACAGGACATGTGGATGAACGCACGCAAGCGGGCCTCTGGCGAGAAGGTCAAAGACGATACATCATTGCTGAAGAAGGCTTTGAAGAGGCACGAAGGCCAGAAGAAGAAGAGTGAGAAAGAATGGACAGAGCGAGACGAGGGGATCAAGAAGAGCATCGAGATGAGGCAGAAGAAACGAACAGAGAATCTGGCGAAGCGAAAGGACGAGAAGGGCAAGGGCAAGGGCAAGAAAGTCAAGCGGCCGGGCTTTGAGGGTAGCTTCAAGGGTCGGACTGGCGGCAAAAAGGGCAAGGCGTGATGGCCCAAGCAATTGTTCAACAAGAAACTCGACGACCGATAAGCAACACGCCTGATTCCGCAAGGCTATACAAGCACAGCAGGAACCAGGTAGAAGACGCTGTTTGGGCAGCCCATGAATGCCTATAGTGCAAGTCCTGGTTTGCTACCCTCACAAAAGACTTGGCATTCTTCTTCTATTCCCTATGAAGTGTCCGTCATGGTGTCGCGATAAGTAGCCGTCACCGAGTGCTTCGCATCCAGTCTACGGGGTACTGGTATCCGCTTGTCCGGCGCGACGCAGAGGCCGTACACACACTCGCCCACATCGACCCCAGAAGTTACCACAGTTTATCGAGTATAAACCTCGAGGCAGTAAACCCTAATTGGCCTGTTCGAGCCCCCGAGCCCTCTGAAGCTCTCCCGCCTTGCACTAGCATCTGGCAGCCTAGCACTAATAACGACTGACACCAGCAGCTTCGGGTCCGAAGCAGAAGTCTGTCCCATCCCATTGCGAACAGCCTCCGTTGACAATACATGAAGCCATGTTCCTTGGGCAAATAGTTATCGGATAATCCACCATCTCAACAGTCCTTGAGCTCAAGTAACATTCATACTCCAGCACTCAAAGAGCAATACTCCTCAACCTGTCAGTGTATCTTCCATAGCGACAATATGGCCCTGGTCGACCACCTCTCACTTCCCTGCCCCCATCATCTCCTCGAAGATGAAATCCACTTCCTCACCACTGCCTTTGCCTGCCTTGACGTCAAGGAACTCACGCGACCCGTGCCCTCAGTCGTTGGCCTGGGCCGCGGTATGCCCGACAATAAGATTGTGGAAGACGATGGAACCAATAACGCTTTTCTCTGGGTGTTCTCTGATGCGGCGCCTGGAGCGACGCCGCTGGGCGAGGGTCAGGCAGTCAGCAGCATACATCTGGCCTTGAAAGCACAGAGTAAGTCATCGGAATAGTCTACTAGGCCGGGAATGGAGGGGTTGACGAGTGTCATGCTAACTCGAAGCAGGTCGCAAGCAGGTGCATGAATTTTATGACGCGGCACTGAAGGCTGGTGGAAGGGACAACGGACCCCCGGGAGAGAGGTTCTATCACAAGGGGTACTATGCGGCGTTCGTGTACAGTCCAGCGGGGCACAATGTCGAGGTTGTTATTCGTGGGCCGGATGTTGAGTAGAATTCAAGTGTTATTTGCAGAAGTCCTTGAACGTGTCGTCTCCATATATTACAACAGGCTCATGGCGTCTTGCTAGATCCAGAAGACCTTATACACATTGATTCATCCAGGAAAGAAGTAGAGAAAGGCACCGTCGACCTCGGCTGCTGAAGCGCAGAAGACGACTTCCCCTTTAGAAACCCCACGCCAAGACCTTACACTGCAGCCTCCGAGGCTCAAGAGTCTGGACTTGGATGGTGCTTCCACACAAGCTTCTGACGACTTAAACCAAAGCCCATGAGCTGAAGGACATTTCGAGCGCGGCGAATGGCGCAGCAAAGGCTTCAGCAGATCAAGAATACCCTTGACGGCACCGCCACAGCGGATGATATAGTCAACACGATGAATTGGCCGAAGCTCCCAGCTCGAGCAGCGTATTTGGCATTGCGCAATGCTCAGAAGAGGAATGCTCTTTCACTCGAAGTGTTGAGAGACCTGCGAGCACAGCTCCACAAGCACAACACCTCACCTGTAGACGGAAAGCTGAGAATACTACCGCCATTTAAGGCAGAGATACTGGATAAGCTCGAGGCAGCGAGCAAAGATGGTGACGCTGCCGCTCGGCAGGAGTACGGCTGGCTTCTGGACGCATCGACTTGGCAAAAGGAGCGAGAGGGTCTACCAAATGTCATTGTGCTACGGGGCGCGGGTCCGGTGTTCAGCGCCGGCCATGACCTGGGTGAGCTGCGACGACTGCCATACGAAGAAGTGAAAGAAACATTCGCGCTCTGCGCTGAAGTCATGTCGCTAATCAGGCGATCGCCAGCGCCTGTCATCGGTATGATACAAGGGCTGGCAACCGCAGCTGGGTGTCAACTTGCATTGACCACAGACCTGCCGGTCGCCTGTGCCTCCACACAGTTTCGCTTACCGGGAGCATCATTGGGTCTTCCCTGCACGTCGCCTTCCACTGCTGTGGCGCGCAAACTGGGCAATGCGTTCACCTACCGTATGCTGGCAATGGCGCAGCCCGTCAGAGCCGATGAGCTACCTGGCGGAGCAGTGGAAATCGTAGCGGACAGCTCGGAAGCACTCGAGGAGCGAATAGCACAAATGGTCGAGCAGCTGGCTGCCAACACGGCGGGTCAGCCCCAAGCATTGGGTAAATGGGCGTACTGGACACAAGTAGGCATGAATGGTTCTGAGAGTGCTGGGGATGGCTATGAAGATGCAGTGTCCTGGACCGGGCGAGTTATGGCGCTCCATGCAAGGTCGGCGGATGCTAGAGAAGGCATGAACTCGTTCTTCGAGAAGAGAAAACCGAGTTGGCAGACTTGATCACCAATCAAGCATATAGCCTGGACATGCATATGTACGTTGATTGACTGGCTGCGGATCCCTGCAAGATACGTTCAATATTTGTACATTCCAGCCATACAAGTATACATGTGGCAGGCGCGTCCATTCCCGAACAAACCTCATGCCGCGCTGCAATTGTTCCTTCTTCAACTCCAGTCAGCATGCACGGCAAGATGGGCGATGAATGCTGGCAATCTCACTCAGTCAATAGGTTGCCATAACTTTGCATCATTGGGCGTTGCCTAGGTAAACCCATCAAGTCATGACGCTTCGTTGGAGCGGATGAGAAAAGAACGAGAACGAGTCAATGTGGGGCTTTCGCCCGGGCGATCTGGAACGGCGGCAACCCCTCCATCATCACTCGCTCCCGCTGGACCACATCCCGCCGTGACTTTGATGGAGCCGTTCGAATATTTTCTGCCGTAGACAAGTCTACCCCAGCTTCACACTCTTTCGATATGTCGCGGTATAGACCGGACCTCCATGGCACGAGACTTGCCCACGGAGGTTGACACCCTCATTATTGGTATGCCGTGCCCGAGGGCCCGTCAAGCGCAGCTAACCGACCTCTAGGAAATGGTCCCTCCGCATTAATCTTGTCCTACATCCTCCACGGCCATATACCATTCTACAATGTCGATAGTCCTCACCCAGACAGCATCTTGCACGAGAAACTTAAGAAGAGTCCGTCTCTGATCGAGCTCGACGTCGACTACCTGACGGAGCACTTTCTGGCGTCCAGGTACTCATACTCCACCCAAGCACTGCCTGTCAATGTGCTCCTCGATGCATTGATACGACCGTACGGCGAGACCGAGGGCACTGCTACATGCGTAAAATGGACTTACGATCCAGCAAGGGCCGTGTCTCATGTCATCGTTGGGAATACGAAAGAGGCCGGCGGCCAGTGGGTCGACAACCCCGTCGAGGCCAGCTGGGACATTGGTGCCCTGAGCTATGCAGGAATGCTTTCGCTACCAGGATATACGTTTGCCCAGCATTACGAAAGTCGGCATGGCCAGCCCTTGCCTTTCTATATGCGACCAACTCGACGTGAGGTCGCCAGCTATTTCGCCGCCTATCCTCAGCAAGTAAGCATTTCTGATACCGTATACAATGGTATTGAGCTGTCTGCAATTGTGCGAGAAGGCAGTGGATTTTACGTCGCCTCCCACGATATGCGCTGCCAGCGCGTTGTCCTTGCAACAGGTATCTTCTCCGAAATGATACCGCCACGACCGCTTCTTCAGCCCCTCAAGGCACTTCCATCATTACCAACGACCCCGACAGAGCTACCTCTTCTGGTAATCGGTTCCGGTTTCAGCGCTGCAGATGTTATAATTTCCTCGAATCCGGCGCAGAAGCTCATTCATATCTTCAAGTGGGATCCTTCCAACCATCCTTCGCCCTTACGAGCTTGTCACTCGCACTCGTATCCAGAGTACGCCGGTGTGTACAAGCGCATGAAGCTCGCCGCATTGTCTTCAAGTACTTCAAGGGACAAGCGTCCAAAAGTTTCTCGATCAAAATCGTCCACGTTTGACCTCAATCGCAACTGGGACTTGACCTACGAGGGTATGCCGAACACCGAAATTGTATCCGTCGAGATGCGAGACGACGACAAAACCACAATATTGTCACTTCGCAATAATGTTGGCGAGATCTTCGAACGACAGGTGGCGGCACTTGCATACGTGGTCGGGAGGCGTGGCACTATGCGCTACCTTTCAAACAACCTGAAGGATGAGCTACTGCCTGGCTCTTCCTCCCGAGATTCGGATCTCGTTTCAGGCTCCACCTTTCGCGAAAAGGCGCACGAGGACATGGAAGTTGCCAAAGACGTTTTCATCATTGGCAGCTTGACTGGAGATTCCCTTATTCGTTTCTCTTACGGAAGCTGTGCTTACACAGCTGGTAAAATCATGAAAAGGAGTAAGGACGATCAAATCGAGCTTGAGTCGAGCAGCAGCGATGTCATGAGCAAGCGCTCATCAAGAGGCAGCCCGCTCATTCCCCCCATGAATGGATTAGACGGCCATGGCTCCCCGCTCGTCAAGCCCATGACTTACGAGACCGATATTCCATGATGCTGCATTTGATAGACCCAAGAAAATGCAGTCGGGATCCTAGATCTCAGCTGTCGCGGCATGCTGCAAGCACTCAAGAAACCAGAGAGATGATGTGTCTTCAAGCCCGCTGGACTGAATCACTTTGAGACACATCACCCGCGACCTGAAGCACGATTTGTTTGAAAAGTGCTCTCATTCTCTCGCGCCTGGCGGCAGTGTAGCAGCAAGACCAGGCTCAATGACGCATATTCAGCTTGACCGGGCAGGGCACTGCAATATTTCGAGGAGAGATGAGCAGTCTGTCGGCAGCTCAAATCTGACTGTCTGGAAGCACACAAACTGGTGACAAAGTGTGCGTCTGGGCACCGCCAGCGCGCATATACACATTGGCACCGTGCCGCTTGCTATATTTTGCCCTGCTGCTGCCATCCTCATGACGGGAGCCACTCAACGAGCTCCTCGACTTTGAGGTTTATCCGAGTTATACACTCATACGGAACATCGGCAGGTCTCCTCGTGCAGTGTTCAGGACTTCTTATGCATTTGATAAGGAATCGAGGGCTCGCCACCTCCGGTGCGCCACATGTGAACTCTTTCCTTCCTCAGAATTCAACACGAACAGAGATCGGTCATACCGCTGACAGGACCACCGACCCTTAGACTCGTGTTGCTAGCGCCACCTCTCGACTCGTGTGCTGGTGTATCCAGGGCAGATATTGACCTCGACAGTGCCGGATGGAGCCGTCGTTGCTGGAGACACGTTGGCATTGCTTGCCCGGGTGCTTGAGCTTGAGCCGTCACTTCTGTCGCCGAAGAAGGACGTGTTGGCGGTGATGACGGAAATCACCAAAATCGTTGTCGTCTGTCACCTCGGTAGACTGCCTTACATAGTTTGACAAGGCGAGCCGTTGAATGCCAAGCTAGGTAATGGCTGTAAGTCAGAACACCACGTAGCTCATACCGAAGTGCTGTCCTTCGAATGTGTGCAGGCCATGCCGATAAGTGTTCATCACGAATTGGCCGGCAAAAACCCTAAGGCTGATGTTGTTTCTCCTACCGGGTAGGCTGCTCCATGCTGTAGATGGCCTCATGGTCAACCTCATCCAAGAAGTCCGCGTAGCCAGAGTATTGGGAGAAGACGGCGTCCCACGCGTCCCAATCAAACTCGAAATCCATGTGGTCCGACGGCAGCAGGCCTGCACCTACACCGACACCAGAGCCAGCTGTTAGAGCTCCTCCTCCTCCTCCTCCTCCTCCTCCTGGTAGCTGACTGAAGTTCATCGCCACCTGCTGTCCGACAGATGGATGAGGTCCGGGTATGCTTCCGTTCGTGGGCAGTTGTTGAGAAGACGCGTTGTTGTTGTTGGTGGTGGTGGTGGTGGTGGTGGTGTAGGACTGGGCCATGGTCATGGCAACGTCGCCCCCGTTGGGCGCCTGGTACATGAAGGGTTTGAGCGCGGCGCGCGGCTGCTGCGGCAGCTGTTGCGTCGCGTGTCTTTCGGCTTCCTGCCATTCCTCGGGCGCCTCGCCGTCGTATCTGGTTGCGTCGATGTGGTTCGCCGGGCCGGGGACATGGACAGGGGCCGGATGCTGCGGGGGTTGTTGGGTGAGGAGTGGGAAGGGCATCGATTGCTGGCCCGGGAGCCTGACCAGTCGCTTGGCCGCTGGGTCAGCGGGGGGCTGCGGGCCATTCGGTTGATGAGCCGTCTTTGTGTTGTCGGTCGCATGTAGACGAGCCTGCTCGGCGGTCTCCATGTCCCGGTGCAGTCCGCTGATGGCGGTGGTGATGGCCAACTTGTGGCTTGGCTCTGGTGTGCTGCCTTCGTATAAAGTATCTTCGCGCAGACTCTGAGCGATCTTTTGCTCCGAAGTCAGGGGCTGGGCTACTCCGCCGAGTACTTGTTGCTCTTGTGTCCACAACGCGTTGGGGTCGAGGCCAGCTTTACGCCACGCCGAAGCTCGGAGATTCCTAAGCATTTCCCATGCATCTGCGCCCCCCTCGCGGAAAGGTCTCTGGGCTGATGCGCCGTTGGGCCCGCCCACAATGCCGCTCTCTGGGTCAGAGAGGGAGAAGACCTCGTCGATCAGGGCACGGGAGCGAGCAGCCTCGACGCTCTGGGGTCGCTCGTAGACGTCGACGAGCAAGATGATTGCGGCGTGCATGGGTTGAGCGGTTCCAGGCCAGCTCCAACGGAATGCTTGCATTGCTGGGTCTTTGGCCAGCGAGATGAATTTGCGGAAGTAAGCGCTGGTATGGTGCAGTGCACACTGCCGTCCACCATCCCAAAGCTTGCTTCTCAGGTTCTTCAGGAAAGGAGCGTAGGCTATGCAGTGTAACTTATCGCACATCATGGAAAGGAAGATCCTGGCCCATTTGTGAAACGCAGCAAGCCTTTGGCGGTGGAATCGCCCGAGGGGCGTAGGCAGATCTTCAGTCATAATCCCAGTCCAGAAGGTGATCTCAGATTCGAGCAGTGGGCCCTCCAGCATTGGGTCACAATCCGTCGGAGGCGTAAGTCGCGTGGTCGAGACGTCAGGAGTGAATCCAAATTCTGGTACCCCTTTGGTTGGAATACTATTGATCACATCCCGCACTTCGGTCTCTGTGGCGGAGATAATTTGATTCATCTCGAGGAGATCGATCTTGTTGACAGGCCGAGTTCGCATGTGCAGAGAGACCAATTTGCGTGTTGCGACGGCGATAGAGGCATATGTCCTGGATACCAGTGCTGACGTTGACGAGATCGAAGTCGATGGCCCAAAAGGATCATCAACAGCCTCAATCTTCTTTCCTCCGTTGGCAGAAAGCTGCAACAATGACTTCTCTTCATCGGAGCCGATGAACATCTCTTTGACCTGGCTAATAGGGCGCACATCAGAAGTTTCCTCAGAGGTACAGGTTGGGAAACCACTCGCGACCGCAAGCGAAGTATCTAGTTGCATGATCTGCCACCAAATACGACGCCGAATCTCAGCATCCATGGGATGAAGCTCGGCGAGGGTAGGTTCACGATGTAAGCCTTGAGCTTGAGCAAGCCGAACCATGAGGTTGACGTAGTCGCTGTTCTGCAGAGGGTCTTCTTCGCCACAGGGTGCAGATTGGAGCATGACCATGGTCGCGAGCAGCCACGTCTGGTTGTTCGTAGGGAAAGAGAGGGTCGTCAATAAACGAACACATTGATCGTGGTACTGTGCGCAGAGATGAGCTCGAGACAGCCCAGGGAAGAGGCGCTGGAAACCTCTCGTTGACAATGACAGGGCACCCGTGTACCAAATGGCATGTAGGGCGGTCATGGTGTACATGTCTGGAGTCTCGGTTTCTTTGTCAGTATCGCCATTGAGTTTGTTTTTCCAGCTCCAGAATTGCTCATATCTTCGGAACGTAAGGCGTAAAGGCAAGACTGGTAGAGCTGGCCACACTCCGGTAACCCAAGCACGAAATAAGACATTGCTTTGTGCCTCTGTCGGTACATTCGAGAGCAAGTTTACTTCAGCAGCATCGATATCAAGCTTCCTCAGTCTTCGAGACAGGAGTAGAACGGATTTGTCTCCGGACTTGACGTGGCAAGGCCAGCATCTATCAGAGTCAAAATCAGCGTCGACCTGCTGGTATTGGTGAATGTCGATTGGTTCGTCAACAATGGCGTTAGGGTCGACCGGATTCCGAGACCCATCACAGTTGTTATGATCGCTTTGCTCGCTAATCTCGAGGCCCATGGCATTTTTCAATGGTTGTTCGGTCGGAAAAGCTTGGGATCCTTTGATCAGGTATCTAAGCTGCTGTAGTTCGTCTGCTAGATGAGCCCAAAAACGGCCTTTAGTGTCAACAACGTATTCCGATTTCTGTTTCGCGATGTCGAGTTCAGACAGTGAAGCACTGAGCTCGCCAGCTCTCTGAACAGCCGCGTCGGAGCCAACGCTAGGAGAGTCGGAATGCTGACTCTGAGCCCTGTTGTCGTCTTCGGTATCTCTGTGCGACACCAGCGAAGCCGGCGTAGGTGGGAGTCTGGGACCGTGGACTCCTGCAGACTCTTTCTGTATGGTCTCCACCAACGTGGTCAGCCGGTTCAGTTGCTGCTCGAGACCTTGGATAACGCCGTTGCCAAGTTCGGCTGCTGGGTAAAATGATGGAGGACTTCGTCTTCCACTCGACGTGAAGCTGCTCCTACGTTTCGCAACCTGGCCACCGCGGGCGGGTGTAGTTGCAGCATGCTCGAGCTTGCCATAGACGCAACTTTCGTTGGACTTCTGACAGCTACCGCAGACAGGATGCTGTTTGTCGCATTTGATCTTTCGGCGGCGACATGTTTGGCACGAGTAGCTCGTCCTGTTGCGCGTAATGAGACGTTTCTCTCCTTTCGGAGCAGGGTCAGTGACGGCCTCGTCAAGGGCCCGAGCAGCGACCAGGCCCATCACTGTCGCCATGGCAGCTGTCACAGCAGTTGTGTCGATCCTAATTGTGTGCGAGGACGTGAAGTGGTGGTGAGGTGTGGTTGCTGACAAATGCGTCCCTCTTGCTAGATCAAAGCGGTACAATCACCTTCGTTAGACCACATTCTTCCTGACGATTGCAACTTCCAAAGGACAACGAGTCTAGAACGGTTATGTCAGAATTAATGCAGGAAGCCCCGCCAAGTTGCGTGTATGAGTAGTCATCATAAATATTGGGCTGAAGCCTCGAATGCCTTAGGCGGTGGGGCGCCCTGTCAATGAGACCTCGATCGGTTCAGGTGCGCATCGCTAGGAGCCGAGACATTATTAGACGCCACATGAACGGCACTATCAAGTCTATCAAGCCTATCAAGCAACGTGTTTCGGTCTTGTGCGCAAACGGGAGCGGCTTTGCCTACATGGTCAATCGTTGATACTAGTAACAATGCCTGGCGGGTTCTACAGCATTGATTGAATGCTGCTGAAGCAGACTATGAATCTGCCATTCTTCGACGCTACCCGCCATGGCTGTACTCAACCGCCGTCGCTAAAGCCTTCCCAGTCACTCTGGGAAGCATCCTCGTGATCGACTTGTTTCTGCTGGCCGTTGCTTGTCTTCGTGGAGCCATCGGCGATCTGCTCTACATCGCGCTCGAAGCCTACCACAAAAAAGCCCATTGTACCTTCCGCATCCTTCGCAGAGCAACGAATGCAGCCTTCTAGGTCCTGGGCACTCAAACTGCCCTGCAAGTGATTGTGGTCACTTGTTTCTTCCAATGGCAGGCCCCGATGCGGCCAACTTTTGAGCCCCGGTGGCTGCCTGTCGCGGTGCAGGACCTGCCAGCCGCGGCGCTGCGCAACCGCAGAGGCAAGTAGCCGACCTACTACAGCCTCGTTCTCCTCACCGTGTATCGAACAAGTCGAATAGGTGATTCGCTGGGCCAAAGGAAAGCTCATGGCATGTTCAACGATGCGGAATTGCACATCTGCAAGCTTGGCCAGCCGTTCTGGATCCTTGATCGCACTGGCCGCAGGCTGCTCCTCCGTGGCTTCATCATTTTGAGCTGGCTCATTGAGCGGCACTGCTCGCTTTCTCTTCTTCGATTTGGAAGTAACGTTACTGGACGTCGTCTCAGCTCGTGGGTCAGCTGGCAGGCGTAGCACAGGTACATCTGCGCGCCCTACGATGCCGCTTCCCGAGCAGCTTGGATCCAGGAGCAGATGCGTCACTTTGGCAAAACGCGCGTCACAAGGATCTAAGGCCAGGAAATCGTGCCGTGGGAGGACCTGAACTGCCCGTGCTCTAGCCTTGTCGACCATCCGCTGTAACGTCCTAGACCTGTTCGCATCACGCTCGCATGCGTAGATCTTTTGAAGGGAGTTTTCCTTTGAGACCCTTCTCGGTTCCAACAATGAGGCCAAGTGCGTGGTCTTGTTGCCGGGAGCGGCGCAGCCGTCCAGTAGATCTCCTACCACTTCGTCTGTCGTGCCCAGTAGTAGTTGCGCAGGAAAACACGACGCCTTGTCCTGTAAAATAATTTCTCCTTTCTCATAGGCTTCAGTATTAGTCATGTTCGCGTGAGATGGGATCGCAACAAGATCTGTTACATGCGGATCTTCGTACAGCAGATTTTCGGACGGCTTGGCCTCGATTACTTGGGCCACAGACGCGACACTTCGGTAGCCTGCAAACGTCGTACCTTTCTGCTCATCCAGTGAAGAGCGAAGTCTGTTGATCCTGACCCACCTTGGCTGTGGTCGTCCTGGTGATAAAACATGTTCTTTCTCTCTGAGGAGAAGTTTCTTCAGATCGTGAACTGTGCCACATTTGCGCTTCAGCCTGGACTTCGTGAACTCGGCTTGCAAGCGCGCTTTGTGCCGTTCGATCGCGATCTTCAGAGCGTGATTGGCCGATGCGGCTATGCCGCCTTTTGCGAAGAAGTGGTCATGAAGGAGGAGGATGGAAAGCAGTGGGGTAATCTAATACGTACCGAGTCGGCTAGGTCAGTCAGCGGCGACTTTGCATTGCAGTGAAGAGCACTCACCTTGGGTTCTTGAGCCAGTAGACCAGCGTTGTCAACAACTTCCTTCAAAAAGACATCATATTTGGCGCTTTCGGAGATCAAGGCATATACATGAGCCGGCTTCGACTTCAGCCCCGCATGAGGGTTGTATACGCGTGACTTCAACGAGCCTTGTGACTGATCCCCACTGAGAACCGTCACGGCATCGTAATAGAGCGACATTGAGTGTACCAGCAAGAACTTCAAGTAACGCCATGACAGAATTCATTGACCGTGATGTAGTGGAGGGTGCTCCGAACGGGGAAGCTTAGCCGAGAGACCGATACCGCCCAGGATAGTCGATGGTGATTGGCCGACAGCACGACGTTCCCCTGTACTTCGCTTCTTTACCAGAAGAGGAGATGATTCGATGTACTTAGTCGTGTTTGATATTCCTCTTTTGGTCACCCAGCAGTCACGATTGAGCTTCGAGGGAGGGCTCCTTTCCCGACTGCGCTCACTGATCACTCGCAATTTTCACCAATGGTCACTCCCAGCTACCAGGGACCCATAGAGGCCCAAAACGGAGGTATGGCCGAATCTGTATACACAGCAGTCATGGTGCCTCCCCCCGGTTCTGTAGTGGCCCCTCACGGCTTTCCAGCCAATCCGCGACCACAAGGAGCGCCCAAGGCATTCTTGGACGCAATGGAGGTGAGGGTCAAAGTCTTCTGTGACGAGCAGAAGTGCGCGCTCGAAGCCGAGTTGGACGAGGACGACCCCAAAAGTTGGCACTGGATCCTGTACGAAACAGCTCCGGCCCCTCAAGACGAAGGAACCCCAGCTGCAGTTCCAGTGTCCGTCTTGAGAATAGTTCCACCTCCTCATGCGCCGCACCCCAATGGCTTCGAAGATCCCGCCGAGCAACCCTACTGCAAGCTGGGACGGGTGGCTACAATGGCTCATGCAAGAGGCAAGGGTCTTAATCGGCGACTCCTGCAAGCGGCAACTGACTGGTTAGCTGATAATCACGCCGAGGTTGGACATGGGTGGACTGGCAATGTGCTTGCCCATGCCCAAGTCTTCGTCGAGAAAGTGTACGCTAGTCAAGGCTTTGTCACAGATGAGCGGCTAGGTCGTTGGGACGAGGAAGGCATAGAGCATTTGGGCATGTGGCGAACAATCCCCTTTCGATAACACTTACGGGCGTCTAAATCACAATAAAATTCACCATCTATCGACTTATTATCTAGCCCTCTTGAACGAAGGGTGCGCCAATGTCAATACCATCAGGGTCCAGGGCGATTGGACTGTCACCTTCTTCGAGAACTGCAGAATGGTCCACGGAGTCGGCGCTCTCGATCTGAGCAAAACCACCCTGCCGGTCATGGTCGTCGATCATCTCCCCGGCCGCCTCCATATCCTTCGATGATGAGTCGATCTGTGCGCTGCCGCCAGCTGCCGCTTTGTCATGGTCATCGCCAGAAGATGGATCCTTGCCTGTGGCGGACGAAGTCGAACCTGTAGACTGAGAATCGCTGTTGGCATTCTCTTGTTCCGTGCTTTTGCTAGCACCCTTGACTTCCGACTCCCCAGCCTTCTTCGCGTCTTCCTCCGCTTTCTTCTTTGCGTCTTCCTCCTCCACTTTCTTTCTTGCCTCCTCCTCCGCCTTCATCTCCGCCTTCAACTCCTCCTTGGCTTTCGCCACGGCGGCCTCCTCTAGTTTGCGCTTCTCTTCCGCCTCCTCAAACTCCTTCTGCACTCTCTGACGTTCAAGGTCTTCCGCCTGTTTCTTGGCCTCCTGTGCCGCGATTTCCGGAGCCATCAGCTTCTCTTCTTCCTCCTTGCGCACATCATCGAGAATCTTGCGCTCCTCATCGATCTGCTGCGGGCATTTCTCCCGGTCGAGGTACATGTCAAGTATGATCTTGATCTCCGGACAATAATCATAGATCTTACGTCTTTGGTCCGGGCGCCTCCACACTGCCTCAGAGAAGCGTGATGGGTTGATGTGGAAGCCCATCGGCCACTCATGGTAGATCTCATCTACTGCGAACTCCCGCTCCTTTCCAGGCGGACACATATTAGCATCGGGCAACAAGGCCAGACGAGCGCTCATCCAATAGTCCTCGGCGGTGGTGTCATCGATTCGTCGCTGGAACTCGAGCACCTCACGCACGCGCGACAGTCGCCGGAGGCTCAAGCCACCGTTACCACCGAAACGCTCACCATTGCCCCTACCTCCACGTCAGCAAAAGTCCCTCTGCACCGAACAGCAAACAACAAAAAGCAACTCACCACGGCGCCCCAACAAAGTCCCACCCCAACCAATCGTCCACACTCGCATTCGAATTCGAGCACAAGACCGCATCACTCCCAAACGTCAACAACCACTCAGTCCCCGCCAACTCGCGCTCATAGAACGTCAGATTCGTCAACAACCGATTCTTCATCTCATCCATGCTCATCTGTCCCTTCTCATCCCACCCCATCCTCCCCCACCCAGCCCCCCATTGCTCCTCCAGATTCCTCACGTGCAGTTTCCCCAACTGCTCGTGCATGGCCGCCGTGCCGCTGGCGCGCACATTGTCGACCGTGGCCTGCGAGCCAAAAAACACGAAGCGCCAGTCGGGCGGCACCACCTGGATCATGTGCAGCAGCAGCGGCACCATGAAGGTCACGCCCTCGCGCGGCTCCACGTACAGCGCCGTCTTGTTGGCCGGGTAGCGCGAGAGGAAGGTTTGGGAGGGGTGCGCGTCGAACGAGACGCTGGGGAGGCTGGCGTAGTGCGATGCGACGACGGATTTGAGCTTGCTTGGGTATGGGTTGTGCGGTAGTAGCCAGCTATTGGGGGCCGCGAAGCCTTTGTGGTCAGCCTTATTATACTCGGTGCTCGATGAGTTTTGGGGGATGGGGGAATCATGAGCAGCGCGGTAATGGCTGCCCCCGAGCGGTAAACGTACATGACGGCCAGGACGACGAGCATAGGGAAGAGCATGGGCTCCCCCATGATGCTGGGCCAGGTGACGTGGCCATTTGATCGGTAGCGGTGCAGGTAGCCCGCTGCGGTTCGCAATACCATCGTTGGGGGGGACAGTATGGTGTCTGTGAGCAACGACCAAGGTCCTAGTGTTGTTCCCTTCTCTTGGTCTTCTCCTTTCTCACATCTCAAAAAAACTGGCAATCACGACACCTCTCCCTTCATGAAAAGTCCCCTCGTGCCGGAAAATTAGCAAGGGATGGAAATCCAAAAAGGGGTCTTTTGGTATCCCCCCGGGTCCGATGCTCATCCCTTGCATTCCGTGGAAGTCTGGCCTTTTTCCACCCCTACCGGGTCTACCGGCTCTTCAAGATACAGTCGCAGGCCCTTAAGGACAATTAATTTTGTCTATCGTGCGTACCTTGCATTAATGGAAAGTTGATTTAACGTACACAAACACACACTGCTAATTTCCGAACCCCCTAACGCACCGTCTCCTCGTCCACGAACCCCTCGTCCAGCATCTGCCTCTTGGCGCGGGCCTGCACATCCTCGTTCTCCTTGCCCTCGCCCTCAACGTCAGTCTCAATTTCCCGTGCTCGTTTCCTGGTGTTGCTCCGCTTCAGCCCCCCTTCCACATTGCCTGGCCGCTCACTCATCGCTGCCGCTGTGGCGGCCAGCAGGCTCGCCGCATTTGAAGCCTCCGCTCCCGGCACTCCCAAGAAGTCACTCCCGATCGCCTGCTGTCCTGACACATCGCCAGCGCTCGACATTTTTGCTTGCTGCACCTCGATCAAAGGCGTTTTCTTGCCTTCCCGGCCCACAACGCCCTCACCGCCCACCTCGGGGAAGGCACTATCAAACAAGCCCTCGGTTCCCTTCCACCAACCCCTACCAAACCTCCGGTACCACTCTACCGTCACCTTCAGCCCCTCTTCAAATCCCACTTTTTGTCTCCACCCTAAACCCCTGAGCTTGTCCGCATTGACCCTATATCTGCTGTCGTTGAAGGGGCGGTCGCGGGTGTAAGCGACCCACCTATCGGCCTCTTCCTCTGGAATACCAAAGAGGCGCAGCAGTTGGTGCGCGACCTCGATGTTGGAATGCTCATCCACAGAATCGACGTTGTAGATCTGTCCTGGCACACCGTTGTGTAGAATGGTGTCGAAAGCATCGGCGGCATCGGCGGCGAAAAGGTAGCGGCGCAGATTGGCGCCGTTGCCATGCAAGAGAAGCGTCCTTTGGCGATCGAGCAAGGAGGTGAATTTAGGGATGATTTCTGCGCAAGCGGATTAGCATAGCTACACAGCACAAGGTCACAAAGGCCAGTCTTCTTACTCTCAGGATATTGGTGGGGGCCATAGACGTTGTTGCTGCGCACGATAATGCAGGGCAGGTTGTATGACTTTTGGTACGCCTCGATGTACATCTCTGCGGCGGCTTTGCTTGCAGCGTAAGGATTGGTGGGCTTGAGCAGACTGTCTTCCTTGAGGTCATCTCCCTCGTGCTCACCGTTGACCTCATCGGTGCTGACATGGATAAACTTCTTGATGCCGCATTTGACGGCTGCCTCAAGCAGTTTGTGTGTGCCTACCACGTTGGTTTCGGTGAAAGCGAAGGAGTTGCCAAAGGAGAGGTCGACATGCGACATGGCAGCGAAGTGCATAATGGTATCAATATTGTACTGCTTGAGGCAGCGGAGCACAGCAGCTTGATCGTTGATGTCGCCGAAGACGAATGAGAAGTTGGGGGCCGAATCGAGGCATTTGGTGTTGTTGAGGCTGGCACAGTAGTCGATCTTGTCGAAGGACACAATGTGGTAGGCTTCTGGGTAAGTCAAAGTGAAATGGCGAACGACCCAGGAGGCACTGGACATGGTCAGTAATGCACAAATTGTTGAGGTGGTCTTACTCACATGAAGCCTGCACCGCCTGTGATCATTATGTTGCGCACATTGGGATCTGGCTGGTGTTTGACCGTGCCCGTAAGGATAGGCGCACCTTCGAAGGTGCCATTAACTCCATAAGTGCCTCTGATGGCATTGGTGCCATTAACACCATTTACGTGGCCATTGGGGGTCGACATTGTTGCGTTGGATAGTAGGAGGTGTGTGACCTAGCGAACAAAAAGATTGTACACACTCAAGTAGTCTTGACATATCCCGTTCCGGACAGTGAAGGCATCTGCGAGGGGTCAGAGGCGAAATGAGGGTGGTGGATTTGCATTCCATCCCTGCGTTCTCGTACACCCCTTGCTCCATGCGCTTGATCCAGGCAACGCCGCGTGTTTGGTTATCTGCACGCGTTGTGAGTGAGACTTCCATCTGTTGACTTGTTGCAGTACACCATGACAGACGAAAGAAGTTCCTCAAGAAGCTCCTCAGAGCACATGGCCGACTCTAGGGGGATGGCGCCTTCATCAAGTCGTACCTCGCAGGAAGAGACCACCAGCCTTATACCGGAGGAGGAGAAGCCGCCCGAGTACAAAGACATCGAAAAGGCCGAAGAAGCGAACAAGACCAAAGCCAACAAGGGCCGACAATTTCTGATCTGGACGGTGGTCAATACGCTCGCAACAATTGCAATAGTAAGGAGTTGTACACCTTTGCAACGCCGCCTGCTTACCATGTAGGTCTTCACAAACAAACAGATATTCAAGGACCCGTCACTGCGGCGCAATCAGTCGACCTTTGCGGCCTTCCACTTCAGCGTCACGGCAGCCACGCTTTGGTATGCCTCGAGGCCGAGCGTAGGCATGTTTGTTCCCCAACGAGCAACACTAGTGGCGATGCTACCGCTTGGGGTGGCTATGTGCGGAAATGTCATTCTGCCGAACTTATCGCTCGCATTCTCTTCCGTTGCATTTTATCAGCTTGTGAGAGTGCTCCTCACACCATTGACGGCGATCATCAATTTTGTCTTTTATGGATCCAAGGTGCCGAGACAGGCCGTTTACTGCCTGGTGCCGATTTGTCTCGGGGTTGGCATCATGTCGTACTATGACACAAAGCAGACAGGGCGCGGGAAGAAACAACAAGCCCAGACGTCGCCACTGGGGGTATTTTTCGCTCTTTTGGGCGTGTTGGCCAGCTCACTGTACACGGTCTGGATTGGAACGTTCCACAAGAAGTTCAACATGAACAGCATGCAGCTCCTATTCAACCAGGCGCCCATCAGTGCGTTCTTGCTGCTGTATGTTATACCTTTCACCGACGAGACTCCGCAATGGTCACAGATGGGCCTCGAGAAGTACTTCCTCATTCTGTTCGTATGTATAACCCGCGCCCGGCACTGGATCCTTGGTCACTGCTGACATATGACAGAGCGGGCTCATGGCTGCCCTGATCAACATTTCACAATTCTTTATCGTGGCTGGCGCTGGACCAGTCAGCAGTACTGTGGTCGGTCATTTGAAGACGTGCTCGATCGTGGCTCTGGGATGGATTACCAGTGGCCGAACCGCCAGCGATCGAGGCATATTCGGTATTTTCATGGCCATAACGGGAATCGTCATGTAAGTTTGGCGCAAGGCATACTTCCGGGCTATTGCTGACTCCGTATGCAGGTACTCGGTTGTGATGTACAAGTTTAAAAAAGCTCAGCAGGAACAGCTTAAAGTGACCGAGACAGTCGCCACAAAGTGAAATGCTGGAGTTCTTTGCGCAAGGGGCCACAACGAAAATGGACGCTAGTCTTAGACGGTATCATTAGTAATACTGCTAGATCCGAGGTCTGTAATTTGTAGTAGATTACTGATGGCGTTCAGAAAGATGCTGTGGGAAGAAGATGCAAGAAAGCTTCCATGATCGCGAGAGAATAAGTATGCCAGAGGTAGTGAGTGACAAGGCTACATCTTGGCGTCCAACAGCCTCGTTTTGGGGGGGTTTTGGGGGCCGCTACTACCCGTAGCAGTACCTACTTGTAAGCACTAGGTATTATACAGCTACAGTACACTCGACATGCTCGCTCCTGTCCTACAGTCCTCTTTACCAGTTATTATTACATTGCTGAGGCATAAACACCTTCAAATCCATTCCCAGCGTCATCTTCATCTCGGGACAGTAGTCATAAATCGACTGTCGCTTTTCGGGGGTGCCCCAGATTCCGCCCGCCAACCATGCACCGCTGCCTCCCGTATGGTAGCCGAGCGGCTGTTCGTACCAAATGGACTCGCCCGAGAACTTGACTGACTCTGTGCCGTTAGCTGTCCTAGAATTAGGCAGGTGACCGAGACGTTCCGTCAGCCACACATCTTCAGGCTCGGAGAAATTCTGCCGTTGTTGATGTCGGAGAACCTCAATCATCGAGCTGACTCGACGCAGAGATAAGCCACCGTTGCCGCCATACCGACTGTTGAGGCCCCAAGGTGCGCCTACCCAATCGTAGTCTAGCCACTCGTCGAGGGTGCCCTTGTGGTTGCCGCACATCATGCCTGCAAGGTACAATTAGCCGCGAGCAAGCGAGACACGGTTAAGTCCACATCACATACTGTCCGTCTGGTATATCAAGAGCCATTCTGCGGGATACAACACCGTCTCATACAACCAGAGATTCGTCAGAAACCGACTGATGTCCTCTTGCCCATTGGTGCTCATATTCTTCGGTATATAGGTTAGGTCGAGTTTGCCGCTGGCTGCATGATGCCGGATGGCTGCAGAGTTATTCACGTATGCAACCGATGCCTCTGAGCCCATGAAACGGAACTTCCAGTCCGGCGGTAGTGTCGACATAAAGGCAAGCATCATGGGCGCGATATTCGGCACCGGCCGGTTTTCGATGAGCAGCGCGACTTTACTCTCATTGAACAGCGGCTTGTGGTAGTTGAGACTGATCCTGGGGAGCTCGGGGAGCGCTGGCAGATAGGACTTGACTTGTGTTGAGGTCGCTATATTCTTGAAGAAGTGACTGTCTGTGCGTTAGATCCAGCATCTGCACGACTGGCTCCGGAGACTCACAAGACGAGGGCGTACAGCACAAATGCGCCCACCGCCTTTGCAATTTGGTTTCTCACCATCGGCAGCATTGTGACTACTAATGTTCAACGCAGTTGTTCTTTTGTCGTCGACGAAGTTTCGGGGTGTCTATTTTGTTTTTGGCGTTGTCTCGCGTCGCGGCGCAAGGGTCATGCACCATGCAGGTCCCCTTCATCCCTTGCATTCCTGATCCCTTTGCCACTTGTCCTGAACCCTCCTTCAAAACCACCTCCCGTTCCATTCTTGTCCTCGTCTTTACGGTACCGACGCGGATCTAGTAAAAATCATGAGCGACCAAAAGAACCAAGTCTTTCTTATCTGGGGTGGAAATGGATGGATTGCGGGCATCCTGTACGAGATGCTGAAGACGCAAGGCCACAAAGTCTACTCAACCACCATCCGCATGGAGGACCGCGAAGCTGTGCTGGCCGAGTTGAATCGCATCAAACCGACTCACGTCCTCAATTGCGCCGGTGTCACTGGTCGTCCCAATGTGGATTGGTGCGAAGACAACAAACCTGCGACCGTCCGTGCCAACCTCATCGGCACCAACAATCTGGCCGACTGCTGTTTCCTGCAGGGAATTCACTGCACAATCTATGCTACCGGATGTGAGTAGAGCCCTATTCCTTGTCATGGGTCGAACGACCTGGTCTGATGAAGCCGTGGAGATTTTGGGCGAGGCCAAGTGTGTTGCTACCCCCTTCTCAAGGACGAGGCTGGGATGTCACAGCACCTGTGATTATGAAGCATCACGTCACGGTACCATTCCCCCAATCTGGCAAGACTGGTCAGCCCGGCCTGCGGCAGTTCGCTCGAGGTCTTCGTATTGGGGATGGTGTGTGGAGTCTATCCGTTCTATAATTTTACGGGTGTTGCCTGGGGTTCACAAGCGCGTGACTCCGCAAGGAAACTGCTCCCTAGCAAACGTGCTGACTATGCAATAGGCATTTACGCCTACGATGAGAAGCATCCTATGGGATCGGGCATTGGCTTCACCGAAACCGATCCAGCCAATTTCTCCGGCTCGTACTATTCCTTCGTCAAGGCTCACGCCGAGCGAATGCTTGTCTCAGCTTACGAAGCAAACACTTTGATCCTCCGTCTCCGAATGCCTGTATCGGACGACCTGAATCCACGCTCGTTTGTGACTAAGATCACGAAATACGACCATGTTGTCGACATCCCCAACAGCAACTCGATCCTTACCGATCTCCTGCCATGCAGCGTAAAGCTCGCACAGGAGAAGGTGACCGGCGTCTACAACTTCACCAACCCAGGTGCCATCAGCCACAATGAAGTTCTGTCGTTGTACAAGCAGTATGTCAACCCGGACTTCAAGTGGAAGAATTTCAGCTTGGACGAACAGGCCAAGGTGATCAAGGCTGGAAGGTCGAATTGCGAGCTTGACACCACTAAGTTGGTCAACAAGATGCGCGAATTCAATATGGAGATCCCCAATGTTCACGAGGCCTATGCCCAATGCTTCCAAAGGATGGCTGCCGGCAAGCGCCAGCATCAGGGAGCAGGAGAAAACAAGGAAAATGTTGCCTCCACGAGCAGCAAGGCTGCAGAGCTAGGAGTCGTCGAGAGCGTCTCTCTCGTGAAGTAGGTAGGAAGCCATCACGGTGTTCCAGAGCTTTCCCCAGACCACTCGCCTTGTGTTGCCTGGCTCATTAGACCACATTAGAATGCCAAACTTGTTTGATCTGCCAGGTGGAACTCGCGCATGCATCGACAATCGTGCTTCTCATCGATCGTGGCGCCCTCCAAATCTTCTTATGTGACAGTCTCTTACAGCGTACCGCTTCCCCATACAAGTGCTGTTGTATAGGCCCAGTCGCCGTTATGGGAAAGTGTGCCTGCCGTTTCAGGTCAGATGCCGGAGAGCGGCGGCTAATCATTTCATTGACACTGACGAGTCTGGTTCAACCGTCTGCTGGTCCAGCTAACCCCCTTGTGGCAAGTCAGCATGACTATGCCATTGGTCCACATATTTGCCATTAGACGGTGCCTTCGTTTCGATGGCCTGCGCAACACTCACTGATCACACCATCCGCGTTTGGCATTTGACCCGTCGCAGAAATGTAGTTCTCTTTATTGGATGGGCAACACCGTATCTTATACGAACAAGAGACTTCCTCGATCCTCGATCCTCAAGACCTGACGCCTGGACAAAGCAATGATGCTTTCCGCAGTTGCTTCGAGGCTGACATTGTTGCTGAGCCACATCGAGTTGCCATCATCCCGGCGGTGTCCTCGTGTCAGAACAGGATATCCCGCTAGTCAAACTGGCTTGCCTGTGATCGCATGTGGCTCAAGCAGGGGATTAGCTGCTCCCAGCGACGCGCGTACCGTGCACTCTTCCTTGAGGCGTTGTTCTTACAATTGATGGTGGCTGAAGGTAAGGATGAGAAGACCAACCACACCGCCAGCCAAATGCCGCGTCCTCCTTGCAGTCACATTAATCTGACTTCTATGGCTTGATTACAAGCAGACATGCACGTAGCTTTGCTGTTCGACGCATAGTTCCGAACCCAGACGTCAGCTGCATCCTACCGCATGAGTAAAATCAAGACTGTGTTACCGAAAGACACCTGTGAGGCAAACAGGTCACACTGCCCAAGGTTGTATTTTCAGGCGAGAGCAACACAACGCAAGCTAACAGGCAAGCATGCGCATCTTGTGGCGACGCGGTGCCACCACCACCGCCACGACACATCTCAGAGGCAAGGTCAAAATGTTTTCCACTCTCCCGGCGGAAACGGTTTTTTTCTAGCTCTCGCTCGCTCGTAGTCTGTTTAGATACGTACGCCAAACACATCTGTTCTCTGGCTCTCCGCGAACCCGTTTGTCCCGAGCCAAGGAGAGCTTCATCGCTCTATACCGACCGATTTGCAGGCCGCACTCACGCTGCAGCACCTCATTCTCCAGAGGCAGGGCGGCTCTACCCGCCGCATTGAAGTGCTTAGTAGCCACTGCAACATTCGAAGGTCATCGTATATTCCTGCACACGATAAGCCTCGTATGAAAGACGTCGACGCTTCATTCAAGAGCCCTTGGTAAAATGTCCCAGTCCAATGCAATGTGAACAAGGCCCTCAAGCCTCCCGTTTCCGTCTCAGCAGCCAGAAAGAACATCAACGCTCGTCCTGATCTAGCCATCAGTTGGCGCAGCCCGTTTGCGCCAGAAAGTGATCGTTCCGACCCTGCAGCCCCCACGATCTTATGAAACGCAGACTGGACTCCCAATGGCCATCGATGGGTGACCTGTTATGCTCTTTCCAGATACGTTGCGGTGACTGACGAAGGGCTTCCGCATCGCCAACAAACTCGATTGATTTGCCCTAACTGCTTGCTCGGTATCTTGGGCTCATTCCCAAGAAAGTCCTAGTGGTCCCTCCCAGCCTTAGACAGCAACTGCAGACCCCGGGATGAGGGAGAATCGAGCCACTCGCGAAGCGTAGCATAGTTGCAGGATTCGGGATACATCGAAGGAGCCCATGTCTTTCGCCACATTCGTTAGAACTCACACGATGGCGGCCCTGTCCTCGTTTCGGCCCACAACCACGAAGTAGAAGCCAGAGGCAGCGGTCGCAGCGAATCCCCAGGAGAAAGTGGTGTTATGTGAGCACAGACAGCTCCTTTGACAGGGCACAGGACCATTTTCCTCTTTCAGCAGGAGGCCTCTGGATGTCCTCGTAGTTGACCCTCACCCCAAAAAGGCGGCAGCGGCGGCGGCGGCGGCGGCGCGCTTATAGCCCAAAAGAGTAAATGCGCACCCCTGGCCCCCCAGCTCTGCGTCCTTTGGCCTTGTCTTTACACACACCCCCGGGCCCGAGCAATGATAACCCCAGCCCAGCCCATGCAAACACAAAGGATGTAACACTTTTTAGAACTCGCCCCGTCATTACAATTACGCCTCCACCCGAAGTTCAGCCCGCGCTCAAGAAGCCGCGTTGTTCGTTCCGGCCCTTCTCCCCACTGAACGCGTCGACTTTGACGCCGACGAACACAATCTCCAGACCGCCGCGGATGCTGTCCTGCGGGTTGGGCTGGACCCGCAGCCGCCACTGCGCGGCGCGGATGATCCACTCGGTCGCCGGCTGCTGCTCCTGCTGCTTCGAGGGAATGGGCTGCGCTGGGGAGGGGTTGGAGGTCGATGGGCGCTTGCGCTTCTTCGACTGCGAGGTGGCTGATTCCCTGGGATCGGTTGGGGGGTGACCCGTTTGAATCGGTGGTGGTGCGGCGTGCGTGCGGCTCTGCTGTGGGATTTGGTGGGGATTTGGTCGCTGCTGTGGCTGCTGCTGCGGCTGCTGGGAAGGATGGTGTTTCTGCCCTGGCGCGGCAGGGCTTGGCCGGTGCGCTGCCGTAGTCTTCGTCTGCCGTCCCATCGATGATGGCGGCGGCGGCGGCGGCTGCTGCTCCTCCTCTTCGTCATCTTCCTCTCCCATGGCTTCATCCTCATCTTGACTCTCGTCCCCGGCATCGGGTCCGTACAACATCCTTCGACCCCACTCCGTGCTCGCATCCACCTCAATCCGCTCTCCATCCAATGTCACGCTCGTAGCCTCTTCGAATCGCACCTTCACACGGTCCTCGCTTAGTGGAGTATGCCCAGGACTCTTGCCCTCTCCAGCTTGGCCCTGCCCCTGACTCAAGACCATTAGGCCCAACGGTGCGTTGGTAGGTAGGTTCATCTTATTGGCCACCACTTGGAACAGGCTCCCTACCCGTGCCTTGGTCAGATTGTGGAAGTCTGCCCGCATATCCGTCAGGTCGAGCTGCATGCTCTCGCCACCAATCTCAACGACCAGTTCGTAGGACGTCTCGTCCGTGAATGGGCGCGCATACGAAACCCAGCCGGCTGTCGGCACTGATAGAGTGTGGTGGGAAGGCGAGCTCGGCGGCGATGGCACACTGGATGCATCGGGTGTGAAGCTGACGCCACTAGGCTTTACGTCCTCTAGGCGCAGTGTGATCTCGTGCCGCTCGCGCGCAAGGTTGTATGCGATACTGTGCGCAATGATCTTCTGCTCCAAACCCCTGAGATGGAAGTATCGGCAGTCGCGCAGAAGCTCGGCGCGGTGGGACTCGTTGCGGATGTGCAGTGGATACCCGCGCAGGAGGTGCAATAGTTCGGCAAAAATTTCGGCGCTGCGGCCGGGCACGTAGGGCGGAGTGATGGACGGGGGCCGCAGTAGGCCACGTCGGTCGAGGCCTGGGAAGACTTCACCAGGAGTGCTGAAGAAGACGGCAAAGCCTAGGCTGAAAAAGTTCGGGCTGTTGCCAGGCTCCGAGAAGACGTCTTTGGGAATTTGGAAATGGCGCTCACCGATTTGAATAAAGATTTCCGATTCGAAAAGTTGGTCTATTAGTCGGGGAACTGCTTGAGCGTTAGCTGCGGCGGGTGGGAAAGGACTGAAATATCTGGGAGGGGGACAGGGGAAGACGTGATAGATGACAGATGCAGGCTCGACATACGGCTGTAGAACTGTGCGTCGGCGAATAGCTTGACAAAGTGACTACCATCCTGCGGCTTGACGTAGTAGCCCTGTAGATGGCGTGCAATGTCGCGAAAGGTTATTGGATCGCGGTCAATGTAAAGAGTGCGCACGCCGCCAGATTCCTCATTCTGGCGAATCTGCTCCTCGAAGAACTGCGTAAAGTAGGATGGGGCTGTACCTTATCAGCCATGAATCTATGTCGAGATCAGAAAACTTACCATCGGAGGATATTGAAGCGCCAGACAAGCGGAATAGGTCTGAGCCTATCTGTATCGGAAAGACTTTCTCGGGTGGCAGTATAGAAGGTGGGTGTCCAGATGGAGGTCTCGTGCCAGCTCTGAATCCTGCTCGCTGTCCCGGAGTTTCTGCTGTTGACACGGGTGGCACTGGAATTGGCCCAGATCGTGGCGTTGAAGCTGCTGATTGCCGGGTTCGTCGAGCTTGTTGACTTGTGGTAGTGGGAGGGCGACCCTGTGTGAATGATTTGTCCGACTGAGCTTCTGTCTCATCGGGAGACGCTGGACCGCGTCCGGACATCCGCTCGAAGGACACTGAGCGTATCTTATTCGAAGGACGCTCGTTCTTCTTGCCGTCACTGCTCACAGGCGACTCGAGCGAGTCTGCTTTGCGTTTGAGGACTGACCTCGGTGGTGGTGGAGGGACAAATGCATTCACGGTCTTCGTATTCTTCGCTGGTTGACTTGAATCTGCAGCTCTTGTTGACGTGCTTGAGTCGGCCTGCTTCTCTGGTGGAGATTCGCTTGTTGATTGGCTTACCGACCTGACTCCCGCTGGAGTGTCGAATTCCTGAAAGGCTTCGGTGTGCTCATTGATCAATACACCAGTTGGTTCGTAAATTGGCTGTGGCGCAAAATGCAAGTAAGGCACAGAAGCAGAAGCCGAAGCCCAAGGCTGTGATCGGAAGCTTGCAAGGTTCAGAGAGGCGCTAGTTGTATTAGTAGTTGGATTGCCTGAGCTGGGAGATTTCGTATGGTGGATGTTCTCGGAGGGATTTAAGACACCATTAGTATATCCTGATGGCACCTGGTGTGCTGAAGAAGTACTAGTTAGCTTATTGGTGTAAGCAGGGTAGCGTTGGTTGGCAGATGAGGCGTCGTGTAAGGATGAAAATGCAATGTCCTGATTAGTAGCGCTCACTCGCCGCCCCAAACCCTCGGCCTGAATGGGAGAAATCGAAATGGCTGGGGAATTGAAGTTTGTCTCGGTTGTGTCCGAGAAGGCAACGTTATCGTGGAATCCGAAAGCATCGTGTGGGTCCGTCATTACTGGGAAGAAACGGACCCCGGGGAAGCAACGGTTCTGAGTTGCGCGTACGGCTCAAGCAAGAGTGCAGTATATGCGCGGTGCACATCAGCGCGCTGCCCAGGTGGTGCGGTGGGCACCCGGGGAGCCAGTCAACCGTGCTTCGGGCAACTATGGGGCCTGGTCACGGGGGACGACGGCATAAGATACGCCCCCAAGCTCGCCCCCGAAAGACGCCAGTGAGTTTGACAGCGCTGGAGCACAAAAATCGCGCTTGGTTGGGGACTTGGAGCGCAGCAGCTTGCGACCGCTTGGCAGCACCTGTGTGATGAGTAAGCCCTGAGTCAGGTAGAGGCGCGAGAGCCATTGGCCAGCTAGCATGAGAGGGTATCCTGGTGAGGAGTCTTGTGACGCAGGCCGATTACGAAGAGTGACGCCCACAAAGTCAGACTCAGATGGTGGAATGGGAAGTAAAGTCAGATTGGAAATGAGTACGTACAGGAATGAACGAGGCAGCCCAGGTCAGGTTGGAGCTCAAAGCGGTCAAGTTAGGCCTGGTTGCGGGCACCGCCAGATGCCGTTCTGCACTAGACCCGATGCTGTGGCGCCTGATGACACGCAGCCGAACGAGACTTCCAGACAGCTGGGAAGGCGGGTGACGGAGCAGAGTGGATGGCTTCGCCTATCAACGAGAGGTGTCTGACTGTCGAGGGGCGCGGATTCCCGACCAGGGTTTAAAGCCTGGGCAGGCAGAGCAGCAGGATAATTCAGAGCCTTTTGGGCAGGTGGTGTGATGATGCTCTCTTCGATGTTAAGGTAGAATCTTGGGAAGAGCCTTGAAGCGAACACCCGAAGCTGTTGAGTCGTACGGCCAGACTCCAGGCTAGGCGGCGGAGGCGGCAGCCCGTCTGTCGACAAACCCTGGGAGCTAACAAGGCAACGTGTATGCCAGTGATGTGACCACAACTTAACTACTTCAAAGCTCTAAGCTCGAGCTGGGGCGGCCTGGCCACGTCTGGGCCTGGTTGTTCGCCTGGTGGCCTATTCGAAAGAGAGGGCCTTGGCAGAGTGATTCCGAGTGATGAGTTTGTGTTGGTAGGAGGCGGCGGCATTCGTGTTGCTGCTGCAGACGAACTACTCATCAACAGCAAAAGACAGTCGTCTTATAGCGAAGGCGATAGCCGCGTAGGAACCATGTGTTCATCCATCTATGTTGCCACGGCTTGGGGAATTCGAATTGGATGGCCCTATCATGGCCTTTGGCCCCCAAACCCCTCTCGCTCCCCGACACAAACGTACTACAACAAACCCAGAGCTGAACATTTTGGCCCTTTGCCGACTGTACGGCTGATATATTCATCATACTAACCGGTACCGATGGTACTCCGTACATAGACGCAGTCAGCACATTGGTGACCTTGGAGATGTAGCAGGGTTACAGGGACGGATATTCGATCTTAGTGATGCCCCTGCCAGCACACGCCAAATTGCTCTCGAACAAGCTGCTGACTGTCGTCATTATTTGGGCGCATCGCTGCGACATTGATCTATTGGAGGAGCTGTGGCGATCCTGTAATTGATCTCCGCTCTCACAGATTACTCTTAAAGCTACCTTCGATGTCTTCAATCTTCTTGATGGACCGCTTGTACGCCTCTCGTTCGTGCAACCGGTCGACATAAGCCCACATCAACGGACACTGTTCTCGCGACATGCCGGAACGACTCTGTCCAGCCTCCAATGGAAAGGACATGAGGATGTCAGCTGCAGTGATGTGCTTTCCACACAGATACTCGCCACTGTCGGGCGAGGACTTCAGCTGTTCCTCGAGAAATGCATAGTGCGTTTTGAAGTTCGGCTCGAGGAAGAGAGAGCTCACTCTGTTGGCCACACTGTTGGTGACTGGTCGAATGAAGAAAGGGACAGGCGCATTCCTGATTCCTGGAATCTCAGTAAGCACAAATCGCTGCACGGCCCATTCGAAGGTTGCTTGCCTTGGATGACTAGCGAGAATACCATGTAAGGCATGATCGATCCCTCCGCATAATGCATGAAGAAGCGATAACGCAGCCATGACTCAGTTTCACCTCCGACACGACCATCCTCGCCGTCTTTGTACCGTTTCGGCACCAAGTGCTTGCCATAATAGTCACCTGGATGCGTCTGGATCAGCCACAGATCCCAAACATGTACTCAATAACACAACTTACATAAGTATTCGACGATAGCAGCAGATTCCGCCAGCACTAGTGGCTCATTTGAATTCGAAGTCTCGATGGTGATGACGGGCGACTTTCCTAGCGGATGTACCTTCTTGAGCTCGGGCGGTGCAAGCTTGTCTTTGCCCCGCTTGTATGTCTTGAGCTCATAAGGGATCTGTATATTGTGTTAGTGACTTGTGGGATGCTCGTACATAGAAGCTGACCTGCAGTTCTTCAAGAAGCCACAAGATACGATGCGATCTGGAAACCTCGAGCCTGGTGTGAGACGTCAGACGTGGTCAAGCTGATGAATCTGGACCCTTACCAATGCAAAGTGATCTTAGGTACGGTGCTAGGAGATGTCATGATGCCGAGTGTTGGAAGGGTGTGTAGGACGATAGCAGTCGCACGTCCCAGACGTTGGTTTTACACCTCGACAAGACTAGGAGGGAGAAGATGCCTCGGTACGCGCATGAGCCCTTTTTGCAGATCAGCAACACATGCAACGTTTGAGCTTAATCTCGGGACTGCCGCTAAACTACCTTTCTAGACATTCAAGTCATTGAACGTATTAGTTAGGTTATTGGAAGATTCAAGTCGGCACAAGTATGGCAATAATGCTACCTTCGTCATACCTCCATACGACTGCTGGCGGATACGTACGCCAAGAAACCTTGACGGCGTCTGCGCGAGACCACATATACTGTGAGACTCTGCGTCTCATGTCCAGATTCCCATCATGAGCCACTATGGGCTCTTCTGCATGAAAGCTTTCAAAGTTCAGGTGCTTGCGATCCACCACACTTCTGATGAGACCCAAAGGGGAAGCATGCGAAATAGCTATAGGATATTTCTGTTTAGCACTTTATAGCCATGTTTCGGGAACCATTCAATCTCAGAGAAAAGCGGAGTAGATTCACAAATTCCCGGGCACTTGAGGAACTTGTAGCAAAGATCTTTCTTCAGCGAGAGTCCCGATGTGTCCGTAGGGTGTGCAGTTGCAATAGGTCAATGGGAACTGACATCAGCGCAGCGTGACTTTTGGTCCCACGAGCGTGGCCATCTTCCTTAGGGAACTTGGTGAGTCCAGGTAGCACTTAACAAGTCGGATAATGACAGCCATGGTTGGCATCGGGGGAGGCGAGTTCGACAAAGCTCACGCAAATTGGTAAGAAGCCGGAATCTTGTCTTGAAGATTGGGCGTTGCCCGCCAAGCCAGCACCCGGCACTGATGTTCCTCCGCTCCGAACCCCAAACTGCACCTCATCTCGATATGGTGACCAGCTCCAAAGCCCAGCAATCAACGTCCACGCGATCACCAATAGCTTGACATCCTGCGATCGCGACCATGGCGGGCCCTAATGGTATGTGTGCCTGTATCCCAATGGCGAATTCAAGAGCTAACCGTGTCTACAGCCTTCCGCACGGACCCTGCGATCCAGAAGTACAATGGTAGAGCTCACCCATTCCCACCCGCCCCGACCCTCCCTCCGACCCCTCAAGGGCTTCGAAAGCGCCTCAGCAACAGTATCTTCGTCGCTGCCTGAGTGTTCGCGCAAGCCCGACAGGAACATGACTTGCCGCAGCTAACTCCAGCCTGTCCACCCGACTCGAACCCAAGGAAACGTAGGGAGAAAGCCCTGCTAACATGCTACGCCAGAACACATGAAAAATCGATGGAAGTACTTCCGCTGGACACCACGCGTCGCACTCGTCGGCTTCATGTACGGCGTCTTCGTGCCCAGCCTCTTCGCGACCGTGTTCTACAGGACTGATGTAAGTTTCACCCTTTTGGGATCTTGAAGGTTGCGGTGTTCTTGGAGCAGACGTTCTATGCGAAGCTGTGGAAAAGTTGCATTTCTCGCAGGGTGGGCGATCGAGGCAACAAGGCTGACTTTTGACGCAGGGCAAATGGGATATGAGGGGCAAGCTGAGGGGGGACACGATTTCCGAGTGGTGAGAGTGGCGTGCGGAACGTTGGCAAGAGCAAATGCGACATGTTATCAGCAGCCTATGGTAAATCGATGGATGATCTGTCTGCGAAAAAAGGACGAGCATGAGCCTAGAGGACTGTACATAGGGGGGTCGGGCATATGCAGCGACAAGTCGACAGAATAGGTTATCAAAAGACCTGAAAGCAGTTGGGAGTCTTCGCATGCAAGCAGCTATCATGATGATCCGGACGTGCCGCCATCTCAACGTATTTCATAGTTCATGTCGCCCTTCAGGTTCCCTTGACCTCATCACCAAGCTTCGCCAAAGCATCCTCATAGATCTCCTTCCAAGCCTCCATATCCACCTCCATCTGCACCTTTTGCACCTTCCCATCCCTTTCTATTGCATTCTCGCTGCCCTTGCCTCCGATCTCGCCCCAGAACCACCTCCCCTCCCGGTGCTCCACGATCGTCCACGCAGTGCCCTCCTTACCCGCCCGCGCAGTCCTGCCTACGCGGTGCACGTACGTCAACGCACTACTAGGTACATCGTAGCTAACGACATGGGACAATTCCGAGATGTCCAGGCCGCGAGACGCTCGGTCCGTAGCGATCAGGACGGGGGTCCGCCCGGACCGAAACGAGGAGAGGGCGTGACGTGAGGAAGAGGAGGAAGCGGTGGATTTGGTGAGGGTGCTGATGAGGGGCGCAATCTCAGGGTATAAGAGTGACAGAAGGCGTGAGAGTCGGAGCGTGGCGGCCGTAGAGCGTGTGAAGATTAGAACGCGGGTTGCAGAGGTTCGGGAGCTGGCCTCAATCGCCGGACTGGACTTTTTGTCTCGACGCTCTGCAGAGCTTGAGGAGGACACCGAATCATCAGAATCGGAATCACTGTCGGTGTCGGTGTCGGTGTCGCTGTCCGTGGACGAGTCGGTCTCGGAGGCGGAAGTCGAGCTCTCGGACCCATCCTCGGGTTTGGAGTCACTCGCATTGACTGTCTTCGGCAGACTGTGCAATATTCGGCTTTGCAATAGCTCCAGCAGGTACATAGGCTTTTCATACCCATCCTTGATTGGTATGACGAACTCTGTAAGTGAGGATGGGAGGTGGAATGCACCGTCCGCAGCTACAGGGGGTCCATTGGCGTCGTTGTCTGAACACACAACTTCCTTGGGCTGCGAAGGAGGATGTCCAAGCACCACTAGCTTTGGATTGACTAGGCCCATCGAGTTGAGCTTAGAGATATCTCTTGTCATGGTGGCCGATAGCAGTACCTTCCTGACATCTCGGGGAGGTGCCTGCATTCGCATGTGCCGGAGCAGTCGGTCGCGTTCAGCAGTTGCCGCTTGTGAGCGTAGCGCTGGCACCACGACGTCAATCCATTCTTGGTAGCTTTCGTTCAGTAGACGATCAGCCTCGTCAACGGCGAGCCATTTGACATGGTCCAGATTGAAGCCGGGTGTTGAGCGTAGATGGTCAACGAGTCTGCCGGGAGTGGTGATTAGTATATCAACTTTGGACCCGAGTTGCTTGACGAAGTGGATTGAGCTTGGCTGTCGCCGCTCCCGTGCTTCTTGAATGAAGTCAGCCACTGAAAAGCTGCTCCAGTCTACAGGCGCTCTCTGTTCTCTCTCCCATCTTTCTGGGTCGTAGACCTCTTCCTCCGCAACTACCAGGTTTTGCTCGCCCTTCAAGGTCTTGTTCCCAGATGCGGTAGCAATCTTCAATTTTGTCCCCGCTGCACAACTTTCGCAGGTTTTTCGCACTTGTTGGACCAACTCTCTCGTTGGTACGACTATCACACCGCGTAACTTTGTGTCGGAGTACTCTTTCAGATCCTCGATCATCGGCAACACGTACGCCAAGGTCTTACCCGACCCGGTTGCTGCAGAAACACATACGTCGCCCTCATGCTTCTCGGATCCTTCAAGCAGCAGCGGAAGTACCGTAGTCTGTATCGGGAATGATTTCTCAAGCCCGTGCTTTCTCAAGTTCTCGACTGTTGAGGCAGCAATGGTAAAGTCTGAGAACTTTTTCGTCTGCCTGTGTACGACTCTGACAGCGTTCGACTGCCACGATGGTAAGACCGAATATGTTGGCTTTTGTACTGGTACATCGACCACCTCTGGTTGCGGTATGGGCTCTAGTCCGTGCAGCTCGTTTGCTTGCTTCGCAGTCTCTTCATCTTCTGGATCCGGGACAGCAGGTCTCTCCGCCAGCGCTCTGTTGAATTTAGATAGCACACCACCATGCTTCTTGTTGTATTCCTCGTCTGCTTCATCGGGGTGCTGGTGCTCGTTCTTCCGCTTCTTAGCTTTGGTCTTGGGTCTCGAGCCTGTGACTTCCGTCTCTACAGCTTCGTGTAGTTCCTCGTTCGCAGCTTTTAATTCATCTTCACTCGTGTTGAGGCCCAATGAGCTGTCTTCAACCAATGCTGCCTTATTTTCGGCGGCTTTGAAGTTCGCCTCCTTGGGAATTTTCAACTTGGCACTTCCTGCCGTCACTCCTGCTGCTTGAGATTCATCTGCTCGGTCGTTCTTCAGCCGTTTCTTGCTCTTGGTAGAGTGCTCGTCCTGGGTTCGTTTCCGCTTCTCGAGTTTGGGAGAATCATGTCGAGATGTTATCGGCTTTGACGCTGTTGGTATATAGCGAGCGTAGAATTGCGACATTGTAAGACATATCGTGCCTGCGGCGAGCAGACGTTTCACTCCCTCGATCAGAAAAAAGTTGCGGAGAAGTTGGCAGAACTCGGGGATCGACACACCGCCTGGGGCGCAAGCAGTCAGCCTTGTGGGGGTCTTCTCGCCTATATTACCTTGTTCGGTGACCCCTACCAAAGCACCTCCAGGGGCCAGGATGTAGGAACGCAAAGAAGCTTCAATTCGCAACGTCGATACGATCAGTGTGATGGCCATACAGCACGCGACCAGGAATGAGTCCACATAGGCATCAGATTCCGTTACCGAGCAGGTGTGATACGCCCCCGGAGTCGAGATGCCATACAATATTGCGATGGTCTGTGACTTCTTCTATCCCCAGCCAGGAGGAATCGAAAGCCACATCTACCAGCTGTCAACCAAGTTGATAGACCGAGGGCACAAAGTCGTCGTCATCACCCACGCCTATCAAGGACGAACAGGAGTGCGCTATCTTACGAATGGATTGAAGGTGTACCAGGTCCCGTTTCTGGTCATCTACCGAGAGACGACTATGCCAACAGTCTTCTCTTGCTTTCCCATCTTCCGAAACATCTTTATTCGGGAGGAGATCCAAATTGTGCACGGACATGCTAGCTTAAGCAGTTTCTGCCATGAAGGCATTCTGCACGCCAGGACTATGGGTCTTCGGACAGTGTTTACGGATCATTCGCTCTTTGGCTTCGCCGATGCCGCGTCCATTCTCACGAATAAACTCCTCAAGTTTACTATGAGTGATGTCGATCATGTCATATGCGTCAGCCATACTTGCAAAGAGAACACCGTTTTGCGAGCGTCACTCGACCCATTGATGGTGTCGGTCATTCCCAATGCCGTGGTCGCTGAGAATTTCCAGCCACTTCTCCATCAGCCCAAAGGACAGGATCGTGGATCTATGAGGCCTCGACCGCTTGCCAAACGCTTAAGTCCGAATGATGAGGTCGTCATTGTTATCATATCTCGTCTCTTCTACAACAAAGGCACCGATCTTCTCATTGCCGCCATTCCCAGAATCTTGGCAGCTCACCCCAAAGTCCGCTTTATTATAGCAGGCTCTGGACCGAAAGCGATCGATCTTGAGCAGATGCTAGAAAGAAGAGTTTTGCAAGACAAAGTCGAGCTTCTTGGCCCGGTCAGACATGAAGAAGTCCGAGATGTCATGGTTCGAGGACATATCTACCTGAATCCTAGTCTCACAGAAGCATTTGGAACTGTCATTGTCGAGGCTGCCAGTTGTGGTCTATATGTTGTATGCACGCGCGTTGGTGGTATACCAGAAGTACTTCCGGCACACATGACGACATTCGCAAAACCGGAAGAGGACGATCTGGTAGCAGCGACGGGAAAAGCAATCATGGATCTACGTTCCGGCAAGGTCAGAACCGAGCGCTTCCACGACCAAGTCAAAATAATGTATTCATGGGCTGATGTAGCTCAGCGGACGGAGCGTGTCTATGACGGGATCATTGGAGCCATCAGCGAGGAGGAATTCTACGGGCATCATTCGCGTGCCACCTGGAGTGGTGCACGTGGTCGAACGGGGGTGCACAGCTACGCACTAATCGACCGTCTCAAGCGATATTACGGCTGCGGTGTATGGGCAGGCAAGCTATTCTGCCTATGCGCCATCATCGACTACATTATTTTCCTCTTCCTCGAGCTATTCTATCCAAGGTCAAACATTGACATAGCCCGGAACTGGCCACGCAAGCCGTTCATCAACGACAAAAACAAACCGGTCGAGAATGGTTTGCGAAGACGCAGAGGCAACGATCTGATGGATCGGAGAAACGGAAGCCTAGTTATGGGATGAAAATGAAACGCTGATATGTGGTTCCCATGCTGTCCAGGCTCTAAGTTCGCTCTCAGCTGCTACAGCACCCAATCAGTCCGTCCGGCAAACCTCTGGATGGGCCGGTTTTGGAATTTACGTGTCCAACAGTTAGCTGTGGACCGATGCCGGCGCCCAGTGCGCCATGCCGTCTCGACGGAAGGCCACGTCGTCGAGATACTGACTCTGCGTTCGAGAACTGCAATCGACAAGCACGGTCACGCCAACCATTGTACAGACACTCCGGACGTTCTGGTCAGCATCGGCTCACCGTTTCTCCCTGCTGTCACCACGTGCACCTTCTCAATGTTGAGCACGGACGGTGCCCCTGGTTGTCCACCAAGATCAACTACATGGGCGAGAATGTATTCCTTGGTGCAGGATGCATGTCAAACAACGGCCACTTCAGGAGCAGTCTTGGTACCTGAGTGGGAAGTGAGAGCACTGATTCTGCGCCTTGCGATTGGACAAGAAGGGAGGGGCGGAGCCTGGCTCCCGAAATCTCCGCAATGACTCCGCGGCGGCTTGAGTGAGAAGCGGTCAACCTCATACCAGCCTGGTCTGCAAAACAATATGCCCCTATATCTTCTGGTAATCACATAGTGGTTGGTTGACTGTATCCCAAGCCGGAAGGATCTGCTCGTTGACGCATATGCTGCTCCAGAAGCCTGCTGTGCGATGTTTGTTGGTTGACTGGCAGCGACTTGGTTAGTACCAATGAAATCCAGCAGATTTCCAACAGTACGATGTGAGACAGCCAGTCGAGCCTTTGTCTATCTTTCGGGGTAAAGAATATATCGGTCATCGAGACAAGCATTTTCTATTTTCTATTTTCATGGGATCGGGACAGCAATCTCGAAAACGAACCATGCCAGGCCCATCAAAATCTCCTCGGCGCAAGCGGAAGCAAAGCGATATTGACAGGTCCAGTCGTGGCATTGGCGCTGACACGGTTGAAAAAACATTCTTCATTCCCTATCAACCCCCTCACAATTCCAAACGAGATGCTGAGTTGGTGGATGCTGCGAGACGATCATACATCGCGCGGAGATGGCACAAAAAGCAACAGGGAACGACCACCACAGCAGAACCCTCCGATATGCACCCGCACGAAGGACCCAATTATTTATCGGTATGATATTCTCTGGCACTCCTCGCATTCAGGTCAATCTGACTAATTTGTGCAAAAGCCCAGCAAACTTAGAGAGGAAATCACACTACACCCAACCGCTGAGCCAGAACAGACAAACACCCTACCGTCTAGTGCATTTCGTCCTGCTCATATCTTTGCCAGCGGTCAGCGGTCTAACATGCAGCATGATGTTACCAACGCTAGTGCTTCAGCCAACCGTGCCTTAACCACTGCGCGAAACGTGTCGAATAGCCAACCGACCCCACGATCCGATACCATATCGAGGGCAATGATGTTGACTAAGATCGACATAGCACCAGGTCTCGATGTGAGGCTCGGGTCCCTGGATCCGTTCACGTCGCTGGGCTATACGATAGACGCCGATACGGCTAACCTACTCCATTACTTCCATACGACGTGGGCTCAGACGGCTTTCCAGTCTGCTACCAATGGCAACGATGTGCAGAGAGTCAGACAGTCCGAGGCATCTCAGGTGATTCAGCAAGTGATGGGAGATAAGCTTGTAGCTCCTGCATTTCTTGCTGCCATCGGCATGCGAGTCACTGCGCTGCATAGTACGGTATCCACTGCCGAACGCCACGCCGCTTCTGCACTGTGTCAGCTCCGGTCCTCACTTGACCGAGAAAGCGCCAGCAATGAGCAATTGCTCCTGTCAATACTGTTTCTCGCTGCTTACGAGACCTACTGTTTCAATTTGGAAGGCACCAGGACACATCTTCGGGCGTTAAGGCGTTTGAATGCCCAGAGACACTTGACAGGCTACCTCAAGGCACTGTGCCGCAATGTCGACTTATTCAGCGCCTCTTCATTACTCAAGCCTCCCATCTTTCCTATACCCACCACAATCCCAACACCAGTTCCTGAGCACCTGACGGTTGGTCATGGCTTCTTGAACTACAGTGATGTGCTCGGTCTCGGAATGAACAGTATATTGCGCAGCATCATTTCATGTGGCAACGTTGCCGAAGAGTTCAAGCTTCGCCAGGGAGCAGAGGAGCATATGCGTTTCGATTTGCTGCAGATCGTTGCGTGGAGCGAGTCGCTTACATATCAGTTGCTCGAGCAGATGCCCGGAACTCCTGTCAAGGAGTGCTGCATCATTGCCTTGCTGATGTGGCTATCCTACCTTCCGGCAGCGATGATGGGCTCGAAGGACGGCAGCTCGCTTGCGCCATCGAAAAGCTTCTTGAAGATGATACCAGGCCGAGGTACCGGCCTCGTCAACAGGCTCAAGGCTTCGACTCTGGACTCATATTTGCATCTTTGGATTCTGGCGGTGGGGATCGTTTGTGCAGTTGACCAAGATGACACACGGTACTGCGCCGTCGAATTTGTTCAGCTGGCCTACCGTCTTGACGTGTCTGACGTCAGGCACTGCTTTCGCCAGTTTCTCTGGCTTGACAATTTCGACCTCATTGACTACGATGTGATGATGCAGCTTCTGGACCATGAGACGTCCCAGCAGGCGCTGCAGACGGCCGTCAGTTGGGCGGCTAAGACAAAGGGCCAGTCTTCACGAAGCGTCGAGGAGAAGCAGAGCTCGGTGAGAGTGACCAATCGGCCAAGCAACGGGTATCGGCTTGGAGGTTGACAGGATGGGCCAGCCCCGGGCAGTCAACCAACGGCAATACCGGATACGTGCAGCGGTTCCGATGAACATGGCCTGGGCCCGTGCCCGATTGAAGTGTATGTCTTGGCATCCGCACCTTTTTTCGCCTGGCATTCCAGCATTCCGCTTATTTCTTTTGTCACTGTTTTGAGGAGGGCATATAATCTCAACACTGCACATGGATTCCACGTGTAGTCGGATATGCTCGCCGCGCTCGTGGCTCAGCCGTACTGCAACCTTTTGGAATGGGCCAGGGCTGGCCACTGTTGGGAAGGGCTGCAAGGGCAGACGTCTGGTAATGGCCAGGCAAAAAATGTCATCCTTCTCTTGAGTTGCCTCGATGGTATTAAAAGACTTACCTCGAGGTCTCTCATGTTGCCTGTTCTCAAGCACAGTGAAAATGAGAATCACGCAGCTGTTCGTGCTTGCCTCGGTTTCCGCACTTGCATACTCACACGCCACCATCCAAGCCGCATGGATCAACGGCGTCGACCAGGGCCAAGGCGATTCCCGCAATGGATACATCCGATTTCCGCCCAATAACTCACCTGTCTTAGAAGTCACGTCTTCAGACATGACTTGCAACAAGAACAGTGGTCCTGTGGCGAAGACGTTGCAAGTGAAGGCCGGTGACAAGGTAAGCAATATCATATGGCTCCTCCGAGTGAATGCAGACTCATGTTGCACAGTTCGAGTTCGAGTGGCGACATCAGAGTCGAACCGCGGGCGACCAGATCATCGACCCTTCTCACAAAGGACCTATTTTGGTTTATATTGCAAACACTGATCAAGGCGCCGCCGGTCGAGGATGGGTGAAGCTTTACGAAGACGGCTATAACGGGCAGTGGGCTGTCGAAAGGCTGAGGGCAAATGGAGGCAGACACGGCATCACCATCCCCGATATCGCACCCGGCAAATACCTCCTACGCGCTGAAATCATCGCTCTCCACGAAGCCTTCTCTGCGAAGGGAGCGCAATTCTATATGGAATGTGTCCAGATCGAGGTCACGTCGTCTGGGAGCAAGACCTTACCTGCTGGGGTCTCACTGCCTGGAGCCTACAGCGCGAACGATCCAGGTATACTTTTCAACCTCTATAACGGCTTCCAAAGTTACACCATTCCAGGTCCACCTGTCTGGGACGGCGCATCGGGCCCTCCACAATCTTCCGTTGCGGCGTCGTCGGCCTCAACGAAGATCTCGTCTGCAAGCCAGGTCCCCACCTCCTCCACATCACAGCCAACGACGTTACAGACACGTCTCAGTACCAGCAGTACGGCCCACACTCTGACCTCGCATGCTACCACAACCCCTGCCCAGTCTACCACGGCCCCTGCCCAGCCCACCACTCCCCCCGCAACGGGCGTCAAGGCTGGCTACATCTACGAACAATGCGCTGGTAACAATTGGACCGGGCCGAAGGGCTGCTACGAAGGTCTAGTGTGCACAGAATTCAACCCGTGGTATTCACAATGTCTTCCAGGTCAAGGTCCGCGACCTGCTTCGATCTGGGAGCAGTGCGGAGGCCAGGATTGGCCGGGCGCAAAGACGTGTCACCCTGGCCTCGTCTGCAACGTTCTGAACCCGTGGTACTCCCAGTGTATCCGCCCTTGACAGGGTGCGGGCCGACGGTGAATACGAAAGGCATAAGTCTGTACTCCATAGACATAGATCTGCGTCGGAGAGATAGAATTCATGTACTTAATTCCACATATTATCTGTCTACGGTATTCAGCCCTCCCAGAGGAGGAATGGACGACAGGCTGCCTTCTTCCAGGTCAGATCGATCATCTTGCCCGCTTTGTTGCGCCGCACCTGCCATCCGATGCTTTTGCTTGGACCCTGATTGTCCGAGAAACTGCTCGCATTGGCCTCTCCACCACCATCACTATTCTGCAACGTACGGCTGAGCATTTCTTCGAAATAGGATTCTTCTTATCGGACATCTTGCTATCAACACCATGTCCGGCACTCTCGCCTCTTCGCACAAACGCAAAAGCCACACCGCCCTGAGTTTGCCACCTTGATTCTGTACGGAATGGACACGAAGCGAGCCTCGAAGATGTCAGCACACAATGAGAACGTCAAAGAGGAAAATCAAGCAACGACATAGAAGGTTGAGTACATTTGAACAGCTAGATTTATGTCAGGACTCCCTCATAGACCGCTCGGGTGGTCATCCTGTTGGAAGTCAACTCCCAGCTTCCTCTAATAGGTCTATATAGCTCGGGCCTTGGCCCAACGTTGGGAACCCCTTTGACGGACTTTGCCTCACCTTCGTGACACATCCTAGAGACGCGATGATACATGCGTTACGAAAACAGCATCTGATATCGTCAAGGCAGTGACTACTCGGAGATATCTCTCTACAGCCAGCTCATGTCGCACAATCTTCGTATGCTGAGACTTGTTCAGTGAAGGCTCACCGTAGAGTCTGCGGGTCAGTCATACACTGTCACTGAGACAGAACCACATGTTGTCTGAAGCCAAGGAATAACAGAATCCCGCCGCCGCACAGTCTCCGCCTGATCTCTACTGCGACTTCATTCCAATCACCAATATTTGATTAGCTCAAAGGATCCTGCTTTCCATTTCTGAAACCATGAATGCTTTACCAACGGAGATGACCAAGTTCTCTGAGTAAGCAAGGTCGCACCCCGCCCCGTGGGATCATTGCTAATTAGTCTCAGGCACAGCTCAAGCGCCATCGTCAAGGTCATCGTCGGCCAAGGCATGAACCAGCGCGTCCACAACCTCCACAAATCCCTCCTCACGGAGAAGTCAGAGTTCTTCCGCGGTTGCCTCGCCGGCCACTTCGTCGAAGCCAACACCAACCAAGTCTTGCTTCCCAACGACGATCCCCAAGCCTTCGAGTGCTTCGTCAACTGGGCGTATGGCGGCACCGTTGCAGCCGATATGACCGTCGACGAGTGCATTCAAGCCTACATTCTCGCCCACAAACTGTCGTACGACAGCACGCCACAGCTGCAGGAGCTAATCATCCAAACCCTCAACGGGGCAGCGAACAAGGAAGCCATCACACTGAAGCAAGTGCAGAAGGTGGTAAACTCTGACCTCGCCGAGTCGGATCTCATGGACGCCGTCATCGTCGGGCTTGCGAATGCCGCGGACAAGAATTGGGAAGTCATGTCGAAGGACGAGACTTGGCATGGCATCTTGTCTGCCGACGCAGGGCTGACGCTACGGGTGCTGGCTGCGCTGCGCACGAGCTGGTCTGTCAAGACGAAAGATGCGCTTGTTTCCTCTGGCAAGCGGACTGGAGGCGCGCAGGCTAAGAAGCGAACGAGGGAGCAAATGTTGGCCACGGGCTTTGGAAATCATCCACGTGTCTGACAGCTCTGGCCCAACGAGTTGCAAGAGCCGTGGGGTGGGGGTGAAAGTGCTGTTGCTAGGTGCGAACGAAGATTCACGCCGTCCTTGGGATAGATATTTAGGGTCGCCGGGCAGCCGAATGCAGAGCTTGTTGCTTATCGAAATCTAGGGGCCTGACATTAGGCGCGAAGCGGTCGGCTGAGACTTTGGCTGAGAGCACACATATATGATAACTGATCACCAGAAATTGAAGTGTCCAGAATGATATTTTTCTAAGTCAGCTCTCGTTCCAGTAAAGTGCGGTGCACCAGTGATGTGGTTGCCGTGCACCTTCTCCAATTTTGCCTCATTGCCCCTGCTGAGTTCAGCCTCGCCATTGCCAAGCACCATCTGCAAACGTGCGTATGACGGCAAAACATGATTCTGGGAGCCATTCAACAGCTTTAAAGCTCAATCATCGTGTCTTATAGAGCAATTTAAGTTGACTGTGGTCCCTACACAATAGACTAGCAGCCCAGGATGGCAGGGCCGCCCTGGTCGAAGCTCAGCCACGTGAGACAGTTGTGAATCTCAACAATCCTATCTTCCGAGAGTTCTCTGTCAACATTGCCTCACTCGACTGCCAACCACGAATTCTCCATGGGGTGGTTTTCTCTAATGATTAACAGCAAGCAGCCTGCTTCATCGAAATAAGCACGTACGCCAACTAGGTCTTTTTTTAGGGGTGTTGCAAAAAGGCACTGCCATAAAATTGGCACAAATACAAAGAAACATTATGCGAAAGATTTCGTGCTTTCTCGGGGAGCGATTATACGCGAGATAAATCAGTGAGAAGGCTATGCGGCATATAGATGTCTTCTCGCAAGATCCACTTAGGTGTTGCTTCAGCTTCAATGATTGGTGTTTTTGTCCCGAGTAGCTTCAAGCTTCTGGATACTGCAATTCAATCTACGCTAGTGGGTAGCTCTACGATCGTATAACATGACGTCGCACAAATCCGCCCGTCTCAACAAAAAGAGAGCTGCTCAGCTTCTTACACAAGTCCGGCTTCCTTTAGCAGCCAACGCTGCTCCAGCTGTGCAGGCTTCACGAGCAATTCGGCTTCCTGCAGCGGTTCGAAGACTAGGTCCACCTCGGAACGCCGGTTTCAACGACCTTCCGTGGGTGGTGAAGAAAAAGGTTTACCTCATGACGACCAACTATGAGCATGATATCTTTCCACTCCCCTGCCCAGTCCGCTGGGTCCAGTATGAGGAAGGCAACGCCCGGCAAAGAGATCGTCACTATAAGCAGAGACACCAGTCGAAGAGACTAAGTCTACTGGCGGTAAGTCGCACCACAAGAGATGAAGTTGGACGGTGTAGACGTCCGTATGGTCCCTGGCACCACCCCATCATGAGCACGGTGAAACATGGCCAGCTTACCCACGACGGACCAACGCCCGAGAACTACAACGACAACCTGGATCAAGTAATACCAAGAGACGTTCGCGATTGGATGCAACACCTTATCATCCATTCAGACCATATGAACACTCTGCGATACCAGCCGCCTGGTGCAGTTGGCCAGTATCGAATGCCCGACTTCGATCGGGTCTTCCAGTCATGCTTCACCAATCCCGTCACCATATGGTTTCCTCATTTCTTCGAGGCTTGGAAGCATCTCGAGGTTCTCCCGCAGCTCAGCGCCCACAAAGATGCAATGTTGGCACTCAAAAAGGGGCAGACGCTCGAGATCAGGAACTGGCTTCCAAATTGGGCCGGTATGCGTACAGTGCTGGCATGGCCCGGTTTCCCAACTCCTGCGCTGTGGGCCAGGGACTGGGCTGAGGTGGTGGACAGAGCGATATTAGGAGCCATGTTCAGCATGGAGCTGGAGTTTCAGGTCAGCCCGAGGAAGATGATGCATGTCAAAATCCTTCATACGTTCGAGGATGGGTCACGGGGAATTTTGATGAAGGCATTGTCTAGGCAGGCATCATATTGCGGGAAGTTTTACTACGGGCAGCGTAAATAAGTAACAACCTACATAAGCAGTTCTTGGGTCATACGGGGTGAAAGTACCCAATTTCTGGTTGCTGTAATAGCAAAGTATTCGGTTGAATCGTTTTGCATGACCTCCAAGTTGGGTTGAAAGCTTTCATTGTACATCGGTTGTTTCTTAGTATGTAGTATACGCTAAGGGAACAATGCACAGGCTTCATACCTGCCCGACCGGCATTGACAGACAAAGGCGAGGGTAGACAATAGAGCTACCAATTTTGGAAGCTTTGGAAAGATTGGCATGGTTACAGCGAAGTCCCCAGGATGCCAAAAAGGTTCAGATGCTAGCACTGGATACTTTGCCGAGTAAAACACGCGACCAATGGTGTGAGGTATACTGATCGATATCGATTGCAGCCTCAATGAACAACATTTCGAACTTACCCCAGGCCGTCCTCGATCCTGGGCTAAATGCTCGTCCTACTTTCAACAGCCTGCCAGACGAGATACTTGATAATGTCCTTGGATTTGCCGTGGTCGACGACTCTCTGGAACCCCATCCAATTCCGGACCCGCTCAAGGATCCTCGCCGCCGCGCCGGCTATTTGCATCCGAACAACTTGAATCTCGCATTGATAAACTGGCGAATAAGGCGTGCACTCTTAAGTATAGCTGCTGCAAACAGGCTGAACCAAGGTATAGTAGGCGGAAAGCTTATGCGCAAGGGAGTGGCCCCAGCTAGATATCTACGAAGAATTGTGAGGATCTTGCCAGCTGCGCTGCGGCAGAACCTGACCTATCTGTGTATGCATGTCGATCACATGAAGGCACTGCGTAGAGACCCGGATTCAGCACGAGACATCACCACACAGTTTCCCCGGGTCTGCAATTTTCGATTTCCATCGTCAGCGGCTGTAGTGATCTGGTTTCCGAGCTTCCGGGTTGCATGGGATGGGTATCTGCAGTACTTGCCACACCCTACCAAGGACGAGATACTGTGCAAAAAGCTCAATGACCCCGATGCGACACTCTCCCATTTCCCGCGGGCTCATATGCCACCTATTCCAGACCCAATCTGGAGGGCCGTCTGTAGAAGGGTCATGGTCCTGCGAGACTTCAAGGTGAAGCTGGAATTCCAAACTGGGGAGCGCAAGATGGCCCAGGTGAGCCTCTGGGTCCTCGCTTCCAGCCCCCAGACGGTTCGCAGCAGTCTTTTGGTTGTTCCAAGATCCAAGTCTATCTGTGGTAGGTGGTACTACAACAAGCGCAAGTGAAACGTCAAGACGTAAAGGCGGAGGGTACCGATCGCTGGAACGGGATTGGCAGCTGGGCGCTCAGCATCGATATTGAAGTAGACCGAGGTGGGGTTTGGTACCAGGGCAGCTCACCGTCACCTCTGCCTAGTTGAAGGTTATTGTTTTCCTGAGTAACAGTGAGTAGTCCCCTGGTGTATTTGACTTGGTTCCAGTACGGTAAGTACAAACGCAGTCTATAGATAAACCGTGTTTCTCCTCAGTATTCTCTGCTTTGTACTTCTCTCGAGCAATTGACGCATATCACACTACTGCTAACCTCCCACAAGTAGCCACTACACAAAATGGTGTCTGAGGGGATCGACAGCAATCCTCTACTGGTTGGCATGTAAGTCCTTACTACTACTGATACTCTTGCAACTCAAAGTAGTTGTTCCGTCGCTAACTTTAGCACCAGGAGCACACAAGAGCCTCCAGTCAAGGTCAGCGTCTACCCAGACCTCAACGACTTGACCAAATGCTCGTCATTCTACTTGCCGCCTTCGCTCCTCAAAGAGAAGTCGGAATATTTTCGGGGCGCTCTCAGTGGCAAATTGATGGAGTCGGAGGTTAGCGAGGTCAAACTTGTGGACGTACATCCCAAGGCGGTCAAGATGTTTGTTGAATGGTTGTACCTCCGCAAGCTGCACATCCAGGACGCCGATACACAGCCTGTCTTTGTCGACGGGGACTTCATGCGTGCCTATCAATTGGCCGATCGGCTACTGTGTCCCGAGGCTTGTAAGAACGAGATCATGAATTCCCTCCAGGAGCTTCATCTGCGTCGTGGCTTCCATCCGATCGACCTTGGCCAGGCGTACACAAACTCTCTGCCGGATAGCCTCCCCTGGCGATATCTTATTCATCACGTGGCCTCCGACTTGACCGATGTAGATCTGTACAAGCACTTCACCACCTATCAGGCGTGGAACCATCTTCCCTGCGGCGTTGTCAGACCATTGTTCACCGAGTTCCATAAACTGTGCGTGGGGTCGCTGAAAGAGGAGACTGCTAAAGACCCCGCTAGGCAGACCGGCTGTCGATGGCAAGTACACACCAACAAAAAGGAGTCGAAGTGTCGGAACCCATGTTCTTAGTGAGCACCATTTCTATGCGAGGAGAAGCTTCCTTAAAGCTTCCTTGGCTGGAGTAAGAGGCTGGAGGGCGGTTGTAGTGGTCTTATTTCGCATCTTCATCCAAAGCGACCATGAAGCGCAGTTGAGTGGTTTAGTCTTGACACCCACAATTCAGAACAAACAATAATATGGTTTACTATTCATAGCCCTTCGACAACCTTCATTATCAGAGTCAGTCCGTAGGTTAAGATGCCAAATACGTTGAGAGTAACAATAGTGCCAATCATGACGAGCCGAAGCTGCCTTCCTCCCGCCAACCGCCCAGAAGCAGGCCGGCCTCATCAAGGATGCCGCGTCAAGTCAGAATTTGTTATGAGCTTGGGCTGTCTAGCCTCCAGCTTCATCCGATCACCCACCGGGTCCAAAGTATCAGCACTCCAGTTATTAGAACAACAACACGCGATGCACTCGTCACAGTCGTCCGCCTTCTCCTTGTCCTTCAGCGCCTGCTCCGGGTCCGTGCCCGACATATCGCAAGTTATGTCCACAGCCCAGATTTTCCTCGCGCCCTCACTGGAGCTTCGCGATGACATGCTGCTGGGGCTGATATCCGACACTAATTTGATGTCGATGCGCAGGTTCAGAGCGTTGAGGGTGCCGGACATGCCTTTCTTCTTGTCTACCTGAAGGATCGAAATTCCTCTCGACCACCCATATGACTTGCTGGGGACACCTGCTGTGCATGATAGCCACTGGTTATCGAAGATCTCCTGATGTGGCTTGGAAGTCGGCCCCCACGCGCAAGCTTGATCAAACAGATCCTCATCACGTCTGAATTGTGTCGGCGCGGACTTCTTGGGCCCGTGGTTGTTTGCCAGGAGCAGCATTGGGTTGAAATCTTCGTCGAATCCCAGCTTGAGCCAGCGGACCCGAGACCAGCCCTTGGCTTTTTCACTCTGGAGTTGTCCTTCTGTCTTGACCTTCGGCTCGATGTAGACAACTCCAGCACTGCCCCAGTCCTTCGGTCCGATATGGACTCGATCTGCCTCGGATTGATTGCCGCCTTTCGAGAGGATTCGTACCTGGCAATCATCATGACCAGGAGGGGCGATGTTCCGGAGCCAGAACCCATAGTAGCGATCGAGAGGCTGCTCGGTGGTGGGATCGATGGGCACGCGAATCGGCCGTATATGAAGACTATCCTGGTCTGAATTACCAAGGAGCAGTGTGCCACCAGCATACGACCCATTGATTCGGATGTACTCATCCTCGGTTTCAGTCGAAGTTCGCGAAACGACAATCGCTACCTTGGAGTCGGGACAAGGTTTGCGCGTGCAGTTGAGGAGAGCATAGTAAGTCTCCATGCTGTGAGGAAAGGTCTTGAGACTGATCGAGACTTCGCCGTTGTTCTCCGAGAAGCCCTTTGAACCACGCGTGCTGATTGTGTCGCCGCAACCGGCGAAAGATTCGGGCGAGGGGGCGTACAGCCCGGCAGTGCGTTGCTCATTGCTCATTGACCACGCAAAGATCGACTCGTCCTTGCCTTGAAGGACGATAGCTTGCTGTAGACGGCGGAATGCCTTCTCGCGTTCTCCGTAGATCTGTCCCATGTTGACGCCGAAGATCCCCAAAAGCGAATAGGCTCTGTCCTCGATCCTGGTCGTCGTCCTCTTCGCAGCCCATGACATCCGCTGAGCAACAGAACAGCTGGCAGGACTGACGGTATTGCTCAGAACATCTTCGGGAACACCGGTCTTTGTCGATAATTCGTGGAGAAGATCGGTCTTCATTCCCAGATGTGCCCAACGACAATCGTAGAAGCCGGCTCGCTCAGGTCCGATGAGCTCCTGCAAAGTCCAGCCCCGGTCGAACCAAGCGGAATCCATCATGGACTTTCTGTCAGGACCCACATCCTCCAGATAGACAATGCACAGATCACTGGCCTGATACCAACGATACATGCTGTTGATCGCCTCGCTCAATTCGTTCAAATCCCGCTTGTTGATACAGCAGGTGTCGTCCCAACCATAGCGATAGCCAAGGGACGCAGCCAAATCGCAGAAGCCTCTGAGTTTCGCATAGCCTGGCTTGTCGTAGAAGTTGCGTGCCTCGGCTATATCTGCGTACGATACTTCGTCCGTGGCGGCGGCCCATCTGTGTGAGAGGATTGCATATTTGTTTCCCTGGAACTCTTTGCCAAGTTCCGAGTCGGCTACTTCCTCAAATTGTAGTGTGGTGGTATTGATGAATCGCATGACTGGTTCATCATGGTGTATAAGCGAAGGACTGATTCTGAACGGAACGTGGGAGCACGGGACAGCGTGGACTGGCTCGCAATATATAGGTCTCAGAGCTCCTGAAACTGAAACACGACATGACGACTGAAAAGGCTTAGATTCAGCCACCTCGCCGCGGGGACGGGATATTGGGGGGCCTTTTCTTGGCATCAGGCAGATTGCTCCAAATCCTACCTAACAACATCCTGTGTGCCGTCTTTAAAGCAAGTTCCAAGCTGTGCGGAGGAGGGGTATGACGGAAGGCCCGAAGGTTGCGATTGTCCAGGCTGACGATTGCATAAATGACCAAAAATATGCGTGAAATGATTGAAAGCGCTTCGACTTAGGTCCAGCCGTTTGAGACGGTGGCCAGGGGTTCCGTCCCGCAAGAACGGCCTTCATAGGTCCCAGCCGCCATTGTCAGCTCGTGGTTCGAGACATGCAAGTGCGCCAACTGTGCAGCTAGGCTGCGATCAACGCCAAGAAACAAAGCAGGCAATCTGCCTTATGGCTGATGTGGTTGCCTCGTTCGTGCTCCGCTGACGGCCCCGCCCCGCCTGGTACACATCCTTGGCATAAGGCTAAGTCCCTGTTATTCGCCTGCTAGGATACGTTGCCCTTGACACTCTGCGCCGCATGATGATGATGAATTTGCAGCCAAATCCCGACTCATTCTACCAATTCGGCTTGCCGGTCTTCGACAAGTGTGCGTCAGCCAACGACTGTAAGACTTCAGTCGCAGCCATGCTCATCGATCGGTAAGCTGTACTGATACTTTCGTTGGCTCTTTTCTGACCTTTCCGTAGCGCGTTCACCGAAGTTCTGGTCAAGCTTGTCGTCGGTGCCGATGACCACCAAACCTCCTTCTACGTCCACCCATCGCTGCTCAAAGCAAAATCCTGTTACTTCCAAGCATGTCTTAGCGGTAACTTCTCCGAACAGAAGAAGGGCGAAGTCAAGCTCGATGATCTGGACCCACGCATCTTTCGCCTCTTCGTTGACTGGCTATACGCCGGTGCGGCCGGTGAACAGGCAGCAGTGCAGGGCATGTTCAACGGCATCACCGAAGCCCGAGATCTGGTTCTGCTCTGGTACCTCGGCGATCGTCTGCTGTGTGAGAATCTGCAGAACAACAGCATCGATGCTCTCAGGATCCTGCACGAAACTCAGACTGCTAATCTCGAGCTCCTGCTGTTCATCTACGAAACTTCTGCTGCTAGCCAAGTGCTTCTCGAATACTACATCCGACAAGTTGTGGCAGACTTGTACGAAGATGTACTTCCTGGACTCTTCAGCATCACGCAAGACAAGAACTGGTCCAATTTACCCGGAGATCTGATGAGGATGCTACTGGTGGACTATCACACACTTGTAACGTTGGTCGATGAGGACGATCAGTTGCCGCAACACTTGATGGGTTGCAATTGGCACATACACAGCGACCCCCCTGATCAAGCCTGTGACTCGCAATTCTGAGGGCGAGCAGTATCAACTTTGCCCCTCGCCGACAGCTCGACTGTAGCTACATTTGGCGAAAGCGTGGACGAAGGACGACCAACTTCTGTGTGTGAAAGACGTTGGAAAGAGAAAAGCGTATGCAGGAGAGCGATGTACAGGACCAATCCGATAGCGGGCCGGAGAGAATATGTCGGCTGTCATACACATTGACCTACTCACGTCGCCTTGCTGGAAGGCAAGAGTAACAATGCTCCAGTTACTGGGCCTCTGTGCGAGGTAGGTTGATGAGACGTCGACAACAATTAAGGGATGTTTCGACCACGTTAAGGAAGTTGAAATCCCTGAAGACTGGAGTGTTTGGTGCTTATCACGTTAGAGTAGCGGTAGTACTAGCACTCCGAACGAGAAACTTCCCGATCTGCTACGAGAACGCAAACCCTTTGTATAGCACCAACCCTAAAGTGCCCGAATTGCTCATCCATGCTATCATCTGCCTTGACTGCCTGCAAAGAGCAGTCGCCGTCTCCACGTGTTCATCACGGCTGGATGATGCATCACCGCCTTCCAAATATCTCAGTTGCTCCAAGCATTTGCAACTCTGGCAGCGATTCCGTGCAGCCTCCGCCGACCTTTCGCTCCTCGAGCCAAATAGAGTGCTCCTCCTTCGGCCATCGATCCCCGTGCTCACCACAATTCGTATTCCCTTCGCTTCAACGCCCAATCCTCACTTGACTCGCGAATCGCGAGCACGGAATACAACACCGCCGCGAAGATGTCGCTTCTCAGGTGAGTATAGCCATCAAGCGTGTGCCATGCCCGCCATTGCTAAAACTGCTCTCAGCCACTTGTCTGGGCCAATCGTCAGTGTCACCGTTGGCTCTGGAGCCGAAGCTAAAACCCGGGCCCTTCACAAAGATCTCCTCAAGGCCAAGTCGCGGTACTTTGAAGGCTGTCTTAGCGGCAAATTCTCCGAGTCAGTCAACAATCAAGTCACCCTACCTGATATGAACCCGGAGGCGTTCGGTGCATTCGTCGTGTGGGCATACACCGGCAAGATCGAATCCGATGACAAAGACTGCAAGATAGACCGCGCTTCAAAGCTCGTACGTCTCTGGATCTTGTCAGATCGCCTGATGTGCGAAAGCTTGCAGAATTTGTGCATGGACCAGCTAAGATCCTTGTTGTTCGGGAGTCATCCCCAGACAGCTGACCTGGTGTTGATCGTCGACACTCTCAACCTCGATTCGGTGCTTGCGGACTATTACATCAAGCAAATGGCCTTCGACATGGCTTGGGGCTGGTGGGACGATATCGTGATCCAACATAGCTGGCATACCTAGATGCAAACACTATGAGGAAGCTAATGCTTCAATACAAACAAGCCAGAGACCGCGTAAACTTCCCCAAGGAGACGAGTCCAGCTGTGAAGAGGGGTTGCGTTTGGCACGTTCACTACCTGACGCCAGAGTGCGCGTGACGGCAGGCACGGCAAAAATAGAGAGGGTACCGCAGAGCAGGCTACGTCTTGCAGAGACGATACTTGATGGCCTGGGTAATAGCCGCAGCGGCCAGTGTACATAGCCGACCAAACCACTCTCAAGATCCTTCGAGACCACAATGGCAATCCGCTCCACCTTCGGCTCAGGCCTTTCCATTTCCCAACTCCCGTAGACTGGGATTCTCGACTTAGCTCTGCAGTAATGCCCGGCAACAAGAACGTTTTTCCTGGAAGCTGGTGGGAAGATGATGTTGGACCGGCACAGCTTGTCGAACACAAAGATATAGTCCTGCGATGCAATCCCGCGCACTGGATATGACGTTGGTAGTGCAACACTAGGCGAAAAGACGGTGTAGAACGATATATTTCTGACCGTAAGTACTGCGGAATGCTCAGTTTTCTTTTGATCGAACCAGCCCCGCGTATCTAGATCTATGTTGTGATAGCTGGTGCAAAAGGCGGCATGCGTGCTGGCGCTGGCCAGCCTGGAAGACGTGAGGTTTCCCATCTTCGCCAAGACGGCTTTCTAGAGCATCATCCGTTCCCATAGTCATGATAAATGCAGGTCAGCCCTTCTTCCTCCCCTTGGCCTTCTTCCCTCCATCTCCGGACCCACCACCACTAGCACCACCACCACCAGCACCACCACCACCAGCACCACCTCCGCCCATCAGACCTCCTAATCCACCCATGCCGCCCATATTCCCCATCATGCTCTGCAACGCACTCATGTCCGGCATCCCTCCGCCACCCCCCGCCCCACCAGCACCCTGCATAGCCTTCATCTCCTCCATTGCCTCCTTGAAGAAATTCTCACTCACGCCGCCACCACTCACCGCCGCACTATGCACCGGTAGAACCGACCCCATCCGCCACCCCCGCGGCGCCACAATCTTTCCTTCCTCGCTCAAAAAGTTCTCCGGCACTGGCAAGCCCGGGATCTTGAGCTCCAGCGGATCCTCGCGCTTGGTGGGGTGGTCTTTCAAATACTGGCCGATGAGCGTGTAGAGGCGGGCCTTGTTGGGGATGGCCGGGTGCAGCGGCTTGTGGCCGTCTTCGGCGCTGCTAAAGAGGCGCACGCGCACGCGGCCGGGGTTCGCCCAGTCCTTGGGGTGTGTCTTGTCGGGCTCCAGCGTCAGTTGTAGGGGCGTGTGGGGTGGGGTGGTGGAGAGGATGTGGCGCAGTGCGAGCAGGAGGTTGTAGGCTAGGGGGTTGGGGATGGCGAGGGAGCGCGTTACGCGTCGGCCGCCGGAGCGGGTGCGAGTGCTGTCGAAGTAGAGCGGGTAGAGCGTGCAGTGAGATTTTACGGCGGCGCGGGTTTGGGGCCCGGTTTGGGGGTCGTTGTGGTAGCTCATTGGTGGGGGTTGGGAGAGGAGGGTCGGATTGGGGTTTGATTGCTGCTGCCGCTGTGATGGCGCGGGTGTGTCCATCTCCATGGGCTGTAGGGCATGCTGGGAGGAAGAGGGGAGGAAGCTGGAGGGATCGTCGATTTCGGGGTCGGAGTCCGAGACTTCTTCTATTCGAGCGTGGGACATGGTAGCGGCAGTATACGGGAGGGGCTATTAAGAGCACAGGTGTTTGCGCTGCGCTTGATGGTGCGATAGTTGCGATGTGTACACAAGATGGAATAATTTGGTCAAGTTGACATCGCAGGCTCTAGTGGGGGCTATGGGGTAGCGCCAAGTCTAGACTTTAGGCGCAAGGCTGAATCTTCCAGGGAGTTCGGGTAGTACATATGTAGTAGTGATCTATTGCAAGGAAGCGTTGAAGAAATTGAATCATGTTGAGAGTGTGTATGGAAACTATGAGCATTCTGTTCCTGCTACAAACTCATGCATGAGTCAAAAACGCCCTAAACGCATTTTCCTTCCTTCGGCTTCATCCCCTTTTTCCCTCAGCACTGAGCAGCTCGTGACCACCAGGATTCGGCCTCTGGGTCTCAATCAGCAGCTTCTGGCTACGATACCGGCTGACCCTCAGCAGTTTGTCCGTTCGTCTGCTGCTTCGACGCTTCGACCAGCGCCTCCAACATCTTCCTCATGGCTTGAGCCCAGAGTCCAGTAGGACTGATTGAGTCTTGTACCATGAATCGCTGGCTCTCGTCAGGCGGCTCAACGTGTTTCCGATAGTACAACTTATCCAGCGCGACCTCTACACTCTGTCCGACTTTCACCACGCCATCCTTCCCGTCGCTCTTGCCGTCCTGCTGCACTTTTCCATGGTCATCGACCAGCTCCTCGTAGGCCCGATTGAGGGTCGAGAATGGAGTGATGTACTCCTTCGGCCAATTCAGGCCTCCTGGCAGGATGCCTGTGTCGATGACGGCTGGCATGATGCAGTTGACTGCCACATTGTCAATTTGATAGGCGTCCGCGGCGACAGCACGGGTGAATCCCAGCACAGCATGCTTAGCTGCAGCATATTGCGGTGCGATCGGGAAGGCGTATTGGGCGACACAGCTGGCCGTGAAAACGAGCTTGGGGTTGAAAGTAGCTTTTGCGTTCAGTCCTAATCGTTGGCTGGTCTTCCGAGCGTAATGAATGAACAGCTTCAGGGCATAGAAGTTTGCAGTCTCACACACGTCGACGCAGGATAGGTCGGGCTTGGTGGGCTCAGCGTCAAGATTCCACGGAAGGAAGAAGCTGTCGCGGTCGCCGATTCCCGCATTCGCGGCGTAGAAGTCGATCTGCTCGTTGGACCAGGCGTAGGCCTGCTTAAGCAGCGCGGCATGGCTTTCCCAGGACGCGACGTTCGTTTCGATGAAAATGGTCCTGTTAGGATCAAGAGGCGGATTCAAGGCGGCCCAGGCTGTAGGATTGATGTCGGCGACGACCACACGCCAGTCTGGGAATGAGAGTAGGTGACGGGCAAGGTGAAGGCCGATGCCTGAGCAACCACCGGAGATGATGGCACACTTCATTCTGCGCTCATGGGTTTGGATCTGGGGAAGTGGGTGATACACGGGAGCTGACAAAGTGCAACTATGCAGCAATAAAAGGTCACGTACAGGTTTTGATCACGACGATTCCGTCCAGAAGTCAGCTATCTATGACTCGAGACAGCCGAGGCATGCTGTATGCTGGCATCAAAGGAGGGTTGCACGAGACGCGGGGGCTATGAACCTTAGATCGACTTTCCCCACACGATGAATCGACGTGTCCGGGGTATCAGCGAACGCGGAGAGGTATTCGTCTTCACTCAAGCTCGCTTCAAGTCCTCAATTCGCTCTGGTACATGTCTGCTCATTTCCGTTGGTGTATGAGCATGAGAGACCCCGTAATGTACACGCTCTGCGGCCGGGATGATGGCGCATCATGCTGACTCAGGCTTTCGCGACGGACCACAACGGCGCGACCGTTTCAACTGCTCGCTCGACCACCGCCTGCACGCGATCCTTAAGTGTCTTTTGCGCGCATTCAACCTCCAAATTCTCGAGCCATAGCCGTGCCACATATTTGTCAATTTTGATTTCCAACCCTGGCACAGGTATGCCTAGAGCAGCCAATCTCGCTCGTTCAGTGAGCGCCAGAGCTTTCTCGTTCTCATCTTCATCACTTTCCGCCTTTTCGACGCCAGCGGACGGGGCTGGAACGCGTGAATCTTCTATCGGTGTGACGTTTTCGCCAAACTGCTCCTCGAGAAACATGCAGAGTCGATTGAACCGTTCCTCGGGAGAGAGATTTGCGTGTAAGTTGTGAGACTTGACGTCGCCATTGACTTGTCCATGATCATGATTGTGAGTCTGGCTTGAGTGCTTCACCGATGCCGGGCTGCTTTCGACCGTCATCAGAACGGCCATGATGGCATCGGCAATTCCGTCGTTGCCGGTATTGCCCTCCCACTCAAGCTCGACCTGCTTTTCACGGCCCGACCACTTTAGCGTGATGCACCCCATAACAAGGAATATGCGCGATTGGTCGGAGAGAATCTCTTCCTCGGCTTCTTCCTTGATCATATCTCCTTCTTCCTTGACGCCGCCGTTGATCATAGATGTATCAAGATCTTGTTTGGCTGCTCCTACCTCCTCGATGCTGCCGAATGTTCCCTCGAGGGCCCACTTGATGAGGTCGATGCTGGCAGCCGCAAGCGTGATATGTTGCCGACATAGGATGGTTGTGGTTGTCAGGCCAGCATACTCGCGTAGGTCTTCGGGCGCCATGAGACTGAGCTTGAAACCGCTTTGCACCAGGACGCCATTGACAACTCGAGTGTCCTCAGCATCAATGCTCTTGGGCGGTGGTAATTGGGCAAGTTTACCAACAACTTTGGCCACCTTGTCCTTTCGGAATGGTATCTTGACCTCGGTGCCGTTTTCGGGGCTGTAGACCTTGGCCTGTTGAGCCAAAGGATCAGCTCTCTTCGAATTGAGATCCAAGAGTCTCGACCTCAATCTCGCAGCCTGCGACCGCTCGCCATGCACCAAGATAACATGAGGTGCTCGGACCTGTTCGATGAACTCGACATTTTCCACTCCTGTTACGTGGGCGGCGAATTGGAACTCCTCCACACTGCATCGCCTCGGAATCATCACGACGTTATCATCGTCGCGTGTCTTACGGCCCATCGCTTGACCGGCACCCGCGTTACTTCCACTCATGATGGCCGGGATCTGGTCGGGTTCGGTGAGGATAGTCCTAGCCATGGTACCCTCGACATTGTATCCCGTCATGACAACGCCATTTCGCTGATCTGGTGCCCATCGCTCGAGCAAGATTCTCGACATACCAGACTGAAGCATACCCGGAGAAGCAAGCATGACACAGCCGCCAACATCGTCAAATCGGTCCAGATTGCGAAGACTGCGCACGAACCTGAAATCCCACGGCCCGGCGCTGACTCCTTTGGCATTGCCGCTAGCTTCTGCTTCCGCCATGCGCTCCCGGAATATGCGCTTGATGTTGTCATTCATGGCGTTGATATACGTCTGGTACACAACCATACACTTCCGAGCCGTGTTTCCAGTGTAATAGATGGGAAATTTCTGCAGTTCTGGATGGCGTTGCCAGTAGTCTTCTAGGATCAGAAGCAGTTCTTGTGCTCGACCTAGCGCGAAGACTGGCATCAGAACCTTCCCGCCTCGGTTTATTACGTTCGTTACGGCCTTGAGCAGGCCGGCTTCTCTTTCCGCACGCGGAGGAGCATTGGAGATGCCGAAGGTTGACTCGGTTATCAACACGTCGATGCCTCCGGTCCTGGAGAGGTCCGGCACCTGCGCTGCAACCAAATGCCGGTCTTGTTCTCGCGAATAGTCTCCGGTAAAGAAAATGTTTAAACCCGCGATGTTGATGAGAAACATTGCAGCGCCCAATACATGACCGGCTGGATAGGGTGTAATCTGGACTCCCGCAACTGTATGTGTGGTGTAAAAGTCTATCGTCTCGATCTTGGGAAGGGTGGCAATATGATCGGCTTCGGTGTAAAGTGATGTTCGTGAGTCCGACGTAGATGTTGTGTTGCTGACTCTGACAGAGTCCTGAATCAGCCATTTGTATATGGCTTTGGTAGGATGTGTCATGAAGACGCGGCCCTGGAACTCGGTCTTCGCGAGGACGTAAGGCAAAGCGGCTGCATGATCTAAGTGGAAACTGCAGGGAACGAATGTGGTTAGTGTCGGCACTTGAATACTCAAAGATGGGCTGAGCGACTGGTAGGACTTGGGAGAAGAAGCCAACAAGGTCAGACAAAGTGGTTGCGAACATCATATTGATTGTGCTACGAATAAAGCTGACATGATGTCCACCACTTCGCATTTCTTGATCCCATGGCATACACCCCTTCGTACTTGGATGATACGGCCGGATCTGGTATTTGCTGGACTGGACGAGGAAGGGAAGAGATAAGGAATAAGGATAGGGTCGTACATACTGGCTTATCAGGAGGATATCGACCTTAGCAAGGGGGTAGGCGTCAAAATATGGCATAGCAGCCTGGCCTTCCCGGCCTGTATGCAGACCAGCATCTAGCTGAGGAGGATCAGTATAATTCGGCTAGATTTGTGAGTGTGTGCGTACCATGATAACCTTGCCTTTGTATCTTATGATATGGCACGACCTGCCGACTTCCTGGCAACCACCCATGCCTACGAAGAAGAACTCATCATCTGGGCTAACGGGATCCTCGTCTACATCAGCAGAAGCTGACATATCAGCCGCTTTCCTCTTGGTTGCCATCACGACAAAGGTGCGTCGGTCGCGGTGATCATCGATCAAAGGCAGTTTGCGAGGGTGGCGGGTGAATGCACATGCTCTGCTCACAGAGGTGCAACTCGCACGTTAGCTCACTGACAATACAAGTTTGTGCGGAGACTTGACGACGGCAATGTAGTTGAGTGATCTTGAGAGTTGGTGCGACAATAGTCTCGCGGTGTAAGGAGTACGTTGATTGCGAGGTGAATTTGGGGTGAAGCTGGGTCGCAGGCGGACGTCACGTGAATAGGGCTTGGCGGAACTGGTTCGATGTCATGCAAGCCCGCGGCAGTGTTAAAGTCCATCCAGACATCTTTCTTTCACCTGCGCATTCATACAAAACACGCATAAATCACAGCATTCTCCCAGCCACAAGCTATCGACTAGTAGATGGATTTCTAGAGAAACGGTGATGGTAGTACGGACCGAATCGAAGGAGGAGCGTCGCCCAACGCCCGCCTCTACAACACCCTTCAAAGCGATACTACAAGCGACCGGTCGCCGGTAGTCGCAATGAACAATTCAACACCGATGGCATCCTCACACGCCCCTCCACAGCGACCTCCGTATCCTCCCGCAAACGTATCTTACCGAAGCGATTACGGACAGCCAAACGGTCGGCCGAGCCCCGTCAACCCGCAATCGCCGCAAGCAATGAACTTCTCATCGCCTTCGCCTCAGCAACCATTCAGCCCGCAATATGGTCAGCCAGCTGCCAAACGTCCACGACTCTCACCCGATGCGCCGTCGCCGTTCTCTGGCTCGCCGTACCCTCAGACGCCATCTGGCCAAGCTCGATCTCCGGTAGGTGGCATGTCGGTAAACGGCGCGATTTCACAACCGTCGCGGCCCGGCTCGATGGCGCCACCACAGCGACCCCCTGAACGAGATCAAAATGAAGCTCAGAATGGACAAAGAGACTGGCCCGGGATGAACGCGAATCAAAAAGACGATGAGCGCAATTTCTCCGGCCTTGCCCTCGGCTCCTCAGCATCACCGAATGGTGTCTATGCGAACAACAACGTCAATTACAATCCGGTCAACAATGCATTTGGCCGGCCAGGATCTAGAGATGGCGCTCCCGCGGCTGCAGAATCAAGCCAAATACCATCAAAGGAGGCTACGGCGGAGGAGAAACAGCAACGACTTGAGGAGCGTGCCGATTGGGAGGCAGCCAGGCACTCGCAGAACCCTCTGTGGGACATGTTTCTGTATGGTGGTATTTTGAATGATCGCATCCGGCAGATCAGTCTTCGAGAACACCTAACGGATCCTCAACATGGCGTTTTGGTGAACACTCAGAAGACCGGACCGCCACCCGTGGCCCGAGTCAATGGTCAGGAAGGCGCCAGCCGAGTTATTGACAAAGGCCAGGCCATTCTCGACATGCACAAGGGTGATCGACTGGGCGAGATCATGAAGCTAGTCACACTTGCAACTAAATCCCGCTTAACAGGCCTGTTGAGTGCTTCTGCTCGACTTGCAATGGAGCGACGCGAGCATTCCAAAGGCAGAGTGCCAATCGAGTGGCAAGATGTTGCAGTTGCGGCAATCACTTCAGCGGAGCGTGGGACTACGATAGGTGCTGGGGACGCGGAAAATGCCACCGCAAACCCCCTCAAGCGTAAGCTGCCAAATAACTCACATCGTCCAGACAGTTCTACTGACACGGAGAAAGGCACCCACGACCAGGCCAATAGTGCAAACGGAAGCCAGCGAGCAGCATCTAGCGGACCCGAAAACAAGGCAATATCAGTGTTGTCCAACATGATGCAAGACGAGAAAGGTGCTGAAGAGGCACGCCGAATCAAGCGAACTAAGAGGAAAGCCGTTGCAGATGCTGCTAACCAGGCAGCGCAGACTGCAGCCGAAGAAGAGGCCGTGGCAGCCGTGAACAACGAGCCAGCAAAGAAGACCAAAAAGGCTGAGAAGCAGGAAAACGCGCGAGCTGTGGAAGCTCAACAGCATCAGCAAGCAAATGCCGCGGCCCAACTGGCAATGTCGAGTATGCTTGGTGGACGAAAGGGCAAATCGTACAGCTGGATGAAATCTGGCGGAAGTGGTGCGTCAACACCATCACGGTTAGGTCTAGCTTCTGCCGCAGGCACTCCTAAGTCTGTTGAGCGGACGAAGCCGGTGGTGAATGAGAGAGGCTTCGGTGCTTGGGACGAGGACAAACATCCCGGTATTCAAGCCCGCGATGTGCTACACGTGCTTGAGACCGACAACAAAGCGCCTCGGGCATACACCAAGGGATGTGTGATGCTCGATGGCTAATTCATTTTTGCAATGTGTTGATAGTTTCAGGATTGACGGCAATGGTGACATCTGCTGCGGTGGGCTTGGACCTTTGTATTCAAGAAAGGGTTCATGCGCATGGGTGGTTAAAAGGGATCATTCTCATCAGGCTTCGAGCAGCATTGACAGCGATACGGCGTTTAGCTGTACACCATGTAAATGCATCAGATTTTTCAACCACAGTGGAGAGTTTGGTTGCATTCCTGAGTCGTGTAGATTTCTTCTAGTCTGCCTACCGTGCTAGTCTCGCGTGCGTGCATGAATGCTGGCTTCCGCGTGCAGTGAAGGCGTACGACTGGGGATGAGGTCATTTAAGATCGGCGTCTGATGCGGCGAGGTGCATCGACTCGCAGGGACATTTAGCCGCCGCTGCAGCGTTGTACGCAGTAGATGGCGAAAGGCGGCAGTGGCAATATTTACGAGGGCAATGGCAGTGGGGAGCCCCCAGAGTTAGCGGCTTGATAGGCCGAAGTCAGGGCATTCTGGGGCTCTAAAAAAGGCTTCTCCGGCGTTGGCAGCGGCGCAGTGGGTGGGAGCCCGAGGGTCGGAGGTGACCTAAGGTGTCTGGGGCGAGAACCTTTGGGCGCTCCGACGAGACCCGGTCGACTCAGCTGCACAGCTCGAACAGAAGCAAATGTGAAGATCGTAGGCAAAGAGTGTGTCAAGTAGTCGAGGCAGGTGTCAATTTCATCAGCAGTCTCGGGCTCTCTGTCACGACCCTTGACCCGGACAGTTGCCGTAGCGAAGCAGGACGCGAATGAGGAGATCGCAGGATGTCGTAGTCTGGAAGTGGACCTGGCTGTTTCACGGCGCCCAATTGCCTCGAGGCTTGGAGGGCAAAGACTCGGGCGACCTCATCTGCGTCTCGACAACCACCTCTCCGTCGACATCATCGCCCTTTTACACGCCCACAAACGCTTGCCATTGTCCTTAGGATTCGATTCTACACTGAATCCACCCTTCTCCGCGGTCGACAGATACAGGGACATGTCGACAACCCTGGCTCGATGAGGCAGTGCCCTCAACCAGCCCAGAACTCCACATTTTTCACCAGCGTGGACTGCGTCTCTGATCACCCTCCATTAACGGACTATCTTGTCCAGCACGGACTGGTAAAATTAACGACAGTGTATCACGATTGAAACAGAAACTTATGTACCGAGTACCTCTTTCAGCCTGCAGTTTGTCGCCAACTTCGTCACTACCAGACTGCTGACGACCACAACACCGGCTGCAGAACCTTGGAACCTTATCGCAGCCTTCCACACAACCACAATATGTCGACCCCGTCAATAGCCACCCAGACCTTACCCGCACATCATTCACAATACTCGTACACCCATCAAAATCCCTACTCTGCCTCGACTCACTCATACCCCACTCACAACACTCTGCCTGCGCCCCCAAGGTTGGCACCCAACTACACAGCTTACCCGACACTGAGCCACTACTCGCGTCCACCCGTTTCCCCAGTCTCATACAAACAGCCATCGCACGCTTCGTCAATTGCACCATCCCAGTCCGCTTCAGACATGACTTCCTCACGACGAAAACAACCCGACTGGAACGAGTTCTACAAAAATGGTGTTCCTAAAGAGATCATAGTCATCGACGACGATGATTCTACCGAAGATCAGCAGCCTGTCAGAACAGAGACTGGGCCGAGACAAGACCAGGGCTCATTCTCCTCTTATAACGGACGCAAAAGGAAGGTAGATCAGGGTTACGAGGTCGAGTACAACGACAGTCCCACCTACTCTACGCATCCAGCAAAGTTTGGTGGCTCCTCATCTTCGGCTTCATATCATTCTGGAGATCGAACTGCGTCCCTACAAACGATCACAGCGCCTACATCGCTCGAGTCCTACGGTAGCAACGCCGCCAGCAATTCGTATGAAGATGTTAGAGTCGGGCAAAAGCGCAAGCGTGTACAACCTGAACGAACTCAGTCGAGAAAGAAGAAGCAGGAGTCGGTTCCGGATGCCTTTGCCGACTACATTCCTCCGTCCAAACCGGTCAAGAAGTCGGCAGAGGTTCCGGTCCCTGTCATCCGAGACGTACGTCGTATTCATCCACGGGCCAGAGTTCATGCTGACGCGAAGCAGACCATTTCCAAGCACCAAAAAGTCGACGACGACGACGGCCACTACATTGTGCAGCCAAATTCTGTTATGACGGAACGATGTAAGTGCACGTGGTCGGTCAGTGCCTGCTGATAAGACTAACAATACCGCAGATGATATCATTAAACTCCTTGGTCAAGGCACCTTTGGTAAGGTTGTGGAAGCTTACGACAAAAGAAAGAAGACAAAATGCGCGGTGAAGATCATTCGATCCGTGCAGAAGTACCGAGATGCCTCGAGGATAGAACTCCGAGTTCTCTCGACCCTGAAGCTTAACGACACCAGCAACCGCAACAAGTGCATACATCTGCGCGACTCATTTGACTTCCGGAACCACATCTGCATTGTGACAGACCTGCTTGGACAAAGCGTCTTCGATTTTCTGAAGGGTAACGGCTTCGTGCCCTTCCCAAGTTCGCAGATCCAGAACTTTGCTCGCCAGCTATTCACCAGCGTCGCCTTTCTGCACGATCTCAACCTGATCCATACAGACTTGAAACCCGAGAACATACTTCTAGTCCATAACGCTTACCAAACTTTCACCTACAATCGAACTATCCCATCATCGTCCACCACTACCTCCCGAACAGCTCGACAACGGCGAGTACTTCTCGACAGTGAGATTCGCCTCATCGACTTCGGCTCGGCTACTTTTGACGACGAGTATCACTCTTCCGTTGTTTCGACACGCCACTACCGCGCTCCCGAAATCATTCTTAACCTTGGCTGGTCTTTCCCCTGCGATATTTGGAGCATAGGGTGCATCCTAGTCGAATTCTTCACAGGTGATGCTCTCTTCCAAACACACGATAACCTCGAGCATCTCGCCATGATGGAGCCAGTTTGCGGTAGCAAGATCGACACCAAACTTGTCAAAGCTGTGTGCTCCGGCGGCAGAGGCGCCAATGCCAACTCAGCTGCAAAGTTCTTCACCAAGCAGAAATTGGACTACCCCAACAACGAGACCAGCAAGGCCAGCAAGAAATATGTCAAAGCCATGAAACAACTTCACGTATGTTGAGCCTGCCCGTTCTTCGTCCTTCCTCCTTACTAACACGCCATAGGAATTCATACCATCCAATACCGCCTTCAACAAACAGTTCCTCGATCTGCTCCGGAAGGTTTTCGTCTACGATCCCAAGCAACGCATCACGGCTAAGCAGGCGCTGAAGCATCCGTGGTTCAAAGAGAGCCTGGTCGACGATGGCACTGAGGCAATCAGAATCAGGGAAGAGAGAGCGGCAGAACAACGGCTTGCAAACCTCGCCAACGGCAGGGGCAACGGTGAGCCAGAAGCTAAGAGAATCCGGGCTTGACGGCCATATTCTATGCACAAATGGGAAGTCTCACTAAATGACGAACATGATGACTGCCTGCGATGGCTTCGTAAAGCATGACACGATGGTGCTGAGGACATGCTGCCACACAACCTGGCCCTCGCTGCCATCAAACAAGACGCACACGCCAATGCGAAAAGCGAAGAAGCGATATCCAGGGTGGATTCAACGAAGTAGAGGTCTGAGCGCAAGACGAAGAAGCAGCACAACCCGGAGACGAAGGTAAAAGAGCATACTCTTAACCCATGGAAAAGTGACAGATCAAAGGAATGATCCCTTTGCTTATTGTGTACATGGGAAGCCTTTCAGCAAATGGGGAAACATCAACTTCCTATCATGTGAAAGGGACAAGACATGATTACTACTACTACCACCACCAAGCGACGGACTTTGTGTATGTCTTATGCGCTGCCAGCTGAGCTGCGTTTCGGCGGACATGCAGTGAGTACTAGTGCTAGTGGTATTATGGATACGGATGGATGGGTAAACTAAGCGGTATGGGAAATGATACATGATGGTCCCGTCCTCGCCCCTTCCATCTCGATGGAGGGTGGGGACGGGCACGAATTTCAGCTCGATCTCCCAGTACATTTTGGCTTTTGTGGATCTTGTTGACCCTTTGTAGGTGATGGTGGCGGTCGCCGCCTCGTCCTCCGTGCGTAGAGAGACGTTGGTTGATATATGTGTGTTGGGATGGGATCAGCGTCATCAAATCGGCCAAGGAAGTTGTGTGGGAGAGAGTCCGTCAAGTGTTTGCGAACCCACTATCTGTTCCGTGAATCTGCAAAGCAGGCATTTGGTCAAGAAAGGCAGATACACGCAGTACTGCAAACCAGGGAGGGATGGAATGGGCTGGCCCCTCTGTGGATGAAAAAGTTCGTGGACATGCATACATAGGCCCTTCGCGGTCTGGCCATTGAGATGAGGTGAAATGTTGTAGCTCGAGGAAAATGATTCTTGCTATTTCCTCATCGACTCGCCAGCTCTGGTTCCTTACCAGAACAATCAGTCCACGGAGTTCCCTTGTTAGGCTCCCTTCCATTCACCGCCGTTCGTCCAAAATCTGGCCCACCTATCGGCCTCTGAACGACATTTCCCATGCAAGCAAGGCCCATGAACCTGCCTCGCGGCTATATAGCGAGAGAACGCGGGTCTCGGCGCCCTAGAAGTTCTCGGTCTGGCGTCCCGCCGCACCTTCCTGCATGACTCCATCCGGCCTACCTGCGGTTTTAGGAGCACCCCATTGCGCGGTGATAAGCCTCCTGCGCGGCTTTCGAAGCAGCGGCGTAGGCGTGCGTTTGGCGAGATGTGTGGAAGATGGGCTGAGGGGGCTGGTTCGCCATATGAAGAGCGGGAGGCTGCCGCGCTGTTGCGTAGAGATCACCAGCAAGCGCTGCTGGGAAGGTGGAGACGGTCGTCGGTCTAGCCATTGGTGGATCGGCGTCAGACCAAGCGCTTCTGGGAGGGAGTATTGGTGTTTGGGAGTAAGTATGAGGATTATGGGTAGGCGGCGGAGGGCATGCTATTTCGCAGTACGAATTGGGCGGATGGAAGTGGTCGCCGGGGGTTGGAGGCCATGCATGGCAGACTGTGGGTACACATGCGTGCATGGCGCAGGTACTGTGTGTATGGAAGAGCGATTTGGAGTAAGCTGGTGGCGCGGTAACGGGTCGGAAGGGTGTGGGTGGACGCGCAGCATTGGGCGGTCCGCCCTCGTGAGTCATGTAGTGGACGGGCTGTTGAGGGCCATGGCATGGAGGCCGAGTTGGCCAGCCTAGTGGAGGATGCTGGGTCGGTCTGTGAGATTCCGCATTGTAGAAGGAGGCCGCGTAGGCTGAAACATTCGTAGAGATTGGATCGTCTGAGGCTCGCAGCTCTGGAGATGAGGAGCCTTTAAATCAGTGTCAGCAGAATCCATCGGGCTTCTCCCTGGGAATAGAACGGACCTGAACTGTTGTGTGTTGCCTCTGGACTGTCACCGCGCCACGCGATAAAGTCTCGCCAGCATAGGTCGCACAGGTAATCTGAAAGTAGATTGTAGCGGTCTGTCTGGGCTTCGGGGTCGCAGTTGGCGCAGAAGACCTGGACTTGCTGCGGTATGCTGGGATTGAATCCCCAGTTAGGCTCGGCGGACCTTTGATACGGTGATAGCGAGGCATGGCTGGAGGTCATGGCAAGATGGGCTTCAGCTGAAGTATTTGACAGTGGGCTCGTCGGAGCTGGCGGAAGACCACCTGGCCCAGCTATATTGTTGCTGTTTGACGTGTCTTCCGGAGTTCTATTACTCTCTACAGACGTATGATTGCCAGGTGCTGCTGGACAAGTTCCGTCCATAGCACCTCTGCTATCGTCGTCGCCGTCGTGAGCTCCCCCGTGACCAGGATTCGCGGATCTGGGTGACGAGTCGTGGCTTGGACCACCACGAGGGCCATCGTCAGGAGACTCAGACATATTCTCATTGGACTCGTTGGCAGCTGGAGCACTAGTGACATCGTTGCTGCGCCCGAGGCCGACTCTGGGGTCCTCATTGTCGGCAGCGTTTGGCTGAGCGTCAGTTATGCTGGAGCGTGCAGCAGCTTCTCTTCCGGCAGACCTACGCTCACGAAGCATTTCGTCGACCCTCCTATGCATGTCCGGGAGTAGCAACCGTCCGAGCGGTTCCCAGCTATCGTACTCGCCTTTTCGAGAGTTAAGGGTGGCTGGAGGCAGTTTAGAACCTCCACGGCTAGGGCGTAGCCATCCGCGGACCATAATGAGACGATAGAGTAAGCTTGCCTGGAGGGAGTTACCTTGCGTGTTGTGCATGGCATATGTAGCCCCGATGTAAACAAGACTAGGTGCCGAGTCATTGTGATGATAAGACACAAAGGTGCTTAACTTCGAGTACACTCCTTCGTGGCTCTACCTGCAGTGCATGTTCAACGCAGACATTCTTTTCAGCCGTTTGCGGCATTGTTCACACAAGAGCTGGAGCACCGAACGGGCAATTGAAGTCACGAACGGCCTCGCGGGCATCGATCTTATGCTGCAGCAGTGACGAGGGCGCTATCCCGCCCCGTCTACAGAGAAACACAACGTCTGCGCCTTAGTCGCAGCAGTCTTAGGTCAATCTTGTGGTCGATTCACTTGGACCAGGCGTGCAGATATCGAGATGCGCTGCGTTCAACCAGTTTCGTAGCTGACGATAACGGGTGAATGTGCAGCGCCGATGGGCAAACGAGGCTGATAGAATAGACTTTGGGCTAGGGAAAGCTTGACCATGTAGTGCACCAGTCATTTGAAATCGAAACGGCTGCGTCAGCGTACAGCTTCGCATAATGCTAGCTTCTCTGTAGAGGAAGGCAAAGTAATGTCTAAGCCTGTGGAGAAGTATGGTAGATGCATAGAGCCACTTCGTCGGCTCGAAACAAGATTCGCAGGCGGAGGAGGGATCAATGTCGTCCGTTTGACATCATGACCGCATAGCACCTGGGTATTGCGGGTTTACCGGAACGAGAATGTTAGATGCGACCTCACCTCGCACCTGCAGCCTGCACTGCCACTTTCCTTCATTCGTATGTACTAGTCGGTATTCATCGCCCCTGCCTCGCATGCCTCTACGTCGCTTCTGACGATCGTCGTGCTTGGTATTCCCGAAATATCTTACATACCGTTTTATACGACCGTTTCCCTTCCTTGCCATGCCGTGACACTACCCACTCGGGCTCACAGCTTTGCTTGTCGTTATCATTTCACCTGTATCACTGTACAATCTTGGTCTTGCGTCTCACAGCGTTCGAGGTTCCGCGGCAAGGCCCAGCCTGATTATGCCACACCCCATTCACCATGGCCTCGTCCCCAGCCAAACAATCTTTAGTCCCAAAGCTCGAGACCGATCACCGCAAACTTCTGAATCCAGATCATCAGGATGACTCGCCAATCTCGGACCAGGAATACCTCTCTGATGATGTCCCGCCGGGACCCGTTGGCGATAGCGTCATCGCTGTCAGTATCTCCCGCGCCCAGACTTATATGAAGTCTCCCACAACACCTGCAGTTGAAAAGCAGCGCATCCTGGACCAATCTCGAGATTACTTCGATCGCACGCAATCTTCAGAAGCAATCCCCGAGGGCACTCAGCCGCCGTCTCCCGTGACTGCATCTTCTCAGCCGGGCCCGACCCAGCAGCTTGATCCCGTCCCAGCACCATGGAAGGCTCCCACCATGCAGAGACCTTCGATAGCAGCGGCATTTGACGAAGTTAGGAATGTCACAAAGCGCCGTTCCTTATCGGGGTCCAATATGTTTGGAAGCTTGAAGAAGATGTTGCCCGACATGCCGTCCCTGCCCACGCTCAAATCACAGTCATTCTATTCCAACTTCAGCGCCGAGCCTTCCCCAAGGACCGAGAAAGAGGAAACGGATAAAGCTGACAAGGCCAGTGATCGTCCGGAGCGACAAGCCAAGGCCTGGTATTCGCACATAGGCGGATCAGACATCACCGAGCGTGGACCATCGACGCCCCCGGGCAAATCCGGATTCCACAGGCTTGATACCTCCCAGTCGACCAAGTCCAAGAGGCATAGTGACCCGCTACTCCTGGAAAAAGCGCTTCAACGAGAGCCTACTGCAGGTCTGGATGGCAATGTGGAATCTTTCCTGACCCCCATCTCACCAGGACGACGCAATTCGGAAAGCTCGCTGTACCTGTCCCGCAGACTCTCAGGCGTTTCAAGCTATGACGATATGACCGCCTTTGCCCACGTATCAGAGATGGCGAACTCCAGACTCAAAGCCCTCACCGACAGCTTTCAGAGCTCAACCATCCGTTTTCCACGCCTACCCACCATGAAAACCAATTTTGGCAAGACGACTCCTACGGATGACGAAACAGACCGGAACACTCAGCTCAATGCTCAAAGTTCTAGCCGAGATCGATCTTCTGGTAAAGAGAAGGAAAGATTCTACACCAACCTTCATAACATTCGAAAGTCAAAAAGGTTGATCGAAATAGAGACGTCGCAACACCGCGCACACCCCATCTTGTCCGATGCACTTGATGAGCTGGAGGGGGATCTGGTCATCCTCGGGGGATATCGCGGATCTATATTGAGGGAAGCAAAATCACCAAACAGACAACTCTGGGCTCCGGTCAAAGTTGGTCTAAACCTGCGAAAGGCCGACTTGGAGGTTGGACTGACCCGAGAGGACGAGGAAAGAGCAGCAGATACCATCGTACCAGGTGGTGTCCTTTCACATATTGGGCCAATTGATATATGCCGACGGCTGCTGAAACATTCTCGTAAGTGCCCCAATTTGAAAAACGGCACTCTGAGGGTCCACGACTGGGGTTACGACTGGCGGCTGAGCCCTGATCTTCTGGCTGGTCGCCTGATCAATTTTCTGGAGGGCCTCGAATGCAATCAGCCAGATCAATCACCGGAGAAGCGAGGCGCGTGGCTTATTGCTCATAGCCTCGGAGGTCTCATCACACGATATGCAGTTAACCTCCGGCCGGAGCTCTTTGCTGGGGTTCTCTATGCTGGCACTCCACAGAACTGCGTAAATATAATGGGCCCACTGAGGAACGGCGATGATGTTCTTTTAAGCTCCAAAGTTCTGACAGCACAGGTCAATTTCACCATACGAACCAGTTTTGCTTTACTTCCCGAAGATGGCCGATGCTTTATTCAGAGGGACACCAATGAGCGACTTGACTTGGACTTTTTTGACCCAAAGACGTGGGAAGACCACCATCTTAGTCCCTGCATTAAGGCGGCTGTTGATCCAACATCAGTCACAAAGCAACGTGATAGAAGCAAAAGCCTCGTCGGTATGATGGCGCAGAGCGTTTCAAACCTCCAATTGCCTGGATTTCTGAGCAATGGTCCGGACTCACCACGCTCAGGTACTCTGCCTTCCAAGCCCCCCTATCCTCAAATAAACGCCGAACCTGCCAGGGTTGAGTCTACCACTTCAGATGAACGCTCGTCTGCTCCAGACTACGCCCAGAACTTGGTAGCGGAACCTGCAGGCGAGGCCTTGATGGAGCCGAGTATGGGAACCAACAACTTGAAGCCGCACAAGACCTCAGGCGCCACAACCAGCACACTGGATCCCGCCGCAGCTCGTGAGTACCTTGCCCGCACGCTCAAGGAGATAGTTGCATTTAAGCGCGCTCTCGCCCATAAGCCTGCGCAGCAGAGTGCCAACCGCTACCCGCCACACGCACTCATCTTCGGCAAGACGGTACCGACCGTCTACGGAGCGAAAGTAGCAAGCCGCGAAGCCATCAAGTACGCCGATTCTCTTGACGACCTGGTATTTGCCGCTGGTGATGGCGTGGTGTTAGCATCGGCGGCGCAACTGCCCGAAGGATACAGGGTCGTGAAAGGAGGGCGAATCGAAAGTGATCGAGGGCATGTGGGCTTGATGGGAGACCTGGAGGGAGTGGGGAGGGCGTTGAGTGCGTTAGTTGACGGCCGTCGAAAAGGAGTGGGCATGGGATGCTATGCAGATGTTCAAAAAAGTGCGTAGGCAAGCCGCAACTGCAAGGAACAGACTCTGAGCAGAGATATCATCCGTGGTTGTAGAGTGGAGGCCAGGTCCATACTTTCTCCAGCAGCAGAGTTGGTGCCATTCTGGATAGAGGCAACGATGGCGGGAAAGCGAAGAGCAATATCCATACCTACCTACGTGATCTATAAGCCAACAGCCAAGCAGTCAAGCTCTGAATTGCCCATTCATACTCAAGCTTTCATCTCCCTGCAATTCTAACCAAAAGCAGTTCAGGTTCACCAAACGTCCATCTATGTTCTCTTGTCCAGAATATCTCCAAGTCTAGCTCCGACTTCGGTCCCTCGCCCGTGACCGTAGTGGTATAGATGCGAGAGCAAGGGCACCCTTGTCTATTGTGATACGAGAATGGATAGCTTGTTTCGGACGCTGTTGTGCGCTCTGAGGATGAGAGACAGCGTGAGGTGTGGAGTGTGAAAAGGGGGGGAAACATGAAGTGTGAAAGGGTGGATGGAGGAGCCTGCGGAATGGCTTGACGAATGCGTGGCTTTGCCTTATGGCGCGAGGCGTCGGCGTTCTGCTTCTAGAGGCGAATGAGTCGCTCAGCGGCCTTGCAAGGTGTCAGATGCCTCCCGAAGAGTCCAGGCTTGGGTTGGAGAGGTAATTTGCAGGTTCAAATGCTGGGTGGGAGCCGAGACAGTACGAGGCATCTAGGATGGGTTGTGGGTGTCGGCAGAGATTTGCTGGATCTCAGGTTGGACGCGTTCTGATATTAAAGGCTCCTTGTGCTGGTGCTCGAGGCTTCTTCTTACGGCTCTGCTTGAGGCCATCTCCCCTGGGGAGAGCCTGGAGATTGGTGCTGGGATAACGATGACTGTGTGGGTAAATGCATGTATCTTATCATAACGGAGATTGCCATGACGCTCGTGTGTGGGTGATGCTGAGATGTGTTCCAATCTCTTTCAATCTGCTATTGAGTGGGTTGCTGAAGTCGATGAGGGTGGTGTCAGGTGTATTCAGATGCGCTTCTGAGGCCTTTGGTGCTCTACTTCGGTGAGCTTCCGGCTGTGCCTTCGTCATATCGTTGCTGTCCTTGCCTTAATTTCCAATGTATGACAGGGCGTCTTGCTTCGACCTGTCCGCCAACTTATGAAGGCCATGAGATCCAAGACAGTCACCGGCCGATGCTTGTGCTTCCGAGGGTGCTAGTCGATAGCCATCGCACTTGCGCACTTCGAATCCCGATGCTTGTGCTCATGAAAGCAACAGCCGGTCCACTCAGCCGGATTCGGCGGCAAGCTCAAGTTCGGCCTCTTGACCCTCGCCTTAGCCGGCTCACCACCAGTAGCACCATCATCAACCTCCTCCTTCACACGCCCATACATGCCCTGCACATGGCCCGTGAAGCCCTGACTCTCCAGCATCTCATGCAAGCCATCCAGATGCCACATGACAACAACGGGACTGCTGGCAAATAGGCGCTTGAGCAACCCATTCCCCGCAAAGCCGCCATCATGCCAGCCGCGCACGAGGATCTTGTACGTCAACTGCGCGACGAGGAATTCCAGCAGCTTGACTTTCCCTTCGTGGTTGGGATCATCTGGTGGCATGGTGCGGGCGAGCTTGACCATGCTGCGTAGGCCCAGCTGCTCGTCCGGGTGACGCGCATGGTGGTGGCGCACCGCGTCCAAGATGTCGTTGCGGAAGGGCTCGCTGCGCAGGGTGTGAGCGAGAAGGTATGTGTCCGCCGTAAGGGCGTGGTCGCCGACCATTGGGGTTAGGGGCTTGTTGTAGATCCACTCGATGAATTGCTTGAAGGGTGCGAGGGCGAAGTCGGGTTCGCGAAGCGTCGAGGGAAGGAGCGCTGGATTGGCGGGGTCGTTGTCATCTTCGTCGTCCTCGATGAACATGCCTTGCTCGTTGCGTTGGTGGGTGAGCTTCTCGCGGAAGTAGGGCGAGGTGGTAATTAGCAGGTCGCGATAGATGTGGAAAATTTGGGCCTGGGTAGGCGGATTTTGGGCGCCAATGATGATCTTGACAGTGCCATTCTTGGTGAACCTGGAGACCAATGTTAGCAGGCGGTAGGAAGTGATAATGATGGAGGGAGGTCATACTTGGCGAAGTCTTCGCGGCTTCGTGGAGGCATTTTGCACGGTGGCTGTATTGGCATTCGCTGTGGGCTTTGGGTAGACTTGCTTGGTCGCGCGAATGAATTCAGTGGTATCGATGTTATGAGATAATGCTTCTAGATATCGTCAATCAACCCCCGGCAGTAGTGCGTGGCTGAGGCAAGGAAGGAGGTTGAAGGCTTTTGACCAGGAAGGTATTAGTAGTTTGCTCCGCGAGTGAAAGCGGCCAATCGAGCATGTGCCTGAAGATCGAGGAAGGCAAACGTGACGTTGAGATAATGGAGTGAAGACAATGTTCTTGACCACTAGTCCAGCTTGAGATGAAGAGGGTAGAAGAGCCCTCATGTGCGCATGTGCTGAGTCGAGACTCAGTTTGTGTGCTTGAGCGCAATGAACTGATGCAAGAGTGAGCTTGCAGACGGGCAGAGCATCAGGATCCTGGAGCTTGTCCCTTACCTCATTTGAAGCCGACTTTGGCCATCAGCTTCTGAAGCAGCGTCTTGATGCAGACCTTCGAGCAGTGACTGACGGCAGTTCAGGCCCAGCTGGCTGTCTCCTGTTGGGATCAAGACTGATTGAGGATGTCCTTGAATGGATCTGGCACAATGACTTGAGCTGACCGGCATAATGCAGCAGATCTATCGGCAGCTAAGGGGACGGGGCGAGGGCGACAAAACACAGGTTAAGAAAAGCTTTGTGAGACCTCTATCGCAATTGATTGGTATCTCAACAACCAAGACGTGATATGTTGAGATGGCCACTGCAGATCCAGTCGTTCCAGCACCGACATCACCACTTCCACCCGTCATGTCAGAGCGTGCACATCGTACCTCACCCGCCCCCGACTTTCCCTTCCGCCTTCACCCTGATCAGTCTGCCGATGAAATCGTCTCCGTCCTCCTGCATTCAGATCCTTCGTTACTGGGTCCTCCTAGATCAGAAGAGTCAAGGGTTCGTTGGATAAAGAAGCATTATCAAACTCCGGGTATTCTGATTTCCGTTATGCTGTGTCGTAGTTCCAAACGACGATGGGTCCCAGGATCCCTGTCGCAAACGCTTGAAACGTATTGGTCGTGAGAAACATTAAAGATGTCGATGCCATGATCGAGGGGCCGGACGTGCAGTCGAGCAGCCGAGGTATCGTAACGTCAAAAGATAAATCGCAAATGCTGGAAGCGATGGTGGGTTGGAAAAATCAAGCAAAAACACTAAGAAAGCACACAGCAAGGCCCACGGATGAACGAGCACATATCGCCTAAGCGACAGTTGCTGTGGGAACGGCAGCAATGTCGCTGGCATCAGCGGGTGCTGTAGTGCCATCAGTGTACGTTCCGTTGAGGGTGGCAGGAGTCGCACCGGTCTCGGTGGAGGTGCAATCCTTGCTGATATGGCCAGGCTGGCCACACTTGTAGCAGGTCTTGCCCGCTGCATTGAGAGGGCCGCCATTGGGAGCGGTACAGTCACGAGAGATGTGTCCCTACGCTATGTTAGATCAAGTTTATGAGGACAGCCCAGGCTGCAACTTACGAGCTTGCCGCAAGCATAGCATTTCATGGCCTGCGCCTGGCAGTCGCGGGCATAGTGATTGGGACCACCACACTTGTAGCAAGTTGCGGCTCGGTTGGTGGTGACAGTATTGAAACCACCATTGAAGCCACCACGGAAGCCAGGACCGCGAGCGCCACGTCCGGCAGGTCCAGGTCCACCCATGCCTGGGGTAGGGCAGTTTCGTGCAATATGGCCCATTTGGCCGCAGGAGTAACAACGGCCGCCAGCAGCGCCTCCGGTGATGCGCAGCGTAGGACAATCAGCCTGGACGTGGCCGAGACCCTGGCAATGATAGCATTGTTTGGCTAGCGCGCAATGTTAGATGTGTCCTTGGTGTATTGGAGCAGGATCTTCCTCACTTTCGGTGGTGCGCGGGTGAGGGCACTGGTTGCTCTCGTGTCCGGGCTGTTTGCAGTTGTAGCAGAGGCGCTCGGAAGAGGTGCAGACCTCGGCGTAGTGGCCAACGTTGCCACACTTGTAGCATGCGCGACGTGAGAGGGACGACATTGTGGTAGTTTTGTAAATGGGAGGGACTTCTTCCTGTACGGCAACACCAAAGATGGTCAGTCATGTATTCTTTTTTCTCAATTGCATTCAAAGCGATATCAAGCGAGCCCCGCGTCTAGCCAGTGGCGCGGAAGCGCATTGACCCATTTGACCTCGACGTTGGGTGACATGGAACAGTCTGAGCGCCCTTGAGAACAATGGCATACCTGCTTCACCACCGCGCTGTGAGAGTATCCCAAGGGTCCGCCTTGATCGAGTTAGTATGCGGCGGTGAATGCGACTCCCGGCCGCATGCAGGATGGCGCAAGCAGGTCGTCGTGTGGGACAAAGGGCACCGAAGTCTGCAGGACGGAGCAAGAGGGCGCAGCTTACTGTATGGCTCTTCCCTCACTTCCTTTCCAACACTTCCAGCCTCCGTTCAAGACCTTCAACCCTTCAGCACCTGGAGCTTGGTGATACTGATCTCGAGAAGAATGGTTTTTGCGACAAGATTGGCAGAAAGGTGGGCGGGCGGGCAAATGATTTCTGCAAGCGACCCGAGAAGCTATACCGGTTTGGGTGTCATTCTTGGCACGTGACGCTAGACCTCGATACCACCTCGCTCACTCCCAAGGTCGAAGATCTTCGCTCACACGCTCCAGGGCGTGAGCGGCTCCGAGCTGGACACCCTCGGCTCTATACTGTGCAGCCCCTGGCGACCTGCAGACACAAAAATCCGTTGCTGGACGATTGGCGCCCAGTCACACCGCTACCGACCATCGCCAAAAGCAACTTCACTACTCTGTGCTCTTGCAGGTAGAGGCTGGAACACAGATTGCAGCAGACCCTTGTTACGGTATAGCTATGTGGCAGCCCTGCTTAGGCAGCTGCAACGGCTCTGAGTCTTATAAGAGTCTATTCCCGCCATATCCTTTCCTCGTGCATGCATCGCTCATTCGTGATATCAATGGTCTTGTTCTAATGTAGCAATCTCTCAGCTCAACCACTACTGCGCAGCCTTGCTCTCGATAACTGCAGGTGCCTTGATCTCGCGGTTGTCGAGATACCCTAGACCCTCTCCACCCTGCAGCCAGGTTAGCCATCACTGTTGCTTCGCGGGGTTTGAACTTACATAGCTGATGAGTGGTGACACCTCAACACCAGTCTCATCACCTTCGCTGATGACAGTGGCACCTGCATTCTTCAGCCATCTCGCTCCCTGTTGCATGATGTCCTTTTTGCTGGTGTCTGGATCATCTTCACCCGTGCCTCGAGCGTTCTTAAGCGGCGAGAACTCCTCTGCGCGGTCCACCTCTAAGCACGCGAATTTGTCCATGCCTATCAACGGGAAGACATCAAAAACGAATTGTTCGAGTTTGATACCGTTGGGCTTCTCCGGTTTGACTGTCTCACCCTTCTCGGTGTCCATGAAGGGGATCTTCTTCCTGGCGACGTGGTGAGGCAGCTTATTGTACCACTCCTCGATGCTCTCGAAGAAGCGGAAGGAGTAATAGTGATTGACAATATTGGCAGCACGGTACTTCAGGCGATCAGATGAGTCCTTGGCCTCGGCCATTTCCTTGTCGATTTCCGAGTACTCGACCACATCGGGTTTGTTGTCCTTCTGCACAATCAATCCGACAGGCTCGTTGGCAGCCCGCTTTCTGACAACCTTGGTGGCAATGTCGACGTTTTTGGCCGCTGCGAAGCCAATGAAAACAGGGTCCGCAACTTTGACCAGACAGTTGTCGACGCAGTAAGCGTGGATGTGCTCGATACCCCGCTTCCGCATGTCTCCTCTTGCCTCGGACATTATGAGCGCCTGGTAGATGCCACCGTTGCCGTCCGGGGCCACGGCCACCTTCGACTTGGTCTCCATTAGGATCTTGCCCTCATTAGAGATGCAAGGGAGGACACCCTGCTCGAAAATAATGACATTTTCCTGTGGTAACCCAAAATAGTTGTTGTCCTCAAAGAACTTCTGCGTAGGTTTTCTGGTAGGTCCGCTGGTCATGACATACCACGGCACTGCGGGAGTGCTGTCTGTACCCTTGTGCTTCTGTGCTAGCTCTTGTATCTTTGCAATGCGCTCGCCTTGTAGTTGGAACAGCGACTTCTTGCTCGGTAGGCCAATGTCGAAGCAGCCCTTGGGATCTGAACTGCCTAATCTTGTACCTTGACCTCCAGCCATGAGGACCACCGCAACCTTGTTCTCAGCCACCAGGTCTAGGCCAGCCTTGTACCACTTCTCAATCTGCTCGGCATCGGACTCGAGGATGGACGCAGACGCTTCGGCGGGAAGAGGTTCAATTGAGGGAGCCTTGCTCTCCTCTTGCTTTGGAGGGTACAGCGCCTTGTCGGCAAGCACATTGATACGATCGGGGTCGAAGCCCTTCAACTGATCGAAAAGCGCAGCTTTACCTGCCACATCGAGCTCGTCATAGAACGCAAAGACATGGTCTTGGCCAGCCTTTTCATACTTTTCTCGCAACTCTTTGAGGTCATCGGCGTTGGGTTCTGAAGGCGGGGCACCAGACTCCGCAGAGGAGAGATGCAACTTCTCGAGCACTTTGCTGACAACGCCTGCCATGGTGTATACTGAGTGGAAAGAACGAATATGGAACACGGACAAACCTTCTCGACTCTAGGCAGGCTTGTTAAATTCTTCTACAGCTCTTGATGAGGCAAGCACGAGAAAGGGGAGAGTCAGAGCTAGAGCAAACAACCAGATGTCAGCTTGGCGGCGCAGTCAGTCTGAAACAATGAGACGCAGTGAACGTGCAACAACGGCTCGCCCGCTTTCACTCAGCCTCGCGGGGCAGAGTCTAGCCTTACTGTGATGTCATTGGTCGGAAGCGGCCCCAACGCGGGTTGTGGAGTGTTGGAATGGTTACAACAGCAGGGGAGAGTTGTCAGAGTCAGAAGATGAGTGAGTCGGCTTTTCGGATGTATGAGAGTGAGAGCACGGTCGTTACGATCAATCCCGCCGCCGTCTGTATTCCCCATCGTCCCTCCGCCGGTCTCTGTCTCGATCTCGATCCCGAACCCTGTTCCCATGCGCTGCAGGTCTGTACCTATCCCGATCAGAGTCCCTGTGATTCCGGTCCTCTGGGTATCTGTTACGCCTTGGACTTCGGCTCCGGCTCCGGCTGGGAGATCGTCGTCGACTGCGTTCTGAACCTTGTTCCTCGCCCTGCTTCATGTCGGCCTTGTCGAAGACCATTCGGTAATTCCGCTCCCTCCTGCCACCATCCCCTTCACGGTAATGTCGTCGTTTCTCGAGGCTGTCGATGCCACCAAACCCACCGCGGCTCTGTGCTCGTTTCGAGTTGGTAGCATCGCGCCAGACATTGGATAGTTTCGACACACTCTGTGAAAAGTCGACGTGGATGCGGTGATCATCGATCAGAACGCCCTGCATCTTGAAGTAGGCTTGTTCGCAGTCCTTCTGGTTCTCAAACTCGATGAAGGCATACTGCAGGCTATCGCCTGTCTTCTTGTCGCGGATGACCTCGCATGACAGGATCTTGCCGAAGCGACTGAAAATGAGCTCCAGGTCCTCGTCTGCAATTGTTAGCGTGGGGTTTCAGTGGCATGGAGACATGCTTACCATGAGTGACCGGGTTGAGCTTGCACACAAATAATATGTTCTCTGGAGGCTTGACCTCTGCAAAGGGAAGGTCTCCAACCATTTCCAGAGTCAGAGCCTGAGCTCGAGCCTCGCGTTCACGCCGCAGTTTTTCCATAGCTTCTTCGTCCACATCTTGGTCGAGCTCTTCATCGTCCGCAATCATGACTGTTGCGAGTTGGGCCTTCGATGGCGCTGGACTTTGGTCGGGCACAACGAGACCTGGTGGGTCGTCGAATGGGTCGTCCAGAATCACTGTGTGGCGTAGTCGTATGTCTTTGAGTGGTCGCCCCTGCGCATCTGTGAATGCATCATTGATCTTCTCCAACACATCAAAACCCTCGACCACTTTGCCAAATGGCGCAGCCTTGCCGTTGAGATAATCAATGTCGTCGCCCAATGTAACAATGAATTGACTGCCAGCAAGTCGCTCATCAGCATCCCGGGAGGACGGCACAGTGGCCATACTAACGGTGCCACGCTCGATGTGCTTCAGCTTGGAGTTGATGTCGGCCACGTAGGTCTTCTTGGAAGGCCCCGACAGCAGACCCCAGATAGAACTACCTCCATCACTGTCCTTGGAATCCGGGCCGATTGGATCGCCGGTTTGAAATGAGAAGCCTTTCTGTATGCTATGCAATGGCGAAAAGTTGTAGTACTTGGTTTTGCATAGTTTCAAGAAGCTACTTGAGACTTAGTAGGTGTATTTTGATAATGCATTGGGGAGACGTACTTTTCGCAGGACCTAGGTGCATCCTCAACGAGAAGATCGACAACGAGATCTCCTAGAGAAGTCTCGAGGATGACGCTCATTTCAAGTCATCTAGTCGCTGTATGATTGAGTTTATGGTCAGGCGAGCGGTCTTTCAAGATTAATGCGACAGTGACAATTCCAAGAACATCAATTCGTGGATGGTAGAGTCGTTGCTGAAGGGAAGGCTGTTCACTAGCCTCAGCGGCAGGTGCAGACGAGCCTTGGCAATGCTTCCCACTACAACTGCCACTGTGAAACGACGCATCATCTTTACCCTGACCTCGACATTCTGGCTTACTGGGAACAACCACAACATCACCGTCTCGGGAAAGACTCGTGCCATGGTCGGATTCGACGCCTCACCGTCCAGAATTCTGTGCGATCTCCAGCAGACTCATGCTTCTCTGATGGACTTTGCTTCATCGCCACAACGGTAGTATCAGGTGTACAAAGAGCTTCTGGTCGAGACTGAAATCCTGGATCGCCCTTTTAATCTGCATGACATACTTGCAGCTCACTGGTACCTTGCCGCAGATGCCTCGGAGCATGCCTTCATTGAGTCGGCAAGGCGCCGTTGTGTACAGTCTATCCATGCCACCGCTTCCCGAGTCATACGAGTACAATAATCCCCCGAATTTGACACAGACTCCTTTCGCTTCTGCTTCGAAAACTCTTCTACGGCCAGGGCCACTTGCACCTAGCCGAATGAACCAGGGTTACTGACGAATGTAAACCTCCCAGCCGTTCTCGGCCGTCTGCAGCATGCCCTCGATCGGTAGAAGTGGATGGCTCTCGCTCTAATTGACAGCAATACACGTGGCCATGCATCCGCCCCCTGTCTCCCGCCAGCGTCTCTCCAGGATGCGTCAACAGCTATCTGAGACCAGTCCTCTGCCAACCATATTTGCAAGCTGCTTGCAAACCGCCGAAATCTCCGAAACGCGCGGACGACGGTGTCAGAGTTGCGCTCGGTGCACGGACAGATTCGCAACTGACTAACCCAGCCTCCTCATCTTGTTGGCTTGTGCATATCATGGCAGGTGCACTCCATTCGACAAAAATTTGCAGCATTGCCTGTGCGTCTGTACCACCAGTCCCATCATATGCAAGTTGATTGTGATTTGTCAGTTAGAACGGCAAGCCCAGCCTATCCAGCGGCCCCTCTTGACAGTCTCCGACATTTCGTCCAACCGTCGTCATGCGACTACGCGCAGGCAGTCCGCAGCCAATTTTCAGGGGCCAACCCTGCTCCCGAACCACCGTGGATGAGATACCTCGTCACAGTTGCAGCTGAATCTCGTTGACTGCGGTGATTCGTAGGTCATTAACGAACACTACCAAGCTCGGGCATGTCATGCATGGAAAATCTCCGAGAACATCACAGAAGAGGACGATACTGCATACCCTGGCCGATCCACCTTACGCAGCCCAGTTGTGGAAGGAGATTCATGACCACCATGACCAGCTTCCAGACCAGCACTGTACTAGCTTTATCAAGTTAACGTACAGAATCCAGCGAGACTGGTCGACGATCCAGGCTGATACTGAGCTCTAGATGTCCTAGAAGATCACCACCACTTGAATTGCTAACGTCGATCCAGAAATTTGATGGGAACGCTGATCCACTCCAATTAGCGGCGATTGAAACGTGAAGTCAGCCCGTCTTGAATGTTTGCTTAACCCGACTGCGTCGCCGTGCTGGTCGACGTCCAATCAGGCAACGCCTCCGACCAGGCTTGCCCCCTCTATCCTGCAGCCTTTGGCTCACACCTTCAAAATTACTGACCCTTTCTCACCAAGTGAGCTCTCGTGTCATCCTTTCGCCAGACACCCAGCCCTAGCTTAAATCCTTACCACCTCACTTTCGTGTCCCTCCACGCCTGATCAGGTTGTGTCTGGGCAGGCATGTAAGTCACTGGCCCACGCCTCGATACCGTCCTGCTCCTCCCATTTCAGCTCCATTGGTTGGAGCTCTCCCCGTGTTTCACGAGGGAGTGACGAGAGGCCCAAATCTTCCCATTGGGTGACTGGTCCAGCGGCACTCCATGATGCTTGCAAGATCCATCCTGTTCCTTGAGGGCGATGTTGGGTAGCACAATCCGGGTAAGTACAGGGCCTGCAGCAGCAAAATCTTACCACGAAGTTTCAACAGCAGCGACGGGCATTATGGCCATGCTGGTCGAGACTGCACGAGCGCGTGAATTGGAATGAGAGCAGCGACATCTGTTGAGGGCATCAGTGCGGCTCAAGTATATGACACATACTGTTTCTGCCACGCCTCGTTATACGTGGGGCGGAGCAGCAAACTGTTCACTGCGCAGTCCTCTCTCTTTGTTGCCTTGAAATCCGCCCACGACCCTTGTCCTCTCTTCCACTACGATCCAGGGCATCGACGAGGACCCTGGTTCAAGTCTGACGCTCTAGTCCTGTACACTCTCTGTCTACTTGGATTTCTTTAACCCTTGTCAGCAGCGCTTGCGCCCTCATACGTCAGACTTCTTGATTCCTGTAACTCTTGGAAGTACCATCAACACCTTACCATGGTTTGCCTGCCACCCAAACATTCAGCCGTGAACTAACATCATCAGCTGTCCAGACAGTACTATGAGCCAGTCGAGTTCTTCAGACGCGGAGACTCTGGCCTTCGAATGCCACTCGGCCAGAACTCAAGTCTACTCGATCAGTACGAGACGAACAGCCAGATGAGTAGGCGGACAACCCCCTCGTCAGAGACCGACAGACACGGAGCTGCACCGAGAAAACGAGTCCCGGTGGCAGTAAGTAGCGACGCCAGTATCGTCTAAGTACCAAGTCCTCACCGTGAACAGTGCCACCGCTGTCGTAAACGCAAGATCAAATGTTCTGGAGACGAAGGCGGCGGCTGCTCGAACTGCCGCAATGCTGGCCACGCGGGTTGCCAGTTCCTTCGTGTGCGTGCTGCTCCTCTCTCCAAACTCCAAAGCGTTGGGAGCCGCAACACTAATTGTTCTTATCTTCTGACAGGTCTGCTCCACGAGCCTGTCTGATCCAACATCCTTAGCCATTCTTCGCCACAATCAGCTCCGCTCGCAGCAAGCACAAGCCGCCCAGTACTCGGCACATACCCACTACGGCCCTGCAAGTAGCAGTAGTAGCATCCATCAGTCTCAACGCTACCATCCCTACTCGCTTTCCCCCTCTGCCTCCTACCGTACCCACCATTCACACGGCCACGGCCACCACAGCCATCATGGTCATCAATACGGGACCTCCCCGCAATCCAGCCACAGTGCTTATTCACCACATCCAACGACGCCGTACCCAGGCCTGCAAAGCGAGTATGCCCTCTCGACCACCACCTATACTGGGAGCGTAAGTCAGGGAGGTCTACCGTGGGCCCGTACCGGCAGTGGCAGTGGATTCTCATCTAATTCTTATTGCACATATAATGCCGATGAGGTTGCAAGCCCATACACGAGCCAGCAGCCAGCAAGCTTCCTGCTACCGGTCGCTGACCCGATGACGAGCTCAAGTGGGGGCGCCAGTGGGTGCGGGAGCTACTCGATGAACCCATACAGTACTGGGCGGAGCCACAGCCAGGGGCAAGTATGGGGTGAGGGTATGGCGGCTGGTGCGAGCGTTATTGGGGCATATGGGCAGAGTGCTGGCGAGGCCGGAGCCTATGACACCAGCAACATGATGGCCATGCATGGAGGTGGTGCAGGTATGTCGGGCAAGGAGAGTTGTCTGCCATACCAGTTGATCACGAACGGCACAGGCAGCAACGGCGGCAGCAGCGACCGGACTCTACCTACGCCCGGCAGCCGGCAGTATACGTCTTCGATGAGCGGCACGTCCACGCTCGACGCACTACCACTGTCGGCGCTCTCGCATCGTTCATCGATCGGTTGGTCCACCGACTCCGCCTCTTCGGCCAGCCATATCTCCAGCCAAACCAGCGTCACGGGTAGCAGTATCGCCGGGCATGATTTCAGTGGAGAGCGCTCAGACGGACACCGCACCAGCGACTCTCAAGAAATAGCCTTCAACTATCTCGGCTTCAGTAACAGCCCGCAGGCTAGCATGCCGAATAGCACGCTTCCAGGTGCAAACGACGACCTCAGCAGCAGTAACAGCAGCCTCACGTACCGTCTCAGCAAGAACGACTCCCAAATCAGTGACATTGACCATTCCAGCACCATGCCCGGACAAGTCTCGCACCAGCAACGTTGCCGGACCATTTCAGCATCCAGCACACCCAACCTCATCCCCACCACCAGTCAATGTTGTCACGGCAGCCTCAGCGGCAACGTTCAGGCCGAGTCTAGCAATCACAACAGTAACAACAACAACAACTCCGGCGACCTATCCGACTCCGGCGCATCCTCCGCCGCAGCGTTGACTTCCAGCTCCACGACAGCGTCCATTATCGCGGCATCTGCGGGTCCTGGCGGTAACTCGACAGCCTCGTCCTCCCTGGCAGACGCGTATGGTTACACAGCCGCCCCGTCTGTCACGCACCGCACTCAATCTCAAACACGGGGCGTCGGCTTGGGTACTGCTTCGGGATCGGGGGAGGGGCTGGGGCTGGGCCGGCCTTCCAACGGTTACACGTATACACGTGCCAGTGGAGTCAAGGATTACGGCGGTGGTGTTGCTGCCGGTGCCGGCGGTGGTCGCGCTGAGGACTATGCAGCTGCGGGCCTGCAGGGATCGGAGGGTTTGAGCATTGGGATTGGTGGATCGTGCCAGCCTGCTTCGTCAACGGCCGGCAGTGTGGGTCTGGGCGGCGGTGGTGGTGGCAGCAGGGCGAATGTGGCGAGTATCAGTAACCTGGCTGGATACTGACGTTGCTGCTGATGCTGCTGCTGCTGCTGCTGCTCCCTCCCATCGCCGAGGTTGTTCTTTCACAGCTTCATTACGGCTTTTTCTTCATCGTTACCCCTGGGGGTGGTTGGTCCTTGCATTTGCGTTCTAGACCACATTTCCAGCCGGCGTCGGTACGAAATGTTTCATCATCAGCACGGCTTGACGATCAGGTCACGCTGCCTTTCTCCAACGCGGAGCCCAGGGTCTCGCACATCAGGTGCGTTCACTTGATGCTTACTACAGAGCTGGGTTCGTTGCCGTCATCTCGGGTTTTTTTCTTATCGCTGTTTCTTGCGCATCAGTCGGCTCATCATCCTCACTCTCCTTTTCGGGCGAAAGGGAGAACAATAATATATGTACCATAGCGGACATTGCTCTCTGTAATTGGGCGAGATGGGGAAAGAAGAAGGTAAACTCGCAGGCTTAGGAGGAGCAGGAAAGAAGGGCTGGGCACTTGAAAAGTCTCGTTGGTGCTTTTGGCGTTCATGAGTCTTGTCAAGAGAAGTAAGCGGGGAGGATACCCTGGGGAATATGGGCTTCTGCGTGGGAGACTCTGCTGCTGCGAGTCTTGGGTTAGAAGATGATGGCTGGCTGCCTTTTCTCTTTCGATGTGCCTCAGGGTGTGATTTATCACGGAGGCGAGATGTTAGGCGCGTGTAAGAGTAGTTTTGTACGAGATCGATGTTGGAACTTCCAGCGTGGAGGTTCGCCGAGCACACCCGACGCCTCTTGCTTCCTTAAGAGTGCTGCATCTTGAAACCATCGTGTAGTAGGGAGCAAATAGCATGTGCCACGAGTCGCGAAAAAAAAAAGTTGTGTCAGTTACACTGCTGTTAGTCCCGCTCCCAATTTCGCGCAAGAAGAAGGTCATTTTGTGAATTTCAGAAATTTCATATGGTTTTGCGCCGGGCTATCCTCTCGACGAAATAGCCTGATGCACATTTTCTGATTGCTCAGCTGACGCTTTCGAGCCATCATGGAGCTTTGGTGTGTTGATGATGATGTTGCGGACTGCCATCAGTCGACCATGTAGTCAACCTTGTCGCAGCTTTAGTCGCCATCTCTCAAGAGTCCGTTCGTGACTTCATGCACTTTCTCGTCCACCGGCGCTTCTCACCAACCCATCCCCACAACACCTCCAGCAGCAGCGCCATCCACACCTGGGTCATCAAGTCAGAGCATCTATTTGCCCTCCTTCTTCTTCTTGCCACCCTTCGTCTTGGCGGTGCCTCTGAAGGCCTTGGAGCGGTTCTTGCGCTGCTTGCGCTGCTGTCGGGAGGCCTTCTCGATCTTGGAGGCGTGGCCGACGCGCACGAGTCTGTAGTGGGGCTCGAACTTCTTCATGGCCTCGACCGAGTCGTAGATGAGGGCGAAGCCCGTCGACTTGCCGCCACCGTACTGGGTGCGCATGCCGAAGACGTTGATCTGGTCCTTGTTCGACTTGTACACTTCGGCGAGCTTGCCACGCAAGTCATCTTTGCTGACGTTGGCGCTGTTGGGGTGGAGGACATCACTGCGGGTTCAATGTTAGCGAACGATTATAATATTGATGGTGGCCAGGCAGAGTTAAGAAGCAGAGGTTGTGTTCGAGGGCTCGATGTCGCTGGCGGGGCGGGCGCCGAAGAGAAAGACTTACACAACCATCTGCTTGCGGGAGAGCAAGCGGTTGGTGATGAACTTCCGAGTTCGGATGGTGACCTGTCCGTCGGCCATGATTGCAGTCGGTGGGAGTCGTGGACTGCAAAGGATGTGGGAGTTGATCACGGTGAGGTCGTTGAACGCAGCCGAGAGAGTAGCCTTTCAAATTTGGGTGCGGCCATAGGCTTGGCGTGTGAAATCTTGGCAGAGATGCTAGTCCAAGAGTGGTAAGGCGTGGTCCAGTACCAACTCAGCACCTTCCTCACATTGACGACCACGGCGGGATCAAGTCGCTGTTGCTCTTCAAATGACGAGGCGGTCGTGCTTACCAGACGAAAAAGATGATCTAAATGGTATGGAGGACTGTCTTCCGAAGCTCTGGTAACAGGTTCATCCGATTATGTTGACTACCACGTTTGCATCTCATAAAATTCTTTCCAATATGGACCAGTCTCTCGCTGAGTTTTATCGCAAGTATTCGCAGCAAATCGACCCGCCCGGGATCCCCTCCGGCTCCGTGCTGAGGCATCCAGACGTACAATTAACTTTGGAAAGGCGCTTTTTCAATCAACCAGCATCAGAATACTCAGCGTACCAGGCCAAGATCTTGCGGGCAGTAGTCGAGCGAATCCAGCAAGCCATTGAAGGTAATGACGAGGAGGTAAGCCGACGTCTAACACGGAAGACAACCTGTTTGCCTGGATCCTGACACACATTGGGCAGGAGGTCTCGGACCACTTGATGACCCTGCTAGCGACCTTGCCGCATTCGAGACCAACAGTCGACCTGAGCAAGACTCTGGTCTCCTACGTACCTCCCGTTGGCTTCGATGCCGATATTGACCCCATCGAGATCCTTGAGGCTAAGAAGATCATCGGATCGGGTCCGAATACTGGCTTGAGGACCTGGGAAGCGGCACTACGTCTTGCTAGCTATCTTCACAGCCAGCCAGAGTTGATCAGGGGTAAACGAGTACTGGAGCTGGGCGCCGGTACCGGATTTCTGTCCATATTTTGCGCTGCCTACCTTCAACCAGAGACAGTCACTGCGACCGATGGTCACGAAGATGTGTTGGTCAGTCTCGAGGAGAACGTCGAGCGAAATAGCCACCATTACCAGGGCACATCTCACCCTACTGTGCAAAGACTTTACTGGGGCGATGAGGACGACCTTAGCCGTATAATTCGCAGACGTGGTGATGCCACGCAACCCGGCCCTTCGGCTAGCGACGGTATTGACGAGCTGTCCACTACCCAAGGACAGATGAACTACAAAAACCAATTGTCTCCATCCAGTACCGAGCGGCCATACGACATCATCATCGGGGCAGACATCACCTATGAGCCAGAAGCCTGCAAAGCTCTTGCTGAGACATTGTCACGACTTGCCAAAGCCAACCCATACACAGATATACTCATCTCTGCCACACAACGCAATTTGCAGACATTGAGCGGCTTCCTCGACGAATGTCACGGTCCAGACTGCGGCCTGCGGGTTGAAGTCGTGAAGTACGACGTGCCACCGTTAAACAAGCAGACTGGTCTCTTCCACAACATCGTATCCCCCATTCAGATATTTGCTATGCGGTATTCTCCACCAGAAATCTCATAGGCCGAGGCAATCTGGGAAGATCGTTACCGGTCTGAGTGGTATGGTACATGTTATCAGAGCTCCTGGAGACCCTGGAATACGACGAGCTCCGAAGTGGAGCGACTACGAGTCGGTGAATCCGATGATTGGTAAGTTTGGTTTCGTTGGCTTTGCCCCGTTGCTCTCTACTTAGCCTCGTAGGAACGACGCTCCGTCTTGGGTATTTTCCGGTTTGCGAGACTATCGCCTTGCCCGCGGGTTCATAAGCTGGCCGACACGACATGTGATTCAATCTGAATTGCAAGATTGGCGTCAGTGTACATGCGGACGACCACCTGTCGTTGCATTTGCACGCGTTGGAAAGACATTCAGCAACTGCTGCACAGTATATCCAGTTAAAATGGAGTTCACGCAAAATAAAGAAAAACGAACGAGTTACTCTGGCCAACAACTTGCACGCTGAGCAGATCAAGACCAACTGGTGTCTCAGTAACAATCTCGAACACATGCTGTCCCTGGAAACCAGCGGCTTCACTGCCGACCGACAGGAGCTTCGAAAGTCTCCATGCCGAGACGCATGGGAGGTCTTCCTATACAACTGCCCACAGACACTTGTGTTCTTGTTGGACATAGAATCATCTATCCTCCCTCGTGGACTTTTCAGGTCGTCGAGACTTCCAGAGTCTTGAATGATGCCGATCAACGATTGTATCGCATGCCGATGCAGACTGAATTGTCGCCGACTCCTAAGCTTGCGCCGCCAGAGTGGGAAAAGCGCAAAGGCTTCCTCAACCTATGCGGAGACGCCATATGGGCTGAAGCCACACAGTTCCTCAACGATGCTCACGACTCGCGGCGTAGACAGAGAGGGAACGCAGAAGCAGCGGACTTGCGTGCAAGCGGGTTGCGACTGAGGGACCGTCGCGGTCGGTACTTCTACCGACACCGCCGTGCACGCTATGGTACTCTCTCGACTGCAGCCGGCAAGGACACAAGGCACGCCTCCCCGACAATGGCCAAGATTGATCGTCACCTCCGCCGCTTCGACGAGGGCGAAGTATAGTCGGAGCTGAAAGTAGAGAAACCTCATTTTGGCCCAGACACCTAAGGATTGGTACTGTACTGTACTGTATATGAACGAAGTTGGCTATGCACAGTGTAGCATTAACGTCTTATGTACGTATCGTGAGCACTTCAAGTTGCTCGTTCACCCCGAAACTGGAGCTATTAATGTATGATTGAGTCTTCATTACATCATGTCCTTCACTGCCAGGGAAGGCCTTCCCCCCCTTCTGATGCGTCGCATCCATCGCGCCACGTCTTCGCGGTCTTTGAAGGCGACTGACTGACAGTCCATTCGTGAAGTTAGCCCCTGAACATTATCCGCGGTTCCGCAGGCAGGTGGGTGGATGATTGGCCCCCCATCTGAACATCTGCGCCGGCAAAAAGATCAAGTCGTCCCATCGTAGGGTAGGCAAGCTGCGTCTCACAGCACAATATTGGCTCGCCATTCGATCGCCGCCTGTGCTCTCCCAGGGCCCGAAGATCTGCATGTGCTCTATGCGATTGCACATTGAAAACCCGAGAACAACAATGGGGGGGTATTTTCGAAGAACAGCAGAGAAAACGTCAAGGCAGTGTTCCTGTGCGCCTCTTGACCACGTGGGCATGCCTTCCACACCTCCGCTCTCCCTCCCTTGGAGACCCTCAACCACTGACCAACATAACCCCAGCCGAACCATCTACCGCAAATCCTCTGCCAACCCCTCCCTCAACGCCGACTCATCCACCCTTCCCACCGGCACCTCAACCTGGCTCGGCGCCCTCTGTGGGATCCAAAAACCCGGAATTGCGCCTTTCTGGTTGATGCCAGGCATGCGTCGACTCGCACCGGCACCGACGCTGACTGCCATGCTGCCAGTCGCTGCGAAGCTTCCAGTGCCACGCTTCCCGAGCGTGCTGCCTGAGCTCGTGGTCAGGATTGACGCGGGCCGGTCTGAGGCGTGGCGGGGCACGTCTCGAGGTGGGCTGCGCTGGACGGCTGTGGGGTCCAAACCGCCATCGGCATCGGTAGCTGCTTCCGCATGGGCTTGTGCCTTTGGTACCTCGGGTGCGGTGTGTGGTGGCGGAGCCTCTAGCAGCGTGGCCAACGGCGGACGTCGCGATGGCGTCACAGCATGCGATGCGCTCACTGACCTCAGATCTCCTGTGGATCGTGTGGGCGCCGTGCCCCATTTGTTGCGCACCCAACCGCCTAGCCTGCCGGCTACACCGACGCCTGCGGTCTGAGGTTGCTCTGCGTGAGGAGGATGCCGAGAAGGGTTGGCGGCAGGTGAGCCGAAGATGGTTTCCAGGCCGCGCCGTCCCTCGTCGCCGCCACGGAGTGATGATAGCGTATTGAATTGGCTGGCAGAGGCCGTGGTTGCGGCGATGGCGGTGAGGGGTTGTTTAGAGGCGGTGGAGAGATGTGTGAGAGCAGACGTCGGGGGTTGCGAGGGTGTGAAATAGGCTCGAATACGTTGTGGTGTGTACTCCGGTGACGACCGTTTTGGAATGTGGATGTCCATGCCAGCGATGGAGAGGGAGTCGGTAGAGGTGGATCGGCGCAGAGTGGGACGAATAGAAATGGCGCCTGGTGATGCAGGGAATGGTTCTTGCTCGTCTGGAAGATTATCGGGTTGGGGTGTGCGTGGCGGCGTCGCCGGTGCAGAGGGCGTTTCTTCGACTGAAGGTGATGGGGCGGGTGACGGGGTGTCGTGGTCGGGGATGACAAATTCTTGAGGAACAGATTGTGTTTCAGGTGCAAGAGGTTGAACTTGAGGACTTCGAGGACTGGACAGAACCGATATTGTGACTTCTGGTTGTTTCGTTGGCATGTCAATCGGTTGTGAAGGTGTAGGTGTAAGAATCTGTGATGGTTTAGGGGTAAGGTCTTGCGAAGTGCGATCTCGTAGAGCGGTCTGTGGTGTAGTTTCATCTATTGGTGGTGCGACAGGAGGAGTGGATGTCTCAGGGATGGGAGGTTCGCTGATATCCTCTAGCACACCTCCAAAAGAGTCAAGACGTGTTTGTTTTGAAAGTTGGGCCTCTGATTGAGGCATGATAGGTGATTTATATGGCTCAGTGTCGGGGCTTGTTGGCCTAGAAGAGTCTTCGCCAGGATCGATTCGGTCGAAGATGGAACTATAACGGTCGAAGTAAGAACGAGGCGAACTCGGGAGACTCGAGAAGGTTGAGGACATGGTGGCCGCCGATTGGACAGACCACCGATTGCCTTTCTTCGGCTGGGGCTGGTGTAATTGCAATGAGGTGACCGGGCTTGATGGGTAACGTTGGGGTCTTGATAGCGGTGTCGAAGGCACAGAAGACTCGGGGGTTGTGAGGTAACCAGGCATGACAGTCTTCCGACCGTGGCGCTTGCGGATGTTTGGTGTTCGGCTGCCCTTGGCCGCGAGCTTCGCGTGGTAGTGATGGTGGACATGGACCTCCCGCTGGACATCGGATTGGGATGGCTGCTCCCACCCGATCTGCTGGTCTAGGGGAAGGGGTGACGACTGATTGGGTGTTTCAGAGTCTTCGATAGGCTGGTGGTGCATGATCTGTTGCCGTAGGTTCTGGACCTCGTTGTTACTGGATGAGAGCAATTCCCTGAGCTCAACGATACCAGCTTGCATAGTCGCGTTGTCCTGCAATATATCCCGAACAAAGTGGCTGACCACGTTGTCATTGTTGCCACTTTGGATGCCTTGCAGCGCGGCGGCGCCCTTTAATCGGCCTTCAGCACCACCTAGTTCCCTCTCGAGCACTCGCTCTCGCTCCAGACGTGCTACAACCTCTTGATGCTTATCCATCTCGTGCTTGGCTTCCCACTCAATCTTCTCGAGTTCGAGTTCAAGCTGGCGGAGTCGTTTCTCGCTCTCGCGCCATCTGCCGATGGCGCTTCTGCTTTCTTGCTCGCTGTCGGATAGTTGCCGGGATAAGGCGGTTCGCTCACGCTCCATATCATGGACCTGAGCCTCCAGCTCTTCCGCGCGACGGGCTAGCGCATTGAGTCGGCGGACTTCGAGTTCGGTGTCTTTCAGTAGTGCTTCGAGGCTCTTGACCGTGGAGTCGCTCTCGGTATACGACTTGTTGATCGTGTCCAGTTTGACGAGCAGATCTTTGTTCTCAGCCACGATCTTCTCGTTGGCGTTCTGCAAAGTGATGCGCTCCTCCTCCAACTCCGCGATCTTAGCATTGAGGCGCTCATTATCCTGGTGTGTCTCGGCGACATAGGATTCGTGCCGCGCGAGAAGTGCCTGGAGGGCGAAAGTTAGTCCGCTATTCGTGGAACTCGTGCTTGATCTCTTGTGATGCGCCGAACCCGGCGAAAACGACCAACGTTGCATCGGCGACAGCGGCGAATCCATAGTGACGCAAACTACATTGGGGTTCCAACAGCGACGATGGCGAAAGAGGCTGTGAGGTTTGCGAGCGCACGCAGGTAGAGTTGCTGCGGCAGCAGCTGGTGGCACAGCGAATCGAAGCCGCAACTGCCTTCACTGCGTTGCACAGGTACCACCCAACCCGTACTGACGCCGAATGGACGTTGGTGCTTTTATTCGTCCTCCCCCGTCCACTACCGGCTTTCACGAATTCCAATGAAAAGTTTAAAGCAGAGAGGCCAAGACGAACAAGAAGAGCAGGGAAATCATACCTGACCGAGTCTCGCTGCCTTCTCCAGGTCCCGCTCGAGACCCTCTAGAGCCACATTGTTGTGCTCGAGATAGGCACAGTCGCTCCTCCCGCAACAACACCGAAGCCGGTTCTCCACCGCCGTCGGATCATCGTCATTGGCTGCGTCTGCCATGTTTGGCTCTATGTTATTGTGGCCTGGAATGTGGCCGTGGCGGCACAGACCGTGGTGGTGCTCGGCGAGGTGATTGACGTCGATCGTCTGATCACCTGGGTGGGCATGGTTCGCGTCGCAGAAGGTGTGGTACCGGGTGGTGAGGGAGTTGAAGGGCGAGGACGACGACATGAGGAGAGAGCGGGACGTCGCATGGCGTGCCAGGCCTTATGGGAATCGTTGGCGTTCGCGGCGTCCGTGACGTTACAAGGGTTGGGCTGCGGACGACTGCGCTCGTCTGGTGATTCGCCCAACCACCGGTGACCTCTGCTGCGGCCGTGCTGCACGCGTGCCAGGGCGTTGGTTGGGGTACACGGTGGTATGGTGGCCGAGAGGGACAATCAGCTTCAATGTGGGTCACAGCCCCCACCGACGGGTTGATTGGCAATTCAAAAGGCGCAGGGCTCGGGGCGCAAGAGAGCGATACCGAGCATTAATCATGGCGCCATTTCCGAGACGTGGAAAATTCTGAGATTGGGATCAATTTCTCTACGGTTCTCGTACAGGTAGCCAGCATGTCGCCGTCGCCGCCCAGTGTCAACGGTGCAGCCGCCGTCGAGGGTGCCGATCTCGACAAGAATCCTCCCGTTGAGGTCGACTCGGCTGCTGTGAGCCGTCTGCATCTCGAATCGTTGTCTGCTTCTACGCGAGCCGTCCACGCCGATGACCCCCTGAATGTGGTCGCTGACGTTGCGCCTCCGGTGCATATGAGCACGACCTTTAGGTATCCGGAGGACCCTGCACAATTGAAACCGTTCCACCAACGGCGCCCTGATGAATATGGTTTGACTGAGCACGTCTACTCGCGGTACACTACTCACAGTACCTCCCGATTAGAGTCTATCCTGGAGTCTCTCTTGCATGCTCCCTGCTTGACATACTCATCGGGCTTATCTGCCTTCTACGCTCTGCTTGTCCACCTCAATCCAAAGCGAATCGCCATTGGAGATGGCTACCATGGCTGCCATGGTGTCATTGGCGTCCACCAGCGACTGACAGGGTGCAAGAAGCTACCGCTGGACTGCGACCCCCAAGAGCTGTCGGAAGGTGATCTGATCGCTTTGGAAACACCCGTCAATCCAACCGGCAAGGCCTTTAATATTCAGCACTATGCTGAGAAAGCTCATTCCAGAGGCGCTTACCTGATGGTCGATTCAACATTTGCACCCCCGCCGTTGCAGGACCCTTTCAAGCAGGGAGCTGATGTAGTCATGCATTCCGGGACAAAGTACATCGGCGGCCACTCAGATTTGCTGTGCGGTGTGCTGGCTTTCAAGAACGAAGAGTGGTTGCCGAGGCTACGAACAGATCGACAGTTCTTGGGTTCAGTCATGGGCGGCTTGGAGGGATGGCTCGGTGTCAGAAGTGTTCGCACCCTCGAGCTGCGGGTGCTGAGGCAGAGTGAGACCGCTCAGCGCATAGTTGAAGCGCTAGACGGGGCCTTGACGGGCCACACCGTAGGCACTGGTCTGTCTCAGTCGGACGTTGATGCCATCAAGCCCGTGGTGAAAGCGGTGACGCATGCCAGTCTGCAGACTGACGACTACAAGACCTGGCTGAGGAAGCAGATGCCTGGAGGATTTGGTCCAGTCTTCTCCATTGCCTTGAAGTCCGCAGACTATGCGAGGCACTTGCCCGGCAAACTACAATTGTTCCACCATGCCACCAGCTTGGGCGGCGTGGAGAGCTTAATCGAATGGCGCACCATGACGGATAGCACAGTCGCAGCTGATGTCCTTCGAGTGAGTATAGGAATCGAAGACGAGAGGGACTTGTTGGATGACCTCATTCAAGGCTTCCGAGAAGTGGCCAAGCTGCCACAGTAGGCACAGGCTCGGTACTGGTCCGAGGCTTATCAGTCTTGCTGAGTATTGCCATGCATCTAGACATAGATTAACCAACCAAGCATACTTTTTCATGATCCGCGTCGAAACCAGCGCTTCTTGTGCTTCTCTGGTTTGGCCTCTTGATCCTCATCCAACCCCGGAAAAGGCGCAAGCTTGCCTGCTGAGTCGACTCCTGGAAAGGAGTGAGCCGGTGCATTGGGAGGTTTGTCGGCCACCCAGCCCATATAATCGTCGTCAGGATTGCGTGTCGGCGGAGGGGGAGCAGGAGGCGGCCCCGCCGGTGGTGCAGGTGGTGGAGCAAACGGTGCTCCCACAGGCCGCCTTTCTGGCGGTGGACCAGGAGGAGGGAACAATTCCTCGTCTGGAGGACGTCGATGGGTAGGCGGATGCTGGGATTGGGGATTGCCTTGAACGGGTTGACGCCAGCCAGGGGGCGGATGTTGAGGTGGCGCAAACCCTTGACCTTGATACTGCGTAGTGGGAGGAAGCGGCCCGTGGCGAGAAGGTTGCTTTCCAGGTGGAGGTCCTGGAGGTGGAGAGAAGTCTTCGTCTGACCCTCCTGGTGGATGTATTGGTGACTGATCCTGGCGAGCTGACCGAAGTGCGTCTCCCTCACCGACCACGAATTTATTACGGAGACTCTTAGTACCGTGCTCTCGCTTGAGCTCGTGTGGCTCCGGAATCTCTGCGACGTTCGGTACAGCGACGGGAGGTCGAATGGGCTTGGGTGCGAGGATGGTTGGTCCTTCGGCAGTGGAGACAGTACTCGAAGGTGTGTTGGTGTGGGCTGAACTTATTCCCATACTCATCTCGAACTCTTTGTCCATGGCTTGCTTGCTCTCTGATATTGGGGACGGAGTAGCACCAATCATACCTGTCTGCACGCGTTTGAGCCCAGGAGAAGGAATACCTCCCGAATCCTGAGTACCAGGGGCTGGTGGAGGTGGTGGTCGTTGAAGACTCGGAGGAACTTGCTGCGGCGATGCGGTTCCTGAGCGTGGGAGATACGGTAGCGGCGACCTATTCCATATTCGCCCGCCAGAGTTCCCCTGGGTGGCAGAGGTACGAGGCGGCGATACCGAGCGTGCTCGGGCTTTGGCCCTGCCTACTTCTATAGGCGGTATCTCTGCCTCATCGCCGCCCTCGCCGATGACAATCGGCGGCCGGTCCGTAAACTGTACACTCAATCCTCTGGCTCGTCTTCGGCCCTTTGCAAGGGAACTGGTCGATGGAAGCCTTCCCTGATATTCGGGCCGCAGGTGGGTTGGTGCAGCATGGTCGTTGTTATGTGCCTCTATCTGTTGCGCCGCAGGATATCTTTGTGAAGTCGAAACATCTATCTTTGGAACGACTATGCGCCGGGGGGAGGGCTGAGGTGGGGGAACAGGGTCGGTGGTGGGTCGCAGGATCTCGTGACTCTCATCATGGTGTGACTGCGAAGTGGAAGGGCGGTCAGACACGAATGAGAAGGAGTCGGAAACCGAAGGACGTCCGGTCGAGGTCGAGGCGGCTCCGCTGGCAAGAAAGTCATCGACGGTGGTCGCAGTCTCCTTGTTCTTCTTGGTGAGCTTGGTCCTGGTGCGGGCCACAGCGCCCTTGAAACGGTCCCTACGCGAAGAAGTTCTGGTAGGGTCAGCCGCATCCTCCTCGTCGGACATGGTGAGATAAAGAAGAAAGACAGCACATGACTCTCGACGGCAATCAAACAAGCCGTCGGGCCAGAAGGAAAGGCTGAAACGCTTCACCTGATTGCGTGGAATGCAACGGTACCAAGCAGATCTGCAGAAGGACCGGGGCTCTGGCGCGCCGTTGCGCTGGCAAAGGGGGGTCCGGGCAGTTTTAGGCGTGTTTTAAGGCTGTCCAAGGCTGTTGAGGCCCCATTTAGGGAACGGGGTCGCCCTGCCAAGCGGGCAATGGTCGCCTGCACCTGATTGGCCAAGATCGAACCGAGGCAACTCGAGGGGCACTGGGGGATGCTGATCGAGGAAGGCTACGATACCTTGTAACCACATCTTCCGTCTTTTCAGCATGTTAGAGAGACCGTCTACACAAGTATCATTGAGACGGGTCGAGCTCTCCTTCAACTAACTGTGTCGCGCCCTCCCAACATCGACATCAACATGTCAGCCAAACCAGATGCATACCAGCGCCCGGACCTGACCCTTTCCATTGAGGACCGCATAGCAGCGCTCGTCAAGGCGCTGACCGATGACCCGGACTACTGTGGGCCTGACACTGTCGCCCACCGCGCCGGCAAGATCACGCTCGTCAAAGCCTCGCCCGGCCGGACCGAGTGGACCATGAACATCACGCCCGAGCACTGCAACAAGGGCAAAAACATGCACGGCGGCATGGCCTGCATCGTTCTCGACAATCTGACCTCAACCGCGCTGCTTACGCTGGCCAAGCCGGGATTCCTCGATGCCGGCCACGTGTCCAGGACTATCACCATGAGCTATCTGCGTCCCGTGCCGCTGGGCTCGACAGTGAGGGTTGTATGTGAGGCGGTGCAGGCGGGTCGGAACACTGCCAATCTCAGGGGTGAGATTCAGATCGATGGCAAGACGTGCATCACGTGTATCCACGACAAGGCCGTCTTCCAGAAGGGATTCGTCCATCCGAAGCAGCAGGGACAGGGGAAAGCCAAGTTATGACAGCCTGGCGCCCGATGAGCGTGGATGGGAACATAAACCAGAGATACAGTTTAGAATTAGATTCATCGACTGGCATCAATGCACCGATCGATCTCCCTCCAGGTCTGCGTGCCCGCATTTGACATTCATTGAACTTCCATCTAGGCGTGTCTACCTTTGCAAATTCAGAGAGCCGTTCCTCCATGTATCGCGACCGTGTGTCTGCCGCCGACAACCCTTTGCATCGATTCTCAACCAGTGTCACCTGCATCTACCCTCGCCACAGCCACAGCCACCTGCACAACAGCAGCTACTGCCCTCCTGGGCCGCTCATTCTCCGCCTTCAACGCCGCCAATGGCCTCCTATCCTTGTCCCCATCCCCATTTCCATCCCCTTTCTTATTTCCACCTGCCCTCTCAACACCGGCCAACTCCAACTGCCGAACCACAGCTTTGTACAACCGCCTCATTGGCGTCCCCCACCCTTCACCCTCCACACCCGCTGCGATCTCTGCGTCAAGCATGGCCGCCATCCGCTCCTTGAGTCGAGTCTCCTGCGCTTTGCGAGCTCGCTGATCGATGGCGTTTGCTAGAGGACGCAGTTAGGAAATCTGATTTGTCAAGGTTTAAACTGCTTGGATCCAACATACGAGTCATGGAATAGCCATCTCGCTTGACGAGGCGTTTGCCCTTGCGGAACTCAGGTTCGACTTTGTTGGTCTTGCGTGGTGCCCACAGAGTAACGAGGTCATTCTGGACATGCAGGAGACTCTCGGCTGGAGGGGTGGCGATGTCGAAACCCGTGCTATCTCGACCACCATCGAACTGGGCGTTGTTAGTTCTGCTCTGCTCGAGCGCGCGCCGTTTCTGGTTCACGCGCCTCCTCCCAGGCCGAACACCATGCCCAAAAGAGTCGGAAGCCCCAGATCCAGGGTCCGCTATCTCATCTTCGGACGGATCCCAGTCATCGTCAGTCACGCTCTTCATATTCCTTGGCGTCACCTTGTCAGAATCCCTCGCAGAACCCTGCGCAGTGGCATCCTTGTAACATCGCCCTCCACGACTCACCTCAGTTTCGCCCCCAACAGCTTCACGCTTGTCCACGGGTGCGTACGGTATGTCGCCCATGTCATCATCGTCAGAGCTGCTGATCTCCACCATAGACCGCCGTTCAGCCGGCCTTTCCTGGCCACGAACGCCCCTTATGTCAGGCGGCGGCGGCGACTTCGGCGACAGGCTCTCCAACTTCGGTTGCCTCTCCGTGGCAGCATTCTTGTCACCAACGTGATAGTCTGGCATCCCTGGATAGGTAGTATGGAAGACCAGCTCACGGCGATGAAGCTCACGCGGGTCTACAGGGTTGGGTCCGTGCTGCAAGACGCCGTAGTGAGGATGGTTGAGGACGGTGGCCATGGGGGTCTTGCCGTATAGACGCGGCTGTCTCGGCGTTGATGAGCCGACGGGATGCTCGTCCTCTGTACGTGTCCGCTTCTGCGGTCTCTGAGCGTTAGCACCTGACCTCGGGCTGGACGCATGGGTATTGCAACTCCGTCGTCGCTTTGCTCTGCGCGGATTGTCGATTGTCTTGTAGGCTGAGAATTCCATGTTGCGCATGAAGGCAGCCTCCACGCTGGACGGCATTTAGTACGCAGTAGTCATGGGGACGGCATATATAGGGTGGTGCAACAAAGAAAAAGGGGTAAAGGCAGGCCGATGCCGCGAAGACCAACATCAACGACCAACTAGATCCGTGACCAGCAGTGTGAAGATAGGCCGACATCGGCAACCACAGCCGTGACTGGCCGCAATGAGAAAGAGCTTGCGCCATACGCTGCGCAAGCGTGAAATATGCATCGTAGTGGCTCGCAATACATCATCGGTATTCAGTGAAGCAAACCTCCATATTGAGATTCAGTCCCACAGGATACCCACGATCTGCCTCCACCGCGGGAGCTTCTCCTCGTACCCGGGATCCCGCGCCGCCCGCTCCAGCGCCTCTTCAAGAGGGATCGCCGCCAGGTCGTGGATCTTGGTGTGCTTGATCAGCTTCCAAAGCACGTATGCCGTGAGGACGAGCGGTATGTCACTGCAAAAGCACAGACAGACGCACAGCAGGGTCAGTCGAGCTCAGATGAGATCCGAGGGGGGGGAAGGGAAGGTCAAACAAGTTCCAAAACACTCACAGGTAAGACGAAACAAAGCCGGCGGCGCTCCAATTGCCGCGGGTGAAGTTGGCGAAGCCGGCAGTGAACAGGATGAGGAAGCAGAGCGTCAGTGCTGCGGGAGTGGCCCATTCTATGTAGCGCGCAATCGTTTGTTAGTCCGGGGGTGAATATGATATGGTTGTTGGGTAGGGGGGAAAGGGAGGCAAATGTATGTTGTGAGAGCATCTCGAGGGCTTTGCTTACCTGTCCATCGGTTATGCCACGGCAATCTGCTCATGGCGATCCCTTGCTTCTTCATGGCCAGCATCAGGCGCCAGTGGTTGGTCAAGATGGAGATCCAGGAAATGAGCACGCCGCAGGCGGTCAGGTCGACGAGCCACCAGAAGACGGCGAGGGCGCCCTCGGACAGGCTCATGAAGGCTAGGAACATGAAGGCCGTCTGCGCAATGACGCACATGTAAGGCACGCCCCAGCTGGTGGTGCGCAGGAAGATTTTCGGCGCTTGCTGCTTCAATGCGAGACTGTACAGCACTCGTGTGCCGGACAGCAGTGCCTGGTTCTGTGCGGACCAGGCGGAAGTGATGACGATGGCGTTGACGAGTGAGGGGACGCCGTGGAGGCCCGCTGCGCTGGCGGCGATGACAAAGGGACTCTGCGCCGCGGTGCCGGACTCGTCGTCGAGGCGGGAGTCGTTGCTTGGGACGAGCATGCCAACGACCAAAACGGCAAGGACGTAGAAGACGGAGACGCGCGCAAACACGCGTTTGCAGGCCTTTGGGATCGCAATGCGGGGATTGCGCGTCTCGGCCGCCGCCATTGCGATGCTCTCTACGCCGGCAAAGCTGAAGACGGCGTTGCTCATGACTGCCCAGTAGCCTAAAAACTGGCCCCAGCTTCCACTCGCGATGTACTCGACAAAGGGGCCGGGAAGCTTCCAGTATCGAAACCCCATCCTCGGCGTCCCCGGCACGCCACCCAAGTCGATGACGAGTCCTAGCAGGATGAGGAAGACGATAAAGACGATCTTCAGCATGGCGAACCAGAATTCCACCTCGCCATACACGCCGACAAAGCACATGCCCACGGCGAACGTCAACCCGATAAACACGACGATCCACACTGATGGGCTAACATCCGTCCAAAAGTTGAACAGCACGCAAATCGCCGAGATCTCGGTCGGGATGCTGAGGAAATTGCCATAGACCAGATTCCACCCCACGGCGAAGCCGAGCGCCGGGTCGACGAGGAACTCGGCGTGCCGCACGAACGAGCCCGTCACGGGCAGCAGCGCCGTGACCTCCCCCAACGCGAACTGGACGCAGCACACGATCGCGCCGACGGTCACGTAGCCCAGCAGCGCGCCGAGCGGGCCGCCCGTCTGGATCGAGCCGCCGAGCCCCAGGAAGAGGCCGGTGCCGATGGCGCCCGCGATGGCGATGAGGGAGATGTGTCGCTGCTTAAGACCGCGCGCCAGGTCCTGCTGCTCGGCGAGGGTGACGAAGTCGGCTTCTTCGACGCGGGAGCTGGAGGCAATAGTGTCATCGTGGTCGTGCTGGTGGTGGTGTGGTGACTCGACGTCGGAGCCGACACCGGCGGCAATGACATGCTTGTCTGTATGTGAAGGAGCCATGCCGCTGGCAATCAAGGGCGTGCGCTCGTCTGCGTCAGAGCTTTGCGCCCGCGAAGACGAAGAAGCCGTGGTCGTGCCGGTGGCATTGTCGCGGGTCATTTTGTCGATATGTGATATATCGTTCCTCACCGTTTAGCCCGCCACCGCGCTTCAGACCTACCCGAACCTTCGTCTCGTTGCTGACGGGGCCGGGGCGCGCCAGAGGTAGGATGGCGCACGTCGCAACAGGAATGGAAAATGGCGTGCTGCTGCGATCAGCGAAAAGGCAACGTTCGAGGCGTGGATCAACGTTGGGCGGTCTCGGCTGTGTTTGGGGTAGTGGGGGCTCAATTGAGCTTTGCGGGCCTTCATCGACTTGCCTGGCTAAGCCTGTGATGGGCTGTTGCAATAGGCATATTCGGGGGCTTGGGGGTGCCTATTTGTGCAGCTAGGCTTTGGGAAGGGTGACGGGGAATTCTGTGTACATAATTGCCGTTCCTCTGGGTTAAGGTACTGATTCCACTTGAGATGGTTGACCATGGTTGCGTGTGGAGATCTGCGAGTGGATTTTGGTCTGTTTATGCTTATGGCTGGTGTGGCGGGATGGATTACTTGGGGCACACCTGAGGGTGCAGCTCCTACGAGGTATATAAATACCAAGTAGCACATCCAGGTCACCTATGATAGCAAGCTTCTCGTACAATCGACAATCATTCACGGTCAGTCGCTCTGATATTATCAAGTCTCAACACCACCTTTCCACCAGCTATAGTTGCTCGATCTCGCTGAATTCTTCCTCTGTTCTCCTGCTCTTCCTCCTCCTTCCCTCACACCTTTACACTCTCCTCCCTCGCCACATTCTCAACCGTAGCCTCCACCTTTTCCGTCATCAACTCCTTCACGCCCTTCAGACAAGCCACGGCGACGATGGCCACGACCACAAACGGGAAGATGGACCACCAAGCCAAGCGGTACGCTCGCGTGTAAGCCCAATGACTCGCATCCGTCGCCGCCAGCATCACATCCGCGTTCGCGCCTGGAACCTCGTCGAAGCCAGCGCCTGAACCGAAAGCCTCCAGCAGCGCCGACACAGACGACTCAGGCAGACCGGCCGCCACGGCCGCGTTTCCGACTTTGCGCGCGTACGTGTTGCCGAGTTTGGAATTGGTGATGGCGAAGAGAACCGCGGTGCCGAAGGAGCCGCCGATTGCTCGTGCGGAAAAGGCCAGGCCTGTGGCGGTCGAGAGGTAGGCGTGTGGCGCGGTGAACTGCACGCATGCTACGAGGAGGGTGAGCGGGCCGGACTGGCCGATTCCGGAAAGCACGTTGAAGCCGTACTGTGCCTTTGACATGCTGGGGGAGATGTTGGCGTAGCAGATGGTCACGGCCAAGAAGATTGTGAATGTGACGAGGAGGGGTGACTTGAGGTCTTTGTAGTAGGTTGAATAGAGCATGATGGGAATGGAGACGAAGAGTGTAAGCAACTGGTAAGACAGTTGGCGAATCGATATGTCCCATGCGTTGTTCTCGAAGCCGAGGTTCAGCACAATCTGAGGGGTGATGCTGTTGACGGCGCTGTAGAAGAGCCAGCCCTCGACGGCAAAGGCAAAGACCGAGAGGGCAAAGTTGGGGGAGCCCTTGAAAAAGGCATGAGTTACCATACCGTCTGTACGACCCTTCCACTCTGGTGATGTTTAGCAACGCAAGAAGTCCATATGATTGAGAGGCTTACCATATAGGCCAAACCCAACCAGAAGCACCAAGCCAATGGTCAATGGAGCTGCAACGTGGGCTTCGGACCAGGCATACGCCCCTCCAGCCCAAGTCAGAGCCAAGAGTAGCAGCACCGTGCTCGTTACGAATAGCAGCGAGCCAATGGGGTCACATTCCCACAAGACCTGCTTCCAGGTGAGTTTGCCATAGTCGGAGCCTTGTTTAGGTCTGTAGAAGACGAACAGCCCGATCGAAGTAGCCGCGTGAAGGGCAGCCTGCATCCAGAAAATGTCTCTCCAGCCGCCCGGATTCGCGTTCGTCATGGCGCCTGACCCGAGTGAGCCAACACTGTCATCAAGTCAGCATGTGACATCTATGCCGAGTGAATGAAGTTTCTTACAGGCCACCCACAGCTCCACCGAGGAAGGCAAACCCATTCGCCAGCGCTCGGTACTTCAGAGGCAGCACTTCGCTGGGTATGGCTTGGACGATGGCAATCGTGGGCAGCGTAACGCCGATGAGGATACCGCCACCCACAAGCATCTGCATTGATGTGGCCTTGGCTGAGATGACAGCGCCGACGAACGCAATGAGGGGTGGAATAGTGGCCATGTATTTCCGGTCTACGACGTCGCTGAGACGGCCGACCATCGGTGACAGGGCACTTTGCATCAGCAGTGGGCCCTCTGCATGAGGTCAGTATGTTGGCGAAAGCTCGTTGAGCATTGTGTAGGCCGGAGTTACTAACCAATGATCCATCCAGCGAGCTCTCCATCACCGAGATCGCGGATAATGAAAGCAATCACAGAGCCAGCCGCCACCACGACGAAGACCTGCGCCATGATGGCAAACTGTTGTTGTACGACAGAATGTTAGCACATCGAGCGGCAGCTGAGGGGCTCGAAGGCGTTGCGCGCCTTTGACGTGTACAAGGCTGGCACTCGGAAACACGTGAGAGGATCTGGAGCACTTACACAGGCAACGAAGACCACGACCCATGTCCGCCAGCTCAGATTGACGTGCTGTGCCTCACCGAGTTCCTGGACATGTTGTGTCGGCGCCTCAAAGTCAGTAGCATGAGCATGCTTCTGTTCGTGGTCGGCACTATTCTCAACAGCGTTGGCCTCGATTTCATCCTTCTCCAATGCCATCTTGCTAGATCTGTACGCCGATCGCTGTTAGATGCACCCAGATGTCTACAGAAGCGAAAAGCGAATCGCGTATGTGCTTTGGTTAGAGCGGATGAGGAGCCGAGGAGAGGATATATCGGTCTGGAAGCATGCTGCCGAAGCGTGGCTCGTAGCTCTCGCATCCGGGATTTGCCATGCGTTCTCACCCACCTACCTCAAGCTTTCATTCTTGTAGCAAAGGCGGCGGTTTCCCACCTCGAGCATGACCAGCGGCGCCGCACCGTGTCCGTGATTGGCGAGCTGGAGTTGAGAGCGGGTGGTGCCCTCGTTTCGTGCTTCGCGAAGCTTATGGTGTCCCCTCCGGCAGTTAGAGAGACCCCAGAACATGTTGGAGATACCGTGGGGAATGCATGACCAGCAGGGGTTGGGGCAGGGGTATAGATGAGGGAGAATGGGTGTTCTCCGTTGAGCCAGAAGGGCAATCCTACTCCACGTTCATTGGTGGATGTACTCAGTGTTATCTCCCCTCTAGCGGCTTGGCTTGAACTCCAATATCAACCGTCACTGGACACTTTCACAGTTTGATATGTAGTAGTAACTCTTTGCTCATCACTGAACAATGATCGTTGTTGTGCTCTCTATGATGGTGTAGCCTCAGCGGCTTCTGCACTCTCGACACGCCGGTCGCGCTCACTCCTCGGTCTCGACATCGTTGTTGAGATCGTTGCCATTGTCATTTCCCCCTACCCATCTCTTTGCCATATCTTGAGGGCCAGGTCCGCACGAACTAGCGACTCTCGCTGCTTCCACGTGCGTGGAGCCGGCGCGGCGACCAGAGCTCGGAGGTTGGCACGCGCGGCGGCTCTAGCGGCACCTCTGCCGACACTGGCACTGGCGTTGTTGGTGATACTGCTGCTGCTGTCATCGTTGTTGTTGTTGTTGTCGTCGTCGTCGTCGTTGTCGTCGTCGTCGTCGTCGTCGTTGTCGTCGTCGTCTTCGCCATCTTCGCCATCTCCGTCGTTGCCATTATTTGTGGCTGTGGCTGTGGAAGTGGTGTTGCTGTTGTTGCTGTTGGCAGCAGGACCACCAACAGACGCAGCGGCAGCTTTAGCCTCGTTCCAAGCACGGGATCTCGGCTCCCAGATCGGGATGCGGGCGCTGTGATTGGTGTCATCCAAGATGGCGTTCGCGGAGTGGCGGGGCGGGACGACGAGGGCATTTCGGAAGCTGCCAGGGTCGGTGGCAGCGGACGTTGCGACCAAACCAACGTCTACGTATATGATAAGCTATAAATTCCTGCTGCTATGTGGTGGATAACTCACCGGCAAAATACTCGGCGCGATTGATGGAGAAGAGACGCGCCTCGTCCCAGTCGCCAGCAGGGCCCGCATTGGCGTCGGAATGCCAGCCATTTGTGAAGTGGCGGTGGACCTCGCTTTTCTTGCTCCATGCTAGGGGACAACCGATGACAAAGCACGGCCAGAACTTGTCGGGCTGCACCACGCCGTTGATAGCCTTTCGCACTCGTTCTGCTTGGAGGACGACGGGGTCTGTTTTGACCACGCCGGTCTGCTTCGGGGCCATTGCTGTTGCTTGGTGAAGAAGAGAAATAAAGAGGAGAGAAAACGGTATCGTTGGCATGTGAAGTGGTGTTTGGTCACTCTACAGGATGCAGTTTGTCTCTTTGACAGGTAAGCAGTAGGTTCGACTCACAGTATGCAAGTGAACACCTGCGGCGGCTTGATGGTCACGTGTACGAGCCACCGCGATTCATCTCGAGCATGGCTTCGTTCCAGCAAATGGGGCTCAACTGAGGCAAAGGTGAGGATCGAGTCATGATAATTTCAAAGCATCAATTGCGGTTTCCATCGCCCGGAGCCCTCCCAGATATTCTGACCGTCGACTAAGAAGGATTCGCCCAAAAACTACCAGCGGCCTCCTCGACATCACATCGCAAGGGATTGCGTGTCTTTGGCATAGATAACAGCGCCCTCCCCAGACCATCATTCCCCCTAATCCTCTCGTCCATCCTCACCCTGCCCACCCTGCCGGTCCTCCGCGCCCTTCTCCCCATTGCTCAAAGCTGACAAAGCAGCATTATACCCCTCCCACTCCCCATCAGGCACCGCCAAACCATTCGCCCTCGCAATATCCTCCCATACACGCACCGCCGCCAACGCCATCTCATAGCTCGCCACATGGCTCTCGGCCGCCGCCTCAGCACGGCCCCTCTCTGCACGCAGATTCCCCAGCTCCGCCTTCAGATCCTGCACTTCGTCCCTCAACCGATTGCGTTCATTCTGAATCTCCATGTAAGCATCCTCCTCGACATACTTGGTGTCTTGCGGGGGAGGCAAAGGGAACTGTGCCCAATAATCGCGGTCCTCGGCGCGCGCCTTCATCCGCGCAGAGTGGAGGGCTTCTTCCGCGACCCACGTGGCGGTTCTGTACGGGTCTTCGTCCTTGGACTTGGGCTTGGGCTCGGGCTCGGGCTCTTCTGGGACTGGGGGAAAATAGCTATGGTATGTGTTGCCGGACGCCGCTGGGTTTTGCTGGCCATGCTTCACAGGTTTGTCCTTGTCTTTCGCCACTCTCTTCGGGGCCTTTGCAGATGCTCTGATCGGCCTCTTGGTTGGGCGACTGTCTTCTGGGTCGGCGTTGGCATCGTTTCCCTCGTCGCGCTTGCGTTTGCGTGTCTGAACGGCCGAAGGCTCTGAAGTTGCCTGGAGGTTCTGCTGGCTCTGAGGCTCGGTATTGACCTCTGCTTCTGCAAGCGGTTGCTGTCGACGGGTGCGGGGCTGAATCGTTGACCTATTTGGCCTCTTGCGTGGTCCATCGTCCTGGTCGGCTTCAGCGTCATCATGTTTGCGCTTCTGGCCGGCAGCTGGACCCGTCGCAGTGGTGTCCTGTGGCGGAATATTCTCCTTGTTCGCTGCTGAAGCAGCGCGAGTGCTTACATCCTCACTCCGCCTCACTACCTGTGGCTGGAGACCTGATGCCACTGGAGTGGGAGCTGCTGGCTGTTGCATTTGTGCAGAGACTTGAGGTGGCCCAGAATAATCGTCCAGAAACTCGGGATAGTCCTTCTTCGCCTTCGGCGTTGCTGGGAAGCCAACAATTCTACCGTTAAGCCAATCAACGAAATCGATGATGCGAACGTCTCCAGGGTTGGTGGGTGGCTCGTGACCTGTTTTCTTGTGCGTCGTCCTCACGTGGCGCTGTAGCTCCCCGAACTGGTACGCACCACTCGAACAACCGGGGACGTTACAAAGAAACCGATGCTTGTGAGGCAGTGACCTTGAGCCACCTGTTGGGGCAGCAATTTCCTTTGGGATGGCGTCAACCTGAGCGGCGCCGTTGACTTGAGAGCCGGTCCCAACCTGAAGGGTGGTGGTACCATCGGTATTCGTTGCCGTCGCATTGGCATTCGCAGCAGCTGCTGCATCGAGTATAATCTGAGCCCCTGTGGCGGTGGCGGCTGCGGCACTCTCAGCAGCCTCCAGCGCTGCGATCTCGTCCTGCCTCTCAGCATACATTGCGTTTGCATGGGCCTGAGGCACGACCTTGGCGGTCTCAGCAGAATAATCGTAAAACTGCTCCGTCGTCAATATCCTGGTGTTTTTGGGATCCTTGGGTGGGAGATCTGAGAGCTCGAAAGGCTTTGGCTTCAGGCCACGACTTCGGGTGCTCATTCTCTCCGGCCGTGGAGCTGTCGAGGCGGACGCATTGATCCGCTTGGTCTTGGGCTTCTGGTTTGGGCGTCTCCTGGGTAGCATATTGGTGTCCTTGCTGGAGTATCTGTGCTGAGAAGGGAGATTTGGGTGTTGCTGTCAAGGACGCGGAGACTGCAGTAGTCTGCTAGATTTGACGATTTTCCAATTCAACAAACTCGGTAGGGAATTGTCTTGCTGGACGCGATACGGGCGAAGACAGGATCTGAGCCAGAATGCCAGATTGTGATTGTGTCTCGGTGCACCGTGTACAAAAGACAGAGAGGATGATAATTTGGTACGAGTTGTTGTTATCTCGAAGAAACAATTTGCTTTATTTCTAGGGTTTGTCTTGAACGGCCTGTCTGTGTTCCATTCCTTTGTTTGTCTGCCTCTTGTATGCGGTGGCTGGGGCGTCATGAAGCGCGACAAACTCGACTGTCTGGATCGACGCGTTGACGCGTGATCTGGACAGACCGAGCAAGATAGCTTCAGTAGTCAGAGTAGAGCACCAGGAGGACACGCAGCATTCAGTATCAGATCACGATGCGGTTTTGCTGACTCTACAAGCATTCCACCATCGCAAATGATTGCTGGTAAGTACACACACATACTGGTGTAATTGCCAAACCATATTATTTGCTTCTGGGCAAGCATGCGTTAGTCAACTTACGATCTACTTGTTCAAGCATTAGATTCAGAATTAGCTGTAAAGAGAGTCATGGCTTGTGTTTTCAGTCCCGGGGGCTTTCTATTGTTCTATTCTAGGGTCTAAGATGACTCGGACAAAGCAGATAGTTGCCTTAGAACTGCGAATCTCGCACATGCCCTTTTTCGGATAACAGATATCGTCAACGGTGAGTCGGCTCCTGGCTACCATGATGCACCCGTTACTAAGATATCCCCTGCCTCCTCGGATACTCAGCCTTGCCAATGGTCAGTTGGGGCGGGTGCCTGACTGGGCTTATCAGGCCAAAGATATATGCATTAGATCACTCTTAGCTAGTAGTCACCGCCGATGCTGTAAGTGCTGCCGTCGAGGGTGCGTCGATGCCATCGTCGGTTTCAAAGTCGAAACGCACCAAATCCTCGTTGAACGGCCACATGTATTGGCTCGTTACACTTGCGCTCGCTATTAGCAGACGCCATCGGACGAAACAACGTCTCAGGGACTCACCGGTGATGCTCCGCGCTGGCCTGGTACGCATCCAGCGCAGCACGGTCCTTGTGATAGCTCAAGAGACAGTACTGGAAGCCTTGGCTCCGGGCCGCTGGAGTGGTGATCGAAGGCCCTCCCACCTCCAGCTTCTGGTCTTGGACACACGGCAAGGCTTTCAACTTCTTGAGCTCCGTGACGAAGGTCTTCAAGATTGCTTCGGATGTGTCTCTCCTGAATTTGAACAATACTGCACATGCTGGTCAGGCGAAAGGCACAGGAGAGGCTTGGTGGCTTGAAACGAGTGCTTACCGATGTGGATGACAACCATCTTGCTTGGATCACCCTACAATGACCAGGAATATGCTCGCTCTAGGTTGTAAGAGGAGTTGGAAGGACCTAAAAGACCAAAATGAATCATGGCGGACGTCTTCCGCACTGGGTGGATGGCGTGGAGTTGTAGGAACGTTTACTGCCTCTTGGCAGATGCTCATCTGGAAGCCTCACGCCGCTTTTAGAGACGTCTTCATATTCATCCAGCACCACTTCTTGAATTTTCAACCCATCCCTTTTCGATGGCGGCGGCGACGTCGTTGCGTATCCATATTCACACGAATCGCAGCTGCCCAAATCACCCAAACATAAAAACCCCTTAAGGTCTGACGGAGCTCCAGCTTATGTAAACCCCCGGGCTTACAGCAGCGAGGGAAAAACTCGTTTGGGTACTGACGGCTACGGGCCCGTTCCCGCTCCATCACCTCTTACCACCACGTAGCTGGATGCCATGCAGTCTCTCCTCTTAAGGACGGCTACGACCCGCTCCTAGCAGGACAATTCCTTTCTTGTCAGTTTTCTGGTGGGTCGCCAGAGACGCGCCCCCTCCCGAAGCAAGCTCGACATGAGAAGCCCACCTTCCGAAGCCGGAGAGGATTCCGGCAGGCTGGCGAAGAATCGTCGTATCAGACTGGCATGTGCACGGTGTCAGACACGCAAGATCAAGGTAAGCGCCTCGGGAAATACGTTCAGTGTCTGCAAATTGTGTCGAGTCGGGTGCTTGCTGTGACGGATTGTTAAGTTCGTCTTGTGGCTGCTGCTGCTGCTGCTGCTGCCAGTCCCATTTTGAGCCGAAGTCATCGCTGAGCTTCCAGGGGTTGGCAGTAAATCGAGTCAACTACTTTCGCGACCTCAGCTGACGAGACCCCAGTGCGATGGTGTTCTGCCAAGGTGTTCATCTTGCCGTAAAGCTGGTGCAGATTGTGTAGACGGTAAGAAGACGTTCCAGGAGGGCGCCATCTCTCGCAATGAGGCAGCCGCACTCCACATCCAGGTGCAACGTTTGCAGGATGCCTTGCGCGAGAGGTGTCCCGATATCCGCATAGAAGACGTTATGTCGGGTGAGGTGACAACGGAGGGGCAGGAGTTTGGAGCAGGGGTACCTGGGGCAGAGGCTGGCCAGAGTGCGCGCTACGCTTCAAACCCACCGAAGAGCGACCACAGCACCGCATTCGACATTGCCCCTGGGGCTGATATTAGCCACGGACATGATCGTGGCGTTCTGGACCAAGAAGCCCCAGTCCACGAGATAGGTCTCATTCCCATTTCATCCGGAGTTAACAAGTACGTGGGACCTTCTAGCGGCTTCGGGGTTGCGAAGCTGGTGTTCGCAAAGGCCAAAGTCGCCGAGAGTGCGGACGCTCAAAGAAGCACGAACAGTGCCGAGACACACTGGGCAACCAAATCCCAATCGACATTCGCTGTTGTTCCAACTGCCATTCCACAGAGAGTCGAGGAAGCTCTGCAGCTTTCCAAAACCTTTTTCGAGCATGTCCATTACCAGCACCCATTTCTCCACCAGCCAAGCCACGTACGGTTGGTGCACAATTTGTACAGCGGTCACAGTCAGTCTGCGATTGACTCGTTCCAGGTTACCATGGTGCTCGCCATCTCTGCCGTCATTCTTTCGAGGAGACTCCGGATACCGTACTCTGGCGAGGGTTTGTGCGCCACAGCCATGCAGCAGATAGACGAGATTGACTTCCAGAATTCTCTACAGGGAGTCGAATGCCTGCTTCTCGTGCAGATCTTTGCTTCTTACAGCCCATTCCTCGGTGTCAATCCTTGGTATCTGAATTACCAGTGCCTGGCGGCTGTGCTAGATCTTGGACTTCAGCGAGACCTCCCCACAAGCAGTTCGTGTTCTGCCTTTGAAAGAGAGATGCGGACCAGGACGTTTTGGACCATCTACTCGCTTGACAGGATCATGGCCACCAAGCTTGGACGTCCAATCGGGCTCAGAGACGAAGCTTGCGAGCTCCGAATGCCGGCGGAACTCGAGGACAATGACCTGCATGAAGGTCGACAGACTGCGACCCTACAGACAAGTTCGTCCCCGGGTGCAATGGCCTGCGCTCGAGTGCTGTTCAAGCTAGCATTGCTGAACTCTGAGATCAAGTATATCATGCACAGCATCAGTAGAGATGTGCCAAGGTACACCTATCCGCAGGTCCCAGACATCGGAGCGTGGCAAAGCGACGTCTACAACCGTCTCCGGGCACTTCATGCGGAGATGCCTGTCCTTGAAGCAGACGACGCCCATATGTCGACCAACTGCGACATCAGATATCACGAGATTGCCATGCTCCTTTTTCGGCCTTCACCACGTTTCCGCAAGCCGTCGAGAGACGCCCTCCTCCAATGCCAGCAGAGTGCCGAGACGCAGATTGGGCTGTTCAAACGCCTCTACGATGCCGATAGACTGCCGTTTTCGTGGTTCGACATCCATTCCATCTGCCTGAGCGCGACCACACTCTTGTACTGCGTCTGGTCCGAACCCGCTATAGCCGCCGCGACGAGGATCGATGGGCTTATAGATAGCACGCGGGCGGCATCTAATATATTGAGCGCCGCAGGGGAGCACTGGACGGAAGCTCGCCGGAGTCGCGACAATCTCGAGGCGCTCTCGTCGGCCACCGTGCGTTGGCTTTTGGACCTGCATACCAAGTCGAGGCCCTTGAATGGCATGAGCCAGCTGCAGCAGCCATCCGGAGCGTCTAATCCGAAACAGAACAGGTCTGGAATAGCAGAATACTCGCAGCTGCCGGACCTGGGCAACGCTACTTTCGACTGGGACCTTCCCGGAGTCGACACATATTTGAACAATGACAACCTGGCCACGTTTGTTGGGGCTCCGGATCCGTTCACAGCAGACTTCAACTTGACAATCGACGGGATGTTTAGCGAATATCAGCCAACGTTCGACTTCGGCATTTAGGGCCAGCTCGGGTACGGGTAACTTTCCATCAGCAAGCGGGACCCTTCCGGGGAGCTTAGACTCAACTGTTTGGCGCTGTTGTAGTGTCGGAAGACGGCCGATCTCGAACAACACCAGGTCATTTCTTTCTACGCGAGCTCATCTCACCCGCCGCACCTGCACATATTTCTGTCGCAACTGCGACTGTCGAAAAAACAACGGGTGTGCCGGCCTAAGTCACAGCATGCATGATCTTAGCGGAAAAGTAGCCCTTGTCATCGGCTTAGGTCAATCATCACCTCGAGGATGGGGTATTGGTTGTACGATTGCAGTGCTCCTCGCTCGGCAGGGGGCTATCATTGTCGGTGGCAACAGGACTGTTGCGTCTGCTCACATCACCAAAGATCGCATTGAAGCAGAGGGTGGTAAATGCGAGATCTATGCCACGGATGCGACGTCATCAGCCTCGGTCGAAAAGCTGGTGAGCACATGCATGCATCGTCACCGCAGGATAGACATTCTCATCAACAATGTGGGCAAGTCGGCGCTGGGCGATCCTGCCACCATGTCAGAGGACGTTTGGAACTCCCAGATTGACCTAAATCTGAAGTCAGTGTACCTCGCCTTGCCACCATGTCCTGCCGGTGATGGAAAGACAGGGCGATGGCAGGGTTGTCAGCATATCCAGCATCGCTGGTCTCAGGTATATCGGCAAGCCTCAGATTGGGTACTCTGCGACCAAGGCCGCTATAGTACAGACCATGAAAGCGACTGCGGTCATGTACGCCAGTCGAGGTGTGCGACTCAACACGGTGGTGCCAGGGCTCATGTATACACCCTACACCGAGGAGCTGGCTGAGCGATATGGTGCTAGCGAACCAGAGACCAAGAAGGCATACATGAAGACCAGGAAGTCTCAGGTTCCGATGGAGAAGATGGGAGATGCGTGGGATGTGGCCCATGCTGTGTTGTTCCTGGTATCTGATGAAGCCAAGTACATTACCGGGACAGAGCTCCTGGTTGACGGAGGAATTACTGCCTCGACAGGCCGTGCATGAGGTTGACAGTCCGCACCCACACCCACACACTGTACAAGCCTGTCGTATGTTATCGCATTTAGTCATTCGGTACGCGAAGTGCTTCCATCGGCAGGTCCAATAGTAGATAATGCTGTTGTTCGCTGCATAAAGATGACCCGAGGATGACTCGAGCTCATCGTCGTCGTCGTCGTCGTCGGCGCCAAGCAACAAGGCTTGGCGGTCCGTCGCTGTTGATCACAGCCAATTTCCGTTCTCTCCACTGTCGAAGCCGCCACAAGCTCCCCCCTAATCGCTCATATCGTGGCCAGACGCAGCGCAAATCCATCGGAAACCATTTCCGACGTTCCTCATTTACCTGATCGAGTTTAAAATTGCTCAATGGTGCGGCTCCCGGTGTTGATTGGCGTTTGACAGATGCTTCGTTTGACATGCTATTTCCCTGTGCCGCGGGCCACGCGAGCACACCTCGTCCAACGCAAGCCCCAGCAAAGTAGCAAGCGCTCCTGTTCGACTCCATCCGAGAGGCAAAGAAAAGGTGAGGCCTAGGTGGATGCTACAGAGGTCGGATCTTTGAATCTTGACCCTTGTGCTTCGGGCGCTGCACAGGTCCACTCAGCGGGGATGCTCCTGCTCCAGACCCAGGGGATGTGCTTGTGGATATTTGGAGCCCATCAACGATTGTTGCTTTCATCTTCTCTTCATTACTGATTGTTGCTCCTCGTTGCCGTGACTTGCGATAGCATTCCGTCGCTCTTTTGCTTGTCCTTGTTGTTACTGATCTGAGCACTCACTCGTTTCGTGCTTCAGCATCGTCCATTCGTTTTCCTGGTTATCTCAAGGCGTCGAAAAGGAATATACCCGCCGCTGCACACCCTGGCCCAGTGATCTGCCAGCAACCGCGACTCAATTACTTCTGCGACACACTCCGTCGCGAACAATACTCTCATAATTCACAGCCTCCCCCACAACAGCCACCCTCGCCAACTCAAACAAGCACTCGACATCTGTCGACGCCATGGCCGGTGTTCGCGATCCAGCCTTTTGGCGTCGCTTCTCCGTGGCCATTCACCTCGATGAGGAGAAAGCACCTGGGTCCGACAAGAGCTCAGTATCCTCGCGGGCTCCGCTGAAGCACAGGTAAGGCACTCAAATGAACAGGCAGCGCTGGTTCAACCCCAGGACTGACTTCTTCCGTAGCGAGACCTGGCTGGAGAAGGACCGTCGAAAGAAGCGACGTACTAGAATCCTCGGCTGGTCTATTGCCATCCTGACCCTGCTCGTCATTGTGGGCGGCGTTTTTGCATTGATGTTCTTCCTCAAGTTTGGCCTGTGGAGTACAGAACCCCGTCCCAGTGACGACGACCCGAACTACTCGCAGACGCAAGCCGTCAATCCCCTGGGGAACTGAGGTGGCGTCCGCAAATACATTCTTTATCCGCATCCATAGAACACCCACACGGCGGGACGGACCTGCACCGCTCAGAAAGCCGGCGCCAAATGATCAGCGCCGCCCGGGGGTGCCAGGACAACCCAAGCACCGTCAATCACGCCGCGGCACAACCCTTGGGGTCCGCGCATCTGGCAAAGCAACAACGTCAAAAGCGCAACTACGTCCAAAACGAAGCGCCCGCGACCGATAAAGGTCGCCGTCGGCCGCACAGAAATGCTGCGCGGGCAATCCATCACCCGCGCAAGCAGATGACTTGAGACGAACTATTTACGATATCATGTTTCGAAGATGTCTAGAGGACATGGAGGAGGAGGATTCGAACATAGAAAGCGAGCGAGGGGGCAAGGGAAACTACATATCGCGAAGCCAGGCAAGCCCTGCTGAATCTTCAATGCACAAAAATGTGAAAACACTGTTCAAATTTGACTCGGGAAATGCTTTTCATCCGATTTGTGGTATCTTAGTAGACGTAGTGAGCCTTTTTGAGGCCGCGTCTCTCACCTGACCTCCCATATAAGCCCGCCCTACATTTGACCCGAGCCCGCGCGCCTGCAATGATGTCTCCCAAACGCCTTGCATATGCGTGTCCCTCTTGGGTACAACGACTTCACTCCGGTCGCGCAAGCCAAATATGCACAAATTCCTCGTTTGGAGCCATTGACGCGCTCAATGCGCCAACACGTAAACGTGTTCCGAAGACATCGAACGGACTCGGCCTTTTACTTTCCAGCTCTCGCGCTCTCGGGCGCGCGAACGTCTTTCATAGTCGGCACCACGGCCCATGTGCAGGAAAAGTGCCCTTTACTCGGTGGCCACTCATGCGCCGGCTCAAGCATACCGCTTCCTCGTCGGCTCCGGACTCGGGCTCCGCGACACCGACCGCTCATCCCTGCCCCTCTCCTTCAACCACTTCTTGGTGCTGAGCTCCAACTCCCTCTCCAACTCCGGACTGGGCTCCTTGCGATGGATGAAATTACAGAACCCGCCTCTGACACAGCCCTCACCGCTGTTCAGCCGACAGCACGCCTCGCGGAAATCCGTCACGGGGCTCAACTCGCAGTAGATCGGTCGGGCGGCGTACCAGCGGGAATTCAGCGCCTCGGAGGCGGCCTGCGCGCTGTCCTCGTACTTGAAGCGCGCGTACACGTTGCCGATGAGGTGGTCGTTGTTGTTGTCGCAGACGACGACTTCTTCGACTTCGCCGTACTTGCACATCTCGCACCAAAAGTCTTCGTAGAAGGCGTCGAAGTGGTTCTGGAGCTGCGACGCGTTCATCTTGTTCTTTTGGTCGTAGGCCGGGTTTTGGTATAGGTTGGGCAGCAGGATCGTTTGGCTGTACGAGGGCTTGACGTGCTTGCGACTGCAGCGGTCGCCGTGGCGGCAGGCGCCGATTTTGTAGTAGAACGAGCAGTTGACTCTGCGAGAGGCTGTCAGTATGGTGCTATATTTTGAGGCGGGGGACGTTTGGGGTGGGAAGGGCTTACTTGTCAGCTTCTGTGCCGAAGATGGAAGCGAGGTAGTTCGCCATGGTGAATATGAAAGTACTGCGGTCGAAAAGGTGTTGCGCAAAGGTGTATGTAATGAACGTCAAGTTGTAGACTATACGGAGGAATCTTGCGGGCGAGGTCGAGGACAAGGCTGAATAAGGCTGAGGTCACGTGGCAGGCGGTTCTGGAAGATTCTTGGCGCATAGATTGCTCAGCGAACGGAGAAGAGGTGACAATGGTAGCAAAGGAGAAGAGGTTTCTGTCGTTGGAGGGGCACGTTGATGGACGACCGGTGTGCTTTAGTAGGATTTGCCGTAGATTAAGCAGAGATTTCTATGAGAGCAGGCTCTACGATCGATGTGGCGGCAGATGTGCGGTCACCTACGCACCACGGCACCAGCAAGACTACGCTGCTCGTTGCGCTCAGAGTACGACTGTCCTAGCCCAAGATGTTGTGTCAATCAAGCTTGTGGCGAAGAATGCATAGCACCCCGGCTCCATGGTGTAGGCGGCGGTCGATGCTGCTGCCAGCGGTATGGTGAGAAAACGTCCGCGTGTTCGACGGTCAAATGTAAGGTCCAATCCAAGCTGCCATGGAAAAGGAATTTCTGCACCAAAGACCGTGGCCGGCCAGGGTAAAGTAGACGCAAGGGATAAGATACAGTTTCGGGTAACTTTCACGAGCGTTCTCATCTGCGAGAATCGCTTCAGCTATCATTCCAGCGTATACGTTCGGTCAATCGGTTTATAAGCTTTAGCCGCGTTACCCTACCTTGCTCGCAAGCCACGGCCTCATACTGGCTATGGACACCAGAATTCGAAGGTAAAGTTATCGGCATCCAGGGCTTACAATGTGATTCGGGAGAACGTTACGAGCAGTACATGGTGCTAGTATACCTTAGGTGTGGTCGCCTTATAGAAGAATGTAGGTTGCGCGGTCGTCGCGTCTTCTACCACTGCGGTAATGAGGATCGAGTAGTACTAACCGTTCGACTGCGGTTTGGGGTATATTGAAGAGTCGTATGACTGGAAGCATGAGGTGAGCAAGCCCCTTGGGACCCCGACTTAGATACGAAATTGGCTTCGTGAGGGTCTAACGGTCCTTGTTGTCAGACTCGGCCAGTGATCGACAGTCTAGACACGAGCAGCTCGTGATGTCGCAAATCTTGGATAGGCAGAGTGGTGTCTCATAAGCCAGGGCGGCCAGAACGCGTGAAAGATTGTGGCGTGACCGCGTGGAATGATGGATGGACAAGGGGCCACTTTACCTGGGTGCGGAATCGATAATCATAGCGAACTCTCTCAAGCGAGTTGCAGGCAGCACACACGACAGGGCACCGCAGATGAAAGACCCAGAGGGTTCTGGGAGGCGCAGGCTCTGCAGCAAGCAGCGATCGGTTCAAGCGGAAGCTAAATATAGGGGTAAATGCTCATTGGTGGTCGCGTGGGGCTGCGCTCCTGCCAACCAACAGCTGACGCCTAACAACTGGTCGAAATCGACGCCCCCCCGCTCCGCACCAAAAACAAGTCTGGAGCCGGTTGGCCACTCAGCCGAGGGGTGGGCTCGGTGGGTTGCAGCTGCTGCCAACGCCCATAAACCTGGCCCAGCTCCCGCCAGGTCCAAAGCCAACTCGCCAGCCCGCTCTCTCGCTCACCAGCACCACACCAAAGTCACTCGTTCTGCCTTTTTGGTTACCCAGTACAACAGCAGTTGCTCCGTCGACTCGTCGACTCTTGTTGTGCTGCAATATTCCAATTGTTCTCCTTGTTATCATTCTCGCGTATACAGTGCTCTAATAGTTAACTCCTGGTGAGTCTCCCTTGCGCTAGCAGCCCCTGACCCACAAGGTGTTCTCGCCTTCAGGCATACCAGGGCCCCTCGCTGACCTCCTGAACCCAGGCTTTTATTAAGACTCGCGCCTGCCTGCCTGCCGCGATCTTTCCGAACCCCTCCACGTCTCCATCACCGCCGCAACCATGTCTTCACAACCTCTATACTACGATAAGGTCTCCGAGAACGAGGATGATATCAGCCTCGATCAGCCTACCCATAAGCCCTCGGCCGTCAAGCGCTGGAGCTGGGGTCAACAATCATTCATTATTCGTACCCTTGTCATTGCTATTTACACGATTCTGATCGCCGGTATCTGCTCTGCGATCGTCGAATACCGACATAGCGATGACTCGACGACCACTGCCGTCGCCGAGGCTACTTCCACTCCTGCTCCTGCTGCCCAGGTCGAGCAGGCCAAGGCTGAGGTTGAGGCCAAGCCCGACACTCCCAATACTGGCCTCGATCAGATCCAGCACTGCGGCTCCAACCACACCGAGGCCAAGGCTTTGGGCTGCGTGTACGATGTCATGATGCAGCTGTGGATGCCCGCTGCCTGCTATGACGAAGTTCTCAGTGAACGCTTCCTGAACGAGGGCAACTGGACCTGGTGGTCCGACCCCGAGAATGGTGTCACTATGTCCGATGAGCAGATGCGCAAGGGTGAACACTCCGTTGCCTTCATGTTGATGGATTACCACAAGATGCACTGTATTTTTGCCATGGAGAAGCTGGTCCGTGCTCTGCGAAACCAGTGGTCCATCATACCCGAGCTGGTCTCATACGACCACATTGTGCATTGCAAGCACAAGACCCTCGCTCGCCCCGACGGCGACACGGTCAAGGGTGTCCGCGCTCCCACCGGTTTCACCTCGTGTGCTCCTTATGAGGTCTGGAAGAATCAGCTTCCCGAGGACCACACTTCTTCAACCGACTAAACAAAAACCAAACAGGCGTCATAGCCAACACAATTTTCATTTCCAATACGTTGGACGGGGGTGGAGCGAGCATTGTGGATAGGCATGGAGGGATCCTGACCAGGAGTTCCTGAAACCGGGACAAGAATGGCGACGAGCGTCCTGTATTTCCTCTGAGTATGCGAGACTCTGGTATATGCTAAATCTATTCTTCTACATTTCATGTCCTCAGTTGTTAAATTGCATCTGATCTTTGATACCTTGACACGACCGAGGCGTGATAGCCACCAGCAGCACGCCCTGCATCCTTAGCTACTATACATCCGCAAGGCTAACCCTCTACGTGCAGGTGCTCATGTATCTCGTTCACTAGTCCTCATAAGCCGCAGTCTAGATGTTCAGCTCTCCGTCTGCTCAGGAAGTCAGCTAAAGGGCGGATGCTATGATTCGCAGCCTTCATGCCTTAGCCCATACAGTCAAATAGGGACTCCACCCGAGTTTTGATTGCGAGCCCGATCTATATTGGATCAGGGGGCGTCTTGATCTAGATACTGATGTCACAAACCTCTCAGGATGAACGATATAGAGTTAGTATGGCATGTGTTACATGCTAGACCCAGGCTGGCCCCGGGGTTAACGGGCTTGACCACTGCCACTTCGGGTCTTGGAGACAGCCTTACCGATACAGCCAATCATGGTACCCTTTATGCACGAATTTATTGCACCATGTGCCGAAGTGGCCAATCACCAACTGACTGAAATGCTTCATATCTGAGCAGAGCTGCTCAACACGATCGGGAGAGCTCGAGCATAAAAGCCGGCTGCGGGCACTGTCCATTGCTCCGTCTGTTGAAACACTACACTATACCAGCACCTCAGCACCAGCAACCCAACCATAAGCAGCAATGGCTTCCTACCTCATCACTGGCTGCTCCAGAGGCATTGGTCTGGACATGGTCAAGCAGCTATCAGCCAGACCATCCTCTGCAGTGGCTACTATTTTTGCAACAACTCGAGCACCGACCCCTCCCCAGCCACTGGCCGACCTCATCCAGGCTGACAGCAAGCGCATACACTTCGTCCAGCTAGACACAGATGATCGTGCAAGTATTGAAGCAGCCGCATCGAACATCGAGCAGCAACTTGGACAGAGTGGTTTAGACATTCTTGTCAACAACGCCGGCATAGCCCCATGGGAATCCGACCCCCCTCTCGGCATGGACAGTCTCGAACAAGCGCTCAAGACCAATGTCGTAGGAGTCCGCGACATCATCACGGCGTTCCTCCAACTGCTGCGCAAAGGCCAGCAGAAGAAGATCATCAACGTCAGCAGCACCATGGGATCAATGGCCTTGGCCGAATTGGTAGCCTCAGTTCCAAGGCCGTCGTACAAGATCTCGAAAGCGGCACTCAACATGCTGACGGTTCAGTACTCGATCTATCTAAGGGACGAGGGTTTCACCACGGTCGCCATCTCTCCGGGCTGGCTGAAGACAGATTTAGGTGCGTGTCACGTACGGTAGTACTCAACCCCTCCACTGACTCGAAACAGGTGGCAAGGAATATGCTGATCTAGAGGTGGACGTCGGTGTCAAAGCTACCCTGGAGCTCATCGATAGGCTGAAGCAAGAAGATACGGGGAAGTTCTTGAATATACATATACCTGGAAACCCAACGTATGATGGAGAGGCGTTGTACCCCTCCTGGTAAATACGGAGCGACGGAAAGCAGCCGTGAATCTTAAAAACTGTTTCCTGTCACGAACTCGGGACACAATGAACATTTCTTGTCCACGCAAGCACATAAGACTTTGCAAGCAAGTTCTGTGATGAAGAAGAGTTCTGCAAAGGTCAGACCACGTTTTTGAACGTTTTGTGTGGCAGCCTTGCTCAGCCTTATCCTCTCTCATTCGCCGCCAAGCTTGGGAGCTGCTAGCTTGGACCCGCTTTGCATCTCCTGCTTCAAATGAGTTGAACCTCACTCGTTAGACCTTGAACCTCGACACAGCACCCAGCTACCGTCCTCTCCACTCCGCAGCCATGTCTGTCGCACGCACCGCCTTTGCTCTTGCGAGGCGGGCTCCTCTGCGGGCTCCCATCCGCCGAACCTTCGCTACCTCCTTCGTCCGAAGTGCGTCACACCACAATCGCGAGCAGGCCGTCTGAAGCTCGTAAACAAGCAGCAGACGCTTGCGGAAGATAGTGTAGATGGCTAACAATACTTACAGAATCGGACAAGTGGGATCCTAAGCCTGGCGACCCCGAGGCCAAGCTACTTCCTTTCGAAGGTACGACGGTGCCCTACACACATAACTGCTTGCTGTGGTATCGCAAACCGTACAGCACGATAAGCTATGGGAGCAAAATGGACTGATTGAACGGCGTATAGAAATCAAGAGCGAGGCGGATCTGCTACCTCCTGGTGCAAAGCCCGGCACTATTCCCACCGATCTCGAGCAAGCGACTGGTCTTGAGCGTCTCGAAATTCTTGGAAAGATGCAGGGCATTGACATTTTCGACATGAGGCCGCTACCCTCCGACCGCACTGGTACGTGGCGGCTGATTTGGACTAACACAGAGGCTGATTGTTGGAATAGGAACCTTCGAGGATCCAATTGTGGTTGACTCCGCCGGCGAGGAGCTCCAATGTGGCTGCACTGGCTCACCCGCCGACTCTCACCTGGTTCGCTGGGTTGTGGTAAGATTAAATCGGCTATCGAAGCAAAGCCCGATCGGCTAACGAGCTCGTGAATAGGTGTCTCGTGACCGCCCCTACCAGCGTTGCGACGAGTGCGGAAGCGTATACAAGATGAGATATGTTGGGCCGCCCGACGACCCACACGACCATCATCACCACCATGGCGTCTCGGAGCCCAAGACGATGGCCGATTATGTCAAGGAGGATTACTGGTATAGATGATCTGCCCCAACGATGGCCTCTGACTGGTCACTTGAGCATTTGTACATACCACCCACGGCATCTGGCTGAATGAGAATAGTAGTCGCAACCTCATCCCGTCCTGTGTCTCTCTTATGTACGCCCTTGGACGAGTGCTTCCCCCCACTGACCACTTTCAGCATGCTCGCATCCCTAGCACATCTGATACTCCAGCTTCAAACTCGCTCATTGGCTGTATGCACCTCAGCGGACATCTCCTGCCTCACCAGATGCGGAGATCAAGACGGGGGGATCGCCTATTCCATATGCCTGATGATCGCTTGCCACGGCTATTGAACAGCTATATAGACCCATCCCCTCATCTGCCCTCCGTTGCCGACATCTCCGCAGATGCCCCCGTTTGCAGAAGTTCAAAATCAGCCATGCCTCACGCCACGGAACCCACGTATAAGCATATCAGCGTCACGCCTATCGGCCCTACCATTGGAGCCGAGGTGTCGGGCGTCGACTTCAGCAAGCCCGTGCCGGATGAGGTGTTTCGAGAGATCTTGAGCGCTATCACTAAGGTAGGTCTCTCCTGCAAAATCAACAGCGCCTCGGCACGTTCTGAGGGGGGTTTGTCTCTGGCCGCCGTGCTCTTCCTTCCCAGCGCCCGAACGAAAGATAAACAAACCAGTCCTGCCAATTCCCTAACTGACATACCGCTGGCAAATAGTACGGCGTCCTCGTCTTCCGTCACGCAGCCCTGGACGACCGCCGCCACGTCGCCTTCGCGCGGCAGTTTGGCGAGCTCGATGATGTGAAGCCATACATCGCTGCCGGCCGCAAGAACCGTTTCGACTTCGACGAGCTCTTTGACGTCTCCAACCTGGAGGATGATGGCAGCCTGGTCGCGGTGGACAGCAAGCGGGACCACTTGAGTCGAGTAAGTATCCCTCCTCCCCACCCAGCATACAGATTGGGCTTCTCCCGAAGTCTTGCAAGAATCTGCCCGGCCGCAGGCTGCCTGCCTCCGGATCCCCATATCGGCCATACTCCAACCACCAAGCAATAAACCCCAATAACAGCTCACGCACACCCACTCACGAAACCCCCAAACAGGGCAACTCCATCTTCCACGTCGACTCATCCTTCAACCCGCGCCGCGCGGGCTTCTCGCTCCTCCGCGCCGCCGCCCTCCCGCCCCCGGGCCACGGCGGCAACACCGACTTCGCCGACACGCGCACCGCGTACGACGAGCTCCCCTCGGCTCTCCGATCGCAACTGCAGCGCCACGACTACGTGGGCGCGCACTCGATCTGGCACTCGCGCAAGAAGGCGGCGCCGCCGGACAGTCCGTGGCTGAAAGACGTGGAGCCGCGGGATTTCCCGATGGGGAGGCATAGGTTGTGTCAGGTGCATGAGGCGAGTGGGAGGGGAAATCTGTATGTGGCGGGGCATTTGCATCATTTGGAGGTGGAGGATGAGGGGGTCGAAGGGGGTTGGAGGGAGGTGGAGGCGGAGGAGGGGACGAGGTTGATTGAGGAGTTGTTGGCGTGGGTGGAGCAGGAGAGGTATCGGATTAGTGTTGAGTGGAAGGAGGTGGGGGATTTGGTCGTTTGGTGAGTTCTTTTATCTCGTGCTTGTTTCTTGTTTGAGGGGACGGGCTGGACGGGTCCTGGATGGGGTTTCGACGAGTCCGTTGAGCAAGCAAGTTTGGTCGCCGTCTCTGTTTTCATTCCTGCTGGGACAGTACTGATTTGCTGATGCTAGGGATAACACATGCGTGATGCATCGCGCCGGGCCAGGCACGTTTGCTGGGAAGTATATGCGGGACATGAGGAGGTGTACGGTGCATGACTCGAGCAGCCTGGCTTGGGGGTTGAACGAAAAGTCTGACAAGAGGATGGGATTGCCATAACGTGTTGTTGAGAATGAAGCTGCTGCTGCTCACGGGCCCTTGAGTGTGTTGAGAGGTTTGATGTAAGTAAGGACACTGTCGTCGATAGCTCTCCGTCTCGTCCGTTTGTCTCCTATATGAATGCAGCCTTGCCCGGCACCAGCCTTGGCATTCACTCACTTCCCCCTCCCCCTCCCCCCAGCTCCTTTCTGCCTAGCAACCATATATATATATACCGCAAAATCCGGAAACCCTTTCAACAATCGCACAGACCTACAAGCAGAAAAACCAGGCAGGAGAAAACCGCTAAGTCCTGGGGTCGAGTCGTTGCCACTGAAAACTTTACGCCTAATGCAATTGCAGCAGGTAGTTTTCGGGGAGGAATGCTCAAACTAAATAAGAAAGATGCCATAAGAAGCCACAGGTCAAGATCTCTCAGTAGGAGTTGTACTATCAAAGTTAGTACATGGGTCCACGAGACCTCCTATTATGGGAGCACATTCCTCTGTTCTTTTTGCCTTTTTTGCGATGTTCGATTCGTGCTTTTTTGATTGTTAGAGGGCATCAGAAGTGTATGGTGCACTGTGGGTGTTGTGGGCGGCGTTTGCTTCACTGCGTTGGTGGTCGACCAGGCAGTGAATTTGCGGTTTCGCACGGTCGTTGCCCACGCAGCCAGTTTGACCCTCGATTGTCTGGTTGATTCAACTTCTAGAGCTCAAACAAGTCTCGTTTCCATGCCTGTCGCCCCTAAGAATGTAACGGGGCACGACTGTTGCTGCAAATGGCACTCCTTGCAAGCACCTCCTCAAGCGTTCTGCCTTCAAGCATACCGACAACATGGATGCCAAGCTGCCTGACTTGATTATGCCTCCACCGGTATGTGAATCCTACTCCCATTTGAAGACCCGTCTAAAGCTCATCGTCTAGATGCCACGTCCCAAATTCGGAATCGGACAAGTCGTCCACATCATCCCCTCGCGCCGCGATCCGGCACGCATAGCTGCCGGCACAGCATATCCGAACAACTTGGAGCTGCTTCCATCAACCCAATGACGCATTTCAGACGTTCAACCTTTTCCTGAAACACGAACTTACAGGTACACGGTCAAGGCCTTTGCACCGCCAGAGATGACAGTCGACGAGACGCAGCTCGTAGCCGGAGGTATGTCGCCTGGCGACGAGGTGGTGAAGGTGAGCGAGGAGCGGCGCGGCGGTGGGTTCGTGTACAAGGTGAGGGAGCTGAGGGTGGTGTGGGATCCCGATGGGGTTGAAGCGGGACTGGCTGGGCGGAAGGGCAAGGGCAAGCAGGTTGGGGCGCTGATTGTGATGCTTAGATTGGAAGACGAGGTAGGTCAGTCAAGAGACTGTAAGGCGGAAGAAGTCAGATGCTTGACCGATGAAGAGCGTTTAGGGGGTCGAGGGTTCTGGCCACTGGTCAAGGATGGGATGGCAGGAAATTGAGGTGTTCGATAGTCACATTCGCTTCACGACGATGCGCTCATTTGGGGGTTGATCTCACATAGGCAGTATAGATCGTAGCAGTGTTGGTACACAGTTGGGACTAGGTGAGATATCTTGCTCCCTGGTCAGTCAGCCTTCTGGAACAGCAGGGCGTGCCTTCGTTCTCGCGGTTAGTCCCGAAATTAATGCAGATTCAGACGTAGCTCAAGCTGTGCTGAAAGCGTTGAAGATCTCGACCGGACCCGAGAGAAACGACAGATATCTCTTCGTGGACGATCAATGGTGAGATCAAGCAATGTGAGCAAGGCTTAGCCGAAGTGACTGGAGTGGAGTCAGCCTTGCCCACAAGGCTGACCAGTCAATGCTATGCTTGGCATAAAATGGCTTCTGATCTCGTCCTTCCATCGATGAATCTTGAGCAGACAATGCGCTTGCTATACTTGGGATCTTGTATCTCTAGAGCATTGTCATATGAGTGCTCTGACAGGGGTTCAGAAAAGACACAGTAAGGTTTGTGGTCTGCCGCGCAGCGCAGTAGTCCACGGAGCGGACATTGCCCCATCGAGTGTCCGACGCAATGCATGAAATCATCACGCTGCAGTTGGGTCAGCGGAGCAACTACCTCGCAACTCATTTCTGGAACGCTCAAGTGATACAAATCCCAATCGCCAGGCCTGTCAATCATACTAATCTTCCCGCAGGAGTCGTACTTCAAGTATTCTGATCAAGAAGACTCGCTCGTCAATGCCGACGTCCACTTTAGGGCTGGGCTGGGTCCGGATAACGTCGAAACGTTCACACCTCGGACTGTCATCTATGACTTGAAGGGAGGGTTTGGGTCTCTACGCAAGATCAATGCCCTTTATGACCTGGAGGAAGAACCTACTGCCGCCCGTCTATGGGACGGTGCTACCCTAACCCAGCACCAGCAAGCTATCGAGCCATCAAGATACCAGACCCTTCTCGATCAAGGACTACCAACCTTTCAGCTGCATGACGGCGATGTACGGTACTGGTCAGACTTCAACAGAGTCTTTTACCATCCAAGATCGGCCGTCCAGCTAGATCAGTATGAGCTAAACTCACAATTGATGCCGTTCGAGAACTGGTCCACCGGCGAAGAGCTTTTCCGAGACCTCGACAAAGAGTTTGACCTGATCGACCGCGATGTACGTCCTTTCGTGGAAGAGTGTGATCAAATGCAGGGGCTCCAGATGCTAGCAGGTTCCGATGATGCCTGGGGTGGGTTTGCTGCCCGATATCTAGACAGCCTACGGGACGAGTATGGCAAAACAAGTATATGGGTATGGGGCTCAGAGAATACTACAAGGCTGCCGAGACGGGAGCAACTTCTTCGGTCGACGAATGCCGCACGTTCCATGGCTGCGTTTGGCCAGCAGGCTTCGGCATACATTCGCCTGGCAACGATTCCAAAATCGTACCCATCATACCTGAACATCCATTCGACGTCCGACTGGGTGTTGACAGCTTTGCAATGCGCTGCTTTTGAGTCAGCCACTCTGCCCACCCGACTCGCCCATGACTCTACACACAATGTCTCACTCTCCTTACTCGAGGCTATACTCAATACGACTGGGACACAAAATATTCTTGACTTGCAGCTCAGTCGGAAGCCAGCCGAACATACACCTATCAATGGGGCAACGAGCACGGCGCTCCACAATGGGCATAATGATGAGGCAGAATCGGCAGATGCTGAAAGTCTCGACATAAGCTTCGTTCCTGGACAGGATCAGGCACCCCACAGCGCTCACACCTTCGCGCGGACCGAAGTTCATCGGTCGCATCACGATTCCTTACCGGCCGCGACTGATTCACGAGAGGAACAACTCAGGCGTCGGCAAAATGAGGAGACAATCGTGGAGAAATTCGAGACCAAACTAACTTTTCCTCTGCTAGACTCCTTCCCGGAGTCGCTATTCCGCCCAGACGGCCTGCGTTCCAGTCTGGAGCTCACGGCAGCGCTGAGCAGCAGCTCTGGCATGAAAAATCACATCCTACAGTTGCGGGAGGTGACTAGGCGTGGATTGACAAGCGACGAGCGCGAAGCAACCTACAATGATCTTTCAGAGCTGGCAAATAATTACAGCTTTGGCTGGGAGAACAGTTCCGATGAAGGCGAGGATGTCTAGATCCCAAAAAATAGCTGGATTGAACCTCAAAGCTCGATGACAACGATCTAACAGCACACCTTCTCCGGCCATCGACGTTTGGCTTGTCCTAAGGCACTGGGCAATGCGGGAAATCCCAGCCAGCGTACAGGTTCAGGGTCATGCAAAAAAACGAGGTCTTATTCTGCGCTCTACTTGTGTTCCCAGTGGAGCGATACCAGAGAACCGGGGACGCCACTTCGTCAAGCCACTGTTCTCAGACATGCATCTGCCGAGAAAGACTACTGTACCCCGAGAAAGGCGCGGCGTGACATGGCAGATGCGGCAATAACCCCGCGGCCAGCCTGTTGTACAGCGATTGCGGGACACATGCCCACGCGAGCAGAATACGAAGAGCGACCTGGCGTCGCTTACTGGTACCATGTACTTGTGCAACTGACCAGGATAGATTCGGTCATGCTTCCCTGAATGAGGTCGCGGCCAAGCTGCATGAATGAGGAGGTCGACAAATGTCACCAGACTTTGAAATCGGCGATACTCTCTAGCTGGACACTCAAGTACGACTTAAGCTGGCGAAAATCGAGTAGCTTCGAAATCGCGCTGCTCCGAAATCGAGCTGCTGTTCTGGATTGTACCAAGTAGAAATCGCAATGTGTGGACCCGGATCAGTAACACTTGCATCAACGACTGGGCCGCGCACGTTTCTACCGTATCGATTGGCTTACGCCTACCGGATCAAGCGCCAGCGGCATATGACACTAGCGTAAAGCCACACGATGCAGTGAAGGAGTCTGACTCCAAAATGCGGATCAAGGTTCGAAGCAGCATGAACCGAAGAGCCGTGGGAACCGCCGCTCCCGATCCAAAAGGCGAACGTTCAAAGTTTCTATTCTTGAAGTAAAGCGGCGCCGTTGACAGTGATGTTTTGCCGGATACGGGCAAGCTTGCTTGTCACGAGCGTTGACAAACCTGGACGAGTCTCGCGTAGCCAGGCTCTAGCTTGGCTGTAAACCCGAAGTTCTTAGCATTGAGCAAACAGTGCCTCTAGCGAGTCTCCAGCGATGAAGTCATGGTGGCAAAGACACCACTACTGTTGTCAACTAGCTCACAACGATTCCCCCAGTGCTTCCACCGAAAGGCTGGCCCCATCAGCAGTGCTGCGATGTCGATCAGGTACAGCACATGAGGACTTTTTCAAGATCACTCAGGCAAGCGGGCGGAGCCCCGATTAAGGTGACGGGTGCCTGACAGAAAAGCCAAAGACTCTGCTGTGCTGAGGAACCCACTCAAAATCATGTGCGTGAACGGCTCGAACGGGATGTATTCTGCACAAATTCTCCCAGAGGTTGACAGTACATTATCGCCCAGACTAACTTCCGGGGCTGGACTTGTAGCTGGTGCAGCTACCGGAACGGTCGGTCAACTGGGGCAAGTAGAAGAGAGCATTTTCACCGGCTGCTTGCGACCGAGGGTTTCTGTCGCAGTGCAGGTGGATGGCTGGGGCGAGCAGCCAGCTTGGGGTGCCGCTAAAAACTGCATGTCTCAGCTGGCGTGCAAGGAACACAACGCCCATTGGGTCGCCTACGGTTAAGCTCAAGTCCAGGAATGTTAGCCTTGTCCAGCTCCAACGTTCACCCAAACCAGGCACAACTTCGACCAACCGTCACCGCCACCCAGCTACCCCGGTGGCTCGTCTTCCAGGCAGTATGGGTACCATCACCGCTGGGACACCCTGGAGCCTTTGAGGTCATGCGCCAACTACCATGGTTGACTGCAAACAGGCTTTGAATACGACGCAGGTCACTCATCGCGATTTCTGCTCGGTCTTTGCACGATGAGAGCGTTTCTGACCTATCGCATACCACCGAGGGCATGTCATTCTCCCGGCTCAAAGCACCTTTGACTTGTGCCATCACAACATGACATAACCTGTCTGAGCTCGTGGCCTAGACAATCCAGGTCTTAGACCAATGCAGGCTCCATCCAGTTTCCATTGCAACATCGCCGGAGGGTGTGAATGATTATTTTTAAACCACTTCAACGCTCAGATGGGTTGGCATGACTGGGCGACACCACTATCGTACCACACTGGATCTCGGGCTGGTGTCTGATTTTTACAACGAGCAGAGCACGAGGCCCTCATTTTCGCAACCATTATTGACCAAAGCCATCCGCGGTGTGCAGCTAAGCTCCTAGCCGGAAGCTCCAGTCAACCTGTGTCAGCCGCTAAGTGGGTGAGCTGGATGCAGCAGCTGCTGCTCGCTTTTCCCCGGCTGGCCAGCACGTCCACCTGGCCATGCTTCTTGGGTGGACTTCAAGCGCAAACCTTGTTCCTACAGCTCTGCAAAGTCTTCGACCCACTATTATACCTCAGGCACCACCCCACTTACTCTCCCCGGTCTGTCAGGAACAGGGCAGCTGTGGTATCGTGCCCATCTATACGACCCAACGTCTTCCATGAGCTTCCGATCGATGACACCGCGGTCGGCCACCTAACCGTGACACCCCACATCCAGTAGGATGGCGTGCCACCTGCTACAGCTACAAAAGCCATCCCGCATGACTCCAATCATTTTTCTCTTTTCCCAACCACACCATAGCTACCGTACTTGCTTGAGTCTCTCGTTCTGCCAAGAGCTCCTTCGCTAAGGCTCCGTGCAATACCCTCGCTCTAACAACAAGTACTCGGTGTCGTTCCAACGATCATACCCATACCATCAAGATGAAGTACAGCTTCGTTACTCTCGCCCTTGCCGGCTCGTCTGTTGCCGCTGTCCTGCCTCGCGCCAGTGACTGGCTTGTTGTGCCCTCTCCCGTGGCCCCAACTACCACCACCCAGGCGACCGAGTGGTCCGTCGTGCCCTCCCCCGTGGCTCCTACCACCACTACCAAGGCGACCGAATGGTCTGTTGTGCCCTCTCCCGTGGCTCCTACCACCACCAAGGAGACTGAGTGGGCCCCTGCCCCGGCCCCGTCTACCACCACCAAGGAGACTGAGTGGGCTCCGGCCCCAGCCCCATCCACGACCACCAAGGAGACTGAGTGGAAGCCTGCGCCTGCCCCTTCCACCACTACCAAGGAGACCGAGTGGAAGCCCGCGCCCGCTCCCTCTACCACTAAGGAGACTGAGTGGAAGCCAGCACCTGCCCCGTCCACCACTACCAAGGAGACTGAGTGGAAGCCAGCGCCCGCTCCCTCTACCAAGGAGACCGAGTGGAAGCCCGCCCCTGCTCCC